GGCTGGGTCGAATTGAACTGTGCAAACAATGACCCGTTGAAAATAAAATAAAATAAAATAAAATAAAAAATAAAAAGCCCAAGGTTGCACACCATGTTTGCTGCGTCGCACAAGGTTACTTGCTGTAGGTTTGTCAGGGCGTTTGCTCAATCTGCAAGGGCACTTGCAGAAACCAAAAAGCTAATCCGTCTTAGCTTTTGTTTCCTTGGTTAGTGATCGCTGACGGTGATGAGTCCTGTCCTGCCGCATCCCATCTTACATGGCATCGTGTCTGTGTGCATGCATTACCAAATGGAGTAACTGCCCTCAGTATTACCCAGGTATGTACGGAGTACGGAGTACGCCATTGACTACTAGCTCGGTTCCTTGACTTTCGGTTTCTGGTCCCAGGTTCCGAACCCAAGCAAAGTCAGCTCCCAAAGAGTAAGTTACACATGCAAGTCGCGACATAACCGGCGTCTGACCAACTCCGGGTCTGCTCATTTTTAGCCTCATTGAACCTGGCTGCAGCCGTCTCCATGCAAGGTGATACGCCGTCGTATGCACAATGGCCAGGGCCATCTGCCGGCAATCCACGCACCGGCCTGGAACTGCATGAAGCGTGCAGGGCCGTGCGTCTCCGAGCCAACGGGTGCAGAGTATACACGCACTAAGTAGATACCTAAGTATGTAGCTAGGTGCATGTATCACGCGTCGCTGCTAAAAGTGTGCGTGTGTGGAGGAACCACGGCTGCCGTTTCTGGGCGACGTTTGCCGTTTCTAGGGCACATTGTGCTCGTTGTCTTGTTGCACCTGCTATGAGCTCAAAGTCGAGATGGACGACGGATGCCAGGTTCGCGTTAGGTTGGTCATGGTTCATCACACTGATACCTGGATGGGAAGGTGCGCCCTGGTGACGGTGCCTTCCTCTAGGTACGGGGTACCTGCGGTACCCCAACATACTGTTGGCCCACGACGTCGGACGAGTTGGCATGGACTTGGTTGGCGCTTTGCTTGGGCCAGACTTCTCAAAGACACATTTGATCGAAATCTGTCAGCTGCTCCTTTACGGAGTATCGACACTGCAGTCAATCGTCACTCACACTCCGTACGCCGTATTACGTTGGGACGAGTACTACTACGTAGTACGTATGTGCCATGAAATCATAGTACCACCCGACGGATGTTTGGCTTCTTCCTGTATCGCTTGTATGCTCTGTCGGCCTGTGCGACGGTCAGTTCCGGAACAGTTGCGGCCGACGTTATCCCTTCGAGAGTGCGAAGGTGCCACTTTCGTACCGAACGAGGCTGGATGTCAGCCAACTTAAAATCTGGATATAAAAGAAACATAATCCCACTAAGGAATAGTATGATAGTATAAGTACTAGCGATTCCCCATGTACAAAGAGCTACACTGCACGTATCTTAGCCATAACTTCCTCTTGATTATCAACAGCCTACTCAGGTTGGCAGTGCTCAAGGCAAACAAAATAGTTAACACGTTATCAGCTTCGCGATGTCAATTTTTGGCTCCATTGCGGTATCGCAGAAAAGTGGGTCCGCCCACGAAGTTGGCACCTTCCAAGTTCGCGCACTCAGTCGACGGTCGGCCCTGGCCCTTGCGCTTGCCGCTTGGGTTCAAATATGCAAATATGCTGTACAGACACAGCAACTGCAATTGGCAGAGTTGAAAATAGTGCCTCGGCTTTGCTGACTGATTGAAATCTGTCCAAGTTGGGCGTTTTTTTCATGCATTTGCTGGCCTCGTAACGAGATTCGACCAGGCCGACTTGGCACGTTGAATGGCGACACTTGGCAAAACTTTGGGCAACGGTCTTATTCCCTTGTTCCGTAACCTGGCAGCCCGGATGCCGGCACGTGTGCGGAGCAACGCGTGGCGGAACTCTCGAGCCTTCTTTATCAAACGTTGCTCGCTTGGCACCGTCTAATAATTTATATTCCTAGAACGCCTCTATGTCACTATTCAAGACCCACTGACGAGTCTGGTTCGTGTTCCCGACAGTTCAGCGCCCGACCATGGCATTGGCAAATGGGCAACCTGCCCTTTAATTTAACTGCCGTTTGGCGAGGCTCCGAATAGTATGTTCGTACATGCGCCCTCGAGTAAATAGTACCATCCACATAATACTGACGACTCGAGGAAATGTGCTCATGGCTTGTTGCGTAATCTAGTTGAATAAAGTGCTGGTGCGGTGATGAATGTATCGACATGTGTCTTTGTCTTTTTGACACGCGCCTCACGGAGCAGATAGCCTCCTTGGTGCGCGGATCCGCGGCGATCGGCTTCGCAAAGAGAAGTATGGTGTTGCGTGACGCGCAAAAGTTGGGACCCGTGGACGAAGCCATTGACGACAACGCCTTGCCAGTGACGTCTTTTTTTCAGATCAAAACGTGGACATTGGTTTTCACTGCTGCCCTTTTGTGCCCCTCCGACCCCTCTCTACTCCCTCGCAGAGAGGTTACCTAAAAAAACGCGGGCGATTGTGGGATCGTCGTTTTGAAGCGAGAGACTAGCAAAGCTGATCAGTCAATGTGGACCATTGATAGCTGCTGGTAGGGAGTACTCGGCTGCCACTGCCTGCCACCGCCTGCCAGTTGACCTAGGAACCTGCGCAAGTGGGCACTTACCTGGGTACCTAGGCACCTACCGGGGTGCTTAGAGGTGGTAGCTACTACGTAACTAAGTACGTACTTGGTCCCCGTCCTCGTCCCCCTTTTGGCCTGGTCCGTCAACTGGTCCATGTCGTCACCCTGCGCTTGGAATATGTCAACCGGCCGGTACGGAGTACCAGGTCTGTCTTTCGTGCAAGGGGAGCAGGGGAGTTCTCGACAGGGGTGACGCCATGACCAAGCCGAGTTCATCATGGCTTGGGGACCCCGGACGCCATGCTCAAGAGGCAAGGGGCCTCACAACGCGCCGCAGACACCAAGTCGGATTGTACATGGCACTAAGAGCAGTTGGACTTTAGCTTAAAGCTTCGTCTCTCATCGGGATTCTACCGGCCGCTCTTTATCTCCACACGGGCATGCATGTGCGCGGTGCGCTCACGACGACGACCTGCCAATTTACATATGCCCGCTGGCGGGCTACTCCGTTGCAGTACGGAGTAGTAAGCACAGACAGTATAAGTTCTTTTGACTTGGTGGGCGGCCAGCAGGGACAGATGACAGCATCTGCCATGCAACCGCATCTCGTGCAGAGAAACAGACAAGCACTACGTACTTCCTCCGAGCCCAAGGACGCCGTAGAGCTTCATGCCGAGGCCCGGCCAGGTCAACCTCCCAAGTAAGTACTTAAGTACATTGTGCGCCATTATTGCAAGTCGGGGCTGAGGCGTTTGCGCGCCACCTGGTGATGGACACGGTTGAACGTGTGTGTCTGCCTGCCTGCCTGCCTGCCTGCCTGCCTGCCTGCCATGAAGGTATGGTCCCATCAGAGGCACCCGAGAGCACAAGCAGACATCTTGCGTCAATTGGCTGAATGCTCAATACATATCAAGAGTAGGCGCGCAAGTGCCCGGCGGAGAGCAATACGTACAAGTATCTTAAGTAGGTACCTAGGTACATACATACTTCTCGAGGGTGCTTGTCCATTGATGCAACAGCTCATAAGTTACGTGACCTCCTCATCCTCTCTGTCTGTTTCGAACTTTGCTTTGACATGGACAGTTTCTTTTCTTCCCTGCCTACCTCTAACTTAAGTACTCAGAAATACCATGTACACACTGGCACCGGGAAACCACAACAACAGACGCCAAAACACTTTTTGCATCTGCTCCTTTTTGGCCGCTCCTTTTCTCTTTTTGCGGGTGACTTCACCGCATCACACGCTTTACGCCTGACACTTGATACTCGACATTTTATGTCTGACGCCGACGCAACAGCGGTGACCCTGTCTCTCAATACATAATTCCCGCGCCCTTGTAACCGGCAACATTGGACCAGGCTAGTAACTGCTCCCCTGCCACCACGACCCGCCAAAAACAGGCGAGACAGATTCCTCGTCCTGACTCCGTACCTCCGTACCGTTGTACCTCCGTACCGTTGAGCCGCCGTACCTTCCCCCCCCCCCCCTGCTCCTCAGCTTCTCGATCCCGCCTTCTCTTTCCTGTTCTGCCATGACAACTTGACTGCAAGCTGTGCTTTGCCGAGTGGCGATTTATTGTCAATTCCTCTTTAACCTGACATCTTCTGTGTTGTGGGAGTTGATTTTTGGGCAACCAGGTATACGGACAAGCACAGTCTGGTTTTGCTTTTGCTTTTCCTGTTTCCTGCTTCTTCGTTATTTTTTGCTACAATACTTGGCAACGCAGTCCTGCCAGGCATCCCTCACTCAGGTAAGTAAGCTGAACAACACCAACACCATCCTCGCCGCTTCCGCACTTCAGCATTTCGCAGCAGCACTCAGCCCTCTCCTACTCCGCAACTCGTCACTACATACGTGAATTATATTTTACAAAGTATATTTGACTTCCTCCATCTTTCCATCATGGCCACCGCAGTTTCATACCCGCGACTCCGGGCCACGCCCGGACATGTCCTTGGGCGGCCCGCAGTATGTGGTTGTGCCATGGCGTTTAAAACATTCCACTGCATCTGACCTATTGCCGCCGCTTGCCTTCATTCCTGACGCGGACCGGCGCCTTTATGCCACAACATTCCAGGTGCGCGTTGTACGTTTGCTAATTTTGCATGTTCTAACCCAGCAAACGTCAACCCCGAGTTCAATCATCATCAATTGACTGGGCCAATCTTCGCCTAGTTCGCTACTCTGGCCTTGTATCCTGCTTCGAGCAAGTATCATAGTTCGATATTTCCAACCAGGATACCTGCTCTGAAGTGGATATATTTTGCCGGCTTTTTACACCGGTCGCGTGCCTTTGTTTTTGATCTTAGAGAGGACGGGCGCGAGCGGCGTTTCTACACTTCGCCGTCTTGGACCACACTATTTACCAGAGCTTTATGCTCCTGCGACACACCGCACAGGCGACGCTGCCGCAATGCTGAGTGGGCGTCCTTCGGGAGCCAACACTCGCATGGCTCACGAAGAATTGGCGCTGTATTACAGCTCGGATCGGGTTTCTGATGGATCGTATGACTCGCATCAACACACCACCACGCTCTACTCACACAGCCACATGACTCCCCCGACCACCCCAAACAGCTCCCAGGAAGATTTATTTCCAGAGCCGACGGGTGCGCCGGTTTTTCACAACTTCCTAAGGACCTTTTATCCTTTTCATCCAAGCTACACTGTGTCAGACTCGAGTGTGACGCTTCCCCTTGAAGAAGGAGATGTAATTTTGGTACATTCGGTTCACACCAATGGATGGGCGGATGGAACGTTGTTGGCATCTGGCGCAAGGGGATGGCTCCCAACTAACTACTGCGAAGCCTATGAGCCGGAGGACATGCGAAATCTGCTCAAGGCGCTTCTGAATTTCTGGGACTTACTTCGAAGCACCTCGGTAAATGATAGTGAAATGTTTCGGAATCAAGAGTTTATGAAGGGCATCATCGCCGGTGTGCGGTTTCTACTGGTACGTGTCCGTATCTGTGACCGTTTTGATGTGGCAAGATGAGCATTCATACGAAATTCCCCCCTTTCCTAACGAGTCAATCTAGGAACGAACGGGGTGTTTAAATAGAGAGTCGAGTGTCGTGCAACGGAGCGATACCTTGCGTAAAGGACGCAAATCATTGCTCTCCGAACTGTCATTGCTGGTGAAAACGGCTAAACGATTGCAGGAGAGCCAAAATGGTACTCTCTACCCGCCCGAGGACGCCAACGATATTATTGACGAAATGATACTGCGAGCTTTCAAAATCGTAACAAAAGGTGTCCGATTTCTTGACGCACTGGAAGAGGACAGGCGGGCCCGCGTACCAGCATCAGTCACTGTAATGGCGACCGTCGCTGAAGAATCATTCATACCACCGACTCCGCCTGCTGATCGAGCCCATTTTGAGGATCAAAATTTGGACAATGTTTCCACTGAAGCAGGCTCACATGCCGCCACAACTGATGAGGGCACCAGCGTCACAGGTATGGCGGTGTCGGAATCCATTGAAGGCGGTCCCAACTCGCCCGGGCCCTGGGCCAAGCGCATGTCGTCTCTCAACGCACCAATCAACCATGGTCCCTCGACGGGCTCCGGCCAGAACAGCAATCCACAAGGCAGCTTGCAGAGCCACCGCCTCTCTGTGGGCATGGCGCACAGAGTCTCGCTTGCTGGACCATCCCCTTTATCACGGCCCCAGCATTTAGTGTCCGAACGCCTGAACCGCAGCCATGACAAGTTTCTCTCCCACCTGGGCTCCTTCATTGGAAGGCTACATCTACAGTCACAATCACGACCAGAGTTATCGTTCGCTATCAAACAGTCTGCTATCTGTGGTGGGGAGCTACTTGCTGTAATGGATGGCGTATGTGCGTATAAAAACTCTAGCCTGGCCTCCCTGGGCAAAGTTCGCATTGCCATGTTTGAGCGCATCCAAGCTCTTGTCACCTCGGCACGAGACACCCTGGCCAACGCTGCGACGGAGGGCGCCGATTTGATCATGCCACAGGATAATGGAATATTGCTCATGGCTGCTACTGGGTGTGTCAGAGTAGCTGGCGAATGTGTTGCGAAAACAAAAGTGGCTATTGAACGGGTTGGAGACTTCGAGTTCGAGCTTGAAGGATTTTCTCTGGGTATTGATTTGAGCATCCTTGACATTGCGGAAGAACGGGCTAGAACACCTTTGGCTACCGAACGATCAGACATGGTCGTCAGCACTGCGAAATCATTTCAGACATCCGAATCATCTTTTCCAGCCCCGCGACGACTCGTTGGTCCTTTTGCCGCTGCTGAGAAACCGCTTCCACGAGTGCCTCGTCTCAGCATTCCTGAGAACATAGTCCGCCAGTTCAACTCTCCAATCTCCTCCAGGCCCTCTTCTGTCCACGACGACAATGCTTCCAGCGTTGCTTCTTCAGTCTCATCGATTCGTCCAGCACTGCCGACACTACCCAAATCTGCCAACGCACCAAGCCATTCCGGACACGACGAGTCGAGTATTGACGCCGCGAGAATGGACCAGGAGCATGCGGCTCACTTTGACAGCCTTGTAGCCTCCAGTGCGGCAAGCAGCGGTACATATTTGAGCAGGGATTCAGAGTCGAGCGTCCTGTCACAGACTTCCACTCGCGCGACGACTCCGGATCAATGTCTAGCACCTCGTAACCAACCGTCAATGTCTGATATGAGTGTTTCGGGGAGCCTATCACAGACGGATGAACAGGATGATGTGGAAACGAGGCTTCTGGAGAAGACTTTTGCTCACGAGCTCATGTTCAACAAGGAAGGTCAAGTGACTGGTGGCTCGCTTCCAGCCCTGGTTGAACGCTTGACGACGCATGAGTCCACCCCAGATGCCACTTTTGTGTCGACCTTTTTTCTCACCTTTCGTTTGTTCTGCACACCAATTAAGCTCACGGAGGCCTTGATCGAACGCTTCGAATACGTTGGCGAGTTTCCTCACATGGCTGGTCCAGTCAGACTAAGGGTCTACAACGCCTTCAAGGGTTGGCTTGAATCACACTGGAGAGACCAAACTGATCGAGAGGCCTTGAAATTGATCATACCCTTTGCCGAGCTGAAACTTATCTCTGTTCTTTCATCTGCAGGGCGGCGATTACTAGAGTTGGCCAAGAAGGTCTCTGGACAAGGTTCACTTGTCCCGCGACTTGTATCATCGATGGGCAAGACCAATACCTCTATTGCGCAATACGTACCTGCTGATGCTCCACTTCCTCATCCCGCCATCTCCAAGGGCCAACAGCACCTGCTCACTGCTTTTCGAACAGGGGGTAATGGGCCAACTCTCCTTGATCTCGATCCTCTTGAGCTCGCCCGACAGTTGACTATCAAACAAATGAGCATCTTTTGTTCCATTTTGCCGGAAGAGCTGCTGTCCTCGCAGTGGATGAAAAAGGGTGGCGTTGATGCCCCGAATGTTAAGGCTATGTCAGCTTTGTCGACAGATCTTTCCAATCTCGTTGCTGAAACCATTCTTCAGCACTCCGAGATAAAGAAGCGTGCCGCAATCATAAAGCAGTGGATCAAGATAGCCTATCAGTGTCTTGAACTACACAACTACGATGGCCTCATGGCTATCATCTGCACCCTGAACAGCAGCACAATTAGCCGGCTGCGGAAAACGTGGGACGCTGTATCTAGCAAGCGCAAGGACATGCTACGGCTTCTACAAGGGATTGTGGAGCCCGCGCAGAACAACAAGGTCTTACGCACTCGACTCCATGACCATGTGCCACCATGTCTGCCTTTTCTCGGAATGTACCTTACCGACTTGACCTTTGTTGACATCGGTAACCCTGCTACCAAGCAAATGTCTCTTGGAACGGATGGCGACGAAGACGGCTCAGGCGGTCTCACCGTGGTCAATTTTGACAAACACACACGTACCGCCAAAATCATCGGCGATCTGCAGCGTTTTCAGATTCCGTATAGGCTCATGGAAGTCCGCGAGATGCAAGAGTGGATCACTGCGCAGATCAGGCGAGTTCGCGAGGGCGACCAAGGAAATGTCCAGGTTACCTACTACCGGAAGAGCTTGCTACTTGAACCTCGTGAGAGTGCTTCTCGGCGGGAGACGGAACCTCCGACACCCGTTTCCTCTGGGACAGGACCTTCTAGAGGGGACCTCTTTGGGTGGATGTCGCGTGATCGAGGTCAAACACCAACTCCAGCTCAGGGTTAACCAGCCACCTGAATGATTTGCCAACGGACGGTGTTTTGCAGCCGAGAACAATAGGGTTTCCAATATTGCATCTGCCGCCAGAGATGCCCATATTCTCTTCCCTCTTTTTCACTTGAAGACCCCACGTACATATTTCTTATTAGTACCTACGTCTTTCGTCTCTTGATACCCCTGTTTCTTTTGCGCCATTTTTTGAATTTTTTTCAAGTTTCACTTGCTTGCCTCTTTATTGTATTCCAAGTCGAAGTCTGCGTGTGCTTCACTTACAGCTCCCATTGGCGAATAGGAATTATTTGATTCACATTTTAATTGTTCACCATGAAGGCGTTATTTGTTTTTGGTTTTCTGTTGGCCTTCACGATTTGCGACTGCGCAATTATGGGCATACAGCCTCGACATCTGGAAATGAGTTTTATCTGTGGCGTGGGCAGCCCATGACTGCATCCTGCCAGAATCCGAGCATATCATGGTCTCTGACGAGTCGATTTTACGCAGCAAAAAGTGCTGCAGCGCAGTGTACTGCTTACTGACTCTCCGGACGGAAAAGGGACCTTGGTTTTCGGTCGGACCAAGCACCGTGGTGGCTAGGAAGACAGTGTGACATGGATGATTCTTTTTGCAGCGTTCGGGCTACGGGTGGGTTTCTTTTCAGACGTACGAGCTCGGCGTTCAAGGGTTGCAAACAAAAGGCTAGTTTGTTCGATTCCGAACAGCAAGTTGTTCCCGGCATACCCCAGGAGTGGGAGCGTGCTTGGCCACGGCGAGAGTTTGTGAGATAAAATTGTTGTATGGCCGACGAGGACACTTTTTCCGACAAGCAAGGTAGACTCTTATCGTTATGTGACTAGATTGAACGATAATGAAATAGGAATGGCAAGCCGATGGTCGAGAATCGAACAGAATTTTAACATTGGTCTCGCCCTTTTAACATGGTCAGGGTAATTTGATGCACTTGATTGTCTAGAAACAACCTGGGGCTGGTATGCTTGACTGGTCGTGAGCGAGTGAATGGTGGAAACCTTGCGAGGCAAACGCAATGAAATGATTTGGAGAGAAGGTGCTGAATTGGAAGCAAACCGCAGATGTTACTAAAGAAGGCGTAGGGTAGCCGCATTTCTAAATGTCGGGTCTGGTTCGATCGATTCCTTCCCAATCGCTCCACCTTGACTCTCTCCTCTATCTTGCAGCAGCGAAACTCCACTTACCCACGTCCTCGATCAATTGGGCCAATACCTCAGCAAATAAAGTTGGCTGGCGGCCGCGCACCTTTGACATTGCAAGCTCGTTGACTGCAGTCAGGATCGTTCTCCGGACGCCGGTTCTCCCATGGAGGCCTCGCCACTTACTCGTCAGCCTCCCCCCGAGGTATTCACGCCCAAGATTGTAGAGCTATATTTCGCCTTGTTCAAGGTTCGACGCAGCTCCCCCCTTGCGCGGCAAACCTGATACTGACTGGTGCATTCAAGGTACAACACTGCAATTACATCCGCTCCAATCTCTGCTCCTTGGACTGACCCAGGGACCCCGCCAGGAAAATGACGACACCGAAGCAAAGTCAGACGGTTTCTGGACCGAGTTCTTCCTGCTACGACCAGACCGCCGGAGCCTGCGAGCCTTGCTGAATGAATTATCGCCCGCCGACGTCCTGACATTCGAGGGCCGCACGAGGGAGCTATTCGGGAAGGCCATAGCAACTGTGCAGACAGGTCAAGGCCTCGCTCCCCTGCACGCATTAGACGTACGCCAGCCGATTGGCAATGCTCCACGTATACACTTGATGCTAACTTTTTTGCAGACGTTGAGCATCTTCCTGTCGTGTCTCCTTTCCAAGAAATATCCTCATCCTAGCTCCGACATCATTGCCGTTCTTGCTGGGCTCGACCATATCGACGCCGTTTTCACAGACTTTGTGAGCACATTAGATGCCATAGTTCGAAATGGAGAAAGTGGTAAGAATGACGAGCACAATCCCAATCAAGGCCACAGGGCTGACGTTGCAGAGCAGTCATGGTACGCCACAAAACCATCCAAGTACTGCTAGCCGTAACCGCCGGCGCATACGGAACAACTCTCCTTACGTATATGATACAAAGGGATCTATTCCCAGCTGTTATGAAGGTAAAATCATATGGCGTTATATAGACTGTTGGTCCCCAATATTTCTGACCTTGGAACGCGGTCTAGTTTGTGCAGGACTCAGAAACCCCAGGACAGGTGCTCGAGCCGTTTACTCTGCTGGGTCTGTTAGCAAACTATAACAAATTCGAGTTTCAGAATCCATATCAACTCAGATTCAACGATTTCGTCAATGAAGACACCATCCAGAAAACCATTCGATGTATTGGTTACACGTGCCAGGCTCTTCGCTTAGATTACATCGACGTTCAAGACGATTTACCAGAAGGCTGGACCTTGAGCAACACACTCAATCTGATTGGGCTTGGCCTCATAATTCGTGGCTCAAAGCCCGAAAAGAAACCAGTCTACGACCCCGAAATAGCGAAACAACTCTTCTCCAAATTGTATGCCCGCACATGTTCCGCTATCCACATGATGAGGCACTGACTGATTCTTCTAGGCCCGGCGAGAATGCCGCCGCCCTCCTCGCATCCTACGATTTTGCACATGCCAATAAGCTTTTCTGCCTCAACTTTGTTTCGCTTCCCGGCGAGAAGGGCGGCGAACGACCGATTGCAAGCTATTTGTCACTCACGTCATACCTGCTTCAACACGCCCATCTTTCCCACCGGGCTACCTACTACGCGCACCTGAACCTCATGGTATTCCGCTTACTGATCGAAGACTCAGTTACTTGCAAAAAAATTTGCAGTGACGAAGTAAAGGCTTTTGTCCGACTTTGCCGACACCGGCAACCATTCTTGTCACTCGTGAAGGGAGAGCGAGTCCTCGCAGCCTGTGTTCTCGACTGCATGATTGATGGGATCAACCACAACCTTCGTCGACGATTGGACGTCAGCCTCTACACATTATGTCTGGGAATAGTATTACGAATAATTTCTCATCTTTCTCGCTCAAGAACGCGCCTGGCCTACCACTGGTCAGAATTCTTCAGATCTTTGCTATCTCTGATCCGTTTCTTAGCAACCTACGCGTCGGATCTGAAGGACTTGACGCACATTAACACACTGCTAGATCACGTTGTCAATTTGCTAGCACTCTCCCTGTCTGCAGGCGAATCATTCTTGCCAACGCCGGCCGCTTATGATGACCTGTTTTACAAAGTAGTTGAATCCGGTGAAGTTCTGACCAAGTTCAAAGACAGCTATGGCCTGCAAAATCGCAAGAGTCATTCAATCAACACATTGATCAGTGTCAGTACCCATTACAAGGAGCTGCTTGCCGGCGGCGGCGGCGGCTCTGCCAAGAAGAAACCGAGCCACCTTACGACGCAACAAGTCACAGAAGTTATTAAGCAGGGATATGAAACGCTGAGCATACAGGCGAAGGAGGGCCTGGATACTTGGGATAACTTTAGAGAAGCTGACGAGAGAACGCTTCTGAAAAAGATGGCAAGGACATCAGTTGGTGATGTGAGAATCATGGTTGAAAGGCAGACCCTGTAAGACATATGTTTCGAGATGGAAATGAAGTTTAAGGCCGCACAAAACGGTAAAGTCTCACGATTGGGGAGACATGAGCAAGTATCGATATTTCTAGGAAGGGTCTTGGATAGGACGCTTTGACTCTAGGCCTCCTTACTACTGAAATGTAGCAAGGTTCCATGCCGTAGAGGGATATCAGTCAATACTGGGCTAGTAATCAGCGTCGTGCCTGGACGTGTGAGCTGATTTCGTCTGGCAAACTAGCACTTCAGGGGTCGACTACTTTTATGCGGTTTATCCAGCCATGATGAGGACTGCTTCGTTATAGATGGCGTACTCTGGTCTCACTATTTATAATGACACTTGCAGAGCCCACAAACACGTGGCTGTGACCGAGACGGGCGCGAGCAGCACCCCATCATTGTCCACATCCGAATAGGCGAGGACAGATTGATGCATTCGTCTCCACAAGGGATGGCGCTGTCTCGGGATGGACTCCGGGGGCAGAGACGGAACTCGGGAGCACGTCGATCTTGATGCAACCAACCCTGGGACCAGGTAGCATCCAACCATGGATCGTGAGTGAGTTGAGATTTAAAAAAGGGCGCATGCGTGCATGCATGCATGGGGCTGCCTGGCTTGGCTCTGGACATGTGGAGGGGAGGAGGAGAGTCTAGGGCGCCCTTGACAAGTTGATCTTGGCAAAGATGACTCGGGGGACGGCCTGACCTGGACGTTTTGCACCGACCGTCACGGCTACGCAGACCGAGCCCTCCTAGCCTTTTCATGCTCTTCACTCTTCACTCCTCAGTAAACTTTTCGGTTTCGAACAGCGTCCGAGCATCACGAGAGACCATGCCCGTCTTCTTTCTGACCATGGACAAGCACACGATGCGATGTGGGCAGGACTCGAACCATGGCTGGCACGACGTCTCCAGTAAGGTAAACAGGTGTGTGTCGCGCCACTGATCTCCTTCCATTTTGACGTGGTATCCAAGAGCAAAAGCGCTACAGCAGAAAATGAATCACCCGCCCGCTAGGGAAAGCCATCCAAGGAGAAAGACTACTTCGCAAACATGGTTTATGGACGGCCCCAACAGATGCGACACCAACGGCTGTTCTTGAACCCGTGCCACGCGCGGTAGCCCGTCTCCGTCGATAGAGAAGAAACACGCGCACACACACACACACACACACAAGATACCAAATCTCATCATTAACCTCAAAACGTGTGGTGAAGAATTCGTCGCCAGGCGGGCCATGAGGCAACCTTGGCTCGGTAGGCCTTGATTTCGTCCCAGTCCAGCTCTCGGCGGCCAGTATCGACATCCATCTGCTCTGTTCGGAGCCAGCCGCTTCGCTTCCAGAGGTACCCAACTATCCAGAAGAACATGACAACAGGAAAGGCCAGGTAAGACTTGAAAAAGCCTTCGGCAGTCCCCAAGCCAGGTTGTCCAGGAGGGGCCACGATGGCAGTATAGAACTGAAAAAGGATTTGTCAGTGTGAGTTTCGTGTCGAGAAGTGGCGCTGCCCCGAGAGTGGTTCTGCTTACCTGAGCCATCAGGACGATCACGCAGAGAGCGAGCCCGAGCCATGAGCCGTAGACACCTCCAATAGCCTTGAAGGGGATCTCGTCCAACGTGTGGCCGTGGTACTTCCAAGCTTTGCGGAATCGAATGTGGGCCAAGCAAATTGAGCCCCAGGTGAAGATGGCCGCAAGGCCGGACAAGGCTAGGAGCCAGTCAAAGACAACAGGGCCGTTGTTATTCAGGCTCACGAATCCGAGAAATCCGCAAAGAATGATGGCAGAAACCGAGAAGAGCGGACGGCCTGACCTATCAATATAAGTAAACAGCTTGGGAGCGTAGCCCTGCTGCGCCAAAGCAGTCAGGGTTCGGGAGCCTCCATAGACGCCAGAGACGCCGATTGATAAGACGGAGACCAGGATGACCAGGTTCATAAAGTGGTCGAATCCCCTCAGTCCGGCGTACTTGCCGACCAAAACAAAGGGCGAAGTCTTCACATCGCTAAAGGCTTGCGATGAGAGGAGCGCAGGGTCGTTGCTATCAATGAGAAGACCAACAAAGAAAAGACCGAGGATGTAGAAGACCGTGATACGCCAAAAGACCTGCTTGATAGCGCTAGGCAGAGACTTGACCGGATTCTTGGCTTCGGCGGCAGCGAGACCAACCAACTCGGTTCCAGAAAAGGAAAAAGCAGCAGTGACAAAGACGGCGCAGAAGCCCTTGAAACCGTTCTTAAAGGCGCCTGGGTCATACCAGTATCTGGCGCCCCAGTACTCATGATATAGGCCATCCCGAGGTCCACCACCAAGGACGAGGACAAAGGCGATGATCATGAAGATGACGGTAGCGAACAGCTTGAAGACAGAAGCGAGAAACTCCTCTTCAGCGTAGCCCAGAGCGCCAAATAAGTTGATGATAATGATGGCGGCAAGGAAGACAGCTATCCATACGCCAACTGAGATGTCTTCTCTCCAGTATTGGATAGTCAGACCGCAGACCGTCAGTTCAAGTGGCAGGACAACAGCCCACTGGAAGACATAGTTCCAGCCCATTGCGAAGCCCCAGGAGGGGTCAATAAATCGGGTCGAGTAGGTATAGAAAGCACCAGAAACGGGATACATGACGGCGAGTTCACCAAGGGCATACACTGCGCACAGCATAAGCTGTTAGCACCCATTGAAGAAACCATGAAGAGTTTGGGAACTGATGCGAGAGCAGGGCGGAACATCAATACGACTAGTTACTCACCGACGTTGAACATCATTATACCAATGATCAAGAAGTCAAGAAAAAGACTTCCGGGGCCCTAGCCGAGGGGGGGAAAAAGGACCAGTCAGCTCGGATAGCGCTCATCTAGGAAAGGGGATACGCCTCCAGTTCTGTGTATGGAACTTACACCTTTGCTCAGAGCACCGCCGGAACCAACGAAGAAGCCGGCGCCGATAGAACCACCAATGGCAATCATATTTAAATGCCTGGGTTTCATGGGCCGTTCAAGCTCGACGAAGCCCCGGCCATAGTGAGCTTTCTTGAAGGATTCCAGATTCAGACCGTTGCGCGTCAGGAAGTTTGGGTCACGCTCAATGGTGGTAACTTTGGGAATCACTTGGCTGTTGCCCTCCACGGTAGTTGTGTGGCCCTTTTCCATGGCGCCGGAGTCAATGGGCTCGTCCTTGGACGACATGGTGCCAAAGTTTGTCCTTGTTCAGGCTGCTTGCCTTTATTGTCGAAGGAGCTCTGCGACGTCGCAAAGGCTCAGTGGCAGAAGCAACACTGTGGAAACACAGAAGAGGATGAAACAGATTGGAACAGGGATAGAGGGAGGAAGCACAGGAGCACCGCATGTGAGCCGACGAGTCGGGGGAGATGAGCCGCTCTTTAAAGAGACAAGAGCTGAAAGGGTGAGCTTCTGGAAGGATATCGATGGGCAGACGGATGTTGGGGGGGTGCGTGTGACGGACGGCGCAGGCCGGGTTTCGCCAAGGAGCATGGCATTGGGGGCATTGGATCTGGCTCTTGAAGTTGGGGCTGAGGCAATTCGGGGGAGGGGCTGACAGGGATTCGGGATAAGCCGAATACATACGAACGAGCTAGAGGGCGGGAAGCTCCCAAACGGAGTGGACTCGAGAGGCTTGCTTTCTCAAGGGTATGACGGAAGCACCACAGGTTGGATGCGGCCTGGTTGGCGGTGACTTGATAAAGGGGGGGGGGGAAGGGGGACACACGATGGGGACCATGAGGGAAAAGTCATGAGTCGGCAAGAGGCGACGCCAGGCACTTCAACAACGTGGACATGGACGGATTGTGCTATCTGAGAAAGGTTGAATGGAGCTTGGAGAGTTTTGTTTTGCACAAGGCCAAGCAAGACGAAACAAATGGTTGCCTAGCCGCGGCTGTCTGTATGTAGGTGACCAACAAACAGCACTGCTGGGGGGAGGTGGACCTGTAGTCCGTATGGGAGATGACGAGGTGACGAGCACTACGCAAGTTACTAACTTGTTGCAGTTGAGTCGTGGCGAGGCGTCCATCAAGATAGGCAAGTCGCAAAAGAGCAAGTTGAAGGGCTTTTGTGGCTTTTTAGCCACCAGGGCCAGACGCGACCGAGGAAGCCATTATCGTGGGCTAGCAGTGAACAGGCTCCATTACTCCGTATTCTGCTGGGCAAATGAACGAGGGCCAAGGGCGCCCCCAGATGCGAAAGACCGTCGTTGCCTCTTCCTCATCTACCTGGGCAGCTGGTAGTGAATGAGGGCACGGGTGAACATTCAACAGACGTTGGCAGCGCCCGCACCAGCAAACGACGTGTGCGGATTTTGCCTGGGCCACTTGGTTTTCGCAGCGTCCAATTACAGACCTTGGAGACGATGGGTTATCTGGCACTAGAAAAGTCGAGACAATTGCATCAAGGATGGATGGACGTAGTGGATGGCGTTGCTGCTGTTGTTTGGACAAGCTATGCTCGTTCCGTGGACGCGGACCAGACAGACAGACCGGTTGGCGCCCGTCGCAGCGATGATGAGTCGGTAGCAGTCGCTAGCAGTAGTTAGTGCCCTGAGTTCTGTCGCGTCGCGTCGCTGCGTGTCGAGCGTCGGCCACGCATTTTTTTGATAATCACGGACTGAGCCCATGCCCATGCCTAGCAGGCGAACTGTGATGAAACTACCTAAGCAGGCTAGGCCGGCCGTTTGCTGATGCACATGTACGGCAAATCATGTATGGACGTTACGGCTCCGGGGTGGGGACAATGGGATTGCTTGCTTACCTTAAGTCTTGAGTAGGCTATCCTATTGGTGCTGACTGCTCATGCCCCCTCCCCCATGTGCTCTGCAGTGCTAGTACGGAGTACCTAAGCACTTTAAGTACTTAAGGTAGGCAGTAGTCCTCGGCACGCCGTACCTCTGTCTGTGCTGGTGGGTAGCCGTACGCAGACTAGTGAAACGGTGCCCGTCAGCGCGTTCCATCATGCATGCACCACCCAATCTGCCAGCCAATCTATCGGGTCTAATCTTGCGCTTGTTGGACGCCTGCCTTGGCAAGGTGGGTCCGACTGCCGCCATTTCTCGTCGGTCGAGAACTACGGAGTACCAGTTTGCAACCGACAGCACCGGTGCTTTGCCCCCTTGACCCTTGACTCGTCGTCCTCGTGCTACCTACCATTCATTCAGCCTCAGGTCTGGATTGATGCATCTTCTTCCATATTCTTCTTTCTGATCCGCCCCCGGACCAGCGCCGCAGCCATCACGTACCCGGCCACCCGCTCAGATAGCTCGCAGGTCCGCGCGTGCCAGTCATGTTGGACGCAGCTGTCCAGAATACCGTACGCCGCACGCCTTCTTCGTGGCCATCCATTTTGTTTTCAGTCACCATGCCTCGACCTTCCACTTCCGATCCGATCCCGTCTGACTGGCCCAGGCCCAGGATAACAAGGAACCTGCCCGACCGGGACGGCCGTCGCGAGTTGACTCAGTAGCCACCAAGCTAGAAGCCGAGCAACGTTTCTAGAATGTAGAGAGGCCACACTTGTGCCTTGTAACGAGAGTTGGGGGCGAGTTGGGGAGAGGTTAGAGTTGGCCATCCGAGACTCGACGACAACCACCACCACCACAAAATTAGGCAGCACCCGATACGAGCGTTTGACAGCCCAAGGAAACGAAACACTGATAAAGTTTGGGGCGAATACTCTCGTACTCTCTCTCGTACCCTCTCTCTCCCTCTCTCTGTCTCTCTCTCTCTCTCTCTGTGTGTGTGTGTGTGTGCGTGTGTGTGTGTGTGCCCCGGCGCAACCGACAACCACAAGACAAGACGACCATGGTGATGCTGTCAACCCTCGCCGCCCCTGCGGAGCAGATACCCGCAATTATTCCTTCTCCGCTTCACCGGAGGTTGTGTTGTTGCCGAGGTGGAGGGATCTCGCAAAGGGGGGCCCGTACATGGCACATGCGTGGCTTGGTGGCTTGATTCAAACACTCGACCTCCTTGTTCATATCGGGCTTTGAGCCTCTGCCACTTAGAGTCAGCCCTCACGTGGATGCTGGCACAAAGAAGAAGCAAACAAATCAGATGAGCAGCAAGGCAAGGCAAGGCACTCGCTCACCACCTCTCACCTCGGCGTACTCCGTATGCCGCGGATGACACCATTCCCCATCATTGACGCTTTCGGCAACCTCATACGAGCGACGGGCATTCGCCAAATTCTGTTGCTAACCCGACAACATGGAATCGCGTACATTCTTTTTGGACGCCGAGCCCACACCCTGAGATGGATGGATGCGTTGCGATTTGCGCCTGGCAAGCACTTCAGCCCCAACCGTCGCAAACGCGCGTCACGACCGTGTGTGACATGCGCACTACTACTAGGCGCTCTCCACAATCCCCGGACATCCCCAGACATCCCCAGACAGCAATTTTGAGCGACCGACTCCACAAAACCCCAGCTGGACCCGGCGGCCAGGGCAGCCGGCATTGGGCCCTTGGGCCTTGGGGCCGACGGCACTGCACATACGGAAGAGCATCACCTGCCACGCTGCTCAAAGCCCGCCGTCTGCGACTTCACAATGCGCCGTGTGTACGGGGAGGTAGCGCAAGCAAGTTTGGCATGCAGAATGCATGCGCGTAAGCATTGAATGTGTTCATGCTTTCAAGTCAAGGGAGGGACATGACATGACATGACATGACGTGCCGCATGTCATGCAAATCATCCATGCTTTAGGGACAGCTCGCACGTAGCTAGCTGCCGGAAGAAACAACACAATATCATGTCTACTGTTTGACAAACCTGCCACGTCATTCCTGACTCCTGGCGATGGATGCATTCGGCGACATTCGTGAATTGGGCTCGAGTAGCGTGCGATCCGTCGCGTGATTCGAAACTTGGCCAACTTGAAGGACTTTGATGACGGTCCTGGTATGCCTCTCATGGGACGCTTGTTCTCGCCCAACTGATCCGGGCTGAAGTGCGAATCGCAGCCAAGCCCCCTGCCCTACTGCTAACCTTTCCCGCTGACGACACTTGAACAGGCAGAGCTGCGACGCATATCAATCATCTTTTCGGGTCCCGTAGTGTATTGCCGGTGGCGGTACCAACTCCGCGAGGCATCGATGACGAGCAGAGCGACATGGAAAAGACGGGGTGAAGAAAGCCTTTGCCAGACCAAAGGCGTAGTATGGTCTCATGGCTGTTCTCTAACAAAGAGGAAGAAGCAATGCCACCCGGGCTCAGGACGCTGCCGATGAGAAATACGCAGGAAGAGGAGGACTGCAAGCCAAGACGCCTAACTTCTCAGCAGATGAGGCTTCTGTTTCAGTGGCTCGGGTTTTCGTCGACGGACGACATCTACAGTTCGAGACGAGGGTTGCATGATGACGCCGGACGAGGATGTGCAGCTTCGGCATGGACTTGCCGCTGCTTGCTTTCTGCGGCCTCGGCGTGCTTCAACTCCTGGGTGCTAGCATCGCGTGGGAAATCATCTCTCGTCTCTTCCTCTGATCGGGCGGGGGCCGGTGGTATGCCGTCCCATCCAACGCTGCAGACGGTGTCGGCGTCTGGTCAACATGCCGCTTTTGGGAGCACATCGCGGCGCCTCGTGGCGAAGCTTGCCCTGCGCTCTCTGGTGCCGTGTTCGTCGTCGCGCTTTTGGATCTCAGAACAGCTCTGTACGTCTCCTGCGCGTGTGTAAAGTGAGGCATTGCGGCGACATAGATGCCGTAAGCGGGCCGCACTCATCGGCCGGGAGCCCCGTGACAGCGGAGGCCGTAGGCCCTTGAAACACGGGTTCTTGTCTGGAATCATGCCCGCCACCTCGGTAGACGCTTGCCAGCAACGTGTTTGTCCGTCCATGGCGTACCTTTACCGCGCGGAATCACCTCGAGGCCTTGGGGTCGTCTTGCCGCCTTACGAAGGCGATGGTGAAGGTGTGTCGAGCTAGAGGAGAACATGGGGCCAATTGACCACAAGGGATTGACGCCAATTCTCTTCCATGAATGCCGAATACGTTGTTCTATGCTCGGTCAAATCTGCCGAGTAATTGCCTTGCTACCTAGCTGCGGCGGCCGGGACTGACTGAGCTGTCTCCAGCTCGCCGTATGATTCTGAACTTGTGGTCGCGGACCTGCCATCAGAAGGGCTGGGAACCTCAACCGTTGCATACAAGTCACATCACATCACGTGTAAATACTAGTGCGTCATCTTTGCGAGGCAGTTTGCGTTGATGGCCCTTTTCAGATCCAGACGTGCTATATACTTGTCGTGCCGATGACAGCGTCAAACAATCCCCGCCACGCTTAAAGACCATGTAAACTGGAAGACACCAACGTTGGACTAGCTCCTGCTTTTCGTTTCCCATCAAACAGACGTGAGTTGTTGGTTTGCGTCAAACGACGAGGCATCTCCTGTCAGATACACACCCCAACCAAGATGAGGTGCAGTTCCCCAGGGCCTCGACGTCGACTTGCAAATCCTGATGCGGGAGTCAGCTACGGGCAGCGAGGCACATGTCATTGTTCAACTACAAGATTTGACATGGCGATCGAGCCCACTGGTCGCCGCGTCGAGGCCAGCGTGCCAACAATCTCTGGGATCCGGGGCCCAGAGACCGTACCACTTGGGGTATAACTGCTGCCAGAACACGCAATGCAAATCATTGCACTGTTTTGTCAGTGGTCTGGTCGTCGCTTGTTTCTCCTCGCCACAGTCTTCATTCTTCTTCCTCTGCAACCCCTCGATCCAGCAGCAATCATTTAGCCGACCAAGGCAGCACCACCAGACTCGACGGCCTCAATCTCGGTCAGGTCGATGGGTGCTCTGCGGAACCGGGCAGGGAGCTCAGAGACATCGAAAAAGACTCCAGACGGAGGCTTGACCGGGCCAAGCTGGGATCCGGATGCGCCGCCAACACCGCCGTCAGCATTGCGGATGGTCTTCTGGAGAGGTCCGTGCTGTTGAGCATGGTCACGGTAGGAGCTGAAGGAGGCGTGTCGAGCGGCTGCAGAGCCGTTCCCGTAGGCAGCGAAGGATTCCGGTAAAGTTCCAGTGGGAGAGGCGGGGTGAGGCTTGGGAGCGTGGTCGACGGCGGCTGGGAGACGCGCTTGTCAACGGGAGGTCGTCGCGGAACAATGCCCAGATGAAGAAGGGTGCACTCACAGGGGACAGACCGGGGGCCGATGAATTTGATCAGAGGAGTGCGCTCGGCATGCGCCGCTGCCTGTCGGAGAACTCGAGTTCCAAACATGGTTGGTGTATGTGTCGGGCAAGGGAGGAGAGTCGCGGCGGGCTTTTCGGCTTCGGGCGGCGGCTGGTGCGTACGAATTTTGAACGATGCAGGGCGTGGTGTTTTGTGTTTTGTGTGAATTGGACAGCGACGAGAGCCAGGTCGATCGGAGCGAGCGCTGACGGGAGGGGAGATGGAAAGAATTCGGTCGGTGGGTGAAGAGGAGATCTGCCTGGTACGTATTATGGTGTCGTGGCCGGGGGTGGATAAGGATGGGGGCCGCGTGCAGGTTGGAAAAGTTATGCTGGTATTATTGTATAATAATTTTTGATAACGATGGGGGCAAGTCTGTAGTAGGTGTAGCAAGTCGTCGCACTCCCGCTCCGTAGTGCGGACTTGCAGGCGCCACATCACACCATGCAGCCCAGCAGCAGCAAGTAGCCGCGCCGGATCCCGCCAATCGACGGACAAGGAAGTATGGGTAGACAGATGCCCAAGGTACGTGGGCGGGCACCTGCGAAGGTACCTGCAATACTCGTGGAACTGCATACATGTCTTTTGTTTAGCGCCGCCCGCGTGCAAGTACCTTCGGGTCTTTGGTGCGGAGTAAACCCACCTGCTCCGTTACTTGAGTACGTGGTATTCCGAGGTACCGTACGGAGTAACTTACCTGCTAGGCACATGGCTCCGACTCTCGGAGAAGCTGAACCAAGACCTTCCTTCCCTCTCCAGTCCGCCGAACACGGTACAACTAACCTACTCCGTTCGGAGCTCGTCGTCGCGCGGGTCTCCTCACCACAATACCGACATCTGATGTCGTTTGCCGTTCTTGCCTACTTGAGTACCTGGCCGTTCCCGTCCTGCACCGAAATCATGCGAAACTTGGTAGGAGTACTCCATTCGGAGTGTACTCTCGAATCGTATCATGCGTACGGAGACGGCCCGACACGGTGGCATCAGACAGGCAGTTCCCTTCGCTGCTGATACCTTACATCTCCAGTTGCATGCATGCCATCCCAGCCAACGTGTCAATGCCTCCGGACAAAGTCGGAACACCAATGAGCAAGACAAGGGGCTCTGCAGTGTTCTTACACATGTTTCCAAAATTGCCCCTGCCAAACTGCTCGCCCGTAATCCAGGGAACCGGGGCATGTGGCGCGGATCTTATCTTGTGATGGCCTCATGTTACAGGGTCAATGCTAGCTACCTAGGAAGCTACTCAATTCCCGAAACCCATTGTTGACTTGTTCTGTTCCCTTGGCCCGCGTCTGAGCATACCTGTACTTCACTCATGCTGCTACGAATTGGCTCTGACGTTGGAACCGGTGCTCGCTGCCCTGCTCCTACGCGCCGACTTTATGACAAAACATTTCTCAACAGTCTCCCAACTCCCTGCACGGTTCCGGCAAGGTAGGCCACCGACACCACAACCACCACGGCCTTCATTCAACCTTTCGTGCCGTCTGGCACCACTCTAAACTCTGGTTTGCAAAAGAAAGCCCTTTCTTTCTTGACTCTCAGTGCCCCCCTTCCTGTATAGTCTTCCTGATAATCTCCACACATTCCCGGGGGTTTTCAAATACGTGCCAGGCGTCTCGAGGAATGTCCTTGAAGGCTTTCTCGAATCTCTCCGGCTCATTCTTCTCTCTAATCCCAACAGCTGCAACATCAGTGGCCTTGCGTATCAAGATGAGTCTGATCCAACCCGGCACAGCTCGGTAGCTAATCACACAATATCAGCTTCGACGTATCGCCGTGCACTGAAGCGACGGGGATATAGAGTAAGCTTACATTTCGCCGTACGCCTCTGGGTCTGATTGCGTGGAATCTCCAATTACAATCATTTTCCGCCTTGGCAGCCAGGTGTTGATTTTCTTCATCCGATCCACCTTGTATTCTTCCGTCCTCAGTGTTAACGCAGAAAGCAAACCCGCCACGGTTTTCCAGCTTGAATCACGGAGAATCAGAGTACCTGGAGGATAATGTTGCTTGCGGAACTGTTTCAAAAAGGGATACAGGTTGTATGGCGAGGCTGACAGGTAGAACCAAGCAGTGTCTAATGGTAAAAGAGACTTGATTTTCGCATAAAGCTCAGGCATTCCAGGGATGGGAGTCGGGGAGTTAATAAATGTTTCGCGAAGTATGCCAACCGGGTCACTCGTCATCGTCACCTTGATTGTGTCGTCTACATCTGCGGGCTGTCAGTGTTTGGTGAAAGGGTAAGGGACGGAGGCTGAGCTCGGCAAATCGATTTGGCATACCGGAGATGATTCCCCAACCGTCGTCACCAGCATAGTAAGTTTGCATATTGACGATGCTACCACGACCATCGCCAATCTTTGTGGACGCCTTGACAAGCGAACCACGGCCGCTGCTGGAGACGTTGAGCACGTTTGATGTCAACCCGTTGGTGTTGGTTGGCCCTAATTTCAACTCCCTGCTGCTTTGGCTAGCCGTGACCATTGTGGCAGGACGAATGTCCCAGAGGAAGGGAAGCAGCCTCTCTTCAACCGTCTTCCGTCGAGTGGCATCATCTGCCAATCCCACTGCGCGAATGACTGCCGTCACCATGTCAACGAGCGTCTCCTTGTCCTCGCGCTCGAAAACAGCTGCAACAAACTCGGCCTGCCAGGCCCCCGTGCTCATGGACTTGTAGGCGGTGTTGTCAAGCAGCCAGATAACATCATTGTCGGTAGCAGGTTTCGCGAATGGCTGAAAAAGATGGACCCGATTGAGCCAGCTGGTGAGCCGCGACTGTCCCTGTGCCAGCGGTATCCTGGAGCTTCTGGCAAGACCAAGGCTAGACTCGATCTCGTCGAACTTGTTCTTTTGTCTTGTTCGGAGCTGCATCGCATTGGCAGAAGTCGAGGGTGTGTAAGTCTTGTGCGCCATCTTGAGAGACATTCCTTTGCTGAAGTTTACATAGGACACAGGTTAAGAAAAAAAGAATAAGAGCTGTTGTTGATGGTTCAGCACACGCGGACGTGGAAGTCAGATGTTCTGGAGTTCTGGTTGGCGTGACGCTCAATCTTGCCTTCCGTGGCTGTGGTCTTGCAAGTGCCGTTTGTGCAACTGAGCATCATCTGGAAGAGGTTCAAGTCTCGTGCCGTTTATCGTGGCCTGCTATTTTCCAAAGTTGAAAAAGTACCTCCCGGGCAGGTAGCCTACCCCGGGCGCGGGAGTTCCGCCAGCAGAGGCTAAGGGTGGTCATCACCGCCTCGTGACCCCTAGTCCAAGCGTGCGTGACTGGAGTCATGACGATCACAGTCTTGGACGAAGCGGTCAGTTTTAGGTTTTCTCATTTATCGCCTCAGCCATCTACCATGGCCATCTAGCATGTGCCGTCATTGACATTTCCTTGCCCGCCAAGGTTTCGAAGTGTAACAGATGCGCGACGTGGGCAATGGGGGGGCAGCCCGTGAGAGCACACATTGATGATGCTCGCCACGCCCGTCTTTGCACCACTTGCTAAGAACTGATGCAAGAAAGTTGCGAGCCGGCGTCGGGAGGGACTTGGTCGGCAACCACCTACCCGCCCGCAACTACTGTAATCTACTGGTAGTAAAGACCGGTAGTAAGTGGACGGGCTCGGGTAATATCGAGATCAATGTTAAATGTTACCAACAGTGGTGGTGAACTTGCCGGCCAATCCAAGCGTTGGTTCCGTCTGATTTCGTCCCAACGAGTGAGGAGACGGCGCCCTTGCGGTGAAACACAGTGCAGACAAGGAAGACAGATGACAGATGCCGTTCAGCGCTTCAGCAATTTACAAAAATGCGAGTGCCGGATGCTACCGTGTGCGAACGGTTCCGGGTGGATGACGCATGGATGATGACGAGGGATGGATGGCTGCTCCATCAGTACTACTAGTTAACTGAAGTCAAATCCAATACATACATACAATGCACATTGTTGCCGGGTTACCGAGTATTCCACGAAGCGTTTGCGGCGCATCGATAGCTTGCTTGGTCGAGTCTGCGGAGCACCCTTGGCAATATTAATAATAACAATACGGCTTACCAGTTGACAAAACGCGACGGGAACGTCGTCGACAAGTGGACACACGCACTCGCATCCGTCACGTTATCCCCTCCCCACGCGAAGAACATCGAGCAAGTTGCCCATCCATGATTTGGCCCGTTGCAGCTCGCCGTAGATGATTTGCAGCCGACGAGGCCTCCCTCAGATGCTGCGCCGTTGCCGTGACGGAGACACACGCACAAGGGCATCGGCATCCTCTGAATGCTCGCCTTGCGTCGTCGATACCGCGCCGCCCTGATCAGCCAGAGCTGCCACCATGCTTTCCCACCTGCGCTTTCATCGAAGAGGCACCTCGAATCCGACCTCGCCCATCTCCGACCAACAACATTCGCTTTCCCCTCTCAGCAACGCCGAGTCGCCGCTAGCCCTCGTCTCTGCGTCCCCCTTGGATGGGATGCCTGCCTTGGCAAGCTCTTCTTCCGCACCAACGCTGCCGCCCATCACCAGAGTTACTTCTTCTGACCTCGACTCACGACACGAACGGGACGAACGACAGAATGGCCCAGGCGGGCTGCCAGAAAATCGCCCGCGTCAGTCACCGCGCTCGTTCCATAGTGGGGGTGTAGGCGGCTTCATCGGCGGAAAGGCCCTGCAAAACTATCGCAGAGATGTTGAGGCGCAGCAAAAGGCCTCACGGACTGATCCTAGCGATAGGACGGCCGGTGGAAATAGCCTTGTTCGTCCCGAGGACCCTTCAGCACGTATTCGTCCCAGTCATTTCGAGCCAACCATACATGTCGCCCGAAGTAGCCAGTTCATGCAGGTCGCATCCTTCAGTACGCCAACGGAGTTGCAAGCATCTAATGCACCCAATCTCGGGCGACGCCCTGCCGGGTCCAAACTCCCGCAAGAAGCGTCCTCTTCGCTGTCTAATCCGCCGAGTTCTGCGGCAGCAGAACCTCAAAAAGGAAAGAAGGGCCTCCCTTTTTTGAGGAATCCCATGTCAACACTTTTGATGAGACGGAGAAATAACCAGAATGCTCCGGATCTGCGGCCTCTGCCACTGAGTACCAAAGATGAGGAACCATCATATGATCCGCGTATTAGAGGAACACGAGTACACGATTTCAGTGCGCCCAGAAAGCCGAGGGATGTTTACCGTGGAAATCCGGCATCGTCCCGTTCTGTCTCGGACATACGTCTCGCATCTGCTACGGAGAATCGGCCTACTGCATTAAAAGTCCCTGGAGAGCCTTCAATACAGGCCCGCAGAAGCGCACCACAAGCGGCCAAGACGTCCTCAAGAAGTGAGTCTTCTATCGATGCCAATAATTTATCAACGGGGCAATCACAATCGAGGACGACTGTCGCCGACGAGCCGACAGCCCCTGCTGCCGATGAAGCACCTGTGGTAACCTCGCAAGAACTATACATTGATGGCCACGCTGCGTTGCCTACATCTACTTCCGAGGCTGGTGGTGTACTTGAAGGAGCAGAGATGATTCCGAAGGCGTCTTCATCTACACGCACAACGCGTTCGAGGAATATCTCCCTCTCTGAGATGTCAATGTCTGCGGTTCCCAGGCATATGAAGAGCACGTCATCTAGATTCAGTTTCGATATGATTGGGGCAGCGAAGCAAGAGAAGTTGCTGGAAGAAAGGCACCGGCAACGAGAGCTTGAGCGTAGAACGAACGGTAATGACGGCTTCCGAGATTCGAGGTCCGATGATTTTGACGAGGATGCATTTGATTATGACGCAATGATGGACGATGACGGTTTTGAGGAGAGAATACCTGGCGTAAATGCCGATTTTGACGAACAAGTCCCTGATTTGCACGATTTAGACGTCCAACTAGATCCAGACAACGACCAGGAGAATTTCGCAGGCTTTGATTTCCAACGCTCTAATCCTACGTCCTCACTCGCCAGTCCACACAGCGGTGGTATGTTGATGACGCCTCGGGACGCTGATGGCAATGTCATTGGGTTTGCCATGACCAAAGATACCCCTGGCAGCTCTACACACCCCTTGTCGTCTCCATTGCCTGCCTCGATCGCGGATGCTCTCTCTGAGCACAGACTATCCGGATTGGGCATTCAAGATGCCTCCACGCCTTTGGCAAGTGACAACGACCAGAATACCAAGGAAGACGATTTATATTTTGACGATGGCATAATTGCGTTTGAGAACGAATTTGCAGAGGATCTCGCAGCATTGCCCGATGTCTCCGATGAACCATTTGACGAGTCCATCTTCGATAATAATGATACTGACCAGTTTGGCAGGCCTGTTCCTGGTGCTTTTCAACAGGCCCAGTCACTACGTCGCGCTGGTCAACAGAGCTCTACGAAACGAGAGTCGGTCATGACGTCCCGTCTCTCAGCCCATTCTGCCGTCTCTTGCTCGACTGCGCATACGTCACTGAGCGTTGACGGGCAGGCAGAGCAAGAGACGGGTGACTCTCATGCGAAGAAACCTGATACGGAAAGTGAAAGTAAAGCTTCTCAAGCTGCAAGTGACAGTGCCAAGTCTGTGGCCGCCTATCAAGCGGCCTTGGCTGCTGCTGCCCACAGAGCAGCTGCGTCTGGCAAATTCCTGAGAAGCTCATCGCCTGCCTCCATCCCAGTTCTAGGGGACGATGAAAGTACTTCAGAAATACCCCAAGATGATATTCATGGCGGTTATGACGATGAAGAGGATGACTTGGATTTTGACGATGACGCCATTATCGCGGAGGCGAATGCCAGTGCTTTGGCAAATGACTCCGACGGTTGGTACGGCCAAGAGTTTGGATTCTATTCTGCGCCTCCTGGCTTTCATATTACTGCTCACAACGGCAGATCTTCTGCTCACCTCAAGGAGTATGAGTACGCCAATGGAGGCTTCTTTGGACCGGACGGCATAGGCGCAGTGAAACGGAGCACCAGTGGGAGGATGATATCCCGAGAGCCAAACCTTACTCCCATTACGGAGAGATCCGAATACTCCAACCGGAATTCATTTATGAGCTTGGGCTATGCTCCCCTCAGTACTTCCACGCCCATCGTTCAAAGTCCTGGGTTGGCACAATTGGCCATGATGGCAGACTGTGGAGACGATCAGATGACACTTTCAGCGCTTCTTCGTCTACGATCCAGGGCGTGGGGCGGCTCTCAAGCCAGTCTGGCCTCTAGCAGAGAGGACTCTCCAAGGTCGGACCGAGGAGATCTTTCCAGTTCACCGTGGATGTCGACTTCTTGTGGCCAAGCTAGCCAGGTAAACCACGCACACGCCGGGATGCCTTCTACATTTTCAACTGCAGGCTACGATTCTGATGCAGCGAGCGCCTCAGGAAGTCCTACAATGACCATGGCCAACGTCAATTCTGGTCACCTGCCACGAGCTGCAATACCCGAAGAAGATGCCAACGAGATTCTCGTAAGCGGCCATCCAATACATGAAGCTCTGACAGGTCAGAGAAGTCGCATCGACGTCAACAACCAAGCGGGTGAATACATCATGAACAAGTTTACCCAGTCCCCGGTGAAGGGCCACCGCCATAAAGGATCAGCAGACAGCATATCCTATGTGAAAGAAGAAGACAGCGGCGAAACACACTGGGTGCTAGAACGTCGACGCACCGGCGAGACTGGTGAGGTGGAAGTGCTAGAACGAGAAGTCATCGAGGGGAGACAGATTTGATATCAATTTAGTGTGCAATCCGTCTCGTTGATCGAGACTGACACGAGATTGGTGATCGGTCGTTGGCATCCCGGTAAATTTATATACTTATTTTTAAGAGACGGAGAAGCAAGGGAAGACGTAACAAATGTCAGGTTTTTGATTTCGGATATTGGGTCTATGACCACGATTCAAGCTTGGTCTCATTGGCAGCGTTGTCATTGGGACCCTCTTACTTTGGGAGCATGGCGTTTGGTGAGGACATGGAGGTCACTCTTGATTGAGCTCAAGCCGCACTGGAGGACAGGATACATGTTCAAAATGTGTGGCTGGCTCAGAAGTGAAGACGTGTAGAATCATGTTTCTTTGCATTAGAAAAAAAATTGCATCTTATCATAAGATAAACCGGCCATAACTTGATCTCGGCAGGCTACGTAGGTCGCCGTTTAAGCGGGAGACATGCCAGCCATTAGAGACAAGATTGATGCGAGCAGTAGTAAATATAGCCTCGTTCTGGTTCAGACTCCAGAGTATGCAGTTTGGCTTGCACTGCCTTTCTTTCTAGTTTGCTGGCGAGACGCAAACGGGAAAAGTGGAATAATCCAAATCAAATCCGTCGACTAGGGCAACCCAGCAAAGGCGTGCCCCGCTGGTTGAGTTGCCAAGTCGTTTGTTTACACAAGCTCAGTCAAGGTGAGAAACAGAAGTGAAGTGATGTGCCACGCATGCAAGCACGAGTGCTCCGCCCCGAATCGATGAATTCATTCCTCGACTCCCCGTGAGGAGATGGGATTGTGGGACTGGTACGGAGTACGGTCCAACATTGGCCATTCAGGACGGATAAACCACGCATGAATCAATATCAATACCCAGCTAGGTGCTCGGTACGTCCTAGGCAGGTGCCCGGGAACAAGGCGCGCACAAGAGCACAAGGACAACTGGCACCTCGGACCAATCAGCACCGTGTCCCTTGTACACGCGCTTGGCGTCTTGGAGCCTAGTCAGCCTGGCCATTCATCCATTGTGAAACAATGGAAACCCCAACCGGACAAGCGTAAGGAATACTCCGTGCAGAGGCAGTCTCCACTCTCCTGGATGGCGTCTCTCACATTTCACTCACAACTCGTTGACTCGTCACTCGGTCACGCAGTCTCACGCCTTTTACCCCCACGGGGCTAATGTTGCGCAGGCTTCCGGCAAGGCTCATCAACTAGCGGGAATAGTACGTACTAACTAGAAATGATGCCGCGGCAATTTCAACCGTTGCTCCGTTTCGGCCTATTCATCTTGTCAACGCTCCACGGTTACGAGCAATCGGGGGCCATGACAACATCCAAGCCATGGGTCAGTCAGGTCTCACTGAGGTCAGACTCATCGAAGATGCAGCAAAGCATCGCGTGCCCACAACTCAGCTTGGCAGCTCCAGGTCCGCGTGGAGAATGAAGAGCGCCTTGACCCCATCGATCAACGTCCTTGGGGGACTTTTCTTAAATAGCGTTGCTGGACCTGAGATTTCAGCTTCACTCCAGCCTGGTCTTTCCGGTTGACCACCAGGAAACAAACAAACCGCCCATTGACATTTGCGGCGGCTTCCAATGCGCCCGTGCCTCCCCCGATAAATCTCTGACTGGAATCTTTTGGCGCGCCCGATACTCGCTACAATGGACCATCAGGATGCGGACAAGTCGGCCAGTGACCCTGCTAAGCTGGAGGAAAAGACTGGGCACCCATACGGGGGTGGTCTGCCAGGTCTCGGCGATGTTCGTGCTGCTGACGGCTCTTCGCTGCGCGGCGGTGAGGATGTTCTTGCGCTTCAGGACCTCGACCCGGCCCTGAATATGAAGATGCACTTGGTCAACAACGTGAGTGCTCACAGACGACGCGCGCCGCCGCCTGCTGGGACCCCAAATCATGACGTTTTTTCAATGCCGTGCGGTCGGCCGTGATGTACTGCTGAAGCTCTGACGCTGGAAATCAAGGCAATCGACGAGATTGGCTGGACCCCGTACCACCTCAAGCTTTTCTTCCTCAACGGCTTCGGGTAAGTCGAGTTCTGTAGGGCATCATCATGTCACCCGAGAGTATACCTTTGAATTTAAATCTCTCTCTCTTGGTCCGGTTTGGCGCTAATAAAACCCAAAGATATGCAGTGGACTCCATGATTCTCCTTTTCCAGTCCATCATCGCACGGCCGGCGTATCGCGAGTTCCACAGCGGCTACGCAAATGCCCTCACCATTGCCGTGTACTGTGGTTCGCTCTCAGGAGCCCTCTTCTGGGGATTTAGTGCCGATATCATCGGCCGCAAGTACGCCTTCAACATCACTCTCTTCATGTGCTCCGTATGCTGCATCGTGGCTGGCGCCATGCCCAGTTGGCCAAGTCTAGCTCTCGTCATTGCACTTTTGGGTTTCGGTGGAGGAGGCAACTTGATCATGGACACGACCGTTTTCCTCGAGTATCTCCCCGGTAACAAACAATGGCTCCTGACGTTTCTTGCTTGTTGGTGGGGGTTTGGCCAGGCCATTACAGGATTCATTGGCTGGGGATTCCTGGTCCCGGACAAGTGGAATTGCAGTGCGGATGCTGCGTCTTGCTCCAAGGCTGACAACTGGGGCTGGCGGTATTGTCTCTTCACGGGGGGGGCACTAGTTCTGGTCATGTCTCTGCTCCGAATCACCGTGGTCCGGCTGCGGGAGACTCCAAAGTACCTCCTGGGTATGGGCGAGGACGAAAAGGTCATCGAGACCTTCCATTACCTGGCCAGCAAGTACAACCGTCCCTGTTCCTTGACACTGGAGAAGCTCCAGGCATGTGGAACCATTCAAGCAGTGAAAAACTCAAAGGGTATCTCGTTGCCGAGGTCTCTTGTGCATTTCAGTGGTCTTTTTTCAAGCAAAAAGACTGCCATCTCTACTCTCATGGTTTGGCTTTCCTGGACTCTCATCGGTCTGGCGTACCCGTTGTTTTACGTCTTCCTGCCGTAAGTTCATGGCCCAGCTTCATTCTCGACGCCCAGGCTTGGTGATCTTGTCGTCTTCTCACTTCATTTAAATATTGACGGCGAGTACAGTACTTACTTGGAGAGTCATGGCTTAAAGTTCCACCGGACGCAGTTTGAAACTTGGCGTAATTATGCCATAACCAACATCTGCGGCATTCCCGGTCCCATTATTGCTGGGCTCTTGTGCAACACGAGAATCCTTGGGAGAAAGTATACCATGAGCATCGGCGCATTGATAACCATGGCATTTTTCTTCGCTTACACGGCTGTGAACACCGCGGTGCAGGATTTGACCTTTACCTGCTTGATTGCGTTTTCCCTCAACATTTACTATGGCACCCTTTATGCATACACACCAGAAGTACTTCCCAGCGCCCATAGAGGAACTGGAAATGGCGTTGCCGTGGCTTGCAATCGCATCATGGGCATTATCTCAGCGGTGGTGGCATCGGAGGCCAATACAGCTACGTCTGCGCCACTGTACGTTTGCGCTGCCATCTTCATCGTGACAGCTGTGGTTTCTGCGCTGTTCCCGTTCGAGCCGTATGGTCGGCGAAGTTCATAAACACAGGGACTCGGCTGAAGCAGGGATGTGTAACTGGATTCTTTTGAAGCGCCAGCGTCCGATTGCAGTCAAATACGACTGTCATCTCCAAATCAATCGGACAAAGTTATGGATAGACGGGGAACACGATGGGATGTTGAAGACGATGGACTTGATACCCAGTGCCTCCATACGGCATGTGCGGAGTGGTGGACATGTATGTAATCACGAATACGGCTTTTGTGACCTCGATGGGCCTACCTAGTAGCCAGTTGGACTCAAGTTGCTTCTGACTAGAGAGCGTCGCGAATGAGCGTCGATAAAGCTGCGCTTCCGATAAATCCCTGGGTAGTAGAACTGCTCTACACAGTATGGAGAGTGTACTCTGTACTGTCCCGTTCTGACTCCTGTCTGTGAGGGGCCGACCCAAGCGGCTGACGATTACGACGTTGGCTAGCTTTTGGAGATTCAACTCTCTCATTCAACATGACCTTTAACTGAGTCAAGTTCATCATTCTCTCATCACGCAACTTCCCTCTCTCCATTTGTTTATATTGTTTCACTTTCATTTTCAGACCCCGTTACTTGCCTTGCCCATTTATGGCAATGCCCTCTTCCCATCACGTCGCAGGACTCAGCTTCTGTACTCAATATTGTGCCGCGCTAGTCAAGGCCTGTCGCACTCAACCTCCGCGAGGCTCTATTGCTGTCAGATGTTTTCGAAGCATTTGTGCAGGTGACAGACAACGAGGCGGTGGAAGGGACCTGACCAACAAAACCGACTCTCCTCAAGCAAAGGAACCAGGTCCTTTGTCACGCCGGCTAGAAGAGGCTACAGAGGAAGTTGTTCTCACAGGCGGTTCATCTGGGCGGCGTGCCATTGAAGATGCCGGGTTTTCAGATGAACTAAAGGATAAACTTCTCAGTAAAATTCGAGATTTCAAACTCGAAGAGCAAGATTCGGGCTCGTTTTCCGAGACGGGTCTACCATCATCTGCGCCAAATTCAAGGCAGCATAGAGGCAGCTCACGTCCTTGGACAGGCATCGAGAGTACTGAAGATGCTGTCCTGCGAATGCTACATGACGCTAAGCCACCCTTCAAGTCAAAAAACCGAGTGAGGCATCAACCACCCGCGGTGGGCACGCGAATCCGGCGCAGTGTCCCGCAGAGTCCCGGCCAGAGAGCTGCTAGTGCTCGCGACAAGGCTAGCATATATTTAGGAATGGACATGAAAGCTGGGAAAGGGCTGAGCGCTGAGGAGAGGGATGAGATGAAGGCGGAGCTACGGGAACGGTTTCAGCCTGCCGCCAGGAGTGTCCCTGTTTCTATCTCCGGTCTGACCGCACTAGCCAACCAGCGCATTGAAGATGCCATCTCGAGGGGTCAGTTCAGAGACTTGCCTCGGGGGAAAGAGATGGTACGAGATGCGAGAAGTGACAATCCTTTCATTGATACAACAGAGTATATCATGAACAGGATGATTCAACGACAGGAGATTGTTCCGCCGTGGATTGAAAAGCAGCAGGAGTTAACAAAAGCTGCGAGGGTATTTCGAGAGCGACTGCGGAATGATTGGAAGAGGCATGCTTCTAAGATGATTGCCTCAAAAGGGGGAACACTTGAGGAGCAAATGAAACGAGCAGCAGCATTCGCGGACGCGGAGCTGGCGTGCAATCCACGATACAGGAGCGCGGATCAAGTTGCCGTATCTTTGAATGCCACGCACAAGCCCGCCATGAGAGATACTGCGTCAACAGCAGCGCATGTCGGTGCAGATTCCACCCCAACGGAGGCATCGGACAATGTAGGTTCAGTCAACATGGTTCAAAGGCCATTCCGTGACTCAGCTTGGGAGCAGTCGGAAAAGGCCTACATGAACTTGTCGATTCAGAACCTGAACAAGATCACAAGGAGCTACAATCTCATGGCACCGGAGCTGGCTAAAAAGCCGTATTTTTCGTTGGAGGGGGAGTTGAGCTCATGCTACGCAGACGTCGCGCCACTCGTCGCCAATGAGATCAAAGTTCGGACAGCGGGACACAAAGCAGCCGGCAAGGCAACACCTGACGGGGCGAGTTCCGGTTCAAGGCTGATAGACGTGTTTATTGGAAGTGACAACGTGAAGATTCATCTCGAGGGAAATGAGAAGGCGTATGGCTTGAAAGAGTGGTGGAGAGACTTTTGGCGAAAGGAATAATGGTGTCAGTCGTTTTGGAATAAGCGAGTAGTCACGCGTGGATAGGGGTTTTGGAGAACATATAAGGGCTGACAGTGTATTTATACCGAGAGTATCCGCCAACCTGAGTGTTGGGGGTTGAGGAATCGACAACTATTGAAGCCATAAGTTACCTTGTTCTGTCTTAACAAGTCGCCCGTCACGTGTGTACGTAGGTTTGTATAATAGCATTGGAAGCATACTGTATCATTTCCATACGTGGCACTGTGGCGGTCTCTGTACACTGTCCGAGCTTTTCAGACATCCGCAGAGCGGCGGTGCCATCCGAAGCCATTTGCGAAGATGTTGATGAAGCAGGGCGAATATGCGCCACTGGCTTGGTGGAAGTCCAGATGTGGGGACGCCAGGACTCGACGGAGACTACGGGAGCACCTCGTCCCCGGCTCCTCGTTCCTTGGTGCGTTTGCAAACTGACGGACGGACAAATGCGAGCAGCCCGTCGCCGTCCAACAGAGGGCCATTTCCCCGCATTCTGGGGCTCCCGGCGTCGTGGGGTGACGTGCAAATGACCCAGCAACAAACTAGACGAGGCTGGGTGTTGCATTGAGCAACGGAGTCCACGTCAACTCGAATCGGAGGATTGAAAGACGGAAAGAATCCCAGCATGCTTTGGTGGCTGACGGGTGGTCGCGCGGTCTTGTTTAGGTACTTAGGTACGTTGGGCACATTAAGTGCCTGTCTTGTACCTACTAAGTACATAGGTACTTAACCTACTAAGAAGGTTCCTACTTAAGTAAGTTAGGTACTCAGGTGCCCTAGTGCTGGTACAGAGCATTTCCTACGGAGTGCTCCGTACCTGGGGATCGAGGGTACCTAGTAGATGCGCTAACTACTAGGTACCTACTTAGGTACGTACTTAAGCTGCAAGCCTGTTTCCCCACCATCGGCTGAAAATCCTCATCGGAATTTTCTGTAGCACATCAAAATCTCTGTTGCGTATGGATGCACTGTTTATTTCAGTTGTGTGGTTTGTGTGAGGCGTCAACCGTGTGTGCCTGCTGGTCTTTGCGCCGTCTGTTGGGCCGCCCGTGTTCATGCCGCTCTGCTTCACAGGTTAAATGAAGATGCAGATGCGTAAAGACAGACGGCTGCCGAATTCCATGGCCCAATTGCCGCAGAACCTCATCTCCGTCTCCGTGTTCCCTCCAGGTCTTTCCCCCCACCCCCCTACTTCACTTGATTTCTTAGTTATATTTCTCGTCTAGGGGCGGCTGACAGCTTCGGCTGCTCACCGTCCCGGGGCGTTCGTCGTATAAAGGCGCCGCCGCTCGCCGCCAGTCGACTTCCCACCAGAACCACATACAAAACATCCATCAGACAACATGGCCGTCGGCACACATGATGACGGCCCGGGAAGTGGCACCCTTCACGACGTCGGGATACAGCCAGCAGACAAAAAGGCCCTAGCCGCTGGGGACTGTGGCCATGATAGCCCGGATCCGTTCCAGACACACCGCAGCATCATCGAGGACGCGAGGGCGGCTGCTGCCAAAGAGCAAGGCATGACTCTCTGGCAAGGAATCAAGTTGTACCCCAAAGCTGTGGGCTGGAGCGTGTTGATATCCACCTGCATCGCCATGGAGGGCTATGATATCAGTTTGGTGAACAACTTTTGTGAGTTCGCGGACCCCGTCCCACGATGGCTTATCAGCGAGCTACGTCTGCGTCTCTGAAGACCTCGCCTCTGTCTGTCCACGATGCTTGGCTCTTCGCGACCCTCTAACTCTTGTCCCCCATGTAGATGCGTTCCCGCAGTTCACCAAAAAGTACGGCGAATATCAGCCAAAGTCCGGGACCTACGAAATCACTGCTCCGTGGCAGGCGGGCCTGAGTAACGTACGTCCAGCGCTTTTGCTGCTCCTTCTCGACTGCATGCAACGTAGCTCCAGTTCTCTTTCTTTGAATGAAGAGATAGGCATATACGGAGACGTTGACTAACAAGAGGAGCTAGGGTGCAATGGTGGGCGAAATCATTGGGCTCTTCATTAATGGCTATGTCTCGGAAAGGTTTGGTTACAGATATACGGTCATGACCTGTCTTGTCATGATAGCGGCTTTTACGGCCATATTCTTCACGGCTCCCAACGTGGAAACTCTTCTCGTCGCCGAAATTCTTTGCGGTATTCCATGGGGCATTTTCCAGACACTGGCCGTCACCTACGCCTCTGAGGTTTGCCCCGTTGCCTTGCGCGGATATCTCACCACATATGTCAACTTTTGTTGGGGACTCGGCCAGGAAGTCGGCATCGGTGTCATTCGCGCCATGCTCGCCCGTAGCGACGAATGGGCCTACCGTATACCCTACGCTTTGCAGTGGATGTGGCCGCTGCCCTTGTTCGTCGGCATATTCTTTGCCCCAGAATCACCGTGGTGGCTGGTACGCAGAGGTAGGACCCAAGAGGCCAAGAAGGCGCTTTTGCGCCTTACCAGCCTCAACCGGGAAACGAATTTCGATGCCGACGAGACAATTGCCATGATGGTGCACACGACTGCTCTGGAGGAGAAAATCACGGCCGGAGCCTCGTACTGGGACTGTTTCAAGGGAGTTGACTGGCGGAGAACCGAAATTGTTTGCATGACATGGGCGATTCAAAACCTGAGCGGAAATTCGTTTTCCAATTATTCGACCTACTTTTTAAGGCAGGCTGGACTGTCAGACAGCGATGCATACTCTTTTGCTCTTGGCCAGTACGCCATCAACATGGTTGGCGTGTTTGGGGCATGGGGCTTGATGACGGCGGGTATTGGACGAAGATCACTTTACCTCTATGGACTCTGCGGCCTTTGCACGATGCTCTTCCTCCTTGGATTCCTCGGCCTTGTGCCACACGACCACCGCCGAGCGGGGTCTCTTGCCACTGGCAGCATCATGATTGTTTGGGCCCTCTTCTACCAGTTGACGGTTGGAACTGTGTGCTATTCTCTTGTAACCGAACTATCGTCTCGTCGGCTCCAGATCAAGACAGTCGTGCTGGGAAGAAACCTCTAGTGAGTCCTTGCGTTTATAATTCGAGACGTACTCACTTCACTCTCTCGTCTGGGTTCAATGCGGGCTTTTTGGCACCTTTTTTTTTTTTTCCTTTATTACCCCAAGTCTCTTCAAAATCTCCAGCTAACCACGTCCTCTGCAGCAACATTGTTGGCATCATCAATAGCGTATTGACACCATACATGCTGAACCCAGGCGAGTGGAACTGGAGCAACTACGCGGGCTTCTTCTGGGTGAGTGCCGTCAATGCTGTCGTTTCGAAATGTTGCTGGCCATTGAATATGCTTTACTGATGAGGTTTCCTTTACAAAGGGGGGGATATGCTTCCTATGCATCGTCTACACGTACTTCCGTATCCCAGAACCTCGAGGTCGTACATTTGCAGAGCTGGACGTCTTATTCGAGCGCCGTGTTCCCGCTAGGGAATTTTCCCGCACAAGCGTAGATGTCTTCCACGAAACAGTCGAGGACGAGGTTTTGAACCAGTACGAAATCGATGTACATGGCAGGCAGGAGAAGAGCGGACGACTGGCATAGTAGTCCGGCTCGTGCAAGGTGAAGGACTGCCTAGAAAATACCCTGAACGGAAAGACAGACGCCTGCATCTATTGAACAGTCTTTACAATGATGCGAAGAAGCAGTCTCGACATGCGGGCCCGGCGAGCCACCCCTCCCCTCGCTAGCAAATTCCCGATACATGTACGGAGATCGAGCCAGCTTGCGCGGGCACTGGGCACGTGTACGGAGTAATCGAAAAGGTCAGTTGACCAGGAACTAGGTATGGAGTACTACAGCCAGGCAGGCGGCCGTTGGGTGCCAACCAAACTTCTCAAATCGCTCGGCAACTGCAACCGCTATGACAGGGGCGCGTTTTGGGCCCATCAACCCTTGAAATAGGGACTCGGGGGGGATGGTACGGAGTACCGTCTCGATGGTATCAGCGGGCGCGTGCGAGGTATCTTGTGTGGAAGCTGATCTTGACCATGTTGATCCGTTGGTAGGCTTGGCTTGGAATGCTCGCCTAGATGCGAGTGACGAATACTTTAAATAAGAACTCAGCTCTCTATAAGCGCCAGCGCCAAATGGATTGGACAGCCAGACCGCGTGCCGGCGGACTCGTGCAGTGCCCAGAACGTACTCTGGCGTTGCAAACCCGTTAATGATACTTTGGTGGCACTTGGGCCCGTCTTCTTGCCCGCTCCGGCGGCGCATGCATGTCAGTCAGTACTCTGTACTGGAAGTCAAGCAAAGCGTGCCGCATACGACCTTGTTGAGCACACATGTACATATCAAGACTCGGTTGTAGATAGCATGAGGTGAGGTGTGAGCAGGAGCAGGTGCAAATCCGAGGGTGGCCCCACTTTCCCAAGGAATTCCGAGGGCAGCTCCACCACAAATTACTAGCTAGGGTTAGGGTCGACGAGGTTGCTTGCTGAGAAGTGGAGCTACCGTCAGATTATTTGACCTGGACCTCCTTCGCTACAAGTAGTTATGTAGACTCCCTCAGAGCTCCCACACCAACTCGGCCTTTGCACTTCAACTTCGAAACTGAGCCTTTCGACAAACGCCTCTCTCCCTCCGTCACCCATTGACACCTCTGCACGACACAATGATGCTCTCGAGTCTTCGACTTGTCTCCAGGCAAGCTACCCGCCGACCTGCCTCTGCCTTTGCCAACTTTGCCGCCGTCCGCGCCGCGTCCACTTGGTCAGCCGTCCCTCAAGGTCCTCCTGTAAGTTTCCAGTTATTATTAGCCGTGACAGCGCAGCGCAGTGCTTTGCTTCCGTCCCAATTAAATGCTGGCTTCTTGTTGTTATTTGCTGTTTCTCTTTTTTGTACTAATGCCACCTCTTTACAGGATGTAAGTTGTGGTCAATGTCTGCGTTCAGATGACAATGTGCGCCGTAGGACAAGGTAGTGTCGCTGACAGGTCTTCTCTTGTTTATTCGTTCAGGCGATTCTCGGTGAGTCACTGTTCCGGCCTGTGGCCTTTTTCTAGCAGTCGATCATCATGGTCGTTCTAATCGTCTTCCTTCTTTTTCTGCAATTCAGGAATCACGGAAGCTTTCAAGGCCGACAAATCCGACAAGAAAATCAACCTGGGTATGTCTTGGCTCTGTACTTGGTCATCCGATCCGATCCCGGCATAAAATGACAATGGAATGATTGCCATGCGATATCTCCTCTCCTTCTTGGCGCAAATATAATAACAACCCCTGCCATCGGCGTACAGGCGTTGGCGCATATCGAGATGATCAGGGCAAACCCTACGTCTTGCCCTCCGTTCGCGAAGCCGAACAGAAGGTCATCAACGCCAAGTTGAACAAGGAATACGCTGGCATCACTGGCGTTGCCGAATTCCCTGCCCTGGCCGCTAAGCTGGCCTATGGTGCCAATTCACCTGTTCTGGATCGCGTTGCTGTTACCCAGTCCATTTCTGGCACTGGTGCTTTGCGCATCGGCGCCGCCTTCCTCCAGCGATTCTTCCCTGGCGACAAGAAGATCTACATCCCGACACCCTCGTGGGCCAATCACAAGGCCGTCTTCAGCGACTCTGGCCTCCAAGTTCAGCAGTACCGCTACTACAACAAGGATACCATCGGTCTCGACTTTGAGGGCATGGTTGCTGATATCAAGGCAGCTCCTAAGGGCAGCATCTTCCTCTTCCACGCCTGCGCCCACAATCCTACAGGTGTCGACCCTACTCCAGAGCAGTGGAAGCAAATTTCGGACGTTGTGAAGGCGCAAGCTCATTTCGCCTTTTTTGATATGGCTTATCAGGGCTTCGCCAGCGGTGACACTGACAAAGATGCCTTCGCTGTCCGCTATTTCGTTGAACAGGGCCATCAGATTGCTTTGTGCCAATCCTTCGCCAAGAACATGGTACGTGCCGCTCCTCACGCCATTCAGTTGCCGACCCTGCATCTGCCCTTGTGTTGCCCTGACTCTTGAGCTAATTCCGTATTCCCTTGGGTATCGCAGGGTCTCTATGGCGAGCGTGTCGGAGCCTTCTCCCTCGTCTGTGCCGACGCCACCGAGAAGAAGCGTGTCGACTCTCAGCTGAAAATTCTCATCCGCCCCTTGTACTCCAACCCCCCAATTCATGGTGCCCGTATCGCTACTGAGATCCTCAGCAGCCCCAAACTGTACAAGCAGTGGCTCAGCGAGGTCAAGGGCATGGCAGATCGCATCATCACCATGCGTGCTCTTCTCAAGGAAAACCTGGAGAAGCTGGGTTCTAAGCATGACTGGTCTCACATTACCAGCCAGATAGGCATGTTCGCGTACACTGGCATGACTGCTGAGGAGATGGATAAGCTTGCCAAAGAGTTCTCCGTCTACGCCACCAAGGATGGTCGCATTTCCGTAGCTGGCATCACCTCTGACAACGTTGGTCGACTCGCCGAAGCCATCTACAACGTCAAGGGCTAAGCTTACCTGTTCAAATCCCATCATTTGCCATGTAATTCCCCAACCCTTTTATATACTTCGCTACTGGCCCCTACTCTGCGCCGGATTTCATCTCGGGCGTTTAAAAAGGATGATGATGAGCGAGGATAAAGTCTTTGTCAGCGTGCAAGCCCACTCGTTGGACTAGGGCATAGTCGTTGTATCAGGTGTCTTTTCTTTTTGAAATCCGATATAACGTCCTGTATTGGTCATGAAGGTGGCTTGCAAATGTTATTGTAGTGGAGATATAGATGAGACAGCAAGCTCAGCAAGTTAAATCGAATGATTAACTTTATATTCCTGAATTACACAAGCCTTTAGCAGAAAAGGAGTCTCCCGTCGGTCACGCACGATTCATGTCATTTTGACTCATTGTTTAGTCTTTCGAGGTCTCTCTTTACGTCCTCCACTTGTATTTGCATCTCACGATATTCTCTTGCCAATTCCTTCATTGTCTTCTCCTTGGACCCATCTTTGCTCACTCCAACGCCATACTCTCCCAGTTCCGCCTGCAAGCCGCGAACTCGCTCGGCCGCGCGAACTTGGGCGTCTTTTAGGTGAGATAAATAGTGTCTCAGCGCCGTGACGGCTTCGGGTGAGTAAATTTCTTTGCTAAGCTTGGTAGACTCTGCTGTTGCGTCAAGTTCCATGCTCTGTGCTTCCAGGGATACGTCGAGGGCCCGCAGCTCAAGGCTTCTGGCGGCGACTCCGTGTTTCGACTCTAACGTCTGAATGGCTATTGTGAGAAATTGCGTGCAGGAGCTGATGAGCTCTGTCAACGAGGCCAATGCCTGTACCCTGTTAGACATGAGGCTGAGCTGCGCCTCGGACAGCTTGTCCCGAAGTGCCGCATGATCGGCCGCAAGAAAAGGGATATGGCGGTGGAGGTAAGATGGGTTTTTGTGTGGATGCGTAATCCGTACCAGGCCTAGTGCCGAGGCATGAAGATTGGCGGAAATAATAGCACCGAGTTGAGGCAGTAGAGACTCGAATTCTGAGAATGGTGGACTCGAAAGGACCAACGCTGCAGCATCACTATCGACAAGCTCGTCGCTGTCTACAAGCGATGGCAGAATAAGGAGAAGGTCTGTAAGCAGAGTAGACGGCTCTGCCAGGGGCGGCGTTTCGACTCTGGTTTCTGCTGCTTTGTCTGCTGATATGCTGTCATCTGGAGGCGATGCAGACGCGATAGCTTGCTGCAGTAGGTATTGCTTAGCGCAACGGCGACGTATTTTATTCAATTCCTGTTATAAGTCGGCAGCATTTATTGTCAATTAGCCCACGCTCGGATTGGCCGGTTTCCTTCCCATGGCTCAATATGCGTGTTTTTGACAGCTGGAGTAGGTCGAGGTCATAGTGTGAACGCGCCACGGAGGTGTCGTCGGATAAGCTCACCTGGCTAACGGCTTTACGCTCGTTGGCGTCAGGGTCATTCTTGGTAGATCCGTCCGGGTTGAGGATGTCATTTTTCAGTATCGAATATAGCTTCGCAAATTCGGGGTTTTCTCGCAGGACTTGTTCATCCACTGGGGGAAGCATCGCGAAGGACGGATCACGACAATCAGTCCAAATTTTCGAGGTTTAGCCCAGGCGTTGATTCCGCATGGCGGATTATGACAAATCGTTTATCCTTGTCGCTTTTACGTTGCCCCTATTGCTCTGCTGATGATACGATGCTGGCAGGAGTGGATGATAATGCAGTAGACTGGTGGGGGGAAGTTAACTGATGCGAAACAAACAACGATAAGAGAGTGGTTCCGTGATTTCTACGGTACCCTCACGTCAACAAGGCCACTCTCGAGGATGATACAATGTAAATCTTGGGGGCTGGCTTCCATCAGATAGGACTCAAGGGGTGCAATCACGAAGAAGCCCGTCGTCCCACGGTGACGATCGACAAGAGCTTGGCAAAAGTGGGGCACAGATCTCGGGGCTCTAGCTGCTCGCCAAAGCTCCACGCAGTCACCTGATGCCTGAGCTTCCCGGAAGGACGGACTAATACTTGTCCGGCTCCAACGACGAACTGCTAGAGTTACTCGAATTTTGCCTGGTATCGGCAGCCAGAGGTAGTTTGACCTTGAAATTCCACCCGGCTCAGCCCCAATGCCTCGATCATAGGTAAAAGAGCCTCGGAATTGCGGCCTCTATTTGTAGCTGCGACACTCCCGGCCCTCTAATCTCTATCCCCGCCTCACAATGCCCGCAACTACCATCAGACCCGTTCGGCGACTCGCGGCTCTCCTGTCTTCAAGATGTCAGTCAGCATTATCCTCGTCTACTTCCCCAGCTTCTTCTCGTCCCTGCCGCACAACCAGCTCGTTGATTCCCCAACAAATGGGCAGCTACAACAACTGTGCATCTTCGCCAAAGCATTTCTCAGCGACGGCGTTTCAACAGACAAAAACCATCAAACCTCATCGCCTGCCCTCAAATTTGATCCCTCCCTACCCATATGGGGAGCGCCGTGTGTACAAACAATCTAACCGCGGTCTTTACGGCAACGCTCGAATTCGCTTTGGTAACAATGTTGCAGAAAAGCACAACAACAAGTCGCGCCGATTTTGGCGACCGAACATTCACGCCAAGACTTTCTTCTCGCCCTCCTTGGGTGCTCGTGTTAAGACGCGTCTAACACTGCGTGTACTGAAGACTATTCGCAGGGAAGGGGGCATCGAGAACTACCTCCTGAAGAGCAAGCCTGCCCGGATCAAGGAGCTTGGGCCAGGCGGCTGGAATCTACGCTGGATTCTCATGCAGACCCTGGCCGTTCAACAACGCTTAAATGAGCAGAGAATTGAACTGGGGCTAGAACCGAGGGAAATCGAGTCCCGAGACGATATAATTCATTTTGCTCTGGATTATGCCACTCCTGGTCCGCTGAACATGCGAAGTCGGGCCACTCTGAAGGAGATGCAAGCTTCCATAGTAGACACCTTCGTTCTGGGAGATGACAGCTTGGCTAATTTTGAAGGTGTGGAGGAGTTGTCTGACGAAGAGGAGCAAAAATTACTCAGTGGTTCTGAAGATTTTGATGGGTCGCCTGCTCCGAGCGGGAGGCAAATAGTATGAGCTTCAAATCATGTAATTCGATTCCTTGTATTTGAATCACACGCCTTTATGTACTACATACGAGCCATCACTTTCTAAGGAAGACATCTCACACACAAAAAATACGCCCTTTATTTACTGTTATTACTTTTGCCTCAACACAAGAAAATTGATGTCGGGTATATTTAGCTTTTTTAAAATCGCAAGTCCCAGCCAATCTGCGGTCCAAGTCTCGGAAGCTCCTCGGCAACACTTTGCACGTCCTTGTCGCCACGGCCGCTGAGGCAAATGACGAGATCTTCATCCTTCTTCATAGTCTTGGCTAATTCGATGGCACCATAAATTCCATGGGCTGACTCAAGAGCTGGGATGATTCCCTCCAATTGGCTCAGCAGCCGGAAAGCCTGGAAGGCTTGTGCATCTGTGGCTGCAATAAACTTGGCCCTCTCATTATCCTTCCAAGAGCTGAGTTCAGGACCAACTCCTGGATAGTCGAGGCCGGCCGATACAGAATGGGTCTCGGAAATCTGGCCATTCTTGTCTTGAAGGACGTACGTACGTACTCCGTGAAGGACACCCTTGGATCCTCCGGTCAGAGTGGCGCTGTGTCTTTCCGTGTCTATACCATCACCGCCAGCTTCAACCCCAATCAGCTTGACAGTGGGATCGTTTGAAAAGGGATAAAACATGCCGACAGCATTGCTGCCACCTCCTACACAGGCCACCACTGCGTCGGGCAGCTTTTGTCGCTTCTCCATCATTTGCTTCTTGGTTTCCTTACCAATCACGGATTGGAAAGTTCTGACGATGGTTGGGAATGGGTGTGGCCCAATTGCAGAGCCTATGATGTAGTGCGTGGTATCAAGTTCGATGACCCATGCTCGGAGGGCTTCGTTCACCGCATCCCGAAGAGTCTTGCTACCAGCTTCTACAGCAACCACCTTTGCGCCCAGCAATCGCATGCGAAATACATTCAGAGCTTGGCGACGGACATCTTCCTAATATGTCCGTAAGTCAAAGATTCGACACCCCGAGTCAGAAAACTTACTGCGCCCATGTATACCGTGCACTCCATGCCAAACTTGGCACAAACTGTTGCTGTCGCAACACCATGTTGACCAGCTCCGGTCTCTGCGATAATTTTGGTCTTGCCTAAGCGCCTTGCGAGCAGCAATTGACCTAGGGCGTTGTTGATCTTGTGGCTGCCAGTGTGGTTGAGATCCTCCCTCTTGAGCCAGATATTGGCACCCCCCGCATGCTCGGTTAGTCTCTCAGCCAGATGAAGCCGTGACGGTCGCCCCATGTAGTCGTAGTAGGATCTGTACTCCTCCCAGAATGCAGTATCATCCTTGATCTTGTTAAATCCCTCCTCTAGCTGGGAAAGGCAATCCATCAAACTCTCGGGAACGTATTGACCCCCGAACTCGCCAAATTTGTCGGGAATCTTGCCATGGAGAGCAGCAAGTTGCGAAATTAAAATGCTGTCTTGCTCAGCCGTAAGTCGATCTTGGTCGGTTACAACAGCGTTGACTGTCACAGTACTTCCACTAGGACCCTTGGCGCCACTGACAGCTTCGACGACTCCAACCTCTCGAGTTGCATCGTCTTGTGGCAGAGCATCTCTTCCGCACAGGTCCGCGCAGTACTGCTCGACGTCCTTTGGGCCGTGGCCGGGAGCAGCTCTCTGCAGGGTGGTAATAATCTGACTTCCAACAACAACTCCGTCAGCAATGTTGGCGACGCTAAGGAAATGATCACGTGTGCTAACGCCGAAGCCAACAGCGGCAGGTTTATTCCCACTGTATTTCTTGACACGTTCGAGGAGAGCAGGCAAATTGGCGCTCAGCGATCCTGAGGCTCCAGTGACGCCTTGCCGTGATACAACATAGATGAAAGAGTCAGCCAGCTGACATAGAATCTTCATCCTTGCATCAGATGTTGCAGGTGCAATAAGCGGAACGTACGATAGGCTGTCAAGCGCGATTCCAAGTTAGCCATCATGGACGGGACTGCGAAAAGCATGAAGGCATATGACGTTGTTCGTAAGAAGACTAAACTCGCAAATTTGGGAAATGTGACTGACCTCCCCTTGGTGCAAAGTTTTCTGAAGGAGACGGCCTCTTCCGGCGGTAGATCGACGACAAGAAAGCCATTGACGCCAGCTTCTTGGCAGTCCCTCAACAGACGTTCTTCGCCATACCGCAACAGCGGGTTGTAGTATCCCATCAGAAGCACCGGCGCCTGCAAACCTCGTCCACGGGCATTCTTTATCATGGAAAGTGTTGTCTCGATAGTGACGCCGTGCTCAAGGGCAACCTAACCAGGTTAGCCATGGGTGCCTGTAATGGCGTCGATGCTTGGGGGAATGCACTGTATTGGCGGTCTGAATAGTCGGACCGTCTGCGATTGGGTCTGTAAAAGGAACACCAAGCTCGATAATATCTAAGGACGAGGGCGGCGCAACAAATGTCAGAGTTCAATCGATTACGCAACGCGGGGCAAGGCTGTTTGGCTGGTTTACGTACTAGAGCCGCCTTTTTCCATGGACAACAAGATATCGGGGGTGTCCTCAGGTCGAGGGAAGCCTGCTGTGACATACGTCACAAGCGCGGCCTGTTTTATCAGAGTTGTGTCAATAGAAAGATGGGCAGGCGAGAAGTCATGACTCCGGCCCGGTACCGGCGCCATGGCCCCGCGATGAGGGGAAGGGATCTGACCTTGTTTTGTGCCTTGCAGCGCTGGAACGTTTGCTTAATGACATCCATGACGGAATTGAATGCGCGATCAAAGATGCTATGACAATTTCGTCAAGAATCAAGGGGAGATAGATGGAATCCCGACAGCTGGTGGGCGTTGGCAGCTTTTATGTTCAAGTGGGGACTTGGGGGAAAAGTTGCATGTTCACGTCAAGTCTGGTGCTGCCAGAAGCGGCCCCACAGAACCTGGTTGGTTAATGCATGCACATGCACATACTACATGCATTAAATTGATGCCTGGCAGAATTGCCCTATTGGTACGGAGTATGAGGCATGCCCGCCGCCGCCCACCAAGGTACCTGATTACGTATGAATCGAACGTCTTCAAGTCCTGTATTCCTGCTTATTGTACTCCAAACTCTGCTGATGATACTTGATGCAAAGGAAAAGTTTACCGTCGGCCCATGTTTGTCTTCCCTAGGCTGAGCCGCCTAGCAGGTCTAGCAGTCAGTCATTAGTTGCTTCCCTCCAACATGCGAGATCCCGCATTTGCATATCTGCACCTGCAGCTTGGGGTCCACATTTCCGGACTTGCCTAAAGGGGAAAGCTAGCCTGGGTCCCAATGTGAGATCCGTCCAACGGGATCGGCGGTTTTTATTTAGCATCAGTTTACTGAGGTGCAATGAATCAGATTTCTCACCTGATTCCGTATACCGTAGTAGTAATTAGGCAAAGCATGATTGAATCGGTGGCCGACGTAGAGTGATTGAATGGCACGTTGGCAAGCAAGCTCAGGCCTGGCTACAGCTTCCCGCTTTGCCGCTTTAATGTGAGCAAATAGTCGATGTAAAAATGTGGCTCACACCTCTCATGTCCCTAGAGGGGTTCATTTAAAAAGTCCAGTCATGAGCCTTAAATAAACCTAATAACTAGTATATGACAAGCACAACTTGTTTACACGAAAAACTTCCAATATAGTGTTTCAGCAGTCACAGGGACTGGTGAGGAAGAATATAAGCCCGGCATACCTCCCCCTTTGCCTACCCCTAGGTCAACATTTCGTTGGCATCAGGGTCTTGTTCATCATGTTCTGCAACCCAACACCAGCGGCCTTCCTGGTGTCCCGTTGATTCTCGATTCGGCACAAATTGACGATGCAGTGCCAAGAGCTGGAAAATTAAAGTACGTGGAAATCCCTCATCTAAGTCTAACATATGTTTTCCTTGATCTATTGTACAGTACATTTATGGACTCTGTGATGCTCCTCGGAGGGAGTACGCTGTTCAGTAACGATGCTTTGAGTCATAGTTGTTGAATGAGTGTTGTTGCTGGTACGCATCGGAATGCCCACCATGTGCATCTTCCATTTTCTCGCCACGACCATTGTAGCATCCAGATGAGCCCGAGAAACCTGTATGCGGTTCATATTCGTCATTATCTTTCCCAGCGTGCCGGAAGTCATCGGATTCGGAATCTCGGCCACCAAAGACCATACCAGCCAGAGCTCGGATCAGTCCGATCAACACGACTATGATATAAACAAGGAGGATACCGGCGGATATCAAAGCCTCCTTGGTTATGCCTTTCAAGAGCCAGTTTGTGACCCTGTTAACAGCCCCTGACACCTCATTGGTGGTTACCGAGGACGGCGAGGCAAGGAAACTTTGAAGGCCCGAGTCTCCACCCAGGCTCTTCTGAGCACCAAGGCTGAACGTGTTGTTGTCAAATAATGGGAAGTCAACGCGAGCATGATCGTGGACCCAGGTCAATCCCTTTTGCACGGCCTCAATCTTGATACCAATAACACAATGCAGGACCGATTGAATAGGTTTGAGAAGAATTGTTCCATTGAAGACCGTCTCGAGGCCCTTATTCAAACCACCAAGAAAGACATTTATCGTGTTATTGACAGCGCCGGTGGCATTCGTCACGTATTTCAGAACGTCGTTGTTTATGTCATCATTGAGCCCTTTGACAACTCCGTTCGCATCATTCGCCCAATTTGCTGAGATGTTGTTAATCTTTGCCACGACCTCATCTGCAAATTCTCCAATTTCCTTTGTCAGCTCTGGGACCTCCTTCTGAACTGCTTTCAGGATGAGAAATTGACAGGCGCATGAGAAGAGTCCAGCAATAGCAAGCGACAGGACAAAGATTGCTGGTCCGGACGTAGCGTACGCAAGACACCATCTGGTGAGAACCCTGCGCCTGCGGCTCATTTTAGACGTCATTTTGATGCCAAGGAGAGCCGTAGTTGGTCTTGATGCTATGTAGGAAACATCCATGGCATCCCACTCATCATTCAGCCTATTCTTTTCTATGAGTCTGGCTGCCTTTTCTTGTCGCCGCCACCGCCGGATCTCCATCCAAGCCATGGGTGCCATGGCCGCGACAGCAAGCGAGGATAATACAATGACGAACAAGACTCTGGCTTTATGAATAAGTTCAAATAACTTGTCGAAAAAGCCGTTCAGTTTGTCGTTGTTGGAGCAGAATTTAAGTTGCTCTTTCTTCGCCAAGGGGAATATGGTCTCATTGAACTTGTAATTGCTAAGGCTCTTGTTCAGTGCTTCTCGGACAAAGTTGAATGGTATGGAGATTGCCCGTTTGGTCAGATTCTGTACTCCCTCGAAATCTGGCAGGTCCTTATTCAGTTTCTGCACATCTGTGACGAATTGTGTTGAGTCGAGATGGAACCCCTTCAACTTCTCGACTGGTTTGGTGAAATCAATGGAGGGTAGATTGATGTTGAACTTGCTGAAAATGGAATTTTGAATTCCATCCTTTATCTTGCCAACTGCTTTCTGTAATCCGCCGGCTATTTCTTGAATCTCGCCTGTGGCTCCGTCGATAACCTTGTTGAAAGCTGCTGTGGCGTCTTTGGTCACAGACGCGACAACTTCCAAGCTAGCATGAACCAGAGCCGTGATGAGACAGACATAAGTTGCAGTAAGAAAGTTGATGTACCATACTATGATTGCCTCGACACCTTGTATTATCAAATCCAGCACCTTGACCATGGCATGCACGGCCTTTTCAATGCTGGACGCAGCAAGGCGATTGACACCGGCGGAGAAGTAATGAGGCATGGATGCCATCGCGCTTCCTACATCTTCTACCTTGGTACAGGCAGCCAGGGCCTTGGCCTTTGCATCTTCGACATTGTCAGTCAGTTGAGCAAGTAGGAGAATGATCCGGACCAGAACCAAGAGCAAAAGAATTGTCCAACGATTAAGCCATATTTGGGAGAGCCGAGAGCTGAGGCCCAAATACGGTGTTGTAGATTTCGTTGTGCGGCTTGGCGAGCTGGCCGCTTTTTGTGTCTCTGACAGTTCGACGGAGTGGGCATGAAGAGAGCTTGGCACATTGGGGTAGTTGGCTGTGGAACTCTGGTTCTCAGGGAACAACATCCTGGCCCCATCCGTATTGGTTCGAGTTGCTTTTGAAGAAAACAGAAGAAAGTGTGATTCCTCAGTAGCTAGAAGAAGTGGGAAGACCGAGAATATGTGCGGACGGAGCTCTGCGATGGTTCCCGTGTGATGCGTCCGGTTGTAAGGGACGATGCAAGTGAAAGTAGAGTCGGGCAAAATGTACGATGAGCTTTGAAAGGAAGACAGTTGATGAACAGCAAGGAAAATCCAACGACGGACAGTTGAAGAAAACAATGAAGTGCATCCGAGGTCATAAAAAATGAAAAGAAAGAGAAATGTGCCAATAATCAGTTCGTGTACTCACTCCGTCATGTTCATCGTGCAAGAACGTAAAGTACCTAGGCACAAAGAAGTGAGAAGAATCTACGCATGCAAACGAAAGAGAGGTAAAGAGGAAAACGAGGACAATAAGCCATCGACGAATTCACACAACTACCTACCTGACTCCTCTAATATGGCTGTGCCCACTGAGTAATTTGGTAGGTTGATTCGCCTTTCAAACCAAACGCTCTTACACTGGTGCTCCGTATACTTTGGCCGCTTGGGAGGACTTGGTACGTTACTACATGCGCACGCAGTAAGTTACCTGACAGGTAGTAGTAGTATTTGCGGCCCAGCGCTTACAGTGGGGCCGTGCTGCCGTTAACCGCTGTGCGTTGATGAAGATGGTCCAGTGAGGTCACATTTCGGTGGGTGACGGGGTTATTTCTCAAACAGACATGAGCGCCAACGTTGAGAAATAGAAAAGGCTACCCGGATATTGGCCTAGGCGGGGCCTCGTCCAGAGGTCCTCGCCTGTTGCTCGATTTGAAACGTGTCGCGCTGTGTGGCATTGTCCAGCAACATGGGCAGTCAACGAACTTGTCAAATCCTATTGTTGTGCTCCATTTGTACAATACCAAGGTCGAAGAACATTGAACCGACAATAGCATGGGCGCAAGTGCCTATGTGCATAAAGACGCAGTGACTGAGAACAAAGAAGGGCATTCAAGCATAAAAGAGCAACGCTTTGATGCATCCAAGCAGCACTGAACAGGCCCAGCAACTTCGTCGAGGTCTCTCTGGTCTGGTCCGCTTCGCTTGCAACATTGAAAGCCAACCAGGCGCAGAAGGCCGCATCTGTTGCGACCAGCTGCCATGGCCCGTGACCAACCAGTCTAGACTACCGTTGACCTGCTGCCACTGGTTCGTGGCAACATCTGCAGAGCGCCGCCAGTTGAAGTCCAGGCATCTGCAGTGGGGAACCCGTGACGCCCAAGTTCTGGTCGACTGGTTTCATTAGACGCCTACTCCGTAGGAAGCCACCACTCACCTAGCTCTATTTTACTCGATTTCATGGTCGCAACGTCCACGGACACGTCGGTGGCGCATTTTTCGCATGGCAGCTCACGTCACCTCGTTGCCGTGTCCACTCGTCTTGAAAATCTCTCAAAGATCGTGTTGGCCCATTCGGCGGCTGCTCTCATTGCCATGGAAGTTCTAGATCAGTATCAAAGTCACGTCAGGTGCGCGAAAATAATCATGGTTACTTCAAATTACTCCAAAGCTAAATCAAGTAAAAAAGCCCGCTGTAGTGCCGCATAGCCTTACTAGCAGAACTGCAGCTAGGGACTCGGCACAACTCCAGTTGCGAGCTCTGAAAGTTAGGAGATATTCAGACTTGGTGACATTAGGACCAGCTCGGACCAATGGTTTTCCAACCGAAACGGCCGCGGGGAGCGGTATGGACTGCGGCGGCTTATGTTCGTTTCTCAGAAATCCATTCTAAACACTCGGTTTCCTGCGACCTACTTCACTCGCATCCAAATCTTGAACGCAGGCTGCAAGGAGCGTCCCACAAATTTCAAGCATGTCCCTTTCGAGAAGTAGGCAGCTGCAGGGACAAATAATCTAACTGAGTCCGGGGGTCAAATCAAACAAAAAAATTCAACCGTGGAAGACCGGAACGCCCTTCCTCACCATCTAACAAAAGGGTCGTGGGGCACACTTGGTCTTTTACGCGGTGCCAAAAGTGTTCTCGCCCGAATAGGTGATGTATAGGAATCTGCAAATCACTGGTTAGACCACGGCGCCAAAGATGTGGAAGTGTTGGCTTTAGCACTGGGGCGCATACCCGTCTTCATCCTTGTGCTCCTCATAAATGCTGCTCATAAGAGCTGCAGTTGGCGGTAGCACCTCATCGACGAAGATAAAGATTGCCTTCTCTGGCGACAGCTTGATTCTCTTGCGAATGACATACACGAACTGCCCGACTGTCAAATCTGATGGCACAAGATATTTCTTCTTGTCGATGGTGGCGATGTCGCTCTTCTCCACCTTTTCGCATATGACCTAGACGAGGACCAAAGTCAGCCTTTTGTCAACTTCATAGCGCCGGTGAGATGCATTCATTTTGCCAGCGGTAAGTCAGGAAAGAGGGTCGTCGCAGGTGAGTGTCGAGTTGATCCCTGATTTAACGTATGACGCTTACTGGAATGCGATCCGCGTATTTCTGGCGAATGCGCTCGGCCTCAGCCTTGCGCTTTTCGAAAGGGTGTTCGTCCTTGAACTTGCTTCGCATAATGACTGAATGTTGGATCGGCACGAATGTGCTGGTGATGGCTAGTGCCGTGGTTGCACGCCTGTTGCGGTCAGATACGTGACAAGTAGGTCGAAACTCGATGTATGGTGTAAGGGATCCAAGGGTGTTGATGAGAAGGAGAGTTGCTCGAAGGGAGGAGATGATGTGTTGCATAAAGCAATAGGCAGGTGATGACGAGGCAGCAGACCACGGTGAAAGAGGGGTGTTGAAGATGACCAAATCAAAGAGAGTGTGTGGCGGGCTATGCGGTCAGTGACAGGCACGAGGCCGAAAGCGCGGGGAGTGACTCGGCTAGTCCAAATTTGGGAAGGTCTCAAAGCTGCACCAGCCGAATCGCTGGAAGCTTGTATTGAACCCTAGTGCAAATAATAAAATCATGAGGACACAGTACATCCTTTCATCTTTTAGAGTCACTATACTGAAGAGCCTCTATCAGACTACCTGACATCGAGCTACTGAGGCATTGCGCTTTTGCTGCTGACTCGGCCAAATGCTTGGACAAACTGCCGGTGTTCAACGATTGTGTGAGTCTCAATGGCAGTCGTTGGCTGACCATGTGCATGCACACTGCATGCACGGTTAACATGTCTGGGCGATGGCCAGTTAGCACGAGTAAGTTCGCAGTCTCTGAACCTCAGAGGATGGAAATCAGGCCTGCGAGAGACGTTGATGTATTCAATTCAAATGCTACCAGAATTTGGATTTTCGGTGTATTCAGGAGCACCTGGCCGAGCAACCGAGCGATTGAATTTTGCCCAAAACATTTGAATGAAAATTGATCGCCCGGTCGCCTCCTTTCTACGCATACTCTGTACGGAGTAACTACCTAGGTACTTAAGTATACATCAGGTACGGAGTACCTAAGTACCTACTTGAGCTACAAGAGGTGGAGCTCGGTTGCTGGCAAGGCCGAGTCCGTGGTGGGAACAGCAGACTTGGCAAGAGAATCGTACGTTCGATGTTCCAGCCTTCCAGGACAACATCAACCAACCACACACCCGATTCTGCCTGAACTGCCACGTACATATTCGATGTAACTATTGCAGGAACTTGCAGTCACCGTTGAAATCATTGCAGAACACCTGGCGCCGGACCATTGGGAAAGCTGCAAGGCACCGTGGCTCCATCATCCATTCCAGGCCGCTTGACTTCTTCTTGACGATGGTCTCATCCACTTCACAAACGCAGCGGCTTCTTTCTGGGCTTCGCCGTCGCTCGTGGGCTGTTCCAGCTCACTGTCGCAATGGCACTTCCAAGCTAGGCCGACGTGTTGCGTCCACTTCTGCCGACTACCAAACTCGTCGACCAGTTTGGATTCCAATCTGGGCTGGAGGTCTGGCGCTTATAACCGGAGTGTCATGGGCGCTCCAATCAGTGAGTTACAAGATTATTGTTGTTGTTGTCTTATTTTTCGCACTCAATAGCTCATCATCACTCTCACCTGCAGGCAACAGCGAACCCAGCGAGGCTCGATGCAACGACTCTCGCAGAGAAAGATGCCTTGAAAAAGAGGGAGGCGGCAATTAACGAGGACTCCCCCATGAGACTCCGGATGGAGAAATTTATCAAGGAGCAACAGGAAATTATCGTCAGAGAACTTGAAAAAGTGGACGGCAAAAAGTTTCGCAGAGATGAGTGGACTCGAGAAAATGGCGGCGGCGGCATGTCTTGTGTTCTCCAAGACGGCATCGTATTTGAGAAAGCTGGCGTCAACATTAGTGTGGTGTACGGGTCCCTTCCAAAGCCGGCCATACAGAAGATGCACGCAAACCACAAAATGCTCGATCCGAGTATGGAGTCGCTAGACTTCTTTGCCGCCGGCCTGAGCATGGTTCTGCACCCTAAGAATCCCATGGCACCCACAGTCCACCTGAACTACAGATATTTTGAAACAGCGAATCCAGACGGCTCATCCCAAGCTTGGTGGTTTGGCGGAGGCAGTGATCTAACACCCGCATACCTCTTCGACGAGGATGCCATCCATTTCCACAAGACACTCAAGACCGCCTGCGATTCCCACGATAAGACATACTATCCACGTTTCAAGAAGTGGTGCGACGAGTATTTTTATAACAAGCATCGAGGCGAATGCCGCGGTGTTGGAGGTATATTCTTCGATGACCTCGATGACTCGGAAAGTGACCAAGAGAACACCTTCGCTTTCATCCAGGACTGCTTAAAATCATTCATACCATCATACCTTCCCATCCTTGAAAAACGTAAGGATATGCCTTTTACAGCAGAAGAGAAGGATTGGCAGCAAATCCGACGTGGCAAGTACGTCGAATTTAATCTTGTGCACGATCGGGGGACTGCTTTTGGACTGAACACTCCGGGATCGCGGGTAGAAAGTATACTCGTCAGCCTGCCCCTAACCGCGAGCTGGAAGTACATGCATGAGCCAGAACCAAAAAGTAGGGAGCAGCGTCTCGTAGACGTGTTGAAATATCCGAAGGACTGGGTTTAAGCTTCGATACCCACAAAATCAAGGCGGCGTTTGGCCCGGCAGTTTCTGCGTCATGTATAACAGGAACGCTCCGTTTTACGTTGAGTAGAGCTGGATAAGATTTAGAAGAGGAAGTAAGTTTGAGATCATATGTCAAAGTAAATGTTCATATCTTGGTTATTTGTGGGCGGAGCGGAATAAATGGGCTCTCTCCGACCACCTCCCAATTCCGGCGAACAGAGCATCATATTGCGTGGTGTATGTAAGGACTGTTTGTGATCAGTCATGTGCGTCCACACGGCCACAGCCGCCTGTTAGCACTGCGCCCGCGACTCCCGAGGACACTCTGGCACTAACCACTGCTCGACTGCCGCGACGACATCGCTGGCGGACAGGACTATTGTTCTTTCTTCTTGTTTATGTACTTTATTACCATGTCGTTTTGAATGGCTTAGGCTGAATTTTGCCGCTGAAACCAGCGTCTCACGATGACGCCGGGGCCTCTTCCCGGCCACAACACAATATTAACTTCACTCTTGGCTTCATTGTCCGAATCGTCCCGCGTTGCTCTTGAGCAGCCCAACGACACCCCCCAGCAGGTTTCGCAAGAGGCTTCGACAAGGGAACTTCGCAGTGCCATGCTGACACTCCATGTCTTGTTCCCCGATCTCGTCTTGCCTGCTTTGGACTTGATAGATAGGCGGCTGATTGAGAAATTTCAACTTACCACAGATGTCTCAGTTGGAAGAGAAATAGGTCCAGTTAACGACACTGACCAAGGATTTGGTCGACGGCGGACAGCTCGGAACGATGAAACAACAGAATTTGGCCAAAACAGGCCGTCGGTCTATGCTGTTGGACGACTTCTCTCTACATCCCTTCGTTTGAACGCGGCTGAGGCAAAAGTCATACCGAAACCGCGTGTTGTGCACCTCACGGCCTGGAATTGCTCATGCACCAGCTTCGCTATTTCTAAATACTGCAGCCGACGTTCGAATAACGGGCAGCTTGGCTGTATTGACTCTGGGTCGGAATGGCCGCCGCCGCATGCACCACGATGTCTTGCCTTTGTAAACGGAGACTGCTTACCCCGCTGCAAACATCTTCTAGCTTGCTGGTTCGTAGAAAGATCAGGGCATCTATTCGCGGACAATGCTACAAGAAATCTTGTTTCAGACTATGAGATGGCAGCTCTCATGTCAACAGTTTGATCCCAGCCGAGAAGGACGGAGATTATCCTGCCAGCCACGTTATTTCCCCAAATGATGAAGGAACACACAAAACAGGGTGAAGAGAATATCAATGGGCTGATCGTGCGTTGTCTATCTACAAATAACGAAATGTACATAAGCATGGTACATGTAGCCTTAGATCTCGGTGGCAAGGTCCGAATAACATCTCAGAAGCCCGAAATACAGAGGAGGCTTATGTATGACCGGCCATCTAAGCCCGCTATTTCCTTTTGTCCTTGCCGTCCTTCTGTTTGTCACTACCCCCCTTGGGTTCGCCGTTATGCCCGCTGACACTGTTTTCCTTTTTATCATCTTTGATAGCATTTTCTTCTTTCTTAGCCTCCTTCTCATCCTGTTGCTGTCTGTTCTGTATCTTATTTTCTATAAGATCATGGAATGCGGTGATGGCACGTATCAAGCTGCTCAGGTAAATAGCCATGAGTTGATCGTTGGTTTTAGTGCTCATAGCATACGCTAGTTCCCCGCCGCGAGATTTCCCATCCACCTCGGGAGAGGACAAGTTTGGCAGAAGATTGAAGACATCTTGCAGGTTGCCAAGAATTGCATGATTGACTGGCAGTTGACCATCTAGCACCTTCTGAAGATATGCGCCAATGTCTCTCAACCGCAAATGAAGGCCCTGAAGCGACTGAAGCTGGTTTGTAACGCGTGTAGATAGAGTGCCAACGGCGACGTCTCGGATATCTCGTAGTAAATGTTCGACACCAATTTCCTCTGCCTCTTCAGCTTCGATTATAGAAGGCGTATGGACAAATGTTCTGGAAGTCGTCGTGCCATCCTTGCGCGCGTGTTAATACCTACAAAAGGGGAGGCAAAGGCACAGATGAGAGCAGGACACGGGACGCAAAGCCAGGCCTGTCGACTGTGCAGGCCTACGCGCGTACACAGGCTCTTGCGGAGGTCTACTTACATCTTTGATTTCCTCAACAGCAAAGTAGGCGTCGGTTGGCACTCCTGATTCTTTCGGCTGGACATCTATGATGACGAGCAACGGATTAGGAGTATACCTTTTGAACAGCTCGTTGATCTCGAGATCTGAGGCCCGTAGCTTCGGGCCAGAGTGATACCACCCAATCAACTTCTCTCTGGCATTGACCTTCTTAAACATGTCGTTCATGGACTCGACGTAGTTATGGTCCAGAAACCAGACTGAAGGGTCTGTGTCGTCTTCTTCGAAAGGCACTGGGTCATGGTGCTGGTCAGATATGGCTACTCGGCCAATTCCCGATAATACATTGTATGTGGTACGTACCGGCAAAGCTGTTTGACACTCTTGCATTTTTGCCGTCATTTTGGCCTAGGAGCACACCAACTACTCTTCTCTTTGTTTTATTCTGAACCGTTCGATTGTAGTGATCTACCGCTGAAAGTAGCACAAGAGGGGCAACGGAAACGTTTCTGGTGACGAGAGATAGAGTTTCGGCAGTGGTGGTGGGCATCTTCTTGTTCAGCAGAACCTGGGTATCAGGTTCTGCAGACAACGTATGGCGGTGTACTATCGAAGTTGTCGAGAAAGTTGAACGGCCCCAAGGATGACTCCTTGACTTGCGTACGTGTGCGCGCGGCTGCCTTGCTGGAATCCGTACTAGCTAGCTGCCTTCCCGAATGAAAGGAGGCTTTTTGTGAGTGGCTATCTGGGCGACACGCAACGAAATTTCAGCAAAAGTTATCAGAAGGGAGAGATGAAAAGTGAGAAGAAACAAGATTGGGAGGCTTGGAGGCTTTGGATTACCAGGCGAATGAGGTCAGCCTGTTGTTAGGGAGTCGATGCACTGCAGTTACAGACTTCAGTTGCAGGATACAATTATAAAGTGGCTGGCAGGCTACAGCGCGTCTAGGCGAGGTCAGGACTGGCGGTCACGTGGGCACAACGCTCGGGCTAAGATAGGTTGGGTACATCAAGACAACTTTCTACTGGTGACCATGGGATCTACTCCGTAGACTGATGTAACTTATTTGCCTGATGTCAAGCATGGCGTACCTAGGAGGCACCTAGTTTCAGCTTGGTTATGTTTCATTTCAGTATAATAACCTCGCGGGTGTGTTGGGGACACTGTCGTGAGTTACATGAGGTATGCAGCTATTGGATGCTTACACCACGGACTTGGTAAGTAAAAGTTGCGCAATGGTGGTTCGGTGTGCAATACACCTTGGCCAACTACCCAAGTACTTAAGTAACTTGGTTCTTGATAAGGCATATTTTCAAGGGCAGAATGCAGGTATCTGACAAGATACAAAGTAGAGAGAACGGCACTATAAGCGAGATGGTTGCAGAGGAAGTTCCTTCTTGAGGGTTTGAACATAGTGGGGGGCACATCAACGGGCCATGGCGAAACACACGTTTTATTTGAGAAGTACTTAAGTAGGTGCTTAACGTAATGGCACGGTAAGCCTGACTTGAGAATCCATTGACGCAAGCACGTACGTACCTAGGTACTTAACCTAATGAAACTGTGTTGCTGTTGTACTCGACTCGTACTTACTTAAAGTGCCTATTACCTACCTACTTCCTAGGTACTTACTTACCTAGGTAGGTAGGTACCTAGGCTGGGTAGAAGTTCGAGGATAGGGACAGTTACTTGGAAGGTACCTAGATAGTCACTCTCCGCACATGCATGCACTCGGTATCGAGAAAGAACTACGGAGTACGGAGTAGCAACCACTACTATCACTCACTACCCGTAGTTCTACGGAGCACTACAGGACCCAGGCAAACCAATCAGGACGTCAGCGTGGTACGGAGCTCAGGCAAAGAAGTAAGTACCTTGGTACTTACTTAAGTAGTAGTCGACAAAATCACAAGAGACCCGTGGTCTTACTATTTCATAACCCGCGCCTTGGTTCTGCCGACAACGCTTCTTCACGTCTCCAATTTCCCTTCCTTCTCCTCTGTGTTGAGCTCAATTCATGCAACTCGCCACCCGGTACGCATGCTATCCGCACCTGGAAGGCTCCAATTGACCAATTGGCTTCGCAGCGTTTAAACCTAACCCTTCCACCTTTTTGCGATCATGGGTTTTGTCGAAGATGAGTTGAAGCAGCTAAACGAGGTCATGGGCAACCTCGACTCGCGCATCAAGCAGCTGGAGAAGCGCGCAACGGGCTCCTCTCCCTCCACCGAAGAGATTCGCATGGTCATTATGGGACCCCCCGGAGCTGGTAAGAGCACTATGTGATGCCTTTCACCACTCGGGACGCTGGATAACCTCGATTTTCCAGGCAAAGGAACTCAGGCGCTGAAGATTAAGGAACGATTCTCCTGCTGCCATCTGGTACGTCTCTAGTCTTCATACCCAAGTAATATCCCACTCCATTATATCATCATTCTGTTTTTTTCTGACCATCCATGTTCTCGCACTATACACAGGCCACGGGCGACATGCTGCGTTCTCAGGTTGCAAAGAAAACTCCACTTGGTCGAGAGGCAAAGAAGATCATGGATCAGGGTGGCCTCGTAAGCGACAACATTGTCATCGGAATGATTAAAGAAGAGCTGGAAAACAACAAAGAGTGTCAAGGAGGGTATGCTTGCAGTTTCCTTAAGTTTGCACTGGAATCAAGTCTTTGCTCACCAAACGTTCAGTTTCATCCTTGATGGATTTCCCCGCACGGTTCCTCAGGCGGAAGGTCTTGACTCCATGCTCCAAGCGCGGAACCAGAAGCTTCAGCATGCTGTCGAGCTGCAGATTGATGACTCGTTGCTCGTTGCACGCATTACCGGTCGCTTGATCCACCTTGCTTCGGGTCGGTCCTATCACAGCACATTTAATCCCCCAAAGGAGCCCATGAAGGATGATATCACGGGCGAGCCTCTTGTTCAGCGGAGTGATGACAATGCAGATGCATTGAAGAAGCGTCTAGTCACATATCATAAGCAGACGACCCCTGTTGTTGAGTATTATCAAAAGACCGGCATATGGAAAGGACTCGACGCTAGCCAACAACCTGGACAGGTATGGGAGAACATGCTAGGTATCTTGGAAGGAAATAAGATTCATGGACCCGGTTTATTGAGTCGAATTTCCGGCAAGAACTAGAGGCATCCTGTAGTGTTGCCACTCACGGAATGAAAAGCAGTACTAGTTTCAGCAACCCCCGTCTTTCAAGAAGATAGGTATACTATGTAGTCTTATGGTCTAGATTTAATCTGCATGTATCAAAACAACCACAAACACAAGTTTCTGGATAATATTCGCCATTCGCCAATGGAATCAACAATCGCCCGCTTTTACCGTGTAGATTGAGTAATAGCATAGCTAGCGGAATTCTAATTCTCCTTGCGCATCATGACTTCACAAGCTTCAGTTGCTGCTCCAAATACGCCCCCTGACCAGTCATATAGTCGGGTAGCTTTCTGAAATTGAGCGCTTAAGCTTCTGATGTTGTCATGGATGGATTTTTGGGTATCAGTTGGTTTTACTAGAGACACCTACCAACCTGGGTACGTGTTTTGAGCCGCCCGTACTACAAAGTCTTGGGGCCCGGTACCACGTCCTCATCTACACGACAAGTGACAGCGGGGACAATACTTGGCGGGATTTCTCGGTGAAGAATGGTTGAGAACATTCTTGAATAACGATACTGACATCATCCATGAAATTTTGAAGGACACTCAGATGTGCAGTAGATTTACGAAGGCGAGGTGGAGCATGTCTTCACCCAGACTAGGTTTAGAACCAGTAGACTTCAGGTGGTATGAAGACGATTAGTCGGTAAAGATATGATGCCACTGAGTGAGCTCAACTGGGTCTTGGAGGATATGAGAGGACGGTGCGTAGTCATTGCATGACAAGGCAGGCCTCCTCACCGTCGTGAGCGTTGGGGCAGAAAATATGGCAATCCATCATTATTTGAATGACCAGGATGTGAAGCTCTAGCGCAATAGAATCAGTTTGCACATTTGGATTTGACAAGGCCACCTCCGGTTCCAACTAACCCTTCAAGATAGTCTAATAAAGTCCCGACCGGCAGCATATCCATGCGGCCTAGGCCAGGATTGGAAGATCGAAGAACCCTACCACCGAATAGCACACGAATATAATATTTGGATGGATTACACGAGGAGTTGTTGGGCAAAGCCGGAGCCGTCGTTCCTGGGCTAGACAAACAGGAGCAAGCGGACAAAAGTCGAGATGGCCCAGAGCACTCTGCGGGGGGTGGGTGTGTGGTGGTTGGAGAAACACTTGCTGAAGTAATGTTGCTTTGACAAAGTTTATTTGCTGATGTCAAATGCTGGAACATATACCAAAGGCATTTGTCTTGGTGGCAACCGGTTGCAACGGGCTTCGTTGGGCTTGGGCTTAATCCATCGCGGTTTCGCTTGTACAACTCGAACACTACTTCTGCACCCATCCCTGGCCAGACCATCTCATCAATCTGCAAGATGGAGAGTAGGCGAGACAGGGATCCGTCATGAGCTATGTTGTGGAAGTAGCGTATGCCACTCGATCCACAAATAACATCACGCAGATGGGCAGTGAGCTGTGCAATCCAGACTCCAAGGGATGCCACACTAGCAGGGAGTGACGAGGGATGATCACGATATATTTGACTGTATTCCCAGTTTCCCAAACGATAGACCGCATTAGCAAGGTTCTGCGTCACGCAGGTGGTGCTGTTCTGGCCGTCAACTAGCTTGCACGGCAAGGGTCTAGCATGGCATTGTCTGGCCGAGAGGTTGTCATAGTAGTGGTCGAATGAAGAGTGGAATCCTCCATCCGTGGCGGGAACTCCCGAGATATCGTCAAGCGTACTGAACAAAACCGCGGACGCCTCTAGATGCTTTTGCCAATCAGGATTTCGGTTGGATTTGATAGCATTGAAGAGTGTGTCAGCCGAGTTACAAGCGTATTGTGGCTCCAGGCTGTCGATTCCTGGGGCCTGTGGAAAAGCACACAAATTTTGTTAGCAGCAGGTCAAGAAGTAGGTCAAGTGAGCTACGGAAGGAAGAGCGGCGATACAAGTGATGAGAAGTCAACGGAAGTCCAGAGGCAAGTTGCTCGGGAGAAGAGAGTAGTCCTGGCGTGTAACATACTTCAATAATCAGTGGATACGGATCGTTTGTCGCCCACATGCCGCTAACTATCATGCCAGCAACCTGGCTCGTTATAGCATTATTGGTGACACGATATCGCACAGACGATCTGTAATCGGAATTCCTTGACGGCAGAAATCCCAAAAGATCATGGTACACGGCGTACAGATCAGCACCATGCTGCCACGAGTCGCTTAGACCGCCCGACGTAATTTGAGGAAAGTTGCAGCTTCCAACCCAGCCAGGTGGCAGAAATGGGTTTGTCGGAGAAATGTGTCCTTGCCGAAACACTGGGGAGGACTTCTTTCCTTTGAAAGGCTCACCGTAGAGAAACAAGCGTACATCATCGCAATTCCACTGATACGGCTCCACAGGAAAAGCGTTCGAGGCGTACGGCGTCCGCTTGTGGTGCCTGTGAATCTGCAAAAATCAATTAGGAAATGGCATTAATTGGGAAGAAAAGCGGGTCTGCAGTCGTAGTCGCTTCAACATACCAATTCAACATATTGTAATTCAAATGCTCCGTCAGCTACAAGGTATTCGGCTGGTCGAACATGGGGCATATTGCACCAGTTGTATTCTCCATATTCACGGTCGGGGGTATTCGATGAGTTAAAAATGAACCCATAGACCTCGTTGGAACCGAGCGCTGAGGTAAGATTGTTGAGCTGTGTGTTTGCGGGAGCGTGCCAGCCTGTGTCGATAGCTCTCATGTCGAAGAGGGATGACGAGGAAGTTGCTATCGCCAAACGTAGCAGCAGTTGGAGCAGTAGCACGACTAGGGCAAAAGGTACATGAGACGCCTTCATATTTTGTGATCAAGCTACATACCTACATAGCGTCATGAGTGTCGCTTTCCTCCCTTCTCCGTGCTTGTCGGCTGGCGAAATGAGTCTGGATGCGGGAGTTCGGTCGCAACGTCACCGAACCTAGCAGGCTACTTACCTAAGGTAGGACATGACGGCAGGAAGTTTGTTTTTCCATTTATAGATTGGGAGGCCATCGAATTATGGAGAAACTCCCTGTAGGTAGTACCTCACTGCCTACTTACTGAAGTAAGTACTACTAGGTGTCTGGTAACGTTATTTAATCCCCCCTTTTGACTACTAAAGTACGTAGGTTGACTGTCAGCCAATAGATAGTTGTTCTCTGTGCATGAGCGAGTGGATGAACCAGCCGCCGCCCACGTGGACGCCAGGGACATGGAAGTCAAGGCGCCAAAGCATCAATTGCTACAAGTATGCCTAGGCTCGTACGTATTACATGTTAATGTATCCCCACGTGATGTCTCTAAAACGCTTTTGTGAGTCTGCTGTCTCAGCAATAAATGACACTAGGGTCCACGAGATCTTTCAAATCCATACTGCGTCATGCGGTTCTATCTTCGATACCCGACCAAGTGCCTACACACCTACTAAGTACCTAGGTAGGTAGGGGGCAGCCATCTAGCTATGACAGAAATACCCGTCAGCGCCCAAGTGGCTAGTACACCTATTTTTTTCCTTGCCGGATAACTCTGCCCCAACTGCCGGACCCCAAACTCGACATAGAGCCTTTGAGCGCGTCATGAATTGGTTCTGCGGCCGCGGCTCGGGCCACGGGGGCGACCTCTAGGCCTTCCTCTCCCTCTTCTTCCCCCCCTCTTTCCCCCACGACAGCCGGCATAGCCTGATTCGGTTGGAGCACGTTCTCCGCTGTCCAGCCAGCTTGCCGGGATGTCACTGTCATTGCTTTCATCGCTAGATGCTATCGCCGCGTCTGCTGTGCTCTCATGCTCATGCTCGTCTTCGCTGGACACCATATCAGTCAGTCTAACGACAGTTTTCTGGCTAACGGGCATATCTGACGGTTTGTAAACGGGTAGTTGTTCATCGTCTGAGATATCAGTGATTCGTCCCTTGACCGCCGGGCTTGTTTGTGTACCAAGCAGATTTTGCGACTCATGACGACGGCTACTTTCTGTGCGACCAGCCACTGACGTTCCCACTCGACACAAATCTTTATTCGCAGACTCTGGTGCTTCAGAATCATGTATTTCATCGTCCCTGACGTTCAACAAACCACTGGCAGTAGCTTTTCGCGTCCCAATCTTAAACTTTCTCCCTCTGAGAGCCAATCTTTGGGCCATTGACATGAATGGCTGGTCTGCAGACTTCAAGTCTCTTAACTGGGAGGCACGGCTCTTCGAGTCTAGTCGCATTATCTTTCCTTTGGGATTAGAGCGGGTCCCAGTCACTACACGGCCAACATTTTTGAGTTTACGCTCTTGGGATATTCCGACCGTCCCAGCTCCACGCCCAGATCCGACACGGGTTGGTAAAGACAGCCCAGCTGGGGAACTGCTTCTTGGCTCTTGATTATTGCTCAACTTCACACTGGAAGTGTCGAAAACCTCGCCTGGATATTCATCTTGATCTCCCAATGCTGCTGTTTTTGCAGTTGTTGGTGCATCCGATTGCTTTAAGGAGACGATCATTGATTTCCTTGGCCGACCACGCGTGTGGATCCCTGGCGCGGGGCTTATTGGGTTGGCCGTTGATGTAGAGTCGACACGCCTCACATTGACCCGGGAAGGCCGACCAGGAGGCCGACCGCGTCTTTTTCCGCTCCGACTTGACTCGAGGTTTCTTCTTGTTGCCGAGAGTTTCTGCTCAAGTGCCTTCTGCTCAACTAGACCACGTTGATCTTCCGACAGTTGCACAAGTTCGGTCGATTTCGCACTCGTATCGTCCAAAACGAACTCCGGAGCAGATCTCTCGGCAACCGTTTCGCCCTCCTCTATCTCTTCCATGTCAAGATCGTCAACTTCTACGTATGATGCCAGGGGCCTTGCATGCCGAAGGGTGGGTTCCGTGGATATATCTCCAGCGAGGGATCTTGTTGAAGATGGCTCTTGATTTGTATCGTGGTCGTTTGTGAGAGGTCCTATGGCAATGCTCGATTGCGTACGTTTTTGGCGTAATGTGAATGACATTGATGATTCCGTATCAAAGAGAGCGGGGTCCACATTATCCAATATATCTGCACCACTCATATGCCGGATCCTTTTGTGACTAGATCTCCCTACAGTGAAATCCGGGTCCTCACTATCTCGTTTGGCTTTTCTCTTCGCGGCACGAATAGACTTCTTGACAGAATCAGGTACTTCGAGGTCGGCCAGGGGTATAGCAGTAAGAGGAGCGTTATATGGATCAAAGAGAATTTTGTCCGGGGTATCGTCCTGCTCATAGTACCCCATCCCGATGCCATAATTTGAAGCCACAGACGGATCTGGGTAAGGAGATATACAGTCCTGCGCAACCGCTGATCCCCCTAAGTCCGGCCTTGGCTGTGAGTTGTTCCCGGACTCCAATGCCAGTGTGGGATAGTCGCTAACACCTTGTCTTTCAAAACCCCGCGGGTCTTGGTCCGTGTTTGCGACCCTCTGAGAACTATCGCCGTCTTCAGGGAAAGCCTTTCCACCTTCGACTCCAGCCAGCTCGCTTCGTGCTTTAGCGTGGTCGGCTTGTTGCCGCAATCTTTGCATTCTGCGACTGTCTCTGCTCCGGCTTTCCTCTCCAGCAGCCTTCAGCCAGGACAAATTGTGCACGCGAAAATCAACCAGGGCTTCTACACTCCGGTCATCCGCGATTGGCCGAGTATCATGGCCAAGTGACGTGTTCCTGGGGGTATATGGGTTCATGTTTCCTGCCCGACGGCAATGCCCACAATTGCAAATGCCCAAACATTTGGGGCATTGCCAGGTTTCATCCTGCAAGACTGCTTGCGGCATCATATCGAAAGCTCTATAGAGGACACCGTAGCAATATGCCTCTGCACACTCCGGATTCGAGCATTCATGAACTCGATAACTGTAGTCCTTGTGACAGCATACATGACATCGGCGGACTTCGCCCTTCTTTTGTTTTCTTTTTGTTTTTTTCTTGGGGCCATCCTCGACGTCTCCTTGCTCAGAATCGCTTGAAACTTTGCCGAAATCTTGTTTCGTGATGTCTTTCCAGGGGCGCCTGATGAGAGCCTCCTGGCATATCTGTGCCACTGATTTCTTAGCCGATTTTTGTCTAGCTGCCTCAAAAGGAGGAGGTGAGCCATGCAAATCAACGAAGCCATCATTGATAATGACCATTTCACGCCATAGCTCATATTTCTCGCTAAGCTCAGACCAAGACCATTGTTCACACCATTGAAGACCGGATAAGCAAGCACAAGATCTTCCCATGGCGTAACATTCCATGCATATGTCGTATGCATCTTCATCTCCGTCAACAAGAGCCCTTGTGCAATTTTTGCAGGTCAGGAATCGATTGAATATATTGCAGCGGCAGTACGAGCAAGTGACACATGAGTCAAAGGCCAATTTTTCGACGCTCTTCTCTTTGTATGCAAAAGTCTCGTCAACGAGTATTTCCGTGAAAAGAGTGAATAGGGACCTGAAGTCTCCAGCGAGTTGTCTTGCCCGAGGTGAATTTCTGACAATATCTCGTCCGATCCCCATGAGGCTATTCTGGGTCATATCTTCTTGTCTTTCCATTTCTTTCAGGAGTTGATAATACTTGTGGAGAGTAAAATATATCATGGCCTTGTTCTTATACTGTTCATCACGACACACCAGTCTCGCTTTTGGTAGAGCCTCGCGAAGCGCCAGGCACAGAGTCTCAGGGGTGGTGCGATTCCAGGCTACTTTCATTGTTCGTGTGCCTCTGTTCCAGACTTGGTGCGCTGCCAGCGGCGGAATGATAATAAAGTCACCGGCGCGCTGATCCACAAGGTAGACATCGAAAGGTGCCTTTTTCCAGGCGTTGATTTGCGCAAAATGCTTTTCAATCTCAATATCATGACCCAACATGGACAAGAAGTATTCACGGACCACGTCTCGATCTTTACTTTCGGTCATAAACCAGATAGAACTTCCGGGTCTTTCTCCCGGACTGTCACCTGAGGTCTCCACCATGATATTGTGTCCAACAGAGGCACACATCTCACGATGCGCTGGCGTATAGGTACCTTCGTGACCAACATAGCACATCAAGTTTTCGGCCCGCATCTCCTCCGGTAGGCTTGACATAAGGTCCCCGGCGGGAGCTATAGAGCTCGCACCATCTTGCCTATCGCCTCCAGGTGGTTGTGCTGAATTCGATGAACCCGATGTCGTTACATTGTCGTTCAGATAGAATAAGTTGGGATGCAAAATTGTCTGCAGCTCACGTCGCCATTCCACAGGACAGTCGATGTCTTTCAGATAAAGTCGTTGTCGACGCTCGTCACGGTAGTTTTGTGGAGTCCATTGGTTTGTCAGTTGCTTCATTGACCTCAGATAATGTCCGGTCGTCATCGGAATATCTGTTCCGGCATTTATGTCGCGAACATTCTCCTCTGTTGCAAAGCGACATTAGTGACCAGAAAATGGCAAGATTCACCAAAAACTTACCTTTTTTATCATACGTCTTCTCAAGCCAGCTGACATTGAAAAGCTCCTTTGACAAAAGTGCATCCCAGCCATCAATGACTAATGGCTTCCCTCCAGCAATGACATGTATTTGAATAAGTTTTTCAAATCCTTGCTGGCCAAGACGAAGTATTTGAATCCTTGAGACTCTCTGAACCCATTTGAAGTTTGGCGTGCGATCTACTAGGCCCTGCAAGTCAAGGTCCGGTGGAATGGGATCGAATTTGGCCTGTGGGTGAAGTGAAGTTGGCATATTTGCGAGAAGACAACTAGGTAGGACCCCTGCATCTAAATTTTGTCGGCGCGGACCACCAGTAAAGTGAGCTCGATTGCAAGATGAAGAATGAAAAGGGATTTTATAGCTGCGGTTGCATGCGTTTCTTTCAACGTGAGGCACGTGAAATAATGATTGCGGGAATGTGGGAGTGAGTGGTCATGTCGAAACGCGTTAAAAGGTCTGGCTTGTGCAAGGCCGAAGCTTCCTATATGCCTAGGCAAGACAGTGCTCAAAATAGATATCACGTGATGTAAAATTGCATTACCCAGACGTCAAGTTATCTTCTATTTCATTTAATATTCTTATTTCCTCAATGACCAGAGTACTTGAAAGTACTCACATTTCTCTGAGTCAACAAATTTCGTCACAGTACTGTGCCTGAAAGTCGGAAGCTTTAAAGGAGCTGTTTGCTATCATAAGATTGAGGGACACGATTGGTCATCGAAGACCATCACTACTCTCACGCCCCTTCAACAATGAGGCTACCAAACGTCTCACGAGGCTCTACGGCGCTGTTTACATTCCCTAGACGTCTTTGGTTTACAACGCGTAGGCAGAAATTAGCCTGTTATGGGGGACTCAATGTCGACCTGCGTCTTTTTAAACCTGGCTTGTTCAGACAGCAGCTCGGTAACCTACATCAAACGCACCTTCGACGAGCATCGTCGTCTCTTCAGCCTCAAGTCAAGCCAGAAAATTATGGCACACTTCCAGGCTATCAACCACCCAATTCTGGGATTCTTTCGATAATCCCAGCGTCGTGGGTTCCATACGCAGAACTCATTCGAATCGACAAACCAACAGGCACCTATTATTTGTATTTTCCATGCCTTTTCTCGACACTGATGGCAGCACCAATGGTTTCTCCGATGCCCTCCGTTGGTTCAGTTTCTGGTACTGCATTACTCTTCTTCTCTGGCGCTCTGATAATGCGAGGAGCAGGATGCACTATCAATGATCTGTGGGATCGAAATCTCGACCCTCACGTCTCCCGCACTCGACTTCGACCAATTGCTCGGCGCGCTATTTCTCCCTTCAACGGCTTATTGTTTACCGGGGCTCAACTTCTAGCTGGCCTAGGTATCTTGATTCAATTTCCAGGGCCTTGTCTTTTCTATGGCATACCAAGCCTCTTGTTCGTTGCGAGTTACCCCCTGGCTAAGCGGGTAACGTACTATCCACAATTTGTCCTAGGTTTGACTTTCTCGTGGGGCGCGATCATGGGCTTTCCAGCTTTGGGCATAGATTTGTTGTCAAACGGGTCAGCTTTAATCGCTGCCGCCTGCCTCTACAGCTCTAATATCGCCTGGACGGTTCTATATGACATGATCTATGCGCACATGGACATTAAAGACGACGCCAAAGCCGGCATCAAAAGTATTGCATTGAAGCACGACTCGGTAACCAAGCAAATCCTCACGGGACTAGCTACGACGCAAATCGCTCTTCTTGCCGCTGCCGGCATTGCTTCTTGTGCTGGGCCGGCCTTTTTCATTGGGAGCTGCGGAGGGGCTGCGGTCACTTTGGCACTCATGATTAAGAAAGTCAACCTGAAAAGTGTTAAGGACTGTTGGTGGTGGTTTGTCAACGGATGCTGGATTACAGGTGGCACTATTAGCTTGGGTTTGGCAGCAGACTACCTCATTCAACTCTCACAGAATCCCAATGCTGGTGAGGGAAGGGACTCAAAGCCAAGCCATGACTAGGGATCCTCTCTGTGTACATTTACTTCGTTTCTTCTCGTGGAACCATCACGCATCTCCCTATTTTATAGACATAATTTCCTGTCATGCTTCAAAATGAGGTTTGCATTCTTCGTTGTAGAATCTAGCCTCTTGTGATGAAAACCCAACCTGTGATACCAATGCAAGAAAGTCGATCGGACTGCTCGTGCGGAAATTTGACCTGTTGGCGTCGCCCTGCTCTATCCGTCACCATTTCCTAAGAACGAGGCTTCTCCTTTTTCTCCTTCCACAGAGCCAACAGCCCAACTCCAGAGACCTTCACGACCTTGAATCGCACACCTGGAATGTCGCCCTTCGCCTTGCCCTTGCGACCGAAACCAGCCAGTAAGACCTCGTCGTTTTCATCCACGAAGTTCAAGCAACCGTCGTTGGGAACTGTACAGGACATTGAATTAGCTTAACAAAGCAAGCAAGGCGCCCAGACTGCGTAACATACCAAAGGCAGTAACCTTCTTGCCGTTCTTAATCAATTGCACACGAACACACTTTCGGATAGCAGAGTTGGGCTGCTTGGCCTCAACACCGACCTTCTCGAGAACGATTCCCTTGGCGTGAGAAGAGCCACCGAAAGGGGATGACTTGAAAGCGGTCCCCAACGCACGCTTCTTGTAGTGAAGATCGGCCCATTTCTGGTCCTTTCGGTTTGTTCGCAGTTTTCGCGCCGCGTTCAGACCACGGGGTTTACCTCCAGCCATGATTGCTATTTCAGTTAGCAACCAAATAGTCAATCCTCACAGTATATTATTTCGAGGTTGTTCCCGCCCCAAACCTGATGTACGCACCGATTTTTTGTCTTTACCACTCGGCAATGGGTCGGTGTGAAGGTGACTTGAGCGGAGTAGCAAAAAGTTCGGTTGGCCTGCCAAGTTGGACACTAGGGTTTGTTTGCCCTGGCGAAGGAACCCGCATCACGTGATATTGACACATGCTTCCGGGCCCGGACGGACACTCGGAGTACCCACATACCCACGACCCTATGACTACTACACCTACTTGCTACTTGCCCAAGTAGTAGGAAGTAAGCACCCCGACATGAATATCGCTATTGGCCTGTCACTGAATGTCAAGATCAATGGGAAGACGAGACCCTCCCCCAGCACTCTTTCTTCATCCTTCCCCAGGCGCATCACATGTGTCTCTTTCTAGTCTTTCAGGTTCTGGACCAGCTCCACCTACTTCAAGGCGGGACCCCTCCAGTTTAGAGCGCAGTACATCTCTTCGCTCTGGGTCTGCTCCAACAAATGTGCAGCTGCCTGGTAGGGCAGGGAGCACACGAAGTACAGATAAGACCGATGCGTTATGGGCGGAGATGCAGGCCACTCTAGAGGAGGTTGAATTATCAGCATCAGGTGGCACTCATGTGTTTGGACCTGGACATGAGCAGAAGCTGTCTGATCTACGATCTGCGCAAATAGGACTCGCACAGGCTTGGGCGAGAAGTGAGGCTGATGAGTCGATTGGAACGTCTACACGGGATAAACCCATCCCATCTGTTGGTGAGGAGCTTCGCAATTTACGAGGCGCTTTCGTGGAACCGCCAAAATCGAGTGTTACGGAGGCAACAGAGCAAGCAAAAAGTCTTCAAAAGACATCGGGTGAAGGATTTGACGGCGAAAAGGAAGGTTTGGATCCTTTTGGGTCAAAAGCCGTTGAAGAATCAGAAATGGATATTGTTCTTGGCCGGAAAAGAAGAGAGGCCAACGATCAATATTTTCGACGAGTTAACGACGGCGTTATTGACGTGGTAGCAAGATTGGGAGACGTTACAGTGGCTATGCGAGCAGTCGAACAGGAAAGCCAAGATGTCTGGAACGGGCAAAATCTATCGATACACGGTACCCATGGAACTCGGGCTGAAACTATCCACAACGCCTTGCGATGACCAGTATCTTCGTGTTGGGCAACACGAAATGCTTCCAGCAGCCTGAAATGTCAGCCGGCTTCTGTAAATTGAGGTTTGCGCTGCCAAACAATAGCCTTGTCCTAGTGAACAATGTTTTCTCGAGCATGATGTCTGATGGCTTCCTGAAGTATTCTGCTAAAGTTTTTTGTCCTCAGTTGTTGAAAAGCCCAGCTGCCTCTGAGGCTGTCTCCCTGGGTACGTACCTAATGGGTAGGCAATAATTTTGAATGACGCATTCGCAAGAAAATCCAAATCGCAGCGTCGGCTGGACATGTCATCTCACAGGGTAATATATTTTTAAACTCACCTGAAAATCGTGTCTTTTACTCTCTCCCCCATCTAGACATTTGCTTTAAAGAGTATAAGAGTTTCCCTTTTAAGCCGGCTCGATACTTATTGTGCAAATGCCGTTATCGCCTCATCCAGACGCAGAAGTGTGGCAAGGAATGAATTTGGTCGCCACCCTTGCCGCCCTCCCTGCCGCAATAGACCAGGCGTTGCAGGAAGTGCAGGCGATAGATGATATAATAGAACGAACGGCTACAATTCAATGAGCTATTCCATAAGTCTGTTTTCACGCAACCTTGGATGGAAAGCAATTTTTCCTTTCGGGTTTCCATGTTCGCCACCAAGGAAAGATGAGGGCACTATTTGGTTTTGGGACTTATGACATCGGCCATACTGTCCTTCACAGAGTGTACTTATTTTTCCTGGGTGCCTACCACACCCAACTTGGGGTGTGATCCAGGACACGGGCGCTTTCAACTTGATCTGAATCCTTTTACATAAAAAAGTTGCCTTTCCTAAATTGATAAAAAAGCTCTTATAAATTTAAATACATTTATTTAGATCTAAAATTCAGACTACCATGCAACTTATATACCACGCTAGCTAGAGCTGCGTAAGGTATAGTTACTTAGGACTTGAGCTCACAGCTCGAGTATACACAAGGCACCGTGTCAGTGCTTTGTCGGATACTTATCGGATGCGCGTCAGAGCCTACATGTATATAGGTAGTTGCACGGAAAGGGCAGAAGAGGAACCTCTCATTCTCCGTTCCTCTCTTTAAGTCTGTAGTTAACCCTTACACGCAGTTGCCTGTAAGGTCAGTCTTTGACAGATAATTCCTAAAAAATAGGCTGTGGCACGGTGCCGCACAGAAAAGCGCTTAATGGAAATACCCACTTGCAGAGCAGTACGTGTTCCTATCCCTACTGTAGGTTAGTGTGGATTGTATCTTTGGGACTTTGCTAAGTACTTCTTAACTTGAGTTAAGTAAGTTATTACGGAAGGAACAATAAGCTAGTAGTCCAACATTATTTGGCTAGTAGTTCTAGGTACCTGTTAGTATATCGTTTTCCCAGCTGCATACATCTGGGTGGCTAGTGGGTCTGCATTATAACTCGCTAGGTACTCCGTACTTACTTGAGTACTTGAAAGTACTTTTTTGTAAGTACGGAGTACCTAGGTAGGTATCTGAGAGCTCGCGTGGGGCGTTCTATTCTAACCTTGATGCTCCGAACCCCTTGGCCGCCCTTGGTTGCTTATTGCTCAGCAACTCCGTACCTTTCAATTGTGAGGATCTCCGGCGCGCTATATTCTCATTTCCCTTTCCCTCACTTACTGTTACGACTTCGTGAACCCAGATCCGACATGCCGCCCCTTGGTCTGGCGTCTCCCGAATCTTTTCGTCAGCCGCGTCTACCTCTCCAGACCTGTAGGCGGTGCCGTCGATAAAACCTAGGAGCTTTCACGACAATGGCGCCCCCATTTGCGACAAAGGCAGCGCCGACGTACAGCCCGCGCGCCCAGGCTGCTTTGCTTAAATCTGTTAGTGGACTTACGGAATTCCCCCAATGAAATCTTGGCGTCTGCTCGAGCTTCTTCACAGTTAGCTGATTCAGGACTTTAGGCGAATCAAGTCTTTGATTTAAACCAGGTTGCTGAATCCCTCGATGAGTTAACAAACGGCATTACGCTTGCCTACATCCTTCATGAATTAGATCCAGAATTTGATCCATCACATCTTGAGTCACGTCATGGCACCTCGAAATACCTAACCAATAAACGAAACATCCAGGCCGTTTACAAAGGTCTCTTCAGATTCATACGTCAGCAGGTTCCTGAGCTGAGCTGTCAAGCAAAAAAGTTCGATTATCACGCAGTGGCAGAGAATCCCGAGCCTCAGGGCATCAGCCAGGTACGTCTCTCCGATCACTATAATGCTCGTTGGCCATTAACATTCTGTGTACTGACCAAATGCAATTCCTTAGCTTCTCGCCGTCATGGTATCTGCTGCCGCTATGGGTCCCGACAACGGCAAATATGTTCCAAGAATACAACATGGTCTCGACCGTGAAAACCAGGCGGAGATCATGCAAATCATTCGAGCAATGCAACAAGATATCTCCAACTTTAAAGACGCTGATGATTTGGATGAGGCTATTGATGCGGTCATGGAAGCGAGGGATATCGATCTTTTGGTAGAAGAACAAAATGCCGTACTACGGCAACAGCTTGACAGCACAAAGAAAAACCTTTCGGATTATATCACTCGTTTGGAGCATCTCCAACTGAGCCATGAAGAACTAAAATATGAAAAGGAAAAGAACGATCGTGAACTCGAGGTTTTACGAAAAGCTACGCAAGACGGAGCCAACAGTGCAGAGGCTATCAAGTTACTTGAGTCTCAAGTCCACGAGCAAATGGAAATCATAGCGAGAAATGAAGAAACTATTCGTAATCACGATCGAGTCAAATCGCAGCTAGAGGGAGAGCTTCAAAGATTAAACCAGAAAAGCATCCAGGCGGACGAACTCAGGGATCAGGTAGCAGAGTGGAAGCATAAAGCAGAGGAGTTTGAAAAGAAAGCAAATGCAGCGGAGAGATACAAGCAAAAACTTGAATCCCAGCAACACCTCGCTAAAGAAGTCCAAAATCTGCAATATGAAAAAGCCGAGTTGCAGGACCAGCTACGCTCCCTCGTGGATGACAGAGAAAAGGACGACAGAACCCGGAAAGCGGAGGATGAACTTACCAAAATGATAACACAGTCAGAACAACACCTATGGGATGAGCGCAATCAAAAAAACCAGCTGCTTAGAGATGTTGCTGCCCTTGAGGAGGAGCTAACAAGACTAAAGGCTCAAAGAACACACGATGAAAGGTTTATTCAAGACTTACAAGAGCAGATGCAACAGGAATCTGACGGGGTAACGCAAGGCGGCAATATTGGTGCAGTCTCCGGCGCATTTAGCTTGGAGGATGAATTGAATAATGCGACCGACGAGGATAAACAGACCAACCTTCCATTGGAATTGTCTCGGGTTAAAGCGGAAAATGAGCTCCTTAGACGAACACTTGGATCAACAGGAGACGCAGCCCTTCTCAGGCGTGAACTTGAAGAGCAACGCCGGCAGCGGGATCGCCTGCAGCAGAATTTTAATGACATTTTCGAAAAGCATACATTGTCTCAAGAACAAATTGCGGCTTTGATAAGTGAATCCACCAAGGAAGGGTACGAGACCAACTGCTGATATCTTCACCTGAATTTAAATTTGCGTAAACTAACCATCAGTTCTTCTACTACTACAGATCTGAAGCATTCATTAATTTGCGGACTCAGCTCGTCGGGTCACAGGAAGAGCTTGATGCAACTAAAAGACGGACTGCCGAGCTGCAATCTAAGGTTTCGGATACAGATCGAGAGCTGATTGCAGTCAAAGCAAAACTTTCGGCCGCAGAAAGGACCGGGATTGAAGTCATTGATGAGCTCAAGAGCACCGACAAACTGATCTCTGAATCCCTCAAGACAGAGCTGGACAGGCTAAGGGAGGACTACAATTTTGTCGTCGGTGAACGGGACGCTCAGAAGTCCCAATTGATTGAAGCACTTCTTGCGAAGGACAAGCTCAGAAAAGAAATTGAAGATACAAAGGAACTGCAAGATAGCTCAACAGCTGGGTTGGCGGATGCAGATATGACTGAGACGATGAAGAAATCCAGTGAAAAGATCGAAAAACTGCGCATACGTCTCAAGGAGCGTAAATTGGTAAGTTGCCACGTCCATAGCTGTCAACGTCTCTGGCTTCGTGTACAGCCATCGACATGTGGAGATTTGGCTTTACGGATCCAGGCAACTTATGGGTTTGGATTGGTAGCCACGTAGTCGCTGTCGGGCTGTTCGCTTGAAAAACAACACATCACACAATGATCAAACATCACCGTTACGGTGGTTTGGGCTGGTTATCAAAGATGACAGGCAGAGTGAAAGACTTCACTTTGTTTGCAGCAAGTTGCTCTTTATCCCGTTGGCATTCCAGCACTCAGATTGCACAGCAGCCACGGCACCGGTGGCATCATCAAGAAGACAAGACCTCAAAAACATTCACTTGAAGCTGTCTTCTGTATGTGTTCTGATTTGATTCTAACATGTTTCATCCATAGCAACTTGAACAATCGGAGCAAGAGAAATGTGACTTACAAAATCGCCTCAAGGCAGCTCAAGGTGGCGAGGCTTCGGGTAGCCAAAGGGTATGTTCATTCACTTTGCGGCTATGTACAAAGCAAGTGCTGCAGGCACTTCCCTCATCCGTCGATTCTGAAATTTACTAATTGCGGTATGTTGTCAAGGCTGCTGATCAGCTCATCAAAAACCTTCAAAGAGAAAACGCTCTCATAGCAACAGCCTGGTATGATCTCACAAGTCGACTGCAGAGCAACCATGTTGTAGTTCAGCGGCGCCATGACGCACCAAGAAGCTGGCTGAACAAGCAGAGGCAGATGGTCAATGGTCAGTTGCGCCAACGCGACTTGCTCTACCTCTACTGACCAAAAGTCTTCCAGCGACGCCGCGGAGATAGGACTTCATGGTTTGAAGCCACCGTGATCGATCATCCCAGAACTGTGTTCACCCTATGGCATTCTAAGATTGAACATGTCTGTCTTTCCTTCAAGCTTGTCGGATATCAAAACCTCCTACGCTGTAACCACCCCCCCCTAGCGTCTCTTCGCGCTGATTTTTGATCCGGTAATATTCTCTACGTCTCATCTGACCCTGGGTATTGACGCATCAGTATTCCAGAATGGTTGAATCTTTAAAGCAACTTTCATACCCACCTTAGACAAATCCCTTATCTAATTTATCCTTTCATTATTGACCTGCACTATTAATCTTTGCTCGGGTGGGAGCGGCCTCCGTTTGGAGTATTGTGGACATTTCCGCGCTCTACGGGGGTATCAAATGAGTCATTAGTCACTAGGCATGCAACCTGAAAGGATTTGATTGTAAACTCACAGGCATTCGAGAAATTCGTTGTACCTTTACGAAGTACATCCGTCTGCATTTCTTCCATCCAGTACTTCGTAAGCGAGAAATCCACTGTCCCCAGCTGTGCAGGGCGGAGAAATTGGAAAGACCATTTGCAGATTATATTGATCGGATAATAAAAGTGGAATACTTACCCAGACTGTGGCCGGAGAGGGACGGCAACCTCCAGGTGTAATACTGTGCGGTGTGATACTTACACCGTGAACTAGCGGGCACAGCGTGGTAATAGACTGAGCATTTGTTAGGTTCCTACTTTACTTATGTAGTCACTATCTTACTGGCATGCATCTAAGTAGCGTACAGGATCATGCCTACTTCAACACTGGCCACATACACCCACCATCAAGAACTTTGGAAACTACATTCTACTATTACACACAGTCACGCCGAGGAACTTCTTTATTTTCCGCAACCTTGCAAGAAACCCCTGAGAAATGGCGAATAAAGCAAGAGGATCCCATCGATCGGTCGGTGCGTGAATAGTAGTGGACAGTAGCCTTGAATGCCGTGAAAGCGGCTCTCAATGCGCTAGCTCTATAATTCAAGTTTCTTCCATCATTGGCCCGGATCAAGGGATAAGCCATGCCGTGGCCCGTAACACAGCTACAGGCAGCAGTGACCAACTCATAGATGATCGCAGATCAGGTCTATGAAAATATCCTTCGTGAGGGTCTTTCTGTCGTTAGAACCTGACTACAGGGATTACATCGTTAAGATGCGACTGCCTAATTAGGGAATCCCCTACTTTCGTTGGTGCAATAAGGCCAATAAGAGGGGTAGATTTAATATTATTAGAGGTATAGCTATAATTCCATGTATATTACTCGATAAAATTCTAGCTGAAACTCATTATAAAAAGGAAGTCATTTTTATGTACGCAACATATATAAAAGGCACTTCGCCTCCAGGCATGCGCGCGAAATCGTTGAGATACAGGATCGTCATAGACCTGGTTTACTGTACTCAATCTACTCAAGTACTTAAGGCAGCATGGAAAATCTTTTACCCTCGCATGTCTCCCAGAGCCACGTTTCAACAGCGTTTCGCAGCTGCGAAGAGCTGCCCCTTGCTTGCATCCAAATCAGTGTTGCAGGTTTCTATGGTAGCACGCGGATTGGTAATAGCTGCGAAGCTACGGAGCGCATCAACTGATGGCGCCTGGACAGCGCATTGATGAGTGTGAAGAACGTGGGGTGCTCGTGCGGTCGGTCTCACTAATCGTCCGTGGTTAATACCCTCCGAAGTTGAAGCAGGACATCTCCTCACGCCCTGTGCACTACCCCCGGAGCCCTTGTGTTCCTCGTATAATATATATCAAGACTACAGGCGGAGATTTGCCATACTCCTAGTTCCAAAGGGTAATACAGAAACAAGTGAGAGACCGTGGTCCTACGGACCGCTCTAGCTGCTGAGCTAGCCCTGGCTTTTCAACGACTGAGCACATGACCAACGTTGCATGCTCTGAGGAAACGTCAACCTTAATATAGTTACACATCTATTGATGCTACGCCTTTGATACTCGGTTTATCATGCTCTTGGACTTGGTTAGGACGTGCAAATAGCATACTGAAATTTTTCCTACTTAAGTACTTACATTGAACATGGCATGGTTCAAGGGAGCTCTGCTCAAACCGGCAAGATCGATCAGCAGCCCGGCCACATATTACTCTTCCCGCCCTGCCCCCCTCATGTCCCCTCTCCTCTCTTTCTCTTCTCTTTTACTCTCCTCTCCTCCCCTACTGCAACCGAATTATTTATTTCTACTTGTATTGAGTAAAAAAGACTTTATACACTCATTGTATATTTGAGAGCTGCTATATCCTCACCTGTGCCTGAGCCGTGAAGGACCACTGGTCCGGCCAACCGCATGGTGTTAGTTTCGTCTCGCTATCAGGACACTCCCTCGTCAGCAATCGCGTTCGTCATCGGAGATATTCCAGCAACACTGCTCTGTCTCCCTACTCATCAGTATATATTCAAGCTCTAGGTGGAAGCGTAGTTTGCTGCTTCGAACCGCTGTTCCCAGACCGTCGTCCGAGATGCAACCAAGTCGGAACGATCCACGTGCTGCTCGTTACCGATCTATTAAGGCAGATGGTACCAGCAGTGTGAACCCCTCTATTGAGGTAGTCGCAGAGAGTACCACACTATTTAGCAGAAGCATATCCAGTACCTTCGACGCCCCTTCTAGTTCGCCTTCACTTGACGGCAGGGGACTCCTGTCTGCTTTGCACATCTCTCAGCTCCAGAATCGACACGGTAGGGCTAAATTTGAAACAGGCACGAGAATGCATCGCGTAGTACTAACTTGAGGGCACAAGCGTCATCGGGGGCAAGCGAAACTGTCCAAGCCCTCGATTCGCAAACCACGTTGCGCAAAAGTTCCTTGGCGCTCGAATGGTCCCCGACAATAAGACACGTGAACAGCCAAATAGGACACAGCCCGTTAAGAAGCTCGCTGCTAAACTGTGGAATAGCTTTTGGGAGGGTCGATCGATTTGTTCCCATCAGAGACTATTTGACGCCCTGTTCGGAACGATACCGGACCAACAAAGAACCTGGTAGGCTCACTCAAGCAGAGAAGATAATGAGAGCTGGCGTATGTCCTCTTTTGAGAAACTTTCCTCTGCATCAGACACTATCATTCATGTATTCGTTTTTTAGCTTTCGTGCGTCTGCAGATGTTGGCACCAACAGCCGAGCGGGTAAGCTCACAATACGTTACCCCTCTCCCTCGGATATGTGCAGGCACTAAACAGCCATAATCAAGGACACTTCCGACGAGCTCTGCCTTTATTCGAGCATTATCCCATACTGACATCTGATCGCTGGCCTTATGCACAAACTGAATTCTCGCCAGATGCTGAGGGAAGCCTGGTCCACAGGTCAACAACTACTCGTGCGCAGCCTCCCAAGCGACCATTCGGGACAAAACGCCAGAAGTCTGAACACGAGATGATTCAGGATAGCCTTGGTTTTGCTCTCAACATAAATTTCTTCCGCAAAATCTTGAATTTCAACCCCGAGCCCTCAAGTGCCTTATCCGCAGCCCCCTTGTCTAGCTCCATAATGGACTCATTTCCTGGTAGATCGAAAGAGTCCCTGTACTGGCATGAAGTCATGCTCCCCAGGGGCCCTAGTGTTCTTGGTTCTCGTATAGTCTGAGATACAATTGCCATTTTATCTTGTCTCCAACTAACACACTTATAGTCAACGGCTCACAAAGCAGCACGAGATCTCTACCCGCAGCACCGTTCAAGTACTAGTGTCCTATCATCATGGCTTGTGCCTGCAAGTTTGGCTAATCTCCTTGATAGAGTATTAGACGCTCCTAATCTGCGAGACGACTTTTACTGCTCAGTTCTTGCGTATTCATACAGTTGTCAAACCCTTGCTATAGGCCTGGGAAACATCATATACACATGGTCAGACAAGGAAGGGGTTCGTTCCGTCAATGGCTCTCAGCAAGATGCAACTTGGCTCACATCAATATCATTTTCCTCCGTGGAGAGCAAAATGAGCCTATTTGCAGCCGGAAGATCAGACGGCACATTCATCGTAATGTCACTCTTGGAAACATCACCCCGGTTCGAAATCCAACAGTCGTATTCAGTTGCTTGTCTTAGTTGGCGCCCTTGCTCAGCATTGCGATTTTCAAGCAACCCCCTCAACCCAAATACTCTGGTAGCCACAGAAGACCTTGTTGTTGGGGATGAATGCGGAGACTTGTATTATTACTTGGTTGAGTGGCCAATGATATCGGAAAACACAAGTGAACATTGGCCTGGGTCTATTTCGCTGGTAGCCCGAATTTCGATACACAGCCAGCAAATTTGCGGCCTGGCATGGTCACCAAATGGAGACTTGTTCGCTTCAGGGGCCAATGATAACTTGTGTTCTCTTCTCAATGTGAACGAAATTCTAGCACCTCAATATCTTGGATTGCGACGAGATAACCACGGTGCGTACAGTCCGTACCTGGGCAACTTAGTCGACACGTCGACCCAGGCGACGTTGACTCCCAACGAGACACGATCCTACGATAGCTGGGACAATGGCCAAGGTTCTTCTAGCGCAGTTGCTGGAGTTTCCCCCGGCATGATTAGACTGTCACAAACCAATGTTCGAAACCTTGCCTCCGGATGTCAGAGTCAAGTTTGGACTCATCAGGCAGCTGTCAAGGCCATTGCGTTCTGTCCGTGGCTTCACGGACTTGTGGCTACGGGTGGCGGGTCGAATGACAAGTGTATACATTTCTTCCACACGGTTTCTGGATCGTCGCTTGCCACCATTTCCGTCGCTGCTCAGGTTACATCTCTGATTTGGTCGAATACAAAACGAGAAATAGCCGCCACATTCGGTTATGCCCATCCGGAGCATCCATACAGGATTGCAGTGTTTAGCTGGCCTAACTGTTCGCAGATTGCAGCCATCCCCTGGGAAGATGATCTACGCGCCCTCCATGCAGTTCCCTACCCCTGCATTCTGAAAGAATCGAAGGGATCTGATGACAACGCGAGCGCTGTTAATGAGTGTATCGTCGTGGCAGCCAGCGATAAAACCGTTAAGTTCCATGAAGTCTGGTCAACAGAAGGGAGTAGAGTAGTGACCAGATCTAGAATGTTTGGTGGCAGCGATATTCTCGAAGACCTGCAAGGAATCATAAAGGAGGGCGATGTGATTCGCTGAGATTTTCAGATGGCCCTCTTGTTGTCTGCTGTGTGGTCTGTGTCCAAGATTTTAGAACGTGGAGTAGCGAGACAGGAGAAGTGGTGCAATACAGGTTAAGTTCAAAACTAAATAATGCAAACTTGTAGTCGGTAGTGAATTGCGAGTATAGCTTGCGAGGGCAGGACTATGGTAGTAAAGGTGGAAAAAAAGGGTAGGGCGGGCGCAGACAAAGGAACGACGCCGAATACAACGGAATACAAAACCTTAACCAAACGCCAAACAATGCAGCTTGAACAGCCAGTGGCCGTGTCAGATCGGCTAGTTCTCTATTTCAAAATCGCAATTAGTAGTATCAAAATGATAATGAGCACGACTATGGCCGTCATTTGCTTATTTTCTCCAGCTCCCTTTGCCACTCTTCCTAGTGCGCCTTTGGCTCGGTCCAGACGGCCTTGGTAACGGTCAACAGTGGTGTCCATTTCGTCCAACATTGCCACATGGCCGTCCAATTCGTCTCCGATTCGAATGCTGATGTCTCTTTGGCGACCAATTGACTCTCCCAAGCGGTCTAGTTGTTCGTCTTGTTCTTCTAATATCTGTGAATGATATTGATGCAACTGTTGATTTGTCATTTCCATGGCTCGATCACGATATCCAGCCGAATCTGACACTGGGTCGTCGCGATACGGTCCTTGCGGTTGTGCGGATGGCGAAAGTGAAGAATCACTGAAGCGTACAGTTTTTGCTCTTCGAGAGGATGCATGGGAAAAGTCTTCTGCTAGTTCAGTCGAGTTTGGTTCGGTGAGAGTGTGCTCTATAGATGCGTTGGTGAAGCCGTGGAACTGAGCTGTCAAGTCCTCCAACTGCCGACGCAGACTCGCCAAAGAGTCCGCAGATCTTGCAAGGAACAGAACTGCGTTAGCATAGAAACTAAAATGACCCGGGACGTCGGTATCTTACTCAGTATCCCTTTCTTGCTCATGTTGAGACTGATCTTGTTCAAGAGATGCGAGAGCCGAGCGGAACTGGTCTAGCGACCGGGAGATATGTCCATCTTGACTATCATCACCATCCAAATCGAGGCTGGTCGCCCGTTGGCGCTCTAGGAGAGAAAGCTTGATATGGTCTGCCAACAAGAATAACTGGCTGGGTTTAGTCATGGCCGTGGTGAGGAGGGAAATCGTCCAGCAGCTAAAGTTGAATAGGAGACTGACTACGTAAGCCTGTCCGGCGCGGTCAGAGTCGAGTCGTCGTCCTTTATTGAGGATGATGGCTGGGGATGAAGACAGAAACCTCGCAAACTTATTCTAGTCGCGCAACGTGGCTAATGAGGACCTATATGTTACAGAACAACAATGAATTGGCAGAGAGTCTCTTGGACGCCCGGTCGTCATCGATGCTTGAGTTTGGGTACGTAGCCAAGACAGTGTCGACTCATGGGGCTGAGAGAGTGGGTACCAGCTGGTGGGCCGTGGGCTGTTTGAATCGAAGTTTGGAGAATGCAGCCTTGACTTCAAGGCCAGTGCCGTGAAGTGGCTCCATCCCCACTACGCCAGCAACTGCAGCACCCCCAGCAACGACCGAGTGCTCAGAACCTACCAACCTACCTAGGTGTACGGAGTTAGAATCTTCAGACATGAGTGTTTCAGTCACTACGAATGAACTAGGCACCTAGGTAGGTCGGGGCCCCTGACGTAGGGACTTTATTGGCATTTTAAAGGCGCGTATTATTGTACGAGCAAGACTGAAGAAGCCACTGCTACTTGATCCGTGGTCACGCCTAGCAGTAAGAACTGAAACTTGGAGCTCGAGGCTACAACTTATTGGGCATCTATCTACTTACTTACTTACTTACTTAAGTAAGTAGCACCTATTTCAAGTATGTAGACTACTTACTAGGTACTTAACTTACTTTAAGTACTTAAGTAAGTACTGGTAGTGTTTGAAGCGAGTACCGTCAAAATTGTTCTACCTTAACGTACTTAAGTACTTAGCGATCCCGGCTCAGAGCTCCAACCGTAAAATGGACGAATGAAAACACACTTCCCAGTCAAGGAACGACTCGGCTGCCAACGCTGTAATCTTCCTCCTGCATCCTCACCAAGGTCAATTGCCTATACACACAACCGCTACTCCTCACGTACCCATTTCGCACAACCTTACCCTGACCTTTCAGTATTTCTTAGCAAATTACTTGCACCATTGAGTCTAATCTTGAGAGCGACCTGGATGCCTTGGTGGGGATTATTCTTGAGCGGCGTCCATCTTCGTGCCATCTACAGACATTTTGCCTCACCCTTGGACTTGAAATCATTGGAGCCAAACACCTCAGCATTTGAACTTCGCGCCTCGTCTGGTTCAAGCTATCATTGCGGTTTGTTCAATCATTTGCCTACTGACATTTAACGTTAGCAGCTCCAGTTTCGCCAAGACCACCTCTTCTTGACCAACTATTCACCCATCATGGCCAACTTCGCCCGACAATACTCATCCGCCTCCCCAGTGCTTGCAATTCCACCACAGCCGTACTATCAGACACAGCTATCTGCAGGCACTTTTGGGCGGCACAATTCGTCACCAATGTCACTCAGCGCTGCCCAGTCGGCTCTAATTGCCCCAGTACGATCTACGGGACGGAAACGGTCTCGCGACGAGGCATCGATAAACCTAGAACCAGATTTGCTGGACGTAGTGACCCAAGATTCTCAGGAACACTGGGTAAACGGCCAAGGCATGATATTGAGCAAAGCTGGCAAAGGTTGTGTCGCCGATGCTTCTACCCAATCTACCTTGTGGTTAGAAGACAAGAATGAGCAAGAACACCAACCGAGGTACCAAAACGAAGCCAGCCAACCTCAAGTTCGAAGCCACAAGTCACAACGCCTAGATCAAAATTTATCTCATGCAACGCGCCCAAAAACATCCATCTCACCATCTTCCTCGAATTCTTGTCACAAAGGATCTGCTGGCAATGATTTTTTGAGGATCGACAAATTTACCATCCATCTTGGTATCGGCTGGAGAAAACTAAGTAGTGAGGAACATATTCAAGCTGCCGCACGGGGCTGGGCCAGGTTTATCGAAAACAACTTTGCCTTGTCGAAAGTCATTATATGTTTAGAGAGCAAAGGCCTCCAATCCTATCTCGTCGAGGCATCCGATGGCTACTACCTGTTCACTGAAAATCTGCGTCATGGCCGATTGGTTAGCCGAACGGCTGAAGGAGCACTCCAAAACTTGCAGTTGTCTCCACCGAACTTTGAGGGCCCAGAGCTTGGTTTAATGGCAGGAGGCGACCGGCAGAGCAATGCCCTCACAGACTCGGCTATGGTAATAGATTAGCGATTATGGCTGCCCTTGTGAGATATCGGCACAGCCTTTCGCCCCTTAATTTCCAGCTGAACCGTCGCAACACTTTAGGGAAGATAAAAATTTAGCCTACATAGGATTTGCTATGATTTTGCGCACGAGATAAAAAACTTGCATATGTGAAAATACTTTGAGCAATACGAGATGTTGTCATTACCATGCAGTTGCAGCCCCTGAAAATTAGCTCAGCTGTTCGCTACTATAAAGTGCGACACTGCAGCTATTGTAAGCTGCGCCTGCATGTCAAGATAGCTAGGAAAGGTCGACAGCATCTCATGCGCCGAAATACATGAATTTTCAGGATTGGTCATGGTATGCGTACCTACTAAGTAGGTAGTTAGTCAATAGCCACACAGCGCAGCAACGCAATTCGTGAGGGGTTGCCGGGTTGCGACTGTGCCTCGCCCCTGGCCGTGCACCAGCCTCATTAGGTAAGGCAACCATCCGACACTCGAAATTCGGCCGACACACGTCACCAAGACCCGTCACCAGACTTCTTCCCCAACTCACCTGGTAAGCGTCCTCATTTGATTTAAGAGGACCAGGCGAGAGGCTCTGACAAAACTCACTATGAACGGAGACTTGAGTCTCTCCCGGGCTCTTGGCGGACTACGAATAGCCAATCCCGATGAGGCTGACAACGGTGCACTCCCTGACTCTGGCTCAAACACTCACGAACCAAGTGTGAGAATCCCGGGTACGGACCCGACCGATTACGATACCGATGCAATGCGTACAGTTCCCAAAGACTATGGTCGCCCGGGACAGAAAGAGCAAAACAGCGAAGCTGGAAGACTGAACCCTGCCATTTCCACACCGTTACCTGTTCTGGATGACCCCCCAGCAGGTGCTTCAACTCGAGATACCAGTCTGCTGGACAATCAACGCATCTCTGAATCGACGCGAAGAGGACAACAACCAAACGTCTCCACTGCATATGGAGTTCCGGTGCGCGAAAGCTCAAGGACTTTGGGGAATCAATTTCCCAACTCGCCCAGCTCTGGGACAAGCCGAGAAGCAACAAACCAAGTGCCATCGAATCAATCCAGCGAGGACTGGAAAGATCGGGGCGCAGCTGTCGGTATTCGCCGCGAAATGGATAGCACCGGCCGCATGATAGTTCGACAAATCAAAAAAGGCGTTCGGGACTTCTCCTTCGGCCGCATTCTCGGGGAGGGTTCATACAGTACAGTCTACCTGGCCACCGACCGGCAGACCCTAAAGGAGTATGCAATTAAAGTCCTTGAGAAGAGGCATATAATCAAAGAGAAGAAGATCAAATATGTGAATATTGAAAAGAATACCCTCAACCGCCTGACGGAGCATCCCGGGATCGTGCGTCTCTATTACACATTTCAAGACGAAACCTCTCTCTACTATGTACTCGACCTGTGCAATGGCGGAGAATTACTCGGCGTATTAAAGAAGACTGGATCTTTTGACGTGGATTGCGTCAGATTTTATGGCGCACAAATACTAGACGCGATTGAATACATGCACTCTCGCGGGGTAATTCATCGCGATCTGAAGCCCGAGAACGTGCTGTTGGATGATCAGATGCATGTCAAGATCACCGATTTTGGCACTGCAAAGCTTCTCGGTGACCATCAGGAATGCAAAGAGACAGACTCGACTAATTGCGGCGAGATACAAGGTCGGCCGCCACGAGACGTTGAAGACGACCGCCGGGCTGCATCTTTTGTCGGGACTGCAGAATATGTTAGTCCTGAGCTACTAACACACAAGAGCGCAGGGAAGGCTAGCGATTTATGGGCTTTCGGATGCATCATATACCAACTATTTGCAGGGAGGCCGCCGTTCAAGGCAGGCAGCGAGTATCTTACTTTCCAGAAGATTGTTAACCTTGAGTACGACTTTCCACCCGGGTTTCCCATTGCCGCACGTGATCTTGTTGAGAGATGCCTAGTCTTGGATCCAGCAAGAAGATTAACGATAGAACACATTAAAAACCATGAGTTTTTTGATGGACAGCAGTTTGGAAAAAGTTTATGGGGCGCAAAGGCGCCGAGGCTACGACCATATGTCCCACCTGCTCATGAGCCAAACATCATTCAATTAAACGGCTTTTCCTATGGCGCTGGCCCATCCAACAGCAATGCATCTCTTCCAAGATCGATGCCACATTCACAAACAACCACTGGCGGGGCGAATCGCCCTGCTAGAATTATTACAGAACTCCCTCCACCTACTCAACTTGACATAGAATGGTCGCCGGTGTTAACAAGGAATAATGAACGAATATTGAAACTAGGAGATCTATTGGTTGTTTCCTCACCACTTCCAAGTAGCGTGCATCGCAAAGGATCCGATGAGGGACATAAGAAACTATCACGTTTCTTCGGAGGTAGTACAACCAAAAAGAGGCAGCGTCTTGTGATGGTGACCTCAAGCGGTCGCATTGTGCTAGCTCCTGCAGGAGGGGAGGAGAAAAGGGCAAAGCAAGAACTATCATTGCTAGCCTCGGACTCATCCTGGAAAACTCAACGGGACGCAAAGGGGCAACTTGTCTGGTTTGTTGACACAGTAAGTTTCTTGATCTCCTTATCGACCTCTTCTCTATTAACGTGTCACCAGGGCGGCTTTCACTACACGTTTGAGGAGACTAAAACCTCTGTAAACAATGACGAAGAGCGGCCCTCGGCCGAGGAGTGGGTCGAGTGCCTCGAAAAAGCCAGGGATATGGCCTTATCCCATAGTGCAAATACGCAACACAATGATGGCCCATTCGGGGATATATCCTCGGCTGTATCTAGCCCATCTAGTACCTTGGGCAGCAGAGCTCAACTTCCAGATAGCCATACTAGTCACGACCGAGGCGCGCGTAATCATTTAAGCAAAAGCCAACCAAACCATGATGATTTCACACCGAAACGAAACCGATTCAGCAAACGACAGTCTCGAACGGGATTGGGGCCGGCGTTTTAGGGTCGGTTGGTTCACGGCGTGCATTTTCAAGTTCCCGATTCGCAGTCATACACCAACTACTGCGTCCTTGGTCTTGCCATTAGTTGGTATTGTCAAAAAATATTTTTTGGTCATTTGAGCACTTACATATTCGGTCTTATCATTTGCAGTCCAGAGAGTAGACATAATCACGGCGTTGTCAGCGAGGCGTACAAGTAAGGTATTATTTTCTGTCATCGTTCGCATTAGTATGGGTTGGCGGCTGTGTTCTCTGTATTCAGTCTTACCCCTACTTGTTTTTGAAGCCTCAATGGGCCTGGCCCGTGGATACAGGACAATTCTCACACGCGACTAATCATGGTAAATGCGTGTGAATGTGATATCAGATTTTGTGGTCACTTGCCCCCCCCCCCCGCGGAGCAATATACGGAAATATTTTAGACATTATTTTATTCTTGTCTACAGGGCTGAAATTCGCTGGTTATAGTCGTAATGGTTACTACTAGTGCAAAAACAACTAGTATCAGTAGGTTGCGAGCATGCGGGCATCTTGAACCTACTTTGAGTGAAGTAACCATATTCTAGCCCGTGGGAGACCGCAGCCGGGAAAAAAGGCAGAATTTAAATGCGAAAAGTTTGTGGGAAGGGATTTCCTCAGAAACTGCGATTTGCGCAGTCACCATATTTTCCCTAGCAAGTATAGGTCCTCTTCACCATAGATCGGCATAGAATTCGACCATGCTCACAAAAAAATTTATTTTCTCCAAATATTGTACAATTCATCCTGCAACCCGGTAGTTGCATCATTTCTGGCCCGTAGAATGCATAGGATAACTTGATTCTGCACATTTTTGCATTCACGGTCGTCGTGCCAGGCACTTGTGGTGTTGCGGCTGATCATGTGGTATATCACGTGCCGACAAAATCATCACGACGCTGGCACCAACGCCTGCGTATTGCAAAGAAATATCCTACGACCTTAAGATATCTAGGTGTAATGACCAACGCGACGTCGCAATGCAGACTCAATATCGCAGCTATCCACAGCAAGTCCCCCAACGCTCTCCTCATACTGCTAACCAGCGTCGGGGAGGTATAGGTAAGAATGCGCATCTTCAGTCTCTTATCAGCCTCTGCCGCACATGATGCGCACGACTAATTTCTATTAGGCCCAATGATGTCGTCTGGTCCTCATCCTTCTGTGCCATTGACGCAAGCCCAGATTGCCCAGCAGCAGCAGGCGCAAGCTCATGCCCATGAGCTTGCTAGACGTCGGAGCCGCAAACCTACTGACAAGAACATCCCCGAGGGGGTAGAAGACAGCATCATCGACCCAGAAGCAGTTCAGAGATATAAAGCATTGAGAGATGTAGAAAGAACCCTTGACGCTACTATAACTCGGAAGCGGCTTGATGTAGCCGAGGCATGCAGCCGCAGTAGCCACAAGGTCCGTAATTACGAACCCTCGTCTTCAAAGGTTGATCCATAAATCGTGGCCTGGCAGCACTTCGCTAACAGGACTTTCAGCTCTCCAAAACGCTTCGAATTTGGATTAGCAATACGGCTGAGGATCAATCTTGGCAAGCTACAGGGTTGAACGTTGACACTTTTGATTTCACATCTAATATGGAAGCATCATTTCGCGTCAAGATTGAAGGACGTTTGTTAGATGACGACGAATACGTAATTGGACAACCAAGAAGCGACGATGTGAAGATGAAACGCGATGCCTCTCAAAATAATCGGGAGGTGTCAGATCAATCCCAAGCGATTCAAAATAGCTCTGCCGGTTCCGGTGCCGCGACTTATCGGCTCTCTCACTTCTTCAAGTCACTCTCCGTCGACTTCGATTGCGCTCGCTTTCGGAGCGGAGCCGGGCAGAATGTCGAATGGAAGAAGCCAGAGCCTTCATCAAAAAATCAGTCTGGGAGCAACACAACCTCCGCCTCTGACTTTGATGAGCTTACATTCAAGAGAAACGGTGACGAAAACATGAACATCATGATTAACTTGTACCGACATGAATCCCCTGAGCGGTACCAATTGAGCCCTGAACTAGCTGAGGCCGTTGACATGTCCGAGGCGACACAACAAGAGGCAGTTGCAGCCTTGTGGGAGTATATAAGATTTTGGAATCTCCAGGAGGATGAAGAGAAAAGAAATTTCCGTTGCGATGAAGTCTTGAGAAAGGTGAGGCTATTGGCCTATTGGCCTATCACACTCGATTACCATTGGCTAATATTGGCGTCCTTAGATTGTTGGAAGAGGTGACATCGGCTACATCCCAATGTTGAATGAGTATGTGACTCAGCATCTTCGGCCATTACCGCCAGTCAGTTTACCATACACAATCCGTGTCGATGAGGACTTCCACAAAGACCCCCGCGCCACGGTCTACGATGTACAAGTTCTTATAGACGATCCTCTACGCAGCACACTACAACCTGTGGTCAACAATTCACAATATACATCAATGTTAAAGGACGTAACAATGCTCGATGATCAACTGGCTCGCTTAATACAGGCCATCGCAGTCTCAAAAGCGAAACACTCGTTCTTCTCGTTCCTGAGCGAGGACCCCGCAACCTTTGTCAAGAGCTGGCTCAGCTCCCAGAGACGGGACCTGGAGGTGATTCTAGGGGACACTTCCAAGGGTGGGGGTGACGCTCTGGCGGCTGATGAATGGAGGCGTGGAGGTTCAAATAGCGTTTGGGCAACACAGAACGCGCGTGAAAGTGTTAATGTCCTGTTGTCCAGACAGCGCTAAGAGGTACGGCAATGGCATAGTTTTTGGCCCACAAGTTCAAGTCACATCTTACGAATTCGAGATCATCCAGTTTGTATGAGCATTTCAAGCTCAATTGGGCGTTATAGGAGCGTCTACCCTTTTCAAGATTATTGACTCATGTACTTGGTATCATATTCGAAATGATCATTACATGGTGGGGGGCATGCCTTCATGAGTTCACCTGCGGTTTCCTGCAATTGCCATGTATTGTTACTAGCTGATCAAGGACCATAGCAAAGCCACCGAGGCGCATTGCTCCCCGCAAACCCGCCATCTGCCCGAGTTAGAGTTTCCCTTGCAGCTCAAAACGAAAAAAAGCCTTCCGCGGCCAGTAATGTCCTATTATGATAATTGTCAGATTCTCACGCCTCTGCCAGCCTTTGAAGGCCACGTCATCTTTGCATGGGAACTGGGTTGGGGGGCATATTTCGAATCTGCTTAATGAGGAATTCTCTTTCATCGATGAATTGCTCGTCGTCAGTCCGATCTTCAAGGAAATGCGAAAGAAATGTCAGAAGCTTTTCGCGGTTCATAATGAGGATTTTTTGCACGGCGATAGATTTGTGTGGATTAGCAACGAATACTTTGAACACATGAAAGCCCTCATATTGGACCATCTTCCGATCGTCGCGGAGCAGATTCATGCATATTTTAAGGTGGTCTCCCTGATCGACATACGCGGTCATGACGCTGTAGTTGGATCGATCCAGTAAAATCTCTCCTAGAAGTTTGATGGATTGGCGCTTGGTGACATAGCTACCGGATTGCACCAGGGTACCGTTGTATTTCTCGAAAAACATGTCGAAGTTTACCGAGAGATATCGTGGAACGAGGTCCTTGTGCCGGGTCAATAATTCCTGCAAAACCTGTCAATCACATGCACAGTCCAGAGGTCGATTGGCGCAAATCGATGCACATTGTAGAATTCGTACCCTGAATGTGGTAAATGCATCGGCCGCTACCTCAAATGAACTCTTGTCTATCCAATCGAAAAATCTCCAGAACACCCCCCTGCCACTTTGCGGGCGGTCGCGATCAATAGCATTCAAACCCTTGGCACTGGAGCCAGGTTCGTCCCCGTCGTCGTAGAGTATGACAGCTGCTGCAGCCTCATTCTTCAGTAATTCCCGTAGGACGGATCCAGCTGGCGTTGCACTCTCTTTGTGACCATACGCTCGGCACAGTTCAACCAGGACCTGTGGCCGATTGCATACGACATATGACAGAGCGATGGGATCGCTTTTCGGAGCTGCAGATGCGGGTCGAAACCTAAACACATAGGAAAATATAACTTGGGTATCCTTTCGCGATTCAAATGGCAGACGATAGAGATTAATTGCAAGAAGGTAGAGTAGATCTTCGTCGATAAGGCCAGTTACAAGTTGGTAAATTTGTTCCGGTGAGCTGTCCGTTTCTATTTGTCAAGTCAGCCATTTGCATGTCAAAATTCCGAGTTACCTTCCTAGGCATGGACTCCGAGGGATATAGTCGCACATACCTTGTGTTCCTTGTAGGACGGTTTTCATTTGGTTCAGAACCCGTGATAGCTCTTCGGCCTTACGAGATTGTATGAGCCTCAGAGGACCTTCTCTGTCTGTGGGGGAACAAAATTGTGCCCGAATAACATACCTTTACCGCGGGGTTTGGGCCCTCGAGGCGTAGTACATGCTCTCTGGCCTGTCTGGGCAGGTCGACCGCGGCGCGAGATCGTGCCCTACCGAACAGGAACGACATTGTGTCTGTGTCAATGTCGGACTCAGTTGGGAACGCGTACCTCGTACTCATTCAGCGTAATGACATCAATGCCTCCGCTGTCTAGCACTGTCGGATGTTGGGTGAACAAGAGGCTGCCCATGTCCCGCTGTGCTGTATTTTACAATGGACGAGTGAACGCCTATTCAAGTGATGTAAAGTACTTAAAAGTACCTAGGTATCTGACAGTATTAACTACCTCCTAGGTACCTAGGTATGTTCTCATGTCAACAGCCACCACGCGTTGGGTGGACGCGCCAAACACCTTATGCAGGGCTGCCCCCACTTCCGAACACAGGGCAAAACAAAACATTTGCGAACGAGGTCAGTGAGGCTATGAATTACGATAATGGCATCGCGCAGGCAGACGAGGAGCGAACATGCACATATTGGGAGGAATACAATTTACGGCATTTATTTTTCTTAACTCACCGCACAGATATCATGGCCGAAGTAATATTGACCCCAGAGAGCCATGCACTCGCTGATGATGCTGCACGGAGTAGTGGCTGGGCATTTCTCAATTCGCTACTAACCTACTGACCCCACCTTGACTCATAACGCACCAACTTCGTTTTGAATGGCCATACGCACTGGCAGAAAATTTATCATTGAGTCACCCGCCCTGTTTCGTGGACACTTGGATTCCATGTTACAAAGTGGAGGATCGACAGGTCATAACTGGTGAAGGTGCTAGATATCCTAACATTGAATTCCATTCAGCACTTTCCTTTCCGACATCGACACCATGTCTATCGATTTTCCGAAGGAGGAGGTCGCAACCATTGACCGATGGCGTGCCATTGATGCATTCCACCGTCAGGTACGAGAATACATGGCTACTCTGGCCTTGATGATTCCTCAAGAGGCCCGCTGACTCTCTTTGTGGATAGCTCGAATTATCCAGCGGCCGTCCGCATTATACATTCTATGATGGGCCGCCCTTTGCAACGGGCTTACCTCACTATGGGCATTTACTAGCTTCGACAATCAAAGACATTATTCCAAGATACTGGTCTATGAAAGGCTATCATGTTGAGCGCAGATTTGGCTGGGACACCCACGGGCTGCCAATCGAACACGAAATCGACAAGAAATTAGGGATATCCGGAAAGGCAGCCGTTACCAAGTTCGGAATAGAAAAGTACAACGAAGAGTGTCGCTCCATCGTCATGCGCTATGCTTCGGAGTGGCGAGTGACAATTGAACGATTGGGACGGTGGATAGATTTTGACAATGATTACAAGGTGAGAAGCACAAATCGATCGATAGCAGGGCGTATGCTAACAGTTCTATTGTCAAAAGACAATGGACCCCAAGTTTATGGAGTCACTGTGGTGGGTTTTCAAGCAGTTGTTCGAGAAAGGGCAGGTGTACCAAGGCCATCGGGTCATGCCATATTCCACCGTCCTCACAACTGCATTAAGCAACTTCGAAGCCAACCAGAATTACCAGGATGTGACTGATCCTGCAGTAGTGGTGTCGTTCCCCTTGGTTAAGGACCCCAATGTCCACTTGTTGGCCTGGACGACGACTCCCTGGACACTGCCTTCTCACACTGGTCTTGCTGTGCATCCTGAGTTCGAATACATCAAAATACATGACGAGAAATCCGGAAAAGTCTTTGTGATACTGGAACAGCTTCTATCAACTTTGTATAAAGACCCCAAGAAGGCAAAGTATTCAGTGGTCGATAAGGTCAAGGGGAAAGATATGCTGGGATGGCAATACAAGCCACTTTTCGATTACTTTTACAAAGACTTCAAGGACTTTGGTTTCCGTGTTCTCAATGGAACTTATGTCACAGCAGAGAGTGGTACGGGAATTGTGCATCAAGCGCCCGCCTTTGGCGAGGAAGATTACAATCTTGCCGTTGCCGCGGGAGTTATCACTGAAAAACGGCCACCGCCAGACCCGCTTGACGATACTGGCCACTTTACGGAAAAAGTACCAGACTTTGCTGGCATGCATGTCAAACAAGCAGACAAACACATCATCAAGCATTTGAAAGCTGCCGACCGCTTGGTTGTTGAGTCACAATTACGACATTCATATCCAATGTGCCCTAGATCGGACACCCCCCTTATTTACCGGGCGGTGCCTTCCTGGTTCATTAGAATCCCTGAAATCATCCCCGACATGCTTGAAAACATAGAAAGCTCCCACTGGGTCCCTTCTTTTGTCAAAGAGCGTCGATTTGCTAGCTGGATCGCCAACGCTAGGGATTGGAACGTGGGAAGAAACCGATATTGGGGCACACCTATTCCTCTTTGGGTCAGTGATGACCTGGAAGAAAGGGTCTGTATAGGGAGCATCGAAGAGCTTCGCTTACTCAGCGGTTACAAAGGCGAATTAAAAGATCTACACAGAGATAAGGTTGACCACATCACTATTCCGAGCAAAATGGGCAAAGGCACATTGAGACGAGTTGATGAAGTCTTCGACTGTTGGTTTGAATCAGGTAGCATGCCGTATGCTAGCCAGCATTATCCGTTTGAGAACGTCGAAAAGTTCCAGAAGTCGTTTCCTGGAGACTTTATTGCCGAAGGCCTCGATCAAACAAGAGGGTGGTTCTACACTCTACTCGTGCTTGGGACGCATCTATTTGGCTGTTCGCCTTTTCAGAACTGTGTCGTGAATGGAATTGTACTGGCGGAAGATGGAAAAAAGATGTCGAAACGACTAAAAAACTATCCAGACCCGTCTATTGTCATGGATAAGTATGGATCCGATGCTCTCCGACTTTACCTTATTAACTCACCAGTTGTTCGAGCTGAACCGCTTCGTTTCAAAGAGTCCGGTGTAAAGGAAGTAGTGCAGAAAGTGCTACTTCCTCTTTGGAACAGTTTCAAGTTCTTTGAGGGACAAACCGCCTTGCTGAAAAAGGCGGAAGGAGTAGACTACATGTGGAACCCAGACATGGAATCTGAAAATGACAATGTGATGGATCGCTGGATTCTGGCAAGTTGCCAAAGCCTGCTTAAGTTCGTCAATGAGGAAATGCGAGGTATAACCCAACTGTCCACTATCACCAAGGAACTTTTGAACCTGACACGAAAGCAGGATATCGACTATACACTGTTGTTCCACGTCTTCTTGAACTTATTGATAACACTACAAATTGGTACATCCGATTCAATCGTCGCCGTCTCAAGGGGGAAAATGGTCTGCAGGATACACAGCATGCTCTAAACGCACTGTTTGAGGTTCTGTACACCCTTTGTCGAGGGTTGGCCCCGTTTACGCCGTTCTTGTCAGATACCATTTATTTGAAACTACTCTCCCACATTCCTCCGACGTTGCAAGCAAAAGATCCTCGAAGTGTACACTTCCTACCATTTCCAGAGGTCAGGCAAGAGCTATTCAACTCGGATGTCGAGAGGAGGGTCTCAAGAATGCAACGAGTTATTGAATTAGCTAGGGTGTCTAGAGAACGAAGAAGCCTCGGTCTCAAGACCCCACTGAAGACATTGGTCATCATACATCACGATCCTGAATATCTTGACGACGTCAAGTCTTTGGAAAAGTACATCACTGAAGAGCTCAACGTTCGAGACCTAGTTCTTTCTGGAGACGAGGAAAACTACAACGTTCAGCTCAGTGTCACTGCAGACTGGCCGGTTCTCGGCAAAAAGCTGAGAAAAGACATGGCTCGGGTGAAAACGGCCTTGCCGGGTCTTACCAGCGAACAAGTCCAGGAATACTTACTGAACAAGGAGCTTTTGGTAGATGGTATTCGATTAGAGGAAGGAGATCTAGTAGTGCGACGCGGGTTGCGGGAGGATGCCGCGTCGAAAAGTCTTGAGATCAATTCCGACAATGAAGTTCTTACCATCCTAGATTCTGAAATCTATCCGGAGCTGGCGCAAGAGGGCCTGGCAAGAGAAATTATCAACAGAGTACAGAGGCTTCGGAAAAAGGCAGGGCTTCAGGCAACCGATGATGTCAAAATGGAATATCGAGTCTTATCCGACCCTGACAGTGTGGGTTTGACTGAAGTTTTTAGCTCTCAATCCAGCACGTTCGAAAGGATATTACGGCGGCCCCTTGAACAGGTGCAGGAGAACGATGCATCGTCTGAAATGATTGTAGAGGAGGAGCAAGAAGTGCAACAGGCCACTTTCTTATTGCGCTTAACAACTATCTAAGACACCACTTCTAGCGTACTGTCACATTTGTGTCGGTGGAACATATGACAGTGCAATTGCCTCCTGCTTCTCCTGCAGAAGGAATTCGCAGACGGTAGAGGAAGAAGAGAGCGAGGTTGAATTAAAATTTAGGACCAAAGGGAAGAAGGCAGCCAAGTACTAAAAATGGATTTCAGAAGTTGCTACCTCTTCGATACTGCTTTCTACACATCATTGTGTCAACCAGGACGTTGATATTCGAGGATGTTCGAGGCCTACCAGGTAGCAATCCTTCAATTTGATGAATTCTTTGGCGCACTTTCCCTTGTCCACAGCATTGTAATCGGCCACGACACATTTGCCATAAACAGCAGCCTAACAAAACCCCGTAAGTAGATGGATGTTGCGCGGGGGTTAAGTTGAACGCACTTCCCCTGAGCACAGCGAAGCTGCAGAGGCCAGCTTATCGAGCTGACATCGACCAAAAGCTTGACGCATGGGCTGTGTGTAGCGAAGCGTTTACTGGTTTGCTGTTGAGGCTCCCCTTCGATTGAACGCGTCGTAAAAGAAGCGCAGGCGATTTTGTGTCAAGCTCCTCAGCCGCCAGCTATTTGTTACCTCGTTTTTGTTTTACCGAGGCGGCGGAATCTGGCTCTTGAAGAGGTTGCATAGGCTCGCTATGAAATTTGGCACCAAGTGTCTTTCAACTAGCTCATCGCTGTGTGTTGCTTACATAATTCAAATGTCGTTGATTGTTCCACCACTCGCGACGGGACGCGAAGTGACTGGTCGTGAACCAAACAAGAGGGCAACGGGGACGGTTAATCCGTTTCAGAAACGCTGCAGACAAAACGGAACCTTTCATAAGTCTCGCAATATTCCCATGTCGTTCATACCTGGTGTTTCATACGATGGACGGACTGTGACAAGGAATCGTTCCCTCCAGTAAGCATCAACGCCAATTCACCGCGACGGGTCGGTCAAAACTGACAGGTTTAGTGGCAAATGTTCAGCCGTCAACCAATGGTCAAGACCATAGTTTGGCCCAACGTCCTGGCCAAGTCAGCCCCAGCCAGACACAGCTAACGCAAGAACCTTATTATTCAAACAAAGGTACGAATCGAGCCGAGAAACCTGTGTTTTCAGGCCTGAACTTTGTGTGTTTGCGCTGACACCCGATCTCTAGATATCACAATACTCCATTCCGTTGTTTCCTTAGCTCAAGATGAGTATGATCGATCGCCTTTCCCGAAACCACTCCCAGCAGCTGTTCTATTCAAGGCATATGACGATGTACTCCCTACCTTTGGAATTGACCCAGATTCCGACCATCATCTGTCCGCCTTGGTGTTTCGTATCGGGGGTGAGCATGGTGTTGGGTCTTTGCTGGACAAGTTCGAGGCAATCCTCAAGCGAATGGGAATATTTCTTGAATTTGGCGAGAATACGACTATATCCGAACGTCCCTCTTATTCGAGGTCTCCTTCTATTAAGCTTGACAAGCAAGATACCATCGACCTTGCAAACGCGCTTGCAAAGGATGCTTCTCGTGGGAAGTACGAAGATCCGTCACCTGACCCTCCTTTGAGGTCATCAACGCCGGGTCATCACCAAGAGGAACAGTCTAGCCACGTCATTGCGGAGGGAGTCACGGCTGTGGCTCATACAACAACGTTCCAGGCGCCCCATCGCCCGTCGAGTTGTAATGAGGAACATAATGACAATGCGCCCCCGGCAACCATAGCCAAGGAATTGGTCGAATCGTCATTCGGTAACCCCAATAGACTGCGCGTAGCAGACATATCTGGGGTTGGCTTGACGCCAGTAGTAGACCACTGGCCTACCATTGCATCCATCTGGGCAGGGCTCGACCATGCTTCGGATAAAAAGCCGCCTGCTACTTTTCGAGAGAAGTCACGAGACACTCTTCCATTCAACAACGTGAAGTTGTCGACATCTGCACTACTGGCGAATGGCGAGACCCTCAAGACTGATGCGATGCTTGATACAAATCCATCTGACTTGGACACTCTTGAGAATACATTTCTTGGAAATAGAGCCGCGCGAGCACGCCAAATTTTCCTTGCTAGCAAAGTCTTCAACAAGTGGGCTGATGAGACTGCAGTACGACTTGAACGGGAGGCTATTGCAAGAAGGCACATGGTTCGCTTTCGTTGTTTCAACAGCTGGACGCTCTCCCCAGATTCAAGAGTCCCGATAGTGAGGCATCTGAAAGCCATCAGTGCTATCCGAAAACTTCGACGTGCTGTTATCTGTCACGGAAAGCAGTTAAACGTGGCTGAAACATTATTTTCTCACAGCCGCATGCACAAAAAGGCGAGCCGCTGCTTGCGCTGCTGGTGTGCTCATGTTTTGGCTAGACAGTCCAGCGAAATATGCAATAGGCGTATACAAATTCGCATGGTCGAGCGCTGGCTCAAACAAGCTACCACTCACAATATGTTTGCCAGCGAGGTTGTGCAAAGTTTTCATTGCAAAAGCCGCCGATTTTGTGCTAGATGGATGAGATTGGCAAAATTATTTAGCGCCCGAGTTGCCGCAGCTAGGCGAAGTAGCGCTGCTTCACATGCCGCGATTTGGCTTCAGGAGTGGAGAGATCAAAATGAAGCAAAATTTCGGTCTCGTGCTTCCCGGGGGCTTCTGGTAACTGAGAATGCGCTACTTCTGTTTGAAGTATGGAATCTTCGAGCCCGGGCGCAGGCATTTCGCTGGAGGTGCGAGTATTCCTCTGTTCTTAGGGTCATGGATAGATGGTTTACGGCTGCAAAGCTTGACTCTATGCAAGAAGCTGGATCAAAGAAATACTCTATCAAAGGAACAACTAACATGTTTATGAATCGCATGCGTTCTCATATCCGGGAACAGCAAGAGTTGAGTCACTTGGGAAAGCGCGCAACATGGTATATTCGGGCCACTCGTCTGGTACATGTTCTTGATAATACAGCCCGATATCATAAACATCAAGCAAGGCTTGTGGTCAGGCGATATCTCATGATGAGATACACTCAGGTTTCATCCAAGAGGAGGCAGCGCGGCTTCTATTTGGCACTGGGCCGCTGGCAGTTGCATGTCAACCAAATATTGGACTTGATACGAGCAGGATACGACTACCAGATAAAGCACGATACGGACTACAAGCTAGCGGCAGTTACGTCTTGGGGACAGAATACATTGCAAGCTGAGACATTACTCTCAGTCTCTATGGGTCATCTCAGGGAACACACACTAGGCAAATGGAGGCACGAGGCGTTCAATGATGAACGGCGACGGACGGAAGCGTTGGAACTATGGTCGAGTGAGAGGCAACGCCACTCGCTCAAGACCTGGGCAATTTCCACACTTCAGCGGATTGGGCAGGCTCATTCTGCAGTGACTGTCAGACAAAGACACAGCCGCGGAAGTTGTAACAGAGCTCTTCTGACATGGAGGCAACATACGAGTCCAACGGATGCAGGTTTGCCAGACCTACAATCTCCAGCCTGGAACGGCCGATTACATGTCTCCCGTAGGGTCATGAAATCGCTTTCGAGGTCGCGTCCTGCTTTCCGCCGATTTGAAGATGGTCAAGACCTTATGAGTCCATTGAAGACCCCTTCTCGTTCAACTGGGCTTTCTTTGGGAACGGCTCGCACGATCCCTGCACCACTGATGTATCCTGTGGGAGAGGTGAATGGGAAGTCAGTGAACAGGAGAGACAGCAAAGTAGCTGACCTTGGGGCTCATGACGACTTGCGTCTTAGTCATGTGGCTGTACCTGGAACTATAGGCTCGACAACGCCGCAGGCTCCTTTAGCAAGGGAGACTCCCTGGGCGATGCGTTATGCCTCAACTTCTGGATGGCATCGGGGACATGCATCATCCACCGGACTAGTCAGGGCGCGTCGAATTTTTGATAATGACGATCACATTGGTAACAGCTTTTCGGCGGGCAGGGGATCGAAAACAATTATTTCAAAGTGGCATAGACGGGCAATCGGCGAGAGTAATACGGCGGAGAGGAGCTCTTCGACTACTCCCATGTCCCGGGGTAATTTCGCCAAATCCAAGTCGTGAGCTGCCTTTAGCCGGCAGTAGGGCCGGTGTAGTGTTCTGGTCCATGTGAGACTTCATATTGCCTATAATAAATAGGCTCTCGGTCTTTTAGAACTTATGTATTTTGCCCTCGCTGCATCGCCCAACCGAGGCGGGTTTCTGCCGGTCAGGCTTATATACCCCTGAAGTAATCAGTGAACGTGGATCTCTAGGGCGATCATAGTGCACCTGTTGTCGTCTGACGGATATCAGACCTGTCGTGCGTAATTATGGGAGGAGTTGGGCGATGTCAATGGGCAACCAATGTACTACTACCAACACATCGCGTAGCCATATTTTCTGCCGTCGGAGGTCTACTTCACGGTTGTAAGTGTGCATTGGCAAGCCTTTCCATCTTATCAGTTACGATCCGATGCCCCAGTGGCTATATCGACGACCATTACTCATCTCCTGAAGTAGGCACAGGCTAATATAGAATGCAAGCTTCCGAAACGATAATGCACAGTGTACACCCACCCTGTACTCGTGCAGCGCTCCACTATCAAAAGGCTCGCTAGAACTCGCCATCTCATATATGGTGCTCGACACTTAGGCGGACCACGCACCAAGGCGAACCATGTTATTAATATAGCAATTTTTCTCTGTGCCTTACTAACTTGCTAAGCAGTGATCATATGATTATGTTGTTAAAGCTAGCTGCAGTTTAAATGATAGCGTGGCCCGCGTTGGTGGGTGGTCTGCCTTGGTGTCGTTAAGTTCAGCAGAGTCGTCTGACGTCACGTGCCATTCGTTACATAATAGAGTCATTGCGTCACAGGTGCAAGCTCCACATGTGCAGCTCCGCTCTGGTCGTTTACGCAGCTGAAAATCGGATGGCAAGGTATCCTACAGACAACTTTGAGCCAGTCGCTCCATTGACATCCAGACATGAAAGAAGATCATCCAAATCCGATATCATGATTGCCGTACTTCCCGGCCAACCCCCAACAAGACTCCAAGGTATAACGACTGGCTTTTGGGATGGGCGTCATCAAAATGTGAGTTGTCCCTGCGGATCTAGCCGGAGCCCAGCCCTCATATCACCCGCTCCAACAGGCCTATATAAGCGGCAGTGCCTTCACAATCCTCGATGGAGCATATCGAATCTTGCAAACGGTGTACGACGACGACAACGAGCAGGACCTCGACGCGATTGCTATCGACGAATCATCTGGCAAGATTGCAACCTGCACAGCGAAACAAGTCCGCATATACCGGCCTCTTGTTTTACAAGATGACAACAGAAAGGTTGTGTAGTTTCTTCAACAAGCTCATTCGCACTCAATCCACAGACCGTGGTACTGACATTCCCCCAGTGGGCACAACAATCGTGTTTTGATATACCATGTCCTACCCCAAAAGCAACTTGTGCTCTGTCTTGGGGCGGCTCTGAAGAGCTTCTCGTAGCCTCAAACGCACTATCCCTGTTCGCCACTGCCTCATTTCCCGCGAATACATGGCAAAGGGTTCTGCCCAACCCGGTCAAGTATGCCATCATCTCCCACGACTCGGCATACATCGCTTCCATTGGTCAGCATGATTGCCTAACCAAAGTCTGGAGGAGACTTGTCTACGGTGCAGACGAGGTTCGGTTCGACGTGACCTACCTTCGTCATCCTGATATTGTCGTATCGATGAGATGGCGCAGACCACGTCACTCAGACCAGTCAGTGGATAATGTCCTCTACACAACATGTCTTGACAATTCAGTCCGTGTCTGGACCCCAACGGAGGCAACTGAAGGTCGACACTGGCAACTATTGGGCCGAGTTGATTTGAACGAGCCAGCTATAGACGTGCCAGTACGACCACACCCTCCACTCATATTTATCGTGGATGGATGTGAATTTACTGCTGCCATGGAAAAAGCTGTGAAGGCTCGAGCGGCTGATGGTCCAAGCACAGATGACGCAACTATAGGCCATCTAGCTGCTGTTGCAAATAAAAGCCCTGAAATATGTGTCAAAATCGACAAATTTGGCAATATTTCCGCGTGGGCCTTGGAGAATGTAGGGAACAGCAAGACTGAAGAGTTCAGTGTCTTCAGTGTTGCCCAGCTTAAGTTGTCGCATTTTGAAATAGTGGACGACTTCTTGAGCGGCCAAGAAGTGGCGGGACACACTGAGGTCCAGAACTACTGTGACAGGTCAAGTGGAAGGCTCCACATTATGCTGCACTCTTTTGATGGCAAGATCGGAGTTTTTGCTGGTAATTTGGTGGACCTATTGGATCCCAAAAACAACGACCGACGTCTCGACCTCCAAACTGTCTGGACTGGACATACTGCACCCATCAAGAAGATCGTGCGTAACTTCAGTGGTCATGCAGTGGTTTCTCGAACTGCCAGTGGAGAATGTATTCTATGGTGTCATTCTACTCTAGGTGGCGTACACGGAGACCAAACACTTATCCGTAGGTCTGTCATACCGGAAAGCGGACACATACATCGCATATGCGTCCTTCGGAAGGGGCGCTTTGTCGTTCTTCTATACCACGGAGCTATTGTTGTCTGGGATTGCCGTAATAGCATTGCATCACGACTTGCCGAACGTTCCTTTGACATACAAGAAACACCACTCTGCCTAATAGTGCTTCCTCCACCGCGAAACACGGATTATACGCTGGCTTACATTGCCACAATAACATCAAGCGGGCGTGGAATCGTGTGGGAAATTCGTCTCCCCCAGTATCTTAGCAACGATACCACAAATAAAGATACGATAGGGCTGTCTGAGTTTTGCCGGTTCGAACTTGCCACGCCAGACGGATTGAAGTATGTGCTCCCTGTGGACCCGGCCGGAGCGGCCCCGGCTACGTCTGGTTTTCTTGACATATTTGCTCGTGATTTAGCGATATCATACACCCGTGCCGGACGGGTTAATTTCTGGACGGCGCGTGTTAACCTAGAAAGCCGAGCGGTGGACTGGTTATCAACATCCTGTACGGAGACTGGCCTTCTGGATCCGGCACTTGCAAGTGGTAGCATGCTTAAAAAAGCAGCTCTAGTGAATCTCACGAGATCACAGCTCACAATTTGGGATATTGGCGGTTCGCGTCTTGAATATGATATGGACTATAAGGCACATCATAGTATCCAGGACCTTGATTGGACATCAACCCCCGATGCACAGGCCATTCTCGCTGTTGGGTTTCAACATCGTGTCGTACTACTGTCTCAAATGAGGTTCGACTACTTGAATAAAGGGCCAGCGTGGGCACCAATTCACGAGATCGACATTCGAGACCTTACAGCTCACCCGATTGGAGATTCCACCTGGCTTGCCGATGGCCACCTGGTAATTGCTGCGGGAAATCAGCTTTTCGTTTATGATCGACGTATGGATACAGAGGATTCTTCTATCACACCCATCAGCCATCTTAACAAAGATCATCGTAGGGATCTGTTTGAAGTCGTACAGAGATTTAATGGACCCATCCCCATATTTCATCCCCAATTCCTTAGCCAATGCATTCTGTCCGGGAAAGGTCCTATCGTACGTCGCATCTTACTTGCCCTATACAAAACTTTGAGATACCTGATTCCAGGCGATACCATTGATGATTACTTGGGTCTTCCGCTATCAGAGTTCTACACCGAGAATGTAAGTAAAAATTTCAAGGACGATGTTCTTGTGCTAATACGAACATGTAGACGTCTCAAATCAGCTCGTCGGGCAAAGCTAAGGGGACCTCATTCTTAGACGACAACGAGTGCGAAGAGGACGATGTATTTTCCGCGCAGACGGCAACGTATATAAACGAGGCGTTGACAAAGATACGTATTCCTCAGCTTACGGGACACGAACAGATTCAATTGGCAGATATTATCGAGTGTGCTGCAGTGGTGGAAAGTCATAGAAGATCAATAGATGAAAATGGAGCTCGGTTTATGCTGTTCTTCCGACAGCATGCGCTTCGCAAAGGTCGGATGAATGACATGCACCTCTCATGGAGAGAAATAAACTGGGCATTCCACTCTAGTAGCCAGGACATACTTCTAGATTTCGTGTCCCGTCAAAACCACAGGGCGATGCTGTGGGAACCAGCTCGGGAATGTGGAGTTTTCATGTGGCTTTCTGATTTGACATTATTAGTATGCTCCTTACGACCTTTATATCTGGTAAACTCTCTATGCTAACGTGACATAGCGTGACCAGTTTGAAGTGGTAGCAAGAAATGAGTACACCAAAAACGAGTTGAAAGACCCGGTGGATTGCAGCTTGTTCTACCTCGCTTTACGTAAGAAAACAATATTGCAAGGACTTTGGCGGATGGCAAGCTGGAATGAAGAACAAGTAGCCACCCAGAAGTTACTGGCAAATAATTTTGATGACCCAAAATGGCGGAGGACAGCACTGAAGAATGCATACGCATTGCTCAGCAAGCGACGGTTTCGTGAGTCGTAATCAAGTAGACGCAAGGAATAAGGCTACATACTGACCGCGAAACAAGATTACGCCGCAGCCTTCTTCCTGTTGGGTGGCCGTCTCGAAGACGCTGTCGAGGTCTGTCTCCGGCAAATCAAGGACCTGCAACTAGCAATCGCCATTTGTCGTGTTTATGAAGGGGACAATGGCTTAGTACTTCGAAAACTCATCCAAGATGAAGTACTTCCTTTAGCTGCACAGGAGGGCAACCGCTGGCTTGCCTCTTGGGGTTTTTGGATGCTTGGTCGCAAAGACATGGCCGTTAGGGCACTGATTGTAAGTTGCAACTCCCCCGAAACTGACATTTCAATGCGATACTCTTCAAATTTACTGATTTGAACAAGATGCCTGTCTTTGCGCTCTTAGAGACTCCTTGCTCCCCGGACATCAAGTCTCGCTTCTTCTTGACCGACGACCCTGCCCTGGTGGTTCTTTATTCCCAATTACGTCAACAGACTTTGCAGACGCTTCGAGGAGCCTCCAAAGTAACACCAAAAGTTGAGTGGGAGTTTGTTCTTCACAGCGCTAAGACTTATGACCGCATGGGGTGTGATCTTCTCGGGCTAGACCTTGGTAAGTGCATGGTCACTCAAAGATGAAACGTTTGTTGCGGTCCAAGATTTCTTTCCTTTGTCTGCATTCCAAGGCTCTTGGTGTAAAAAAGTGATTCTGGCTAACAGGATGGATGTGTCAGTTCGCAACTGGGAATTTCAGCAACCTGCTACCAGTGGCTTTGGTGGTGAAGTAAACCCCTTAAAGCTGTTGAGACGGAGAAGTTCGCTGGTAGTGGATGATCTCTCAGCAGCAAGACGCAGCCTCGGCTTGGAACGGACCCGCGACCTCACGATTGATGGTCCTTCCAAGTCATCTCCGTCAACATTTGTGGAGCCCGAAGCCTCTTCACTGCTCGACAGCTTTGGACTTTAGATGTATATTAGAGATTTTGCGGCGCTCACGCTACGTCGACGATGCATGTTAGTCTCGGGATCTGATGTTTTGAAAAGCCCGCGGTGGGTGAACAAACCAATGGTACATCGCCGAGTCTTGTATCAAGATAGGCCGTGCCCCTACCTTCATATGTCGACTAAACTTACGTTTGACGAATCGTAAATCGATATCATTTGCATCTTCTTGATTACTGAACCATCGTTGCTCTTGTTTGCGCGTAAATCACTCCGCCTGGGCCTTTCGCTTTCCCACCATATTCCCCCAGTCTTGAGGGTCGGAAGTCAGTCATGCTTAGTCAGATTTTGATCTTGCTCACCACCCAGGTACCAAAGATATAAATGGGGTTTGCAGAGTTCGACTTCACCTTCCATGGGTGTACTCAACATCTTCAAGGCTTTTCCATCCCGACTGCACTCTCGTGTGGACTTGTCCACAATGAACCCACCGAAACCGATGATTGAAGGCAACAGCTTCACGCTGCGAAGCGTGGTCGTGGGCCTGGCTGTTGGGACGGTCATCTGTGCTGCCAATGTCTACTTCGGACTTCAGACGGGCTGGGTGTCAATAATGTCCATGCCGGCTAGTCTGATGGGGTTTGGAATTTTCAAAATGTTGCGACCCCATTTAAGCTTCCCCTTCTCTCCAGTCGAGAATGTCTTATTGCAAAGTGTCGCCTGTGGTATGGCTATTATGCCGCTTGGATGCGGCTTCGTTGGAGTGGTTCGTCTTAAACCCCGTTTCCTGACAACCGCTCGCCTGGTGTATGGCGATTGACTCTATCAACGACAGATTCCTGCTATGAATTACCTGCTGTATCCTACGGAAGAGGGACCCATCTACCTCAGTACTACGCAACTCATTATCTGGTCACTTGGGCTGTGCTATTTCGGAGTGGTATTTGCTGTACCTTTGTGAGACAAACCCCCCCCCTAGCAAGATTTTACCAAACGAAACCTGGCTAACGGCTGAGATCGGTTCGTTTTAATCTCATAGGAGGCAGCAGGTAATAATCCGGGAGCGATTAAAATTTCCCAGTGGCTTCAGCACTGCTGTTCTCATATCTGTGCTTCACGGCAAAGGGCCGCAATCTTCCATGCCAGAGGACTTATATAGCGCCGCACAGGGTGGTTTTGCCAGTCTGGTTCCGCGTACAGCCATTCAAGATGACGCTGTGTCAGATACTAATACCGGAGATGGCGACGAACATGACATCTTGGAAACTCAAGCAGATCCACCATCGGAATGGGCATCAAACATGGGGCTGCTCCTAATTTGTTTCTCTATTTCCGGCTTCTTTACCGTTTTAACGTATTTCTTGCCCGTCCTTCGAAATCTTCCAATATTTGGTACGGTTGCCGCCAATACTTGGCTCTGGACGTTAAACCCTAGCCTCGCTTATGTTGGCCAAGGCGTGATCATGGGCACCGAGACAACACTGCATATGACATTGGGAGCTGTTGTTGGTTGGGGTTTCCTTAGCCCGCTAGCAAAGTTGAAGAGCTGGGCTCCAGGGCCAGTGGATGACTGGGAGCATGGCAGCAAAGGATGGATTATCTGGGTATCGCTGGCAATCATGCTAGTGGATGCTGTCGTTAGTCTCGGCTATCTTGCATCACGATCTTTTCTCCTCCCCTCAATATCGAGATTCACTGAAAACTTTCGGAAAAGACTACAAAACGCAAGAAGACAAATGTTTGAGGATTCATCTCCCCAGTACTCCTTGCTGCAGGACCAGTACGAACACTTCCAATCTCATACGCAAGGCATCATTGATAATACAAGGACGTTGAGCGACGATGGCAGCGATAACATTGATGATGTTGAGGGCGATGACGATGCCCCGGCTGATCAACGCGTCGGGGGGAGATTGGTAATCATCGGACTTATCGCTTCCATTATATTGTGTATAGGGACGACCCATTTCGTGTTCGGTGATCTTGTTCCCCTGTACGCAACCGTCATTGCCGTCTTAATTGCTCTAGTCTTGAGCGTAATGGGTGTACGGTCACTCGGAGAAACCGACCTCAACCCGGTTTCGGGCATCAGCAAGCTGGCTCAGCTTTTCTTCGCCCTAATCATCCCTCACTCTAACAAGTCGAGCGTGCTGATCAATCTTGTTGCCGGCGCAGTGGTGAGCCAATCTCTCCCGTTCCCTCGCCGCCCCCCGATAGCGCACGATTGTCTGTGGCTCTTTGTGTGTTGAACCGTGTTACCGGAAGTGTTGCTAACCTAACTATATACTAGTCAGAAGCAGTGGGTAACAGAACTCTCTGCGAAACGTTCTACTTCATCTAACCATGCCAGGGCGCATTGCAAGCCGGGGACCTCATGCAAGACCTCAAAACTGGGCATTTACTAGGCGCTGCCCCAAACGCCCAATTCTGGGGGCAAGTGATTGGTGCTACTGCTGGCGCCACTCTGAGTGCTTTCATTTATCAAATTTACGCATCGTGAGCAACAGTTTCACTCGGTCTATCACTTTATGGTCATTAACTGACAGACTGCATGATTCAGGGTTTATACCATCCCGGGAGACCTTTTTCAAGTCCCTACCGCTTATGTCTGGATATTCACAGCGAGGTTAGTTACAGGGCAAGGACTACCGTATATGGCCAAAGAGTGGGCTCTGGGGGCAGGAATCATCTTTGCTATAACAACATTGATTCGTACCGCTGGTGTCGACAAATGGTGGCGGCCATATGTTCCGGGAGGAATTGCTGTGGCAGTCGGTATGTTTGCATCATTTCTGACCCAGTGCCTCGACTCTACTCACCCTCTTAAGGAATATACAATGTACCATCATTCACCCTTGCCCGAGCGGCGGGCGGAGTCGTCTGTTGGTACTGGACGAGAATTCTGCGACGGCCGAATACACAGCTTATAATTCTCGCGTCGGTACGCCACGCTAAGCCCTACTTATCTACGTGAACGTGCTAACTTTTGAAGGGCTTCATTCTCGGAGAAGGTTTCTTGAGTATTGCCAACTTGATTCTTCAGGGCCTCAAAGTGCCGCATTTATCATAAGTATTTTCCATAGACGAGTGAGCCACAGTTCTCTACAAATAGATGAAAAACAGTGTGAAGAGCCTCTCGACATACCATGCAAGCACCTACTTCAGTTCCCAGCTTTGATCGCTCTTTTCATGTTCCGTGGACCATTGGAGACGCAACGTAAGCGCTCGTACATTGTCAGAAGCAGCAGCAAAGGAAATTATCCCTGACAAGCGGCGAGAGGTAGAAAGTGATTGCGAGGGTTTTCCTGGACCGATGAGCAGGAGACCTTGCTTCCAATGCGTCTCTGGCCCGTTCGGGCCGGTGGTGAAAGCAACGTGACCTGGCGATGCGCGAGCCCATCTGTCAGGCGTAATATCTGGTTCAGGAATTGGTTCTGACCTGCATGGGCAAAAAAAAATGTCAAACCAAATGAGAAAGCCATCTGCGTCATCCTTGCCATCGTTGAGTTCTGTTTCCCAGTTGGCTGTGAAAGCAAGATCTTCGGCATGGGTTGAATACAGATCTAGAACTTTAAATGGGCATGCTCTACCACAAGTTGACGATGCAGGCATAGCCTGTACACGAACTTCGTCGTAGATGCCCTCTTGCATTGCCTTCATGTCAAACCCGTAGACATCACGCCAGTAAGAAACATGATCTGATACGTATGCCTCGTCCTTAACAGGGGAAATCCATAGCGTGGCGGAGCTGGGAACTAGAAGGCCACCAGGCTTGAGATATTTGTCTCTTGCAAACAGCACACTTGGTAACATTGCCTCATAGAGTAGGCAGTAGCCCATCCATTCGCTAACAATGATATCGACGTCTTTGACGGGCAACTCAACGTCTTCGATACTGCCTCTCAAGCATGTTACTACATCTGACAGCTTGTTGTTGAACACGTTTTCTCGTGCTTTGTCAATAATGTCCGATCTGTCGACAGCTATCACCTTAGATGCGCCCGCCTTTGCGCAGAACATGCTGAGAATTCCTACCTGGCATGTCAGAAATGCTTTTCAAGAGATCAAGAGAAGCGTTCCCTCTCAAAATTTTCAGCGATGGGGAAAACATGCCTGTGCCACATCCAATATCTAGCACCACTTTGTCTTTGAATATGTGTTTGTTTTCATATATGAAGTCTCTGTAGGCATCAGTGCGCACCGCATCCTTGAGCATTGTCTCATGTATCTCTGTGTGTTATACGCCAAAGTATTAGCGTTGTGAGTAAGCATACTAGATTCTTGAGGTTTCATTCATACCATGCGTTGCATACGACTCGAAGTAGTAGGTTGAGGAATCGTTTCCTTTCAAGCTTGCCGACGGGTCCGGCATCTCACCGACTCCCCATCGACGATCTAGCGTTTGTTCCACAGCTAGGCGGTAATTTGCAAAGCTTTCACGAACAGAATTGAGTTCTGACGCGAGATCTCTGTTTCGTCTATGCAAGTCCTTGGTTTGCTCGTCCATAGGGTCCGAGGTTTCTGCCTGGGTATCGCTTGACTGTTGCAGAAGCACTTCATCGAGAGAGAAAATAACAGCGTCGTTGTCGAGCACTGGCTTGAGAAAACGTTCATCATCAATGTCATTGAGGGAAATCTCTGAAGGCAAAGAATTTTCGCTCTTGACCTGAGAGCGGATGTAATTCACCAGCTTCAATGCCCCAAGGAAGTCTAAATGTAGGCGTTGAATGTTCTGAACTAGGTCGAAATCATATTGCTCCCTGCAATGCTGTAGCATTTCTGCGAGTGTGGCAAAAGTCTGTACATCAAAGAGAGACACAACCTGGACATTTTCCACATCAGGTTCGACGTCCACCCAGTTGCTTTGCTCTGAAGTATCTGAACCCGAGGATGGTGATGCATCACGCAGGTTGTCCATCGTGCAATTGGAAAGCGATTCAGGTTTGAAGTCTGCATAGAATCGCTGCTGGATTTTGAAGGGTTTTCTGATCGTACGGAGGAACACACGATGCCGCTTTTTTGTGATGGGTTCCTAGTTGGCCTGGCCATTGTCCTCGCTACAAGTCAAGATTTTTTTTGCCCGGCCCCCATTAATTTACGAGTACTTCCGTAGAGAGAGGTACTTTTGTACCGACAGGCTGTGCGACTGACTGTTATGCAATAAGAGGGGTTTCTGATCAATATCGCTGTAGCGGTATGTACAGCCTTTCCCCTTCAATCCACCTCGCCATCAGCATCTTTTAGACCGTCCTCTTCATCATCCTCACCGTCGGACACATTCTCACCAAGTTTGCGAAGCCGCGCCTGTGATTCATAAGCCGTTAGCTAGAGTTATCTCTCACTTTACCGAAAGCGTTACCTTATAACGGGCGACTTTCTCCTCGAGGTCCCCAAATACCATGAGCAGGTCATCTAGCTCGGCCTGAGTTGTTCTTTTGGAGTCAGATTCTTCCAACAGCGTTTTCTCAACCTGACTCGTGAAATTAGTCACAAGTCAGCCTTCCCGTCATCATCTTGCCGTATCTTCTGTCATCGCGAGCTGTAGAATGAAGACATGGAGGAGTAACTTACACGTTCAACTTTGCGCTGTAGCTCCTCTATCCTTGTCCTGGCTATACGAAGCTGCCCTTCTAAATATGAATTCCGAGTCTCTGCTTGGGTTTTCTGCTCAACCTCAAGCGTCAGCAGCCTGGAATTTTCCTCTTGGAGCTTCTGCAGCTCCGATGCCTTAGATTTATTGGCCTGCGGAACACACGTCAATAAGTGCATCCTTTTGGGTATGATCAATATAAATGTATTTGCCTTGCCTTCATTAAGTCAACTTCAAGACGATTCATGGACGCTTTGAGATCCGCGAGCTCTGCGTCAGCTCGTAACCTGACGCGCTCAACTTCCGAGCCTGCAGACTGTTGAGCGTGAACGAGCTCAGTTTGATGTTGGATCTCTCTTGCTGTAAGCTGCGCTTGAACTGACGCAGTACGGCGCTCCTGATCGGCCGCTTTTTCTAAATGTTCCTGAGCCAACTTCCTGCGGCCAGCGTTAGCAGTTATGCGTCGACAATAGTCCACCGGAGACGTACCGTAGCTGTTCCTCGTGTACACGCCCTGCATTATCAAACGAAGCTTTGAGTTCAGATAGCTCAATTGCGGTGGCTTCACTAGACAGGCGATGTTGCGCCTCTCGATTGTGAAGTGCTTCCTCGAGTGATGTTATTCTGGCCTTGGTCTCCTGCAATGCGCGATCCTTGTCCCTGACTTGGCTACGAAGAGAATCCACCAACTCCCGGGATATGCCTTTCTGCACGCCGTTTGTCATGACAGAGATCTCCAGCTCTGGTGCCCTGTCAATCGAGCGTCCAATCCTACTGTAGTTGTCCTTGAAAAAATCAACGAAGACGGAGTCAAAGAAGATATCTGGAGGGCTGTTGCCTAAGGATGGGTGATGCTTCTGTGGTGTGACTTCGAAATCACGCATGAGAGGATGGCTTCGGAGCCGTGTGAGTCTCTCCATAAATTGCTCTCTATCCAATCTCTTCGAAAGAACAGAATGAAAACTTGTCCTTGAAAGTGGTGAATCTTTTGTTGAGAATTCATAGACAACGCCGAGAAGGAACGCGCAAAGGCCTTGAATGAGGACCCCGTGTCCAGAAACTGGCTGGGATATGGCCTGTATCAAACTCTGCACATTGCTTCCTTCCGCCAAAAAATCGTTCACAGCGTCAAGATCCTCAAAGGTCCAGCCCAGTAGCAGCATCAAGTATCCAACTGAAATTCTAGCATCATTACTACGTGAGATGCTGGTGATGAGATGAGCAGCAATGGTTTGTATACTTGTGACGACCTCCTCATCCTTAGACGAGTCTCCCTCTGTGACTTGAAGCAGCCTTGCTTTTGCCGTAGGGTTTTCATGTATCAAATGGAAGGCGATCACGGAGGCAAACCATTGGCGGTAAGGGTCACGAATACTTGTTGTAGGATCTGGTCGTAGAAGAACTGTCAAGATGTTTGCAGATTCTTCAGCGGCTGCCATGTATCCGTCGATTGCTCTGGACAAAAAATGAAGCCTGACTTCTGAATGATTTGAGAAGTAGGCCTTCAGGCATTCGCAAGCCGAAAACCGAAGATCAAATGCTGTCTGATCAAACGAATTGAGCGTCAAGTCCAGCAGGCCGTCGATTACATAGGTCTTTGTTGTAACTGTAGAGCTTTCATCCTCTTTCCCCATGCCAACAAGTAATGGAGCAGGGACCGGGACCAGCAACTGAGCGAATGTTTCCTGAAGAGGCCTCGCGTCTCGAATCATATCACCACAAGTGGTTAATGCCTACGTATGATTGCTGGTTAAGGATTGGGTGACCAGTAAAACAACAGTGAAGCTCAATTTTCTCACCTCTGCCTTTATAGCGACTTGGCCCTCTTCGCGAGAAAACGCTAATTGAAGAATGTTATGAACAAGCCCCTGCTTCCAAAAGGCCTGCTGATTCTGTAGAACACCTGCTGAGCCCGGCAGCAGAAAAAGACGAAGCACGGCGAGATATGCATACAAGTTCCGGTTACGCTGTGCCTGGGCCCATTCTGCGATGTCGGCATCAGACAATTGTGCCTGCAGCAGGCCTTCCAGCAAGCTAGCCAGCTTTGCGATGCAACCGGATTCCCGAAAGAGTGATTGGTTGGAAGCATTTCGACGCAAAAGATTTGCTAGAAGAATCAAGCAGTCTTCGACAGTTCTCCCGCCTTGTGTAAGCGAGCCATCGGCGGCCACAATGGTAAAAATCCGATCGAATGCACTTTCGAATGCCACGAGTTTTTGTAATTCCGTGGAGGTGGGCGTGAGAGCTATTAGCAGACTAATACACTCGTTCCTCACGGCCTCACGCTGGTCGTCGAGGGTAGCAACGAGTCTGCTTATACCTAAAGGTGCAGTAAAAATGCATTCTTCAGTTCTTTCGGTCCGAGCTGACAATATGGCGGCGAGTAATTGCAATGAGTACAGACGCGAGTAAAAGTCCTTGGATTCCACGAAGTCTAACAGTAGTGTTATGTTCTCCTGTCGCTGAGTAAATTCATCTGCAAGCCAGAGGATCACCTCGTCCGAGGCCTCAGGACTCTTTTCATTAGGGCTAAATAGCATCAGTAGAGTTTCCAAAACGACCTTTACAGTATCGACATCATCGCCGTCCTTGGACAAACTTCCAATGAGACATCTCAATGCGCCGGATGCCACTGATGCTGGAAAATCCTTAGCAAAGCTTCGTAAGCCTAGTATTGCAGCCCGTCGGTCTTCGAGAAGGGTCGCAGAGCTGAGACGACCGCTGAGAACTGTGATCGTTTCGCTAACGGACTGTTTGGCTGGTGTCGTTGAAATCGAAAACATGTTGCTGTCGTCGTGCACTGCGCCATTGAACAATGCGAACCCGCCGATGCTAAGAGCGTGCCTCAAGCCTGAGGCTGAGTAATCCGGAGTTGAGGGTGGTGGGTTGGCTGCGAAAGCAAAGGACAGCAGATATGCATGATTTTCCAACACCCTCACAGAAGTCACGTACGTGGTAACCCCCTGTTGACGCAGACGTAACAATGAGGAGCTTACCTTGACTGAGGAGAGCCCTACGAGGTTTTGTGGGGCGGCCCTGTAGGTAGGTAAGTACTCTGTACATTCGGGGAAAACTACCCAGCACTACCTAAGTACTTCTATGTACCTGCTCAAGTACCTAGCTAGTTCAGCACGGGCTCCGACGTACTTGGTGCTAGCTCGTTGGCGGCCAAATTCGAAATTCTCACTGATTGCAAGCAAGCATCCGTGAGAATACTCGTTCTTGCGCGTGCCCAACAACAACCCATCGACACAAAAAGTCCCACCATTGACTGCTTTTACAATCCTCGCGGCTTTCAAGATGGGGATTCCAGCTGCTTTTCGATGGCTTTCTAACAAGTATCCCAAGATCATCTCGCCGGTGATTGAAGACCAACCGGTTGTAATGCCAGATGGTTCTGTTGTGCCTGTTGATACGACTAGTCGCAATCCGAATGGCGAGGAATTTGATAACCTGTATCTTGATATGAACGGCATCGTTCATCCGTGTGCGCATCCGGAAGACAAACCTGCACCCGAGGATGAGGAGGCAATGATGCTGGAGGTATTCAGGTATACAGATCGTGTCGTCAACATGGTTAGACCTCGAAAGCTTCTCATGATTGCCGTCGGTGCGTAACTTTTGCCATTTTTACACAAGTTCGCCCATACTGACAAGGGTTCTCTCCTAGACGGCGTCGCACCTCGCGCCAAAATGAACCAGCAACGCTCTCGACGGTTCAGATCCGCACAAGATGCCAAAGAAAAGGAAGAGAACAAGAAGGAGCTTTTGAAGCTCGTAAAACAACAAAATGGCGGGGTTCTACCGTCGGATCACATCGAAAGTGCCACCAAGAAGGTGTTCGACAACAATTCTATCACACCGGGTACACCTTTCATGGATATATTAGCAGTGAGCTTGCGGTATTGGTGTCAATATAAACTGAACACTGATCCAGCATGGGCTAAGATGAAGGTCTTGATCTCTGACGCTACCGTCCCGGGAGAAGGCGAGCACAAAATCATGTCGTTCATTCGCTCGCAGAGAGCATCACCGGAATATGACCCTAATACCCGTCATGTTATCTATGGCTTGGATGCCGATTTAATCATGTTAGGGTTAGCAACCCATGAACCTCACTTCCGAGTTCTTCGTGAAGATGTATTCTTCCAGGAGGGGAAGGCTAGAACATGCCAGTTATGCGGACAAAAAGGACACGAGGCACGGACCTGCCGAGGCGAGCTAAAAGAGAAAACAGGCGATGTTGATGACAGGACTAGCAATGTTACGCTGAAGCCCTTCATCTGGCTTCACGTTTCGGTGCTGCGGGAGTATCTGGCAGCCGAATTGGCCGTTCCTGGATTACCATTTCGGTTCGATCTAGAGCGCGCGATTGATGATTGGGTCTTCATGTGCTGCTTTGTCGGAAACGATTTTCTTCCGCATCTGCCAGCATTGGAAATTCGAGAGCATGGCATCGACACTTTGACAACCATTTGGAGAAATAACTTGCCGAGCTTGGGCGGCTATGTCACTAAAGACGGGCATATTGATCTAGAAAGGGCACAGCGGATTTTGGATGGCCTCGCGAAGCAAGAGGGCGCGATTTTCAAACGTCGGAAAGAGCAGGAAGACCGCCGCGAAGCAAACGCAAAGCGAAGAAAGCTGCAACACGACAATAACTCATATCGCGGGAGCCGCCGAGGCCCTGCTAAAAACAGTAAGGATGGCCACCACGACCCTTCTCAAGGCTTGCCTCTTTATTCTATCTCCTCATATCCGAAGGAACCGCCTCGAGCTATCACCCATGACATGGTTGTGAATAAGAGCTCTGCTCAAGCTGCGATTGTTGCCAACAAAAGCGCCGCAAGCATCATCAAGGGGCAAATACGAGCAGCGAATCGGCATGATTCTGTTACGACTGAACCCGAGATTTCTTCTTCCGTCCTGGGCAAGCGTAAAGCGGAGTCTCAGCCGGGCATGGAAGCCGCAGACACGGACGCCGGAGTTGTTGGCGCTGCGCAACCTAGTAAAACAGAGCATCCGGGGCCGGCGGAAGAACCAATTGACACAGTACGCCTGTGGGAGGATGGATACGCCGACAGGTATTACCAGCAGAAGTTTCACCGCAGTCCAAATGATATCTCTTTTCGACACAAAGTAGCTCGGGCTTATGTTGAGGGGTTGGCCTGGGTCCTTCTATATTATTTTCAGGGCTGCCCTTCATGGGATTGGTACTACCCATACCACTACGCACCGTTTGCAGCAGATTTCAAAGACCTTGCGGGTATGAATATCGTATTTGAGAAGGGGAGGGTATCTAAACCATTCGAGCAGCTCATGAGTGTTTTGCCAGCAGCCTCGCGTCACGCCCTGCCTGAAGTTTTTCATCCCTTGATGACAGATCAGGACAGCGAAATAATCGACTTTTATCCCGAGGATTTTGAAGTGGATCTGAATGGCAAAAAGATGGCCTGGCAAGGTGTGGCCTTGCTACCTTTTATTGATATGCCCAGACTGCTGGCCGCTGTGCAAAACAAGTATCCGCTATTGAGCCCGGTCGAGGCCACAAGAAATGCTACCGGAAGAGACGTGCTTTTATTGTCAGACAGCAACGGGAGCATGTATGACGAAATTTTAACCAAGTTTTACTCCAAGCGACAAGAATGCTCTAGATTCAAACTAAACCCAAAAACCAGCGATGGCTTGTCGGGGAAGGTCGAAAAACAGGATGATTATGTTCCGCACAGTGCGTTACAGTATCCCCTGGAAAGACGTGCTATGCCGGATTTAGACTTTGATAAATCCGTTAGGTAAGTAACTCGGTGTGGAAACTCGGCAACTACTTACTTACATTGGCTTCTTGCTAACGAGCATCCAACAAGTGTTTTTTACGATATGCCACAGACGAATCAAATTCATAAATCGATGTTGTTGCGCGGGGCAAATCTTCCGCCGCCTTTGCTGACTCCCAGTGACATTGAGGTTATTCGCGGCAAATCAAGGCGCGGGGATCATCCTGGCTATGGGCGTGGCGGAGGACATGGTGTCACCAGCAGAGGGAACTTTGCCCCCGTATGGCGGCCACCTCCTCCTGGAGGTCCTGGTTTTGGGGTAGGAGTTCCGCCTCCACCTCCCGTATATGGTAACAATAGCTACTACCCCTACTATAGCGATTCTCGAAAATTGTAATGATTTTTTTTAAATAAATCTACACATATAGCACAACTCATGTAAATTCACAAAAAAAGTTTAGTAGTTCAAGAGATTTTTTTTTAAGTGCTTGTTCTTTTAAAAACTTTTTTTTAAAAAGCGTAGTGGTCTTTGTTTTTAAAAAATAAAGCGCAGTAGTGTTGATTTTTTTTTAAAAAAAGAAGTGCAGTAGTATTGTTTTTTTTATACACAAGTGAGATTTTTTTTTTAAAAAAAAAGTGCAGTACTATAAAATTTTTTGTAAAAAGTGAAACTCTGAAATTTATGATTATTTTATCTTTTAGGACATAAATGCGCCTAGTACTTTGAAAGCACCCTCTAAAAATTTTGCAAATCGCAAAAAAAAAGTAAGTCTTTGATTTTATGTCCTGTCTCCGTCAAATTTAGTTGCCGGCCAGCCCTGCATTGTCCATTTATTTTCGACCGTGTCGCCGCCCATAATTAGCGTGTGCTCGAGCAGGCAGCTATCTTCCTCCATTTTTGCCCCGCTGAGCAGCCGGCTGCCAGTTCTAAGAACACATCTATTTCCGATCTCCAAGCGATTAAGATCGAATTTACCCCGTGTATTTATATGAGCAACGACACTTGCATCATCCACGACAACTCTGTCACCAAGCGTGATTAGATCCGGCTCAGTGAACATCAAGTTGGGGCAGCCATTCGCAAACAAGGCACAGTCATTTCCAATCTTAGCACCTAGGGCTCGAAAGTACAAAACAATCCAGTTAGTGCCGGTCAAGAGACCGAGAATACCTTGACCACGATAACAGTGTTTGCGAAGCCTTTCAATACTTAGAAAGAGCTGCCACCGTTGGCAGTATGGGGACTTATCCCAGTCATAGTTGCCGGGTTGTCGACGACCCAACAATACCCACTTTGATGCTATGACTATGCACAGTGCCAAAACGGCTTGAAGTGATGTTAGTATGGCAAACACCAGTGTACATAACCCAAACAGCACTCCAGATTCATAGAGCATGCTGTTATTTCGAGCAATAAGCTGATTCATGAGATGATCTACCAGTTGAACAGAGGTGATATTCGGTATGTTCCAGTAGAAAGCAGTAAATATGGTCATGAATGAAGAGTAACAGAAGATGATGGCGGGTCCAAAAACATGATACGGCGCCAGCTTCAGACAGAAAGCTCTCCCAAACGGTGAGATTGTTTCGGGCACGCGCAGGTCGTCATCTGTATCACTACCAGTCTGGAAAGGCTCCAAGCATGTCTTTGATCCAGCCAAGGTGGCTTCACTGCTAATGCGCTCCCTTCGTGTAAAGGCCTTTGAAATGCTTCGATCAGCAGTCAAAGTGTCGTCGCTGCTCAGATGACGAATCCTTTGCCGAGGTTTGTGCTTCTCATGATTTCCAGCAGATAGACATACGGCATCGCGGCCTTTCGATCCTACGTATGTAGAGCCGGCTTCGTACTTCTTGTTTCTGCCTGTCAAAGAACCAGATCCCATCGTCGTTCGCTCGCCAACTTCTACTCCAGGAAGGAGACAGACCCTATCCGCAATCATAGCACCGTCTCTAATTGTGATGGGGTCAGACCCCACACCATCAGATGTTATGAGGTGTGCTCGAGAGCCAAATACCACGTCATCGCCGACGTCAAGGAGGTGGTAGTCTCCAATGCTAGGTCCAGTTCCCGGCCAGTAAACTCGTTTTCCAATCTTGCTCCCGAGCATACGCAGCGCAATCGACGTGGCTTCGTAGTGATAGCCAAATAATGCCGTCATGTCATGTAGTCGGGACACGGGCAGGAGGCTCTTCATTACATTTGCTCGCCAAGTCGAAATGGCACCATGACCATGCCCTGTCTGACTGAGCTCACCAAATACGGCATCCAGAACCAGTTTGACGGCTACTGAGAACGCGAATACAATGAAGGGGCTGAAGAAAGTCTTCAAAGACAGTGCGAGATAGTGGTATGCGACACGTCTAGGTTCGGTGAACCAATCCAGGATGTTTCGAATCGGTGTACCGGCAACCATGGGCTGCTGTAGAACCATGCCAACCAACCCTCCAATCCAGGGTATGAGCGACAAGAGCCAAGAGATCAGCCGCAGGGGTGAAGTAAGAAAGACTGTCAGCAGCCAGTGAGGTTGTGGTGCCGCATCTGGTGAAAGATATCGATTTCCTTCGTCCGCATCCTGCAGCTCCCAACTTGAAGAGTTTGGTCCAATACATGTGTTTGACGGGATTTCCGTGCCGGCCGCAACGATGGACGAAACTCCGACAGAAGACCGCTCTCCGATAGTGATTTTCCCAAGATACATTGATGTATTTCCTTCGGCTGCAAAGGGTCGACATATGCAGTGACTCAATACCGCACGGTCACGGATATCTAGAAGATCCCATTCCCCCAGTGACGCTCCAGCAAGCTTCACATTCTTTCCGATTCTCGCACCCATGAGCTTACAGTACCACGTCTGCGTCGTATCATTCAAGCCGAACCATCCTTTGCCAGAGATACTGACGATCTTCTGAACCATCCACCATCTCGTATGATATGACCCCCACATCGGGTAGAGGCCTTCACGATAGCGGCCGATAATGGTCCACTTTGCGAGGATACCAGCGAAGGGAAGGACAATTCTGACAACGATTCTCGAAAGCAGAATGCTCAGCGTGAGATTGAGGAGCCGGCCGGGAACCGTTGTATTGGTTGGCCAACTCTGCATACCACTGAGCGCCGCGATGAATATGGTCCACTGGAATGCCCTGCGTAGTGGATAAAATACGACGAGAGGGATCAGTTGAATTGCCATTAGGAATGGATTCGTCGAGCTGTTGGTTTTTGTACATCCAATGACCTCGTCCTCGGTCTCGCTAGTTGTTCTTGCTGGCGCATTCTTGTCCACATAGGCTGCAATAGCTTGAACAGAGCCAGAATTGAAAATGATGTTGATAGGAACCTGGATGCCGAATTCGCTTCTCAGAGCTGAAGTAACGCGGCCGGCACGAAGAGAGTCGCCACCAAGGTTGAAAAATTCGACGTCTCGGGGCAGCTCAGCTGGGTGGCAGTAAAGCATATTTGCAAACACTTTGGCCACCTTGCCCTCCGTTGACTCAGTCAGCTTGTCCATGGATGCTCCAAGCGATCTATCCACCATGTCCTGGAGCTTCTCGTCATCCACTTGTCCTTCATCATCCGTAGGAAACGGCTCTTCTAGAACATGGACTGTTTCCGGTACCATGTAGTTATGAACGGAGCCGCAAAGACGCTCCTTTAGATCTTCCGCGAACGCCATGGAAGGTGCTGGATAGAGCAGCTTCGCCGGAGCGCAGAATATCTCCGGTAGACATCCGCTGCTTCCTCTGCGCATATGATATCTCCCATCAGCCGAGACTGCCGCATCCAAAGATTTGCATATTGCCTCCTGGTCAATAATGCAGGGGGCACATGCGATCGACACGGACAACGCCGTGTCAGGAGCAGGGCAGGTTGCTTCCCAGTGCCTTCGCAAATACGGTGTATTTTCGCTAATCTCTGGCAAGCCAAGCCTTTGCCCAAGCTTTATTCGTAGCACCTTATTATTCTTCTTTGGCAGATCATCCATGTAGATTATTAGCGCCGGCCACTTTACTTGCTGCAACGAGGAGCGCAATGCGCTTTGCAGTCTTTTCAAGTCAATTCTGGTCTTGCCAGGTGGTGTTACAAGCACCACAGCGACGACCTCTTGTAGCACGTCATGGGGTGCCGAGAATGCCATGACTTGGCCGACCTTGCCATGGATGGGGGAAGTTGGCGATAGCGACGCAGACATGATTGCATTTTCAACCTCGAAGGGCGAGATTATTTCTCCTCCGCGATTTATGACCTCTTTGCTTCTCCCCGTGATGTAAAGATAGCCATCGCTATCCATGTAGCCTAGATCGCCAGTGTCGAACCAGCCGTCAGGGTTGAACGACGATTTGTCGAACGAGCCGTCGGGCCGCAAATAGCCAGGGAAAACAGGTTCGCCTCGGACGCAGATCCTTCCAACCGCCCCGGGTCCGACTTTGCGTTCTGACCAGTCCAGCACAGTTAGCTCGGGCCCGGCACTGACACCAGACGATCCTTCTCGGCTATAAGTGTGCTGAAGCGGTGGTGTTGATATTGGCATACATCTGGACGTCAGGCATTAGCGGATTCTCCACGTCTGGTCAGTCGTTTTGACCTTGATCTAATGTGATTGGGATTGGATGAGTTACAGGCCAGAACATACTCTGTCATTCCATAGCTTGGTAGGACAATGCAGTTAAAGGTATCTCGAATCTGGTTGGCCAATGACGGCAAAAGGCCTCCCGCAGCATTGCAGATGAGTCGTATTTTGCTCTTTTTCAGCGAACCCGGTCGTTCAAGTGCCTGAGCAAGAATGACGGAGTGCATAGAAGGAGACGCATAGTACCATGTTGGCGCCAGCGATTCCACAACATCCCAGAATAAATTCGGATCAAACGCAGCACAGCAGACTGTGCATCCTCCAGAAAACACCGGCGCAAATATGTTTCTTACCAATCCGCCACTTCGAATCTTGTTAGCCGCGCCATCAAAGTAGCTTGGTCCTAGTTCAATCAATGGAAGCAACACTTACACATGATATAGAGGCATCATATTCAGGCACGTGTCCACCGGGCTCAAACCCCAGGAATCCATCACAAATACCACTCCGGCAATGATCGAATGCAGTGTAATTGGAACTACCTTCTTTGCTCCAGATGTACCGCTGGTAAAAAGAACCAGGGCAATATCATCGGGCGCATTTGGCAAGGGCCGTGGGCTTCCAAGGTTCAAAACATGTCCAGCAGTATCGAGTATGCGAATGTCATCGCCATGATCCCAATTTACAATGTAGACTTCTATGTTTTCATGCCTGACCCAGTCGTCTCTTAGCTGTAGTTTCTCGTACTCCTGTGAGCTGGTCAATATGGCCTTGGCACCTGAATTGAGGACGTCGGCTCGAAATTGCTCTAGCCCAGCTGCTGGGTTGATCGGGGCAGCAGTGTGATAGGTGGTGACGGCGATACATGTCGCCGCGAGAAGTGGTCCATTAGTGAGGGCAATAGCAACAACCAGTTTCCGTCCCGCAGGACTGACAGCCAGGGGGAAAGTTGCCACGAAATCATGCAACCCCTTGTGTGTAATAAATTCGTTTGGATTGGTTGTTCGTAGCGCTGGACGGGAATCGCGACACATGAAATCCAATAAAGACTCGTATGAGCCCTTAATAATAGTCGATATCGTGTGTCTAAGTTTTGCAACCTCACCGTCGGGGTTTGACTTCAATTCTTCAGGTATAAGCTTCGACAGTCTTGCGTAACATCGTATAAGCGGTATCGTGGGCCATGGGCCCGGCGCCTCCGTCAACAGAGCGTGTAGGGAGTGCAAGGACCGCTCAGCGTGCTCGACCTTGTCCGAAATCGATGACAACATGCCCTTCTCGTCCCGTTTGCTGCAACCTTCATGATTTCCGCACGGGCCGCTACTTGAAACCTCTGGTGACGGTATGTTGAATATGTTCTCCAAGGCCGACAGTCCTTTGAGAGGTGCTTGCTGGGCCATGTCCGGTATCTTGTAATAGCAGCAGGTTGTAGCTACGCTGTCTGTCGGTCAAGCTGGAGGCTCCGTCTGAAACGGTTGCTGATCAGAACGAAGAAGATATTACATGATACTGAATATGGACTGCGACGGCATCATCTAATGAATCCTGCGCCTGGAACCTTTTGCAGCCGTAAGATAGATTGCGTGCCGGTCAGCTACCTCGACACGAGGCATACCAGTCATGAGGTGGGAAATCTCAGCGCCACCCTCATTACATCCATCGCCATACAGAAAGAACTGATGTGAAACACCATGATGTTGGATCTTCAAACATTAGGTCCCATCTCGCTAGGGAGACCAGTAGAACCGTCCATCCCGATCCTCCTCCTGCCCTCATCAGTGGCATCCTCAGTGTCTACAATGGGCTACTAGCCGGGGGGAAGAAGGGAGGGAGGGCCAACTTGGTTCGTTTGTTTGTGTCGACGCTGAGTGATATACTACTTAAAACAACGTCTCATAAATTGGCCTCAAGACATGCCAAGAGACAAGTCTGTAGCTGGCCTGCTCATATGTAGCTCCTCTTAGCCAACATTGATGGATCAATGGCATCTGTAAGCCACGAGTCATATTGCCCAGCTGGTCGTTTCTTCTAATGGGATAACCGAACAAAAAGGAATGAGTGGCATGAAGCTCAGGTTGCACAAATATTCCGTCACCCGCAATGCAACAAACATATTTCCAGCGCTGTCATAACGTCAGCAAAGGATAGCAGTAACAACAAACTTGATTAGGACGTGTGTCAAAGTCGGGATTCGGCAATTAGCTCTAGGACACTGCGCTTCTGTGCATGAAGTTGACTCACGAAGCACACGCGAGCGGAACACATCCACCTCAGCAAAGGGGCAATCTGCAAAGCTGTGTGTTGGGGAAGGTCATGGAGTCTGGTGAAGATGCCAGATTCGGATTAGCCATTGGGAATTACTACCAGATTTGATACGGCCCGGAACGCGACCTCTCCCTGGAGAGACATGGAGTCACGGCTGCCAGTCGTACCGGGCGGATTGGAGAGGAATGGAATTCCCTTTAATTTGATACCAACAACAAACACACGCCCGCGAGCTTCAGCGGAAATCCATGCCAATGACCGATGCGAGCACGAAATCAATAAATAGACATCATGTTCGGTATTTGTCTCCCACAGCGCGGTGATACGGGGCACGGTCAGAAGAGACTCGTAAAATTATTCTTGTCTCACTATGCGAATATTTATATCCATATTTACGGCCGGTTTGCCTCGACCAAATGACGGAACGGGACGTTGACATAACTCAAACTTGGACAGGTTAGCTGGTGACCAAGATGACCCATCACCCTCGCTCAACCCCTTTCCGCGTATTTCGCACAAGCATGCCATTCGGCACCTACCTACAGTGTGGGGCAAGAAGAAGAAGTATTTGACCAGAGAAGGGGCATTCCTACATATTAGTGTATGCTTCCACCTAGGAACTTATCAGCGAGCAAAGACTGCAAACATTAGGTAGTTTCTGAGGCACTCACACACACACTCGCACACTTTGTCAACTACTATGATGACAAGACAGCTAATGACAAGTTTTTACCAGAATACAGTAAATTCTATATTTTCCTACAATAATTTGAGACAGTCTTGTGATAGCTTTGCTGTCCTCGGAAACGGCGGCCGCACTCGTGCTTAGTATGTATAGTAGTAGGAACTAAAGTTGCAAAAATAGCATATCTTTGTGGTACGCACATGAGCAGAGAGGCCCCACTTCCGAAGTATTTTGGTTACAAAGCGGAAATATGCAATTAAAAGACTAGCCTGGCAATGTGGACAACTTAGGTCAGATAATGAGCTCTCCGCAAAACCTTTCTCTAACAAGCCGAGTGCCGAAAAGTCCTGTCGTTCTTTCAACATCGGTCCCAAGGAAAATCATCATGACCTCAGATCAACCAATTTCCACGTGCGTGTCATTGCACTGCGACACGCAAGTGGAGGACAATATGCTGACTGTGACACAGAGTCTATGTACACAACCTCGAAGAAAGGGTGAAAATCCAGTCCTTAAGAGAATCACTGAAGACTGTATTTTCTGAGTTTGGTGATGTCGTCGATATTGTGGCCAAGAAAAACCTCAAAGCCAAAGGCCAAGCCTTCATAGTGTTTAGCGATCCTGAACATGCTAAGGAAGCAGTCGAGGAATTACAAGGGTTCCAGCTCTTTGACAAGCCGATGAAACTGTCTCTTGCCAAAACGCTAAGTGACAAATCGATAGAAATGAAGTGTTCATTGGAGGAGTATGAAGCACACAAGAGACATCGCTTATCAGAGAAAGGTATGACGGGAACAGCCCACCGCAGAAAAAATTTGGTTTTAACATCGCATGGCAGAAAAACGATTAGCTTTGGAGGCAGCCGATAATGAACGACAACCCAAGAGAGGTGCAGGCACTACCACTGACGTCAGGCCGAGCAAGCTTTTCAGGCCATCGGGATTAAAGTCAACAGGACCTGCTGCTTCCCAAGTAATTCCGGACGAATATCTGCCACCCAACAAGATCCTATTCTTGCAAAACATCCCAGATACATATGGCGTCGATGCATTGGGCGCGATTTTTGGCAGATTTGAAGGATTTCGCGAAATCAGACTCGTTCCCGGGCGTCGAGGCATCGCCTTTGTAGAGTATGAGGCTGAGCAAGGCGCAATCGACGCAAAAGAGAATACATCTGGAATGAAATTAGGAGATGTTTCGATCAAAGTTACTTATCAAAGACAGTAATCACATGATCTGGAGATGCGAGTAAAAGTTTTCATTACATTTGTTGAATAATTGTGTGGCCGAGCGGACCACGTTAGTGAACAATGAAAGCGTTGTCCACGGCTGGATGGAGCATCACCACAACTATCAGCTTAAAAAATAACGTCCTCTTCGTCCGCGCCGGCAAGAATATCTCTTGGGCCAGTCCCCTCACTTTCCATCTCATCACCCACCACCCGGCCACCAAAATCCTGACGCCTTGCCTTCATTTCCGCATCTGCTGCTGCCGTATCTCGCTGCTTTTTATTCGCCACCTAGGCCACGAAAGTTGTCAACACTAAGCGGTCTGAGATGGTGGAGTTATCATTACAATGTCCTTACTTTCTTCAATCTGTAAAATTCCTCTCGATCAAGCTCGTCGAGTTCAGAGTTTATGTATTTGATAGTATTTTCAGTTCGAGGGATGATGACGTGTTCGATTGCGTTCACTGTTACTTATGTCAAAGATAACAGGTCATCGTAAGGAGCTTGGGCTTCGAAAGCCTACCTCGCCTATTTACCACCTTGATGACTTCGTCGAGTATGACGAACGCCGTTTGGAGACTAGCGAGCTCTACGAGAGCTTCTACTGCTCGAGCATAAGTCTCCCGGCAGCGCTGCACTTGTTGGCCACCTTTGCCCAAGCCCGTTAGGCCAAAATCATTATTTCCCTCTGTAATGTAACTTTCGAAAGCCGGGAGAAGGACACCAGATACATTGTCTTGCTTGGTTCGAACACGGAACCGAGCCGACTTGGCTGATTCCTGAACTTGATATCCAATATCCCCTCCAACCGCGTATGTAACTTCCGCCAGTGAGAACGCTGCAATTTGCATCACACGTCCCATTTTACGCTTTGCTTCATCGATTCGCCTCGTTATCTCTGGTACAATTTCATCAGCCCACGATCGGTCGGCAGTGACGGCCTGGAGAGCATGTACCTCTGAAGCGCCTAGCCCGAATAAAGTTAATTGAATCTTGATTCACGTGGAAATCACTGAAGTAGGACTTCTTCTGTTACTTACTTGGTTAAGGCTTCGCTTTTCCGCTTCAGCAAACTATGCCCCGTCTCAGCACCTTTGAGCTTTGCTTTCATGATTCCCAGCGACTGACGAGTCGGAAAGACGGCCTCGCGATCCTACGAAGCTGTCAGTGCCAGTCTGAAAAGATACTTTGTCCATTTTGAAACGGCCGAGTAATACGGAAGCACCAGACATGGTGACAAGCGACAGAGATGTCAGCAAAGGCTACACAGTGGTTAACAGACAAAGACAGACAAGATGTCTGCTGGCTTATGATCAGTGCAAGTGTAAGTGCCTGCGCTCGGGTAGGTTATTGTGTTATTATGTCACTGTAGTGTCAGCCACCACCGACTAAGTCTCGTCCGGATAATCGCATAATTCTCCGCTTTAGGATAACTAGCGAGCAAACGAAATGGGTCAGCTGTATTCATGCCCCATGTAATCAGACTCAGGTTGCTCAAAACCTCTTTTTCCTCGACCATGACAGTGTTCTGAAGTCCCTGACAAATTGAGTCTCGCCCAAAACCTTTCAAGAGTTCGCGATTGAGGGCTGCAACCTCAGGGCTAAGCAACAAGATGGCTGTCTTGGACGGGAGCAAGTCAAATTCTCGTCTCGCAAGTGTCGTGAGTACATTCTGCCTTGTCCCTTGATGGCGTTGTTCCAGGCATGCTCCCGCTGACCAAGGCCAAGTCTTATGAGGATTTTATATACGAGCAGGACGTGGCGGGCGACCCGGCTAGCATCAAGCCTTGGCTGGTCTATGTTGATTTTAAATCTCGTCATGGGACGGCTGCACAACAAAACTTCGTAATGGCTCGTGCATGCGCACAACTGCCACGATCATACAAACTGTGGAAAATGGTACAGTCCACAACGCTGTTAGGAACAAGACGTCGAACTAACCGCCACAGTATCTCTCCTTTCGTACCAAGCATGTGTCACAATTGAACCCGGCTATTTTCGCCTCCGAATACAATAAAGTCAACGCGCTATTTGAAAAGGCACTTATGCTTTTACACAAAATGCCCCGAATGTGGGAAATGTACCTTCAATTTCTCACCAAACAACCAGCCATCACTCTCGTTAGGCGAACTTTTGACCGCGCCCTAAGGGCGCTACCACTCACCCAACATAACCGAATTTGGGCCTTGTATGTGCCCTTCTCAAATGCTGCGTCGGGCGACACTGCAGTCAAAGTTTGGCGGCGATATGTTCAGGTGCATCCTGAAGAGGTGGAGAATTTCATTGAACTTCTCATCCAATCGGGTTCGTACACCGAAGCTGCAATAAGCTATGTCAACCTTCTGAACAATGTCCGATTCACGAGCAAGGCTGGGAAGGGCCACTACGAGATATGGAGTGCAATGGTCGATCTTATTGTACACCATGCCCCAGAGATAGAAGCAGACTATGAATCGGGCATCGACCTTGAAAGTATTATCAGAAGCGGAATCGCTCGTTTCCCAGATCAGAGGGGCAAGCTTTGGGTAGGTCTAGCCACCTTCTGGATCCGAAGAGGAAGTTTTGAACGAGCACGAGATGCTTTCGAGCAGGGCATCACAACTGTCATGACAGTCCGCGACTTCGCGTTGATATTCGAGTCGTATGCCGAATTCGAAGAGTCCATTATCAAAGCGCTTATGGAAAGCGCAACGAATCGGGCCGACCTTGGAATAGAAGATGAGAATGCAGACTTTGAACTGGACGTGCGAATGATGCGGTTCGAACATTTGATGGACCGACGGCCTTTTTTAGTTAACGATGTGCTTCTTCGTCAAAACCCGAATCTTGTCTCAGAATGGGAGAAACGAGTGGTTCTATGGGGGAATAACAAACAAGAAGTCGTGCGCACATATGCAAATGCTATTGCTTCTATACACCCCAAACGGGCCGTTGGATCGTTTTACAAACTCTGGGCGAACTATGCACGTTTCTATGAGCAAGGAGGAGATTTGAGAAACGCGCGCATAATCATGGAAAAGGCAGTCAAGGTCCCCTTCAAGTCTGTGGCAGAGTTGGCTGACATGTGGATTGAGTGGGCAGAAATGGAGCTTCGGAATGAAAAGTTCGATGAAGCCGTTCTGATCATGTCAAAAGCTGTCCAAGCCCCTAAGCGGTCCCCGGTCGACTACTTTGACGAAGCACTCTCAGCGCAACAGAGAGTCCATAAAAGCTGGAAACTTTGGAGTTTCTACGTGGATCTCGTAGAAAGTGTTTCTACTTTGAGCGAAGTAAAACGAGTCTACGAACGCATTTTTGAACTTCGAATCGCAACACCGCAAACGGTTGTCAACTACGCGACTCTTCTAGAGGAGCACAAGTATTACGAAGAGTCTTTTAAGATTTATGAGCGGGGCTTGGACTTATTCAGCTACCCAGTAGCCTTCGAGTTGTGGAATCTATACCTTACCAAAGCAGTAGACCGGAAAATTGGTATTGAGCGGCTTCGAGATCTCTTCGAGCAAGCCGTCGAAGACTGTCCCCCAAAGTTTGCCAAGACCATTTACTTGATGTATGGGAACTTGGAAGAGGAGCGAGGCCTGGCACGACATGCCATGCGGATATATGAGAGAGCCACGAGGGCGGTCGGCGATGAGGACCGCGCAGATATGTTCAATTTTTACATTACCAAGTCAGCTTCCAATTTCGGACTGTCATCTACTCGGCCCATCTATGAACGAGCCATCTCAGCATTGCCAGATATCGAAGCTAAGGAGATGTGCCTAAAATTTGCGGACATGGAGAAGCGATTGGGCGAGATTGACAGAGCGCGTGCAATTTATGGGCATGCATCACAATTTTGCGACCCACGAACAAATGTCGACTTCTGGACGAGGTGGGAACAATTTGAGGTCCAACATGGAAATGAAGATACATTCAAGGAGATGCTGCGCATCAAGAGGAGCGTCCAAGCGCAGTACAATACCGATGTCAACTTCATCGCGTCACAGGCCCTTGCCCGGAGTCAACAGAGTGCAGATCACCATAGTCAACACATCAGTGCTACTGCCGAAGTCACCGCCGAAGTCACCAAGCAATCATCAGCTATGCATGGCTTCGTGGCAGCGAGTGACGGGCCTCCAGCAGGCGTGACTGATCAACAAGACCCACCCGCAAATCCAGATGCGATTGATATAGATGGCCTCGATGACTAACATCCCGTGGATAAGCTAACGAGGTTCTCTGTGGTCGTCGTTTTTCATGACCGCATCTTTTCTGAGCTTGTCTTGAGCTCTCAGTATTCTGTTATTTTCATCTCCTGTTTTTTATTTTCTTCCTGTTTTACAGTTTTACAGCACCTTTGTTGCCCGCACTTCTCGCACTCCAGTCTTTCCGTATTTCCACTGCAGTCAATGCGGTCAATCGGAGGGCACGATGCTGTGAGACCATTTTTTCTGTGTGTGGTCTTGTATCCCGTCAAAGATAATAGGTTTATCTCGCCACTTCGAGCAAGACCTGTTCTTGGGAATTTTGTATTTGCGTTCGTATTACTTGCCGCGCTTCATCTCGGCGATTTTAGCGTGGTATTTGTCGGCATAGTTCCGGTCAATATGACCGTCGCGGGAGTTTGGTGTTGCGTATATGGAGCCTTTGCGTTTCTGGAATCGGCTGGGGGGAACCTTAGAAGCATCTGTATATGAATTTAGTGTTTTGTCGCTTCTGGCAGGACGGGATAGGGTCGGTGTTTCTAGTGTTATGATGTAGCTGTAGGGCAGTGGTATATCGTGGTTTTAGGTATACAGACCCCATTCATCGCTAAGCCTTCTATCTTGTTTAACGTCTCCCATGACAGGTGATTCAGTCAACACCACCGGGGTATAGTCTGTTGGTTGCGACTGGTACTCCTTGGGCTGTTGTTCCTTACTCATTGTTGATTTACTCTTCAGTAACTCGCGTGTACTGTCGTGATGTATCCGACTGTGAGAAGGGGCTGTGGACCTTTGGTGTCAGGGTTTTTTGGGGAGCACCGGGGCATATGATGGTCGATTTTATACTTTCACGCGGGCTGAGTATTCGGTGTCTGATGGGCTGGACTAGCCAATTTTATCCCTACCCCGCAAGTCGGTGTGCCTATTCATAATGAGGTTCGACCTATGGCGAGCCTTCTGCTCGGGTTGTAGTTATGATATGGTGTGGCCATTGTCGAGGCATTGGCCAGTGCTGTCTGCGTCTGACGTCACGGCTTGTGCCACACTTGACACTTGTGCTGGCTGGTAACATTAGTAACTAACGTAATTTGTACGTGGTTGGATCGCCGTCAGAGGAGCGGAGGTTCGTAAAAAAAAGAAAGTAAAGTGATTCGGCCATGTTCAGCGAGCCACGCCATATTTTTCGCAAAGTTCATAACAGCCCATACCCCCCAAAGGGCCTGCAAATGATGGAACAATTTCGTTGCTAACGAATCCAGCTACCCTAGGCGAGCGAATCAGTGACCCACAACCCAATAAACCGCAGTAACCAACAAGCCTAAACACAAATCCCAAATCTACCGCGGTCGACATGCGAAAAGTCAGCATAATCCACAATCCAACCAGACCAGCCCATATTGTTGCACGCGTACATCCGATACCGTCCTGTTTCCAGAAGGACCAATACCTTTATGCTGCTTCGCATTAACCGCCGATCCAGCTTCTTGGTAGGGATGAGCAAGAGAAAGCTTGACCTGTTTCTTTTCGACAAATTCTCTACTGAAATGAGACCCATCATACAGCTTAATCCAAAGGAGGATCAAATTCGACGGCTTCTCCTAGACGTATCCCAGTCCATTAATGACTCTGGATTAACGACGCAGCCTGTGGTTGTTCGTTGGGCGGGAGGTTGGGTTCGGGATAAGCTACTAGGTATCGAATCCCATGACATAGATGTCGCTATAAATGCGATGACTGGAGTTGATTTTGCAAAAAGAATGCGTGACTACTGCGGCACAGAAAAGACAGGCAGAACACACGCAATCAGACCCGATGACATTGGCAACCTCCACAACGTCTCAAAGAATCCCGACAAGTCGAAGCACCTAGAGACCGCCGTAGTTCGAATTCTAGACCTCGACCTGGATCTAGTAAATCTAAGAAAAGAGACATACACAGAGGACAGTCGTAACCCAACTGTTCAATTCGGCACAGCAAAAGAAGACGCACTGAGACGGGACGCGACCATAAACGCGTTATTCTACAACATACACACCGACCAGATAGAAGACTTTACGGGTGGGATGCGTGACTTGACGGCTCGAGTCTTGCGGACGCCGCTTAGTCCGCTGGAAACGTTCAAAGACGATCCGCTGCGCGTCTTACGCCTGGTGCGCTTTGCAAGTCGGCTTGGTTTCTCAATTGAAGAAGAAACTCGCAAGGTTATGGCACATCCCGAAGTCTTGGATGCCTTGCAGGTCAAAATCAGTCGAGAAAGGGTTGGTATAGAGTTTGAAAAAATGATGAAAGGTAAGCAAAATGGCTGCCCTCACAACGGTCTCCATTCCAGTGCTCAACGAGCCTCTCGGCGAGAGAAGATAGCATCCGCCATGCCACATCCAGAACTAACTCGAACGAAGAAATAAAGTCACTGACATAAGACCGAAGGAAATAACCCGCGGTCTGCACTGGAGCTCATAGACAATCTACGTCTCTATCAGGCAGTTTTTGCAGATCCTTCCTCAAAATCCATAGCAGGACCAGACTCTTCACGATGGAATGTTGCTTACAACTGTCTCGACAGCCTCGTGCGAAATCATAGCCCGGGCTCTCTCGGCAAACTCCTTATCAGGTCCAGTGAAGCCACTTATGTAGCTTGGAATCTGGCAGCTTTCAGTCCCTGGATGAATGTAGAATTCCAGGTCGACGGAGTTCGGAAAGCCAATTTCTTACCTCCGCCAGCTGCTGCTGCTCGTAAAGGACTCAAAGCACCGAATAAACTCGTGGACACAATAACAGGAAGCTACCGGAACCGAAGAGAAATTATACAGATGAAAACATCAACCTGTATCGGGGCTGTCCATGCAAGAGACACGCTGGGCATGGCTATTCGTAGATGGGACTCGCATGGAGGACCATGGACTTTACAGTTATTAAGCGCTCTTCTTGTAGAGGCTATGGAAAAACTAGATGCGTGGCCGGAATCTTATGACAAAGGTGAGCATACTTATAATACAGACTCTGAATGTTCGCTATAGGCTAACCCGAGCCGTGTATCAATAGAGCAGGAAGAATTCATCAATGGGTGGCAGACGTTTCTCGATCAAATCGCCGATTTGAACGTGTACGATGCTCCAGCAATAAAAAGGCTTCTCGACGGCCGCTCTCTAGCGTCTGCCCTTAGCGTGAAGCCTGGAGTATGGACGGGTAAAGCTCTCGATGTATGCCTGGCGTGGCAGCTTCGAAATCCGCAGGAGACAGACTCAAAAGGCGCCATCGAAGAGATTAAACGACGGCGTGATGAGCTAGGTATCCCTCGATAGAGGATAAAGAGTTGGTGTCCAAAACCAAATGGGCGACGATGAACCAGAAATGGGTTGAGCGGCTGGCACATATGCAGTGGGCGTCGGGCGTTGGCGATTGAGTATCAAGCGGAAATTTTCTTGTGTGACAGATTTTGTGTGCGCCTACTATTACGCACAGTGTAAATCGAGAAATAAGTCGCCAGTCTATTCCATACCGAATAAATATGTCTGATCTGTAGTTGACGAGGGGTTAGCATTTCTACAAACTCTCATGCATGCATGATGGTGTGAAGTGCCAGAGAGGCTCCACAACAGTGTGAAAACACGAAATGCTGCCCGCCCAACTTTCTTCACCTACAAAGACCTCACCCCATTCATATCCTGGGCTTTAACCATTGTTCCATTGCCCGTTTCCACCTGAACTGCAATGAACGAGGCGTCTCTTAGCAGAGAAAACGTGGTTCGGTTGAAGGGTCTTGGATTCGAAGAAGTGGCTGCTGTTGTTCTCCTGCCCAATGTCCGACTTGAGGCTACTCCGTGTCATTTGAGCAACTCGGCCCAGATGACAGCGATTGAAGCGGTCGAAGCAGCTCAGAGTCTCCCGCAAGCATCTGGCGATGAGGTATAGGTCAAGCATCCAACTCTCCCCAGACGCACCAGTCTACTAACATATGGATAGCACAAGAGCCGTCTTGACATATTACTACAAATTTTTGCGTCTCTTGTTCTGCAGCTATCGACAGCCAGAGGCAGCTCTGGGGGAGCGTGGTGCATTAATAACGATGACTCTGATAGTATCCCAGCAGAGATGGATCAATCTGACGGCATAGATTCGTCTCTTAACAGGTCGGACTTGCGGCTCTATGATGACCTTGTTCGGATTTTGTCATCACATATCCTCCGCAACAGAGGAACAGTGGGTGCGTACTGCGTACGATGATGCGTCTATCAATGTCAATCATTTACAGCAGGCTGACAAATCTACCAAAAAAAAAAAAAAGACAAGCAGTACGCTGCTCTCCAAGCTGAAGCTGTGCTTGCCTCGCTAGTCGTGCTACTGCATAGAGTGCAAAATTTCAGACTTCCAACTTCTACACTGGTAGCTGCTACAGCCTACACAGATCCCAACAATTCATGGACAACCAACACTGCGGCTCGTCTTGCGCAACGAATTCTATCCTTGCAACTTCCCGGGCAGGAGCTCGCCGACTTCATCATCGGGCCCGTCCTGAACCAATATATTCGATTGACTATTTCATCGCCAACCGGACATGAACCTTCAGCTTTTTCTAGAGGGTTCAGGTCAGTCAATTTATCAGAATATGAGTATGCCGCTGCGGTATTGAACTGGGCGATCGATATGACCGAGGTTTGCGGCCCCGTTTGTCGTAATATTGCCACTCTCTTAACTAATGTTGTTTAAGTCACTAACAAATAAACTGATTCAAGGGGGTTGACGTCGCAAAATATTGGCATTTCTTTGTGCCGGCACTGGTTAGCTTGGTGGAAAGCCACGAAATCTCCGTCAAAGAAAAAGCGCTCAAGGCTATTATCTCATTCCTGGCAAAGTGTCCATCATCCACAATATGTGCGACTGGAATGGACCGGCTTTTCGAGCGTACTATCGTACCCACACTACATCTTCCAACTGTGGCACTAGAACAAGACTCGGTGACTCTATTAAGGCTAGGATATACGGCTGCTTTGAAGCTGGCAACCACCAGTGGAGATTTGAGAGACGCCAAAAGACGACGCCTTTTAGATGCGATTGTTCGTGATGGGATACTAGCAGGATTTCGCCATGCGACTCACCATATCTTCGTTGTCGACGTCTTATTCCAATATCTAGCGAAAGCGGTCTCATACCTTGGCATATTCTCTGTTAAGCACCTGACAGTACGTATTACAATATCTTTACGATACTCTATCTGAATTCTCTGACATTTGGCGTTTCTTCAAGGACTTTCTCGATGTCATTGAATCTTTCATGTGTGATCCATTTGGTGCAGACCATCCCATCGTGTTAACGTCAGCGATCGATGCGCTCATGGCTATCATAACCAACTGCTGGCCCAGAATATCCAAGAGAAAACGAGTGGAGCAGATACTCCGGATTCTCAGCTTATGTTGGTTAAACGTATCCAATGAGGCTATACAGTCAAACTCCGAGCAAAGCGTACAGAATCTCAAGTCCCGCATCCGTCAATTGGCTGGGGCAGTGCGACTCCTCATGCAGACTCATGCATTGGAGATGACTGGAACTTTAAGAGCAGCAATTTCACGTGATTGCAGACTACAAGACATTTTACTTCAATAAAAAAATGATTATACCATCAACCAGCACGCCATCGAGTTGTCCTTTTTTTTGGTAGCTCTGTGTTTGATACACCGAGATTAGATTCAGAAAATGGTTATCCGTCAATCCAGCGGCTGTTGTTTGAAAAATGATTTCCCATGAAGCCATTTCCTGTAAGCCTTGTATCTCTTTTTCGTCGCGTCTTCTTCTGTTACGGTAAGCGGGTTTTCGCCTACTTTCAGAAGTTCGTCATAGACATCCACCTCCTCGTCTATTTAGATGACCATGAGACCTTGTTCACGCCAACTTCCGTTGATATATTCTTTGTATTCGGACGAATCAACATCAGCAGGCGTGTCGTTCGACACAACAAGCGGAAGGTTCTGTGGGTGGCGTATATATCGACCGTAGTCTTCTGCTTCTTGTTCACCTACGAATGGGTTCAGCGAGTCATCCACAGCTTTAGTGAACGTCCACTGGGCAGCTTTGGACTTCTCCAGGGCGCTCGGTTTTATCTGGCTATGCATTGACTGCTCGTTGTCTTTATTTCCAGAATATATTTCATTCATGGAACCTCGCTCAGCAACCTTCTCCTGAACAGGTTGAAGCCAGCGCTGCAAAGACATGGCCCTTGCTGCCGTCCTTCCGGACGAGACCGACAAAGTCCCTTCTTTAAACTGTTGGACCCGGGGAGACGCCAATGGGCCGTCAAGATCTTCCCTTTTCGATTTGCGCTTTTCGGAATCCGTATCAGCCTCAGCCCGTACTCGAAAAGGGCTGAGGTCATAGCGACCGTCCTGAGCGGACTTCAGAGGAATATATTTTATGGTAGAGTTCATCTTGTAGGCGAACATTTTTGGAAAGGAAGAGAGTGTTGCTGGCCTGTAATACTCCAGCCAGTAGTCATCGATTGCTTCAACTGGAAAACTTGCGATAGTTGCTGGAAGTTTCCCCCACCTTGGAATGATTCTCTCACGCAAGTGAGACGGATTGTACCAGTTTCTATAATTGCAAGGTTTCGTGATAGACCAATCTCTTGGTTTTGTGTGGTGCAGATAATAGTCTGTGGTCAGTTCCCATAGTAAAGGCTGGCTATTAGAGAAGACATAATTGCCTAGGAAAAGGTTGTACGCTTCCTGACGTTGGCTATCCAGGAACGAGTTGTTATAATAACGCTTAAAGCTTTCGATCATATCCCGCGAGTGACTGGTCCATTGGTTGATCTTGCGATAAGTTTCCATGGTGTTCACGAGCTGAGACCCGCCATACTGGACCGCAATCGTATCGCCATGGTCATGCCACATATGTGTGAAAAGATTGACCGCGTCCGTGTCATAATTAACAGTTGTGTCGCCAAGGATTCCCAAAGCGTGAAGCTGGTACCCCAACGCACGCTTTCCTATGACGAACTGAGCTGCATTGGTTCTGTCAAGGCAGTCAATACAGTTTGTTCTTGCGACTCCATTTTGAGCTGTCATTGGGCTAATATGGCCGTCGCCATTTTGGAAGAACCCCGTCGCGGAGACTACCGAGTTTGCAATAAGCTCCAAGTTACCGATCACATCCCCACCTCGAACTTTTGACGCTCGGCTCATGTCCCAAGCCTTATGAATTATCTGTTTATCTGGAGGAAGAAATTGATTAAGGTAGTTAATGGAGTGAGTATATTCCTCTAGGAGCTTGGATTCTCTCGGCTGGCGTTCCTTGGATTTAATAAGGTTGATGACATATACAGGGGCGCCGTATCGACGGAATAAGTCATCAAAATGTAACGCGGCAGCTCCGTAAAAGGGATCAACCAGATTGAGTTCAATGGGTGGCTTTGGTGTCACACCTGTGCTATCCTGGGACCAGTAGAGAGGAATACTACCACGATGTTGAACATATGAAGTATACTGCGGACTGCAGTACAGCCGCGGTCCAGGAGAATGAAATGATGTCGTGAGAGACTCGGAAACTATCTGTTCAGTTTCTACATCGTTGGCGACATAGCCCTAGATGCTGGACGTCAGGGGCTTGTCTGTCAAGGGGAAACGAGATAGGATAACATACTAGATCATTTGCACCACGTTTAAGAAACCGGGCCCCTGCAAAATATCTCGACCTCCTAGCAATGACAGTAATGTGGGCAGTTCGACCATAAATGGAGAGGGCTCGGCAGCGTCAGCATGGTAACAAAAGGGGACGATGAACGAGATGATAATGCCTCACCCGCCTGATCAACATATCCATGAATGATTGGTCGGCACCAATCATAGGCAGCTTGAAGAACCTTTGCTGCGGGACTGAGCAGATAAGAATTCCAGACGAACATGGTATTGGGATCATCATCGGAAGACGGCAGCAGTCCCTCATTGAGGGCGGACCTCTCCCTCATGATGTTGTGTTGAAGTGTCCTCGTGATGTCGTAAGAATAGCTATAGTAGAATGACTTGGTCAAATCCAGGTTATTCAGAATGCCGAGAAACCTCTGTTCCTCCGTGTTACGGGAATCTGCTTTTGATTTCCCTGGAGTCAGAGGAATCAATTCCGTGCCCTCAACCTGATATATATAGTGGCCTCCTACCATTGCCACGGTACTCTTCTTGGTGATGAGAAGCATGTAATACGGCCCTGTGAATTTGATGAATCCAATAATTCCCCAAGTCGTACACCGCAGCTTAATGCCGCCTGAACCCTTGTTTCCGTCGTCAATCATGCCCAATAGTTGGTTTATTTCTTTCAGACTGTAGACAATCTTGTCATCCGTCATGTTGAGTTCTGCACCCTCAGTTGAACGGTCAATTTTGAGAATGCGATATCGCTTCTCGCTAACGTCAACACCAACAACGTAGTAGCGGCTTGCCGTCTCGTAGAGGCTAAATTTGTGCATCTTATGCGTAAAATGGGGGAAAGCCGCTTGACTGTCAGAATTGCTACTGGCTGTGGCTGGGACAAAGTCTGGGGATAGTTGGCTAGATGCCATTCCAACTGGCTTTGGTACGGTTTTTTGGTCATCGTTGGCCAATTCGATGGGTATATTGTCGTCTCTTTGCTCGTTATTGCCCGTAGACCGGACTGTATCCTGGTTGTTCTGCAACTGTGGGAAGGCGGACTGCCATGTCTGGTGTTGGTCACCAGCTACGGGAGGTGAGCCCCAGGTCCTTTCCCCAGCCATGCGGCTTGACAGCTCATCTTCCTGATGTGTACGTTCTGATCGTGCAATTGCGGTTGCGTTAAGTAGCGTGTTGAAAAATGCAACTTGGCGCAAGAGATGTTCGACGGATTTCAGCTTCAGTTAGAGACTACTGGTGGTGGGAGGGCGAGAGGGGCATGTTCAAGCTATGGCAGTTTCGGTTACTGTAATAAGTAGTACCTAGGTACTTAGGTACCCGCTTATCAGAGCAGCCGACAAGTCATACATCGTAGCTGATGTAAGAACACACTTTCCGCCTCCTATATGAATAACATCGCATTTTCTATTTTTACTTTTGACTTCTTCATGACATATTAAGTGACCTGACGGGCCATGTTAAAAGGGATTAATAGACAATATGATAGCGATTTGTGTATCTGTTTCTCGTTGTATTGTAACTGATATGTAGCGACAGGTGACTATAACTAGCTGGGTTCATTTCCTTGCTGGCATGTTACGGTGAGTAGTAGAAAATAATGAACTGCCGAAGGCCAGATAGGGTCTTGTGGCTTTGCTGAGTGACCACCAGTCTTACCTAATAGGCCGGCTGAGCGTCTTCATCTAGTCTAAAGTTACAATAGCTCCGCATGATTTTGGCGGCTCAGGGATTTGTGGAATGCTATTTATCATCTGCCTTCGTCACATCGCCGTCGCCTGGACCATCAGCAGTTTCGCCAGCTTGCCTCGTGGTTTCCTCTGGTTTCTCCATTTGGACCTTATCTGTGCTGGACTTGGTTCCAATGTCTTCCGAGGCAAGGTCACTCCGCAACTCTGGCAGAAATCGATCAACCCGCTTCCACGTCTCGCTCCAAAGCGCCTGCTTAGATGCGTCTCCTGATTGGGGATCAAGATACCCACTACTCGCCATGAAAAGTACGACATTCTTCAAATTCTCTCTTACTGCTTCCTCCTATGAAACTCATTAGCACTGGTACGATCTAAGCGGAATGAACGGATGAGTAATGAGCGCACCAAACTGTCTCCTTGACCACTGTTCATAAGACGATCCATTATTTCAATAATTTTAACCCACAGGTCTAGCATACCATCCCATCCGGAAAGCAGTACTAGATATTGCAAAAAGACTTTGCACAGAAGTGATGCGCACTGCACTCGCATCTCACTCATACCGTCTCTGTCCGAGGAAAAGACTTCTGGCTTGAGCAGTCGCTGTATCAAGGGGAACAACACCCTGCTGAAAATGGCCGTCCATTCTTTTGCGTCTGTAAGCGTTACCTCCGGAGACAGAAGCAAGCGTTGCATGGTAGAGAATGCGAGTTGCCGGATGTCTCTGCATGGATTGGTACACTGTGTTGTTAGTGTTTGGAAAATTGGAAGCCAATACGCTGACCACGCTGGCACATTGTTAGTTAGTGCACCGTATACGCATGATCACATATATAGGCTTCGGGGCTTACCCTCATTCGTCTCGAGACGCGATTGCTGCATCAAGTGTGGGACACGGGCAGCCATGCGTTGCAAAGCAATAATTGCCTTGCATCCCCTTTCGACACTTTCTTTATCACTATTATTAGGTTAGGATGACAATACAAAAAAATGACCCAGTAATGGGAGGCGGTAGGCTCACGGTTGGAAAGGCCTCAATGCTCTGCGCTGATTCTGTTCTAAATTCAATTCTGACGGCTCAGCAGGAGCTGCAGCAGATGCAAAGAAGTTCAAAAGAGCGATAGCAGCTTCGTAATTGTCTGCAGCAATAGCCGGCGGGTTCCCAGTTGCACCATTCTCCAGGATTGCAAATACAGACGCAGCACCGTCTGGATTCCCTGCTAACACGCCTAGAATGGCCCAAAAATCAGGAGACTTCATAATTTCGCTTCGGAGTGGTCCGGGTTCTTCCGTACAAGTGGCAAGCCCCCTCAATGTTGTGTCGGAAGACTTTGCTATGACTTGCTGTGGCAAATTCGCGATCGTATGTAGCAATGAGTGCACTTTGACAAAGTCGTGATCCTGAACTAAGGTTTTAGCAAAGGAACTACAGACTGGGATAACGGAGGAACATACATAACTGCTCTTGAGAATAGACAAGGCGTGAAAAACTGCCCGGGACAAGGTAATAAAGTGCCACTGTGTCGGATCCCGAAGCAGCCCCAGCACCACATCGAACACTGTTTTGCCCATGAACTCAATGAATTCGTCGGTTTGAATGGCCAATATTGTACAAAATTCCAAGATGTAGGCCACACTAGGATCATATGTCGGCTGCGTAGCAGCTCGAGTTTGAGTATTTGCTGACACAGGTGGGATGGAATCTGGTTTGACTGTGATGACCGCCGCCTGATCAATCTCGGGAATCTGTTCAAGAAGCGCCTCCACTAGTTCTGTAGCGATAGGAGCAGAGAGATTGCTGCCCATGTCAGAACACATGTAGATGTCAAGAGAACATAGCAACTTACGATATATTGTGGAAAATTTGCTCCATATTGCATGACTTGATGCAATCGACAGTACATAATGTACTCTCTAGTTCTTCTTCTGACGGTTCTGGAGGGTCGTCAGCTGCATAGCTGGATATGTAAGAAGTGAAAGCGCTGAAGAATCCAGTCTCAGCGGTTCGCGTAGCTCGGTCTATAATCTGGGACGGCATTTGCAGAGGAATCCCTTGTATCGTCAGCGAGAATTTACTGGCGATGGCGAATGATGGTATTAATGAGTTGACAAAAAGATTCACCCAAATTTGTACAACCTTCATCACGTTAGTCCGATGCATCTGATTGCATTTCATTGCCAATGAAAAACTTACTTGTTTCCATCCTTGATGAACTAGAGCCTCATTCCCAGTGATCACACGAAACAAAACGAGTGTGGCTAGTTGTGCACGGAAATCCCTGCCCAGCTTGACGGCTAACTCACTGACCATGACACTTCCATCCCCAACGTCAATCTCTGTGTTCAAAGACGTATTGAAAGTGCTAGCCGTGGCAAGAGTACTCATGTGGCTGAGGCAGTAGATGATTTGATCTAGCGCATCAGAGTTTTTGTATTTGGCTGCGATACGGGCACATTCATCGAAGCCAGTGACGATTCTAGCGAAGACCGCATCATCAGTCGCAGACATGAAAACATATGACAACGTTGAAACGATCGGCCTCCATGTAGCGTCAAACATATCAGCATCGTATATGTTCGTATTGCATATAACCAGGTTCCCCGCTGTTTCAGTTTTCAGTAAGAGTTCTCTCCATGCATAGTCGAAAGCATGCTTGTTATCGTGCTCGTCTGGCAAGATGATTTCATTAGACTTGATAGAGTCGAAAATTGCTTGAAGAAACTCTACAGCAAAGTCTTTTCCATCATTTGTACCACGAAGATTTCTCGAAAAGTCTTCAAAGGTCATCCTCTTGGCGGATTTAAGATTCGGATTGTGCTGGTCGGTATTCAGGATGATTATTGCGTAAGTCAATATGAAGACGGCGTCTTTGTTGGCTACATCCTTTGGTGTGTCGTCCGCGCAATACTTCTCTGAAAAGCATTCAACGATCGCCGCTATAAGTGGTGCTTCGCCTGGTAGCCTAAATGTTTCCAGAAGAACTCTCAATGCCTCATCTACTCTCTTACCAGAAAAGTCGAAGAGGTCTAGAAACGCTTTTAAGATCGCCTCATTACCCCTTTTGGAAAGATAGTCACCTAATACCGATTTGGAAACCCGTGAAGTTTCCTTGAGAAATTTCGCTACCTCGGCAGGATTATTGGCATCAGATATAATTTCCTGAGCCTCCAAATAACCGAGTCCTAACTTTGGTTTCTCATTGAACTTGCTAGTTCCTTTGACAATAATCTTTTTCTTTCGTCTTTGCTCCCGAAGATGAGATGGCTGTGGAAGCCCTTCGACGATAGGGTCTTCTTCTAGCCTCTCAGCCAAGAACTGAATGTAACGAAGCAGAGCGTCAAGGCACAGTGGCGGTACACTAGTTGTGCTCCATGTTGCTGAATCAGGCAGCGCATTTCGCGAGAGTAAACCGATAATATCTTCGCACAGGTCCGCTCTATCCACATCGCAGTCATAATTCACAAACAGTTCGGCAACGAATGTTGGCATCCGGCACAGAACACCTATGGTCTCTACCATCGCTTGCCTTGCGTCAGGCTTGCGGGCGCCGCCTTCTAAGCCAAGCTTTTGTCTATCTTTCACAGAAACTGGAGTAGCGCGGCCGCTGCCCGCTTGTGAGGGTGGAGGCTTGACAAGCTTTGGTGTCTCTGGTATCCCGACGTATAGGGAAGGATCAATGCCTGGCTCCCGCGGAATATGGACTGTAGGGTGCAAGCATGCAACCAAGTAGGACAAGTATAGTTCTTGTTGCAACTTCAGCACCCCTCTACATGTAGCCAGCAGTGTACCTGTGACAATCAAGGACTCCTGTAGGACAGACATGTTGTCAGATCTGACAAGTTGAAAGAGATAGCAGCACAAACGATCTTCTGCGATCGTTGCTAGTGCCGGGTGCCGGGCAATAAACGGCCCTGAAACTTCCAAGGCCACGTGCAGAATTCGCATTGCCATCACCCTCATTGTGTCTGTGTGTTGACGATCATTCGGATCAAGGAAGTGAACAAGAACCCGGAAGAGTTCTCGGACAGATGGAAAAGAATAGGGTTTGAGGTCCATAGATTCCGTGTCTTCAGTTTGCGCACTCGAAACGTCCTTGAAGCTCTGAGATGAAGACGCCCTGTCCTCTTCTCCTCCATCATCAAGTGGTGCATCTGTCTCAGGCGCGTTCGAATCCTTAGGCTTTGAGGCGTTTCCTTCACTCTCAGACTGTCTGGGCTCTTCCATTCTTAAGTGGGCCAAGTCCTCCTGCACACGCTGCTCAAGCCCGTCATTCTCGTCGCCAGGTTCGAGCTCGAGATGCTTGATATCTTCAAATATAATTTGACACATGCGAACCATAGCAGCCTCAGCAGTTCTGCGCAGCACTGCTGAGAACCTTGGCTGGGAGCAAATCGCGAGACCACGACCCATCATGTCGCAGACACTTTCATCGCTTAAAATGTGACCACCAGGACCGGACATCATGTCTTCCATAAGATTAAGAATCATAAGAAGAACCACTTCACCTTGGGCTGAATCACTAATGTCGAATTGACAATGTGTAACAGCTGCGGATAGAGACTGCATAGCAAGTGCGAATCTGGGCGATTCAGAACAAACAAAACCATATGCCAAGAATTTTCTTAAGGCTCCAAGTGCCAGAATCGTAACAGGCGCGGCCGTTCCTTTGGCTTGGATGACAAGAAGAAAAGGCGCCAGTAACGACGGTGCATCAAACGTACGAACATCTGACAAATGAGTTAATGAGTGTCTGCATTTTTTTGCCGTTGTTGGCCAAACCTTTGACTGCCGTAATCTCGTGTCGAAGCCTGCCAAAGGCTGCAATCATTGGATTATCTTGCAGGCTCTTTCCCTTCTGGCCACGCAAGCCCCATCGGTTGCTCGCAGATGCTCCGTCTCCAGCGTTTTCAGCATCTCCAGTGCCTGCAGCCAATCTATTTTGTCGGGTCTTCAATACAGGGCCGGCAGTGCCAAGCTGTATTAAATTCGGGTTGCCGCCGAGAATTGCTGATACAGAAGAATGCGGCGATCTGGCATACTTTTGGACTGCAGAAGTTATTGATATACACTCGGATATGACCAGCGAAATGGGGTCAACGGCCACGGACACAGGTCGGTTGCGATACTGCATCCGCGGAGCATCGTAGTTCAGCAACGGCGAATTTGGTAGTTCAGGGGTGGATTGCCCATCCATTGTACCAGGCAATTGGGCATCATCGTGACTCATCGTATCGAATGCGTCTAGTTTCAGAACTTTGCGGGTGCTCTTCTGAGAGGCTCAATATTGACCTACGTCCTCGTACGTCGATATGTGGAGTTCCTAACGGCGGCGATACATGTGAACAGGTTCGATGTTAACAGCTTGCTTGCTTGTTCGACTTGGTTCGATGTTGTTTGCGTTGTCGTGGCGAAAGTCTCTTATGACAGGCCTAGGTAATTTGGCTAGGTCGCCTCGTTACAATAGGATGAAGATGTTATTGGAGCTCCCAAGGCTGGAGAAACCGTCCGTCCCCTGGAAACTCTTGGTACACTTGTCCAGTCTGACCCTCCAATAGCCAACCACCCCACCTTTTCGTCCCAACAAACATTTCAGCCTTGTGCGCGCTCTGCTTCTGGGCTGCTGTGGGGTGCGCGTATCGTTTATACTTGAAGCATGTATAGAAAGATAAAAGATGTGACTGATGCGTAGGATAGTATCAGACGACATTCAACAAATGGATCTTCTTTTGTTCTTCCTTTCCACCCGCCCGCCATTAGTGGGGCCAGGCGCGACCAAGTATGCGCACCTACGGCTGTAATAAGACAGCTCACCAGGCTTCTCTACTAGTATATCGTACATAATTCTCATTTTCCTGTAACAAAGTTTTTCTCCTATTTCGTGATAGCTCTGCTACCTCAAAAACAGGGGCTGAATGTGTAGCTACTTAATCCCAAGACAGACCAAAAATTGTCATGAGCTGGTCAAAAGTCTAGGCCGTCTGGCAACAGCAGATGAAGTTCTAAGTTGGGGACAGTCCTCCCTCAGCGCACCACGGTACTTAAGTAAGTACTAAGTACTTACTTAAGTACCTAAGGTATCCTGCGTTTGGAATACGGGCAGTACACCTGCAGGCTCTGCCATTCGCAGCACTTCCACTTGGATGAGAATTGGAGCGAGCGCCGCATCGCATATGATCATTCCGCTGCTTCCTTGACGTATACGTTCCCTACACAATGCCAATAGATTATATCAACCTGATAAGACTGGGGCACTGTGGTACAAAGCCTTTATCCGCATCTCAACTTGATAAAAATGATCATTATAATACATCTAAAAGAGTGACTTAGGTGTCTTTTATAGCGTTTGCAGCTTCACCTCTATGTGCTTCAGAAGCGCCGCCTACGCCCGGCCGCTTTGACTGCTGCTCTTGCTCTCTCATTTCTTGCTTATCCTTCTCCCACTGGCTAGTTGCATCACCAAATTCCTCCTTCAATTTCTGCTCCTTCAATTTTTTCTCCTGCTCCGCTTTCTCGCGAGCAATCCGCTCTTGCTCCATCTCCTATTGCAAAAATTAGAACTTGTCGACCAGCACTTAACTATTCAGCTACTTACCTCCATATGACGTATATCATCTACGCTAGGTTCATAAAGATGCCAAATCACATAATGCGGCAGCCCTACCACGGAGTACTGCATTTTTTTGGCCATCTATCTCAAACTGATGTCAACATACGTCACAAAAGAGAAGGAGGGAGCAAAGCAGACCTTTCCAAAGCCCTCTGTTTCAGCATGCTTTTGGAAGCTGAACGCTGGGAAGTGAACACCAGTTCGAAAGACTTTTGCTTTGGCTAAAATACTGACACCGCCAACGCCATCGATCTCCATTTCCATATCTGGGTCGCCATAGGGATCACGTAGATATGCCAAGTGAGGTCGCCAGGTGGCGTATTCAGCATAGCCCTCCACAATCACAGCATCCTCATCCAACGTGTCGGCTAGTGCTAATGCAGTCTCGGACTCCTGCCAAGAGTTCAAATCGTATGGTTGTTCGCCGCCGAGCCAATCTGGCAAGGGTCGCCAGACATCTAACAGACACAGAGTTGGTCAGATACCCAGATTAAAAATAGAAGATGAAAGAAAAAAGAGTTTGACGTGTTGCTTACTTGGCACAATGACGTCTTTATTATGACGCATAAGATCCTCAAGTATGGTAAATGGGGCTGTCTCTACATCTACATCTCGCCAGTAAACCCAAGAATGGTAAGGCCGTAAAGCCGCACTGAGAAGCCAATTTCTGGCCTGAGCCATTAACTTTCGTCGACTGGCTTGGGCCGCGAATCCGTGTCGGCTTTCAACATCTTGGTTGACTTTCTGACCAAAATCTTTCTCGATAATGGACACCTCTCCATACGGCTGTTTAGGATCGGGATCGGCCTGTATTCGTTCCAAATTGTCGGTAAGCACTTGCAGTGTACGATCTTTAGAGTCGGACACCAAGAAAGCTAGATCAATCAAATGATGAGGATACGTGAAATTTCGTAAATGTGAAAAAAACATTGCCAGGTGCGCCTCTGCATCACGCAAAGGAACGCACAAGAGTATTCGTTCTTCTCGTTCCCAGCCACGAGCAGTACCTTGCACATTGCTGAGGTCATAGTATCGGACTGTTTCGAGCTCGAGATCGTTCGTCGCAGATAATAAGCCTAGAGATACCACGGAGAGTATTGGATTAGAGGGCCATAACCAAACACTAACGAAAAGCAGTACAAGAACTGCGAGGCCAACTCGAATGAACAATTTCCTTTGCTGTCGATTCCCTGGTGCCGAAGTACGAGGCCGAAAGCTAAGCAGAAGGTTGCAATTAGTTGGGAGAATATATGGAAGTTTGCGGTCATCAAGCAATTACCTATGTGGGGATATTTCAAAGGTGTTTCCTCTGGGATATCCATTGGAGAATCCGCTTGCTTGACGCCGTGGCATCATTTTGTTGACAGAGAGGAAGACATAAGATGACAAATATGCGGCAGAGCAATTTGGAGCCGCACTGCCTCTTCCTAGGCCGCGCAGAAGCAGTGACCGAGAGAAGCGAAATTATCACCTGTGTTAAGAGGGAAAGATAATTCGATTCAATTCCAGGGTATTGGTTTGGAGGCAGGCGACGTAAATAATCTGCGCGAATGATAAGAAGGCTTGCAACCAGCGATTTGAAAGGCGAAAGATGACAGGCTTCTTCCAAACTGAGCCCCTAAGTTTCTAAGTAAGTAAGTAACTACCTAGGTACTTAGGTACTTCGCTAGGGTGTGTTGCCAGAGCGTAAAAAGACGCTTGGCAGGCTTTGGAGTGGGTACATGCTGTTAGTCGAGCGACCCTTCCATGTCTCCAATTCGAAGACGCTCGTTTTGACTTTCAGGTCACATGCGATGGACATTAAGCAGGTTACTTAGTCCTCCAGACTTTCCAGTCTCACCAATAAATGTGCAGGTAGTGAGAGTTAATTCTTCGGAGGCTGGGATACTTCAATCAGCTATTTTTTCGTGAGAATAGCTGTGGGCTAAAACGAGCTATAACTATTTAAACACAATTGCCTGAATCCAGGCAATCCTTCTGAACCCCCAAAACTACGCTTCTGGTCAGGGTTGAGACTAACGGACAATGGCAATTGGCATTTCTTGTCGCTGTTCATTGATAAAACTGTGAGTGATGTTTCTTTTAGTTGGTCGCTACAATCTTTGCTAGACGCATTGGACTAAGCATGATCACTCTGTCCACAGGCAACAAGCGAGCCTGTTGGTTCACCGTCCGATGGAGCCACCCTGCTTCGACTACAACAGGATATTAAACTGACCCTCCTGTCTTAAACCAAGGAATACTCAGCCACAAGGCCTCTGTCGAGATAATATCACACAGCTTGAACCGTCAACTGAAGTTCGACGACACTTACTTTAACAATGCCGTAGCAGAATGTACCGGAACTTTGACTCAGCGATATAGTCCGCTTAATTAGATGACCACTATGGAGTTATTAGTCGGCAACTTCTGACAGGACGTTCGTGATATATACAGCAGTTATTGAGAAGATCTGTCAGACAAGCCAGTTTACTCAGTCGTCTTCTACCGGCCCGTCCATACAAGTGAACCAAAACGAACCACGAGCAAGGAAGGGCGCTGAAGTCAAATGACGCCTGAGCGGCAACTCCACAACTCTCATAACGACCCATGCAGGGAGACTCAAGTGCGGGAGAATAACTCGGTAAAGACGAAGTAGTTGAATGGATAGAACTTGTGTCATCATCTGCTCATGCGCGCAGTCTCACAGAAAGCGGAAAACCAGAGTATGGTGGGGAAGATTACCTCGACCTCCTAGACGGCGCAACATATAGCTTGTTATGCGAATCGGATCTGTTGAGTGCCAGCCTACACAAGTCTGAAGATAACAGGGGAAATTCCCTGCCACTTCCCGCACAAGTTAGTCATGATATTCATTATATAGCATCAGTAAAGCGTGCACGTGTCAAAACTCGATGGGAGTGGACATCAGAGGTCATATTATGGTATTTTAGGATTCATCACTTCATTTCAGTAGCAGAACTGGATGAAAATGTGTCTCATCATGTTAGAAGGGTAGGGGGGTTGGTAGTGACAGCACTCAATTTACTTACCTGGTAACATAACGTTTCTGGGGTAGTAATGGGAGGTGATCGCTTTGGCGCTTCTGCGGATGTTTTTGGTTTTAGCAAGTATTTCGGGTAGGTGCATCCTGACACTCAGTGTTTGGCGGTACACTTTATCAGATGGTAGTGCATGTTTGTTCAATCGCTCAGGAGTCGCGGGAACAGTGGTGTGTAATATCTTCATGTGGGCTCAGCGTGGACAGAGGGTGGTGGTCGAAGTAGATATCGAGCTGGGGGGGCAAACGAAGGGCAGAATCACTCACCAGTTTTCATGATCGGTTGCAAGGCAACAAACACATGATTAAGTTTGCCATCCTGTGAGAATTTAACCCTTCGGGGCCTTTCGAAGTCAGTCACGTATCGAAGGTTTAGCACCTAAGTGAAGCTATGTATGTGAGGTGGAAGAGAGAAAGGAGGAGAGGATGATTATTGCTAGAAAAAAAAAAAGGCCAAGTTGGGGGTTGTTAATACCCGCGAGAAAAGGGGCTACGTATTCTTAAAGCGACGAGAAGTGGAGGCAGTCCCACCACTAACTTCATATCACGCCCCATTAGTTGCATAGTAAAAAGATGCTTTTCGCGCCGTCAAGAAAGCTCTTGTAAACGTTAAGACTGGGCAGAAAGCAAGCATCTTATCAAGCAATGTCTGACCGGCGGCGAATTAATGGGCCAGGGGGTCCGACCAATCCACCTGTCTATGATGAAGACTTCATCATTGAACCAGTTCGCACTAGGAACATCAATGAGATCAGACCATTTTGTAAGGCAGACTCCCATATCTCGCTTTTGTTCAGGCGTGGCTAACTGTGGTGCAGACCTGAAGACTGGTGTGACACCCTCAGCATCGGGCTCAGCCTACTTGGAAATAGATCAAAACTCTGGAAGTGGATTTGGCATGAAGTTTACATGCACCGTGCATGGACCTCGATCCCTTCCTCGATCAGCACCTTTCTCGCCGCATATGGTTATATCAACACATGTCAAGTATGCACCTTTTGCTACACGGCAGCGCAAAGGCTATCTCAGAGATCCCAGTGAGCGGGACTTGAGTATCCATTTGGAGACTGCCTTGCGCGGAGCCGTTATTGCGGACCGCTGGCCAAAAAGTGGTGTTGAGGTGATTGTAACTATTGTGGAAGGCGACATGAACCGCCAGACAACTGTTGATGAAGGTCTTGAAGAGTGGAACACCATGTCAATACTAGGCGGATGCATCACTGTTGCTTCTGCTGCAATTGCTGATTCTGGAATCGACTGCGTTGATGTCGCCGCCGGGGGAGTAGCTGCACTTGTAATGGACGACGGCGTCGAGAAAGAGCAAGAATTAGTCTCGGACCCCGTTTTTTCCGAGCACAAGACTATTCTAGCTGCCTGTTGTGTGGCATATTTGCCAGTTCGAAACGAAATTACGAATCTCTGGTACAAGGGATCTATGTGCGCTTCTGAGCTTGCGACATATCGGTCCCTGGTTGGCCGGGCAGTTCTTGCAAGTAAGGGAGCAGGAAAAGCAATATCACTGTCTCTTAATGAAGCAGCTCTGTTAGCTTAAGTGGAAGCTTCTCATTTGTGGCCGTGTCCTCGTTGCCTGTCAGGCCATCGGCAGGCCGTGAGAAACACCAATTTTCGACAATGGGGAAGACTATATGCAAAATTGGAACGGTGCTTTTGTATAGGATGAGTGGAATAGCCGCAGATGCATATGTTTTGTCTGTTGGCATAATCAATTGGTGATGAGCCATGGCAGCGTGGTACACATATGGTGGTTGGCGCAGTGGCATGTGCCCTTGGTTCTCCGATCCATGTTTTGATATCAGAGCTGGCGGGCGACCATACGAAGTTATAACAATCATTTATCCAAGCGACCGGGTATGATACAGGCAACATTGTTGACCTAGTCGTCTGTACACTATTGTACGGTGTTGCTAGGACTCACTGATTCAACCCTTGGGGTAAATTGTCAGCTGGCTGATTACCTACTTAGGTTCCTTGCCAACTTAAAACCGGCGGGATATGTTCCTAAGTACCTACTTAAGTACTTACCTAGGTAGGTAAGTACACAGGTAGCCAGCCAGAGAGTGCGTCCATACGTTGAAGTACTGCATGTAGTTACCTAGGTAGTTGTCGCATAGCATATAAGGTGGTCTACCACACACAAAAGTGTGACGTGGGCCACGTCCAATTTTTAGTGTGACATGTACGGAGTAGTTAAGTACCTGATAGTAGTTGTCCCCGTAGTCCCACTCAACGGCTTCGGTCTTTGGGTCCACCTAAAAAGTGGGTTTCGCAAGTGCGTGCCTTCGACAAGTTAAAGTAATAGGTACGCACGCATCCCGACCTCCGACATCTTCCAGCTTCACCTCCTGCTGGGTGAGCAATCGCTACTACAACCACCAGGAGTGTTTGCATCCCTTATTGGACGAAAGCGAATGAATCAATAGTGAACTTTCGTTACATTGCTATTACCTTACCGCAGCGCGTCTGAGCTTGCCGTGCTATCAGGTATCGCAATAATTTCACAACCACACCGTCATCATCACATCTCGCAGCGAGCTAATTTCTACCAAGTTTTGTGAACACCAGGGACGAGATTTGGGCGAGATCCCCCGGTACCACTCAGTGGCTATTGGACGTGCCATGGACCAACAGCCTCACACTACAAATGACTTTGCTTCTCACATTGGCCAACCTTTCACGAATCTCCAGACCGCTGCTGGTTCAAGTTGGCACAACATCACCGCCTGGGCCATCAACGTGACGCGAAATGCGGCGTTTCTAGAAGATCTTTTCTGGGCTGGTCCGCGGATTTTCATGAAACTTGGATCCTACATAGCCTTGTCAAACACTGCTGATGGTTCATCGAGACAGCTGACATCGCCATCAACTGGCGCCATATCCTCAGACCTGCACTTGCACAACTTGCTGGAACCTGATATTGGTTCCCCATCAGCAGCGAAGATTGGTCCCTCCATTGGAGATACAAATGCAGATACGCAAGCTACACGTCTGTCTCTTGATAGCGCGCGGGGCCTGGGTAGCGTATTTGGTTACATCACCAGCAAGTGGGCCGTGTCCACTATCGCCATGGCTATAATCCTCAATCGTACGCACATATTTGCAGCTACCAGGAGGCGATTGCAGTTCTATTGGCATACTAGGCTGCTTCTCAGGATTCTGCCAATCCTCCTTCTTTCTTGGCAATCGCTTCATCTTCTGCGGTCCATTCAATGCCAAACATCACCAATGTTCAATCAACTGCGGTGGGGGAATACAGACAAAACGGCCGACTTGGCGTTTGCACATCCGAGTGCATTCCTCAATGTGTTGAGCTCTAGCATACTTCTTGGCGTCAGTGATAAAGAATCCTGTGAGGCGGCTGGCATGGTCCCCAAGGCCGGTTTCCAAGATGCCCCAAACCTTCACGGATCTTTGAATCTGCTATGGCCCCTATTTGGTGTCCTGTGTCTAAGTCACTTTATTGAGACGCTATCATGTGCTGTTCAAGGTCGTCCGCTATCAGCGGAAACTGGAATGACGCTGTTTGAGCAATCACTCGCCTTTGCAGAGGCAGATGCGGCGGTCAATAATCAGCTTGGCTGGGGTTCATCGCCTCGGAGCCATCAGAATCCCAACCAGCTAGTGTCTGGTTTATCAGCATCAACTTCCCTGACGCGGTCCGCGCTTCTCAGCCAGGTGAACACAACTCCCGAGGTCTTATTCATTGCCTTTCTCTCGTCCATGACCCATCTATCCAGTCACATTTTAGGAGTATTTGATTCGCAATCAAAATACAGACTGGCAAATACAGGGTTTTGGGGCCTATGCTTCATGGGCACAATCGTCTGGAGCGCCTTTGAATTTGAACTAGGAAATCCTTCGGCACAAAGCATATTAAGGTTTCCAACTGTGTGCATCATTGGATTTGTTCCTCATATTCTAGTACTGTCAGGCATTGCGGTCTGCTTGCTAATATACGGACTAGCCCTCGTCCTGTCTGCTCTAGCTCCACCGTTGTCTACCAGTGACCGTTCTTCAGCGTCCCTACGTCAAAGATTAGCACAGGCCCATGAAAACATGCAAGCAAACATCTCTCTCTCCGAGATTCGCATAACGAGAGAAATGGATTTCTATACAGCGCTTCTTCGGACCGGGTTTGCTGCCATCAGCTTGGCGAGTGAAGCTGTTTATCTCAATGAGGACCGTGGTATCACTCTTCAACACCGCACATGGCTAGAAGAAGCGCGATTCCGGGAGGTAGCGGAGCTGCAAAGGCAGGCAGTGGGAATCGGAATGTCTAATTCTCACTTTGATCAGATTGGCACCATAGGTCTCGTTCCAGTAAAAGACTGTACCATGGCTGCGACAAGCGGATTCGCCAGAGAACGCGCCGCTCAGAGAATATCTAGAGGGCGAAGTGATAGGACCATTCGGACAGGCACTGGGGCGACTGAAAGAAGTTCAAGGTGGTTCATGGCAGTGGAATTTTTGCTGACCACTAGCAAGTTGATAATCCGCACAACTGCCCTAACGGCACTTTGGGGATTGGGAAGGATTCGAGTAAGAAGCCAACCGGCTTGGCTCCTTTGGCTGGCGCGACGCCAGAAGCTTAGCACGGGTGACAGGGATCGGGTGTCCCAAAGGGGGCACGACATCAGTTCGGGTGCTTCCGGACGTTTGGTCACCAGTGAAAGATCCGTTCCTCGAATGGAAGGCATTGATGTCGAGGCTGAATTCAGGCGGGTCAATGCGTTTCAGGATGAAGACAGCCTCGACGCAGACTTGTACAAATATTGGTTAAATGGAGGTTGGTGGGGAGCAAATGATGAAAGTGGTGAATACAAGCCCGAAGATGATGACAGCTGGGACACAACCTCCGCCATATCGGTGCCGACAACGACAGTCGATGAAGAAGGATCAGACAACGGCTGCGAATTGGAAGAACATGACCCAGAATTACCCTCAGGTCAATCCCCGACACGAGGATTGGAAACTACGCCGCCTGTGGATGCAATCCTAGACGCAAGTAACCTAGCACGACTCTTAAGTCCAGAGACCACGGAAGAACAAGAAGAAGCGCACACACTTTCTGCACACCTGCAGTACGATACAGTAATGACGAGGTCAATGTTTAGGCGCCAGAAGCATCTTCGGCGGAACCGTGTCCTTCTACTGCCCGGAATGACTGCTAACGGTGGTTACAACCGTACGGGTAGTCGCAATATGAAATTGAGCCCCGAAGATGAGGAACATCTCTTGGAGCAAGTTCTCCTCTCACGTCGCAACCAAAATAAATTGAACTCCCACGACACCGACACAGTTCAGAGCACTGATTCTGCAACTGAGGAAGCAGCCAATTTGCCGTGCGTTGTTTGTCAGAGTTCCGTACGAACAATCATCGTTTGGCCTTGTCGCTGTTTTAGCCTCTGCGATGACTGTCGTGTGTCACTGGCAATGAACAACTTTGATAAATGCGTATGCTGCCGAAGAGATGTGATGAGCTTCAGCCGAATTTTTGTACCATAGCGGCATCCTCACTTGGCCACAGGATAGCCGTACAGCTCCAAACGCAACTATTGGTCACGGGTTATCAATGTATGGTGTAGTCGTATTAATTCTACCTTCATCGAAAATGCGCGACGACTGTCTAATTTAGTCCAAGTACGTCAATTTAATTATTACATGGCCGCCCATTCGACGCTATATGTACGGACTGAACTCGGGAGCGAGTTACGGGCCGGCTGTTGTCCGCCCAGCAAAAAGGCCTTCTTCACGGCTGTTGCCAGGCGTCCGCCTCCAACAATGTCCAAAACGGCTATTTGTTCGTCCCATCCGTACTCATTTGCCATGAAATGTGCGTGGAAACGCAGCGGATCACCAGGATATACACTATACTGAGCACCAAACCTTAACCCGGGCGTCATATAATTACCTCTCCCCAGAAGAAAACCACACAGCGCCGCCACAGGATCCAGCTGCATGTTGGACAATCTCAACGCATTCCATAGTAGCAGAAAGCTGCTTGATACAGGAGTTAAGGCTAAAAGTCCTACGGTACTGATGTGGCGGTTGTCGTCAGGACAAGCGATGATATCATTGGCTAAACTATAGCTGTTATTATCATTGCTAAGTGGGCATCTGACGCCAGCTTCGTTTTGACTCTGATAAGCAGTTACTGGGGCTGCTCGTAAGGCAGCACGTTCCGCTAACGCGTGTTGCGCGATCAGCTTGCTCTGCCGCAGATGGTCTATATACATCGACCGAGCTTCGGTGTTAGAAGAGCTCAAGGCAACGCCGTGGGCAGCCACATCGTCTACGATGTGTGCTGATCCTTTTCGCGCAAGGGCATATGCTTCCTCAGGTCGCAGTTCCACAGGTAATCCCAGAAAAAGATTTTGGGTTGGTTGCTGTGGTGTTGTGCCAACCAAAGTACCAGTAGTATTTTCTCGTCTTCTGAGGACAGCGAGTGCGTCAGGGTCGAATACTAGATATCGTCCAGCTATCTTTGAAATCCTGACCTCGAAGAGGTTAATCTCCGAATGTTCAATTGTCGACATCATAGTCTGGAATCACCATGTTTAGGTTAGCTTACAGACTCCAACTGTCCAAAAAATTGTCGGGTGCGGGGGTTAACAGTGAAGCGCATTGGAGAATCATAAGTCGTCTTCGTAATATTTAATGTGTCGTCACAGGATCTCAGTGGATTGACAGATATTCAAATGTATAATCATGATGCAAATTTGGGTCGCCGGAGGTAGGACGGGGACAGGGAGGTGTATCATACATACCATGGTGCGTTGTATTGGCGCAATAGGGGAATAAGCAGAATGCACAAGAGAAGTGCAACCATTCTATTTTCCTTTGAAATATTTCGGGCATGGATGGCTGCGTGGGTCAGTACGAATAAACGAGGCTCGGATCGCATAATGCAATTGGACAGCTTATGCGTCAACCGGGGCAGTCTAGGTACCAAGCCCAGCCTCAGAAATCCAGGTCTTGCACTTTGGACTGTTCCAAGTCTGTCATTGACCTCGGTTCTTCGTCAAGGCCAACAGGAGGTAGGCTGAAAGGCATTATAACCAGTCCTTGTGAAGCGCTGAGCCAGAATGACATGTCTTCTCTCCTCCAGCACCCTTCCATTCCGCCGCCTTTTTCGTGAAATATCGGCAATTTATGAACTCGGACCCATCCTTGAGCTTTGCTTCCCTCCGGATTCATCTCTTTCACGTGTGTTGGCTGTTTCAAAGGTACAAGTTCGACAACCCCGTCAAACAACAGCTCCATCCACTTGCAAAGTCCGAAACGTCGTGGATGAAGGGGTGTAGGTAGCGAAACCAGTGCAGTGAGCTGCGACGGGAACTGCCGCAGCAAACTCTGCAGACCGTGTAAAAACCGCAGAATCTCCTCAGGTTTGACTGCTGTGACGGGGTAGGCAGCAGGAGAAAGGATGCTAGGTATAACGACTCGATGCACCGCCGACGAAGTCTCCAATTTCGACCGAAGGTCACATATAAAATTTGGGAAAATAGATTGGGATACGGGGTTGGCAGCCTCCCGAACGGGATATGTCAGAAGCTGACCATGCACACAGTTTGCTTCCAATCTCTGCGAAAGATCAAAAGAATGACAAAAGGTGCTGAGACCTTTGGAGAGCGCGGCTTCGCCTGGTGCGTCAAGGACTGGTTTCTGTGGTTAATTTTGTCACAACAAACTTGCGAAAGCTGGGTATCGCCAGTACCTTTCTTACTTGGCTGAGAACTCAAGGTCTCATACCTCCATGCTATCTTCATTTTATTTGCGGATGGAGCAACGCGCGTCTGAAGCGGCTGTTCCTTCGCTTCAACTAGCCCGGGTAGCTCCCTGCGCCAGGTGTTCTCAACGCCAAGAACGTGGACTTGATGGCCCTGAACTAAACCTTCTCCGGCAAAGTAGCGAAGCAAAACACCTCCGAAGTCAGTTGTTCCGCATTCTTCAATTAACAGAGAACTTCCCAGTGGCAATCCCGCATGACCGGCTAACAGCTGATCTAGCGAAGCCGTGCCAGTTGATGTGGTCAAGCGACCATCTAATGGTGATGAGCGGGTACCTGAGGGCGGTTCTTTCCTGTCAATATGCGGTGGTGACGACGGCACAGAAGCACGGATGATACTATTTCGTTTGCGGAACGACATTACATCTGCGATTGATTGACTGCGCGCGACAAAATTTACTTCCTTTTTGTCCTAGATGAGCACAAATAAATAGGAAGACCTTGTCGATCTCGGAGCGAATTAGAGAGGGCAGGTGGAAAGAAGCCAGAGGGAGGGACGCCCGCAGACGACCAAATGGAAAAAGAAGTGCTCATAGACTAAATAGAATTTGCCTTGAATTTCTGGTGTTGCAAAGAACGATAATCTGATGGCTTGTCAGCTAAATTGTGCTAGATTCTGGAGGGCGTGTACGTGGGGCCTGATGCGATGATTCGAAAAGACCTGGCCCCTGTTGAAAGATATGCTTATAACAGTCTAGGTCGACTTTTCTACACAGACACCAAGAAATCTTGTCGAGACAACAGCTACTATCGAGATTTGTTATTGTGTCCCCTGCATATTCTCGCCAACATGTCCGGCGGCGGCGGCGACGCAACTCTGTTTGAGGAAAGCTTTACGGTTACCGACTATGATCAATCCAAATACGATCGTGTTGCTCGCATTTCATGCACATCCGCCGACTCGCAAACTGTGATGGTGCTTGATATTAATATGGAGCTCTTCCCTGTCGCAAGGTCCGATTCCCTCCATGTCGTCCTATCCACGACATTATCGCCAGACGGAAGCAAGGAGGATGATAAGGGTTGGCGAGATGTTGGCAAGGGAGGCGACGCCCCAGCTACGTTGGCAGACTTGTACGACTACGTTTGCTATGGCAAAATTTACAAATTTGAAGAGACATATGATGGCAATACCATGTACGTACTTGAGCATCTTGTTTCATTTCCGGCTCGTTACCTGTTTAGTCAAAATGCCATCATCACAGCCGTCTTCGACGCTTTTGAGAGCCTCTCTTGCTCTCCACATCATTCACCGCTAACCATCGACTGGATAATTAGCAATGCATACGTCTCCTTTGGAGGTCTCCTTATGTCATTGCAAGGGCCTGTCAAAAAGCTCACGCCTCTTCGAGTCGACAACATCTATCTTTTGATCAAAAAGTAGCTAGACATTCGACATATGTCCAATGGCGTAGATACACACATGACTTTCAATGTGAGCTCCTGGCTTGCTTACTTACTTGAGAAGGGGAACTCCGCTCTGACGATAGATGCCCAACGGCAGCGAAAATTGATATCCCTTCCTGGTTGGTTTCTTACAACAACTTGAGCAACGTTCGAAGACCCTAGGTGAAAATTGATGAAGAGGGATCTACCAATCGCCAACCACGTCATGTTCCTGACCAGTCTTTTTGATGTGGCCCTGGGAAAGGTAGTTTACGATGCATTCGTGACTTGATAGTACTCGGTTGCGGCTCCTCATCCTCCTTCAGGATCCCATGGCGAACAAAGAAGTCCAGCAGTCCGGCATGACTGCGGCGCAGTTATCTTTGAACTTGCCACAAGCCAGGTCGCTCTTGACCTGGTTCACGTCACAGAGCTTAAATTCTTGCACTTCGCCGTCCTTTGGTTGCAGAATGACCTTTGCAGGTAGCTTTAGGTCATAATTCAGTGGCATTCCGGATAAATGAAATCGGCTTGACCAACGTCCTTTTCATTGGTGACATTTATGTACGTAAGCGTACCGATTTCTTGTGCATTTCGGCGAACCAAGTCTTTCGCGAGGCTGGCTTCTTCATCCACCTCACGAATGATGCATTCAAAGGGACCTCACCCTGAGCCCACCAGCAACTGTGTTATCAAGCATGCCAGGAAATGCTGAACTGTCTGCTGCCCGCTTTGGAACCCACATCAGGATCCCATGTGGTGCAGATGGGTCGACCACGTATGCAGTCAAGTGAGCGCCATATCTCACCGTTCCGAGGAAGCCAATAGCAGCGCGCTCCATGCTGAAAAGAAGTGCACCACGTCGTCCATAGACGGGCCAGAGCTCTCCCCGCCAACCCTTGAGCAGCTCGAAAGTCTGGTGGTCTCGCCAATAGGCGGAGAGACTAGCTGCCGTTCAAAAGCAGGATATGAAGAAAAGGGGGCGCGGACGTGCTTCGCAGTCTTACTTGTCCGTATCATAAATCAGGTCTAGATTTGTCTTCATTTTGGTCGGCACAAACAAAAGATGGAACGAAGTATCTAAAAGATGTATCGAGTCAATCGATATAGGTGGGCGTCCGTTGTGAGGTCGGAAAATGAACCCTGGCGTTCAATCACCGGATGTGGGTGGAGCAGTTGACTGACCTATGCTGGAGCCAAGCCAGCGAATGCTAATTGGTATGTTATTATTAACACTGCTTTAAGTACATTGTGCTAGTAAGTAAAATATTGACACCAATCCTCCGTACGTCACTCCTCTCCCTAACTTGCGAGTGCCACGTTCCCAGGGTTGAGAGGCAGAGAAGTCACAGCGGAAGCGCTCTGACCAATGCAATAAGGTAAGGCAGGTTAATACCACACCCCACCAAAACACCACATTATGGGTTTTTTTTAGTTTTTTTTTTGTGTGTGTACTTTTGCCAAGCAAGAAGCATCACGTTCAGCCTCAAGACTCGACATTGGCTAACCCGAGACAACAAGTCGCAACCTTTTGAATGAAAGCACTGTCCTGGTACCCCCCAACGGCAACATAATCCGATATACACAACACTCAGCAATGTCCGGGCTCATGTTTGGAGTTATCCCCACCGGGCAACAACTGATGACTGACCCTACATCCACACCTTCTCCTACGTCATTTCTCTATACGCTGCCGAACACCAAGTCTTTTTCCCATGTCATGGTAATTTTGCTACCAAACGTTCATCTTCCCGAGAATACCGCTGCTGCCATCTACCTTGCCACTGCCAAGGATGTTGCCACCGCAGCCGAGCTCGGCGGCACACCAAACTTCAAATTTCTTGGGGGGATCGGGACCGGGAAAGAAAGCGCACTGTTCAAGATCAGTTCGAACCCTAGCCATAACTCTGGCAGTGCAGAAAATGATGGCGTTGTCATTGGAGTTTCTGTTGAGCCAGCAGAGTCTATCGGCCAACGCTTGGAACAACTGTCAGCTGACAAGACAGCAAACAGCTCGGCGCCGAACCCCAGCACGTCACAACTACCTACTACTCTTCTTGCCCAACGTATAATACAAAACGCATATAATTCCCTGGCGAGCTACACCAAGTCGATAGGTCCCGAGGGTGTGGAGGTTGTCCCTCTAAGGGCCTTTGACGAATGGTGGCGAAAGTTCGAGAGTCGAATTCGCAACGACCCCAACTTTCTTGCAAAGCCCCAGGAATAAATTTTGTAAAGTAATTGAGCATGTCTTTCCTCCATACTGCCTACAGTGTCTCAACTTTTCAAGTTGCTGACAATATTGTGCAATCCTCGCCGGGGGCCTTCACTCCGTTTTCGAATGTGACCCTGCATGACTTTGATCCCATGGACGTGATTCGAACAGAGTTCGGCGGGGACTATCAGTCTAACAGGCACCAATGAACCGGCTGTTGCCAAGAAGAGAATTGAACGCGCTGACAGCTAACTGAACCATTAAGTGACACGAAGCCGAAAATATTCTACACCACATGCTGTATCCTAAGCTTCCTCTCCCAAGCAATGCGGGCCTTTCAACCGAGTCGGGCTAGTTGCTCTGCTTCTCCTGCCAGCATTTAACATTTGGAGACTCGGTGCCAGTCGCTCCCTGCTTTCCGTACGAAGAACTAGTCCAGTTCTATCCATTACTGATGGTGGTTGGCCCTCGTCAACACCACCCAGGACGATTTTAGGGGCCCCTGGCCCGTTGTATCTATTTGCATGGAATCCGTCACTACTGTCAGAGCCATCGAGATCTTCAGAGTAGCCCTCTAGCTCATATCTGGTAGCGTCGCCTTGTTCTAAGATTCTTTCATAATTTGCTGGGCTGCGACCGAATATTTGGTTCGTCAACCTGTGTCCGCTCCGTGATATGCGACTGGAGTGGCATCGCCGCCAGATGGTCAGTATTCGACGCCGTCGATCAGCCCGTTGAAGATAGTATACGATCAATAAAGCCACAAACATCAAACCTAGGATACGATACAAGGTTTGGTTGCCGAGAGTGGCGTTATCGTCAATACCACTATCTTCAGTATCGTCGTAAGAGTCCAATGTCAAAGGCGTAGATCCTGCCTGCTCGAAATCAGGAGGTGTTTTCGGGGCTACATTGCTTCCAAACCCAACGGGTAATGATGAGAGGTGAGGTGATATTTGGCCCGACGCATAAAGAACCATCTTTCCCAGCGTCCAACTCACTTCCACACCCTCCACAGTATCAATTGGTTGGAACGGGTTAACGAAGCTCTGCTTTCCTTCTTCTGCCTTGTCGTGTGTTGTATTGAAACTGGATCTAGACGGATGATCCACACCAACCCGAGGGATTCCAATCCCTTCATATAGAATATTTATTAGCCAAGACGCTTTGAAGCAGGCTTCTTGTGCTTCTTGAATCTTTTGTTCTGTAGTTTTCCTCCGTTTGACTATGTCGCCCTTCACTGCAGCCCACTCGCGGCTACAGAAAGCGATGACTTTTTGCTGATAACTTGCGAGATCGTACGCCTGTTGCTCCTTGCCAAAAACGCCATGGGTGGTATGCCAGTACTCTGACACGCCGATGAAGTGATTGATATCAAAATCTATTGCTGGAACATGCTGGCCATTGAGAAGGCAGGGATGATCGTCGCATGGCACGTCTTTACGAAGTAGAGGATAGGTTTTCCTCAAACACTCATCAAACGCGCCTGTTCCGACGAGAGTCTTCTCGATGGTAGATTTTCCAGGACTTGAAATCCCTCCAGCATAACTTCGGAGACCTTTCGGCATGCATGGATCTGGAATTTTGTCAACTGAATCGGCGTAGCTTTCCACCAAACTTTGAATATACCGAGACCGGGCCTTGTTGGCTCCGAATCCTAGCCATGTCGCGGTGAAGACCCTATATTCAGCTGATGACCCATCTAGACGTCGCATTCGAATCAACTTTAAATCATTTGCATGGCGCTCAGCTTCAGTCGTGTTAGGAGCGAAGGCAATTTGCGCCGACGCGCCACCCATGTCTAGAAAGCCGTAGGTATGATGACCCTTTCCGTGGGCGTGTTTCTTTGGTTGATCAAGCCCCCCCAAAAGGTAGTTCGTTGCAATCCAACCATATAATCCTTCTGTTTCTCCCGATATAACCTGAACCCGTTTGTCACAATCAGGGAGATGAAATTCTGTGTTCGTTTGCAAAAATTTACAAATTCCCTTCAAAAGTGACGCCTGTTGGGGCTCTGGAAGAAATCGGACGCCCGCTGTAGCCATTAAAAAAATAGGAGTTTTGGGAACCTTTTCAGCAGGCACCTCATTGAGAGCCACATTGATGAGGGACTGTAGATGCTTGGGGCCAACTGATGCGACGTCTTTCGCAAAAGTGGCAACACCTGGGTGGGTTTTCTTGCTCTTTTTCAGCTTCAGTTTTGGTAAACTACGCAAGTCTGAAGAGGAGGCCTTTTTTCTAGCGGAAATGGGGTGTTTCCATTTGTAAACATAAAGACGAGTTCCCGACGAACCCGCGTCGAGGATGACTCCATACTGAGCTAAAAATGCGAAATATTAGTTGAACAAAATTTGGAACAGAGTCGCCTCTAATTTACAGGGTGGCTTTGCGATATTTGACATACAATTCTTGCCCATTAGGACATAATTTGCGTTGCAGGCTAGTGGTCAAGGACGTGTAATGCAGCCTTGGTCTGATGGCTAGCCTTGGTATTTGATGTATATATAGTGTCGATCGCTGGGAGCGGCCTACCGCAATCAAAATGTTTGTCGAGTAGGCGAATCGGCAACGATGCTTAGTATTTGATGGATTCGGCTCGTCAATTATTCGAACAGTGGAAACAGTGGTTGGGATTGTGCCAATGCGAAGAGCCACTGCGCAGAGAAATCACGGAATGATCAAAGAGAAAACCGGGTAGAAAGAGGGTGTAATTTGAACGATGACTGAGATATCGTTGTCACAATTGTAAACTGTGCCTAGAGTTCGAGACTCCTAGCCCAAAGAATGATGCAATGTGTTGACTACAAACCCGTCCGACGTTGCAGTAGAGAATTACTAATAAACACCAAGGAGTGCGTGGCACGCCCACACAGTGCACGTACATCCCATATGTGACTCAACACTGGGTGGGTCTGACCTAGGAAGCTTTCATACCTCCACCAGTCATCATCTATGATCATCATGAAGAAAGTGGTACAAAACTTCCTTCCATCCACTTTTATTCTTTCGATCATGCGGGTACGTCCCCAAATAGTAGATTTCATAATGTTAAGGCCGCACAGCGAGAGTATTTGAGAGGCAGGAGGAAATGGGCTCTAGATCGCTAGTACTCGCCCCACTTCGACGGAACATCGCAAGGCTGCATCTCATAACAGTTACGACTACTCCGTACGCGATGTAGAATCGGGGAACTGATGCCACTGCTGGCAGCAACAGCAATATTGATAGCGAAAAGGACAATCACTATGATGATTGTGGACCTAGGTACTTGCCTAGGTCCCTTAGCAAGTTTATGAGACGAGAGGCTTCCATAAGCCCGGAATTCCAATGCTACATCGAATTGTTTCTCGCTTTTAATGTGGAAGTACATTGTACTAACAAATTCATCCCCAAATTGAGGATTTGATTTGATTATATCGCGTCGTGCGTAATCTAGGAACCCCGTCTCCTATCAATGCCAGCCACCATAATGGCCGTGAAATTCCTATCAAAGGTGAAAATAATAAGCCTGCGCCAAAATCCTCCCACATATTGAATCCGGGCGTGTTCTTAAATGCATTACAAGCTAAGCTTTCTACAATCAGCCTTAACGAAAATTGAAGTCCATCACGTCAGCGCCATATGATATACTGGTCGTTCTTGGCTCGAACGGTGTCGCCTTGACTTAGTCTCAATCCTGTCTTGCTTGAGTCTTTCCCTGGTCAACGGCCAGTTATGAGCGTTTGTTTCTCGCCTTCTGTCGGGCCAATTGCGATACTGTGCCGGCCAATGAAACTGTGGTGTTGAATCAACTTCGTTTGCCACTGTCCCATGCGGACTGATGTTCCTGGAACCTGCCCTGGCTTTGTGATACAGCTCCTGTACCTGTAAAAGACGCCGGCACTTGTCTCTATGAGCAACTACTAGCTCTTCGTTTCTGCGGCATACTCGTTCGTGTTCTTTGGAGGTGCCTGGTCTGGTTAGAGAAGCGCCATACACCATATCCTAAACCTACTATCAATTTTTTTCTGTAGTCGCGCGATTTCCGCATTTGCCTCCGTAATAGTTTGCTGAAACTGGGATTTCAGTCTGAAATGTTGCTCAGCCAATATTTTATAAACATGCTGCTGGTAGCAGATCTCCTGCGTCTTTTGATAAGCCCAAAAGTTGAGGGCTCTTTCGGCGCACTCCAACACAATACTCGGGCCCAGCCCACTGAGAACAATTGCCTTGTAGTCCTCACTGGGAATCAGGTTTGATATCCCAGTGTCTCGATCGAGTAACAGCGTTGAGTGACAGGCTGGACAGACAAACGTCTGCTCGGCGGTGATGTCACAGACTACGCGGAGATTTTGAACGCAATCTAGGCAAAACGCATGGCTTCCACGAAAATTAACACAAAGGTCACATGAAGAAATCTGTGCGAGTGTACAAACATATATTGAGACATACCTGCACGTAGTAACCAGAGCTCTATCAATGAGCTCCTTTCTACATTTGAGATTGTTGCAGAGCAGACTGGAGTTCATCATGTCTCGTCTGAAGGTAGCCTCGCAAAAACTGCCGAGCTACGCCGATAGAAGAAGTCAAGCGCAAAAGTGGCTCATGTGATAATGAGAACTGCTGCAGGAAGAGTCCGGTGACCAATCCTGAGTCTGGTCGTGGATTGGGTGAGGAAGTCGCGGTTTCGCGATTATTTAGATGGCTCATTCGCTCACGGCCTCACCTAGGATTAATGGGACCAGACTTAATAGAGAAAGCATAGAAAGTACAAGGCAAAATGGCACTCATCCGGTCGTACCTACCTTGGTACCCAGTGGAACATTCCGGTGGGTGCTGGAGAAGGCGCCAGACATGATTGCGAGAGTGGGCGTGACATCTGGAGCGCCCTGAGGCCACAAGTTCACGATTTTTAATGACCCTGCCACGAATCTTGATGTGGTTTGGATACCCCTATGCTATTGGATATGACCAGGTGATAGTGTGCTTCTAATGACTTAGCGTTTAATTTACTAAAAATGACGCCAATTGAGGTTTAAACACAAAACTTGGCAGCGGCTTTCTATGCCATCAAAAATACAGGTATTCTCAATGGGAACATATTGCTTTGTGATGATTTTGATCATCTCCTGGGCAACCATGCCTCCGGTAACCGCAGCCGTATTATGGATTTCCCCCCGATTCGACCGAACTACTTCTTGAGCTATCTGCAGAAGCCTTTTGTTTCCTGAAAGTCTCGGGGCGAAGCTTGCGACGAAATCCACAATCTGTTCCGCGCTGTCTGTGGAGATAAAAGCGGAAGCATGAAGCGCAAGATATATAGAAATCAACGACAATGGCATTTCAGGGCCTCCGCCTGCGGAGAGATTGTCGTTCAGGAGCTCATTTTCTGCGTACCAAGTGATTCGTCAGCTCCAAACAAACGCAGTAGTGGTCCCCTCTGCCGTCTTCTACTTGCACATACCGACGATTTGGGCGATAGTTGGTAAATCTGCCGTGTTTTGCAGTAGTTTTATAAATTTCGCATTCTTGCAAAATAACTCTACCTCAGCTTGCGCAACATCCGTGCCACCTTGCAGGGTACGAACAATGCTGATTATCTCGCCGACATCTTGCCGTGCTTTTGCCTTATACAGAGACTGGAGTTTGATGTACATTCTAGACTCGGCCTTCATATCGGGTATGCCTCCAGGTAGTGGAAGTTCATGGTGCTTTTCATAGAATTGTTTAACGGCTTCTGCAATGATCCAGAAGTTCTCCTTTGGCGAAACCTAGTGCAACATTTCAGATTGCGGGGACCCCAACACGGACTAGATTGACTGGATACGATAGGAATAGACTTACCTCTGTTGAATTGATAGAATCAAAAACTTGCTTCAGGGAAGATGGTAGCGAAGATGGTGTGACGTGTTTCATCACTGCTGCAACGGCCTCTTCGAAATTTTCTTCTCCTCCCTCAGGATTATTCCGCCTGGCGCCACTCGCCACCAAATTTCGAAATGCCAACTTATCAGAGTAGGTCAATGGCGGATTGCCTCCATGTGAATCTTTCCAGTCTTCGAGGTAATGAAGAAGAATAGCAACAAGGGGTAGGTGGCCGTGATCATGATCAGGTTGCTTATCAATGTCCTTGGTCAACCGGTTCGCAAACATGGACAGCTCTGACCATGGGTTCAGCAGTCTCAAGTCCGCAGTTGCATCCTCGCCTGGGTGAGTATCGACAATAGGGAGACGCCCCGGCAGTTTCAGTGTGAAGTATGAATAATAGCCTATGCTATGAACACTGAAGAGTGGAATCTCCTGCCGCTCAGCATACGACTCGAGGAAGCAAAGTCGATCCTTCTGGAGAGGCAAAGTATAGAGAATGACGGTGAATGGTCCCAAAGAGGCTGTAAGCTCCTCGAGGTCAAAAGGATTCTTAGTTATAGAGAGTTAGTCTCAAAGCATAGCACAGTGGTGTCTTAAAGTAGGAGATGGGGAAGCCAGAAGCTACGAACATTTTCTCTTGGAAACCATTGGCCTGAAACTTCGGGATTGAGCTCAACAAGATACTTGGTACAACAACGAGATCGGGACTTGCCTAGACAAGCTTCATCGAGGAAAAAGTTGACACCAAGGTCTGCCTCTTGCACAATGGCATCGTCGGCTATGGTAAATCTTCCAATACCTAGAAGTGGAGAATCTGTTAGTAGACTAACCGCGCGCCTAGAGTTGCGGGATTTACGAACCGGGTAAAACCAAGTTTTTGAGAGTCTCAATGCCAACCGTTCCGGGGGAAGTATTGACAAGAAGGATGTTTGCAGACTCCAGGGCAGCTTGGCCAGAGGCAGCCCAAAGGCGAAGCTGGCGATCATACTTTCTTTCCTTAACAGTCGGACCTTGTTGAAGCCCTTTGGTCGTGCTGCACTCTTGAGACATGATGCCACGATGGTATCACAACATAGAAGCAGGTCTGACACCGAGTGCACAATTGGTTGGTGGTGGTTGAAGGGGCACGTTTGGTCACAAACCCCGGCGACCACAGTGCGAAGAGGCAAGCACACACCATGCGGCGCCGTCCCTAGGAAAGATTCTACCTATTTAAGGTATTTGCAAGTTGACACAAGCATAGCGCGCGGGGGGTATCTGTCTTCAGCTTCATCAGCTATCACAACTTTCATGATCATTTTTGACCTGTCTTGTGATAATTCTGCTGTCTTTGGAAAGGGGCCGTGCGCGTAGCGGTATCTAGTAGTAGATACTATCAGGGTACCTGTATGGAGTAGAGTGAAAAAATATGCCTCCGCCATTGGAGCTACGGTAATTCGGTCTAAGCAGGCCAGTGGACGTTTGCGGGCACAAGCTTGACCAACAATGACAAAGTGGTGTCGACGACACCTCGGCTCGAGGGCTTTCAAAAGTTCCCTTTTCCAACGTTGACGCCTATCAACCCAATGTGCCCTCGAGCATCTGTCCAAACTAGCATCGCAACAATCACTGCAAATCTCGGTTCGAACGATGGCTTCAGTAGCTGCTAAGCGTTTGGCTGGTAAGACAGTACTCATTACTGGCGCTTCATCAGGTATCGGACGATCTACTGCTCTGGAATTCGCTCGGACTTGTCGGGACAATTTGCGCATCATCCTCACAGCCCGTCGCATCGACTCACTCGACAAATTGGCCTTTCAAATTGCGCAAGAAGTCGGACAGGGTGTCAAGATACTTCCTGTGAAGCTAGATGTTAGCAATCCGGACGAAGTCCGTGGCTTTGTAACAAGACTACCCGAAGAATGGCGGGATATCAATGTTCTCGTCAACAATGCGTAAGTGACCTTGGTCTACCCCTTAGCGTAGCCATGTCCCGATGAAGCGTCTTCTCCGCACACGTATAATCTGCCTTTGCTAGACAATTTGCTGATTTAATACTGCATCTATTTTTGAAGCGGTCTTGTGAAAGGTGTTGCACGTGTCCCAGATATCAATGAACAGGATATGAACACCATGTTTGCAACAAATGTCACAGGGTTGATTAATATGACTCAGGCCATATTGCCCATATTTCAACAGCGTGCCAATGGTGGACAGGGCGATATCATCAACGTAGGGTCCATTGCAGGACGCGAACCATATCCTGGCGGCTCTATTTACTGCGCGACCAAGGCTGCGGTTCGTAGCTTCACCGAGAGCTTACGAAAAGAGCTGATTGCGACCCGTATAAGAGTTATTGAAATAGATCCCGGCCAGGTCGAGACGGTAAGTCCTTGTGCCTCAGCGAATTACTTGCTTGGCACTCATCAGAAGTCCGAAATAGGAGTTTTCACTTGTCCGGTTTGATGGTGATAAGACAAAAGCCGATGCGGTATATGCGTTAGTTAAACCTTGTCGTCTTGACGAAAGAGACTCTCACACTCAAAGGTCTGACAGTGGGTGCGATCCTCTCACACCAGACGACATTGCCGAGGTCGTTGTTTTCACAGCCACGCGCCGTGAAAATGTCGTGATTGCTGACACTCTTGTGTTTCCCAGTCACCAAGTAAGCTCCATGTCCTAATTGGCTGGCTAAAATGACAGATACTGACGTTGGCTGTCTCTTCTTCTCATAAGGCATCGGCTCTCATTTTGCACAAGAAGGTGGATTGAGTCTAGGAGAACAGGCTGAAACACATTGTCTCTCGGAGTGATGGGATGCATTACGAGATCGGGCATTGAAAAGTTTTTGAAGATAGGCTCTCCAGAACTAGACCGAAATGTCAGAGCTCACTTCCTACTTGGGCAATCTCACTGATTGTTGATAGCTGCTTGTTTGCCCACTTTGTTTCGGTTGGGTTGCAGAACTAGACTTCAATTGTTTACATTAATATAGTATCTCAATTGACATGTTCGAAAGTTTCTCTTGCCCTAAGCTCATACCTATCAGGTGACGATCAGAAATGATCCGAGCTTGGGGCCTTCTACAATCAATGAAGTCCAATATACCAGCGTTCCGTTAAGAATCCATTCTAGGTTGAATTGGATCCTTGCCATCACAAGTGATGGCACCGCCGGATGTGTCAATAGTGTCCACTTTTCGTGGCATGTCACAATGTGCCTTTGGTCGAGGAGAAGCTCAACATCAATTGGGTGCGAAGGAAGCCAACGTCTGAATAGAGTGCCATGTCTTCCTCATTGGGAACGTCACAAAATGTATAGATCGTAAAACATCATAAATCGTCGCTGGTGCAGCCTGTGACTTAAGAAGAGCAAGCCAAATCGGGAACGCCGCGCTGAGAAAGTATGGTAACGTGATCGAAATCGGGGCAAACAATCTCCAGGATGCCAGCGACAGTGTACTGGTACGAACAAATTCAATCCACCAGTCCTGCGGCCTTCAATCCCCTGTGTGTTGGAACAGTGGTGAAATCGACTCGCCGTAATGATTACGTCGGATAGCTTCTGACAAGAGGAATGACAAGTCGAGCACAACAAGTTTGTGGATATTCCTCGCCCGGTCTTGGTTAATAGGGAAGCTGTTTGTGACGAGTATTGTATCGATGCACTCGCATTCTTGGAGTTGTTCAAGACAGTCTGCTCCAAAAACACCATGTGTGGCGATACAGAAGACCTGTTTAGCCCCTCCTTTTTTCACTACCGTCTCAGCCGCGGCAATCCAAGAGCCCGGTTTGTCTATCATATCGTCTACAATGAACACTGTTCGGTTTCTCACATTGCCTACCAAAGTAATCATGTGTTCGGCCTTGGTATCCTGAAATGCATTGTCTTCTTCGTCGGAACTTGCTGCTGGATCGCCACCACCGCCAAGAATCTGTCCTTCTGGTACAAAAAAGGAAGAGGCGTGAGACATGGCCATGAGATCTTCCTCCTGTAAACTATTCTCGGCAGTCGATATGATGGAGGAATTGAAGTCATCTTCCACGATATGACCTCTGATTAAACGACCATGTATGACCTCTTGGGCTCGCCGGTCGTCAAAGATTTGTTCTTGATTGGTAGGCATTAAATCAGGCGTGCTGCGGGAGGCTGATGAGCAGTCATCACTAGATGACTTCTTCTGCCCCTCTGGCGGTTTCGTTCGTAGTTCACCATGGCGACTGGGCGAGCCAGTGGAATCAGCCAGTGGCGTTCGAGGTTGTTGTGTGGATGTATATCGGGCGTCAACTGCCAGGTCATCTTTACCAGGCAGGCATGTAGCACTTCCCACCGCGGTTTCAAGTGTAGGCTGTCTGTCAACACCATCGAGATGGTTCATGATCATGCTTGCTGTCATATTGGTGCCCCTTCTCCGGTCGGTCGTAACCATACCAAAATTAAGCTTTAAGGCATCAGCAAGTGAAGTCACCCGCTTTGTTCCTCCAGCATTCTTTGAAACCACGACTGCCTCTCGCCAATTATGAACATTGCGTCGAATCCATTTCGCAATCAAAGGTTCGGCATGAAGATTGTCCACTGGACACTGAAAAAAACCTTGCATTTGCGAAGCATGCAGATCCACAGTTATCACATGTTTAACTCCGGCTACGCCAAGCAAGTTAGCGAGCATCCGGGCAGTGATGGCGCCTCGATGTGCTTTCTTTTTCGACTGCCGACTATATGGAAAGTATGGAAGAACAGCTAAGACATATGAGCCTCGGTATCGGTGGAAATTGGAAGACTTTACCAACCTGTGATTCTGTTTGCGGATCCGCCTTTACAAGCTGAGATCATGATGAGCAATTCCATGATGGAATCATTGATCTTCGGGCTTCCCGACTGAACCACGAACACGTCTTTCTCTCGCACGCTCGTCAATATTCTGACGCTTGTCTCGCCCTTGGACGTGTTAGCTGACATCGGCACACGTTTATGGAAAGTCCTGCGATGGAGAGGACGAGCGAAGCTGTGGAAATCTCACATTGGAGAATTGTGTTAGTTCCGCATCAGCAGGAGTCATGCCAAGGTTCTCGCATATTTGACCAGTGAGAACTGGACAGGAATTACCAGCGAAAATAAGTGTGTTGCGCATTGCCGATAGAGCTTAAGTACCGTGAAGATGAACTCGGGACGGGGAGCTCACGAGATCAAGATTTTTTTGGGGGTTAGAGAACGAAATCCTGTGGAATAAAATACAGTGCAATGTGGCTGGAGAGGTGACGGGGCTCCAGAGAGTTACCAGTGACACCGCCACGACATACAGTGTGCAAGACAGTGTATCTGACCCACCCTGTATCCTTGTTCCGCGAAAATTGAAATTGGTGAATCGGATATTTTCATCTTCCGTAAAGTCCATTCAAATTTCAAGGTAGCATCAAGGTGCTACACGCCACCAAATATCAGGCTTGTCAGCCAGAAATCTATCGTTATGCAAGATTCCTGTTGTATCTGACTCTGAAAATAAGTATTGAGTGCTTGTATTTGGCAACGGAGTACTCAGATACCCAGGTGCGTAGTTCGTCAACCAATCTCGCAGAAACTCAAGTCCTCGTGCAAGCAGGCACACCGGGGGCCGCGCAAACCAAGCAAACACCAGTTTTTAATATTTCCAGGGCCTCTTGGTTGCATGAATGCTTGCCTCTAGGTAAGGCATTACGTAGTTATACGTGCACCCGGGTGTATACGCCTCCCGTGGGTGTCATGCATTTGAGGTAAAAGAATCAGTTCTCTCGCAACCATATTCTAAATGGGTATCCCGCACTTGTATACTGCGCTGCGGCCACTGGCAGTTTGGGATGCCTTCGAGGACGAAAGTGTGATCATAGACGGCCCTGCGCTCGCATATCATATTCTTCATCTTTGCAGAGCAAGTGGCGTCAGTCAACCATCATACAGTCTTCTCAATCGTGTCACTATCGGTTGGCTTGACTCACTACGTCTGCACAACGTGGTCATGTAAGTGTCAAAATGCCCAAATGTTCCTTCATATTTATTTCTGTTCAGTGAAACAGAAAATAGATTCCGCGGCCTCTAACAAACATCGAGTAGAAGAAAATTATATTTTGATGGTTATCTACCCCGGGCAAAAGTAGACGTTCGCATGGGCAGAATGATGAGGGCTACTACGCGACTGAGCCGCCTCTATGCTTCGCACCCTCAGAGATGCCCAGTATCATACCTTGAAACGGATGAGAATGAGGCAAATATTGATATCTACAAATCAGGGGGTACTGATGTATGCCCTCTGGTAGATCCTTGCTTCCTTGTGCCAGCCGTGTTGAATGGTCTCCGGGCGTCTACTCAATACCGGAATATAACAGAGGTTGTGCCAGGTGAGGCCGACCACTTTTGTGCGGCTGATATCTCAATGTACGGCGGTGTCTTGATCACGTCTGACTCTGATATGCTCGTACACAATCTTGAGGAAGGAAAGGTCACTTTCTTCCGAGACTTACACATAAAACCGGGACTCTGCATCAAGTTTTTAGGCTTCGCACCCAGGCAGATGTTCGACAGGATCGGCTTGGCGTATCCCGAAAAAGCAATACAACTAGCCTTTGGACGCAAAATAGCTCCCCAGGCAACCCTTTCGCAATTGATCAATATGTGCTCAAGGCCAGCACCGCGGTCTGCTGATTATATCGAGTTTCTAGGGAATTACATTCAGTCTGCAGAAGTAGCTCGCTTGCATCAAGTCGCGTTGGACATACCCTGTTTGAATGATTTGGACCCCAGGGTGTCCGAATTCATCCTGGAATTTCACTTAAGACGCTCCAATGTGTTTGCAAACTCTCCCATCAAGGTGTTTCTACCTTCCTTGATGGAATGTCCAGGCCTGAGGAGCGCCTGGGACCGGAGCTCTCACATACGCCAACTCGCATACTCTATCGCAAGCTATATTCTCCCTGAAAACGATGGATGCTTAGAGATTCGGGAATTCAGGCGCGTGGCGAGCGCCTTGCATGCTGGTCGTAAAGTAAAACTTTTGCCGCCTCTCCTCGCGAGAGAGTATGTCGACGATATCCTGTCATGCGCAAAGTGCTTCAACGCTGATATCCAACTCCCTGGCAATGACTTTTCGATTTTTTTGGCAATAGCGCTGGACAAAATGGAATCTTTCCAGAACGGGCGAGAAACACTTACGGATACCATTGATGAGTGGTTTGACTGCCAGGCTCTGAAATCGCGGGACAGTATGTCATGGGGCAATGTTCACATTGCAGCACAGGTGCAGGCGACGCTATACTCACTGCGGGTCCTTCAGCAAAGCTTGCGTTCAGCACTCAGTCCCAAAATAGGTAAACTTCTTCCAGGAGCTACAAAGTTATGCACATTGCTGTCCGAGCTCATACCCGTAGAGCTCTATCCTCCCCCCACTAAGCTACTAAGAATGGTACGAGATTTTCAACAAAGTAGGTCTCTGCATTCTCTCGATGCAATTTTCGTCAAGAGGTTCTGCGAGGATGAACCTAATTCCGACAAGAGCGATGGGATTGAGTCAACTTTGACTGATGACTCTGAGTCCATTCTGTCTGCGCGTAGCGGCACGAACACGAATTACGATCAGAACAACCCCTTTAGTGTACTAGATTTGGAAGGTTAGAGGGCTAAGCTAGGTACGAATGGCCGTGGAAGAATATACGTTTATGCGGGGAAAGAGTCGATAGTATACACAAGAGAGGAAATAAGCTAATATGAGTGGTTGCGGTATTTGCTCTCCCCTGGGCTGCTGGGAACTATCAATTTCCTAAAGCTATCTAATACCAAATAAGTTGTTCATGTCTGACGGTCAACGAGGCTACCTGCAGTTTAGCGTGAGGCAATGGAGAGTCACTATCTGCTGAGGTCTTGTAATTTGCCCGAGTATTATGAGAGTCGAATACCCTGTAGAGCTGAATACAACAAAGCACTGTGTCCATAAATGAAGAAACATAGTTCCAAGGCATAGTTCCTTATCCAAAAGCTCTACGCCTTGTGTGGCCCAGGGGTATCTTCATGTACTGTATTTGAACAACATCATGTCGAATATAACGCAACTCGCGAGAAGCAACGGCTCAAGGCTGGGCTTGCACCCACTGGTCCTGGGGTCCATGTATATCTTCCACGAGTTTTATGAAGCTTTGCTGGTCGTTTGTTGCTTCACTGGTTTCCTCCAGCAAGGGCTCGCTCCAGCCCCCGCTCCCAGCTGTCCGAATAAGCCGCCAAGCTCGTCTGAATTCGTCGCGGATTGACACAATACCATTGTGTGTGACGGTTCGAGCGACATTATGGTCTAATTCGAAAGGGTCCTCAATGGCAAATAAATACCTGTGCCTGACTTCTCTCCCCTGCATGCCTTTTTCACTCGTCACCCAAGAACGGGGCTTATTCGGCCTGACTGAGTCTGAACACGTGGACTTTAATGAAGAGGGTTCTTCCCTGCAATGATTCACTAAACCTTTGCCCATGGGATTTTGAGATTCATATACCGTCTTAGCCCCGGTCCAGCCTTTTTCTTGCTTTGTCACCAGGCCACCGAAGGTACGAAGGCTAAGGACGTCCCTTCCCCAATCGAATCCCTTGCCAAACCCACGGCTCAATGGTCCGTTTTGAGCAAAGTATTCGAAAAAGCCTCGAAGGAGCTGGCCAATACTTTCGGTGTTTTGGTTAAGTTGATGGCTGTTTGCAAGATGCATTATTTCGCTCTCACTGCTCCAGAACTCAACATTGTATCCCTGGCACATTGGCATGTCCAGGTTGCTAGGACGGGGCCAAGGTGAAGATATGGAAGGGGCAAGTTGCTGGAGATTGGGGCAAACGAACGGCTTTGCAATGTTGACAAGATAGTGTAACACCATCAAAACATAGCCATAGCTTCCCAGTGTGCCGCGGTACCCAGAATTTATCCCCCGAACTTTAGCCCATCTCTTGACGAACAAGACCATGGGTCGAACTCGAGTGTCTGTAAGGGAGTAGCAACGGAGAAGCAAAGTATTTTGGAGAGCAAGGTGGGCCGAGAAATTGATGTCACATTGAACGCCAACTCCACCAGATGGGAACTCCAGGGCATCTTGGTATCTGTCCCTTGGCCGTTTGACCGCCAACTTTCGAGGATCCTGAAGTTGTCGCATAGAGGAGAGCAATGAAAATACAGCTGGAGTTACTGGAATAGCAAATCTCGCAACTTGCTGATCCCGAGTAACCTTGACTAGTGGCGTCCGCAATACTTCCATGTAGTCTTTGATGACTGAAACAAAATTATCGTCATACAGATTGTTGGCAACGGCTTTTTCGAGTTCGTAAGCAAGATCGAGGCATTCGTGCTTCTTTCCTAGTTCGTCGAGTCCCATGGAATGCTGTGACTCCTGCACCGCAGACATCATATCCTGACGAAGCCTGTCGTCATTGATTCCTGTAATGTACCGCAAGGCAACGGCCTTCAGTGCCAAATCTGACATGTTCGTTTCCAATTTGGCAAGGCTACCCACGATCCCTTGTGCTCGCAGATGATACTGTGCTGCGGGTTCATGTACGTCTTGCTCCAATCGACACAGTTGGATTAGTGGCAGCCGCTTCATCTTCTCGAATGCAGAATTTAAGTCTCGGTTAAATGTAAGCGGATCCGTTCCAAAATCCGTTCTATGCTGGACATCCCTCCACGCACTCATGGCTTCCGTAACCTGCTCATTGGGATCACATATGGACGTTTTCGAAGACCAATTGTCCCATGCCAAACAAGTTTGCTCGCCCTCTGCCTGTACATAAATTCCAGAAAGAGACCGATGGCTTGTCGCTGACCAAGGGGTCCCAAATGACAAGGAGGAACAGGACTCCAATCGGCGTCGAAGCTCAGCGTCGCGTAATCCGCGCACAAACGCTTGACAGACCTCACTAAGAGTCGCCCACTCCATATCAGAAAGCTCACGATAATTGGATGCTGTAACATCACGGGCTCCAGCTCTTCTCAAAACCCTCTTAGCCAATGCATAATACGATTGAAGTGAGCTTTGAGAATTTTGTTTCAACTGCAAGCGTTGATATTCTCGGCCATCGCCCCTGGCAGGAAGTCCAAACTCGGACGCTGGAGCAGCCTTAACTTCATGGTCGCCCATCGTAATGTTGCCAGCAGTCTCGTTAGATCTTGAGTCGGGTTCATATTCTTCTTGGTCCTCTGAAGCGTCGGCATTCCCTACACCGTTTTCCCACTTCAACCGTTCCAAAAGCAATGCGTGACGAAGTTCTTCTGGCGGTTTCTCACACAGCTTGATAATTGGCACCCTTGTGCGACTGAGCAATCTGGCACCGAATCCGACATCTAGGAATGCTTTCTCCAGCATTCGAGGTATAGCTGATCCTGGAGCGTCTGGCTGCATACTAGAAAACGGGGAAAATAGTCCCAAGTCCATGTCTGAGGCTTTTGTGGCGAATCCAGATGACAAACTTCCGAAGCATTTAAGCTCAACAGACAAACTCGGAAAATGCGGCGAACCCAACGTGTTCTGTTCAAAATCAGAAATTGTCTCTTGGCAGATACGTTCAACCTTTTGTCTGAAAGACTCTTTTTGGGCAATTTCATCTCTTTCTATCTCAGAATTGCGAACCACTTGGAAGCAAAGGCTGTCAAGTAAGGCAGCTTGAGTTATGACATCTTCCCGGTTGAAATACTGTCGACGACTGATGTGGTGTTGAGCTTGAATGTTTCGGGGGCTCTGAGGAGGGAAAGATTGTTGATGCCAGCTAGACATCTGAGAACGGTCAGCTTGAGACCGGCAGAACTCCGATGATCCCGAGAACTGGGGAGTAGTGCAATTGTTGACTTCTGTATTTCTCGGTCTCGGCTCTGGGCGAATGGCCGGCTCCGGCTGCCTTAATCCGCTAGTCGCAGACAAGCTGTAGATGCCTCCGTCTACGCCTGGACGGTGGAATGAGGGGCTGTTATAGCTTGCGGCAGGCAGCACAGAGTTTTGATTCAAAGACTGCCACTGTGAACTCAAGGCAATAGAGAGTTCAGAACTCATCTGGCGTCTTTGGGCCTGGTTTGGCCGTCTTCTGCCAGTTCTGGAAGGCTGTATATCATTCCGGGCGCCTGGAGCTGGCGAAGTTTTCGAAACCCGCTCAGACGAAGGGACAGAACGCGAGTAGGAAGGTGTACCAGATGTCTTTTCAGATGCGAGGCTCGACATGTCAGGTCCTCGATCCGATCCGGTGCTTGGAGACACCTGGTTGACAAGGATCAGCCCCCGGAGTCGATCCTCGAGCCCTTGCGGTCCTTCATTTCGATAATCTTCCATGGCGATGGCCGGAGTTGTTTTACACACTAACGCTTAGCTGAGGCCCTGTGCGGGAGAGTGGCGACACCTTGGCCCAGGAATCTAGTTTGCTGACTCTATGAGCGACCGCAAATGTGGGAGCAATGAGAAGAGCTTGTCCAAAATCATGTTATATGAGTAGAATCCGATATGAGGGCGGACAAGTCGAAAATGCGCGCCGGGAATGCGCAAGAAAAACACACAAAGTAGTTATACAAGTTTGTCGATTGGCGCAACGGAATTGCGGGTGTGAGAAAGCGAGAAGTCAATGTTGGCTCTTCCGTTGCCAAGTCCGGCAACCCAGTTGCGATACAGAGCAGTGCAGGCTTTAGTAATTCAGGTCGACTGGGATTCACCACAGATCTGGCTGAGAGTTTGTCGCAGTTGGTTCTGAACGATGAATAACTCTCTGCGCAAGACGAGTGGAGACGTAGCAGGTGCGTGGCTACCTAAGTACCTACTAAGTACTTAGGTAAGTACCTATTAGTGCCAAGTAAGTAGACGGTACCTAGGTACTTAAGAAGTAGTTACTGGATATCTGGTGCGTCAATTTCAAATTCTCTTGCATGGAGAGGCCGAAAAGGCAGGGAGAGAAGATCATTTCAATCAATCAATAGCAAGATGCAGCAAATGAAGCGGCGCAGGCGAACGCTGTTGCGTGAGCCTGGTCCAGACCCAGACGCCCTGGACTCTGCCAGGAGGACGTCAACATTCGAACCAGCAACTGGTAGCTACCTAGTACCTAATCGTGCCCGCCCCACTTTATGTGGTTCGGCTAGCAAAAGCCCTCACCACCAAAGGTGGTGCTCGACAGCAAGGCGGGCCGGACACCAAGGCGGGCCAATTTTCAACCTAGACGCGTTGAACCGCGAAAATGGCTGCAACTAGCGTCCAAACGGCAAAAAGCGATGTCGAATTACGTGTCAACGAGGCTCTTGAGTATATTGAGGAAAATCCAGGTGCAAAAATTCGCTCTGTGGCGAAGAAATTCAACGTGCCTCGTAGCCGGCTTCAACGACGTGCTAACGGCGTTCCTGCTAGGAAAGGCCATCCAGCAAGAAATACAATGCTTTCACGAGAAGAGGAAGTTGCTTTATGTAACTATATCGATCGCCTTGATAAGGCCAACTTCGCTGTACGACCTGAATTCATTACAGATGCTGCAAATTACATCCTAAAAGAGAGGGCATCGTCAACTGCCCCGCCTAGGCAAGTTGGAACGCGATGGACTACACGCTTTATCCAGCGGCATCACTATCATAAAGGTCTTCAAAAAAAGATTGATTCAAGTCGAAAAGCTTCAGAAGATGTGACAAGAGCTCTTTCTTATTACAACAAGCTTAAAGAGGCTATTCAGCAGTACGGAGTCCCTCCTGAAGATATCTGGAATATGGATGAGACTGGCTTTCGTATTGGAATGGGAAAGGACCATTTAGTTGTTACAAAGCGAAGAAGAGCGCATCTATTTTCAATGCCAGAAAACAGGGAGACTGCAACAGCAATAGAATGCATTTCTGCTGGCGGCAAAGTTATTCCTGCCTTTCTTATCCTTACAGGGCAAAAACACATGGAGTCCTGGTATCGGATAAAGGAGCTTGAAGCTAATACCAAAATAACAGTCTCACCAACCGGCTTTACGAATGACGAAATTGCAGTTGCTTGGATACAGCATTTTCAGGAATTTGCAACGCCAATAGGCAGATATCGCCTTTTAATCCTAGATGGCCACGGATCACACCATACAATTGAATTCGTTGAATACTGCGAACAGCACGATATAATTCCCTTTGCGTTGCCCTCGCACCTTACACACATCCTTCAACCTCTTGATGTTGTGATATTTCAGCCACTAAAGCATTATCATGCAAAGGCGTTGGATATCATTGTTCGAGACGGCGTGTTGAATATTACAAAGATTGAATTCCTTGCTTGCATTCAAGCTGTACGAAAACAAGCTTTCAAGACTACTACTATTCTCACAGCCTTTCGAAAAACTGGAATTTCACCCTACAATCCACAGCCTGTAATTGAGGCCCTTGAACAACGAGCTGCAATTTACACATCAACACCATCGCCGCCGCCGTTATATCACAACAACTCTTCCGACTTTGAGACGCCCACAACACTCAGGCAGATAAATAAGGTTGCCAACAAGCTAGGGGAGGTATTAGAAGACGATACATCCCTTGAGCCTGAGTTTGCACGCAATAGTACTTAAAGTAGGTACCTAGGTAGGTAGCTGCCCGACGTGCATGCCCGAGTGCCCGAGTGCCAGCGTCAGCTCCCGGGACCTTTGACCCAACCGCCAGCTACGAGCTTCAAATTCGTAGATATGGGCTTGTCGAGAGCTTGGGGTTTTGAAATAAATCATGGCGTGATTTCTCACCTGTCCGAATGTCTTGGTACATACTCAGTATAAAGAGGTTGACGTTGTTGGCAGAGATTTACTGACTTCATCAAAGTCAGTTTCATTTTTGAGTTAGCACCAATTTGCAGCGGCTTGAATGCCTGAGGTCTATCATGCTAGACTGCCCTCTGTACTTACGGAGTAGTGTTTTCAGTACATGCTTGGCCACAGATGCACAGACAGCATCCCGTGAATTGGTGGCTGGACCCACCCACCGTCACTAGATGGTCGGCGCAGACTTCGTAGTTCCTTTGATGCTCTCGACTGCTCATTAGGAGTCGTCGTCGTCCTTTCTTCACTCTTCTATCCCACACCGTGTCCAACACCTTCTTAAACTTGGAGATTGCACCAACCAGCGCGGCTACAATATTTCGCCTTGAAACTCACTGTTACTACGTTTCAGCTAGGGCAGCCTCATTATCGCTTCGGCCGACTTCTCGATCACTCAAATCAGCCGGTCGCGAATCAATTTGTTCTCTCCGCGTCAAAACAACGCCCCCGAAAGAATACCCCGAGACGACCAAGTGGCCTGCATCACCTCGGAAGAAGACTCTATACGGCCGTCTGAACTCCTTCGGAACCGTGACGGCTCCGTCAACATCGCGAGCCGACCGTAAATAGACGATCTCAACCCCTCCAGACGAGGATATATTTACAACTTGACATTGATCTGGTAAAAAGCACTCTTCATCTACTTGGTGGCCTGATATCTGCTCAAAAAACGCCTGTCCTTGGTCACTAGCTTAAACGTAGCAGTGTCTGCTCAAGCCAATAATATAAGACGTCGACTCCTCGTCTGAGCATACTACTTACCATGGCCGGGCAACCCTCTATGGATCAGAATGGAGCTCATCGTAATCAGAAGCCGAACCCATTACGCCCGATGAGAAAGCGGCCCCGACCAGTCAATCCTCTTGTTGCACCCTCTAGAAAAAATCCAGGAAAACCTGCGGTGAAACAAATTCCTGTGACAGGAAAACAGATGAGCCTGAACGGTTCCAAAACAAGCTGTGATGATCAACGGAAACAGTACGGCGGCTGGTCCGAACCTCCTCCTCAGTATCAATATAATGATATTCCTATAATGACGACCAAAAAGTCCTTGATGGAAGGCATGCGCTACCACCTCATGAGGTTCTCTCAGGCTCGTGCTTCCGACTCTCCCGTCGACCCCACAGATCAGGACGATTTTGCTCGTCCGGTGACACTACACAGACGAGACGCTCGACAGCCTCCTCCCGGAAGAGCGACCAAGGTGGAGGAACCGGAACCACCTCAAGTCGAGGAGAAGGAGGCGGAGAGGCTGGCGCAAGCTAAAGCCGAACGGGAGGCCCAACGCGCAATTGATCTTGCAAAGATTGCTCCAGTGGCCAAAGACAACAATCCTAAACGTCCCAAGAAACAAAAGGAGGAAAAAACCATGTTTAACAGGGCTCCAAAGTCCGAGGCAGCCAAGAAGGAATCAGATCTTCGGTATGAAGAAGCCTTACCTTGGCACCTTGAAGATGCAGATGGAAAGAACGTGTGGGTCGGCAGCTATGTTGCTGCCCTGTCTGAAGCAAACGTGGCCTTCATGATTGACAAAGCCGTCTTTCGCATGGTGCCTCTAGAAAAGTGGTATAGGTTTGGTGCAAAACCACCTTTTCAACCCTTCACGATTGATCAAGCGGAAGCATTCATGAACAGAAAGGTCGATGTTGGCAGATGGATAATGAAGGACGAGGAGAAGCGGGCTGGGCAGAGTGATCTTGAGGCAACGAGGAAGCTCCTTTCCGGCCGTGGCCAGATGATTAAGACAGAGAGTGACACCTTTAAAGCTGCGTCACGATCAGAGAAGCTTGACCATGACGAACTGGATGTATCTGGAGATGAATTTCAAGATGATGACGAGACGCCGTATTTCGAGCGCATGGAGGACGACGACACTAAAGAGTCAAAAGACAGGATACGTCGAGAGCAGCTGGGAGCAAACTTGTTCGGGGACGGCGATGAACAGGAAGTCGATAAAGAATTGCAGGAACAGTTGCGAGAAGAACTGGAGCGACAAAAATATGGCAAGAGTACTAAAAAGGCTCTGATTAAACGGGATCGAGAAGATATATATGAAAGCGACGACTCTGAGGAGAATCCTTGGAGTAGCTCGGTATGCTCAGGTCTTTCTTTTCCGTCATGCTGTCAAATCAAACTAACAATGAACTGTAGTCTGACGAAGAATCAAGCGGCGACTATGAACAAGACGAGGGAGAAGGAGAGAAGAAGAAGGATGACAAGAAGGATGCAGATAACAAAGAAACACAAGGTGATGGGAAGGATAAGGCGAAAGGGACGGGCTCCAAGAGATCAATGACACCACAAGGGAAACAGAAACAAGGAGAGTTGACCAAGAAGACTAAGTCTCTAAAACGAGCTGGATCTCCAGCATTATCGGAGTCGAGCGGGAATGAGTCATCGCGCAAGAAGATGAAGAAATCGTCTCTATTAGGCAGTGGGAGCCGTGCAGGCACGCCTGTCTCCCAGCCAAACGCAGTCCGGCGAGGCAAAGTCGGACATGGTTCCGGTAGCGATGCGGAAGCCACGACTACAGAGATGTCCGACGGCGCTGTCGCTCCTAGAAAGGGAACAAAGATGGTCGGTAATAGTGGGAGAGGAACGCCAGTCGCATCGAGGGCTGGCAGCCCGAATCCAGCAACCGCCGGTAAGTTTCGCTGATGATTCCAAATTTCTGTGTGCTCAGTCTGTCTGCTTTCCGACTATTGATGCCTGCTAACCTTTCTCGCTTCAGCTACATTAGCGACTACACAGACCGCTGGAATTGAACCTTGGGAAATACTAGACAAGATACCGGCCGATGGCATTGCCATTACCGATCTGATAAAGCATTTCCATGGTAGGGTTGGCGACCGCTCAGGCCAAATGCCAAGAGGCGAATGGATAAAATTGGTGAAGCAGCTCTGTGACTACGGGCCGGATAAGCGGCTTAGGCGCCGAAGATAGGCGCTTCTCCAGAGATGATTCTAGTCTCCGAGAAGACAAGCATAAGCATGGACGTATGTAGCGTTGACATAAAAGATTTATGGGGTATCTTGCGGTGTATACAACTATTCATCCATTTGCCACGAGTAATCCAGGCCCTTGATTCTGTCCCGCCGATTTTTCGCGTTAAACCTCTCCGTCTCAAGTCCTGTCCCTCGATCGACCCCATCCCAGCGATACCCAGGTTTGATACCATATCGATTTGGCGGGGCTGCGCCAGCATACATCGGTCGGCGCCTTGTAGCAGACTGTTGAGACCTTCCTTTGTTTGCCCTATCCCTTATAAATTCAAGCATTGGGTCGTTCCACCTGTCCTGTTGCTTCAGTTCGTTGTTCATAACTTCATCATCCGCGCTCCGAGAAAATGGAAGGAGCTTCGCCTCTTCAACTTGGTTTCTCCGTTTTTGCGCCTCGTTCATCTGTACGGTCCCTTTGAGAGCTTGTTTCGCTAGCTGTGCCTTATCTTCAGCCTCCGCAGCAGCTTTTCTGGCTTCAGCCCGTTTCATGGATATATCAATTCTCCGTCCCGTCGCATCGCGATAAACGGTTTCTTCTTCCTCCGCAAATTTTCTGTCACGCTCAAACTCCTTGCGTTCTTCCCTTTGTCTTCGTTGGAGCTGAGCAGACACCGCAGCGGCACTTTGGAGACCAGCATGGGTACCGTCGCTCATCATAACTAACCCATCGTTCGTCTCAATTGTCGGGATTTCATCATCCATGGTCCGTCTAGATTCGTTTTCCGCAGCAGTCGAAGCGAGAATTGCGTCAGCGGCCGCCGTATCTGTGTCTCCCTCTATGTCACCCAAACTCTTCCATTTGCTCTTGGCTGCTTTACGGAATTCCAACGTAGTGCCGGGAACCGTAAATGGTAGCTCTTCTCCATGCCTATCATCAGCAGCTTCTGGTTGACTCCAAGATGTATCATCGTCATCCGTGATGACAAGTCCACTGGCTGTAGATTGTTTTCGTTTGCGCTTCTTGGAGCGAGGCTTGGGGTCTGCGACGAGGTACCGAGAGGCCAGGTAATTTGCCAAATCCGAAGGCATGTCGATATATTTGCAGAACCCTTTTCTGATTGTAAGGTTGCAGAAGTCCTTAATCGAACTGTCCCCAGCTGGGATGAGCCGCAGTTGCACTCACCACTCGGTTCGACTTCAAGGATCAAGAATGCGACCAGCAAAGCGCAGTTGTACATACGAAGTTCTCCGTATTGCTTCTCAGGGAGATCAAGTACCCGGTACTTCACGTTAGCTCGCCAAGCAACCTTACCTAGGCATGCTTATGTAATAAACATATACGCCCAAACCCCAATCATGTCGGCCATCCTCGGCGATGATCTTGCTTGGTCACAGACTCACAAATCTGTGTGGAAACCTCTCTACAGCACCAGGAAGTCCCAGGTGAAGCATGCCATCTCCATTTTTCGCATCGAATGCATTACAATATGCGACATTTCACTTAGATTCTTCAAAGCTTGTCAATCCATTTCGCAGCGACTCCTCAGCGACCGCAGTAGTTTTTCAGGACAAGCTTCTAGCCAACGCCTTTAACACCCCAACACGTCGCCTCGATGCCATCTCCTGAAAAACATGCATATCCGAACGATGCGCTTCAAAAACTACGATTTGCTACTACGACAGCCTCTATGAAGAATGCGAGAGCCAGGAATTCAACATCTGCTGCCGAAAGTCGTCCTTCATCTCCTTCAGACTCTAGTTTACCTTCCAGGATGTCCAATCTGTCTGCAGTCTCCTTGTACGCTTCTACATTGTCTCCTCCTAGCTCTAGGCCAATGTCACCAGCTATACAAGGCTCTCGGGGTACAACTATTTCAGAACCCGTATTCGATGCTTATCCCGGACGCGGCATACCAGATTCAGTCTTTGAAAAGCCAGGGGAACCTGTGCATGAAATTATTCAAGCTTTCATCCCAAACGTATCAGTATACGCTTCTGAAGATACAGAAGTTCTAATTAAAAAAAAAGGTTTTCGGAATGGTCTCTGGGAGTTGTTGCGGCCCTTTGGAGAGAAGATCCAAGGCAACATCACCGTACGAGATAGTCATGGAATAAGCCGCGTATATGAGGACTTCGCTATCAGATTCACGAAACTGGGTGAAAATATTCGTCATTCAGGTCCTTCAACCTCGGATCCTCAACAAACACTGATCAACACAGACCCCAATGACGCTCAAGAAAGCGCAGAGAGAGACAAGATTGCTCTTGCTCAAATTGAGAATGTTGTTGACCGGCATTTATCCTTTGCTGAACGGTCTATTCCCAGGCTTCCCTCACCATCGGTGGAGGCGTTACAGCAAGGTCTGGATCGTGATTCTGCATCGCCGTACTATTCCCTATATCTGAGGCGATTGTTATCTGGCATGTCGATTACACCTCACGAAACTTTCGCGCATCCTGTGGCTTGTGTCATAGCTATCAGCTCTCGAAATAGTGCGCCTATTGAAGAATTGAGGAAATTATACTCTGAGAGTTACCAGGGCAGCAGAATGCTTCCCAATTGGGTGGACAACGATTACCTTAGATATTATGTGCTTGTCCACGATGAAGAGAATGATGACATCACCCGGTCCATGGGCTTATTTGAGCAGATGAAACGTCACTTGGGTCTGCATTGCCACCTCCTTCGACTGCGATGTAGTAAAAGCGCGGAAACGGACGACGACAGTATACCACTGCCATGCAGTGATTGGATGGCCGCTGCCGAGGAGCTAGCCAGGATTCACAAGAGTGAGAATGGGGAAGATTTTGAAGATCCCACGCAGTACATTTTCGAATCTGATGCAACGGCAATCCGAACATTTGTTCGGGAAATGGTCACACAGTCAATCGTTCCCACCATGGAACGGCACATCTCAATATGGAACGACCAGGTTGCATCACGCCGAAGAGGCATTGCAGGTCGTTTCATGAATCTGTCTCGAAAATGGACGGGATTTGGAAACACCTCAAAGTCTTCCTCAAGCGGGAGCCTCAACTCAAGAGACCACTATGATCATCTAGGGTATTACCGCGCCGATTCGGCCGAAGCTATCATTCGAAAGCTTGCAGACTTTGCTTTCATGTTGCGAGACTGGAAGTTGGCTCACTCAACATATGAACTGTTGCGATCTGATTTTAGTGAATCAAAAGCATGGAAGTATCATGCCGCTACCAACGAAATGGCAGCTGTTAGCTTGCTGATCGCGCCGCCAAACTCGACTTTCAAGGCACGCGCCGACTCAATTGATCAAATGCTCGAGTCGGCATTTTATTCATATAACACAAGATGTAGTGCGCCACTTGGTGCCATTCGGTGTTTGCTGCTGAGCCTGGAGTTGTTGAGGGCAAAAGGGGGTGCGTATGTTGATGATGCCAGCAAATGGGGTCTTCGGTTACTTGAAGCCAGAATCCTGGGGCCAGTCGGCGATGCTTTACTTAAGGAGCGCCTCTGTATTTGCTACTTATCCAAAGTCGGCGTGGGCAGCTGGGGTTGGGGTACTCGACATCGCAAAGCTGCCGTATGGAGCATACTGGCCGCGCAAGCCTGGGACCAGCAGGGCAAATATCTTCCAGCGCAAAGATGTCTGAGTGAGTGTCACAAGATCTACGGGAATCTGCCCCATAACAAAGGCATAGCACAGTTTCGAACCGCAGAAGAATACATGCACTCCCTGAGGCTCGAGGTTCTCAAGAAACTTGACCTTCATGATGCTGATGGATCTGATCTGGAGAGGGAGGGGAGCACTCCATTCATAGACGTTGAAAGTCAGGAATTTTCGAATTTGCCATTGAAGAGGGCAAGCACGGTGTCGAGAACTGGCATGTTGGAAACGGCGCCACTTCGAGGAGAGAATACCATCGATTAGGCCATCACGAGAATGTTGGAACCGGATTGATCCCCATCAAAAAAAAGCGAGGCATATCAATTCTCGCCTTCAACGGGGCCACCAAACAGTTGTTCGTAGCTCGTAAAAAAAAAAAAGCTGTTAGGTTCATACCTAGGTAACGTGCAATAACCCACGACTGCAAATGACCCGAATGGAGCTGTGTGCTTGAAGTCCGAAAACGTACCAAGGAGCATTTCCAGTAAGAGCCAAGAGCCAGGAATTGCCCCAAGTACCGACCTAGGTTCTCCGTACTGACATCATGCGCTCCAAACCTGGTAGTACCACCAGGCTAGCCAACCAGCATCCAAGCCGGAAAATGGGCTGTCCACGTCCCCACGCGTCTAGCACTCTTGCTCCAGCATCGGCAGGATTAATAACAAGAGTCAAGAAGCACCTGTATTATTTTCCAGCTAGCACGAGACGCCGGGATGTGATCCTATCGGACTTGAATCTCTCATCTACTGAAGTTTCAGGGCGACAGGCCGCTTATCACTCCTAAATTTTGCTTTGGGGAGGCGTCATGGATGATCTGGCCGAATTTCTATCCGAGCACGACAAAAACTTTCGAAAGTAATGAACCATTGCGAGCTGGAATCCTCTGTATTCACTGTTTTTCAATATAATACTAATCCGTACTGTGTGTTTGCAGAGCACGATTACCATCACTCTACAGCGACTTTCGGCCACAGAAAACACTAAACCCAGATGGGTACCGTGCAAATATCGTTGCTTGGCAAGAGGCATTATCATCCTTGTCCTTGAAGGGCCTTATTTCAGGTCGTGGACACAATCCAAGCCTATTGGTCTTGAGCGTTGATGAAAACCTTCCTCGCTATTTCGAAAGCAGGCGGTATGGTCAACCACTGGCCTTGGGGACTGTAATACGACACGCCATAGCTGAAATGAAATTCACCTCTGTCAAAAATTTCTTTCAACCGCCAGCTGCGACTCTCACGCATAATTTGGCCTCTATATCTTGGAACGCTGCAGAGTGGACCTTCAGACAGCTTGGTATCAAGGATAGGATTAGTGGCGAAGATAGCGTTCCTGCTGGGCAATATGTTGTCATGAGCAATCTCGAGACAGTGTTCCAGGAATTCAAACAGCAGGTTGCTGGACGGACTTCCAACTTCGACCGAACTTTTACTAGATTACAATTCCAGTCTCTGTTCGCGCCGACATTAGTGGCTGGTCAGTGTCTCTCGGACCAAGACTTGGAGGTACTGCTCACCTTCTTGTCCAGGGATAAGGGATTCATCGACTACAATGGCGACATAATACGCATTCGAAGTTCTTCAGACAGGTCGAATATAGGCCCAGAAGATGTTGCAATAGCGTCGGTAAAAGAACTGACTGCGAATCTTCGACATCAAACTGTAGCTCTCAACCTTCGAGTCGATTCTCTCAACCGCGAGATAAAGAGCGCACTCTCAAAAAACAACCGGGTCGCTGCTCAGGCTTCGCTGAAATCTAGGAAGCTGGCTGAATCCTCGCTTGTAAAGCGATACGCCACACTAAACCAACTTGAGGACATAGCTGCCAAGCTGCAGCAAGCATCGGATCAAGTTCAGCTTGTAGCCGTGATGAAATCATCCGCCAATGCCTTACGGAGTATCAATACCCGAGTCGGAGGCAGCGATAGGGTCGACGAAGTGATGCACCAAATCCGAGAACAGATGTCAGAGGTGGATGAGGTAGCAGCGATCTTGGCAGAATCTACAGGAGAAACTATCGATGAGTTAGAAATACAGGACGAATTGGAAGCACTAGAGACCGAAACCCGAGAGGCAGCGCGTTTGACCAAAGAAAAGAAGGAGGAGGTGCAGGAGGCCCACGAAATAAAGGAAATGCATAACGAATTAGCAAAGCTGCCGGACATCCCTACCGAAATTGTTTCAGAAAGCGACAAATCAAAGACTCAGGCGATCGAGAAACAAGTCGCCGGTCTATCTCTCGATCACATCTAGAAATATTCGAACGTTTTCGGTTACCTTTCAGATGCGGAAATATACTCAGAACATGATTACCGGTCGTAATGGTGAGAAATCAGGCTATATGAGGTCTGCTACCAAATGGATCGCGCTTTTGCCTGAGGCAAGGGCGACCTAACATGACGATCGACTGGCTTCTCATTGAAGACACTTGGACGTCGGTTCTCTGGCTATAGACTGGGAGTAGAACTTATGAAGAATGACAGGCTTCGCCATTTCGTCTGCAACTGTGGCGATTGATAAACTGTATTGTGTAATATATACATCTTTTCCCATTGTGCCGAATGCCTGTTGCATATCCATCTACCAAGCATGTAGTATTCATTATTGACCCCCAGTCTCAGTTTCTGACGAGTTCGAAGCAGCTGGTCCCGACTCAAGCATGTCCGCGTTAGCCGACTCCATTGCCTCTGATGTTGATGAAGCGTGGCTCCGACCTCCTTTCCCCAAGCTGGCTTCCAAGGCTTCGCTGGAGACATCATGATGGGTAGAGCTCCGCCGCAATTCCGTTGTCATTTTAGTAGATTCCTGGCAGTTCTCGGTGCTGCCATGAAAATCCATAGAGTAACAACTACTAGTGCTCTGTTCTGTCCCGTCATTCGTATCCTTTATCGCACCCTTAGCTTCTAGTCTGCTTCGTCGCGCATTTGCAATCAAACTCTTGAAAGACACGTCGTGTTTTGCGGCCCAGGCAACGCCATCGAAATTTTTGTCTTTGATCGCGAGGGATGTCTTGGCCGCAACGGTTGTTCGATAACCTTGCGTCTTTTCCCAGATGTCAAGGTCCTGCAAAAGCTGTGATCTTTTTCTGGGTATGGCGGAATCACAATTAGCATTCCAGATGGTAATCCACTCTTTGTGGCGTCTTTCCAAGCTTAGTCGAGGACCTTGGTTAGAGATTCCGAGCTCTGCCAGCTTCTTCCGTAATGTCTGTTCCTTCAACATCGAGTAGTTGAGGGCAGGGAGACGTTCCAACGACTTTTGAAGGCGAGATTGCTGTGCCTGTAAAGCCCCGCCAGCGGGCAAGAGTTCGCTCGTTCTCGATTTCGGTACTGGGCCTGGACATGATTCTAGGTGTTGAAAAACTTGCCAAGCCTTCATTCTTTTTTGGCATGATGGACATGGTACGGTAGTATCGGCTGAGAAAACGTTAGCAAGGTTCCGGTCATCCATTCAAGATCAGCGCACCATCTTCTGGATTATGTTCAAAATCATCATCAACCTCACTGTTACTGCCTTCATCGTCATCGGAGACTGGGATAGTATCACCGGCCTGTTTTCGCGCCCGAGATGTTTGATTTGCGGCCTCGCTTCGAAGGTGGTTCAGTCGGGCAGATGTTCGTATGCGTTTGGGTTCAGGGGATACAGGGGCTGCAACCATGTCATCGCCTTCGTTTTTCCGTTTATACGAAATCGATATGTTCAACTGGCTACGGGCTACGGCCAGAGCGGAGGGTCGTGCTTTTGTAAATGCCTCTACAGATTCTTCCATCGACCAATTACTTCGGAGTTTCAGCTCTTGCTCGGGAGCGCGGCATAGGGGACACTTGCTATCATTAGACAAGGCCCGTCGTATGCAGATAGAGCAGAAGGTATGCGAGCAAGTCGTGATCATCGGCGTCTTGTAGAAATCCTTGCAGACTTGACACCGCATGGCCGCCTCGACCGCAGCCAGGCCGGCAAGAGCCGTGCCGAGCCAGTCGGTCGAGTCAGGAACATCGTCCATTAGCCGTTGAGTTTGGATTTCCTATGCTGGTCAGAATTGATGTCCTTTGTGCTCCTTGCTGAAATGTAGATTATGCAATATTAGAGCGAAGCCCAAAATCGTGCAAGTTATCAACAGGAGGCTCAACATTGATTCGCGACTCGACGCGTTGTGGGGCGGAATGACGATGCAAAACCGAAAAATCTTGCTTGAAGTTTCAACAGAGCATTTCTAGTCCATATGCAATTAGGTCTGTCATGGTAATTCGTAGCGTATTGTTTTATAGGATCATGATGAGTCGAAAACGAAAAGTCATCCGTCCATCCTTCTGCGAGTGCGAAATCGTTGATCAATTGGCTTTAAGTGGATCCACGTGACTTCGCGTCTCTTCCTTGCTTACACGCGAAGGCCCGGCTCGCGTTTTGCGTAAATTGTTCCATCATTCTGTGCCGTAGCTTAAGAGATGTCGTTAAAAAAAACCTTTCCAATGGACGAACACAGGAAGTTTCTAGCAGACATGCTACTCAGCGAGGGTCGACCGGTAAGTTTTACAATATTGCATGTATAACTTACGTCAACTGATCAGTATCACTCGCAGATCTCCTATCGGGCCCTAAGCACGTCGCTAGATGTCCACGTCAACAGAGCTAAAGGGTATTTGTCACTTGTCCATTTATTCGTCGCTCCCTACCTCAATTTTCCAACTCTAAGCTTCTCAGTTCCTGACATACTCTCTGACAAATATGCGCAGTATGCTCTTCGATTTCCATCAATATCAGAATGAACTTCAGTCAGACTCGATCCACGCTACATACCTGGTTTCCGGGATTGTTGCCGCAGCAGATAGGATATCAGATGTTACCGACATAAATAGCTCGTCTCCCCAATCAGAAAACTTAGCACGAACGGTTGGCAACAGGAAGCTGACACTCGTTGGGGAAGAAAATTTGCGAGGTTTGCCTCCGCCCTCATTCCACAAAGAACTCATTCTTAACAACCGAACAGATGCTTTAGAAATGTATACAAGCGTAACGTCAATTCATATGTATGGTTTGTCACCGAGCACGATGAAAGACTTTTGGGTCTATGAAGAGGCGGTAAACAAGAGTGATGTTTTGGTAGACAACCGCAAGCAAGTTGGACTTCACGACAAGTGCGGAACTATTCGCAATCCACATATGCGTTTACGAGATCAAAAATCACAGCTCGGCTCGTTTTCTTCTGGTTACGGGCACTCAGTAAAGCAAGGAGAAAGCGGACAGGCCATCCCTGGCACAGGAAAGGGAATAGAGCCACAGCGGCAGGGCAAACAACCTGTTACAAAAAGGAAAGAGGTTTTCAGCACCTCAAATCGATCCGCACCAAAGACAATTCTCCAGTCTTTCGCAAAGACATCTACCAATACCTCTGCAAAATCTATGCAGCATGTAGAGCAAGCTGACGAGCACACCACTGTACTTTCTGATGATGGAGAGCCCGATGACTCCGACGCTTTACCTTCCAAGTCCGGTTCGGTGTTGCATTCCAAGATGAGGTCGCGCAAGGACAGAGAAGACGATTTAAGGCGCATGATGGAGGAGGAGGATTGTGAGGAAGAACAGGGTGAACCAATTGAGTTCACACCAAAAGCTGAAGCGGAGGAGAGTTTAGACCCTGAGGCTTCACCTGACGCAGAGCCCGAAACAGAGATGCTCTCAACAGAACAGGCCTACAAGGAACCTTCGGAGACCATTTCTAGTTCCGGAGACGGCCGGAGACGAGGCAAGCGTCGGGTGCTGAAGAAGAAACGAATTTTGGATGATCAAGGGTACATGGGTACGTGCTGCTCAGTCAAGCTCCAACTGCCAACACGTTTTGTTAACTCACAATGCGAATAGTCACGATTCAAGAACAAGGATGGGAGTCGTTTTCTGAGGATGAGATTGGTCCACCGGTGAAAAAGTCAACGCCACCAGCAATACCCCCATCATCGTCCGCCAAGACGAAGAAAACATCGACCAAAGGCTCCCAAGGCAGTATTATGTCGTTTTTTGCTAAGAAATGATCGACTGTAGCATTTTTTCAAAAACAGAAAGAAGGAAAAAGAAAGAAAAAGCATACTTTATTGGACGAATAATGAAAAGACCAATATTTTATTTGTAGCACTCTAGGAAACTCGATCGCTCATCAGCTTTCGATTTCCAGTCCGTGTACTGAGCTGGATTTTCCAACATTCGCTTGAGTAGGGAGCCTAATCGATGGATACCCTGAATCAAGGCATCCTCTGCCTCCCATGCAAAGCAAATTCGGATGTCACCGTCGAACGGAGCGCTGCCTTCGTCCCCACGAACTTCAAACATGCATCCATATCCTATAGCGAGGTTCTCTTCTTTCACCGCGACATCTGCGACTAGTTTGGAGCTCAGTGGGACTCCTTCTCTCGGGGACAACCATATAAAGTATCCGCCATAAATCTGAGCGCCGACCAAACTCGTTTCTCGGGCACAGTAACCCAAGGGCGTAATGCATTGATGAATCGCAGTCATAGCGAGCTTGTGTCTCTTTCGCAAAGATGGACAAACCGTGCAAGCTATGTGCCTCTGTAGTTCGCCTGTTCGGAGAGTTTCACCTAGTATCGCTGCACACAATTGGCTCGGTGCTCCGCCTGACAATGTAGAAGATGTGTCGCCCAATCCAATGACGAACTTTGATGAGGCTTCAACCCAGCCTGTGCGGACCCCTGGACCAGCAATTTTACTGAAAGATCCGTTGCTTATAGCGTAACCAAACTTCCCGGGGTCCTGATCCGAAAATCCCATCGATCGTTCAATGTCACAGAGTCTAGGGAGTCTCAAGTCACTTCCGTTGCCACGTTGATCTTTGGGGTCGATAGACCATTGTAAAAAGTCGTACACATCATCACACACTACGAGTGCATTGTGTCTTCGTGCCAGTCGTACCAATCCTTCTCGTCGTCGAAGCGACATAGTCTTCCCAGAGGGGTTCGCGCAAGTTGGCACAATGTACACCACATGCCTATACAACTTTCTTGTCGGACCAGGCAATTTGGCCGGCTGTGGGATTATTAGATTGTGTAAGGCCAATTGGCAACTTTTATTTCTGCACTGACCTTGAGCTGGGGCTTTTGCTGCTCGTCTTGTTGTAGCTTCCTGATGTTGTCTTGCAGGACCGTCAAGTCGATGCCTTCGTCATCCTCCGGTACCGCACGCAACTTTCCAGCAAATCCCGAATCCTCAAAAATTCCACAAGCCAGATAATAGCACGGAGCAATTACCCAAATGGCTTTTGTGTAATTTGGGTCGGTGAAGCTCTGGAGAATGCAAGCTAAGCTCTGACTCGCTCCACCTGTGACGCATATGCGACTCGGGTCTGTTTGGACATTATAATGCTCACCGAGCCATTTTGCCAACTCGTTCTTCAGTGTTGGATGACCTGTATTTGGACCATATTGGAGAATAGCGGTACTATTCTCCCGATTATTGAGGATCCGCTGACAGGCACCTGACAGCATGGCAGCTGGCAAAACATCAGGTGACGGCCAGCCACGCATGAGATTGATGTGGTTTTTCCCACTCGACAATTGAGAAGTCATGCTGATCTGCAGCACTCTCGTGAGATGTGGGCTCGGTTCCAACCTCCTGCTTCAGGCAGTTGATTCAATCGCAGGCGGTAAAAGGCTTTCATTTCTTGGCACCTCGTCTTCACCCTATGTTAGGAGTGTATTTATTTTGGGCGCGGTCTCAGCTCCCGGTCAAAGCAATAGTGTGGGGTAAATGAGTAACTCGGGAAGCTAAACTCGGGCCTTTTTGGCCCGGGGAGCCGCCTCGTGTAAGAGCTCAGACACTAGTAGCTCGTATCAAGGAAAAAGGGGCAGGACACGTGTGTGATATTGAAAGTCACACTGTACCAAACATCCCGAGCGGGCCTGTACCTTTGTCGCAGTACTCCGTATACGGAAGGTATTAATATTATATTGACCACACAAAAATGCGTGGCGTCACCACGTCTGTTTTTTGTCCGAAGAACATTGACCAGACTGGACCAGCCCACGAGAGTACCCAATAGTATGGAAAGCCCCGAGAGGTGTGAAAATAAAAGTGCATTTCACACCTGATACCTATATATCTACATTGAAAAGCGATCTTCATCTAGGCAAGCAGCGAGGCAAGACATTTGTTCAACACACAACTGCTGCAATAGTGACACGACGACTACATTCCAGAAAACCAACACAGACGCGAAACAGGGTCGGTATTCCACGTCCATGTGAAGACTGAGTGAAGACAGATGCTTCATGGTTCATATGGCGACGACCCAGGACCAAAAATCAGGTGTGGTTTTCGCTTTGCAATATCAAGGATGGTACTGGCAAAAACGCCATTTGCCCAGGCAAACCAACTGCGTGTGTACTGTCGAACATGGTTTACATTTACACTTTCATGGACCAGGCCAAGTTTAGATGACTGAAGGACCATGTTAAGGCACGCCTCAATTTCGTCGTCATCTTCTGTGGTTTGTGCTTGAATGAGAAGACTCATCGGCCAGGCATTTCGCAGCCCAATATGCGGGCCTTTCGGAGTCAGATCAGCTCTTCCTGTCCAAAGTGAATCTTTCGGTCGATTGCTTACCGCCAATCCCTTGAAAATCATTTCCTTTCAGATAATAGGGATTGCCCTGATTTTCCAAGATCATTTTTCTTGTATTTTTGTAAATTGGATCTTCAATCCCACAAAATCCGATTAGGGGCAAGGCCAATAGAGATGGGTAATTTGCATCGTCCATCATGATGGAAGAGCCATAGCCGTCAACTTCGTAGGCAAAAACTTGACCGTACTTCGGCTTGGTCACGACTCCGTGCTCCAAGACAGCGGAGCGTAAAGACTCACCCCACTCTCCTAATCGTTCTGCCAGAGATGTTTTATTTGAAGCTTTGAGGAACTTGGAGGTCCGGCGCAGCTCAACAGACATCATTGCGTTCGCAGGAATAAAGAAACCCAAAATCGTGGCGTCATCGCTAGGTCTAAAGGCGGAGCGAATGAGACCAGTGCCGCTGTTCAGGGGGTTGCCATTTCCTTGCAAATTGAGTGTCTCTGTGCCAAGGGTTGTCAGCCTTTGAAAAGTGTACTTGTTCCTGGAATAGTGTCCCGTTTCCGGGTCGAACGTTGGCTTTGACTGCTCTTCCAAAACTTGGAGAAGCGTTTCCACAGCGAGATACCATCGGTCGTTCAAGAAATCTGTCGAGCCTGTGTGTTCATAGAAGTCGTTCGCAAGCGCCAGAAAGTGGGCTAGCGAATCAAGTTCGTACTTGCACTCAAACACAGCACTAGGCTCATATGCCGGATGGACAACATCGTCCTGACCGTTGGACGTTATTGGAAGATCGCTGATGGGAGGAGGCTGGAAAGCATTGCAGTATGGAGCCTCAATGACGTACTCCGCCTGTGTGTTGATGGCGCCCAGGATCAAGTCAAAAATAGCGGCATCATTCTTTGCCAGTGCTTGATATGGACGCAACTGGTTTGTTGAGTCGCGCAGCCACTCGGCAACAATATCTCCGGTTGTTATGAAGGAATGATGCCCTTGCCAGGCGCCATCATCCAAGACAGTCCGAGATCCGCCGAATCGAACGAAGCCGGCGTCCCTGCCTTTGCTATGGAATTTAATAGTCGTGTCCGTCGTTGACGGGAAAGCGTTCTCGAATAATCGGGCCAAGTCTGGATCCTTCATCCGTGTCGTGACATCTGTTATCACTCTCTCAATTTCATCAGAATGAAATGTCCGACATTGTCGCTGCGGCCTCTGAAACGGAAGGGCGAGAGGCCCAGTGCTAAACGGTTTGCTACGTTCGTTAGCAATCCCCGTCAGGACACATTGTCAAACACCAAAGAGTTCTCTCACTGTGGATAAGCCGCGTATGATGCATAGTCGGGGCACGCATCAGCAAGGCTGTGAATTGGAATTTGCGGCTCTTTGTTGCTTGTTGCTATATTCGCATATAGTAGCGTGTACAGTGGCCTGTTCACGCGCATACTGAGAGGATGATGGTGGAGGGAACTATCGACACGCAAAGGCGATGGAGGTCGGCATACGGTCGGCATATAATTCAGTACCCAAAGAGAGAGTGCGGCGTAGTTAACTCGTGCTGTTGAAGCCAATGTTCATGGCACGTACTCCACCCTTGACGTCTCAGGTGCTTGTCACTTACGTGGGCCCAGCTGTCCGCTCTATGCCTTTGGACGCGCTCGTGGTGCACGCTCAATATACCGTACGTGATCTCAACTATTGAGCTTGAAAGCAGAACATGCTGCGATATTGACCATGTATGATGCCTTTTTAAGCAGAGAAGACCATTCTTGACCAGGTTGGAGCCAATAAGCAATTGATATGCTACTCGGGTATCACAACCTACTCCACCTATTTAGGTACTGAAAACATTTATCTTCGCAGCTTTCACATCGCCAGACAAGATGCCTGACCACTGCCGGCATCTCAACCACTCGCTTACTCAAGCAGGGACCCGAATCCGTACCTGTGCGTACCGTATTCCGGACACAATGGCAAGACAAAAAAAGCCAGCAAACATCATGTGGTGAGACTACTCCCTTCACCAGCCCCACGTTCGACTGGATGCAGTGAATACCGGCGGCTTCCACTGTATCCGCCCCGGGTCAAGCACTCGTCTCAGTTTCAGTTTTTGTTTTTCTCTCTGTTGAATAAGATTCTCCGGGATAACAATTTTATGGTCACTTTTGTGGTACACCTGCATTTTCATAGCTTGAAGAGTGTGTTCGACATCCTGCGTGGTCATGGCGAGCGCAGACGATATTGCTTCAATAGTAACCTTTTCGTCCTTCTCATTGTATCCCATTAGCAGATCAAGGATGTTTTCTGACCAATACTGACGGTAGCTCAGGAGACCCAGATCAGAAAGGGGTTTCTCTGGTGATCCCAGTTTGCCTTCAATTTTAGAAAGCTCGTATGAAAACTGTATCAAAAGTCGTCCATAGCCTTTCCGCTGATACTGCGGTAGCGTCAGAATGCAGGCAACGTTGTATCCGTCTGCACTCTCTTTTTCCTTGGAAAAGTACCCAACAATGTGACAACCCTTGTCCGTTCGGCTGGCCATGACGTAGAACAGAAACGGATCCACGTCGTAGTAAAGTGTCTTATGGTCAAGAAACATTTTTGAGAGAAGGCAAAGGTTTCGGCACCAAGTTCGCTGTCGACGTCCGTCGATCTCAAAAAATGAGACGTAGTCATCTCGGTATATCTCGTTTCCTGGAGGATGCTGCAACGTGCATTTTTTCCTGTGTCGTAGGAACGCTGTCTCGTCCCCATGGTAGCTAAGGCAAAATTCGCAAACGAAAATAACATCTTCTTGGCTGAACACCTCAGGGTAAGGGGAGAAGTACCAAGGGAACAGATCATGCTTCCCGAATTGAACCTTTGATATATTTCTTATACGGGATATCTCAGCAGGGTTTTGAGTCATGGATCCGGAGGTCCTTAGTTTTTCAATTTCTTCCTCCCGGCTGAATTCGCCTTCCTCCTTCTTGACGTCGTCTTCTTTATCATCTCCTTCTACGTCGTCCGCTGCGGTTGGCGTTGTAGTTGCGTCAGCGCTCACTTGCGTTTGCGAATCAACATCGAGGCCAACAGATGATGCCTGCCGTTGCCGTTGAGACTCTACGAAATCTGATGGTTTTATGAGCAGCGTATCTCTCGAAATTGTAAAGACACATAACACGTACCGGACCACGGATGAGGAGTCGCCGCCTCTGAGTGGACAGACTGCTCTCTTTTACCGGGTCGCTTTTGCGCCTTTTTTGGGACTTGGGTTTTCTTGGTCTGCGATGGCGCCTTTTTGGTTTTGGAATCCTTTAATTTGTCTTTGTCAGGATTCGGCCATTCCACTTCTTGTGTGAAGTCAATTCTTGTGGTTGGAACCCATTCGTCAAGCCGCTTATTGAAATTATCGAAGTTGCAATAGAATTGCTTGCCGCTCTTGGTCTCCTTGATGCTGAGAATCTCTGCGCGTCGCGGTTGGCCATCCTTCACAACCCAAGCTATACAGCCCGTTTTCAAGGTATCAGAAGTCGCTATCCCTCTTTGTCTCGGTGTGTCAGATCCGACCGTGGGTTCCATCACTGGTGTTCCTACAGCCATGATGTATGTGGATGAGGGCGGCTATTTGATGTTCAAATAAGCCCGTAACCTTTCCTTGTGATTGATCGCGGCAGAAAAAAGGTCAGGTCACACGGCAGAACCAACGAGGCGGTGAGTCCACAAATGGCGATCTTGCTTTAGTACCTCTTTAGATGCATACGCTCTATAACCTATTGCATATCCAGCTACAGAGTAGTACCGGTTGCTTAAGATGTAGTCATCTACCTGATAAGTACACATAGAGTGCTCTCGATCACATTTACATACCTGATCTCCTGCACGCTTTTCAACGTCCCAGAACTTAGTGTGGATTATGTACTTGGATCATGGCTGAGCTGTCTTCCAACTGGAAGAAGCTTCAGGCAAAGCTCAATCCTGGCAAGCAAACACGCTGCCTACCTTTGCAGCGCAAGGCAAAGGATCCGACGCCAAGTACAGATAAGATACACCAGTTTTCAGAGGCGATTTTATCAAGGACCATCCAGCCTACAAACGCCAAAGCTCACCGAATTAGGAAAATGGGCGGAGTGCATAGTTCCAAAGCCGGAGATGAAGCCAGCACGAGCCAGTCACCATCGATCGCCCTGTGGGCAACAAACCAAGATATTTCGAGTGAGGCTCTAGCAGAGGCATACGGCCTTGGTATCAAAAAAAGTGCAATCACTCTGCCTTCACATAATGATAAAGTCAATCATGGTCGATCCTCAAATATTGACGTTGGAAAGTACGTCGGACTCGATTGCGAAATGGTTGGAGTTGGCCAAGGGGCACATGAGTCCGCTCTAGCTCGGATCAGCTTGGTCGACTTTCACGGGCGACAGATTTACGATTCTTATGTGAAGCCAACAGAACGAGTCAGTGACTGGAGGACGGCTGTGAGTGGCGTCTCCCAGAGGGAAATGAGGTTTGCGAGAGAGTTTGAAGATGTTCAACGCGAAGTATCCGACATCATAAAGGGACGTATCTTGGTTGGACATGATATAAAGCACGATCTAGATGTGTTGAAATTGAGTCATCCTCTCAGGGATATCCGAGACACCGCCAAACATCACGCATTCAAGAAGTATGGACATGGGCGAAAACCTTCTCTACGAGTTCTCGCTCGGGAACTTCTCGCTATGGAAATACAGGAGGGTGCCCATTCTAGTACTGAGGATGCACGCGTTACTATGCTCATTTTCCGACGATACAAGTCGAGTTTTGACACGGATCATACAAGTCGCTATCCAAATGGGACTCCTCCGGTCAATACAAGGAGGTCCAAGAGACACAAAAGGAAACATTAAATTTGCCCGGAACTACCGCCATGGGAGGACCATCATCTACGTGGCCGAATCTTCATTACTTGGTAGACCATAATTGTCAGTAGAACAATATAACATCATGTGGGAAAGAGTAGCGTGCTTCGTCTTGAATTTATACTATTAGGGCTATCGGAACATGATGAAGCACTTTTCCCCCACACATACCAAGAAAAAATTGCTCTACATCCCTATATGGTACTTATAGCGGAATCCCTTCCAGCAGCTCCGTAGCACGTTCTCGCCCAACAGTAATGATCACATCTCCCAGGGTCTTAGTAGCAAACCCAGCTTCGCAATATTTGAAGTAATACTGTAAATGACCATGTCAGTGAAATTGACAAGAGGAAATGGGACATGGGTCTTCTTGCCTCCCATTTTCTTCTAAAGACTTCAATAGCGTCTTTCGTCATTCCTGGATAATTTTGCAGGAGTGCGGGCTTGATTTTACTGTTAAATTGATTTTGGAAGTTCTCATTCCACAAGCGTAAAGTCCTGGCGTAGTGTCCACCGATATTCTCGACCTTCTCAACTATGAGTGTGCCATGGGAGTGCTCGCTGATGTGGCTCAACAATTGTGTGATCGAGGGTAGGTACCCTCCTGGAAAAATGTATTTGTTGATAAAACTGTGTTATAATGTTAGCTCCTTGAGCATGGGTACAATCCTCTGTCTATGGGTATGGAAACACGTACTCTACTGATTTGGAGTATGCTTCATGACGGTTCTCAGGCATCGTTATACATTGGAACATCGCGATGCCTCCGTCTGGCTTGAGGAGTCTATTGACGCACTTGAAATAAGTCCCCAGGTACTCCTGACCAACTGCTTCGAGCATTTCAATAGACACAATCTTGTCGTATGGCTTTTCGGGGACAGGGAGTTGGCGGTAGTCAGTCAACATCACCTCGATTCTTTCATGCAAGCCGGCCGCGCACACTCGTGCCTCTGCCAATTCTTTTTGCTCCTTAGAAAGTGTTATGGTCGTTACTCTGCAACCAGCTTTGCGGACAGCTTCGATGGCAAAGGAGCCCCAACCAGTACCTATTTCAAGAACATGGTCCGTTGCCTTGAGCTTTGCGCCATCGACAAAGCGAGCTAGTTTCCTCTGCTGGGCAGATTCTAGACTCTCGTCATCTAGGCCGGGACCGACTCGAGTTTGCCAGATTGGGCAAGAGTATGTCATGTCGCTTGAGAGGAAGGCGGCAAACATGTCGTTACTAATGTCATAGTGCGCCGAAATGTTCAATAATGAGCTGGAGAGAGTATTGGTGGATCTGGCAAGATAGGAAAGCGAAGATGAGATCCTAGATCCGATCGTGGTTCCGTTGCTCATGCGGTCTCTGTTGATGATGAAGAGCTGCATTGACGCAAATAATGTCATTATCGTGGTCAGAAATCAGGCCGCCGTAAAAACCCAATGGGAGCTCACCTGGAAGAATGAAGTCAGGTCTTCGCAGAGGAAATCTCCGAGCATGTATGCCTCAGAAAACCCAATGTCAGCAAACAAAAACAGCCGCATCCAAAACGTCTCCCTCTTGATAACAATCTCCACGCGAGGTGTATTGCCTGCCCGCCTCTCCCGAGTACTCGCCGTGGGCGACAGGTCAACACCAGAAGAGAGGTTTCGACCAAACACATGACGAGTTTCTCCGGGTTCATTGACAAGTAGAAGCGTACCAGTGTCAATGCATGACAAAGTAGCGAGAATGGCCGATCTCGCCACAGACACGGCAGGTGTCCAGGCCAAGCCAACTATTGCGTTTCGAACGAGGTCAGATCCATCTCTTAATTGCCTGCTGAAGGTTTCTGGCAACAATGGAAGATGCATTGTAGGAAGGCACTTTTTGTTGGGCTGGCGAGTGAAGGGTGTTGGCAGCGGTCTACGGAGCGAAATATTTTGGGCATTTTTAAAAAAGGATGGGCTCAGGGAAGGATTCAGTGCTCGCACAGTCCAGGTACTTTTAACGATCCCATATATAGGTAACTGCCTACCTGGTATAAAATCTATGACACGTTCTGAAACGCTCTGCGTCCAGTGGACCAAGTGCCGCCAACGCGCGCGCGAACTTGTCGGTGTGATGTGGTGGTGTAACCCTACATTGGCTCCGGAGCATGACAGCTAGTAACTTTGGACTTAAGTAGTAGTAATAAGCGAGGAGTGCACGGTGGATGGTCTACAGAAGCGACATCACTCACTGTTGGCCGCCAAGTCAACCAACCCGGTACTGCAGAGGACGCAAATAGAAATGAAATTAACTTGGGTATAAACCGACATCAGAGGCCTGGCGAAAACAACGCTCTCGATGAGGCTCTGGCGGCGGCTGGCTAAATGAAGCCTCTGACTAACTGCTTTAGTTCATGAGATACGTCATCGTTCCCGAGAAAGGCATTACTGCAAATACGAATGGATGACATTTAGGTACCTACCTAGATTAAGTACCTAGGTAGCTAGGTCCCTTTGAATGTGTACATGTGCCAGTTAGGTATTGGATTCGGGTTTTGACCAATCAGAAACCTTGCGTTGAAGAAAAACTTAAGGAATGCTACGGTGACAGAAGAGCCGCAATCATGTTGAGTTACAACACTACGTATCGCAGAGAAGGTGAGTCTAGGTGCCTGACTGGCACTTTAATAACACATGCCAAATAGGTACCTAGGTACTTACCTAGGTACTTAAGTAGTCTCGCGTAGGTACTCCGTACGGAGCACCAACTACCAGGTACCTAGGTAGTTACCGATTGCGTCTATCTTACCTAAGTGCCACCACAGCCCCTTCTTTTAGACACGCGTTGGCTACGCGTCTTGATTCCTTGCTGCAAAATTGGACAACTGCCCAGGCAGGTCATCATGGAGCCGTGCATGCTGTGTCGCCTGTCTGCATTGATGAGCTTTTTGAAGTAGGTCAAGACGGCACGCCACATCTGCCTTTTGTAAATTGCAACGATACTCGAGTATGTCACGACCAATTCTCTCAGTTACCGACAGCGCAACGCCGGGTACCTCAGTTCTTAGCTTGTTGCCATGTCGAATTCAACATGACGGGCAGATTGACCAAGGTGCCACCTACTGGACTCCTTTCACGGTCCAAGGTAGACTTTCCCGCCGAGAAACATCCGGCATACGAACACGAGTGGCGCTGACCTCTTCCCGTCCAGGCCGGGCCAAAGAATCCTACTTTAGAGGGAAAAAATTAAAAGGGAAGGAAATTTCATTGCCGGAGAAATACCAAGGACTTGTCATGCAACCTACTTTGGAAAACCAAAAAATGAACAAAGACATGGGCTCTGCATTTCCCAACAATGAAAAAGGGTCGGAGACAACGGACAGCCTACAAATCCTCTCCAGATTTGACACTATTCTTTTATGGAGGCAAGACTGCTCTGGGAGCGACTCGGCAGATTTGTATACGCGATGCTTGGATGAATGGCTCAATACGGCCGAAAAGGTAAGTAAAATGGATCCCACCATGTTTAAAAATGCAATTGCTGATCGAGACAGATCCATACGCACTAGCTCTCTACCGGATGAGGGGGGTTTTACCGATGAAGATTGACTCGGTTGGGAACTGCTGGTGTTCTACAACTCAAGCTAGTTTATGGTGTAAATCATGCATGAATGCGTGAGGTTCCGCAAGACCGTCGGAGTTTGTATGTGTTGTCAAATACTGCGGACAACTTGCTTCTATAACACAGGTTGGACAGATGTTTCGGGGAGCGGACATAAATCGCACCCTTTGTCCGTAGTTTTTCTACGGACGCTTGAAAGGTAAAATGTTTCATCTCCCGGGCCGTGACGAATCAGTCAAAATGACATGTGGATAGACTGTTATCCCTACTAGTAGCTAGACCAATTCAACTCTGGGAGACGGTATAGCCAGGCCAGGCGTTTCGGCGGGATACTGGGGACAAGAGAGATTGACCTGCCATTGTACCAAACGATGAGAGGAAGCTAAATGGCAAACCCCAATATCGTGTTTGCACCTTGACTAGGTAGGTACCTAGGTAGGTACTTACCTAGGTACTTAGGTACTAAGTAGGTACTTACCTAAGTACTGAGTACTTAAGTACTTAAGTATGCCTACATGGCTACTTCACTAGTGGCTCTGGATAATCATGAGCCATGACATCAAGTCGCAATTTTCGGAATTTTCGGAAGCTTGGAACAGGGAGTGCCATTTGCTGGGATAGTAGTTGCCTTGGGACGTCAATGTCTAGTCTAGTAGGCTCAAAAAATCTCACATGACTACGGAGTACGGAGTAGGCGCCCTCTGTCTTGGCCCGATCGCTAATCAATGCAATCAATTAAGAAACGCGCGTGAACTGCCCCTCCAACGCGTTCGAGACGCGCACCGCGTTGCGCCTCCCTGTCCCTCTCCCACCCCCGTAAATTGGCAATACCCAAAGGACCACTACAATCTAGCACGAGAAGCTCCAACTCTTCAGACGGAAGCAATTCGATTCTTCTATCATTGATTCCGACTACTACGTGTCCCCTTTTCCTGGCGCGTAGGCACTCGGGTAAGGCGAGGCACCACCCACCAGAAGCCAGACTTGAAAGATCATCTTTGTGTGAAATGGCCTCTAGTGACGCTGTGCACATGATGTCCGACGTGCCGTCGTCATCGGCAGTGCAAAGACGACACATTGCCTTTCCCTCTTCGTCGTCGACTCGACCGAGAGGACCTCCATCGGATAACCTCGGCGCGGCTAGTGATGATGAGGGCGATGCTTTCGCCGACGACCAAGTCCCACGAAGTTCACGCATCCCCGATGCCGCCAGTGTCCCCCGTGTCGAGGACCGAATCGGAGTGCTTGTTCAAGAACATTTTGAGGCATTCATTGAGAGGTAAGCGATGGACTTCTGATAAAAGTACATTTTCAAAATCGTTGGAAAATTAACCAGCACAAATTTTGCAGTTTTGCCGAAGACCCTTTGTCAACCGTACCAACTTCGAGTGCTGTCACTACAGACAAATACTATGTAGCACAAATTAGGTCGATGAAGAATATGCAGCTCTCTACGTTCTATGTTGACTACAAGCATCTTGCCGCGTGGGAAAATGGCAGTCTGGCTGATGGAGTGATGCGCCAGTACTATCGATTTTTGCCTTTTCTCACGGCAGCTCTTCACAATATGATTGCAAAATACGAACCGCAGTACTTTCGGGAACATCGCCAGCCAACAGGGTCGAGCGCGCTCTCAACTTCAGCAGCTAGCCAGCTTGGTTCTGCCAGCCAGAGCGACGCCCCCCACCGAAAGAACGAGCACCAGCAAACAGATAAGCTATTCTCAATTGCCTTCTACAACTTGCCCCTTGTGTCACGGGTTCGTAGCCTGCGGGCAGTGAACATTGGACAGCTCCTATCCATCTCTGGGACGGTCACTAGAACTTCAGAGGTCCGACCAGAATTGTCACTAGCCACATTTGTTTGCGAGGCCTGCAGAGCTGTTGTGCCAAATGTCGAGCAGACATTTCGGTACACGGAGCCAACTCAGTGCCCCAATGGAACTTGCTCCAATAGAGTAGCTTGGCAGTTGGACATTCGGCACAGCACTTTCGTCGATTGGCAAAAGGTTCGCATTCAGGAGAACAGCTCTGAGATCCCTACCGGTAGCATGCCTAGGACTCTAGATGTTATTCTCCGCGGCGAGATTGTGGATAGAGCAAAGGCAGGGGAGAAGTGTATCTTCTCCGGCGCTCTTATCGTCGTCCCTGATGTGAGCCAGTTGGGCTTGCCGGGTTTAAGACCCACGGCCATTCGCGATGACCGGGGGGCACCTCGGGGCAATGACGCTGGCGGAAGTGGTGTCACGGGTCTGAAAGCCCTGGGTGTTCGTGACCTCACATATCGCCTTGCTTTTCTGGCTTGTTTCGTTGCCCCCGACACTTCGAGCTCGGGTCAACCTGCGGCAAACAGCGCTGCTGACATAGTAAACGCCCTCACTCAAAGTAATTCAGTTGAAGGGGCCGATTCTATAGAGGATGCGCAAGCTGCTGTTCTAGCGTCGATGAACCCGTCAGAGATTGAGGACTTGCGGGCAATGGTCCATGGTGACCACATATACTCCCGTATGGTACAGTCCATAGCGCCCATGGTCTATGGCCATGAAGTGGTTAAAAAGGGCATATTACTGCAGCTAATGTCAGGTGTACACAAGACGACGCCCGAAGGAATGCAATTGCGCGGAGACATTAACATATGTATCGTTGGGGACCCATCAACATCCAAGTCCCAGTTCTTAAAGTATGTCTGTTCGTTTGCTCCACGAGCCGTCTACACGAGTGGAAAGGCATCTTCAGCTGCAGGCCTCACTGCGGCAGTGGTCAAAGATGAAGAGACAGGAGAATTCACCATAGAGGCTGGTGCTCTGATGTTAGCAGATAATGGCATCTGCGCTATTGATGAGTTTGACAAGATGGATATAGCGGATCAAGTTGCCATCCATGAGGCAATGGAACAACAAACAATATCCATTGCCAAGGCTGGCATTCAAGCAACACTTAACGCTCGAACTAGTGTCTTGGCTGCTGCGAATCCTGTCGGCGGGAGATACAACCGCAAGGCGACATTAAGGTCCAACATCAACATGTCAGCGCCAATCATGTCTCGATTTGATTTATTCTTTGTCATCCTCGATGAGTGCAATGAACAAATCGATAGACATCTCGCAGAGCATATTGTCGGCATTCATCAGCTGCGTGACGAGGCCGTCGAGCCCGAGTTCAGTACCGAGCAGCTCCAGCGATACATTCGATTTGCTAAAACGTTTCGGCCAGAGTTTACGGATGAAGCCAAAGATGTTTTGGTTACGAAATACAAGGAATTACGAGCTGACGATGCCCAAGGGGGAGTCGGCAAGAACTCATACCGTATTACGGTACGACAATTGGAAAGCATGATTCGCCTTAGCGAGGCCATCGCCAAGGTGAACTGTGTCGAGGAAATTGACGCAAAAATGGTGTGTGAAGCATACGACTTGCTTCGTCAAAGCATCATCTCAGTTGAGCATGATGACGTGGAAATGATGGAGGAGGACGAATCGCAAGAAGACGGCCAAGTTCTTCGCCAAGCTGCGGAGGCTGCGGCTGGGAGACAACCCGACGACACCATGGCAATGGATGAGGAGCCGCCCAGTGGCCCTTCGCCGGCTGAGAGCGCGGATATGAGAAAGAAACGAATCATTACATACGACAAATATATCAAGATAGTCAATATGATCGTGCAACGAATCAGCGACGATGAGAATGGAAGCGGGGACGGCGTGGATGGTGAAGATCTCATTAATTGGTATTTGGAACAGCAGGAGGAAGAGTTGGAGGGTGAAGATGGCTATCACACTGAAAGAGCTCTTGCCAACTTGGTCCTGAAGAAAATGGTCAAAGTGAGTGCACGAATACTTATTCATATCCTCTGAAGCTAACTAGGCCCTTAGGACAACATTTTGATGGCCCTCCGAGGAGAGGTTTTGGACGGTGAAAGCTCGTCTAGTGCCGCAGGAGTAGTTTATGTCCTTCATCCTAACTGCGCCGTGGAGGAGTTCTGAGAAGACGGGGAGTACTCTCTATGTACCGCTCTGGCAAAATGCATGAGCGGTCATTCGCTGAGACTTTAACGGACGAATTCGGAGTTTGGAGTTTGGCTATAGAATACGCTGAAAGACAAGCAAATGTGGGCTTGTTAACAGTTTATGAGACGGCCTGGACGGGCTTATTTGATGTCCAATGCGTACCCAGCAATATCACTACATCTGACGAGGTTCATACAGGTAGATTCCCAACCAACGATTCATCGAACCGTACTCCAGGCCCGCGGCCATATATGTTCTAGTATTTGCGTTTGGATCGCATTTGGATGCAACTAGTAGTGAGGCGCTTCTTGCAATTGACGCAGACGAGCGGGCAATATTCTTCTTTTAAGCGAAAACAGCATATAAGGGCGCTAGTTCTCTATGCCCTGTACACCCGAGATAAGGTTCTCATGTTTTCACTTGACACATCGTCCTGGTATCAGTAGAAGCCTTCATTGTATTTGCATAATTAGAACGAAAATCGAGAGTCCGTTTCATTTCGACATCTGCTAAGCTACCCACCACACCATATCAACCGTCAGACGTAGGGCTAAACAAGATGCCGTGCGGCAAAATAAGGAGAAAAGTTTAAAATGACGAACAAAAGACACAAGGGGTGCAAGAAGTCAACATCGCCAGATACAGCCCACCGCGAATGTACATCAACACGCCCCATCTTAGTAGTACACGCCGCCTCGACCTCATGCGAAGCGTAGCATATCAGGCGCATTCTGTTTGCAAAGGAGAGCTGGCTGCTGTCCCATCAAGCGAGGGCTCTCATGAGAGCAACCAGACATGCGGTGTATCTTGCTGAGGCGAACAGCGTTCGCATCAATCAACAGAATAAATCCGCAACAGTAACCACAACGATTCTATTTGCCGGGGACCTGGGACGAAGAACAATGATTTCGGGCCCAATTATCGACTCCCCTCGACCGATACCCTCCTCGACCACCTCTGGCACTCCGGCTGAGGCTTGATTCATTGTCTTGGGCGTTGGAGGTTTCTTTCTTTCCTCATCGTGCTCCGCCGCCCAGTCCCCGATGCCTAGAAGTCACCCGTTGCGTGTGGAGGCGTCGTGAACCTCGAGTTGTAGAGTGAGAAATCGGCACGGATTTCACTTCTTTCATTCCTGGAAAATGAATACTTATAAGATTCTGACCTCCGTGGAAATCTGAAGGACGAAACGGTTCCATGATGGACGCCTGAACGAGGAATCGCTTAGGCAATGATTTCGCTTGAGGCACAGCAGGCTGCCACGCGGCGTCTGGTGCTTTATGAGGGAGGCGTATTTGTGGTAGGGAGCCCATCTCTTGCTCCTCGAAGCACTCTTCTGCCATCGGCTTAGATATAAGTAATTGAGAACCAACTTCAGCTTGTGTTGGTGCTACGCCAGGAAGTGATACGGTTGCGGCGGCTTGATGACTGAGATGGTCGGATGAGCCTTTGCTAGAGACATCGACCGTAGTATCTCTACTTTGAGGCGCCTTGTCTCCGTGGAGCAATTTATGGAATCTGGCTTGCCAGTTGTGCTCGTTGCCCGACCGTACATGACGACTATGATCTTCTCGCTGGCCGTCTTGAGGGCTGGTTCGAGTCGACCAAACGTTACTGGAACGCGATGGGAGATCTTGGATTGACAACATTGTAGGTGGAAGCTTCACAACCGGTTGAGGTTTAGGCAAAGACACATGTGGCCGCATAACATCTCCTTCATATGCTGGATGCCCTTCCATCGTCGGCGGAGGTGGAGTTGGTGAAGGTGGACGGGAGAAACTTCGCCCAGCTAGCGTTTCATGACGTACATCTTTAGCTGGGAAAAACCTTGATGGCCGCGACTGCGATGGTGCTCCGGAGCCAATTATACCAGCATTGGCAGAAGGGACTGTATCATCTAAAGATGCCGCGCTCTTTTGGGACGCACCTTGAGTTGCTGTCCATGGCGCCGCTTGATGAGACTGCACGTCCGCTGTGCCAGTACTGCGTCGTGTGCCATCACCTGGAACATGTATGGGACGCCAAGTTTCCTTGATCGTTGGTTGGGTATCTTCCATACTAAGTCCCCTCTCCATGAGCTGACGCTCACGACCCGCTCTCTCCGTCAGCCTGGTAGCGCTCAACTTCTTATCATTCTCTGCGACAGATGCGACCCATTTTCTGGCGAGATCTGGCGCTGGTGGACCGTATCGGGAGGGTTGTGAGCTGACTGATGGCACTTGGGAAACTTGAGGTTGACTGTGAGGATGGGCCATGGGGGTATTGCTCGGTGGTCCAATTGGCAGTGGTCCCTTCGGCGATTGCGATGATGCCGAGGCAGCATTGGTGACCCTACCAAGATCTGGATTGAAGGTACCGTTTCCTAAACCGCGGTCATTGTCCGGGGATCCCCAAACATTTCGCGATGGTGGCGGCGCTCCAGAAGCCCAGGATGGAAACTTATCTGTACGACCGCCTGGACCGCCCCAAAGATCATTACGCCGTGATTCATGGCCATGGGAGAGTCTTCTGGAGCCAATCGATGCTGGTGGGAGCGAGGAATTCGTAGACTGAACTTTAGAATTGACGACCGGGTCGTTGGCTTGAGTTGGGACGGTTGATATGGGGCTCACCGGCGATACTTCTTCCCCTGGAGAACTTTCCTTGTCATTTGAGACTGGTCGTTCTCGTTGTTGAATCTGGGTGGGTTTCGTAACATCGGCTTTTATGGACACCTCCCTCTTGCCGCTTCGTTTTTCGGGCGTAGGACCTAATGATGCTAATTTTTTCTGAATGCGTTCGCGCTTGGCAGCTTCTTCACGCGCCTCTTCTTCCTGTCGTCGCTTTCTGGCAAGCTCGATCCGCTCACGCATCAGCCGTTTTTGATACTCCACCTCATCGACAATATCGTCACTTGAGGGCTGGGGGAAATTAGGCTTTGGATCAGAATGATCCCCCCCGAGCTGTGGCGTCGTGAAGGTTGAGCGAGGTGAGGACGTCGTTCCTCGGGATTGTGATGCCTGTGCCTTGGGGAGATGAGGACTGGAAGAGCCTGGCCCATTTGAGGAGACGGGAATTTCCGCAGAGGTTGAGAACGTCGCTCTGTTTGCGGTCATTATGTCCACAGGCGGTACAAGGGGCACACTTGCATCACTGCTCTTCCCTGTCTTTTGTTGAAACAGTCCACTTCCTGTACTGACGCTAGAAGATCCCCGACGTCTAGTAAATGGAGCCTCTTGTGGCATTCGACTAGTGGGCGGTAGACCATGTGATTCCATAGATTGATCTGAGGGCTGGGGCCTCTGCAGCAAAGCGGAATACTTGCTATGTGACTCTGATTTAATTGAGCCCCGCCGGTCAGAAACTGGTTCATAGCGGCCAGATTGTGAATTGTATAATTCCCTGTTGGCATGTGAAGACCCTTCCCTCCAAGATGAACGGTTGAAGTCATCAGCAGCAATCTCTTTTGGTAGCTGACTGGATGGTTTAAAAACCATAGCATCCCTCGCTTCCTTATGAGGTAACGGCGTTGGCTCTGGCAATCCTGGCGAGGCTCTGTCGACTGGAGGCAAAGTTGCCCACGGCGATTTAGTAGGGGTAGCCGAAACAGGCGGTTTTGACGTTACCGCCGGCTTTTCTTGAGACGCAGGCTTAAATACTAGCCCTCTTCCCATAGCCAGACCTCCAGGTCTCGACATGGGCGATCCTGAAGACATGGTCGGCGCTGGCGAGTTTGGTTTCATCTGTGACTTGCTAGGTTCTGGAACCGCAATTCTGTCTTGAACTGAAGCTTGAGGCTCATCCAGATGTGGCAACGTAGTCTTGGTTCCATCACCCCAGGTAATTGCTTCTGGTGCCCAGTCATCGTCGTCGTCGTCAATATCTGCCCACTTGTTTGGCCCCTGTGCATCGTCTTCATTGAGGCGACTAGCCATATGAATACCGTATTTTTTCAGTTCTTCATCGGTGAATTTCTTGGGTTCAGGAGCTGTATTATTTTTCAGCAATTAGTTCCATAAGTGACATGTTGAATGAAAAGCTTGATGAAACTTACGTCTGTTCTTGTTCCAAACGGCGCTTGGGTCGGGAGTAGAAGCTGGCTTGGAGCCATTAACAGTAGAAGAAAACCGCGGTGCCGAATCTCTGGCAGCGGTTCCAGTTTTAGCGATAAGACGTGGCCGTGACGAAGACAGTGAGCTCGACCCCGGAGGCGGAGTGCTTGAACCTGTCACGGGTTTGTCCACTGGTTTGGAAGCGACGCCGCTTGGGCTGCTCTTCGATGCCAAGAAGGTCTTATTTACCGACACAGCTTTGAAAGTTGCAGGTTTTTTAGCCGATGAAACTGATCGCCCATGGCTCTTTTCTCCATCTCTCTGGCGAGACGCTTCTGTATCCGACCCACCAGAAATACTGACATCAGCAGAGTTTAGCTGCTCCTCGATGCTGATGACATGCTTATTGTTTACTTCTTTGCCGTTCGAGGTCGAGTTGCCGTTTGCGTTCGTTTGGTCATTAGCGACATCGAGGGCTTGACCGTCCTGTTCCTGACATACATCAACGGTAAGCAAATGTCCCGACATCCTTCTCATCGGGAAGATCGGAACACGAAGGCAAAGGGAAAAAAAAAACTGACTGGTTTGTGCTGAGATGAGATAGAGACATCTGCAAGTTTATCGTCCAAATGCTCTGTTGCCATCATCCGACGTAGTACTGTGATCTGCGCCGTGCGCAATGCAATTGAAGGTGTTCACCAAGCCAGAGCCCAAGTCAAGCTTTGCTGTATTGTAACGGCCGATATACAAAGAGCCCGGGGAAGACTATTGGAAAGCTTGAGGCTCGGCTAGGCCTTGGGCATTGAGATGCCAGATGATGAAAACCAGCACGGTGTAACGGTAATGATTTCTGTGGATTTCAGGGTGCGATCGATGAAGGGCCGGCCGCAAGTCAGGTTGCGCAGAGGTAAGCGCTCCTAAAGTTGCCCTGCTCGCATAAAATGTCTAGATGAAATGTCGTAGCGTGCGCGTCGCTCGCGATGGGTTGGCTTTGCTTGGTGAAGCCGAAGTATGCTCAAAGGCCAGTCGGTACTCATGAGGCAGAGGGTGAGTTTGGTTTCTGAGCTGCAGTCACCTGGTTTTGGTTAGCGTCACTTAGTCCAAAGAATATCATTGATGAGTCCTAGCGCTGAAGGCACGGCCGCACCGTTAGTTAGTGGGGCTCGGCTGTCCCTCCCGCCCCAAAAAAAAGGCGAACGCTGGCAAATGGCGTCAGGTGGTTGAATGAGGTGCCAGCAACGGGGGCTGGTGTTATTCCATTATCCTTGGGGTTGGGGCAAGCAAATACTGAAAGCCAGAGCTGATTCAAATACGACCAAGCGCTTGAGGGCCTCTAATTTTGGGCAAATGGGCAAATATGAAAGACATTTAGTGGTGCTGATGTGTGTATACGCATCTCAAAGCCGCACTAGTCTCGCATAGTTGACGGACGTACTCCGTACGATGTAGTGAATGGCCTCGGATGCAGCATTGGTCCTCCGTTCCACAACGACAGACATGTTGCAGTTTAGCTCAACAGAGAGAGCTGTTCACATCAGTCGTCCGAATATCCACGTGGTTTCAAACCTCCTTTCTTTACCGTGAACATCAGCAGCGCAGATAATTGTCCTGGAACAAGAAGCGCCCCATAAAACCGCCAGGAGGTAACAACAGACAGGTGTCAATCACGGTCACATAGGAGACCAAAAAAGACCAGATGCCTCGCAGTATAAGAGACCCGAGTGCTCGACATCTGTAGCAGGTATTGGCACTAAGTTCAATGCAATGTATTGATTTGCCTTCGGACAGTTACAAATAGAGCAATCCCAGTGAGGCGCTAGTGGCAGTTCCGTCTAGAGTCTATTTACTTAAGGTGTTTAACTCGATTAAAGGCGGTCTCCAAGCCTTTGACATGGTAGATCAATGAACGTTATTCTTGTGATGGCCTGTATACGACAAGGGAACATTAATTAGTCATCAGCGGATGCCCGGCTACAGAGAATGAATGCGGCGGAAACCTACGCAGGTGGAAGTAGTAATTTTGGGCATAGCCCACGCCAATCAGTAGAGCTAAGACGTGAATGATGGCTATGCTTCTTGTCAATAACAAATGGCCAGCTGGCGAATGCAGTGAAAATTTCGAGAAACTTACGCTGGACGGAAGTCTTCTTGCCGAAGTACTTTGCCTGATATCGACCAAGGAGACCCTTGGCCTTGGCCTCGGAGCTTGCGCCTCGAGGGAGTTTCTCATAGAAGCTGACGACGCGTTGCATACGGAGAGCGTCGGGAGCGCCGCCAATCGCCTAAAATAATTATAATCTTAGCTCTGATCGCTCTGGCCGCCCGACGCAGTTCAAAGTCATCCGATTACGGGATTGGTATATTTGAGGCCAGGTTAACACCAATCAGGAGTCGCGAGATGTCTTCATCAGGAACGAGGTTGTGGTTCTATGTCTTCGTACCTTGGGAGAGGCAACCTGCAAACTCGAAGATTAGCACTGGTTCGGAGATGCGGGTAGTGCATCATCTATGTACAGCACGTACTTTAGGGGGGATGAGCGTCGAAAGCGCTCGGCGAGTTACGAAGCTCATGATGACAGATAGAACTCGAGGCTGTGGAGTTAATGAAGGCCCATTTGATGTGATGAGACAAGTGTCGGGGGTCAACTGCGAAGGACGTCTTGGTTGACCAGACTCCATTATCACCTCTGCCGACAAGCGCTTGCCTCGGCAAAATATCGGTCCGCTGCACCCAATCAGCACCTTTCTGCCACAACCGTACATGTACTCCGTATGATGTCTTCCATCGTTGGCGATTGCGACCTCGACCTTGATACCACCATTTTTGAACGTCATGGCATCTCTCAGATTGCGCAGCCCGAACAGGCTCCTGAGAAGCGCGGAGCCGAGCCGACTGAGCCTACTCATTCTTCCTGGTCGTTTCCAGAGCTCACTCACCCCTTCTAAGGCGCCAACTGACAGCACTCACCAACCCAACTATGACGTCCCTGCGGACAAAGCCACTTCGTATGAGATGAGTACTGTTCCGTTTACAAGTAAAACATTTGATAACCATGGTCTTCCTCAGCACCTTCACTCCTGTACCGTCTCGCGTTCAAGATGGCAGCGAGGACATCCTTCCCGCTGCATTGCTTTCAGGTGCCCCTATGGAGCTGCAAGCTCGAACCGTCCGGTATGCCGTATTTGTTCGGATGACATCTCTTCACGCTAACGCCGATTAAGAATCTACAAAGAGGCCAAGCCTGCAACGCAATCCGGAGATTTCAGGACGGAACGCTGGCGTATGGATTGGGATATTCTAGCAAAGGGTCATCGCTGGGAGAATCCTTTAATGGGTTGGCAGTCGTCTGGAGACTTCATGCAGGGCACGCACGTTAATTTCAAGAGCAAGGAAGATGCAATTAACTTTGCCGAGAAACAAGGATATGACTATTTTGTGCAGGAACCCAACTCTCGCAAATTTACGCCGAAGGCCTACGCGAATAACTTCCTTTACTCGCCGAAGGTGTTGAAACACATTCGCACAAAGTAAAAGTGGAGTTAGACTCAATGAATCAGGCCATATATCCATGAGCTGGTAGAATATTAAGTTAACTTTTTTTCCCATCATCATGAATCTCGTGAAACATGCCTGCGCACGTGTCGGTATGTGCAGGACACCGAAAGAACAGCGCACCTAGCAAGTGTTCCAAATCGCAAGCACATAAAGGTTAAATATCGAGATTTAGTAGCCTAGAGCTATGACGAGCAAAGAAAAATGGGATACTCGAAAAAAATTATGCATATTGTAGCGAATACTAGACGAGGCTGCATGACTGTCGTCCATTTCAAAGTCCCGCTCCCAGCCTGTAACCAAAACTCCGTCGTTATAATGAAAGGGATCTCTTTCAGGTACCACAGTGAATGAACCCTTCCACCAAGACATCAAACATCAAACATATTCATACATGCGTTGCTTCAAGGTCTGGGTGGCATTGCCGGCAACTTCCCAGAAGCCCAAATAGAGAGAGGACTCCCAATCGCACATGATGGTAGTATACATTTGATTCACCATCAAAACTCATGACGAGCGAATCAGCTTGTCACCATGGGTTCGTGTCCATTGCCGATGTGAGGCTGTTGACGATCATGGTGACCTTGCTCGTCCCCTCGGAGGCCGATGTCAAACCGGTCTGGTAAACTGATTCCTTTGTCCCGGGCAGTGTTCTCTGCCCAAGCCCGCATTTTTACAAGCTGACGGATGGCAGCTGCGCGTCGAGCTGACTGCTTCTCCAAAATGGCTTTATTCACGCTGTCAGCAGCAGTTCGACGAAGTTCGGGGTCAAGAAGTGCCGCAAGTTGAGGTTCCAAGCTGTCTGGAGGGAAAAGTAATAAGGCCATAGTCCGTTCTAAATCCTCCAAAAATTTCGGGTTGGTTGGGGCACGAGGGCCCAGTTGTTCCGTAGCGAATTTCAAAGCTGGGCCAATGTCACCGCCAGCAGAATTGCATGAACGAATGAGCTCCACTAGCTGCAAACGTAGGAGCGAAAAGTGTAACGCTTTGTTATCATCTAGGATCTGTATCATACGGTCAGCGTTGTGGTGCTAACGAAAAGCGCAATTATCATGAGTGAGGATAGGTGCGAATAGAATAAATCATATGCTAGTGGTTGTTTCTCATCACTGGCTGTTACGTAGCCATAAGCGTGGTGCATGTAATAACTCGTACTATAATCATTGTGCTTTTGAAAAAAGGGAAAGTGCAACAACAAAGTCTCACCTCTGAATCAAGCTCATTCAGAGCTTCAATGGCGGCCTGAATACTCCCACTATGTATGTAGTTCTGAATCTCTTGTCTAGCCCGAATAGATGCATCGTCTTGGTGTGGCTGTAGATTCGCTTCCTTGGAAAATTTTGCCGCGGCATTTGGATACCCTTCCATCGTCAAGTAGTCCAAAATCAAGGCATTGATATCGCTGTGGGCTTTGTCAGTTTGACGATCTCAGAAGAGTACAGTGATGTATAAGGTGTTTTGTAGTTGTCAAGTGGTTCAAATTGACAATCAGAATAGAATAAAACATCGGTTCTCCGCACGGTTTGGCTAGGAGAGATTCCCATTTGTATTTGTTCATCAGAAGCGTTGTGCGATTTGGGAAACTTTTCGTGAAAGGGCTCGTCCTACCTTTTTGGTGACTTGACATCATCGACACGCTTCTCAAATGGGTGAATGCTAGGTGTTGCAGTCGAAGTTGTAGAAGCCTGATGACACCTCAACATTCTATACACATTTCGTTACCCGAGTTACTAGGAGGAAATTCATACCATGATTAGTCAGACTTTCTTCCGCAATAGTGAGCGAATCGCGATTTGGACAACCTGGCCCGTCGAAAACAACACGTTTCAGCGCATTGAAGGAGAGGGGGAAAGATGTCGGCCTCGGCGCCTTCAATTTGCGGCTACTTTCAATATGCCTAGCTGGTCCTGGGTGGTGGGCGTGCAGAGACAGCTCGAGTGATGATATGCAGATTTGGCAGTTGTAGGAAGGAAGAAGTTTATGAGCTGGGAGACACAGCAGCTAGGAGAAGATTATGATCCGGTCCAGTTTAGAACACTCCACTGGGGCAGGCTTATGAATTAGTGCTCGGTTAGTGAGGGCTGACCCACCACGGCTTCAACCAGGCATTGACAGACCTCTGGACCCAGTTGACGTCAACATTTATTGCCGTTGATAAATTATCGGGGAAGGGGATATTTAATTTCAGGCAGTAGCCCTGCAATGAACCTGCTAGCACGGAATATTGAGGAAATGGCTGTAATGACAGCATTGGCGCGGACAGTATACGGAGGAAGTAAGCTGGTCGGCGCGCACCAAACTCGACCGAGGTAGTTAAAGTTGGCCACGCGGAGTTACTGAAGCCCAATCGGGATATGTCCCATCTCCAAATCCACAAGCACGCAAAAAATGGTCAGAATTTTGCTGGCTACATCTGCTCATAATTCCGGTGCTGGAGCAGATCAGCAGGAAGAACCTGGACGGAAGCGACGCTCCCACCCTACAGACTGTCTGGATCGACCACGTCAAATACTAACAGACCCACGCTCCCCCACCTCCTTGAGGACGTAAGATTGAGAATACCTCGATTCAGCCAGTGCTTTCGCGAGTACGTTCGAATAACATCAGGGTATTGCGGCATCAGGAGGACGGGCCCTTAATAAAAGCCTCAACCTAGTTTGCCCCTTCTAATCGACCGCAGTGCGACCTAGGACCCTCCTCGCGACAAGGGAGCAGACCGACTAAAGCCACTGCAACTGCCCCGACAATCTGCGTCTACCGGCGGAGAGACGGGACTCCTTAGAATCATCATACGATTGAGGAAGAAATGTTGGAACTTGAGAGTCATGTCACCATCCAGAAACGCGCCTATTACTCCCCTCCCTGGGCGGACGTAAGCATCATTGCGGTAGCTGGAAGCTCAGGCTCCGGGAAGTCAACCTTATCACAAGCTATTGTGAAGAAACTGAACCTTCCTTGGGTTGTGATTCTGTCCATGGTGAGACGTAGTCGCCAAAAATACCGAGAACTCGGTTTGTGACCGCGCTTCGTGACTGACGAATCTTAGGACTCATTCTACAAGACACTCACCCCTGAACAATCCAAGTTGGCTTTTGCCAACGAATACGATTTCGATTCGCCAGATGTGTGTCTCTCCGAAAAAAGAAAAGCCTCATGTGCACGCATTACTGAAGTTGTCATGTGCTTTGGTTTATAGGCTATCGATTTTGATATCCTAGTCCATCGCCTGCGGGACTTAAAAGCTGGGTAAAGCAAACTTGGCCCAATATGAATTCTGGGGCGCGCACTTTATAAAAACTTTATTGTGGCTAACAAGTAAAAAAAAAATAGAAAACGAGCTGAGATACCTGTCTACTCTTTCCAAAGACACCAGAGACTTGATCAGACTACATCGATTTACTCCCCCCATGTGCTAATTCTTGAGGGCATCTTTGCTTTGTATGACCCGCGAGTGATCGAATTGTTAGATATGGGAGTTCGTTGAGCCCTTGTCTGTTACTCTGCCTTCGTTCTAAACGGGTAATAGATCTACTGCGAAGCTGATGCCGACACATGTTTGTCGAGACGAAGTGCGTTCTTTCAGACCCTCCGTGTCCACGAGGCTTCCGAGCTATGGCTAACCTGGCGCAATAGTTGTTCGGGATGTGCGAGAAAGGGGTAGAGATATCGAAGGATGCATTAAACAGTGGTTCGGATTTGTCAAACCTAATTTTGAAAAAGTAAGCCCAATCAAAGTGAGAATTTACGAGTCGAATATTATAGAAGAAGTTTGCTGAGAGTCGGTTTCACATCTGAATAGTTCGTTGAGCCTCAACGCAAAGTGGCCGACTTGATTGTTCCGCGGGGCATCGAAAACCGTGTTGCATTAGGTACGACTGTTAGCAAAGTAGTTCAGCTCTGCTTACTCTGCTTACACCAGCTGCAGATATGATGGTTCAATTCATTGAAAAGAAGCTTTTCGAAAAATCTATCCACCACCGTGAAGCCCTCTCTAGGCTTGAGGCCACCTGCAAAGAGCAACCCCTTTCGGATCGCGTTGTCATCCTGGATGGTACGCCGCAGCTGAAGGTGATGAATACCATTTTACAAGATGTCGATACCTCAGCGGAGGACTTCATCTTCTATTTTGATCGGTTGGCAGCACTCATTATTGAAGAGTACGTCACACACACCACGTCAAGCAAACACGGGCCTATCATGCTGATAAAGAGCCAGGGCCTTGAATAGTGTACAATTCGTATCTTTGGCGATCGAGACTCCACAAAGCCACAAATACCAGGGACTGAAGCCCAAGGGTGAAGTGAGCGCAGTAATCGTGCTTCGAGGCGGGTCCGCATTTGAATCGGCGCTGCGGAAAACGATCCCTGACTGCCGAACAGGGCGGCTGTTGATTCAGTCGGACTTCTCTACGGGTGAGCCCGAACTCCATTATCTGCGAATTCCAGAAGACATCCATCAACACGAAAGCGTTCTGCTACTGGATACGCAAATGGCCAGTGGAGGTGCGGCGCTCATGGCTGTCCAAGTATTGGTAGATCATGGAGTGTCCCAGGACAGAATAGTTCTGACAACCTATTCTGCTGGGCGCGTGGGACTCCATAGGCTTGTGACGGTGTTCCCAGAGATTACTGTCGTGGTGTGCAATATACTTCGACACCAGGAACAACGTTGGGTAGAGAAACGGTACTTTAGATGCTGAAGCGGAAGGCGGGAGTGACGTCGAACGGTGCTAAGTCTCTGTGATTGGAAATGTGATAGCATCTTACTACCCACTTGGTAATGAGTACTTTGTTGCCCTTGGTTACTATGAGCATCTGGTATTTATATAATCGAGGCACACGCCCCCACATTGATCGATGAATTTACACCTTTTGCATTGCATGGATTTCTGCGTAGATTTGGAACTAATTTTGCGAACTCGGTGGTTTCAGAGGAAAGAAGACATGGGACTTGACACGGATCTGTCGGGACAGGCGGTGACAGGAAATGGTTGACTTCGTGACGGAGGTTGGTTGCGTGGCCAGTACGTACTTGAGTACTTGCTTAGGGGTGGGACTCTTGAACGCTAGCGGCTGCTCGCGCCACAAGTATGCCGTCATCGTCATCTCTTGGTTTGGACAACGACGTCTACCTCGGGCAGTCTGGTTTTCTGCCCTTCTATGCTCAATCGACGTCTGCATGGCCTTTTGTCGGGCTTCCATGACTTACTTGTGCGTTTATCGCTACGCTCCGACAAGCAACATGCGACCACGCATCCTCGCGCCGAATACTACCGGACTGGTACGCTCCGCCTGCACCCGACAATGGAACTGTGCCGCTGCACCTCGACGGAAACACTTTATAGCAACACTGTCTCGTGGCTCTCCATGTCAGGCTGGAGCTGGTTTCAATTTTGGGTCACGGTCCAACGTCCTGGCTACTGCTCGTCACAAGTTGAATCTATCCGTTCACTACCGCTCTTTGACTGGGAAGCCTCTTCCCCAGGTTAATCCTTGGGTCCTCAATTTCTGCTACAGGGCCGGGGCTTGGCTCGGCATATCTATTACGGTGCTTGGGATCGGGGTGATTGCCTTTTTCCTCTACGATGCCACCACTTACAAGCAAGAAGGGAAGCAGAACGACATCAACGTTTCGCAACTGGCTCTACAGCCTCGACGAGGCGGCCCAGACAACCTCCCCATTGCCGAAGTCTTCATAGATGACGACGATTGCGAAGCGAAAAAGCGAATCAAAGACAAGCCCAGACTTGTTGTTCTTGGCGGAGGCTGGGGCGGTGTTGCTCTCCTAAAGGCTCTCAATCCTGACGACTACCACGTTACGGTCATCTCACCCACCAACTACTTTCTATTTACGCCGATGCTTCCTTCAGCTACTGTAGGAACCTTGGAGTTACGGTCTCTTGTTGAGCCCATTCGTCGAGTTTTGAGCAGAGTTCATGGCCACTTCATTCGCGCCAAAGCAGAAGACGTCCATTTTTCCGATAAGTTGGTCGAGGTCTCTCAGCTGGACAGCCGGGGCAATCGAACTCGGTTTTATGTGCCTTACGATAAGTTGGTAATTGCTGTGGGTTCTGTCACAAATCCCCACGGTGTCAAGGGCCTTGACAATGCCTTCTTTCTCAAGGACATCAACGACGCAAGGAAGGTACGGAACCAGGTAGTCCGCAATCTCGAAGCTGCTTGCTTGCCAACGACGTCGGACGAAGAACGCAAACGCCTTCTGTCCTTTGTCGTGAGTGGTGGTGGACCCACAGGCGTCGAATTCGCGGCAGAAATGTACGACCTTTTGAACGAGGATCTCACCCGTCACTTTCCTAGGCTGCTTCGAAACGAAATTTCAGTTCATCTCATCCAGAGTCGAAGCCACATTCTCAACACATACGACGAGACTGTCTCCAAGTATGCCGAGGACCGATTTGCGCGAGATCAAGTCGACGTTCTCACAAACTCACGAGTCAAGGAAGTTTGTCCGGACAAGATCATTTTCACGCAAAAGCAGGAAGACGGCAGTCTTGTCACTAAAGAGCTCCCAGCAGGCTTTGTGCTTTGGTCTACTGGTGTGTCACCGACTGCACTTTGTCAGAAATTGGCTCAGAAGCTAGGAAATGTACAGACCAATCGTCATGCTCTGGAGACCGACACACACCTTAGACTAAATGGAACACCATTAGGTGATGTCTATGCTATTGGAGACTGCTCTACTGTTCAGAACAATGTCGCAGATCACATTATTACCTTTCTCCGCACTCTTGCATGGAAGCATGGCAAAGATCCCGAAACGCTTCAGCTACACTTCAAGGATTGGCGCCAGGTTGCACACGACGTGAAAAAACGTTTTCCCCAATCGGTGAACCATCTCAAGCGGCTAGACAAGCTATTTGCCGAGTTTGATAAAGACCAGTCTGGAACATTGGATTTTGGAGAGCTGAGGGAACTCCTAAATCAGATTGATAGCAAGCTGACCTCACTGCCGGCGACTGCCCAAAGAGCACATCAACAAGGCTACTATCTCGCCCAGAAGTTCAACAAACTTGCACACTTGTCAGAAGGGTTGTCGGCCAACGATATTCGAGATGGAGATCTTGATGCCGCAGCCTACAAAGCATTCGAATACCATCACTTAGGGAGCTTGGCATATATCGGAAACTCTGCCGTTTTTGACCTGGGTGAAGGCTGGAGTATAGCAGGCGGCCTGTGGGCCGTTTATGCATGGCGATCTGTCTATTTTGCGCAAAGTGTGAGCTTCCGTACACGGTGTTTGTTGGCCATGGACTGGGCCAAGCGTGGACTATTCGGACGAGGTGAGTACGGTGAAACAATGCGAAGGATGTGACGTGGAGGACCTTGATCCTATGCTAACCTGGAACTAGACTTGATGAGTTTCTAATAGACATCCAAAGTGCTATTTGCATGCCAGCTTTGTTGATACATCCTCTTGGACCAAGTTCAAAAAAAGGGTCGTTCATAGAAATGAGGTTGGTTGCAACGAAGAATTCTTATTTGGAGAAGATGTCATTTTTTTCTTTGTGATATAGCTATTGCGTGGGAATATCTAACGGTATCTGACTGATAGAAGGTTTACTCCCTGTGGCGCTACACAGTGTTTTGATCAAGTAGCTTACAGGACAAAATCTTTATGGGTCCATTTTTCTGTGGCCTTCCTCTTGGCTTGTTTCTTGAATGGAATGTGTCTCCTGCTCTCGACCTTTCCACGAACGAGCACGCTTCGATATCTATCCCTCAATAGATTCCCTTCGGGTTTCAACCGTCGTAAAGACTCCTCCAACTCATCCGGCAAGACTAGCTCAAGGTCCTTCTCCGGTAACTTGTACTTCCCAAGCTGCCGTCTCCTGAGTTTCTCGTCGTTAGCCTCGTTGTCGGCATCAGAATCCTTTACTGGTATGAGAGCCTTGCTCTGCTCTCGGGCTTGAATTTCGGTTGCAATCTCTTGAATCCGCTGTTCTTGAGCCCTTTTCTGTTTCATTGCAGCCTTGTGCTTGGCAAGTCTTTCTTCCTCTTTCCGACGTTTGATGCGATTCCTCTGGGCTGGGGTCTTGCGTTGGGGTCGCTTGGTGCCCGGCCTCTCGTCCTCAACACCGCTTTGGAATCCTTCCCACTCCGAGTCTTCCTCCCATTCGGACATGTTTGCACGTTCCTCAGCTGCCTCAGCTTCGGCAGCGGAACGGGCTGCCGCTTCCTGTCTTTGTTTCTCTATCCGTTCGGCATCGACTCTTTTTTGCTCAGCATCCAATGCCTTGGCGCTCTCTTCTGACAGCCGAGCTTCGTAATCCGTGAACAGGGGATTGTAGCTATACCCTCCGGTCGGCTTCTGCACTGCTGCGATCACCTTACCGCCAATAGCCAAAGAGATAGGTCTTTGATTCAGAGACTTGGGTTGCTTGACAGGTTCGGAAGTCGGCAACAAATCATGAACAGCCTCATTTATTGTTGTCGGTCTCGCTCCCCACACGTCATATGTTGCATCTACCGCCTGAACAGCGATGCTATGGTGGCCGTCCGCGACCCGTCTCAGGTGCTGCAGTTCCTTGTGAGGAACCCAATCGGTTCTTTGTCGCTTGACGGTGAGGATCCCATCGCCCGTTTTTTTTCCAGGTCGCTTACGCAAAGAAAGAGGTGGTATCGACGACCGCTGGGCAAGTATCTCATCTGCTTTAAGACCCTTTTTTATGAGTTTAGGGAATTTTTTGGAGATTTTCGAGTCGCCTTCCAAGTCAATAGCGAAGAGTTCCGAGGAGCTTTTCTCGCAAATAACGCCACTGCGAGTCAAGAGTCAGCATACGCCAATGCGAAATTAGATGTAGTAATCAATACCCCCGTATGATCTCTTCATTCAACTCTTCCAGGCCATGTTCGACAGCTGTGACATCAATGTTTTTACGCCATGCCTTCTTCCCCTTTCTCGATGGTTGATTAAATTGCTTTGGGGCTTCTCCAGAGCCCGTTATTTGGGACTTGATTGCAGGCATGGTAATGTGCCCTGGAATTACGATGCCCCTTCGTGCGCGAAGTTTTGTGATTGATGGCGTGTTCCAAAGTCTGGTCACACTTCAATGCTGGAAGAGCAGTTTCACCCCGACGGTCGACACAATATTTTTTTTTTATGGGGCTCTCCCTACTGCGCTTAGCCACCGACGCTGCGCTGTTCATGCTACGTAGCAGTCCCATGAGCGGACCATGCCTAGAGAGTTAATAAGTTGCATGTCGTTATTAGTTGCCGTGCATGCGCGTATTTGACGGATTGGCTGGGTGCCCCGGCGCCCAGGTGCCGACCATGAAGCAGCTGCCTAGTAGTACTCCGTACTCCCACTCCCATTTCCCACCGTCTTGGCCCGACGTTCCTCACCGCACATGCGTCCTCGGCCAGGGAGAGCCAAATACAAAATTGACAACCACAGTAGCAACAGCAACGACAGGCGCCCGTCTCCCCCTTAGCCCCTTTAGCCAAGGTCGAAGCTACCAGAGTGCTCCACGCCGCAAGTTCTGGTGCAGGGTTTGTGAACCGTTACCGAATACGCCCAGGGCCTCGCGGTTTGGCGCAATCTGGTCTCTCCTCCACTGCACCTCGTACGGGGCACAGGCCATTGCCAAGTATCGGATTTGATCCTGAGATTATCGAATAATCTGTCTTTGAAGCCGCTATTCGGCGCATATACTGAAGCCGCCCTGTCTTGTTTTGTCTTTGCGCCATCGCGGCTGCTCTACCTCGCCGTTTTAACCGCTTCGAACCACCGACACAGTCGTGACCGATATTAAATATGGCGCAGGCTGGGGGCTCGTACAACAACCCCTTGAAAAAATTCAAGTATGTATGCCCCAAAATTTGTGTCGCAACCTTAGCTAATGACATACTCAGACTGGTGTTCCTGGGGGAGCAGAGTGGTAAGACATCTACGACCTAGATCTGGGCATGTCCACGCAACTAACACCATCTTATGCAGTCGGAAAAACCTCTCTCATTACGCGATTCATGTACGATTCGTTTGATAACATGTATCAAGCGACTATCGGCATCGACTTTCTGTCGAAGGTCAGTGCCCTGCTACTTGTTGCATCGCTCCCAAATCTCAACTTCGAACAGACCATGTATCTCGAAGACCGGACGGTGCGACTGCAACTCTGGGATACGGCGGGACAAGAGAGATTTCGAAGTCTGATTCCCTCATACATTCGAGACTCAAGTGTGGCAGTGGTTGTATACGACATTTCGAGTGCGAAGCCCCGTATTCTCAATGCTGGCAACACGCTGCTGACACGTGCTCATTAGACGCAAAATCGTTTCAAAACACGAAAAAATGGATTGATGATGTCCGAGCCGAACGAGGCAACGATGTAATCATTGTGCTGGTTGGCAACAAAACTGATCTGAACGAGAAGCGTGAAGTTACGACACAACAAGGGGAGGATGAGGCCAAAAAGAATAATTTGATGTTCATGGAAACCAGTGCGAAGCTGGGCCACAATGTTAAAAACCTGTTCAAACGGATAGCGCAAGCGTTACCTGGTATGGAGGGAGCTGACGCCGCTGCTCAAGCATCGAGTCAGAGTAAGTATCGCTTGCTGAACTCCCTGCTCTTGATTCCAGAAAGGAGCTTACTAACACAATGCACATGCAGTGATTGACGTTAAAATAAATACATCACAGCCTACTCAGGAAGGATGCTCGTGTTAGCCGCCGCCCGTGGCCCGGAAGATGCGGAGAAGATCACCATATCCATGTATGTCCGCTGGCAGCGCCATTGAAGCAAACCAAGTTTGCTCCCTAGTGTACACATGATTGCGAATGAAGCTTGTATAATACAACCGAAACCACGAGCCTACGATCCGCAATGTATGCATAGTAATAGGTTATTTCGCCTTGGAAAAGTCCCTCATCACTCTGTTGGACTAGCAGGCCACGTTTAGAGAACCAGGTCGCCTTCACATTGCCGCATGGGAAGGAGTTCAGGCTGCCTCTATCTCAAGTATCCCGGGCCATTTGGTTGTATTCTGTAGATGCTTAATATCAGCCAAGCAGACTTCCAACCTGATATTCAGAATATATTCAGAATAGAACCGTCTTGCAACGCTTGTATTTCTGCCACGCGCGCTCAAGTCACGTGGTCATATGAGGCGTCCCCTGGCTTTCTAAGCACCCAACCATGGTACGTACGATAGATCAGTCGTTGGCAAACGCGAAGAGTGGAGACACGAAGCCCCTGGTGCATCTTCGACCACTCGACGATTTCTACACGCCGCCTCTTCCGTCGTTGGCTTCAAATCAACCGTCGCCGATTGCTCAGGTTCCTGTCGTCGTACCTTGTTGGCACAGCGCCTTCTGCAGCATGCTTGTCATGTCGAAGTTTGCAAGATTGTATCTCAGGGCTCCGCGGCCACAAGTAAGACGAATGGCTCCAAGCCCTGTTATCATGCGTCGCTGGGAAATGCTAATGAGTTTTGGGGTAGAATCTGTTTGGTCTAGTGAGCCTTCAGACTGGGACAGAACTTATCTCATTGGCGCTCGTTTTTAATAAGGTCACAGGAGTCTATGGGTTGTTGGCAATTTTGACCGGCTACCAGCTATCTTTGCTCCAACTGTCGACGTACGTGTACTCGATCGGTGTCCTGGCACTGCTCGTGTGCCTTATCCCTCATATCCGACGGCAGAGCCCCTTCAAATGCTTGGCTTTGGCATGGTTATACATTCTAGATACGACGATAAACGGAACTTATACGGCCGCGTTCGGGCTCGACTGGTATTTTGCCAGTACCTCAAATAGCAGACCCGATTTGACATCCACATCCCTCCCCGGCATTGTTGTAGAAGGCTTCGAGAGCCTTCGACGACAGCACGCTGTTCATGGCAAAGTTGTACCCCAAGAGACGGCGACTAGCATGGTTTTGATTGCGGGACTTACGCTCATTCGAGTGTACTTTAGCTTGGTTGTGATGGCATTTGCCCGCCAAGTGCTACAAAAATACATGCAACTGATGATCCTCGAAGGACCTGGTGTGGACGAAAACGAGGGGCCCTTTGCTGCTGACTTGCCAGACGGCGACGGTCGAAAAGGACGACTGGGCAGACTGATGGTGTCCTTTGGGAAAGGATACTGGTTAGACATTCCGGGATCTGAGAACTGGGAGAGGGGCCTACACAGAAAACCGTACAGCGGTGGTGCTCTAGAGGGGGAAGTGTAAGAATTGCTCGGGGATGGCGCGATCCGAACTCCATGCATAACACTATGTAGTAATAATCAGCAGGGTATAGTTGGAAGGGTTGGGGGGCGTGGGAGCATGTTGAATATGGTACGTACCTGATGCAGCAGAGCTCTGTGTAAATACTCACATGGATATATTTCTATGGCATACTGTAGTAATACTCCTTATTGCTCTTGTGCTGTACACGCAAGCACGGTAGAGCAACATTTCTCAACCTGGCAGACCATAGCAGCAAAGTATGAATTTGCTCTGAAACATTGTCCTCACGGCTTGTTGCGGACTGTCAACATGAACTCCCAAAATTGACGCGCATTGGTCTGGTGGCGCTCCCGCGGGATATGTAGTGGAACTAGAACTAGACTGGTAAGCCAAATTAAGTACCTAGTGGTTGTGAAAACTAGAGAGAGAGAAAATGAGCCGACATAGGAAATCGTGGACAGTTGACAGAAAGGGCAGCTATATGCGAGGTTTAAACATCACGTCAGCCTCGCGCGATCTCGACGGGAGGAGAAAAATGAACAGCCTCCTGATTCTGACGGTATGCACTGTACTTAACAGGACCGAGTACTACGGAGTAATTCTCAACGCGCTCGGTGATCAATTGATGTGCATGACACTCGACATTTCTGAAGACTAACAAGTCAATGGCGTCGGTCGTCGGTCGTCGGTCTGTCGGCAAAGCGGAAGTCGGCAAGTCCTCGTGAGACTTGCTCCCGTTCCGTAGTGGATTGCGACATTGCCGCGCGGTCTGATGTTTGGGACTAAGTACGGAGTAGTACTTGGAATTGGTCCCTGGCAAATACTAGGCATCTAGGTACTTATCAAGTAACTTACCAAATTTCATATATGACATATGGGAAGTCCAAAGGCCCACGGCCACCGCAAATCTGACGAGGGAAATTTGTAATGTGCGATCTCGCAGTCGGCTCGGTTTGCCTCTCGGAATCATGAACCTCGAGCTTCAAGCTAATCGTGCGTCGGTCGATTGAGAACGCACATTGGTATCCTCGCCTAAAGCCTAATGGCCACGCCTGATTCCATACATTACGTCTCAGGCTCGGTGACAATACGAGAAAAAATGGCGTTTTCAAGCATATTGTCTTGTGGTTCTTTCTGCTGGATTCGATGACACACGACGGCAAATTTGTAAAACTTTGTGGAATACGTATCTGTGTTTTGCCAAGAACTATAGACAGTTGACGTCGCGTGCATGAGTTAACCGTTTGTTGTGCCCAGGTTGAATCGGGTATATTAATTGTTGCATCGACTTTCCCCAGGTATCAAATCAACAGGCCGGGCAAGCCTATTGCGAACCGCGCAACGCCGTTACGTTGAGAAATCTTCTCATTTGAAAATTCACATTCCATTCTATTGTTTGTCATGAAACTTCCAAGAATAATTTACCCCCAAATGGGAGTGCTAAATGGACATATGTTGAATGCTCGCCAACAAACCGCCCCTCGAATGCTGTTCCCCAGCCCCTCAGTTTCTCATAAACTTTTCGGGATGCAGTTAAATCACATCCATTTTTCATCACTCCATCCCATTAACGCCGATGTTGAGATCGTATCCGGCTCATCTCCACAAACGAAAAAATCGTGACGGAACAATATCATTCTCGTCGTAAAAACCACATGAACTGCGTGCAAATATTGGTTAAAACATCATTTTCCCTTATCTCCTGCTCGATGTTCTCATGCAGCATCAATTGAGCCACAGGGACGGCCATACGGGCGAATGATTTATTTGGCATATTTGGCACGGAAGAACTTGGCAGCATTGACCATGTTGACCAGGGCCTCCTTGGTCTCCTTCCACTGACGGGTCTTGAGACCGCAGTCAGGGTCGATCCAGAGCTGCTCGGGCTTCAGGAACTGAAGCATTTCCTCGATGCGGTCACGAATCTCCTGTTCGCTGGGGACTCGGGGAGAGTGGATGTCGTAGACACCAGGTCCAATGTGTCGGGGGTAAGCGGAGTCGACAAAGACGCGTAAGAGTTTAGCATCAGACTTGCTGTTCTCAATGGACAGGACATCAGCATCCAGGGCGGCGATGGCATGGAAGAAGTCCTGGAACTCGGAGTAACAGAAATGGGAGTGGATCTGGGTAGCATCCTCAACACCAGCAGTGGACAACTTGAAGGCGTTAACCGCCCATTCGAGGTAGGCGTCACGCTCCTTGCCAGAGCGAAGTGGGAGACCTTCGCGGAGGGCAGGCTCATCGACCTGGATGACGTCGACGCCGGCCTTCTCGAGATCAATGACCTCGTCGCGGAGGGCAAGGGCAAGTTGTTGTGCCTGGACAGATTGGTGAACGTCGTCGCGAGGGAAAGACCATCGCAAGCACGTGACGGGACCGGTAAGCATACCCTTCATGGGCTTGCTGGAGACGGAGACTGCGTATTTGGACTCCTTGACGGTCATGGGGGCAGGTCGGGAGATGTCACCGACAATAATGGGAGGCCGGACACAGCGAGAACCGTAACTCTGGACCCAGGCATGGGTAGTGAAGGCGTAACCGTTCAGGCGCTCACCGAAGTATTGCACCATGTCGTTACGCTCAGGCTCGCCGTGGACGAAGACGTCGAGACCGAGCTCCTCCTGAATCTTGACACTCTGCCTAATCTCTTCCTCAATAAACTTGTCATATTGCTCCTCACTGATCTCACCCTTGGTGAACTTGTTTCGCTGGACACGAATCTCAGAGGTCTGGGGGAAAGAACCAATGGTGGTGGTGGGGAAGAGGGGCAGATTCAGCTTCTTCTGCTGGGCAGCAATACGAGTAGGGAACTGGGACAGACGCTGGTGGTCCTTGGCGGTGACCTTGGATTGGCGGTCCTTGACCTTGGGGTCATTGGTGCGAGAGGAGGTGGCACGCGCCTGCATGGACTTGGCGTTGGCCTCAAGTTGTTCGCGGACAGCGGCAGGGCCTTGGGTAACAGCCTTGGCAATAATTGCAATTTCGACCGCCTTCTCGGAGGCGAAAGAGAACGAGTCAGCAACCTCAGGATCCAGCTTCTTCTCGCTGGCCAGGGTGTGAGGAGTGTGGAGGAGAGAGCTAGAAGTGGCGACAATTACGCGCTCCTTGCCGAGCTTCTGGATGGCGGACTCGACGGTCTCGATGGCGCGCTTGAAGTTGGTCTTCCATATATTACGGCCGTCGACAACACCGGTAGAAAGAATAGTCTTGGGGCCTAGGGCAGCAGCAACAGTCTCGAGCTGTTCAGGGTTTCGGACGAGGTCGATGTGGACAGCATAGATGTCCTTGGGTAGGAGGTCCAGGTTATGGACAATGTCACCGAAGTAGGTGGTGAAGACAAGCTTGGGAATCTTGTCACCCAGACTGGCCAGCTTCTCATAGGTAGGTTTGAAAGCAGCCTTGGTCTTGGCGGGAAGGTCAAAGACGAGGGTGGGCTCGTCTACCTGGACGGTCTCGGCACCGGCCTCCTTGAGCTTAACAAGGAGCTGTTCGTAGACGGGTAGAAGCTTGTCGAGCAGGTCAATGGGGTCCACAGACTGGCCACGGTCGGCTTTTCCGAGGTGCAGGAAAGAAACAGGGCCAACAAGGACGGGCCGGGTCTCAATACCAGCCTCCTTGGCCTCGTTGAACTCAGCAACAGCTTTGGGGCTTTCGACCAACTTGAAGGTCTGGTTATCCTGGAGAGTAGGCTTCACGTAGTGGTAATTGGAGTCAAACCACTTGACCATTTCCAAACTGGGGACGTCAATGCCGCCCTTTTGGTGGCCACGACCCATGGCAAAGTACTGGTCAACAGCGTCAAGGCCATCCTTGGTGTATCGCTCGGGAACGGCCTGGAAAGCCAGTATCAGAATCGCGACACTAGGAAGTCCGAGGGAGAGGAGGGGCAGAAACTCACACCGAAGTCCTGAATGTGGCAGAGAACCTGGTCGTACAGAGCAAAGTCGTTGCTGGGGATGACGTCGACGCCAGCATCCTTCTGGATCTTCCAGTGAGCAAGTCGCAGGCGCTTGGCCTCGGCAAGGAGGTCAGCCTGAGAAATCTTTCCACCCCAGTCTATTGTGAAGGCTTATGTCAGACAACTGCTCTCCCCTTGCTTTCTCTACAGCAACAACGGGCTGGTGGCTCAACTCACAGGCCTCGGTGGCCTTTTTCAGGTCACGGTTGACTCCCATGCGAGGGAAACCGAGAATCGCGGACTGAACCATCTTGACGGCTGGCTTTAGACGATGAGTTTCAAAGGCTCTGGTTACGAGGAAGTAACTGTCAGTTAGTCAAGTCGAGCCCAAGGGTGTCCTTTCACTGCTGCTAGTGGAGGGAGAATAAAAGCCATGGAGATCCGAGGAAGGAAGAAGATGAGGGGTAAATGATGCTCACCTGGAAATGTACAGCCTTGGGAGCCACGGCGAATCGACACCTCATAAGACGACTCTCTGGGGAGTGGGACGATTTGAGGGAGTATGGCGGAGAGCTTGGGAAGAAGAAAAAAAGCAAAGCGGCTGAGAGGGATCGGGCGGGGGAGAAATAAAAAGAAAAGCGGCGATCAAGACAACAGCTTGGCACCGTCACTTTCAGTACGCGAAGGTGCCACTTGGGTGTCGAACAAGGATGTCAACCAATAAAAAGCCTAGATATAAGAGATATATAAGCCCACTACTCCGTAAGAAATAGTAAGACGGTAGAAGTAGCAGCAATTTCCCTATTTACACAGAGCTACATCACATTTATCGCAGCCCTAACGTGAGTAGGGCGCCTGCCTTTTTAGGCTATTCCCAGAGGCCTCTCGAGTTGGCAGACGAATAAGGCGCTATCAGCTGCAAAGATGCTTGTGATGTCACTATTAGAAGTGCCTGAATTGCTAATAGTATAAGGAATACGGAGTATAGTGTGGAAGGTTTAGTGGATGACCTTGTGGCCAAAAAGGTACCTGCTTGGTATCGCAGAAAAAGTGGGCACGATACCCATGACACCTCGCGCACTGAAAGGGATGGACGATCACGCAATCCTGGGAAAAATGATTACTCCGTACTTTGTGGGGAATGGAGCCTTTTGATGTGTGGAGAGACCACTGCGCAGCATCCAATACCTTCCTAGGTATAAGTAGGTAGTTAGTTAGTTGTAGAGCATCAATCCAATGGTGGGAACATGTTGAAGCTCTGCAGGGCCGCCGGGGCAGACTTGCACGTGTGAACAAGACAAGATACAAGCGTCACTAAAGTTTGGGTTTGGCACAGACTCTATCCAGCCTGAGAATTAGTCCGGATTCCGGAGCCTTGGGGCCGCCTCTGAAACCCAGCCGTCTCGACGCCATACTTCGGCCATCCGCGAGAGGCTTTTTCATTCCGCTCATCACCCGAGTTTACCATGTCTTTTTTCTTCAGGCAAGATCGAGACTCCGGAAAAGACGGGATGGATGAGTCTCATCAAATACGCACGCCCGAAGAGGCCGGTGAGTGTCACCCCGATGCACGCACGTGTCGTCGACTTACATGGCGAATGGCACTTTTTGCGCTTGGCGCTCCGTCGTCTGTGGTCTCCCAATTCGTGTCCCGGCTGCCGTGCCTGTGAAAACACAAACCAGTGAAAGACATCGCTGATCAGACTTTCACCCATACGCAGTGGCCAGAATCGCCTACCTCTCTAGCGACGTCATCCTGTCCGTCCAGCCGTCGTTGGCCACCGACTCGGCCTTCTCATCTCACCTCAAACGATACGCCAGACGCAACGACCGTGGGCTGGTTGCCTCTGGCCCAGATGCCGTACCAGAGGTAAGGTGATGATATATGCATGGCCGTCATGACCACCATGACCTTCTCCTCCCGGCTTCTAGCAGTCGCTCTGACGGTAACCTAGATCCAATCAATCCGTCAGAATGCTGACCCGCTACTCTCCGTGTATACGCCGGTTCGCTCGGGCAAGTTGGTATCCATTACTGCGACGTCGACCATTCTGTTACCTGCAGTCTCCCATCTCTATAAGCTGGTCAACTACCCTGTTGTCCTCCATGTATCGTTGCAGCGACGGCAACATGCGGACTACTCGCCTATTACAGCCATTCGAAACGCAGGCTGGACGTTCTTGCAGTCCGAGACTTTGCAAGAGGCCCAAGATATGGCCATGACCGCCCATGCGTTGGCTGTGCGCACGGGCAAGGCTGTGCTTCACTTTTTTGCGCCAGAAACGTCTGCTGCTGACGAGCCCATAGCGATTGAGGATACAACTGTCTTGAGGGATGTTCTGGACATTGAGAGTGTCCGCCGCTTTCAAGCTGGTCGAGTTTCCACGGCAGGCATCTACGCAGACGATGGCCACGTTGCCGTCTCATCTGATCGCCCAGAAACCGTCGTCAACGGTAATGGCGGCAGGAATGCTCCAGTACAGCCGCCGCCCAGCGCGGATGCCTCTAAAGTCACCTCGGCCGGCACTTCTATCAAGTCCAGCGAGGCGTCTACCCCCATTGCGCCTTCTTCTGTAGCAACCACGGTAGAGGCAGTGCCGCCTCAGGTAACTTCAGAAGACATATATATCTGCGCCGCCCGCGTCTGGTCTCAGATAAAGAATGCACTGGGTAGAGGATATGCCGCGTTCGAATACACAGGCCCTCGCAAAGCCGAACACTGTTTGCTCATATTCGGTTCGAACACAGCTTCTTTTGCAGAAACGGTGGATAACGCCAAGGCGGACGAAGTATTTGCCAATGTGGGCATTTTGACCCCTCGCCTATATCGTCCATGGATTGGCTCGAAACTTGTCGAGTCTATTCCCGCCACCGTCAAACGGATAGCTGTTCTTGAACAAGTCCACAGAGCAACTACGAGATGGGGGCCCGTCTTAGTTGATGTTCTGTCATCCGTTAATCGCGGCCCCGGTGGCGTGCAGGTTATAGTCGGGTACCAATTAGGATACATCACACCTGAAACAACGACGCAAGCCCTGAGAGGCATTATTCAGAATTTGACACTGGAAAAGCCTGTCCAGAATCTAGAGGTCGGAGTTAAGGCAGCATCGGAGCACCCTGCTGAATATCGCTTGAATAGACCACAACTCGAGACGGCTTATTCCAAGATCCTAGATCAACTTTTTGGAAACAGGGCTTATATTTCTAATGCTCTGACATCTAGCAACACAGGCGTTTCTGAGTCTATTTCAGCTAGCCCCGAGTTTGGCTTTGGGTCACTCTTGGCGCGGAAAGAATACCGAAGCAAGTTCATTTCCGAAGTCAAGGATGCAGCAAGCCATGGGACCTTCAAATCAGATGAGCCAAAGAGTTGGCTGGCTCGATGGGCCATGCATGCTAATGATGGGCCCAAAGCGGCGGATATCGGCGAAGATGTCATTGCAAGACTGGAAGCTGATGGCTCTCCTCTCGCCCAAAAGCTCCTCGCCAGAAGCGGTCTTTTCCGCAAAGAATCCCTGTGGCTGATGGGCTCAGACGCATGGGCATATGACTTAGGAAACTCTGGAGTTCATCATGTCCTCGCATCTGGCGAAAATATCAACATGCTCATCATCGATTCTACGCCTTTTTCGGAAAAGTCTGCGGCTGACTCTAACCGAAGAAAGAAGGATATAGGTCTATATGCCATGAACTTTGGCAATGTTTATGTGGCATCGACTGCTGTGTATAGCTCGTACACCCAAGTACTTCAGGCATTGCTCGAGGCGGACAGGTTCAATGGCCCTGCGGTTGTTTTGGCTTATCTCCCCTACTTTGGCGAATCTGACTCTCCACTCACCGTCCTTCAAGAAACGAAGAAGGCTGTAGATGTTGGCTACTGGCCTCTGTATCGATGGAACCCGGACAATGAAATTAACGGCGAGCCAAATTTCTCCCTGGACTCGGAATTGGTGAAGCAGGAATTGAAAACGTTTTTGGCTAGGGATAATCAACTCACCCAGCTCATGAAGAAAGAACCCAAGTTCGCTGCAAGTTTGGCGCAAGATTTCGGAATCGAGGTACGGGCCCAGCAAAAGAGAAAAGCCAAGGACGCGTACAACCAATTACTGGAAGGCCTTCTCGGCGCACCGCTTACTATTCTTTTTGCTTCTGACAACGGGAGTGCTGCTTCTGTGGCCAAGCGTCTCGGCAATCGAGGGAGGGCACGTGGATTAAAAACGACGGTGCTGGCTATGGAGGATTACCCCCTCGAGGATCTTCCCCGGGAGGAGAACATAGTCTTTATAACGTCCACTGCTGGCCAGGGCGAGTTTCCCCAAAATGGCTTGCCGTTCTGGGACGGCATCAAAGACAAGACAGATTTGGATCTTGCGACAGTCAACTTCTCTGTGTTTGGCCTGGGCGACAGTCACTACTGGCCTCGAAAAGAAGACAAGATTTACTATAACAAGCCTGCGAAGGATCTCGATCGCGTCCTGAGCAAGCTTGGAGGCAATCGCTTCGTTGATGTTGGCCTCGGTGATGACCAGGATCCTGACGGTTTTCGAACTGGCTACCAGGTATGGGAACCCAAACTTTGGCAGGCATTAGGAGTAGACAACGTTGAGGGACTGCCCGAAGAGCCGCCGCCGATCACAAACGAGGACATTAAGATCGGATCAAACTATTTGCGGGGCACAATTTTAGAAGGTCTCCGGGATACCTCTACTGGTGCCATCTCCGCTTCTGACCAACAATTGACCAAGTTTCATGGTACTTATATGCAAGACGACAGAGACGTCCGGGATGAACGAAAGGCCCAGGGGCTAGAACCCGCGTATTCATTCATGATTCGATGCCGACTTCCCGGTGGAGTTGCAACACCGAGACAATGGGTTCAGATGGACGACATCAGCACGAGTCTAGGGAATGAAACCATGAAGCTGACTACGAGACAAACTTTCCAGTTTCACGGTGTTGTCAAGGGCAAGTTGAAGCCGGCAATGCAGGCTATTAACCGAGCACTGATGACCACTATTGCTGCGTGTGGTGATGTCAACAGAAATGTCATGTGCAGTTCGCTTCCTACCGAATCTCGTTATCATAAGCAAGTACACGCGTGCTCTCAGAAGATTAGCGACCACCTTCTCCCTTCCACCACTGCCTATCACGAGATTTGGCTCTCAGATGACAATGATGAAAAGACGCAAATCGCTGGCGAGGCGGTTCAGGACTTTGAACCACTCTATGGCCCAACCTACCTTCCCCGGAAGTTCAAGATTACCATTGCCATACCTCCTCATAACGATACTGATGTATATGCACATGATATCGGGTTGATTGCTATCAAGGGAGCTGATGGAAACCTTGAGGGATTCAACGTTCTGGCGGGTGGCGGCATGGGATCGACGCACAATAACAAAAAGACATATCCTCAAACTGGACGCATGATGGGATTCTGCTCTGCGGACGAAGTTCACGTTGCATGTGAAAAAATAATGCTGGTTCAAAGAGACCATGGCGATCGCAAAAACCGCAAGCACGCTCGACTTAAGTATACAATTGATGACATGGGTGTTAATGCTTTCCGTGGCAAAGTCGAGGAACTTTGGGGCAAGACTTTTGGCAAGGAGCGGAAGTTCGAGTTTACAAGCAACATTGATACCTTTGGCTGGCAAAGGGATGAGACTGGCCTGAATCACTTCACATTCTTTATCGAAAATGGCCGAATCGAAGATACACCCGACTTCCAAATGAAGACAGGCCTGCGTGAGATTGCCAAGGTCCACAAGGGAGAGTTCCGTCTTACCGGAAACCAGCACCTCATTCTCAGTAATGTCAAGGACGAGGACTTGCCTGCATTGAAGTCACTGATGAAGAAATTCAAGCTGGACAACGTCCAATTCTCTGGGCTGCGTCTTAGTTCGTCAGCTTGCGTTGCCTTCCCTACATGTGGACTTGCAATGGCGGAGTCGGAGCGATACCTGCCGATCCTCATATCCAAACTGGAATCATGCTTGGAGGAGAGTGGATTGCGACAAGACTCCATCGTCATGCGCATGACAGGCTGCCCCAATGGTTGCGCCCGGCCCTGGTTGGCTGAAGTAGCGTTTGTTGGCAAGGCTCTTGGCGCATACAATATGTACCTCGGTGGCGGCTACCATGGGCAACGCCTGAATAAGCTTTACCGCTCCAGCATCAAAGAGGAGGAAATTCTTTCCATTATGAAACCACTGCTGAAGCGATATGCTTCTGAGCGAGAGGAGAGTGAAAAGTTTGGTGATTTCTGTATTCGTGCCGGCATCATCAAAGCTACAACAGACGGACAGAATTTCCACGACAATGTGAGTTCAAGTACTCGAATGTCCCGGCCAAGTAGTCCGCGTGGCTTGGACACGTCAAAGATGGTAATGAGCTAACGATTTGCGTTGATAGGTTGCCGAGGAAGAATCAGACGAGGAATGAACTTGGCTTTCAAATCATATTCAATGAAGGACAGGCTCAATTTTGTGCATTCGAAAATCCTGTATTTGGATTTCATTTTGGCATCTTGGTTCCAAATTATTTGTTCCTATATATATTTCCAGAGGGGAGTAGTAAAGGGTATCTATTCATTGGGTTGAAGATGCATTTACGTTCGGACTAGTAGCAAACGACATGTCACCTCCATTGCGGTAAATGGAAAATATAAGTACCCATAGCAATGCCCCATTGACGACCAGCCAGTTCCTGCGGAAAATAACGTCCGTTACCAATTACCCTAAAACTAATCTCCAATGTACAAACACCTTACAGTGTCTTCTGCGTGCCTGACCCAGGCCCTTCCCCCAGGCTTATGGTAACCACCTATTAATGCATCTCATCGTACAAGACTTTGTCATATTTCTTCCTCGTGAAACAGGTATGATGTCTTCCGTGTGGCAAACAGTTTCCCATCCCAGATACAACTCAAAAAAAAAAAAGAAAAAAAGGAAAAAAAAGGAAAAAAAAGAAAGCAGAAAATCGGACAAGAATCCGAGCACCAATACAATAGGGCAATGCTAAGTTTTGGATTGGAGCCCCTTCAACTTTTTAGGCTGCTTCCCACGCTGCTAACTGTCTCGCTGATTTTGCTCCCAAAAACGCCCATCCAGGACGGAATCCTGACATTCATTCGTATCCTGCCCTCCACGACAATGTTTATCGCGTTGATGATGGCGAACGTTGTCGACCCTAATGCTCGGAAAATTGCCAACGAGGCGACGGCCCACAAAATAAAGCGCAGATAAAAGTTGTCACCGATTCCCTTGTTGTTGTAGATTTCGGAAACAGCCATTGCTAGTATCCCGTTGGCGATCATCCAACTGATAACCATGTACGTTCGTACGCTCTTGTAGTAGTCCTCTTGAAGTTGGGCTTCGCTCACGGGCGAAGCAGGCACAGCAAGGCGATCGCGAAGATTGCGCAGCGCCTCATCATAACCACTGTCGATATCAAGCTGTTCACTTGGCATTTCAAGTTCGACCGTCTCTCCTTTGCCAACAGCCCCTCCAAGGTCTGTCTTCATCACGTTGTCACCCTTCGTGCCCCAGGTAACGTCATGGGTGTTGCAGAAGGCGTAAACTTGCAGGGTGCAGATGTAGCTCGGCAGAAGCAAGAAGTACTGCAGGGACGACGTAAACATGTGCCACGGCTCCAAGTAGAGGAATGACATGACAAAGTACAATCCAATTGTCGACGCCATTGACACAATGAGATTCGTGAAAACATTGTTGCCGATTGCAAAATCCTGACTTTTGCCTGTGAGTTGCCGAACAACAATGTAGATGCAGGCAAAGCTGGTATAGGTCATGATTACCCCGTATATGATCATGCTAGCTAGATAAAGCTTCTTGGCTCCTTGGGGTCTATTACCGAGCGAGAGAATGAATTGTGTCGCAATCAGCAGCACACAAGTGTATCTCAGAATGGTAAAAATTACGCTGCCAATGTTGTGACCAAAGGGGTCGACTGCTTTGTCTGTGAGACCGCCAGCAACGAAGTAGAAAGTAAGATAGAAGTTGGCGAGTGAGAAATATGTGAATAAAAGTTGCACAAACTGATACACGAATTCAATATAAAGCAGAATCTTGCGTGCAATGGTATGATCGGTTGCCAGAATCTGACGAAATTGAACCAGGGAATAAACAGCCGCGAAGAAAGCGCCGTTTAGCCAACGTCGTCGCTGAGAAATAAACTCTGGGACAGCATCTGAGGATTGGTTAGTCTCTCCGCCTTCGAAGAGGATCGCAAGTCCAAGCATTTAATAAAACAAGACAGAGATTTTGAATAACTCAACTTCTCCAGGCAGAAAAAAAAAGGGGGGGGGGGCGGGATGGCGAGACAGACAGGACCAAGGAAAAGCTGCAGAACGAGACTAGACAATGGGACGAGCGATGCGACTTACCGGGAACATCAGTCTCTCCTGTGCAGCTCTTCACATATTTGAGCACCCATCTCTCCCCTCGCTTGGCTACCAACTCCCAGCATAGAATACGGTCTTCGGCCAAGTACATGTTCGCTGTGAATACATCGGCATGCTGTCCATGAAGCGTTTCGCCTTTGAAATACTGGCTAAGTGGCCCGTGACCGGTTTCGTCATTTTGCAAGGCATGATATCGGTAGGCACTAAGGGCACCCGGGAGGACAGTGATGTAGCCAAACACAGATTCCAACGGTTTGTCAAGGATGTTTGACAGCTTGTATTCGAAATTCTGTGAGGCAACCAGCGGATTGAGCAAATTGGATCCGAATCTTCCCTTCATAGCTTTAATCTCGCCACAGGCACCTGCGACGTTGGAATCGGTGTCAAATGCTTTCCAAAGGTGGTAGAGAGAATTGCTTCCAGGTCGTGTTCCCACGTCGAGCAAAATGCAAACATTGGGATTCAGTGCCTTTCCAAATGCGTTGAAAAACCAACGGTGAGAGTTCAGTTTGCGGGCGTTCTTTTCTTTCAAGCAGAATATGAGCTGACACGGGACAATGCCCTTTTCGGCGCCTTTGAACTTCAAGTCAGCGTCCAGCGAGACTTGAGTTGTGTACTCGTAGACGTGAGCCTGGACAGCACGGTTGTTGACATAGTTTTTTGCAATGCCATGTTGATAAACACCCATGGCGGCCAAGGCGTCAAGTGTTCGTGGGTGAATCTTTTCGCGGCCATCCGAGATGATGCAAACAACAATCTTTTGCCAGCCATTCTCACCCCATGTTCTTGAGCGTGAGCGAGAACAAAAGTGTGAAATATTCTTCATTACAGCGTGCATGGTCCTTGTGAAGCAGATCTCATCTTCGTTGTACATGGTGATACATATGAAAAGCTCTGTTTCCCGCGTGGTTCTGCCGATGGATTGTCGTAAGTTGTATCCCCTGTCAACGAAGTCGTCTGGATCACACGTAACCGCCGTGTATCTCATGTGCGTAAATTCGACCTCGTTGCGACGTGGAAGAAAGCTGTACAGGATGGTGGGAATTTTGCACTCCAGAACTAATTCTCCGTTGATGAGTTGGACCTCCTTTTTGGACATTTGAGGGGCTCGCACTCCTCTCCGTTCCTGGGCGCCATCGGGAGCCGGACCATAGTGCTCGACCTTGTCGTAGCTCCCTGCCTCCTCATTGAGTGTTTCTTGAGATCCTGACATGAACGAGTCACGGTGGATGGGCAGAGGCCGAGAATCGCTTAGATCAGTCTCCGGGCCAAAGACATCGTCGCCGCCGTCGAGAGGGATCGTTACAGTTGCATCGTCGGCAAAAGCTTGGGAAGTACGGCTCGACTTGGAGAATAGCGGTGCTGGGGGCAAAGGGCGTCGAGGGCTTCCTCCATATCGCGAAGATGGGGTGCCAGGCCTCGGGCTTCCGTTGAGATCTGGAGGCTCGTAGGATACGTTTGAGGGCGGCGGCCGTGAAAATTCGGATACTCTGGAAGATGGAGTCCAAGGCCGATGAGGAGAGGTGGTCTCCCTGTTTGTGAAAGGCACGTAGCTTGAATCGGGAGGAGGCATGCTGGGCGTCTCATCTAGGACTGAGTCTGATCTGGAGTGTGACGAAACGACACTTGGCTGATACGATGGCCGTGTTGTACGCGACCTAGGATGCGCACGATGTGAGCTTCTAGTCGGATCCATTGTATTATCCCCAAGATCCCTGAAGACGACACAAATGCTAAATGGTGGCGGATGTCATGTACCAAAACAGCTCGAGTCAATCGCTTGATTTCACAGGAATTGTTTGTGATACACTGGCGGTGAGCCTGGACGGGACATGAACAATGGTGTGGCGTATCGGACGTCGTTGAAGAGAAAGAGCCTTGAAGGAACCAAATCACGGCAAGCAAAGGCGGTGGTACTTACGAACTGTGGTCGAAGGGCTCCTCGAAGGATGTCAGCAGCCTGATGGCAGCAGCACTCTGGCCAGTAGGGGTATCGTGCTCATCCTCGTAGCTAGGCAGTGTGTATTCTGGAGGCAGCGACGGGGTGCCCGGGCGATCCATTGCCCTAGACGTGGGTGGCAGCGAATTGCGAATGTATTGATTGGAATGCAATTCTAATCAGCAAGCCAAACAACGGTTGATGGCTGTGGACACTTGGAGGTATGCGCCCCCAGGCGAGGATGTCTGTCTGCGGGTTGTGCGTCGAAAGGAAGCTGTGACGAAGAAATCTGACCTGCAGAGCTGACTTTCCTGTCAAGATTGAAGGTGATGGGAGAAAACAAGCAAGAAGCTAGCAGCCAGTAAGTCGTGTTTTGACGGGCTGCAATGAAGTTGAGTTGGCGCAGGCGCAAGAGACAACGTGCGGTCGGTGCAAGTTTAGTCGAGTCAACAGTCGCAGTTGGGTAACCGTTGGCCTGGCAACGGCGACACCGCGCGTGCCACGTCCCGCCCAGGACTTCGCCTTCTTTCGGATTTTACCATTGGGCACCTAGGTAGGTACTCAGTCTCGGTCTCGAGCATATGCTTGGTTGAAATGACGGGACATTATCGCGGCAATACCTATATACTTTATATGACTTTTTGGTCGATGATCATTTGAGTACTCTCAAGGTACCAACTTAGTAGGCCAATCAGATATATCATGCCGGCCCGGCACTCGACCAATGATAGCACCCACTGGTAACTACGACGTACCACTAACCTTTGCTTCATTCTTCAAAAAAGTCCACGAGCACGAAAAGTCGTTTTGCTTTCTTTGCAGCTTACTGATTGTACAATACGCTAGACCACGAACTGTGACACCTCATAACACCATGGATACCCTCGCGCCGTGCAAATCACGTAGACCATCTCACATCGTCGTGGATGGTGTCCTCTAGTCAAACTCATGTTCCTCTTCTCGTTATGGTCTGCGTGCATACTGCCTTGAAGAAATGCGCCCATAAAAGCTCGCATCGCCAAACGCCAACAATTCTTCTCATCCTCTCAGCTCTCTTGCGGCGTCGAGGAAGGTCAATGTTATCCCTTAGCGCCGGCATTCAATCGGCAGTGCTTCGTGCTCTGTGCCTTGCCAACTCGAGTTTTGGCCGTCAACTGCTCACTATTCTGGACAATATGTCACTATTCTGGACAATATGTCACTATTCTAGTCAATATTTCACTATTCTGGACAATATGTCACTATTCTGGACAATATGTCACTATTCTAGTCAATATTTCACTATTCTGGACAATATGTCACTATTCTGGACAATATGTCACTATTCTAGTCAATATTTCACTATTCTGGACAATATGTCACTATTCTGGACAATATGTCACTATTCTAGTCAATATTTCACTATTCTGGACAATATGTCACTATTCTGGACAATATGTCACTATTCTAGTCAATATTTCACTATTCTGGACAATATGTCACTATTCTGGACAATATGTCACTATTCTAGTCAATATTTCACTATTCTGGACAATATGTCACTATTCTGGACAATATGTCACTATTCTAGTCAATATTTCACTATTCTGGACAATATGTCACTATTCTGGACAATATGTCACTATTCTAGTCAATATTTCACTATTCTGGACAATATGTCACTATTCTGGACAATATGTCACTATTCTGGACAATATGTCACTATTCTGGACAATATGTCACTATTCTGGACAATATGTCACTATTCTGGACAATATGTCACTATTCTGGACAATATGTCACTATTCTGGACAATATGTCCCATCTGGTACGCCAGTTCCTGGCAGCTACAGAGGGCAATATCGTCCCAGGTGCATTTTTCGCCTCCCAGCCGCTTCAGGAATGACCCGAATGGCATTTTTTGAGACCAAAACGGCACATAGCACCTCTACTACCAGTACAACCCGACAAAGAATACCGCCGGAAACCAACCCAGGGGGCATGCGACCTCCCAAGACTTATTCCACTGGACAAATCAACCAATTGTCCTGTTTCCCCCAAGGAAGAACGTGTATATCTTTTCCAGAAGTCCAGTTGTTGACAAGTACAACACTTCTGGTTTCTTTGGCGACTAGTCGAACGACGTTGTTGCCATTTATATGAGCATCCCTTTCTCGTCAAGCCGTGGCGCCCCAACATTAACATTAGGCCCACGTACACGTGAATCATCCAGATACTTATATGCTAATCCATTCATAGACACTGGCGGTATATTGAGACGACGGCAGACCCGGCCCTCGATCACAAGCCATCGCGTACTCAACTCATATGACGGTGGCTTTACGTTCATTCCGTATGAGGGCAACCCTGTTATACCCAGCAATTCGTCGCAGTTTCGTGATCTAAAAGTCGCCTGGTACTAAGACCATTGGTAATGGTGGTTTCTTACGCACAGGCATTCGCAATTCGTATATTCACCTCGCCGAATCTAAGTGAATGGACCCATGCCAGCAGCTTTTCCGACCATGGCCTTCTGGGTCCGCAATGTGTATGCCCAAACCTAGTGCGCATGCCGCTATATTCGGACGACGGACAAAGCAAAGACGACACGTGGGTTATGCGGATCACTATCAACCCAGGGGCACCGGTGGGTGACCATTTTGAGGCTATTGATTCAGTTGCACGCGTTGCCGACTTTGGCAAGGATAACTGCTCCGGGCAGTTCTTCTCTGGCGTCTCAGACGAGGAAGATCCTGTTTCTATCGCCCGGGCGTCTAATTGGCAGTACATCCAAGATGTTCCGACTGCCCGAAAAGGCTGGCGTAGTGCGATGAGTCTGCCTCGCCGGAACTACTTGACAGGCTTGACCGTATTGGCTGGAAATTGGTCAGTTACCTATATGATATGCACCCAGTAATTGGGAGAAACCTTGCGTATAACCAGAACCTTGGCAACGAAACGTTGACAATTGACTTCTCAGAAATAGCCTCCGATGGGGTATTCTGGGAGGTGAATGTGACTGGCTTGCCAAAGCACGAGATACCCTAAACGGCTACCCTGAATTTACCCTTTTCAGTGCCATAGCTGCAGAGAATGTTGGGGGAGGCCACTACTATGCCGCGGCAATGCGTTCTATCTTGACAGAGGCCGGGTAAAAGGCATCCATAACGTCTTTTTCACTGACAAGCTACCTAGAAATAGTCTGTTTCGTAATGGCAGCTGGTCGGTGAGCGGAGTGATGGACCGGTCCATACTCGGAATACTTCTCAATGGTGGCGTAGACAGTGCCACGACGACGTTCCTCACCACACAACGTTGACATTCTTGGACATCAGTACGTCCGGTCTGCCTCATAGCGCACGCTTAAGCACCCGTGTCAATGCTTTAAGAAGTAGCTGGCAGGAACTGGAAAATCCGAGAGATACACTGGTGCACGGGAACATGTCCACGCGGGAACGGGCCTCGGAGGCTTTACTGCACTAGGCTTTACTGCACTTGCTGCGGCTCATGTGAATTGCCATCCGTACTCGGTACAGCCAGGCGGCGCCCAGGCCAGATTATCTCCGGCATGTAGGCAACGGAGTTGCAGAAGTGTACGTACAACCACACGTGTATGGTTGGTTGTCGCTTTCGCTCCTTGCTGGCTACATTGTTGGAAGGGCGCGTACCAAACATACAATCTCTATGCCGGATGTTTGGCAATGCTGAAAATACATATCCGCATATGTCTTTATTTTACTTCAAGCGTCGCGACTGTTCCTCAAAATGATGTGTGACCTTGTATCCATGAATTTGGTGGTTTCTTTTGTCTGAAGTGAAGTGACACCTGGGTGTTGGACATTGACATCATCCCAAGTCATGAGTACTTTACTACTGGACTAAAAGGCAAAGAAAAAAAGGAAATAACTAACTAACGTATATATAAAGCATATATGGAAAGGGAGGGTTGGCTCGGGGTAAGTCGGGCCGTCAAGTGCGTCGTGGCTGACGGCTGAGACTCGAGCAAAACAGCTCCCGACAGACGCAGGTGTCTATGCCGTGACGCGTAGGCAATCTCGACATTGACTGGTGGTCCCAAAATAGCAGATGCTCCAACTCGTAACGAAACGTCGACAAGCCATGGATGGCTCACGTTGCTGTGGCGTCGACGACGTGGATACCGATGGACCTGCACAGCCTCCATTGGGCATTGAAGTGCCTCAAAGTTGCATTAAATGTACAGAGTGGCGGGCCAGGGTTTCGACCCGCCCTGTCAATCCTAGGGCAGACAGACTTTAACGCTAACCAGCCGCCTGTCAACACGCCGAAGGGCCAAATGCCTCGATGAAACAACACGTTCCTTGGCCCTCAGTTTGGCGAATTTATCACCGAACAAGTCACCTCCTCCCATCCCTTTTCTTTCGTTATCTTCCTCAGTTGTCGCTCGCCCTGCTTTCGTTATCCGGTCGGAACTTCGACTTTCGTGCTGCCACTCCCGTTACAATCATCAAAAGTTAGCCTCTCATCTTTCTGCCCTTCTCTCTCCCTTTCTCCGAACGTATAACACAAGCCAGGCGTGAACCGCATCCAATCCCTCGCCCATCGGCCAGCTTTTCCACAGAAAATTGGCCAGCTAGATTGTTGCTACTCGTCGACCTGAAGCTATTAAAAAGGCTGTCTGAGTCCCCCCCCCCTCGGCAGGCCCGTTCTCTCGCCATGGCACCGCCTGTTCTTGCTGCAATGATGCCTGTGCTCAGCCGTCACGTCGACGAAAAACATCAACCCGTACATTCGCTATCCTCTAGAGACTTGCAGCATCCCACACACACACAGCAAGTTACGCTGGGCGTTATCGCCGCCTACGTTGTAGCTATTGCTATTCTTTGGAATGTTCCGTATCTAAAAATGATACTCTGGCCATTCAAGGTAAGCTCCTGTAGGAGGCGACTCGACTCATCGCGCTTGCCCCCCCCCCACACCCAAAAAAAAAAAAAAAACTTGCCGCTGATATATTCTTCTAGATGCTTGTCATCGCCTTTCATGAGTTCGGTCACGCCATCACCGCAGTACTCACGGGCGGAAAAGTCGAATCCATCAGCCTTGATCCTAACGAAGGCGGCGTTACCCGCATGCGAGGCGGCATCAGTGCCATCACTCTCCCTGCAGGTTATCTGGGCTCTTCGCTCATCGGCGCTCTTCTCACCTTTTGCGGTTTCAACATTGTTGCCTCCAAAGTTGCCAGCATCGTCCTCGCCGTCTGTTTCTTATTAACACTATGGTGGGGGAAGCGCGACTGGCTTACCATTCTCACAATTGTCCTTGCTATCGGTCTCCTGATTGCCTGCTGGTTCATTGTCCATGCCCAGGCCCTGCGTTTCGTCGTCCTCTTCATCGGCGTCATGTCTTCACTATACAGCGTCTGGGACATTTGCGACGACCTTATTCTTCGCAAAGTGAACTCTTCTGACGCAAGCGTCTTTGCAAAGCGATATGGCGGATCTTCTCAGTGCTGGGGAGTGATTTGGTCCATCATTTCCATTCTCATCATGGCCGTTGGTATTGTTGCCGGGCTGGCTGCCTTTTCGCAGTCTTTTGAGCAACAGCAACAGGATTCGCAGCGTTTTATACCAACACGATAGCGGTGCAGGCTTGCGATATGCCACGAAGTGATGAGCAGTATTTTTTTGGTTCTTTTTCTTTTTCTTTTACTCTTTTGCTTTATACCTCGATTCAAGGGTAAACAATATGGCTCCTTGCTAAGTAAGTTTTCTTCGGAGTCAGGCGTATTGTCTTTTTATTTTCAAGGTCAGGAGCGGCCCGATATACTTCCCGTCAAAGTCCATACAGTCTTGCTTTCATGGCAAACATGATTGTGCGCTTTGCTTATGGCATACTTGGAAATGAATCACGCTCGCGCTATAGAGCGAATAATGGCAAGTAGAGTTCAATGTGCCTTATCCCACGTCAGCACGGTAGTGGAGAACATGTATACAAGATGCCGACTGGGCAAGAACCCTTGGAAACAATAGGTAGTAAAAAATGTATGCCCCGGCCCAATCCCAGGTGCCATATACGTTTCTCACACTTGGTGACATATCCCAGCACCGGTTGCCGCTTGTACAGAGTCCACGCATCTCGCCAGTCCCCCAACCGTGGCAATTTACAAATTAAAACCCACTTAGCCAGCGCGTTGACCACTTCGGCAAGGAAGCGTTTGTTCGCATAAAGCTGGGACATGTCCCACATCATAACGCCGCCAAAGCTGCTGAACTTTTTGGAGTAGGCAATGGCAACCTTGAGCTTCTCTCCATGGATGAAGCCGGCACCTGCGCCTTTGTTGGCCAGGACACCGAGGAAAACCTTGACCTTGGGATTCTGGCTGCGCCTCGCCCACCAGGGCCAGTCATCAAAGTTGAAGGCGTTCTGGGTGGCGGATCCTATCTGGAAGTTGGAAACACTACACCAGTTGTTGTAAAACTGTACCATGACAAAGTCGAATGCAGCATTGTGGAGGGTAGGCGCCATCGCAGCATCAGGGAACACGCACTGGGGTGAAGCCGTGAGGTAGAACCTCCTTCTCCCAGCGCGGTCCATCAAGCTTCGCAGTTTGGCGCCAAAGGCTTCAAGGTTGTTGGCCGTTGACTCAAAGTCGAAATCGAAACCGTCGACAACAGCTGATCCAAAGGGCCGATCGACGTTGCCCCCGGGTGGTACGGGCCCGAACATGTCCCAGACAGACTGAGCCGCCTTCTCAGCGTCCTGGGCGTCGACCCAGCCGCCCTGAGAGTAGTTCATACCCCCGAGGGACAAGATAATTGTCTTTTGAACTCGGTCTGGCATGTTCTGATGTCTTTTCTGTGCGGATGATGTAAGAACTGCAGTTTGCAGCAGAAGTCTTTACAACATGATTTCGAAATGGCGATTGAGCGTTCGACTCATCCTCTTGGGGACATGCACTTACTCAATCTCTGGGCATCTGATAAGATTTGGATTGCCAGGGAACTTGTCGCATTAGTCCCCGGCGTTGGTGAAGTTGGAAGCGGGAGGAGAGATGCCGTTCATGAAAGCAAGTGGAATAATCTAGATGCGCGACATTTAGAGCGGGTGCTTGGGACACAGATGGCCCGCGGGTACAGGAAAAGCATCATCATGCCGCTCTTACACCGATACCAGCATCTACGTGCCACGAAAAGCAGCATACATCAGCACTTGGTGGCTCGAGCTTTGACACGCGGGCAACGGACTCACTTTCGCAGTAGTGCGTCAGGTTCTGTTGGGCATTGGGACCGCTGTTTTCAAGTGAGTTTTGTCCTGGGGAAATGCTGTAAGCCAAAGCCATCAAGGCCGAAGACGGGGCTTCGTTGTGAGACCATACCCCAGTACACGGCAATGTTCTTCTGCTGGACTCTATGGTAGCCGGCCAGGGCAGAGGGCAGGTTGACGAGAACGATGGCGGCAGAGACCAAGACCAAAAAGAGGAGGACACTTTCATCTCCTTGAGGCGCTTCCCCGGAGTAGCACGCAAGCCGGAGGTATGTGTGGTGAATGGAGTTATAATCTTGGTGTGTGGCAAGGACCGCAGATTAGCAAGAGCATATTGCTCTGGGATAGACACGAAACTTAAATAATATACTCGACACTCGACCGCGGAAATAAGGGCGTGTTGAAGACTCATATAAAGGGCATCAAGAATCTCGGTTGTCTCTTGGGGTGGCATGTAACGGGTCGCCATTGCATCGCATCCATCATGATATCAAGTGATATAGGGATGTACACGCACTTCTTGAGAAACTTTTGAGAAGCCCAGATGAAAATAATAAAAGGCTCTGATAGACACCCACCGTCTGCAAACCTGTACACTTTGAGGTGCCGCTCTTGAGCAGGCTTCCCTCAACCAGTCAACGCCATACATGTCCCTGCCTCTCGATATCCATTCCCGTTTGAAAACATGCCATCATGAGCAAAGTACATTAGACTACCAACGCCCTCTGCGACCCCGTCCGCCACTGAAACCGCCCCGTCCACCGCCTCCAGTCGACATGCCTTGCTCGTAGCCGTACCCTCCTTGATTACCGCCGAAGCCACCGCCAAAGTTTTGTCCCTGGTTTCCCTGGGCTCCAGGACCTGCACCACCATTTTGCATTCCCGAGAACATGGCCGTTATTTGACTAGGGTCCATCTGCGATGGGTCCATGCCCGATGCCATCATCTGTTGCATCATGGCTTGCATCTCGGGGGGGATTCCATCCATACCTGGCATAGATGCTCCTCCTGCACCACCGCCGCCCGGCATTCCTAAGCCTCCCATCATCATCATGCTGTTGAAGTCTTCCATCATCTTTTTGTTGTTAGATGCAAATGCCTCGGCCCCGAACTCCCCTCGAAGACTCTCCTGCTTCGCTGCGTACAAGGCCCACGTGAACTCATCGAAACCATAGTTGAAGTAGTCGCTGACGTCGGTACCTGGCTTTCTCCAGGGTTTTTCGTTTTCAGGCAGATCTAAAGGCCCACGTTAGTTGTACAGTTCACCACCCTGGCAACAACCTTCATTTCAAGCCTGACCTTCGTCAATATTTACTTGGGTTATAGGCTTTCCGGCACCCGGATATATTGGATTTGCGTTGATGTCAATCGTGGACTTGGACGCAGCTGCAGATGTCTGGTCCGCGCTAGGCGTTGCCACTTTTGCTGCATTTTTCTTCGACTTTGGCTCGTCTTCCCGCTTTGTCGGCGGCTGCTTTGCGGGTGAATCGCCTGACGTCGACCGTTGGGGGATATTCCTGATGTCGCTATATTTGGATTGTCTGCATGTACAAGAATCAGCGCCGAGTTCGAATCAAAGCACTATGGTGGTAGCAGGGGCCGGCACTTACGTTGGTGGCGCCGCTGTAGTACCGTCTTTTCTCTGCGTGATTATATCAATGTCCTGTGAGAAGCACGATTAGCTAGACGCTTGCGCTGGTGTGGTCGGGTTTGTTCGTACGGAATCATCATCGTCTTCGTCCATAGCGCCACTCTCATCCTCCTCCTCACCCTCCTCGAGCTCCTCGGTCTTTGAGACCGCGTGCTTCTTGTCGGGCTGTTCCAGCTTGGGCTCCTCCGGCTCGTAGAGGTCGTCGTCGCCCTCGTCCATCTCCATTTCATGCTCAGACAGATCCGAGTTCATAGGGGGCAGGGGGCAAAGCGGAAGAGGGCGCGCGGAAACGCCTCGGAACAGCTTCACAGCTATGCAAGGGAAGACAAATTCAATTAGAGTCGTGCAATTTCAATTGTATCGTTGGGCATGCTTTGCTGAGCACAAACAGGTAGCTTCCCAAGCACAAGGTGTTCGGAGCCATGGGTGAGCCGACGTTTCTCCGTCAAGCTCCAAGCCCCCATCGAGCAACTACGCAAAAAGTCAGCTTCCGAGGTGAGACGGTCTTTGCTGTTGACACACACCTCAACGATTCTCAATGTCTCTTGCACGGTCAGCCAGTGTGCCGGGAGGTCTTACGATCAATACAGGTGCCGCCAATTCCTTGTGAGCCCTCTGCGTCCTTTGTTTCTTGAAGTCCTCGCTGGTTTGCCTCGCGTATGCTGTCTTCTGTCTCTTCGTTTGGGAAGATTGTCTTGTCTTCAGTAGTGCCTGCAGGGCCACTTGGAGATCGCCATTACTGACAAGAGTTGTTCTAGAGGTACATCGACAACCCAGCCATCAGCGACTGCCGGGCTCTTGGGGTCCGGAGGCCCGTCTGCTAACGCGGCATCTTCGACAACCGGCGGAATGGCGACGACTGGAGGTATATTTGGTGGCGCACAGCAAAAGGCAGGGACTGGATTGTTTGGGTCCTCGACGACGACCGCTCAACAGCCCGGCACAACTGGGAATTTGTTTGGAGGCTTGGCCAGCAATCAACAGACTCAACAAGGCACCACTACCACCGGCAGTGGCAGCGGCGGACTGTTTGGCAGCGCGACAACGGGTCAGCAACAGTCCCAGCCAGCCAGCGGAGGGCTCTTCGGCAGCAACCTCCCTCCGACGCAACAATCACAACAACAGCCGCAACAGACAGGCGGCGGCCTTTTCGGCTCTGCAACGGCCAACACTCAGTCTAATGTCGCGGGTGGTGGCCTTTTCCAACAGTCGCAGGCAAAACCATCCGGAGGTTTATTGTAAGTCACGTCATGACGCAAGTAGCGAGGGAATATACTAACTGGAATTTGTCCGAATCTGCGCAGTGGTCAAACACAATCTCAGCAAGCTCCAGCTACAAATCAAGTACCCGCAGTTCAAATCAATTATGATAGCCTTCGACCTCGGACAAGGTTTGATGATCTTGCTAAACCTGTTCAAGACGAAATCGCTCTCATAGATAAAGGAATTCAGCGTGTAATCAAGATGAAGGATGAAATCGGAGAGTTCATGCCGCAACACGAAAAGGACATTGAACAACTAGGCAGAGATGTAAAGTTTGTCGAAACAAAGTTCAAGATGGTTCAAATTGCTCTCAACCAGGATGTTCAAACCGTTAAAGTGTTGCAAGACATGACTAAGAAGAGCATCGCCGATGCCCAACTCTCTTTCAAGGCGACTGACAACCTCAAATTACCGACGCATTACCATCAAACGGGCCTGTTTGCTGGACCGACACCACCCACGGATTCTAATGGAACCGATGCCGCTTCTGCACATGCCAGCGCACAGGATCTTATTACGTACTTCAATAGAATATGCGACGACGTCGAAAAATACAAGAAGAGGCTGGATGAATACAGAGGTGAAATCGAGCGGGACCTGCCTGGAGTGGAAAATGGGCTCTACGAGCAGATTCGAAGTCTCCGGGACCGTAAAACCGCAGTCGGTGGAGCCGTTCAAGATCAGCTTGGACAGGTTTTGTCAGCACTGCGAGAGACGGGTAACGCGATTGTTGCACAAGCAGGGCAGATTGCCGATACGCGAGAGAGGCTCTCAAGATTACAGGCAGGAATCCTCGACAGTGGTGTTTATGCGGTAGGAATGGCTTGATGCTGCTGAAGGGATCATTGCCACTCATCAAATTACTATGAACAGGAGAATCAAGTGCTTGGCCGGGCATGTTCTGCCCCCAGCAACCACTGAGGTGGGAAAGAGGGCGGCTATCTACCGCCCAGGCGACTTCTTCTTAACAACGGGCGTGCTATCGCCAGCATGTATTTATTCCATGTATATGAGCAAGGCCAATTCTGCGTCGGGGACATTATATGAAGTGTCATGCTGTACTTGAGCATGGGAGAGGGAGGCGCACAGCGTTTGAAGGGCTACCGAACAATTTTTGCAATCTGAGGTTATCTCGGACTGAGAGACGGGGGATATTTGGACGGTGTCTAACCGAAGTGGATAATGTATTTTTCAGCAAGTAACGAATGGGGGCAGTCAGTCTGGCCATAGCTACGTAAGGGGCAAAAGTGATGACAAAATCCTAATCCATATTCCTGTATTGTGTCTGATGCTGATGTACATAGCATGTAAATGGGTATCTGTCCATCCGATATGAAGCATAGAGTGGTGCAGAAGGCGTGGCGCCAATCTCCTCCCCGTCATCTAAAAACGCCAAAGTAAATAGAGCACGAGACTCGCAGCATATTAGTATGTCCCCTCGCCATCATCTCCGTCACCATAGTCATCGCCCATCTCATCGCCGTTGTCAAAATAATGCTCGGCATCATAGTCACCAGCATCCTCATCATCGTAGACTTCATCTTCATCCTCTTCTTCCAGTCCCTCGTCGTCTTCTACATCCAACCCCTCATCAGCTTCGTCCTCCCGCATAGCGTCGAGTTTCTCCAAGATGTTCTTGCCCGCACTGGGAGCAGCGCCTCCTTCTCCGTCACCGTCAATGTCGCCATCCAATGACGGCATTCCGAACGCCTCTTCGGCGTTGGGCAAGGCGCTGACTTTGCTGAGTTCTAGTCGCCTCTTTTTGCGCACGCCCACGCCGTCTTGGGGCTCGACGGTGTCTAGTAACTCTGCGGGGAACATTTCGCGGCACACGGGGCGGGCGGACCAGTCCGGCAAGGCGCGGTCCTCGCGAACAAACTTCTGTGAGTAGGTCGGCATGGCAGTGAAAGGGTCAACCGAGGCCTTGTTTTTCACGCCGTACCGAGCGTTCATCTGTGCTTGGCCATACATCTTCCTTGGTGTGGTCGGATCGTGGAGGGATGTCCGCTTTGAGGTGTAGAGAGGTGATGCGTGTATTTGGTGTCGCAGAAGCAGGAAGTGCTGGACCGCACTGGCTTCGGCCGTCGTTAAATCTCGTGGCGTGGGGACAGTGTAGGGCTAGAGTATCGAGGATCAAAGTCAGTTCGCGAAAACGCGTTGGCTGCTCGTTGTCTGGAGTAGCAAGGGCATACCGGGAACAGTTCTGATGGCCTCGCATCAGGCTCGTCGCCAGTATCCCAAGGCACATTTGGACGTCCGCCTCTCGCTCCTCCTCTACCACCACGCCCGCCGCCTCGCCCGCCTCTCGACATTACCGCAGCGACGACAAAGGCGCCAGTATTAGCCGTGGTACTTTAGCGATGAAAGTAGCCGTAGTGGTGACGCGACAGTTGTCCGGTAGTAAAATGGCTCATTTTCTCTGCCGTGGATGGCGGAATTGGGTTGATGCAATTGATCGTGGCATGGCTTGTTAAATAAATAAATTGAAAAAAAAAAAATTAGGAGTCGTGTGCCGCAGATTGGTGGAGGCGGAATTGGGTCCGTTGTTGGTGTGCCGCGCCTGCCTACCTGGGCAGTTACTGCCTCAAGCCAATATTTGAACGTCACAACCAGCATCAACTTCATAAAACGTTGCTCGGTAGTTATACTCCAACTTCTTTCATACTTGTGTGCTCGGCCCCTTCATTCAAACATCGAGCCGGCTGCTTTCGGCTTTAAGATCCTCCCTCATAACGCCGATTCCAAAAGTTTCCTGTTGATAGAAAGCGACGCTCACCCCCACCGTCAACCGCTATCTTCTATCCGCACAAGGTTGCGGGCCAGCTTCATACTCTACACATTCAGATGAGCGCAAGAACAGTGCCCGAGTACAGCATGGACAACATGCCAATATCTGGAATTCAAGAGCTGCAGACCCATTTGCAGCATCTACTCGGCGACCCTTCTTTGCCGTTCAACCTGAAGCTTCTAGATGATGTTGAGCTTCAGCTCACTGGTACGTCTTCCTGCCATCAAAGCATCATGGCTGGTTCCTACGATGTGATGCCTGTCGTGTTTTCTTGCGCTGATGGCCTGAACAACAGAAGACAATATCCCTCCCCTCCTACCAGTCTTGCTGCCTCCTCTGACAGGAATATTGAAATCAACAACCCAAGACCCAACGCCATTACTATCTCTGACAATCAAGCTACTGTCACCTCTTTCCTTCACTCGGACTCTTACAATTGCTGATCCGCCATCGCTGCTAACAGCTTTGAGCTCACCACTGCCTGGCGCTAAATTGCTTGCGTTGGCTATTATCCACAAAGCTGCAAAGTCGCCCTCAGATGCATCCATCCTGAGCACGCTGCCCGACGTCGTCGAAATGCTTGTCCAGTCTTGGCTAGCCAGCGCAGACGTAGGTGTTGGCGAGCGTGCTGCTAGAGTGCTCGGTGACTTGCTGGAGACGGACTGCGAGGCTGTCGACAAGGGTACAAACATTGCTCATTCCAGGCCTCTGATAAATGGAGATGAAGTTGTCAAGCGCAGTGTTCCAGGCCACGGTAGATTATGGCGCCTGATACTGTCGAGCCGACCCAGCCTCACGCTGATACAACAGCTTTGTTCAACCAACTCTGCATATCTGGGCCAACCACGCTCTGCGCATCAGGTTTCTATCTCCCAGGGGCGACTTCTGAGGTTATTGCCACGCCTCTGCACTCTCAACATCGGGGCCTTGAGCCATCCTGTACTCCAAGATGTTTTTACCTTGCCCGAAGAAATCGGCAGTCAAGTGGGGAACGGACTGCTTCAATGGGCAGCCCTTGGCATGGTGGACAAGTCGGACACGTTGATGCACCTCAGTCTTGTGGACTTTTTTGAAACTTTTGTCAGCGTTATGCGGGTGTCAAGACGATCTGCTGAAGTGGACGCATTCATACACAAGCTTTTGACAACGGCACTTGAGCACGACAGCGAGCTGGAGGCTGCACTGAAGCGGCTCCCGGACAGGACCGTTGAAGGCGAGGCGGAGCTTGTACGGGCATATATAACGGGGATACTCGACTAATACAAAGGCATTGAATGCTCATCATATCAGAGGCACAGAATTGACTTGATGAACGAAATGCCATTTCTCCCTGTGAGGTCACCTTCTAACGGCACAAGCCGGCGCGTCCAACACAAGTCGGAGGTCACCATCCGCACTGCACATTGGCTCATCTCAAAGTCGACATGGTTTAAATTTGAACGATGAGGCATGCTTTGCCGGATTTTGCAAGGTGTTTGCTCACGGCAGAGTGCCCATAGCTGACCTCAGCAGGTCGCCGACTACACAAGCCATGCGGATGATGCCGAGCACAGAAAAGCACCTGCCCGCGCACCAACCTGCACAGCATGTCTACCAATGATCACAATGGACTGTCTCCAAGTGACAGGCAGCAAGGAATTACGGGTACGCGACTGCAGAGTCGATTGGAGCTGCGAAGCCCGTGGGGCGAAATCATGCCACGCTCGACCTACAAGCGATGCAGGTGCCAGGGACGCAAGTTCTCAACAGGTTACGAGCAATGCCCAAAACGTCGGTGCTTGGCGACAACGCCATCAAGCGAGGGAAATATCGCATCCGCAGGGCCATACCTCCAAAGACTGGCAAGCTGACATGGCCTACTGGCAGACAGGCCGTGTCAAATCATCGCTCGCGGGAAAAACATCTCTGCCCAAGGAACCGAGCGCTGCAGTCCCACGTAATGAGGATTTTTAACGCCGCGCTCGAGTGACTGGTCAGCTGGATTCAATTTGTACAGTAATCAAAGTATGCATCCCCGACAAAGTTGGATAAAAGAAGAGTTGTATTTCTCTACTTTCCACCGCAACGCCATGCCGCATTCATTCTACAAGCATCCGCTCCACCTTACATCATCTTCATTGCGGATGCATCCTGCCCTGCGCCAACTTCCTCGGCAGTCTCGCCTATGATGCTTTCCCTCCTCCTTTCCCCGGCCTTGGTTATGCCTTCAATACCGAGAGCGACCTCGCCTGTGCGCCTCAAAACGATAAGTAGCGCGCCGCGTAGGTCCTGGCCGAGGTCCTTGGTCAGGAGTTCAACTGCTAGAGGGTAGAACTCTGGAATGTGAGACTTGAAGGCATCCTCCGGAAACGTTGCGTAACCTTCTAGCACATCGACGACAACGGGACGCCACGCCATGATATTCCTGTGCTGTGATTCTTCCGCCAGGGCAGAATATCCTTGAATAATGTCTTTGCAAAGAGGCACCAGGGCAGCCTCAATATCAGGACGGCTCTCCAATCTCTCCGGCGCATTGTCGGCAAACATCCTGAATAAAATAGACACGTACGTTGCCGCAGCGCCGCTCTCCTGTTTAAGGAGGTTGGGTGGCTGCTTCATGAATCCTTCTCGCCACAACTTCATCCGAAGCTCTTTATCTTCGTTGAAGCGGCGAGCAAATTGGAATGACCGCTTGAGCAACGCCATCAATCGCAGCAGTTCGGTTGACGGAATGTGAGCGTACACAGTGTCATTGCTGAAGAGTTCGTTGACCGTCTCGATCATTAATAGTTGCAGGACACAGCGTGAGATGATGCGATTGAAAAATCGTCGTCTAGCTGCCGTCACGACCACAGGTTGCTGTTGTAGGCTAGACGATGGCTTGAATTCTTCCAGTGGCTGGCCAACAATGCCGCCGGTGGATGCCATATCATCGTCTATAGGCTTAGGCGACGGTTGGCGGGGGACGGGCTCGCCGTCGGAAACGGCGACAGAGTCATCCTTTGTACCGTTGATCTTGAGAGATTTCTCACCAACCGAGGTCGTCTCCCCAGTAGGGCTCAGAGTCCCGGAGAAATCAAATCCATTGGAGGGCAAAGCCAGAGAAGCTGTGGAGCCCATGTTTGTCGCTGTGAACAGTTGATACGCCGTCGTGCGCTCGAAGAGCTCGCAAAAGGCACCGACTATCTTAGTCCAATGCTCCGGTGTAAACTTGTTCACGTTTTTCAGAATAAGCTGCTGCAAACAGTTGCTTCCAATACGAGAAATCGTATCATTCTCCTGGCAGATGCACAACGCTAGCAGCTCCAAGAAGCGATCAAGCATATATTCTAGGGACTCGAAGTAGTGAGTAAAAAGTGTGATCATGTTCCGGAGGGCCTGTATCATTGTCGTCGATAGCCAAACCGAAAGCTCCTCATGGTTCAGCACGTTGGTCATCTCTGGTCTCGATCTCAACACCACGAAGATCGGGTAAAGTTGCTGTCGCCACAGAATGTCCCAAAACTCAGGTGTGAAGTCACCTCCATACTTGACGAGAGCAGAAAAGAAGTATTCGAGGGCGTTCGATCGCACCTCCAAATCCTCCCCCGTCATGAGCACATCATGAAAAGCGAACAGGACAGGGAACCAGAAGCCTTCCTCCACTGATGTGTTTGACGGCATCCGCTTAGGGCCATCTGGCGACTTGTTCAGCGTTTCGACAGTTGTGTTACCTTGAGTGGGCTTGTGCTTCTGTGACAAGGGGCATTCGGGGGTCTTCAGCATTGCAGGAATGATGGACTTCAATAGCTCCAACGCAGCAAGACTCTTCTTCTGAAACTTCAAGTTCTTGGAGAACTCCGTGAGACAGACAATCAGGTCAGTAAAGGCTCCTTGAGAAATAACAACACCAAACTTGGTCTTGTAGACCTGATTGACATTCTCATAAGCAAGATTCACAATGCTCTCGTGAGGCTCTCTTGCAGCCACAGTGAATACTCCAAACATGGTTCTCCACCCAGATCGGATATTATCTCCTCGAGCTTGGATCATCTGTATAAGACAGCGTAGAACCAGATCTTTGACAGTGACATTGTGCGAATTGGCAAGTACGTGTTCAAATGGCTTCAGAAAATCCTTCTGGAACTTGAAACCCGCCAATTCCTCGATTTCCATAAATCTCATGGAGAGTTGCCGAAGAGAATCCAAAGCGAAAAAAACAATGTTCATATTGTTGTGGCATCCAACTTGGTTGAAGTGCTCTCCGAGAACATCCCATATATTACTCCACTCGAATCGAACACGATCCATGTTGTAATAACTGATTTCGACGATTTTCTGCAGACTATAAGTTCTAGGCGACTCGTTGGAACCAGACACCTTGATCTCGTCCCAGCTCACTTCGGTGAGAGCTTTTGCGAATTGCAACATAGCTTCGCCAGAGAGGTTTGCGGTATTTGTGAAAATTCTATCCACGCTGCGAATGAAGTCATCTGAACGGCTTTCCAGAGCAATTTCATGAGAGAATCCTCTTGGACCCGTGCCAGATCTTTGCCTCGGTCGCTGTCTTGAATGCGTCGACGATCGTGAGTCGGAAGTGTCGGCCCTCGATGGTGGGATAAATCGCGCTTGAGAAACATCCGGTATGGTGCGTTCGTCGACACCTCCGGTAATAAGCTGCAGTCGGTCGAGTTGGCTGATGCACATAAGTATGTCTTTCCATGACTCTCGCAGTAGATTTCCTTCAGTCTGGCCAAGATCCAAGATGACCTTGAGGGTCTCAATATTCTTTGCCTGCATATCTTGAGGATTGTTAAGATTCGTGGTGTTCCTCAGAGCAGAAACGAAGGCTTCTCTCGGTGTCGACAGCTCAAAAAGACATGCAATTCGAGTCGCTAGTTTCATGCCTTCTAAGCAAAGCTTATTCACCTCAATGTTGTGAGATTTTTGGATCTGGCTGGATAGCGCAGAGAAGAACGACATCCACGTAACGTCAAACATTGATCCAACATGTTTGAAAGATGTGGCCGGGATAAATTTAGATTCAAGCTTTGTAGTGTTTCGGCGCTGGCTCTTGAAGAGATTTTTGAATAACTGCTCTGATCGCAGAGAAATTTCCTCAGACTGTTGCACATACGCCTCGCGTTGCAAGTCTCGGCCAACATTGGAGAAAGCTTGGCCAATACCAGCAGCGAGGCCGCCTGCGGGATTGAGCGAAACTGTACCAGCCGCTGCTGCTGCTTCACGCTCGCTTGTGAGCACGATTTCATTATTTGCGATTTCCTCATAGATGCCCAGAAGATATTCGTCGGGTAGATCCGCATTGTCATTTATACCCCGGTTGTTCTTGATGAATTCCTCCTTGCTCATGCGTTTGGCAATCTTGCTACTGTGTTGATCGGTGTTTAGCATAATGACAGAGTAGGCAAGAACATAGGCAGTGTCTGCATTCGCGAAAGCGTTGGGGTTCCCCATGACGTAGCGCTCAGCAAACTTGAGCATGAAGCGATCAATCTTTTGAGCTTCACCAGGCAGCCGGAAAGACTGCAGGAATTGGCGCAGTGCATCGACGAAGCGTTTCTTGGTAAAATCCATTGCATCAACGAATGCGTGCATGATATCAATGTTCTGTTGTTCACCTTCTCCTAGGTACTCCCCAATTTGAGCCTTGTCGAGCTTGTCCTCCTTCAAGAGGAAGTGGGCGATATCTCCAGGGCTGTCGCTGTTGATAAATCCATCACGCAACAAAAGTTTGATACCCTTCTTGGGCTTGAAGTTGAACTGTCTGATAGCGTTCATCAACGCAGTTTTGCGCGCTTTCTCCTTTTCGAGCTGATCAGGGTCATCGTCCACAACGGGGGTAGATGGCGGTAGAGGAGTCTCGAGTCGAGATGCGCTATCGCTAAACGTAGGATCAATGGATGGCCGCAATTCATCAGAGGAAGCTTTGACGTCTCCTTCTGATCGAAGCACATCACCACCGTCAGATCGTACTGACGCTGACCAGTTAACCAGGGACCTGAGCGTTTCGACCAAAGCTTCAAGTGACAGCCGCTTCATCGCGTACTCCTTGGGGAAGTCTGGCTCGTTTTCCTGTGGTGGGATGATCTGAGAAACCGTCAACGAGGGAGGCAGAATACCCTTCAGCTGCCACTCGCAGGCGGGTGATGTTTTGGCCCTCAATTCTTCATATACTTGCTCGTTGATTGTTGTTATTACAAGGGGTGTCGTGGAGAACTTGGAAAGATCCTCGACCATGGTTTGAAAAATGTTGTCCACACTCTGGTCGCAATCATAGTTTAGATACGTTTCGACCAGAGCTCTGGGGTCTGCACACAGTCGATTAAGTATTGTTACAAAGTAGAGCTTCTGCGACACCGGCGCGTTGCGTCGAGATAGGAGGGCCAGGTAGATTTCATTGAGGAAGACTTCGATCTCTTTCTGTCTACAGTGTCAGAAAATGGCACAGGGCAACAGAGCGCAGGCAGTGAGACAAGCGAAGGCTACTAACCTTGAACGAGGATCTCATGTATTTGAGCATTAGCCAAAAAATTTCGGAGCAAACCTCGAATATGCGGTCTACCGAGCTTGCCCCATTGCGAGTGATGCTAAGACAGAGATAAAACTTGATGGCCTGCAGAAATGATGTTGGCTCGTTGTTCTTGGAACTCTTTATGGTGCAGAGGGGCGACGTAAACACAGTGATGTTGTTGTTGAGTAAAGTATGGATGAGATGAAGAGAGATGAGTTTCGATCGCATCGGCTGTCCGCGCAGGTCATACAACTGGTCGGGGGGGAGAATTTTGGTTGACAAGTTACAGAATGACCGAAATACGAGGTAGGCATCTCGTATGTACACTTCATCCTCGGCATCTAGATCTTCCATGTCTTCCTGTGTCGAACCATCAGGTTCTGATTGACCATGCGCAAAGGAGTCCTCCTTGTTGGCAGGCTTCAATCTCGTGACCATTGTCGGCCCGTCGCCGAGCGCAGAATCATCGAAGCTCTTCCGGTGTTCCAGATCCTTCAATGTGAGCTTGGTGCCGCCGTTGGATTGATTCGACGTATTCTGCTCCGACGTAGGCGCAGGTGACTCCTCGCCATCGGGGCCCAGTTGCCTGCTGATTGCTAAATCGTTGGGGTCAAAGGTGATATTACTCGAGCTAAGCTTCAGGTTTCCCAGGCTCAGCCGAGACTCTTTCATATGCAGTCTCGTCCTTACACGTTCGAAGACTGTCCCAACCATTTGCGTCAAGGTGCCTTGAGCGACCTGCTGATTGGCAGTGCTTCTTGACAGCAGGAACACATTGTAGACCTGGCGGACAGCTTTGAGGAGACCAGCACCATGCACGACAATTTTGTCATTGAGAACGGCAGCAAGTAGAGACTTGACGATCTGCAATTGAATCTCGACAGCTGTGGTTTCTCCCTGGAAACAGTCGCAAATCGTATCGATGGCTCGCTCGATCAGAGGTGGTAATCGTTGGGCGGCGGGTTCTTTGTCATCGGCATCTCCAGGGTCTCCTTTGGTGGGAAGTGAGAAGTAGGAATAGGATATCAGCTTGCCGATGCAATCGAGAGCAGTCGTTGTCAACTGGGGGTTATTCGACTTTGTGGCCAGTTGCAAGGGAGCAAAGACGATTTCGGGATCTGGAAGCTGCTCCTGCTCCTTGATGGCATCGAGGGCCTTGTTGGCAGACTCGGCGAGCTGCTTGTTGCGTTGCGCATCTTTGGAGGTTGCAATGGCGTCCAAAGAGGACACGACAAACTTGAGAGAGCTCATCATGGAGCGCACGCGGAACCAGCGGCCATCCGAGAGAAGACGGGACTGGACGAGCTGGTGATGGAGCCACGAGTAGATCAGTCGCAGATCCCCAGGACAGCTTCAATGGCCAGATGACTTTGAGGCCAGCAGCTGTTTTTTTTTTTCTTTTTTTTTTTCGCAGCTAGCTGTCCCGCGAGAAGATCCGGGAAACTGGGCGACGGCGGGATGCTGTCCGATCAGACCGAGCGTCGATACCAATATCTGACATTCGACGGGCTCCAAGGCTCGGACGCAATGTGACGGCCTGAGGCAGGAGCTCCGAAGCCAACCCAGTGGGTTGAATACGGCAGCATGTGCTCTAAGGCGATAGGCGGTTGGCTGGCGGCAATAATAGCTCAGGTATACCGACGCTTGAGCAGAGTGTCTGGAGTACGGAGTGATGACTACACCATGCGTTGTATTAGAATTGACTCCATACTTTAGTTGGGACAAGGTGTTCAGTGGAATTGGGAAAATTGAAAGTGGGGAAAGGACATGGACCCTCGATGCCGGTCTCCAGTTCCAGTCTCCGAGCACCAACAGCAACAGGTTGCGCCGCCAACTGCTTATGTCAGAAGAAATTGGAAACCCCAGCCGTCGGTTGAGGCCAAAAAAAAAAGGAAAATAAAAGGAAAAAGACAGTGAAGAATGCGTAGCACGTGCACTAGGATTTTGCTCCTTTCTGGTCCTTCAGAAAAGCAGCATAGATAAATCTCGGTGCCGTCCGCAGCATCAACTGGATGCCCTCCGCCGCCAAAATTCGCCGTCGTCCGGCACAGGGTTGGGCGGCGCAGACGTCGGATATCGGATTTACTCTACTTAAAGTTACCATGAGCCGAGCACCGGGACGTACGCCATACATTAAGCAGTCAGTTGTCGGTGGCCAATTGTGTACGTATGTAGTATCTCCCGTAACAGGATGGAATAAAAGAGAAGAAGAACAAGACCACGTTTATCCAACAATTCCTCCATCGGTGGACCTCTATGGATGATACCTGGAGACTGGAGTATAAAATGTGTCCTGTAATACGGAGTACTCTGTAGTTAGGTGTCGAGCGATTCGGACCGTCTTGTGCGGGCGGAAGCATGCCAAAGTGCGCGTATGTACTTGCGCCGCCTCTTGGCACCGAGAAGGTACATGTATGTACATGCGTGCATAAACCGCGTGCTGTGCTCCGGCCTGAGCAGCAACCCGGCCAACGGGCCAACGGGTCCGTCAAGCCTGCCAAGGGATGTCGACACGTCAGTGTGACAGTCCCAGAGGCCCAGAGCCGACTTCACCCAACCCACCACCAGGCTGCAGAATCATTGTGCTGCTCCGAAAGCGGCTTAGGCCCCAAAGCTCCAGCAAGCGACGGAGCTCAACGCAAAATTCTAGACGGCCTGGACCAACCACAAGCCCCAATCATTTCTCCGTCACCTTTCAGAGACGTTTCTCGTCAACAATTCGCGCGCTGCCGCAACTCCCCCATCCTTGGGCCTCTCAAGCCTCTCTGCCTCTTGTCCGATTCGGCCTCAGTTCGCTCCATCACGTCTCTCTCCATCCTTCTAGGCCTGAGAGATCAGATCACGTTCCCGAGACTCCAAGCCTCGCCCCCAGCCAGCAGAGCTGTTTTCCTTCCTCTCAATGATGCTCAGCGCCGCCATTCGGAGGCGAGTCCTCGCCCCAACTCACAATGCTCTTCGCACCGGCTTCACCTCTCATGTTGTGAGATGTTATGCCTCTTTTCCGACGCACCAGATTGTCAAGATGCCTGCCCTCTCTCCGACCATGCAGGCCGGCAACATCGGTTCTTGGCAGAAGAAAGCTGGCGATTCCATCGCCCCTGGTGATGTTCTAGTAGAAATTGAGACTGATAAGGCCCAAATGGACTTTGAATTCCAGGAGGAGGGTGTGATTGCCAAGATACTGAAAGAATCCGGCGACAAGGATGTCCCGGTTGGCAGCGTAAGTGTTCTGGTTATCACAAGATGCGAGCCCTTTTTTTTTTTTTTTTTTGTTTTTTTGGACTACGTCCAGCGCTAACGTATGCGATTGATCTAGCCCATTGCTATTCTGGTTGAGGAGGGCACCGACATCTCAGCCTTCGAGAAGTTCACCCTAGAGGATGCGGGTGGCAATGCCGAGCCAGCTCAGCCTAAGCAGGAAGACAAGTCCGAATCGCAACCCGCCTCTTCATCAGCCCCTGCGACCTCAGCCGAGCCAGAGCAATACTCGTCCGAAGGAAAGCTTGAGACTGCGCTTGACCGTGAGCCCAACGTTGCCCCTGCCGCTAAACGACTTGCACGCGAAAATGGTATCAGCCTGGATGGGATCAAAGGCACCGGAAAGGGCGGAAAGATTACAGAGGAAGATGTGAAGAAGGCTATTAGCAGTCCTGCTGTTGCATCTCCTGCCGCCACGTTTGAGGACATTCCCCTGACAAACATGCGCAAGACCATTGCAAGCCGCCTCCAGGAGTCAGTCCAGAAGAACCCACACTTCTTTGTGACCAGCTCTCTCTCTGTCACCAAACTGCTCAAACTCCGACAGGCATTGAACAGCTCCTCCGAGGGCAAGTACAAGCTGTCCGTCAATGACTTTCTCATCAAGGCTATTGCTGCTGCCAGCAAGTCGTTTCCTGCCGTCAACTCTAGCTGGCGAGAAGGATCCATCCGCCAATTCAACACTGTTGACGTGTCGGTTGCCGTCTCTACTCCAACGGGCTTGATCACGCCCATTGTCACCGGCGTAGATGCTCGTGGCCTGGAGTCCATTTCTGGAAAGGTCAAGGAGCTGGCTAAGAAAGCCCGCGACAACAAGCTCAAGCCTGAGGAGTACCAGGGTGGCACCATCTCCATTTCAAACATGGGAATGAACGCTGCTGTTGATCACTTCACCGCCGTCATCAACCCCCCGCAAGCCGCCATTCTCGCCGTCGGTACCACCAAGAAGGTCGCCGTGCCCGTGGAGAAGGAGGATGGCACCACCGCCGTCGAGTGGGATGACCAGATCACAGTCACCGCCAGCTTCGATCACAAGGTTGTTGATGGCGCTGTCGGCGCTGAATGGATCCGTGAGTTCAAAAAGGTCATTGAAAACCCTCTTCAGCTGCTTCTGTGAGCAACCCATGTCAAGTAGAGCGATGAAGCGAAAATAGCAGGAGTACCGCGGAGAGCATACCTTATAGAATTAGTGAAGGATCCGGAATGAAACCGGATCCCAAAGAGGCAGAGGATTGGCCAGGGTGTAACTGCTTTGTCCGTGTCAAAAGGCACCATGGCAAGACTGGATTGGATGGCCGTGTACAATGACCCTTGATTACTCCTGTATTCCACCCAGGTAGGGAGACAATTTCCATCTTGTTATAGATTGGCTCGTTATACTCTTTCTCCTGCGCTGCAGGAAAATCTGTCTTAATCTAGGTGTATTTCGGTTGAGTGTGCTGGGTGCACAAACAAGTCCCATCATCAACGGCGTGTCTTTTCTTTTTTTCTCTTCCCTTGCGCGACGACAAACGACAAAGTAATGAGTCTTTGGTTTGATCCACAGCCCGCCAATTAAGCTGTGAGACAACGCGATAAAAACGTGCGTGGAACTGCCCCATCCCCAGCCAATCAGCGATTCGTAAAATTCGGGGATTTCGTCATGTCATGAGACAACGATTTGCGCGTCGTCCAACGTCAGCTTCTGACAGAAAGTTTCCTACTACGTACACGTTCATCTAGCCGGCTCTATTTCCTACTTGCCCAAGGCAGGCTTTTAAGACCCCGATGAGGTAGTCCTCGGGATTTCTCGACTCAGATTGGCAAGCAAGGCTTGTGCCACGCAACAATGTCGAGCCAAGGAGACCGAACCGAGCGTCCTCCATCCATGGAGGTTGTGATGCGTCCCTGCACCCTTTGGCGTGCCTGAAAGAAACGAGGACGTCCTCGGCTCGCCTGCGAGCAATGCGAAAGGCGAAAGAAAGAAAGTGTAATGGAAATTCTTCCCTTGGGCGCTGTCCCAGCGCTTCCACCCGCATCCCAGAGCCCATGGCCGGGGACGGATATATCTTCTGAGCTGCAAGGCACCAGGGCCATCTAATCAGGCTTGTCAACAACTCCCGGGCATCACAACCTTGTGCTGAGAACCTGCGGCTAAACTCCAAGCTGATAAGAGGTCGTCAAAGGCTGTCGGACAAGCTGTCCTGCCTTCAGATCAAGAATGTCAGTTCAAAGGAACTGGAAAACCAACTGCATCCGCGTCTCAGTGGCGGAGCTGTTCCTGTACCTTTTTTTTTCCCTCGATGCGCTTCACCAAACCGCCATTGCAAGATCCTTCGACAGATTCTATTTCTCCTCGAGAATGTGCCTGGACAGCTCACTCAAAATTTCTCAGCCTCTGAGGTTTGTCGGGACAGACGTTGGACGGACAGGCAGAGGGGCAAATCGACTTTATACGAACCGTGGCCAACGGGTCCGGGCTATTTCGGTACATCGCTGTGTGTTCATTGTTCTTCGTCGCGGCAGAGCTCAACCATCAGGAACAAGGTCACCCCGTCAGTCTCGGCCATCTCCCATCCCCTGGTAACTCAGAGCTACGAGCCTACTTAGAATGCCGCAAATTCGTGTTCTCTGGGACAGGTTCGCGCCGGAAAGACCAAGGGCAAGGGCCGCTGCTTTACGATAGCGTGCCTTGGCCACATCGACGCCCTCACCGCATACTTGTCGCAACAACAGGTGACCACGGCGATTCTGCGAGCAGCAGGGAATCAGCAACCAAATGCTCGGCAGCTCTCGTCCGAGGTGGCCGTGAAAGAGGAATCTCCATCCCTTCGGAGTCGACGCCCGAGCCGACGGAAACGGACGGCCTCACAAAGCATGCCGCTCGAGTGGATGGGCGGCGATTAGGCGTGGGATGACGAGAGCGGGCGGCATGTCGTGGGAACAACAGTCCCAGGGCACCTTGGGCGGCGGCGGCCTGGAGCAGCGTCTCCCTGGACGCAGTTAGTCGCCGGGAACGAGTCGGCCCTTTCACGTTTGTGTATCGAACAGCGGCAGAATCGGGGTCAGGCGGCCTCGCGAAATTGGCAGACGACATTCCGCTGGCCAACCCTCCCCCCACGCTGCTGCGTGTTGTTATTATTAGCAGCGGCGGCGGCGGCAGATGCAGATGCAGATACAAGTTGTATTCCCATGTTTCGTACGTCGCAGGTGGATTTTGCGGTCATGCATCGGCAAGTGTTCAATGTTCCTCTCCTCGGGACGCACCTCACCGTCCTACTCGGTAGTGGCAACACCGCCATTTCACAGTCGCAATGGAAGCGCTCCGCGTGGGCCTTCAGAATATTCTTTGCGAATCTGGCGTGCTGCAGACCACGCAGGTTGCCATTGCAGTGCCGCCTCTTCCGGCCCATATTGCCTTGCCCATCCCATCCCATCCCATCGTCTCTTCCTTGCCGCTGCCGCGTCCCCGTGCCAAGGCGAGGGTCCATCAGTCAATCGGTGTGCAGAGCCGTGGTTCTTGGTCCCTTTTGAATCTGCAGGTGCGTGGTGAGGCATGGAAAACGTCAGTTCGTAGCCGCCCAGATGACACAGGTTCGTGACGCCGTGAGTCAACGACGCACTGAGCACGCCAGACGAGATGAAATGAACATGTGTTTATGTGTTTATAAGTCGACCTTGATCCCACCCGACCAGGCATTCAAGAAGCCGCCAGTTCCCAGCCCAGGAGAGGCCAACCTACCTCTCTGTACTCCGTCTCCATCGTCCTCCGTGCGTCGTCGTCCTCCTCCTCCTCCTCAACGCTTGACAGAATATTATATAGCCAAGATATAGCAGCGAAATTCCTCCGCCCTGCCCACAATGGCCCGCATCGCTACAGTCGTCACGGCCGTGTTCGCCCTTGCGGCCGAAGCCCTCCCCCAAGCAACGCCGGCCGGAGAAGGATGCACAACGACTCTGACCGTCACGGAAACACCCATGCCAACGCCGCCATACTGGCGCGCGTGCTCCTTTGACGGCACGGCGCGCATCTACAGCTCCACAGTCACAATGAGCCACGGCGTCAACTGCCACGGATGCCATCGCGTCTCGGTGTCTTACGAGCCGCCTGTGCACTGTCCCGCCAACATCTTCAAGGCAACAAGGACGGAAAGCACGCCGTACACGATTCACACGACGGTTTGCGCTGCAAGCACAGGATACTAGGTCATGTCAAGCCCGGATAAGGAGGCACGGGAGGGGGGGCACTGCGATGGATAGGTCATAGGTGTCTGCTTCAATCATGCCATGACTTTTGTCTGACGACGGAATCAGCTGAGCGACGGACATGGTGGCAAGAAGTAGGACAAAGTCGGTCCCGAGAGAATGGGGTATAATCACAGGCCTGTCTGCAATTCAAGACCCTCTGAAGCATACATTTCCTCCGTTATTCTGCCCCCTTCTTTTCCTGTGCGTCAACAGGAAAAGGGGAGGGAGCCCAGTCGATTGACGTCCCATCCGTAGTCCTCCCGTGCTGAAAAAGCCGCGTCCCACCAGAAGCGCGGTTTATGCGTTCTGGACGTGGACTTGGCCATCCGGCATGCCGAAATAGGCGGCCACGGGCTTTTGCGCCTGCGACTCCTTGCCGAGACCAGCGGCCTGGTTGCCGTTGAAGCCGTAGAAGAGGCCGATCTCAACGACGCCGGGGATCTTGAGCAGGTGGTCGGCCAGGGCCTCAATCTCCCAGGAGCCGTTCTTGCCCGTGCCATCCTCCGTTGCTGACAGGTCCTCGGGGAGCAGCAGAGGGGAGAAGGGCGCGTCGATGATCCACATGCCATTGTCCGTGACGCACTCGCCAGCCTTGCCGGGAAGGCCGGACCGGACAGCAGGGCCGGGGGAGCCCATGGCGCGAAGACGGGCGAGGACGTCGGGCGCGGCCAGCGGGAGGACTTCGATGGGGATGGTCTTCCACCTGGTACACAGTCGCGGCGATTGCTTCCGGGCGTCTGACAAGGTAATCCCGTCAGTATTGCATGGATCGCGACCAGCACGCACTTGGTTTTGCTTGCCACCAAAGCCAGCGGCCACGTCGTCGCAGGTCAGGCCTCACTCACCGGCAACAGCGACAAACTTCCTGGCAGCAGTGGCCACGAGCTTCTCCTGGAGGAGACAGGCGCCGCCGCCCTTGATCAAGTTCAGATCCTGGTCGACCTCGTCGGCGCCGTCGAAGGCGACGTCCAGGGCCACGGGGGTGCCGTCGGCGAGAGGGCGCTCGTCGAGGCGGCACAAGTTCAGGCCGGCCTTCTGGATGAGACCCCTTGACTGGCTGCCGGTAGGCACAAAGGTCATGGCAGAGTAGAATGCGGGGCCTCTGCTCAGGATGGCGTCGACGACGTAGACGACGGTGCTGCCGGAGCCGATGCCGACAAACTTGTAATCGGGAAGCAGATGGTCGTCGACGGCACGGTAGGCGGCGAGCTTCTTGGAGGACTCGACAAGATGGTCTGCTGAAGACATGGCTCGGACTCGTTGCGTTGTATGGACAGGATCGGCAGCTATAGGTTGCAGCAGAGACGCCGGCTGGGAGGGGAGGCGGCTGCGGTTGAAGCTCACGCGAGGTTGACGTGATGGCGGGGCGGGAGGCGTCCGGCAAGGACTCGCGGGGTTTCGAACATGAGAACGAAGTACTCCGTGCCTCGGGCCCTCGGGCTTTGTCAGTTTTGTCAGCAAAGGCGGACGAATACACGGCTCGTCTTGGTCGCCGGTGGATGACTGGTCGGTCGGGTCGACAGTTCGAGTGGGAGTTGATTTTTTGAATTTTCGATTTTCTCCGTCACTGTTCCGTACCGACGAGCAGTAGGAGATGACGCGCGCGGACGGACGGACAAGCCAAGGTAGCAAACAACCTCGGTACATGTATCGGTCAACTAGTCCGTATTAGTTTTGCAAACACGACCACGAAGCTAGAATTTGCATTCGTATTTTTTTTTTGCTTGCCCTTGCCCTTGCCCGCCTTGCATTTGATTTTGGTCGGTTGGTACGGACGACGTCACTCGCATCCCGGATTCCCCACTTCCAGGCGCCAGGCACCGAGGTACTACTCCCTAGTACTCCGTAGTATTGGCTTGCTGTACTCCGTAGCTGTAGCGAGCATTTCAACAAGACGTGAATAAATAAAAGCATGCCATGCACGTGGCTGACTCTCGACAGTGAACACACAAGCTTAGGGCACGCGACATGCGCCCATGGGCATCAACTTGCACCAATGGGGACGCCGGTCTAAGCTGAAACCCCACCCACGACCGACCGGCGCCAGCTCGTCGATATCGCATCGAGAAAAAGGCTTCTCGGCTCCCTTCTCGGTCTGGGATACAAACCAACGGCGTCTTGCCATCTCGATCCCCGTCCCGATCGAATCAAGCGACTGAATCCTGACCGCATCGCCGCTGCGTCCACGCAGCCCGCAATATTGAAGATGGGACGACGTACGGAGTACCCAGACCAGACCCAAGATGCAGCTTCATCCCGATCCGTGTCTGACAGCTAACAAGACTCCATCACTGCCCCCCCGGCTTGCGGCTTCCGGCTTCCCTGTCATCTTGCTGACTGGTTTCCAAGGGGTGCCCAGCCAGGCGTTTGCATTAATTGATCATCATTGGACGCACGAGACGACATCATTCGACCTGTGTGGTCCGGCTTGTTCATGGTTTGCTTAGACTCGACTGGACTGGCACGGCCTGGCGCGGCTCACACGAGTAGCTTGCTTGGGCACTCGGAATGCAGTTCATCTAACTAGTTACTGCTTGAGCAGTATGAGGTTGGATTGTCCCATGGCCGGGTACGGCAAATCACGAGTTACTTTGTCCGGGCATCTCGGGTTCCCTCAGTGTCGAGCCAAGAGCCTTCATGTCTGCGTAGACGAGAGACATATGGGCACACGGAGCAGGTGGCCGAGACACTCAGGTTCTCAAGTCCCGTGCCGTCTTCCGCTCCGGCGGCAGGTTTTGCCTCGTATAATGAAAGCCATGCCGGCCTTTCCAGCCATCCAGACTCCATCTCTAGCTCCCGCGACGAGCCCGGCTGCATGTGCTACTGCAGCCGAATCTGTAGTCGTCCCTCTTCGAGTCCTTTTGCACGACTCTGCCTCCCCATCATCACGCGGCCCAGGCCGAAACCTTTGCGCCCCGGCCCTGGGAAGCCTCTCCTAGCCTTTTCTAGCCTTTCCTAGCCTCAGTCTAATGGAAGATATTCCAACTATCCTCCCAGCGGCTTCCGTCTAGCAACAAGCCGCGTCTTGTCTCGTTGAATATAAAAGCCGGCAGCCCGCCAACAGACAGTCTGTCCTTGCTTACTCTTCTCTCCATTCACCCATTCACCCATCCGTCCATTCACACATCGTCTCTTCTCCCTCAACTTGGCAAGCTTGGATCCTCGCTCGCGCCAAAGAAACAGTCGACATGCGCACTTCTCAGCTTCTCGGACTCGTCGCGGCCCTGGCCACTTCGGCCGCGGCCAATCCAGTCCCTCAAACGACGACCGCCGAGGCCGCGCGCCCTTCATCGTGCACCTCGACCATGATCGTCTTTCCAACCATGACCTCGGGCCCTGTCCGAACCACATGGACCGCCACCACCACCGTCACGCAGTACCTCGACTGCGGCGGCTGCTGCAAACTGAAGAGGGAACGATTCCCCATGGGCCCGGGCCCTGCCATCTTCTTCACCACCACCGAGACCATGGCCACGCCAACCACCACCACCGTCTTTGCGTGCGCCACCTCAGCTTGACGAACGAACCGTCACCGGGGAGGGGCCAGACAGAGCACACTCCTGCCCCGTATAGGCTGTGTCGACGTGGTCAGACATTGAAAGGGGAAGGGTTTTGTTGGAATGAGGCCGCCAGGAGGTGGCGGCCGCAATGGCCATTCATCGCCGCTTGGCGCATGTCGTCCGGTTACAAATAAAAGTTCAGCCAAGGCAACTCAAAAAAAGGGTCGGGAAACACATTCATAGTTTGTCAAGTAGACTGTATGAACCATGAACAAACACGTCGCTTTTGCCTGCCACATGTACTTGTTCCTCCTGGCTACCTACCTTAGGTACTTACCTAGGTAGGTACGTGACTACGCCTTCATTTTAGCCAATAGCAGACACACACACACACACGCACGCACAAAAAAAAAAATGAAAATGAAAAAGGCACCTGTTGTGAATGGAAACAAAGCCTCGAGACCCTCGTTTACAAGAGCTCGTCATGATTGCCCACACGAGGGGATGCGCTCTTTGCCAGCAAGTTCCTCGTCACGTCCAACCGCCAGATGCTGGGCCCGTAGTCGTCATCCCCGCGTCGATGCGTTTCGACCAGGGTCCTGATGTTGCCCTTGACCTCCTTGTTCGATGTCAGCGTGACGTTGCCACTGGCCCACCCATACATGAAGATGGAGAGCTTGCTGCTCTTGAAGCCGCTGTGGCGGGCGACGTCGACGGCCATTGCCGGGAGTCGCGAGCTGCCGCTGGCCGCTTGTTCTATCTCTGGCCAGGTCCAGCACTCATCAATGACTTTGATGGGAATCTGGACCGTACTCGGCAGGGCATGTGTGGAGAGTTTCTCGAACCGCGATCGAATGGCGGCCTCGGACTCGGACTCGGAATCGCCTCTGTGTGCCTTGCCAAACGGAACGATAAGATTGCCCCTTTCCTTCTCGGAGCTTGTCCCAACGGTGGCGAGGACCTGGTGGAAATGCTCGGCGGCTTCTGGGGTACATACCAGCGTCCTGTTCTCGATGAATGGATACAGTGCCTTGACCATGGCGCCGTCGTGCCTCCTCTCCTCCTCTATCTGCGCCCGTGTCGTCTCCTCCTGCCACGGCTCAGGCTCTAGGCGGAAATGTGTAATGTCGGAGATCAAATCGATGAGAATCGTGTGGTCCAAGTTCAACGTGTCTGTGAGTCCGTCAAATTCGTGGCCCAGCAGATTCTCAATGGCGGCGTCCAGCCCCGGGGTCGGTGCTTTCAAAAAATCGCTCTCCCCGTCATCGACCATGACTTCCACCCCAGAGTCGATCCGAGCAAGTTGCTCCAGGAGCACATTGACGTCGTTGTTGTCCCTGCCAATGTTGGGCAAAGCTATCCTCAGTCGCGGGATGCGGTACTCGTGGCGGTTCATTCGTGCCGCCGCAATGAGCCGCTTGACTTGTTTCGCCAGCACGACGTCCTCCCATTCCTGCTCGTCAACAACATCCCCTAGACTGTGCTCACCCCATGCCCATCCACTGTCCGTCATCTGTCTCGCCAGTCGATCCGGCTGAAGTGTCAGAATGGCAAGCCACTCGGCACCACCCCCGACGACATGTACTTCAACCTTGGCCTGTGCTTTCATGGTCCGATGGGCGGCCTCTTTCTCGCGTCCAGTCAAGCACATCTTTGCCACTTTATTTTTTCGCATGCTCCTGTCGGAACCGTGAAAGGCCTGGTTGATGGAGACAAGAGAGCGGCATCGTTTCAGCAGGCTCCAGTGCAGCGAGCCATGGGAAATGTTGACGGCGCAAATGTCCAGCTTTCTCCCGAGCTGTCGAAGCGCGTCATCCGGAAGACGAGGGTGTAGCAGGGGCGAGCCCTTGACGACGTCCTCCACGATTGCTTGGTGTCCTTTCAAGCGGCGCAGAAACGAGCAAAATCCCGGGCATGATGGCTTTCTGGCGCGGGCGTTTAGCCGTTGGGCGAACTCCTCGATTTCGGGGATGTAGCTGTGAGATGCTGACAAGGTCGTCGACGCCACGCCGAGCAGGCGGGATTGCAGCTGCGTACGATCCGCGTCGCCAACGTTTTCGACGCTCTGGATTCCCGTTCCCGCGTGAGACGTCGACGCCTCTGTGCCGTTGGCCGTCATGGCCGCGCTCTCGCCCATCCGGGTCTGCCCTTGGGCGCCCCCGCCTCGTCAGGGACGCATCTTGGTCGGGCTGGCGAGACTATACTGCGGCAAGCTTGGGATGATGGACGGAGCATCATGTACCCATTACCCATTCCATCACGTGGTGCGCCCGCACATTGCACGTGTGTTTGTGCGTTGTGCACTCAGACAGACCCACCTGCCCTCTCCTACCCCGTAGCATCGGGACCGGTGGTTTTCTAATACTAGTACATAAAGTAGTCGTTACAGTTGGTCCTCGCGGCCTCGTCGACAGCTTCACGTTTAGGTCTCTGGCCAGCTCCGCTCCGTGCCCGAGGTCAAGATGAAAGAATCATGAGACGGAACGTAGGAAAAGAAAGCATGCTGCATGCTGTGAAGTTTACTCACGTGCCTGGCATGTTCTACCGAGTCAGAATCGAGCTCGGCGTGTCAGCGGGGAACGTAGATGGCAATAGTCCAAGGGGTCCTGTTTCCGTATGCCGCGTGCTGAAAAATCTGCCAGTCAGATGCCATGGAACGGTTGGGTTTGTACACTTGGACCTCTTGAAAGTCGAGAATGTGAAAACGGGCGAGTAGTTACGGGCGGATAAGCTGATCTGGCGAGTATCCTGTTACTGGTAGTATAGCAAAGTATAGTATACTTGAGTGGTACACCATGGCACGGTGTGGTATCGAGCCTCTCCGTCCCTCCTCCTCCTCCTCTTCCTCTTCCTCCTCCTCCTTCCTCCCGAGTCCCAACCCAGGTTCAGGGATTGCATTTGAACTTTTGGACCCAGAGACACAAGTAGAAAACTCCACGCAGGCCCATCAGTTCAACAAGCCAAGGTACATGCCACAGGTACTCCGGACATGGCATGTACTTTGCGCAGCAGGGAGGGGCTGGGCTGGCCGGTGACAGCAAGAGCAAGAGTAAGTGTCTGGCCCAAGCGAAAGCGGAAGAGCCCCATGCATGCCAATGGCGCGGGCCCTGGAGCCAGACGCCACCGTGTTTGACATGCAGGTCTACCACTCCCTACGGAGTACCCGTAACGTAGTCCTGCCAAGTCCCAAGTCGCAGCGGAGCACGCCACGCCCCCTGGAGCAAGCAAGTTGGGCGCCGCTGTGTCCGCTACCCTGGACAGGCTGCTGGCGTCACTCGCAGAGCGCAGCGAGACTATTCCCAATCACACGACATGCCTGAGGCGAGTTGACTTGTGGTTGTCCTTGGTTGGGGGTTGGTTGTTCTTGTTGTCCTTGACTACTTGTCAGCGGCACAGTTCGCTGCAATCGTCCACTCAACTGATACCGGCAATCGACGGGACCGGGACACCACGAGCCAGAGTAGCGTCACGTATCGCTTTGATTGCAACGGTGCGACGTGGCGCGACAGAGCCATTTATGCCATATTTCACAACTTGGCCTGGATCCTCTCCAATCTCGCCCCCTCTCCTCCCCCCCCGCGGGGCTGGGATGACCAACCATTTGACGCAACTTGCACGTAGGTAACTAGTCATTGGCTTACTTCCGACAGGAAAACACGCAGGCAACTCTTGCGGAACATCCCACCTGGCAGGAGCTGTGGAAAGCATGCACTCTTCAACTATGTATCAAAAAGGAATATGTAACACAGGAATAAGCGGTACAAGGCTTTGGAGTCCGAGTACGCCCATCAGGAGGCTTGAATGCAACTCTGATATAAGCAAAAAACATTTTACTAAAAGATCCGCAGGCCGGAAAAAAAAACCCATCCAGAATAGACTTGTTCCCGTCACTCTCAGCACCTACGCCAGGAGGTAAGTTGCCGGAAGTTGCCACTGCTATGCGCCACGACGGTGCACCAGAAAGACCCTCAACTGTAAACTGCTCTGATGTGAAAGGTACCAGGACCTTTAATGCCAACTCCGTCAAGGTCGTTCGTACCCTTGGTGTAGGCATTTGTTCCACTACCGTCTGCATTAATCAAAGAGTAAGGATAACCACGACCAATGATGTCATTGACATCAACAACATCAGGGACGGTACCGTTATCAACGCGATATACGATTAGGGAAGTCCCTGGCTTTTGGCCGCTGTCGGCAGCAGTCAGACCAGATGCATCGGCGCCATTCCAATCACCATTTGGCGCGCTGCCGTAGTCATATTCGACCCAGAGTCCAGTAGTAAGGCCTATGTTGTTGTAAGGGACCTCACCTTTCCCACAAGCGGCACCGCCCTGGGTGTCAGGCTGGAAGGCCACATTCTTCTTGCCGCGGGCAGGGAGGTCCACTTCGAGGGCCTGGTTGCCCTTGAAAAAGCCATTGATCCCACCAGTCGGTCCAATCTTGTTCCAGAGAGTGCACTTCATGTCTTCGTCTGAGTTGTTGTACAAAGCAAGGGTGTGATTAAAGCCATCGGTGTCATCGACGGCCATCATATTGCAGCCGTAGTTGCCAGATGTACCTACATTGCCCTTGTAAGCAATGCTGGCGGCGGAAGCACGCTTGGAGGGTCCGCTACAGAACTCCGGCTTCTTCTTGCCAGCAGACCCAGAGGGGTTCGTAGGGGTAGGTTTGGCGACGCTGGTGGTGGCAGGAGGAGGCGGAGGAGGAGGCGGATTGGGCACGGGCGGTTCAGCCAGAGGCCTCGTATTCATGAAGAAGTCGGTACGCTTTTCAACTTGGCGGTGAAGGTTCTTGTGAGCGAGACCGCCGGGATGGGCAGCAACGCCGAGGGCAGCAGCGACGGCGACAGTTGTACTGGAGAACTTCATTGTGTTCTTGTTCGAGGGGTCGTTCCGACAGAAATGTGTGATGCCTTGTGTGAGTTCCGAGTCAATCGGGCTCTTTTTCGACAGGTCCGGGTTATTCACAGAATATCAGGAGGCCTAGGTAACCATAGATGCCGGCAATGGCTTGGACGCGAGGGAGTGTAATAGTTCTCTGTACGGGGGTGGAAGCTGAAGAGAACAAACGACGGAAGAGAGCGTGGGCCGACGCAGGCTGAGGCGCTTATTGTTAAGGAATGACTTGAAAGGCAAAGAAGGACTGGACGCGATGTTGAAGGATGGTGGTGCGAAGAAAGCAACGAGGGCAAAAGAAGAAGGGCGAGGGCTCTTAAGGGGTGCAAAAGGATTCACCGGCCAGGGTTGACCTGGTATCTCCGTGGCGCATTCCCCTGCTGGCCTGGGTTGGTGGGGCAGCAGGAAACATTCACCACATGCCCTCGACAGGGGTGCGTCTAGACCCACACCAGCCTGGACCTTTACCGGTCGTGGCCAAATGCGCCTTAGCGGGCTGTTGAAGTCAACTGGCGTGTTGGATTGTCAGGTACGACTCGTAGGAGCCGGCGCCGATTGGACGAATTCCACCCGGACCTCTTGGCCGCGCGCTTCAGGTACTCCCTAACTTACTTAGAATGCACTCGGGCAATTGTAGAAGCGCGTGCACAAGAACAGAGTACTTACTTAAGTACCTACTTCAGTACTGAGCAGGTAGCCGGGGTTCCGAGCAGCAGTCGGCTGCAGGAAAACAAGAGGGATTCAGAGCTTACGCGGCCCGTTACTCCGTAATCAGTACCTACTGAAGTACTAAGTACTCAAGGCACCTCTACCTCTGCCCCACGTGCCAAGGCCCCTTGGGCCAAGGGGCCGTACATCCAATTTCTTCAGCTCTTCAAGTACCTAGGTACTCAGTACTTGCTGGCTGAGCAGTATCCGGGGTCAATACGTACAGAACGCACTCCACGGGCCGCAATGCTATGTGACGAGAAACAAGGCGAGCCCAACGGCGGTATACTTGGGAGATGGCCAGGCCTAGGCTGGGAGATGGAGATACTGCGTAGTACGCCCAAGTCAATACTCTGCAGCAACGTGTTTCGTCTTCTTCGTGCCGGTCTTGACTGGCGAGGCGTGTAAAGGCACTGCTGAAAGCCAGTGATGCCTCGGACGGACGTGGACGCGCTTGCATGGCTTCTGCAGCTACTCCGTACGTACGTACGTACAAATGATGAGGGATTTTTTCCATTGCCCTCTTTGTCAATCAGCGTCGGCGACGTGTCCATGGACCACGAGTCCATGCCCCTCCTCCACACGGAGCGGACATGGACATGCAAACGGGGAGCACGAGTGCAGAGCGACCAGTCAATTGCGCATCATTGCCATCGCATCAAAGCCTCAATTCAGGCAGGCACGTCGCGGCGCAACTGATGTCGCCGCTGTTGGGCCCATCAGCGACTCAGCGACTCAGCGCACTTTCGCCAGGTGTCTTCAGGCAGTCGGCGCTGGAGGCCCGTGGGGGTGACAGGGGAAAAAAGAAAAAAAAAACGGCCATAAAAGACTTGCTGCCTGGAGTCGGTGTGAGGGCTAATCAATGATTTGCGCGTCTGCTGCTGTCCAAGCCAGCACACATGTCTCTGAGTGGCCCCTCTCTCTGTGGTCCGGAGGGCGACCGTACCGAGTACTCCGTAGTAGTAATTTGAAATTGACAGGCCAGGACCCAGCGAGTCAGCGACGACCACAAGGGCGATCAATAAGCGTGGGCAGATTCCTTCTTCTTGTCGCAACTCTCCGCACACACCTGGAGACGTGTACGGCGCTCAGCTCAGTTCCATCAGCGAGTTCAATAAATCACGAACCCCTCCCTGCGGCTGCTGCCCCTTTGATCCGGGCGCGCGCAAGTCGTGGGTGGGCCCGTGCAAAGCAGACCAGAGGGGAAAATGATCGTCAACCACTCAGCCCAGCCCAGCCCGTCTTGCGCGCCCCCCGCCCAGCGATGGAATGAAAAGCAAGACTTGCTTTGCTTTCTGCTCCGTACGGAGAATGCAGATGGCCCGACCATTGACCATTGCTCAGCGACCTCACCCGACCAATCATCTTGCCAAATTTAGTTACAGTCCACATCTCATATAACCCTAACCCCAACGTCTGGCTGCCTTTCAAAATTTCAGTCTCCACCAATGAATCGGTCCACCACCAATGGTCAGGTCAGGTCAGGTCAGGCCGGGGCCTCGATGCTTTCCATCTACTCAAGTACCTAGGTACTTAACTATAAGTATCCCGTACTTGGATGTCATTGCTTGGAGTATCCGGTTGCGAGGGATTCATCACCCACCAAAACAAAAGAATTATGAGGGCCAAGGAAAAAAAAAAGACGCGTATTTTGAATCACATGGGAAAACGACGCACCAATGAAAAAAAAAATTTCAAGAAAACTTGGGTGCAGCACAGCACAGCACAGCACCTACTCTATGCCCACCGCATGAAAACACCACCTGGCAATTTCCAATAACAACACAATGCTGTTGTGTCAAGTACCCAGGCACCTACCTCTCTTGGGGCGCACGCGCTACAGAGGAGGGGAGGGAAGTACTAGTAGTCCGTCACCTAAACCTGTTACCAAGTAAAAAGTACTTACTTAAGTACTTAATGAATACGATGCGCTAGGGCCTGCCTGTTACTGCTCACGCAAATCCCCCACGCAACCTGTCACTGAATCAGGGGCATGCATGGTTTGTGTGATCTCCTATAACCTAAACCTAAACCCCTCGTAGTCAGTCCTAGCCGAGAAACTATTTCCATGCCCGGTGGGGTCGTGTGCCGAGCCATGTTTCCTTTGTGACTTTAGCCTCGGCTTTATTGCATTCATTGTTTCACCACGTTGGGGACGAGACGTGGGAGGAAAGACGATACACCACCCATTCATGGTAGTACGTAGTACTGGTAGAACCTCTATTACGGTGACACTTCGAATGCTGTATAGTACTATCGAGTAATCATAAAGGTTGTCAATCTCGGTTGTCGCCAATGGCGTGAAAGCCGAGCCTCAAATCCCGGTATGGAATGCCTGATTTCATTGCCCTTGCTGCTTGCACCTCTCTAGCAATAGCTCCTCAATGCGTCTTCGTAACCTGTTCCGCCGCGTAGGTCCCGCCCAAATTTCACATGAACGTCCAAAACTTGTTCGATATGCCGCATACTAAGCGATTCGTTCTTGTTCATTGCCAGGTCCTGGGCAGACCCTACCATGTTCTTGATCTCGCGCCCATTCAGTTCGTGCTTGGCGAGCTTTTTCAGGTCCTCGTCGGAAAACGGCTCCACCTTCAGTTTTCCGAAAGCCTCAACTCGATCTATAAACATCTTAAAGATGGTTTTCTTGGCCTTGCTATCCAAACCTTCGTATCTGAGCGCGATATGTATACGAGACTGGAATGCTTCGTCAAACGTCTATCCGCTAGGTTAGTTCTCATGCGTCCAGTGAAACAACAACGGCGCGGGGGAAACGGCGGGAGCCAACCTCGACACGGTTTGTAGTAAGAAATAATATGCCCTGAAAATATTCCATCTGTCGCAGGAAAATGCTGACAAGAGCGTTGCGATGTATATCCTGCATATTTCGCTTCTCCAAGAACACGTCGGCTTCGTCGAGCAGAAAGATAGCGCCCCACGTATGGCAAACGTCCAGAATTTTTTGCAAATCAGCCTCCAGGAAACGAGAGTCCGTCCCGAGCTCGCCTGCCGAAGCCATGTAGAGAGGGCATCGCAGCAGTTCGCTTATCCCTTCGGCGGTAAGCGTTTTACCGGTTCCTGGCGGCCCGTGAAGCACAGCTAGGTGGACACGTTAGTACGTACGTAAATCGAAAACCGGGGGTAAGAGCTGGCAGCGACGGCAAAAAACTACTTACTGACGAGCCCCTTGCCTTTGCCTTGTATGACATCGTCGATTGTCTGCGCCGCGTTTTGTTTGCGTGACTTGACAAGTGCCTGGATCAAATCCTCCGTCTCTGATGGCAATACCAATGAGTCCCAGGCATCTTCGTTCCACCTGATGTCGTGCACTCTTGACACGGCAAACTCCAGCCATTGCTTCTCGGAGAAGGAGAAACCTAAGACTACGGGGGAGGCGAGGAGGTAGTCTTCATCAGTGAATTCCAAACATGCATCAGAGGTCTCTTCCTCTGGTGTGTTTACGACCTTTTCTTCCCCAGACGTATCAGAACTTGATGTTCGTTCAACCATCTTGCTGCTGGTCATTGACGACAATTGCGGCTGGGATGCCTTTGACCTTGCCTCCAAATCCGTCCGCAAAGCTTTTGTTACCGGTACATTGCAGCCCGAGTCTTTTGTTGCATTGCTAACCACCCTCGGTCCGCCATGTCCCCGCAGGTTGTCAGAAGAAAAGCCTTCATATGAGTCGTCGTCGGCGTCTGATAATCCCAAATCGGAGAGAGCATCAAAATCCCTGGGTCGCACATTGGATAGGCAGTAGTTTGGATTGATGCGCCGGAATATGGCAGGGTCAATCATTATCCGACTTTGTTGAATGTGAAACTTGACGACGGAGCCCTTCTTGCGCTTGTTGTATGCAATTCCGTTGTAAGCCTTGTAGTGTGCTCCATGAAGAGTCACAAACTTTTTCCCACGTTCGACCAGCGTTCGGCGTATCCCATCCTCATCTTTGTGATAAGATAGCGGATAGAACGGGAGGCTTGTTATTTTGCGAGTGCCCTGGAATTCTGCAATCTCCTCTGACAATGTGCCATGCCCGAATTTTTTCCCGTCAAATTCGAGATATTTTCCATCAACAGAGTAAGATTCGCCTCGCAGTAACGACGACTGCCGCACGGCCAGGTCCACTTTGAAGACTCGAGGATCATCCGTGAAACCGTAGGTCGAAGAGTACACAAGTGTCCCTGGCTTCCACAACGCCCAGAGATAATCAAAAGTGATGATTCCACTGTCTAGCATAGGATATAGACTCTCCTTGACTTTGGCGTAATCCTTATCCAAATATTTAATAAGGAGTTTGAGATGCGCGCGCTTGTTGTCTAGTCGCTGTTGGTTCTTCTTTCGTTCGCGCCGTCGCCGACCCGCTGGCTCGACCTGTTCCAGTTTCCTCAAGTGCGAGCGAAAATCTTCTAAATACCTGACCTCCGGGTTAGGCTCAATTACATTTCTGAAATAGACGTTGCATTCTGTATTTCGTATACAATACTTACAAGAAGAGCAGGTTTGGATCCAGTTTTGGTGTTTCATCGACAAGGCTTACACCTCGTACGTTGCCCATGACGTCTTGCAAGCATTCTCGAAGAAGTTTGGTCTTGATATCGACGACTGTGGCTCGGTGCTTCCCTTCGCTGTCGAATGTTCTTCTGACGTGGAATGTATATTTGTCATACTTGGAGTTGATGGACAGTTCGGCTGTGTCTTGAAGTTTAAATGCAAACAAGTTACTGTCCCATACCGAGTCCACCCGTTTGTAGTCGATTTTCCGCTTTCGTCTGGACCTCGATCTAGAACGAGAAGCATTCTTCGGCATCACGACATGAGAATGGACCGGCATGCCCGGATTGCAGCAGCGAGACTCACGTAGGGGCGGCCTCCTTCGAGGAGCGGCGAGGGTCGTCGAAGTAGGTCTGTGACTTGAGCACGAATTGAAACCAACTAGACTGTTGTGAGGTTGTGCAACGCCCAAGGGCTGTGATGATGAAGGATGTTGAAACGAGAATTGGGATCCCAGTGGCTTGGTCGTCCCCTGAACTGCGTTGCTGTTGCCGTTGAGCTTTTCCATCTGGAACTGGAGTTGAGCACAACGAGACTCTAATTGCGCAATGGCCTCTCCCAAATCTCGCTGGGAGGAGGCATCGTTCCAGCTCACGTAGTCCCGGGAGGTTGTGAACACGGCTTCTCTCGCCGGCACCAGATCATTTTCTGTCTCAGATTGCAAGTTGTTGGCACCAATGGGCTGCGCCCTTTCACCTCTGCTAGCAGTCCGAGAACGGTGGGAAACGCGGCGGGAAAAAGAGTGCGACTTCCGAGATCGTCGATGTTGGTGCCTGCGACGGCTTGGCTCGTTTTCCGATGATGACATAGTCGACGACTGATCTGAATCCAGGGAATCGCCATCTTCACTTTCACCTGATGAAGAAGAATCGTCCGATTCTGGCGTCACGTCTTTTCGTCTACGCATTCGCCGGGGATTTCTAGGCTTCTCTAGGCTTCCCGATTGTACAGACTTTCCAGGAGTACGTGTCTTGGTCGCTTTTCCAGACTTGCTTGCCTCGATGGACCTGGCCGCGCTTCTCTTGGAGGTTTCAGGCAACTTTTGGGACGCCTTGCTATTTTCCGTTGTGGTGGCTTCGTCATCATTCATGGCGGAAGACAGTTTGCCAGTATTAGGCTCCGTCCGTCGACTACCCGTGGCAAGAGTAGTCTGCGAAGTCTCCATTATTAGTCTGCCGGGTTTGATGTGTTTGCGTCAAGGTCTCAGAATGGTGTCAAGATGATACTGGCAGCGGTAATATGCGGGCTGTCGGCTGGGATCTAAAAGCGAGAAATGTCAGCAAAGCAAGTAAAGATTTGTTGAGTCGGAACAGTCACAGATCGATGCCTGATGTACTGTGGAATGGGCAAAGCCAGCAAGCATGCGGACGAAGGAGTCGAGATATCTACATACAGTCCTTGGATGTGATTGTTTGACATGAGAAAGTGAAATTCATGGGGAAATGAGTGAGCACATTACGTGACTGCGCGAAATGCTGTGTTTGCCGTGCCTAACGGTTGAGGAGCCGAGGTGGTTTGAAGGCGAGGGTTTTGAGAAAGCGGCTTTTGGATATTGATCAATGAAGTGTATCAAGCGGGACGGGAAGAGGGTGGTGAAAACACCAACGTCAGTCTGTCGCCGAAACGAGAAGAGGAAGCAGTTGCAGGTGTAATAAAGAGCACAAGAATCAGATGCCGGCGATGGGCCCGGGGCTTAAGAACCTTGCGCGTCTGCCTTGAAACTCTCGAGAGCCCGAGGAAAACAGGAAGCAGGAGGCAACAACAAGGTGAGCAACTCAACCCAAACGCGGACTGCTAGGCACAAGAAGAAGTATCACACTCGTTTCAATAAGAAATGACGACGGAGCAGGCAGCAGAATGTGAGGCTCACTCAGCAATGTCTGTTCACAGAGAGGGCAGTGGGAAGAGCAAAGACAAGGTGAACAAAGGCCGAGACGACAAGTCACATCCTTTATGTGTCTCAGCCAATTCCGGTACGTATTCCAGGACATGCGCCCTCGATCCGACAAACAAGCGGCCACGGCCGTTCGGTGCGTGGCAGGTCAAGGCGAGACAGAGACAGGCAGAGAGAGCATGGCATGGCTGACTCTGGGCAACATGGCAACGCCGTGCGCCGCACTCTTGACGCAAAGTGAAGCGGTCGCCCTGCCTGGGGTCGCTCACGAGGTCACAGTCGCAGACCATGACGGGCCAATGTTCAAGCGATGCGCTGGCGTTTGGCGTAATTGGCTGGCTGTCATTCGCCCATGCGAGGAGTCGAGGACAGCATGCCGCATTGAGTCACACCAGACAATTTCTCCTAGAGCTAGCTGGATCTGCAGACAGCCTTGCCTTGCGTCGTCTGTCATCTTGCATCCTGGACGGCTGTGTCCTGTCGATGAAGGGCAAGAGGTCGTCGATCTGAAGGGTTTCCGACTTACGGGGTCAGCGAGGCATCAGGTACTAGGTACCTGGGTACGTACCTAGCTACATTGGCAGCAGCACCGTCACGTGTCTCCATGCCCTCATCTACTCTTAAGTACTTGAGTAGGTTTGTGTCTTGCCTAAAGTTCTTAGTAGTCTTTCATGCGCACGTCTTCTTCGCCCGTTTCTATTTCGGCATCATCGTACTATACTACCATTCCGTACATGAATTATCAACATGTCGTCACTCTCAACTCCACGCATCGAGCATGACACCCAGCCTAGCCGCCCGCGCCCTCCTTGAGGTCCCTCCCGACTCCCGATTTGCCAGCAACGCCGAGTGATCATCCCTGCATCTCGTTCAACGACATTGCGGATCACCGCACCCATTACCCGCAGAATTGTGACGGAGATGTCGGTCGTTAGCCGATTGAGGTTCACGAATATCTGACTGCTTGATACGTCTCGAGTACTGAGGCAGCATCTTCTAAGTTTCCAAGTAGCTACCTAGGTACCTAAGAGGCACTCAAGGGCCAGCACCATCAAAACTGGTTGTGCGACCCTCAATTGCGCGGCCGCTCTTTTGTCTGTCTCCATCCCTCCTCCATTTACCACACACAGCAGGATAACTTGGACAGGTTGGATCGATATGTCAAACGTGCAGCATGGAGAAAGAAAAAAAAAAGATCAAGGCTTTGTAACGGTGTGGGTTCTGGAAGAACAACAAGTCGGACAAGTCCGAGAGCTCACCTTGATGCAACGCTCACGCTCGAACCCTCTGTCTCGCAACCTGACTCTTCGAAAATGAGAGTCGCCGGCTCTTGCTGTTCAGTGCCGCGAGCTTTGTCACCACCTTATCATAACTCGACGGGCGGGCCTCAGACCAGACGTTGTCACATAGTGAACGCTTCTCAAATCCATCAGTGGCGTTGCCACTATCTTACCCGCCATCTTTGAAGGGCTCGTCCTGCCTATCGATCTCCGAAGTTAGGTCGTGCTCTGTATGGAAACATGCGCTTTTCTCAGTATCTGGCCTTGAAGAGATGACCAACTCCCGGCGAGTATATACAGCCAGTTGAAATGGCTATGTTTCCCCAGAGGACCTCAGGTTTTTGTAAATATGGACAAGTACGGAGCTGTATTACAAGCCCGGAGAGGCGCGGTTCTAATATTCACTCTGCGTATCCTCACTTTATGGCAACGACGTATATCGCCACATCACACAGCTTTGCGAGAGACTAGAAATCTTTGCGGGGCCCTGTATAAGTTAATTTGCAATGTCCACTCGTCAAAATCACTGGAAAACAGCCACGTATGTACCTGACGGTCTCTTGCGAGCCAGCGAATTGCACATACTCGGACCAGGGCGTGTCAGTCATTTGCGCGAGGATATTTCCGACAGCGTCATGCACGAAATGGGCCAAGGAAATGGTTATTTGGCGGGGATGCACCCTCGAGACCACCGCCAGTTCGAAGCTTCCCTGCTTCTGGCCCATGTCATGTGGCTGCTCGTGTGGATGCCGCCGGCGATGAGACGACGGTTGATGATTTGGACAGCCAGGTACTTCTAGGAACGTATATTAGATACGTGCTTGGTCTCCAAACCTACCTACCTTACTTAAAGTACTCAAGTACTTAAAAGTATACAAAAGTCCAGCCCTCTCCACTCCACTGCGCAGTGCTCCTGCCGCTCCGCACTCCACTCGTGGACCCCTGTGCCCTGCCCTGCTCCCATCTGCCGTTGATCCTTGCTCTTGGAGTCTTGGAATCTTGGAGCCCGTGTGTCGGAGCGGCGTCGCGTCATCTAGTGCTATCAGGCTTTGACATCATCTCCAGGAAGACATTGCCATCCTGCGTCGGGGTTTCGTGTCTTTGCATCTCGCAGAACGTTTCTCACATCAAGTGACTATATCTCGGCAGCTCGACTCTTTTCTGACAACGCCGCAGCCTTTGCCTGTCCTGTTTCAACAAACACCATGCCCAACAACAGGTGGAGGTGGTCAGCCATTGACCGCGTCTTTGGCACCAACGGCAGTCAGGGGCCTGGGCACGGGACGCGGGTTCGGAATCTGGTCCACGAGGAAGAAACAGCTTGTGAGTTTGGCGTGTGCCCTTCGCTCATCCGCCAGGCGACTATGTGTCCGTCAACGTGGCGTAGCACGCCAGACAAATCTTGCTGATATTGTTTACTTGCTCTACTGCGATAGTACTTCCACATATTAATCATGAGCACATGGCCTCGGTCGTGCCGCCATCCGAAGTTACCAAAGTATGCCTTCGCCTGCGCCATCTGATCCAAGAATGTGTACCATGTGAGATGGAGGAGAGCCGCGTCACAGCGCCACATAGCCGCATCATCACAACTAAAGTTGTTCAGGCGGCCAAGGAGGCTGGCGGCCAGGAACATCGTGGATGCGTGGTAAGTTTCACTGTGGGCGTGCCCTATCTACTCTTGTCTGACCGACATGACGTCCAGGTGTATTGTTTGTTGGTCAACCAGCGATGGTTCCGACGTGAAGCTCTTGTAGAGCTATGGGACTCGGGCTTGCACAAACTGCAAGCAGAAGCCTGTGGGGTCATTGCCAAAGCCTTGTAAGATCCTCGCTGCAGAATCCGACTTTCCGTACTGAATCTCTTGTCAATTGACATACCCAACCAGGATTGAGAACGAGGAAGACACCAATTATCTTCTGTACTCTGTGTTACTTCGCCGATATTCCTATATGGCAAACGGCGTCCCCACCCCGCCAGTAAATGTGATCGAAAAGGCTGTTGACTTGCATGCTGTACGAGTCATCGGGTCCTCTGGATATCAAAAATGCATCAACTACCTGTGGCGTGGCTGGCTTGTCCAAGATGAAAATGACCCATCCGTCTTTGTTGATTACAAAGACAAGGATAGTCCAAATTTTTTCCTTCACATGGATCCAGATCGCATGAGAGCCCCTCGAAATCAGAATGCAGCCCAGTTATTATTCTCCATCATCTACCTTCTGCTCTACACCATCGCCGTCAACTCCATCAACGCATCCGGCCTTCTAGATGGAGCAGAGATTGCATTGTATCTTTTTACTCTTGGATATGTCTGCGACGAAATCGTGAAGCTTTACAAGGCAGGCTACCATATTCTTGGCTTCTGGAACGCGTTCAATGGTGTTCTGTATTCGTTTTTGACCGTCTCTCTAATTTTCCGAATCATTGGTCTGACTGCGGCCGATGACTCGCGCTATCGCGAGCATTACAGCAAGCTCAGCTACAACATGCTTTCCTTTGTCGCTCCTATGTTCTGGTGTCGGCTGATGCTGTATCTTGACAGCTTCCGTTTCTTTGGAGCAATGCTTGTTGTGCTAAAGGTCATGATGAAAGAGTCTGTCATATTCTTTGCTCTTCTCATCATCATCATCATTGGGTTTCTTCAGGCCTTTATTGGCTTGGATCTGACTGAAGACAATGTGGTCAATGACGTTTTTTTCATCATCGAGTCGATGACAAAAGCCATCTTGCAGAGCCCTGAGTTTGAAGGATTTGAAGCTTTTGGCCCCCCGTGGGGTATCACCCTGTACTATTGCTTCACTTTTGTTGTCATGGTACGTTTTCATAAGTCTCCTGTATCAGTTCAAAAATCGGCGTTGAAAGACAATACTCACACATGGATTCTAGATTATTCTCCTCAATATCCTCATTGCTCTGTATAACTCTGCCTACGAAGATATTTACGAGAATGCCGACGACGAGTACCTAGCTCTCTTCTCGCAAAAGACTATGCAATTTGTGCGAGCCCCCGACGAAAACGTATATATCGCACCGTTCAACCTTATTGAGATCGTCGTCTCAGCCCTTTTCGAGTGGTGGATGTCGAAGTATACGTACGAGATAATAAACGACTATGTAATGGCTGTCATATATTCACCGCTGCTGTTTGTGTCTGCTTTTTTCGAGACACGTGCTGCTCATCGCATCCGACGTAACAGGTCGAGGGGAGACGATGATGACGACGTGGTGGAGGAGTGGGAGCAACTGGAACATGAGCTTGATATGGAGGCTGAAGGATGGACCAAAACGTGCGATACGGTGAAGCCGAATATGGAGGATGACCCTGCCGTTTTGGAAGTCCGAAAACTACGCGCCGAGCTTGAAGGACTGAAAACAATGTTGAAAGAAATGACGCAGTATGTCGGGGGAAATCAGACCAGCGGCAGCGACAAGCCACATGGAGGAAACCCTTCCAGCGCCAGCGATGGCATGTAACATGAGAGACAAGTAGTTTGGATACTCAATTGTGCGCCCGCAACGGTGGAGGGTGCCCGGCGATTTTCTGGAATATTGTAGACTGTGTTCCCAAATATCTATCGAAACGGGCTTATCACTCACTTTTCCGATGGGTATTGAAAATAGATGAATCTCGATGATCATGGTTTTTTTCTGACCCGACCATGTCAGCCGCTTTAACAAGCACACTTGCACTTGCTGTTTAATTTGCCCAATCTATGCCCCTTCTTCCGGAGGGAAGTATTTGCTGCGCATTGATGTTAGTAAAAGACTCTCTCCATCGATGAATACCTGAGGAAAACCTACGGAAGTGCATCGTTGTAAGCAGTCACATCCTTCGGCTCAAAAGTGACAAACACCACTCTGTCCAGCGCACCGCCATCATTATGCAGAAACTTTCTGACGGTTTCGCAAGCGACCCGTGCGGCATCTTGAGAAGGATATCCATAAATACCAGTGGAGATGGCGGCAAAAGCGAGGGTTTTAATGCCCGAAGATACCGCGAGACGCAAGCTTGTCTCATAGCAGCTTCTCAGCAAGTTTTCGCTTGTCTGCGGAGAATGGCCGTCGTAGATTGGCCCGACAGTATGTATGACATGCTTCGCTGGCAGCTTGTATCCCCTGGTCAAGCAAGAATCTCCCGTAGAGCAGCCCCCGATTCCTCGACATTCGTCCAGGAGTTCGGGCCCAGCCGCACGATGAATAGCCCCGTCAACGCCGCCTCCGCCAAGCAGAGCCGGGTTGGCCGCATTCACGATTGCATCTAGCTGGAGCGTTGTGATGTCGCCGCGGATGAGGCCGACGCGAGAGTTGATGGGCGCTGAGCGACTAATGGAAGAATCAGAAGGAGATGATGACGCCACTTTTCGGAGAGCCGATTCTCGATACAGTTGAGCGACGGTAGGGATGTCCGTGATAGCTTTGATCGAGGTCGAGGCCATTGCGACGGATCTGATGCAGCGGAAATCTCGTCGTTGCCTTTCGAGGCACCAGGGATTGCCTAGCTGAGCCAGGGACGCAGCGGCAAAGTTGTTCGCTTGAATGAAGGATGAGACTAGGACGTATTTTTCTTTTGTTCTGCCGGATCTTCTGACAGTGGGACTGAGCAATGCTCGGCGGGCTGCACGGTGAACACAGCTTGGTGGTTGATGGTTGAAGCTTGGCAGCTTGGCCTGGCTACTGTACAGAGTACCGAGAAGTTAGTTAACTTAGGTACCTAGGTAAGTACTCCGTACCTAACTTACTCTGGGGCCTGGGCAAAGCTTCCCTTATCGTCCCCCCAGCTTATCGCTTTGAGTTTTGTTTGAGCCCCTCGCCAACGTCCTTCACACCCCGCCATCCATCCTGCCCCTCTGAGTCACGAACGAGTCAGACTCGCCGGCGGCACAGTAAACCCATACCTGCACTGTTCACCTCGCCCTGGGGATTCTGGATCTCAAATCCACTACCGAAGCAGTGTACACATCGAACTGACCTGCCCCTGCCGTAGGACCTTGCAACAATGGCCGACGACGCCACCTATAACATGGCCAAGCTTCAGCTTGACGATGTGACCGGCGAGATGGTGTCCAAGTCTGAGCTCAAGAAGCGCCAGCAGAAGCGAGCTAGGAAGGCTGCGCAGGAGAAAGTCCGCCAGGAGAAAGCAGCTGCCGGCCCAGCCCAGAGACCAGCAGCTCCAGCTCCAAAGCCAGAAGAGGTTCCTACCGATCCCGAAGCCATGTTCAAGCTGGGCTTCCTCCATGACGTCTACGCCGAACGGCCGGAAAAGAAGGTAGTCACTCGTTTTCCGCCAGAACCCAACGGATATCTGCACATTGGCCATGCCAAAGCGATTGCGGTCAATTTTGGCTTTGCCAAGTACCATGGTGGCGTGTGCTACCTGCGATTCGATGACACAAATCCAGAGAAGGAAAAAGAGGAATTCTACACTTCGATCCAGGAAGTTATAAAATGGCTAGGATTTGAACCATACGAGATCACATACTCCAGCGACCACTTTGGAAAGCTTTATGAGCTTGCGGAGAAGCTGATCAGTCTGGGCAAGGCCTACGTTTGTTCATGCAATGGTAAGCAGCGGCTCACCACGACCAGTTTGGTCACGGTCTGTGGAAAGCTAAAATCTCGAATCAATCAGATACCGAGTTGAAGCTTCAGCGAGGGGGCGAAAAAGGGGCAACCCCTAGATACCGCTGTCAGCACGCCGAGCAGACCCCTCAGGACAACCTGACCAAATTCCGAGACATGCGTGATGGCAAGTACAAGCCCAGAGAGGTATTCCTCCGCATGAAGCAGGACATCACAGATGGCAACCCACAAATGTGGGATCTGGCCGCGTACCGAATCAAAACGGACGAGCCCCATCACCGTACTGGCTGGGATTGGAAAATCTACCCAACTTACGACTTCACACACTGCTTGTGCGACAGCTTCGAGGGAATTACGCACTCACTGTGTACCACCGAGTTCATCCTTAGCCGTGTGTCGTACGAGTGGCTCAACAAGTCGCTCGGGGTTTACGAACCTATGCAGAGAGAGTATGGACGTCTCAACCTGACTGGTACTGTGCTGTCAAAGCGAAAGATCTCGAAGCTCGTTGACGAGAAGATTGTGAGGGCTTGGGATGACCCAAGACTCTACACTTTGATCGGCATCCGTCGACGTGGTGTCCCCCCCGGTGCCGTTCTAAATTTCGTCAATGAACTTGGCGTCACGACGAACATCACGACCATACCTACCAACCGATTCGAGCAGATAATTCGAAAATATTTGGAAAAGTCTGTTCCTAAGCTGATGATGGTTCTCGACCCGGTGCCCTTGGTTATCGAAGATGCTGAGGCTGTGGACATAGAGTTGCCTTTTTCTGATCGAGCTGAGATGGGATCTCGCAGAATTCGTTTCACGCCAACCGTTTACATTGATCGGTCGGATTTCAGAGAAGTGGACAGCGAGAACTATTTCCGTTTGGCTCCTGGAAAGACTGTTGGCTTGCTCAACGCCCCGTATCCTGTCAAGGCTGTATCTTTTACCAAAGACGAAACCACAGGAGAGGTGACAGAAATCCGCGGCGTCTTTGATAAGGGGATCAAAAAGGCCAAGGCGTATATCCAGTGGGTTGGCACCGAATGCTCACGGAAGGTAGAAGCCCGCGTCTACAATGCCCTGTTCAAGTCAGAAAAACCAGACGATGCGGAAGGGGGTTTTTTGAACGATTTGAACCCGGACAGCGAGGTGATCTACCCCAATGCCGTAGTCGAGTCAGGATTTGATGAGGTCAAACGTCGAGCGCCATGGCCCGAAGCTGCCGGTGAGAGTGAGCTTGGCAAGGGAGGTCCCGAGAGCGTGCGTTTTCAGGCTATGCGTGTGGGGTACTTTGTAAGTCGCAGCTTCGCACGATGGATGCCATGCCGATGAGACAGACAAGCATTGCCGCAGATGCTAACCAAAACGCAGGCAATGGATTCGGACAGTACTGAAGACAGAATTGTACTGAACCGGATTGTGAGCTTGAAGGAAGATGTCGGCAAGAAAGAGTAACTTGGAGGGCATTTGAAGGCGTTCATGACATGGGACAGGAGTGGTAGGTCTGGGCCCGGGGGGGCTTGAAAATTAGAAAGGTGGGACGACATATTTGCCTTGTGATGATTACCGGTGCGACATGGGAGGTCGCGATGTAGCGAGATTCTTGTTCTTGACAGTCGCTTGTGCATGAATCAAAAAAGAAAAATGCAACGCCTTGGCGGGGACGTGGACATGCGGGAGCAGAATCCTTCCGCACAAAACATTGGACGGGAATGGATGCACTGGTACTCCGTAATCAATCAATCTTTGATCGTCAGTCTCCACATGCGGTGAGGATTTCCCCAGAGAAGAAGATGAGTTGACAGTTGGACTAGGCTTCCGCTTAGCCGCCAAAATATATAAAACATGACCTTGGTCGTCCCCAGGTTTCCGCGACTTGTTTCTTGTGATGTGATGACTAGCAGCCAAGATGCTCGGAGAAAGAGGCGAGATGGAGTTGCGGTGACAACGTGGACTGGAACGGAACAAGGGAGCATGGAGCAAGGTCCATAGATGCCTTCGCCAGGGTGCAACGCAGGCATCCAACGAGCAAAGGTCACGGGTAGGGGGTACTAAGTACCTAAGTACTCAAGTACTCAAGTACCCTAATAAGTGCCTAGAGTCATGGCATGTGCCGCCAGGTGCCAAGTACGGACCGAGTACTCCGTACGGACGTACTTAGGTAGTACTACTTGGTGAAAGGGCCGAGGTTGCCACCGCGCGACGCGAGGGGGCCGACTGGGGCGAATGAGTTGTCTAGTACTCCGTAGTGCTACTTGACTGGCAGTGTAGTGCTTTAGATAGATTGCACGAGGTGACTAGCATTATCACCGAGTAGGTGCACTCGGCTTGATGAAACCTGGAAGTTCCTGGAGTCCTGGCTGCACGGCTCCTACTTACTCGACGCAGGTCGAGAGCGAATGCACCTGCCAACTATCTGGCAAGTGAGTATGTGCCATGCCAAAACCCAAACGTCCAAGCCACGCATCCTCGGTCGGCAACCTTAAAATCTTGCACCACAGTACAGGGCTTTTGCGCTGTGCTCGTCGAGATGAAATCATCTCAAGCTGACTGGCTGTGGTCAATGCACACGGCCACGGCCACGACTCACCGCCTTTGCCTTCTTGCCATGTTAAGTTTAGCGGGGCCCGATAAAGCCTGATAAGCCCTGTCCGCCGTCAAATGGAGGGGCAAGATGTGAATTTTTTTTTCTCATCGCTTGGCCATCCAAATTTTAGCGCACCCCAACTAAACGGGCTAAGAAAAAAAATACTTTGTGCAGTCCCAGGACACATAAATCACGTACACCCAGGTTGACGCCACCCAAAGTTTCTCCTCCTCCCCCTTCCACCCTATAAATCCATCTCGCGTCCCCTTCTCATCCTTGTCGTCGTTTTTTTTGGTCGTCATCCCTCCAGACGAACCGCGGACTTGTTCTCCTCCAGACTCGTCCTGTTCTTCGTTCGAGTTGTTCTTTGGATCCTCCTGTGAGCAACCCCCACCGGAGTCGCCGATAGACAAGCACACATATACGCACACCAAAGGCCGCGATAGAGCAGAGTCGACTCCCCCATCGTCTCTGTGGGCTTTTCCGATAGAAAAAAAAGGGCATCACCGTCCGGATATATTTCGATAGACGTGGAATCGTTTTTTAGAGCTCAGTCATTGTTTCCGACGCCGCATTTAGACTCGATTTTTTTTTCCAGTGCATTAATACCCCTCCGATACCGACACCATGCCTTCCGAAAACGCTCAGTCCGTCAAGGTCCTTGACGAGCTCTTCCAGAAGCTCACCGTCTCCAAGGAGGCGGCTGACATCAAGGAGTCTGCCAACCAGCTGGCCAGCTTCATCAACGGCCGCATTGAGGATCAGGATGTTCCGAATAAGTGAGTTGTCCTCCTTTGGTCGTGACTGTCACTGCCTCGTCAATACCCTGTAGCCTGTGCTGGCGCAGAATTTTTTTCAGTACCACCAACATAGAACGTGGGGGCCCCCGGTGGGAGGGCAGAAGGGCGCTCCCCCCACCATGGCGGCACCCAACAGCAATGGAATCCACTGCTCTATTGGCCCCTCGGACAGCCCGCAACGGGCGGCGGGCAGCGGGATGCTTGTTCGATTTGCGGCGCCTTCACCCGCCGGAAAGCCGGGCGGACGCGTCTCGTTCAGTGCAGTCAGTCGCTAACAAGACTGCCGTTAGGACCATCGACAGCCTGAAGAAGAGCCTCACCAACAAGAAGGATGCCGTAGCTCGTGAGCAGGCTTGCGTTGCCATTCAGGCCATCGCTTCCCACTCCGAGGTTTCCGCCAGCGTCGAACCTTACCTGGTTGTCCTCCTCCCCAGTGTCTTGGCCGCCGTTGGTGACAAAATTCCCGCCGTCAAGAATGCCGCCAATGCCGCCGTTCTGGCCATCGCCGGCGCCATCAACGGCAATGCCTGCAAGGCTGCTCTCCCCGCCATCATGGAGTCGATCCGCACTGCCCAGAAGTGGCCTGAGAAGATGGCTGCTCTGGACTTCATCGAGGCCCTCATCAAGACCGCCCCTGCTCAGCTTGCCTTCCGTGTCCCCGACTTGATCCCCGTCGTCTCCGAGGCCATGTGGGACACCAAGAAGGAGGTCAAGGAGCGTGCCTACAAGACCATGGAGCAAATCTGCCAGCTTATTGTCAACAGGGATATTGAGCGCTTCATTCCCGAGCTTATCAAGTGTATCGCCAAGCCTGAGAACGTCCCCGAGACTGTACACTTGCTCGGTGCCACCACTTTTGTCACCGAGGTCCAGGAGCCCACCCTTGCTCTCATGGTCCCTCTTCTGGATCGTGGTCTCGCTGAGCGCGAGACGGCCATCAAGCGCAAGTCTGCCGTCATTGTTGACAACATGTGCAAGCTCGTCGACGACCCCAACATTGTTGCTCCGTTCTTGCCCAAGATGATGCCAGGACTCCAGAAGAACTACGACAACTTGGCCGACCCCGAGGCTCGCGAGAAGACTAAACAGGCCTTGGATACCCTCACCCGTGTTGGCAATGTCGTTGACGGCAAGATCCCCGAGGTCCGCAACGATGGTGACATCAATGTCGTCCTTGGCAAGCTCAAGGACATTCTCTCCTCCAAATATGCCACCTACCTCGACAAGATGGGTCCCGTTGCCGAGTACATTGCCGCCATGGCTGGTCAGCTCATCGACGAGAAGGAGAATGAGAACGCTGTCTGGGTCGAAAATCTCAAGGCCTATGTCTCTGTCATCACCGGTATTGACAATGCCGAGGCCATCGTCGACACCCTCCGCAAGCGTGCCTCCCCCGGCGCTGCTGAGGAGGAGGCCGTTGAGGCCGATGAGGAGGAGGGCGAGGACCTCTGCAACTGCACCTTCTCCCTGGCCTACGGCGCCAAGATCCTCCTTAACCAGACTCACCTTCGTCTTAAGCGCGGCCAGCGCTACGGTCTTTGCGGTCCCAACGGTTCCGGCAAGTCTACTCTCATGCGTGCCATCAACAATGAGCAGGTCGAGGGCTTTCCCAAGCAGAGCGAAGTCAAGACTGTCTTCGTCGAGCACGACCTGGACTCCGCCGACACTGAGATGACTACCATTGACTGGACCATGAAGAAGCTCAGCGAGGCCAAGGTCGATGTCAGCCAAGCCGATGTCGAGAAGCAGCTGGCTGAATTTGGCTTCAGCCCTACCATGATTTCTGGCCAAATCACCGCCCTCTCTGGTGGTTGGAAGATGAAGCTCGCCTTGTGCCGTGCCGTCTTTGAAGCCCCCGATATTCTGCTCCTCGACGAGCCTACCAACCACTTGGATGTCAAGAACGTCAAATGGCTCGAGGACTACCTTACCAACTCCCCTTGCACTTCAATCATCGTCTCGCACGACTCCAGCTTCCTTGACAACGTCTGCCAGCACATCGTCCACTACGAGCGCTTCAAGCTTAAGCGCTACCGCGGTAACCTGGCCGAGTTCGTCAAGAGAGTCCCCTCTGCCAAGTCTTACTACGAGTTGGGCGCCTCCGAGATGGAGTTTACCTTCCCCGAGCCCGGTTTCCTCGAGGGTGTCAAGACCAAGGCCAAGGCCATTCTGCGTGCCTCCAAGATGTCCTTCCAGTACCCCGGTACCTCCAAACCCCAGATCAGTGACATCACCTTCCAGTGCTCCCTGGGCTCTCGTATTGCCGTCATCGGTCCCAACGGTGCTGGCAAGTCGACTCTCATCAACGTCCTGACTGGTGAGCTCATCCCCACCCAGGGTGAGATCTACCAGCACGAGAACATTCGAATTGCCTACATTAAGCAACACGCTTTCGCCCACATTGATAATCACTTGGACAGTACACCCTCCGAGTACATCCAGTGGCGTTTCCAGACTGGTGAGGATCGTGAGACCATGGATCGTGCCAACAAGATCATCACCGAGGACGACGAGAAGGCCATGGACAAGGTTTTCAGGATCGAGGGTACCCAGCGCCGCATCATTGGCATCAACTCACGAAGAAAGTTCAAGAACAGCTACGAGTATGAGTGCTCATGCGCCCTTGGCGAGAACGTCGGCATGAAGAATGAGCGCTGGACTCCCATGATGTCTGCCGACAACGTCTGGTTGCCCCGTAACGAGCTTCTAGCTTCTCACCAGAAAATGGTTGCTGACGTCGATATGAAGGAGGCTCTCGCCTCTGGTCAGTTCCGACCCCTGGTGCGAAAGGAGATCGAGTCCCACTGCGCCAACTTCGGTCTCGATGCCGAACTGGTTTCACACTCGCGGATGCGCGGTCTTTCCGGTGGTCAGCGCGTCAAGACCGTCCTTGCGGCCTGCTCATGGCAGCGACCTCACTTGATCGTCCTCGACGAGCCTACCAACTATCTGGATCGTGACTCTCTTGGTGCCTTGTCCAAGGCCCTGAAAAAGTTCGAGGGCGGCGTCATCATCATTACTCACTCTGCCGAGTTTACCAAGGATTTGACCGAGGAAGTCTGGGCTGTCATGGACGGCAAGATGACTCCTTCCGGCCACAACTGGGTTGCCGGCCAGGGCAGCGGTCCCCGTCTCAAGCAGGATGACGGTGACGAGGAGGACAAGTTCGACGCCATGGGCAACAAGATTGTTAGCACCAAGAAGAAGTCCAAGTTGACCTCCTCCGAGCTGCGAAAGAAGAAGAAGGGTAAGTCTCGACGTTTCCCCGCTCCTGTGTCCCAGCATTTCCACGACGACAACCAGGTGCTAACAAAGTCGTTGCAGAGCGTATGGCCCGCCGCAAGCGTGGCGAGGAGGTTTTCAGCGACGAGGACGATATCTAAGCCCGCTCATACGCCCAAGTTGCTGTAATGATCCGACAGCGTTGGGCCGCCTTGTTGACGACATTTTCCCCATGTTTTTAGCCAAGTTTCCTTTGTACAGTAACGAGAGGATGGCAAAAGTCTTGAAAAGTTGCGATGGGTTCTGGGATTTGATTGCATGCTCGGGCTGCCGATGGAGAGGGCTTCTACTTGGATGAAGACCAACATGTGCCCAGGGACGGGTTTCACGAAGCAGCGATGGAGGGGAGGAGTTGGAGGACCCCCCCAACACGTTGACGGCGGCTGAAGCTCGCGGCGCACAGGATTGATAGTGGACGGCAGATGGACCCTCATAGAATTGTCAGTGCCCACCAAATCAGTGATGACGTTTGCGTTGACCATGTGCCTCGTGTGACGCGAAAGCAGTGTGCGTACCCGTGCACAATGAGTCCATGTCCACGTCGTGCGGCGGCCTAGGCGCACACGCCGGAGACTCGGAGACTCGGAGACTCGGAGTGGAACAACGCCCGCAGGGGCAAGGTAATCAATCGAGTGGTCTTTTCTCCTTTCATTTCATCGTTTCAAGTACAAGTGCGAGGCTAGGTCGCCGCTTCTCTTGGTCAGTATATATGTACCCTTTTCTTAGTATCACGTGTCTTTATTCCATCTTTATATATGCCAAGGTCTTGTATAACTTGTATAATAAGCTGGCGCTGTATAGCTAGATTGCTGACAATTTCTACCTATTTCATCTGTTGCTTGTAGTGAGGACTATTTAGTCAAGTAGTTTTCATCTATTTCTACTTTTCTATTTTCTGTCTGCGGCTTCGTCTCTTATCATGCAATCCTTTGAAACGTAAAGACATAGCCGGCTCCCCGACGAAGATCGCAAAGGACAAACAAGCACTGTGGTCGTAGATTTTTCATTTCGTCATCTTGTCGGGGTATATAGTATGAACTTCCCAAACCCATCAGGGCAATAGCATCGGGAAAGCCAGCCATTTCTATCAGCCGTAGTCTAAACGTGTGACAACATGCGTCTTCTGCGCACATCACACTTTGGTCTCATACGGACCGAGGTAATGTCGACAACGCGCCAAGACAGAGTCTATGCACAAAAAAAAAAAGGCTTCAAACCATGTCATCACATGAAGCCGGAACCATGCGCAACCAACCATTGAGAGAAGAAAGACCTATTCATCTCCTTGGTGCGGTTTCCTCTTTCTGTTGATGCCCACAAGACGACCCATTTCAGTCCAGAAACCCACAGGCTCGTGCAAAAAGCTGGCCTCGTAGCGATCAATCGTTGGCCGCTCCCACAACAAGTCAGCCTCATGCGGCTTGACGAAGCGTGTACGCTTGATAATCTTCCAACCAAAGAAGAGAATGGGAGCCAGAATTTGCATCGTGTAGTTTCTGAAGAAACTTTCAACACTCCACGGAGCGAAAGCCGTGTATCCGTAGAAAATGACCACCAGAGTTTGCACGATGAGAGCAATGTAGGCACAGTACGGCTGGAACCTCCCGTAATATGGCATCGTCCTGCGGTCGATTCCCTGCACCTTGCAAGCGCGGTAGTAGAAGAGAAAAGTGACGGACATGGTCAGGTAATCGATGATACCACCAGCAGTGATGAGATCGACGAGCCACCCGACGACCTTCCTCGAGCCGTTGCCGACCTGAAGGAAGGAGAGAAAAGGAAAGCACATAACCACGCAGAAGCAGTAGATTGGGACACCGTTACTCCAGCACTTCCGCAGAAACGCCGGCGCACGACCCTCTAGGGCCAGACCGTAAAGAGATCGAGTTGCGCAGTAGGTGTACGTGTTTCCGGCGGAGAAGATGGACGTGAACATGAGGGCGTTCACAATATGAGGCAGAACTTCAATTCCCATATTCTTCATGGCGATGACATATGGCGAGGCAGCAGCACTGGTGCCGTCCGCCTCACCCCTCATGACGGCCTGGAGGGTCGGATCAGTCCAGGGCACAACAATGCCGACACACAGGGCACTCCCAAGGAAGAAGAGACCAAATCGCCAGTAAATTGTTTTGAACGCTGTTCTGATGTAGATTCGAGGGCGCTTGGCCTCGGCGGCAACCATCGAGACGTATTCCGGACCGACGACGGCAAACGCAGCGCTCCAGAGGGCACCGAGAAAGCCTTCGAAGCGGCCCAAAGCGCCCGTAGTGTGATACTCGGCGAATGCGCCAGGATCCTTCCAGTTTCGGAACCCGTAGCGGTCGTGGGACGGGTTGCCACCGAGCATCGTCACGAATGTAAACATGAAGAGCATAAAGAGGAGAATGACCTTGCCTCCGGAAAGCCAAAACTCGGCCTCTCCATAGGCACGAACGGCGAGAATATTTAATGAACTAGAATCCAAATGGAGCAATGTTTAGCATGCAACCTCTCAGAAACTGGGCAAGGAAAGGAGCATAGGCGAGAGAGGATTATACAGCGAGTTGTGCGCGCGCCATGACGGCAGCGACACAACAGCGTCAAATTCCCTTCCTCTGTCTACGCCCAATTGGAGCAGAAATCTTACGCATAGCAAATAATGACGGCAAGACAGATGCCAGCAGTAGGTCCTGGTTTTGTGACTTGTTCGTTCCAGAAGGACAAGACAAGATTCAGGGCGGTAATCTCAAAGGGAATCAAGAGAGCCTCGTAGATGAAGAAATTCCAACCAGTCATGAAACCAAGGGCATCATCAACCCAGTGGCCAGCCAAGCGGATAAAGCCACCAGAAACAGGCATCAGGACCGTCATTTCAGCCACGGAATTGTTCACACAAGCGAGGACCAAAGGATAGAGCGTGAAGGCAATAAACAAGCTGCCGGGACCGCCCTTTGCTAGACCGGAACCGATACTGACGAAGAGCGCAGTACCAATGGAACCGCCAATGGCCACGAGTTGGATCTGACGGTTATTGAGACGACGGTGCAGACCATCGGCATTATCGCCGACATAATCGCCGGCGAGGTCGCCAACCTCTGGAGATCCGGGGACCCCTATTTTGGAGCCCTTCTCCTCGTCGCTGGTCGCCATGATGGGCGGGGTTGAACTCGAAACTGGGAGTTGGAAGATCCTGTTCGGCGCGAGGCTTTTCACGGTGTTGGAGCACAAATGAAGCGTCAATCGCACGGGGACCGACCGAGAGAGCCCACCGATGGTCGGGGATAAAATCTTTTGCAGTGGCGGAAAGATGTCAGACGCCAGAAGTCTAAGCAGATGATGCTGGAGACACTCCCCGTTTCCCGTCTCTGCTCAATCAAGAGAGATGTGTGGTGTGATGAGGAGGAAGACCAGGGAGAAGGGAAAGAAAAGCAAGGAGGAGTGCACGGATGAGAGGGGAGGGATTCGAGAAAAGAAAAGAGGAAAGAGGGAAAGGAAACAGGAAAACTGAGGTGAGGCTGGAGAGAGCATGGGGGGGGGGAGGGTTCAGGATATCAAGGTATATATCCGGAGGCAAGGTATCATTTACCAAGGTCCAAGTCAAGCATGGGCAGTGAGACTCACGTTTAGCAAGTCGCAACAAGAAAGAACAAGAGACCGGTCAACAATGACAAGAAGCCTGCCTGTTCGGTGTTGACCATTCCAAGACGACGGAGTGGATCTGCAAGCAATACAGTTTCCGGAATCTTTGGAAGTACGTACTGTCGAGACCGAAATTATTGTCCGCGTGCACTGTTTCACTTTGTGGCGTTTGTGGCTTGTACCGTGTTTCTACTGTCCGAGTTATGTACCGCATTATCTATTGTTTGCGTTGTATCATGGCTTTTACGCTACTGCCAGGCACAGTGGGGTCCCCGCCTGGTGGTGATTGCTGTGCACATAAAGATGGCACGGCGGCCAACGCCCCGCGAGCATGATGCAGTCATGGCTCGGTTTTTTAGAGCAACTCCAAATAAGGTTATAGCTGATGACTTCGCGGTTACTGACAGAACTATTCATACTCAGCCGTTTGATACCTTTTTACGCTGGTGTGTTTACCAGGTTGGAGAGCGACGTGAGAGTGCAGAAGGTCACTTTCGCCACTCTGGGATCACTATTGGATTTCACAACAGGTAGAATACGCACAAAACAGCAAGTATTTAACGTTTTAGTCGATCTTCATCAAAATAATAGACTACAAATGCCATGGCCTCCACTACTTCCATGTACAGTATTCAATCCTAGATACGAGCAATAAGACACAATGTATTTGTCGGATAATGCCTCTGTAGACTGAAGTCGCAGAGCTTGGTGTAATAGCTGGATGTCATAGTCTCAGCTATTCTAACTAAACTTGGCCGAAAGTTGAATTCGGACAAGAGGGAGTTTTTTAGTATTAAGCAAAGGGCTGCAGATAGAGGCTGCAGCACAACAACGAACAATAACAATTTTGCAAAACAAGCTTAGTTGACGTTGACAATGAATCTCATATCGTGACAGTGTTATGTTCAACCATTGGCCTCTTGCTGAGTCTTTCATCAACTTCTGGGCTGTGGCCACGTTTATTGGTGGCTAGTTTAGTAGTACCACCAGAACGAGATCCTTCTGGTTGGTCTCCGAATGCAGCTAGGATGCGTGACTGAAAATTGAAATAAGGCTCGAAGGGAATGCTAATGCATTCAATGGTCGGCCAAATCGTAGGAGTCCTCGCCAAGTCCGGCCTTTCGAACATTTTGAGGTGTTCCGACACAACGGAGAGTTCAAACAGATGTATGAATCTGCAGTCGGACTCGTTCGTCACCAGAAGACATGCCTTGTTGAATTAGTAAATCGGAACAACGAAGTTATTGCATAGATGGCATACCCTATACGGTGATTCTAGATGCTTGGGGTGCCAGCGTTTACTTCGGCTTTGTCGCTGCGCAATCGAGAGTAATATGCAGAATAGATATGGGTCTTGAGACCATTTTGACGGCGTTATGCGCGATAATCTATCCCAAAATTTACAGTCTGGAGCGCTGCGAGATCTATTTTGACGCCGAATATATTTGCGGCGCTGCCTCTTGATCTCCGAGTAATGAATATAGCCTGTCAATGGGACGACGCCCTGGTTGTTCGGCTCGTCGAGTTGACTGTAGGGTAAAAAATAACGTACGGGGGTCGATGAGCAGGGCGGCCAGCGTAGAAAAACTCAGGGCCTGCACTATTCAAGGAAGCTTTAGCCTGGAACTGTGTCTCGTCATGTGCCGCTCTTATCAGCTCTTCCTGAAAGGGAGCTTGTCGCCTACTAGCAGCTTCTTGATGAATGAACCTTTTTATCTCAGGCGAGCTAGATACTACAAGGTGCTTAACCTCTTTCTGTATGCTGTAGTGGTCAATTGCATGAGAATCTTCGCCCTTATTCGATACAATGTATGCCCACGGTAAAATGGAACTTTTGAAATCTGACTTGTTGTCAGATATAACCATGAATAACCAAATGCATAATTATAGACGCCTAAGCGCCAAAGATATGAGGTACATGCCATGGCCGTGTCTCGCACTGTGTAAAGCCATTGGTCCGTGCGTAACTATAACAAAGGCAATGCCACCGGACAATAATAGTAGCGTACAGCAAGCACAAGCACTGGGCAAACAGACAATGGCTAGAAAATTGAGACCGGTCTCGAGAGACCTGAGTCAAGCCCTGGGCCTAAATAGTGGGACTTTCGACGGACATCAGTACCTCAAGACGCTAAAAAGAGCGCAGCGGAGCCAGGTACTCATTACTCTGCACTCCCAGCGTGGCGGCACAACACTAGGGCCGGACTAGGCTTGGCGGGGTTTTTCGCTGTTCCTGCCGCACTGTCTATTGCATCGAGTACCTGGGTACTTTTCAGTACGTAATTGAGTACGGAGTACTCCGTACAGAGTATAGAGTACGGAGTAGCTGGGGCTGCTTGCCTGTTCGCGGCGCAGCCAGCAGCTTTCCGGGGGGCTGCGAACGAGTGATGGGCAGGTGCAACAGCGGCGCAGCCGTGGGGCAGGGAGGCTAAAGATTAATAAAGCCCCAGACCGAGGTAAGTTGCCAAATACCTACTTAAGTACTTACCTAAGTACCGAGTAGCTAGGTGTACCTGCCTAGGCACTCCGCCAGGCTGTACATATCTGAGTCTCCCACTTGGTGACCGGATCATTGCCATCATACACAATAATACATTCACATTGGGGTCCTCGCTCAAACTGGGTTGCCTATCGAGTAGTATATGTGCCAGGACGTGGGCCACTACCCCGGCCGGAGAAAGACGCTGTCAGTGATGGACTCGCCGAGATCTGATCAAGTATGATCATGCCTGCATGGAAGCTACCGAACCTTCCAAGACACACAACAGGGTCGAATGGGAGAGCTAGCTTATCCAACCGAGACGGCCTGCAGCCATGACGCGGATCCCTTACAATTCACTGTTCTCGCGCCTCGTTCCTGGATAGACATTGTCCATGTTTACCTCCCCCCATTTTAACTCCCCAAGATCCCCGGAGCTCGTTGTTCTGCATGTCACATTTGGATTCCAGCGACGGCGTATTTCTTCTTCTTCTTGGGCGGAATGAGCAGGCCGCTTGTGGCTCTGGCAAATTCAGCTCCCGTACGCCTGTCGAGGGATGTGCGTACAGTCTCGTGGCTCAGAAACTGGCAAGGAACTCTATTGGATCCAAGCGCTAGCCGCGCCATTTTAACAGCTACAGATTCAGCCCATTTCGTCGTCGACGTGAGAAAAAAAAACTTGTTTCATGATGAGGGTCATGACATGATGGGGCGGCTTTGTCCTTCTCCATGGCGCGCAACAACTGGTGTAAAGAAAGGGCTTGTCCGCGAATGGATCGAAACGGAGACACCAGAGTGTGGCGCGTCCTGCAAAACGGAGTTGCACGAGGCACCGGCGCGGGCAAGGTTAATTTTTCAAACGCCACCCAAGGCTTCCAAGGGTCAAGACTCAAGACGGAGAGGCAAAAAGGCATGCGGGCCCGGCTGAGGATGGTGACGATAGCGTGGCAGTGAACAAAGCCAAGTAGAACTGGCCAACTGGAGCGTTCGATGTTGCGAGGGTGAATGTTCCATCTTGTCCATTGTCGTCTTCCAACGTCCACGGCCACGACTCCAGAACGATACAAATTTTGGCCACGGAACCGACGACAACGTGGTCAGCACCATGACGTCAGAAGTTGGCGGTCTGGCCATTCGCACTGTACAATCTTCTCTCGACCGGGGATCCGTTGCGTGGCGCTGCATGCAGGCGTGCGTATGTACGAGGATGGAGCCAAGCAAGGATGACTGTTTTTCCCTTGTTTTTAAGGCGTGTCGGCATACCAACCATGAACTTGCTGCGGCGTGCAGTCTCGGGAGCGCAGCGCAGCGCAGCGCAACACAACGCAACAATCCGAGAAAACCTCCAAAATCCAACTTGATCGTCTTGCCTGCCTGAGTGCTGAGGGAGGAAACGCGGTGTGGTGTGGCAACGGGATACGGCCAGAATGCACGAGTAAAATGCGCAGGACAGGCCTCCCTCTGTAACGGCAGCCCAGCCCATGCCCTCCCTCGTCGGCGGCTCCTTTTTTTTTTGTTCCTTCCTTCGATGCAGAATGCATACCGGAAGTACCTAGGTACCTTGGGCACAGCCACGCAGGTGCTCTCGGTTCGTCACCTTGGTACTTGCCCCTCCAAGTGAGAATTCCAAAACTGAGCCCCGCCCCCACCATCGGATGTACAAAATTTGTAGGTGCGGCCATTGCATCACAAGATTCAAGCAGCGAGACGAGGCCAAGTACGCCATAAATCAGTCTACGGAAAAGGGTAAAACCTCTTTTGCTTACCCATAATTGTTGTTGCGGTAATCATTATAGCTTCTTTTAAAAAAAAATCCACACCGTAATTTGTCAAAGCAGACCCTTGGCTGCGTAAACACCTTGTGCCATGACTGTGCAAAAATCTTCATCCGACGATGCGTCTCCCGTCCTCCTCCAGCTCCAACAAGACCTCAGCTACTTCGCCAACCAGAAAAGAAACTCCGGCCGCGCGCAAACCTTGACCAGTCAAGGCGTCTTCTGCGCCCCTAGACCATAGTCCCTTGAGTTTGACGAGCGAGGCTCCAGCTTGGACGAAGACGAGGGGGCCAAGACGAATGATGGCGGCGCAGAATCCGGAGCCTGCGGCCTGGAAACCATCAGCCTCGTCCTCGCACAGCGATGCCGCCACGAATCTCTCCCTCCTGGCCGAGGGCCAGCCCGCCGCTCTTTTGATCCAAGCTCATGTAGCCCAAGCTACGGGCTCGCTCCCTGCCGTCGATATATCTGGCCTTTCCTTTCCCGAGAGCCTCCTTGTCGGTCGGGCTGCTCTTGATATCTTTCTCCAAGCCAATGTTACCGGGCCTGTGGTGCCTGCAGACAAGCTTTCATTGATCCAGTCGAGATTTGGCAAGGCCTGGACTGCGGCGTCATCTGCTGCTACAGGCCGATCCGCCGCTCCGACGCAGTTGCATAAAACCTGTTTGGCTCATCTTGAGGTTGATGGCGTGTCTCCCTACAGCCATGTTCCTCATCTCGAGCTCTTCACCTTGGCTAGATACGTTTTCAGCTCGGTCCTGGCTAGCGAGTCCGTCATCACGGTGTATCCTCCTCCCCAAGATGTGGAAAGCAGCCCTGTCACCTATAGTCTGCCGTGGATGAGACTTCGCATCAACATCTGGCATTACAAGCTGCTTACCCAGCCAAGTCTCGGCCCGGGGTCAACCTTGACCAAGAGCTCGAAATGGAGCGAGGTTCCTACCTTGGCTTCCAGAATATTGTCTGACATGGACACTGTCCGTGTTCAAATCGCCGGCAATGAAGTGTCGTCTCAGACCGAATCATGGCATCCCCGAGACAAGGCCTTTTTTTTCGTTGAAGCTGCCAACAACTATATTCTTCTTGGACGCCATGAAAAGGCCATGGCGGCTCTCAAAGAGGCCACACGGACTACGGGGCTCAAGTACGCCTTGTCCGGTGCGCTTGGCAAGCGAACTAAATTCCAGGAGAAAGGTGTCAGTCAGCTGGTTGTTTTTGCCCGTAGCAGCGCTGACCAGCATCTAACTGACGACGATGGATGTGTTGATGAGGACGAGGCAAAGCCGGATGCGCTGAAGCTCAACGACGACACCCTTTTGGAGGAAATACAATTTTCAGCCCCTGATGGCAAGAATGAAACCGCAGACGAGGCATTACCACCCTCCTTGATGGACATGTCTCCGGATAACCAACCTCAGCTTGCCTCCCTTGATCAAATCATACTTCTCACAGAGGCAACTCTGAAAGATGCCTTTTCGCCCGTCGATGCTCTGACGTCACAAGAGATCCTCCCCTATGCTGTTCGAGTTCTGGCCGACAAATCTACCAACTGGCAGATCTATACACAGGCGCTTCTCGTACGGTCACGGATTGAAGTCCACCGCAGCAGGACAGTAGAGCGCGGTGTGCTGCAGCTACAGGCTGTGGCAGATCAGCTTCTCACAGACATGAATGCCGACACCGAGCCGACCAAAAAGTCTGACGATGCAGAAACTGAGAGCGAGGTGCCGGCGATTCAAATCACTGCTCCCGGCCACGAAAGTGCCATTCCGCCACCCATAACCCAGGTCCCTACGTCCTTCTTACCGGCCCCTAAAGCAACTGAATCAGCTCCCGCCCATGTTCGCCTCCGATACATCGATGCCCTCTCCACACCACTCCGATGGCACCTCGAGTCGGAGCTAGCATACGCGTGGGCCGGAGTTGGTTCTCTCACTTCCGCCCTCGAAATATTCAAGCGCTTGCGTCTTTGGGCAGAAGTTGCCTTGTGTCATGCCAGCGCCGCCGCCTCCGAGGACGAGGATGGCCGCGGTGCCGGCGGCGAAGAAAAGGCCAAGTCCATTGTCCGCTGGAGACTGTTCCATCCCACAGGCCAAGACGCTTCTGCAACATCTGATCCAGATGACCAAGACGTTGAAGACGTCATCCGTCTCAAACCGACCAGCTTTGAAGGCCCCGAACGGAGCCCTTCGCCACCCAATGCCCCCAGGCTTTGGTGCATACTAGGAGATCTGGACAACAACCCAAAGCACTACGAGCAGGCGTGGACAATCTCGAAACAGCGATATGCCAGGGCCCAAAAGTCTCTCGGAGAGTACTACCTCGCACAGAAAGACATGACAAAGGCGCGGGAGGCCTACAGGCTAGCCACCTCGGTCAACCGACTCAGCCCCGACCTCTGGGGTCGGCTCGGCGATATCAACCTCCGTCTGGGACAGTTTGACGACGCCGCGGAGGCATACAGCCGCTCCATCGGAAGTGCCAACGATGTAGCAGGCGGCGAAGACGCGAGAACGTGGAGCAACCTGGGCAGTGCCCTGTGGAGTCTGTCCTGCGAGGTGACCGCCGCTGCCAACAAGAAGGAAACCCGGGCCCGAAGCAGTCAAGCCAGAACCGTCACCCGCGCCGATGACGAAGAGGGCGGTCTCCTCGAGGACCCACGAGACAAGTCGCGCGACCCAGCCGCGTTGCTGTCGAAATCCCTGGCCGCCTACAAGAAGGGCGCGTCCATAGCCCACGACAACTGGCGCATCTGGGACAATGTCCTCACGCTGGCTGCTCGAATCCAGCCTCCCCGCGTCCCAGACATGGTCCTCGCCTTGACGCACATGCTGCGCGTCCGCAAGACCGAGGACGCCATCGACGCGGACGTCCTCGCCGCCCTCCTCCAGGACGCAGTCATCTCCAGGGAAAAGCCTGCCGGAACAGGCATCTACGAGCCGCCAAGAGGGTCCATGGAGCGCCTAGTCACGCGCCTCCTGGAAGAAGAGGTTGTGCCGCTCATCACACAGCGCGCCGAGCTGTGGTCCCTTGTTTCCCGTCTTCGCACCTGGCGAAGGGACTACGCCGGCGCCATTGATGCCTCTGAGCGGGCGTGGAGAGCAGCCGTGGGATCGTCTGGCAGCGGCCTCCTGCCAGGTGAGGTGGCCGCGGGCCCGGCAGACTGGACAATAGATCTCAAGGGATGGACAGAGGTGGTCAAGCGAACGGATGAGCTTGTCTCCATTTTGGAGAGCTGGGGCCACCATGTCGAAGCAGTCGGCGGCAAGTGGAGAGCAACAGCTCGCAGCGCGATTCGCAGCGTCATGAGCCGCGGGAAAGAGAATTGGCAGGGATCAGAAGGCTGGAACACGCTGGAAGGCCTGATGGAAGGTTTGAAGGTGTCCAAGTAAACGGAAGCTCATGAGAGGGCAAGGCGAAGTTGGAAGGAGGAGGACAGGGGGGCCAGAGATTGCGGAGGGGGGTTGGAATTTAAAAGCAAACAATACACGGGAGGCTTCTCGAGGGCAAAACATCACTGGGCGTGCAGAATTGTCTCGAGGGAATCCAGGAGAGATGGATGAAATCGAAAGCTAACAGGAACGACACATTGTGCGCCTTGAACACTAGCTTTTATTTTTATTTAACTTTTCTCTCCTTTCGAAATTTGCCCGACATGTCAGTCTGAACGCATGGGACCCTTGATAGTCAAGATTCGGACTGCATCATCCAAGGCTTTCGATGCAAGACGCTATTTGAATTTGGGAGTATTTGCCATGCCAGTTTGCCAATGTTTTCTGCACATATGGCGGATACTTCAAAGCTACCGTAACTTGGACAGATGGCTCCTGTTACACGCTGTGACATATCCTCATCGATGCCATCATACCTTGAGACATTTGCTCTTCTCCCGTGCCATCATCAAAAAACCACGCATCCTTAGTCCAGAACAGTCATCTCCAAACAAGGTGCAACAGCGGCGGTTTTGCATTCAGACGCACCACTGCAAGCTCCAATCACGGTTTCCATCCTAGGCTCGGCGTTCCTTCAAGTTGTGGAAGGGCGATTGGCTCTATTTCTTGCCCTTCTTTCGGCTTGGAACTACCTTAAAGCCGGCGCCTTGGATTCCGGCGTCGGCATCCTTGGGCTGAGCGCCGCCACTTCGCTTTGCAACTTCGCTCCATCCACCTCCGGCGGCGGCGGTTTTCGCAGCTTCTCCGGGCGACTGTTTCTCCACGACACCTTTCTCGGCCAGCTTTTTACGCCGCACATACTCGGCGGCGAAGCGGTTGCCATCCATTGTGGTAGAGCTGGCGTAGACGGCATCTGCGATTATGCTAGAGTCCAGAGGAAACATGTTCAAGTCGGCTTGGAACGAAGTGACTGCCGATAACAAAGTTAGCCCGAGGCCTTCGCTGCACTGGCAGTGCATTGGGACTTACCATCACACGTGAGCCCCCCCCTGGAGAGTTCTCTCAGGGTCCATTTGCTGAACTCTTCCATTGCTACGTTGGCGGGCTCAGCCTTGTTGACCACATTGCCAACAGTCGAAGCTGTTTTGCTGGCAGGTCTCCCGGGCGTTGAAGCTTGTGCCTTGACGCTGGATGCGCTCAAAGACCGTGAAACTTGGGCAACAGCTGGTCCAGTCGGTACCTTGACCTTGCCGCCGGCGCCAACGGTTGCCCAACCGGCAACGGATGGGCTTGCAGCCTGGGGCATGCCTGGAGGGGGTAATGGATTAGGCTTGCCCGCGAGGTTGGCATAGCTCTTGGAAGCATTCGCTGGAATTGCGGCGTGGCTGTTTACATCCCTTGCCTTCTGTTTGCGGAACTCCTCCTCACGCTGAATTTCGGCCAATGTCTTCTTACTACTGGCGGAGCTAGACGTCGTGGCTCCGGAAGACGTTCCCTTGCTGGTCCCCGGCTTGATCCACGGGCTAGAAGCAGAGACCGGAGAGCCGTGCCCCCAGGTGCTTGTGGCAGGAAGGCCCGCGGCGGCGGCGGCGGCGGCGGCCTGCTTTTCCTTTTCTCGCACCAAGGCAGTCTCCTGCTCCGTTGCAGCTTTGCGGAGGGCGGCGGCTGCTTCTTCGGCCTTGGCGGCCTTGCGAGCCTCAGCCTCTTGAATCTCCTTCAAGCTGGGTCCTTTTGTCCCCTCTTGACCTGGCTCCTTGGCCCAGGGAGCCAGGGGTGGAGGTTGAGCTGCATCCGGCGTACCGTTTTGAGATCGGCTATATTGCTCAGGTAGATTGGATCGTGCTCGCTGAGCTGTCGGTGCGGGGAGAGGCGTAGCAGATGAAGGAGGAGGGAATGGCATCGGCATGCCAAGCTCTGCTGGCTGAGCACTTGCTGCGGCAGCAGCCTGTGCCTTCTGCACCTGTTGGGTGAGCGACAAGGCCTCATCCTCGGAAATCTTCTTCTTCCCTTTGACGCTCCGTGAAGAATGCTGATGAGCAGCAGAAGCATCACGGGTAGCGTCCACAGCAAAACCAGTTTCGTTCTCGCTTGCCAAATCCGCCAACCGCTCTGCGTCACGCTCTGCACGTAGCGCCTCGAATTCCTTCAGCCTACCACGAAAGCCTTCCTGGTCCTCGGGAAGTTGCTCGGTGTCAGGGAGCCCCCTCCTAAATCCCGTGTCTGCACCCTGCTGCTGATCGTCCGTTGCCTCCTCACCAGGACCACGCATAGTTGCAAGAACCTCACGCTCGGCCACAGATAGGCCGACCAACTCGTCTACTCTGAAGGGGTCCCCGTTCCCCAGGCCACCTCTACCGGCGACCTGGACCCCGGTTTGAGTATCGGTAAAAGAGCCGTGCTGCGGAGCGACGGCTCCGATGGGCTGCTGCTGCTGGGGAGGAACACCAATGGGCGATGTCATGCTGCCGAAGCTTGGCTGGCTTTGCAGACTATGGGCGCTGGAGTGATGTTGGAGCCCGGGCCCTGGCATTGGGAACTTGGGCATGGTCTGTTGACGCATCATATACTCTCGTTGCTGGGCCATCATGTACTGCTCCTCCTGCTTTCTTCGTTCGAGATTATTCTGCTCCTCTGCAGTGAGGGTTCTACCAAAACTGGGGAACACTCCACTCAGTGGTGGGATAACACCACCACCAGTCGTTGGGTTGAATGGGCCTCCTGGAGGAGCTGGGCCATGTGGGATACCAATTTGAGGCACCAAGAATGGTTCACGTGAATTGCCAATGCGGCGTATCAGCTGACCAAGGGGTTCGAAATCCGAATCCTCAATCTTCTTGACCCGAAGATCAGGCGTGAAGAAGTTGGCTTTGTACCAGTCGTTCATCTCTAGTCCGGTAAAAGGCCCTTGCATGTGTCCTTGAGGATCAAGATATACCCACCTCATTCTATCAGGCATAACCATCTGTCTCGTTTGACTTCCAGAAGGGTCTGCATTTCCTTGGGCACCACCGAAGGGAATTCCACCGGTAACTGGCGTGAACGACTGAGATGCTCCGACCCCGGCCTGTTGGGCATTGTCAGGAGCACCGAAACCAGGATGAGACCTGCCATTGTCGCTTGATGGGAACATGTCCTCGAAGACGCCCCTGTTGGGTCGCATGGGGCTTTCGATATCCCCCGGTGCTGGGCCGGGCAAATTGCTCCGGCCAATGGCGCCTAGGGGGTGGCCCTGCAATGCGTCGTTCATGCCATGCTCCTGGTCATGGCCTTGCATTTGGGTCTGCATTGCTGTAGGGAAGAGGGACCCGAGTTTGCTTCCACGGGCGACGCTCGCGGCGCCAAGACCAGCACCAGGGCCTCCAAACACGTTGCTCAAGTTGGACAAAGCAGGCGACTGCATGTCTCCAACGGGACTGAACAAAGAGCTGCCAAATGCATTGCTCAAGTTGGGCCGTTCTCTATCTGGCGTGCCTGTAGATGGCCCGGCCGGGGCTGGCCACCCTGACAAACCTCCCAGCGGATAACCTTTGGCACCGACGCTCGATGTCTGACTGCGGTCACTACCTTCAAAATTAGGCGCACCGAATCCCCTGGATATGGACCCAAAGTTGGCTGGTGGTTCGCTATGGCCTGGTGCGAGGGCTTGTTCACCAACGCTGGCATCCGTTTCATCGTGTTCGTGACGCTCCGCAGGGGGGCTGCGATACGGATTGGTCTCTGACGGACTGGCCGGCCCCTCTTGCCCAGGTTGCAGTCCGAGATTGAGCCCCGACATACCGAAGTCGCCCGTTGAACCTTTCACAGGGGTGCCAAGAACACCGATGAGACTGACATTCGAGTGTCCAACAGAGCCGGTATCTTGTGCGCCACCCAGGACGGCGCTTCCAGACAATTCGTCGTCGCCAAATGGGTCAGTGTCAGTGCGAGGACGCGTTCGCCAAGAGTGCTGGGATGGCGGATTTTGGACGTCGACAGATTTGGCAACATTGTTTTCCGAAGTATCCTTTGGAATCAGATGAGCCAATCGGCTGCCACTGGCACCGGCCGCAGCGCCGCCAGCCCTCCTGTCGCCAACCACGGATGAAGACGGCATGGCAAAGTTGCCAAAACCGCCCCCAGCAGGGGTCGTCGGGTTCGAAGGCCACATGGATGCCATTCCAGCACTGCCGGCGGGGTTTGGACGTACAAAGTTGGCGAAGGGCAGCTTGGCGGTGGGCTCCCGCGCGGCTGCGTCAACTTCACCGTCATCTGGTTCAGACTCTCGCAAATCAATGCTCTTTCGTTGCGTCCAGGGCGAAAGATCGTCCCGAGAGAACCTACTGGATGCTGTCGGCGAAGCAAGGGCACCGCTGAAAGGGTTCGACTCAATAGTCTCGCGTCGTCGTGTTCCCGGTCTTGTAGCGGACGAGGGAGAAATGACGCCAAACGTGCCTCCGGAACCCAGGGAAACTGAGGATTTCCGGCCGTTGGCGTTTCCCTGATGGCCCTCTTTGTTTTGCGTAGGAGGTTTCAGAGGCGAGTTGATCTCGGTAGAAAAGGCCTGCATCAGAGAGAATGGCGTTAGCCCGCCGTGAAAGTAGGCACGGGTGGCCTAATGGAGTCGGGTCGGGAAACCTACCTCCTTCTCCTCCGTCGAGAATTCGTGCAAGCCCATGGGGGCAGTATGCCCGTCATGATCCCAGCAGGCGCCGGGTTCCTGTGGAACATGAGTGTCGTTGGTTTTCCCCCAGCCCCTGGCATTGCCACCATTGACATGTGTCGGGTCCCATCCTGGTATGAAGAGGCGCGACGGATCATCACCTGGCTTTTGCGACCGAAACATGCCCAACAGATCGCCCCTGGTGTATCGTGCAGGGCCGACCTCATAGCTCGGGGGCAGCGCTGGGGTTGTATCAACCGAGATTGGTTGCTGAACGGCGTGGTCGGCCGGGGGAACTGGTTGTGAAGCTTGGGCGATGGGAGTAGTTGAGGAGCGCCGGAGAGTGAGGGTGCCATTAGCAGATCGACCGTCTCTGCGCGACCTAGACAGAGTGGTTAGCGGTAGTCGCGCAAACTTGATGACGCCTGCAACTTCCAGTCGATTGCAAAAGAGACACGGGATAGAAGCTGGGCACCAGGCGGCATCCGCACTGGCCACACGTGCCCATGCTCATGCTCATGCCCATGCCCATGCCCATGCCCATGAATCTGAGGCGCGGTGCGTGGTGACGGAAAAAAAAAATTCACCTGGTGCCATTGCCGCACGAAAGCATCTCCAAGGGAAAATCCAAACCGTGTCGTCACCACATCAATATCAAGCACGGAATGTGCGCGGATATTGGTGGCGAAGAGAGCAACAACGAGGAAATACCACACTCACCAGTCGCCCGCAGCAGCTCCCCTTCCATCTCCTCTGCCGCCCCTCGCATCCCGATTCGCATTCTGGCCAGCTGCAGCCGAGGCAAAGCTGGAAGGAAGATTGGACGCCATGTTGTTCCTCACACAGGATCGTGTTATGTTGTGCTAGAGTGTCGCGCTTCGCCAAAGGCTTCTTTTCGTCCGGGTTTTGTGGTGGACGGAAGGTCAACAAGGGCGAATGGATGAGTGTCGGTGCAATGCTGGCTGTACAGGCGAGAACAGTAGATGCAAAAGATGCTTTCGGAGCGACTTAGCAATGCAAAAAAAAAAAAAAATACTCGTAGAGGGCCGATGGAGAGGTCGCGTTTGGCATATAAAGCGTGAGGTGGAAGTTTGGTGGAAAGCTAGTTGAGCTGTGAGGCCAAGGCGGGAAAAACCTGAGGTTTGGCAAAAGGCAAAATTGCAGAACGGACTAGTCAAGTCGAGGTGCAGCCACTCGCCTCCCGGGGTCGCCTCCAGAAAGGCCAGGCAAGGCAAGGCCCTCAGACAAACAACCTCCCCCCTCCACCACCCACCCCCGGAGGGAGTGACGGCGCAATGGCGGGCCAAACAGAAGCAGGCGCAAGTGGCTGGTCCCCATGTCCTCTGAGTGGCTGGAAGCTGCGAGGCAGGCGACGCTAAGCCAGAACGAGGCCGTCCGAGCTTTAACCGCCACCGCTTAGTGAGGGCTGAATCCTAACGTGGAGAACACTTGAACATTCCAGCTTCTAGGCAACGCATGTCTGCAATCACCGTCTGTTGTCTGTTGCGTCTTTTGCGGTCATGGTTATTACAAGTCGTGTGGTTCTGTCATGACGCCATAGCTGATTTCTGCCCGGCCACACGCAACCGTGTCAGTGGTTTGTTGTCCAAGGGTGACTTGACTGACTGTGCTTTGAACGCTTTGGGCCTCGCTTAAGCACTTGTGCGGGTTGCCCTGTTCATGAAGACACACGAGCTCTTACCAGCCAGCTAAAAATTATCGTGTGCTGGCCCAGCGTCTGGATCATTACGCTGTCTTGTAGAATCTCTTGGCACACCTACTCCATACTTGGTATTAACTTGCTACAAATTCGCCACGGTGTATTAATGGAAGCGAACTTGCGATCTGGCCACCAAGTCAGCATCGAGCATGGCTGACAACCTTACGTTGTCACGCTCAGCATCTGTAATGACAACTCATTGCTTCGTCAAGCTTCCGGGATTCTTCCCTCTAGGGTGCTTGTCCTATGCATATTTCATACTCATCATATCCCATAACCACAGTTCAAATCGTGAAAAGACAGTCAACGACACACACCCCTTTGCCTCATTTGCGGATGACTTTCAATAACGGCGCGATTCTCGTATTCTTGCTCAATCCAATACGATACAATGGGCGTCCTGAAGCCCCCGCTGGCGTCGATGGTGTTCTTCCCGCCGTTTTTTCCACGGCGCAAGTGCTTATGTCAACTTTCGTCTCCGACGTAGACCTTTCTGTCTCCGTCTCCGGTGTTCCTTTCGTCGCCGGTTTGGCTGCCGCGTGGCTCTCCGTCTCAGCGACATCTGGTCCCAAGTGCTTAATCTGTTCCACCTTTGAATCTGGTTGCTGTTTTATAGTCGGCTTTGTCTGGACAGATGCAGGGATGGCCGACGCAGTCTCTTCTTGTACCTCGTCGTCATTATCGGGTTTGAGTACCGCCGCTGTTTTTTTCGGTCTTCCACGTTTCCTTTTAACATTTGCTTCAAGATCCTTTCCCCCTTCATCTTCCTTCGCTGCAGCCGTATCCTTTTTTCGGGGACGACCCCTCTGTTTCCTTTTCTCCGTCGGCCTCGGCATCTCTTCGAGAGCCAAGCCGTTATCCTGTTTAGCCCCACCAGGCGCGTAAGCCACCCCCTGTTCATTCTCATCATCTGAAATAACCACCAACTTTTCCCCGTCTGTTCCCTTTGCTGCACCACCTTGATTTTCCGAGACCGGGATAAGCACGGGGCCAGGAGGCGAACAATCCCGCGTCGTAGCCCCCCGAGTAGGCTTTGGGTTTCTGATGCCAGGGGACGCCTCGAGCAACTCCACGTCGTTTGACCTCGGCGTATTTAGATTAGTTGCGGTCCCACTGGACATGGCGTTCACACAGCGCTGCTCCAGAGGTTTCGTCGCGGGGTTCAACGCGCCGCCGTGAACAGATGCATGCCGCTCCTTTTGACTTGCCAATGCTGTAGGCGCCACCATAAGGGACGGATCGCTGACGGGCGCCGTCGAAACCAAGTCGTCTGAGCCTCTATGTCGTCCGACCCGCCTCTTCTTCCTGCTTTGTGCGGTCGTCTCGGGCAGCTCATCCTCCTGGCTGACGTATCCTATGTCGTCTAGCTGTCGTCGCAGGCCCCTTGTGATTTTAGTCCTGGGATTCAACGAGCCGTCTTGCTTCTTGGATGGCCTGGGCTGTGGAAAGTCCGGGCTGCTAGGGACGTCCCACAGGCTCTTGTTGTGTATGACTGTTCCCCTGGTCTCCTGGAAGCCAATGTCGAATGATGAGACGTCCATGACTTCACCGCTTTCTTTGATGCGATGCGTTACATGTTGATTAGCCGCGTCCCGATGCTCGTTGTAGATATTCTTGAAGAAGGTCGGGTCCGTTGAACCGGATGGGTGCGTCGTCGTCGTGGGTGATGAATTCGGTAAAAGGACTGCCTCTGTGATGCTCTCGGGGGAAGAAGCTGCGTCTGACTCATCTACGTCCGAGTCTGCAATGACAGCTGATGTCATTTTGTGGCGAAGTCGGGATTTTGTAGCTGTCAGTTCGGCAAGGCTATCCGTCTTGCCCGTGGTTGGGGATACGCGTGGAAGCGGCCGCGTCAAGGGCTGACGCGGATGCACGTGACACCGTTCAAGATAAAAACTTCCACACAGACACTGTCATGTAAATGTGAGTGGAGATAAAAGTTGATCCCAAGAAAAGGTGTGCCTCGGAATTTATCGCACTGCTAGTTTGGAGGCACTCGACGTTTCTGCCGGTCGACATTCCACTTCCCCTTCGTCTGCCCTGCCCTTGCTCAGTTGATGTGAAATGTCTTGAAGTATTTAAGTAAGCTGCCTTGCTGCACAGGTGTACAGGTGTCTTCGGCCGCCGGCCAGGTGTCCCCTGCTCACACCATCGGCCGTTGACCCCACGCCGGTCCCATTTGTTCCGCATCGTCTGCAGAGTCTCGAATCTGCTACACACCAAAACCTCGTAGGTGGTGGTGCCAGGCAAATGTATGTACTTTCTCGCATTGCACAGTTGGAATCCTCGACCCCTAATAATCATCTACTGAACTCCTACCCTTCTCTGTCATGCCCAGGACATTGGCGCCTTCCCTTCCTTTGTGGTTCCGGATTGACATGTATAGTAAGCGTCGGCTCGACCGTCATACCGACCCAACCTTGACAATCTGACCCCTGCCAGAGTACGGAGTAATACCAGAGTGCTCCGTGCTTCGTTTTCCTCTGGACAGGTTTCGTGATTTAGAAGGAAGGATTGAAACCGTTTGCTTCGAGGCCAGATTGCCACGCCATAATGCTAGCTCGCTGTCCGTTCTTGACTGGACATCGAGCCTTTCCTTGCCGTCCATACTCGCGTTTTTGGGTTTCTGTACACTCGCGTGACTCACGCGAGGACGAGCTAAGGGATTGAAACTTGAGAGCGGCCCATCAGCGACCCAAGTAGTAAGCTAACTCATACAATACCGAACACTCCGGTAAAGGATTTGCCTTTTCTCTTAACTCCGGTACTGTATTCGTCTTTGACAAGGCTTTCGCATGGCTAGCGAACCAGGTTTTACCTCCCATATCCCCGACCGAGGGCTTGATCGCCACGCCAAAAGTTGAACTCAGACCGAAGTCATGGGTGTTCAGGTCTAATCGGGCACGCGGTACGTCTGGAGTATATACTTTTTGCCGATTGATAATATATAGGACTGGAGAGCAACACTAGGCGCCATGTCCATGTTTCGTGACCATTCCGAGTACGTCATTCTACCGGTCAAGTCAGGTTATGCAGCTATATAGAAGCCGCGCATAGACCCGGTAGTTCCTCATTTCCTAATCGCACCCGTGTTGTAGGACAAGTTTGTAAGAGTACAAGCCCGTCGGTTGTACGATTGATGACACAAAAACATGCCGAATCCCTGAATGAGGAGCCTTTGATGAAATCATTTGCCATGTCCAAGTTGTGACTCGACACTGCTTCGCAGTGCGTAGTGTTATTTCTTGATGAATCTGTGATGTGAGGCGGGAGAAGAGTTCGAAAAGTCGGACTACTTGAACTACTTGAGCTACTCGAGTCGAAGTCTTTGTCGCAAAGAATGCTGTGAAAGCGAATCCTTGGATGAATTGTTGTCGACGGTTTCAGTATAGGCTTCTGGCCAAGATGTCGACCCCCAAGATCAAAGAATGGATCAATACCATCAGATCGTCATCAAAGATCGGGAAGAAAGTGTTGTTTAAATTTTCGGTTGGCGCGGTCCGCGGAGCGAAGCATGAGTTGGTCGCCCAGGACTTCAAACACAAAGGGCTTCGAGGCAGTGGTCGCATCAGCTGTCTCGGGCTTGATCTCGATGCGAAAAGTCGTTCCTTCTTTGGGAATAACCTTGATGCCCTTCTTTTCCGTAATTATCTCCACAACGAACTTGCGATCGCGAACAATGATGCCCTTCAGGCCAACACGTCCCGTACATCGGCTTCTGACGACCTCGGTAAGTGCCCCGTGAAGTTCTGCGCTGGCCAGCTTGGCCGCTGCTTCAGGGCCACCGCGGAATATGTCTTGTCCCAGGACTTCCCTTGCATAGCCTTGCCATAGTTCGTAGAGCGGTTCATATATGCTGTATTTCTGGCCATCCTTGGGGATATCGTAAAGCCCCAGGTTCCTGCGCTCTCGGGACGAGAGAGGCCTCGGACGGGTCTTTCTCCTTGCCTTCTTTTGGTCCCGAATCCTTCTTCGCGCCGTTCGAGCATTGAGTGCGGCTGGCGAGGGGGAAGATGGCCGAAGGTGCAGAGTACGGTGCTGGATTTTCTCACTGTAGATGCGGTTGACGCTATCGGGAGAGTGGGCTCTGGCAAGCAGATCCTTGATCAGCTGCTGGGCTTGGGGCGTTGAAGTCGCCATATGAGCCGGCTCGTGACAACGGCTATAGACTCGTGTACTGACGGGAGGTTGTCGAGGGTTGCGAGGTGGCGAGGTGTGACCATGCAGACAAGTTATCTGGCTGAACACTTTCTGGGCTCGCCTTCAAGTTCTTTTCAGTGTCTGGGCAGCCCCACATGCGCCGGCCGGCGCGTAAGTAACTAGTACCTACTTAGTACGCACCTGCAGGCTGCAGCAGCGGACAACTTTGAGTTTACAGGGCCAGCAGTGCCTCGCCGCAGGCGTCTCGGCCGGTGTCAGGCGGCGGTCATTGGCGGCGACTTGTCACCCGAGTTTTTGTTGACGGATGGATGAATGACTTCACATGTTGGCCGCTCCCTCGGCTGGTCGCTGACATCAATCGATCGGCCATTTTCCCCCACAATATTTCCCCGGCCGCCCGCTCGTGGGCTGTCTAGAATCTCAACTCGATCCTAAAAGTATCGACTTTCGTTGGCATGTCGTACTGCTTAAGCTTTCTGCTTGATGGTAATCCCAACGATCACTAGCATAATCTCCAAGTGTTCGCTTCAACCATCTCGCGCCACCCCATCGCCGGTAGAAACATGCCATCCAGCGACGACCCCCCCGAAGCGGGCAGCAGCTCCGCGCCTGATTTACAGATTCTTGGTGATGAGATAACCCTGCAGCCCAGTGGTTACGTTGCGCCGGAGGGCGGCCATGAGGGCAAGGAGGAGGCACTGATGAACCAGTTCGCCTCGTTCCGTGCTGAGCCTTTACAGTAACGCCCCCGACATATCTCAAGAAAGCGGCGTGGGCTGAAGCACAAAGCTGACCGATTGTCCTTGTCCTGTACTGTAGGTTCCTCCGAGAAGTGTCGCTGTACGTTTCGGGCCAGGGCTGGCGAGCATATGATAATGTCATCGGTCAACCGGTCTTTTATTCCGGCTTTTCGGAGAATATGAAGTCCATGGTTCTGTCAGCACCACTGCTTCAGGAACGCATCACAAAGCTCGCCAAGGACAGGGTCGCCGTCGAAGTTCAGGAAGGACTGATTAACAAGCAAGACAAAGACTTTGGCGTCAAGTGTGCCCAGAGGCGAAACGCTCTGGAGAATGGGCTCCAGGAGGTTGCAGACAAGATGACTGATGACATGATCTGCAAAATGGAGAGCAAGACATTCATTCGCGGAGCCTATTATATGGTTACCCAGCTTCTGACTAGAGCCTATCACCAAGGGATTCACGTGTCCAGCGAGGAAGTCTTGCGTCTACGGAGGGTCGCCGAAGTCGCCGCCAAGAAGAAACAGAGCATCGTCTTCCTACCCAGCCACCGATCTCACGTCGATTACGTTTCGCTGCAACTCATTTGCTATCGCCTCGGCTTAACATTACCCATTGTCGTTGCCGGGGATAATCTCAACTTCCCGCTTGTCGGCAGCTTCCTGCAGCATGCGGGTGCCATGTGGATCAGACGATCATTTGGTGATGATGCTTTATACACCACGTTGGTGCAGAGCTACATCGACACCTTGCTCCAAGAGGGCTACAACTTCGAATGTTTTATCGAAGGGGGCCGCTCTCGCACCGGGAAGCTGTTGCCGCCAAAATTTGGCATTCTTAGCTTCATTCTCGACAGCATTTTGTCCGGGCGAGTTGACGACGCAATTGTCTGTCCCGTCAGTACTCAGTACGACAAAGTTATTGAAACCGAAGGCTATGTCACCGAGTTGCTCGGAGTGCCAAAAAAGAAGGAGAACCTGGCAGATTTCGTCTCGGGCGGCTCGTCTGTTCTTTCGTTGAAGCTTGGCAGGGTTGACGTCAGGTTTCACGAGCCATGGAGCCTGCGCAAGTTTGTTGACGAGCAGTTGTCTCGCCTTTCTTCGATCCCCCCCGGCCTGGACACGGACCATCACAACCCTGATGTGAGGGCCGCCCGTGAAAAGATTCTGCGGACCATGGGTTACAAGGTGCTGAGTGACATCAATGCCGTGTCCGTCGTCATGCCAACAGCTCTTATTGGCACCGTTCTTCTTACTCTGCGTGGCCGTGGCGTTGGCCTACAAGAGTTGATCCGCCGCGTCGAGTGGCTCACTGCCCGGATTCGCGCCAAGGGAGGGCGTGTCGCTCACTTTGGAAATGCGCCCACGTCTGATATTATCAACCGTGGTTTGGACGTGCTCGGTAAGGACCTCGTCGGCGTTGTCAACGGCTTAGCTGAGCCGACCTTCTATGCGGTTGACCGTTTCCAATTGTCCTTCTACCGAAACATGACGATTCATTTGTTCATCTACGAGGCCTTGGTCAGTGCGGCAATGTACATGCACGTCAAGCGCGGCGGCGGGCCGGCCATGCAAGACATTTCATACGCAGAACTGAAGGATCAAGTGTTCTTCTTGTCTTCGCTGTTCCGCGGCGAGTTTATTTTCGGACCGGATGGCCTAGTCACGAATTTGGATAATACCCTGCGTGGCCTCGAGGCCGACCATATCGTTCGACTCGACCGTGATGAGGGCGGCAGTGTCACCACGATCGGGCTGTCCGCGGAGGAACGCAAGGCAGGCCGCGAGAACTACGATTTCTATTGTTTCCTGATTTGGCCGTTCATAGAAGCCAGCTGGCTCGCGGCAGTCTCCCTCATGGGCTTGTCCCCACCACTCGGGAGCAACGGAGACATCTGGGTTGAGCAAAACAAGGCACAGAACAGCGCTCAGCTAGTAAGTGCATGGCTGGAAATTGGCACGTCTGCCCTACATTTGCACTGACCATGAACAGTTGGGTAAAACGCTGTACCACCAAGGAGATTTGTCGTATTTTGAAGCCGTGAACAAGGAGACGCTCAAGAACTCGTACACCCGCTTCGAGCAAGATCAAATCATTCACGTGGTCAAGTCCAAAGACCCCAAGATCCCGCCCAGAATGCAGCTAGATTCGGAATGGCGGCCGTCGCGGGACGCCGAGACGGGCGCCCTCGTTGCTGCAGGCAAGCTCTGGGACTTTACCGAAAAGATTGCCAGTTCACGGCGAGAAGGCAAGAACCGACGCGACGGGGCCACGGTCAGCGTGCGCGTGCTGAGGTTGACGGACCAGTTGGGAGCCAAGCTATTCGCCGATGCCGTCGACGGCGACAAGCACGGTAAGAACAAGGTCCCCAGCCGGCTCAGCGTCGAGGAGCAGGAGGCGCACACGAGGGATGTGCGGCGCAGGAAGAAGAAGCTGCACCAGCGGGCACATTTGTAAAACACGAATCTGTATATACTCTCACGAGCAGGAAAGAAGTCTATGCGCATGAAGATCAACGTGGACGCTTTTGCATGCCGTGGCTCCGCCTTGACGACCTCGTCCCCGCGTAAAGCACCCAAACACGTAGTTGCCAAAACGAGTCGAGGCGGATGGCGCGGAGTCGTGCGCCCCTTTATAAATGTACAGCAACGGCAGCAACTCAAACCGCTACAGCCGCCGAGCCGCCCGCCCGCGCGGCCCAAAGAGGCCCTCAAGAGACCTCAGGTCGACCTGGGCGGCAGAATGATATTGTCAATCAGCCTGACCGCAGGGCCGCCGCCATGGCCCAGATGCTCGCCCTCGCGCGGCTCCTCCACAGGCAACATTTTCACGGCGCCGCTCAAAACAGCACCGGTTGCCGGATCGACAGCCCCAATCTCCTGCAAGGAGTCGGGATCAGCGAGGGACAGGTAGTCGACCTCGAACCGAGCCCGCTCGCTCGGCCCCATGTCCATCTGCGCCCTGAGCACGGCGGCGCAGAGGGCCTCGGCAGCGCCGAGGATGGCAGCGCGATCGGTGCGCCCGCCGCGGTAGGCGCCCTCGGCAGCCCGCAGAGCGGCGTTGAGCACGGTGGCGACGGCGCGACGGCGCGTGCCGAGGTAGGCGTTGCGCGAGGCCATGGCCAGGCCGTCGGCCTCGCGCTCGGTCGGGCAGACGACCACCTCCGTCGGCACCATGAGGTCCCTGACCATGCGTCGGATGACAAGCGTCTGCTGGACGTCCTTCTGGCCAAAGTAGACGCGCTCCGGCTGCACGATGTTGAAGAGCTTCATGCAGACGGTGGCGACGCCCCGGAAGAAGGTGGGCCGGCTGGCGCCCTCGAGGACCTCGGCCACGGGCGTGATGGTGACGAAGCTGCCCTTGCTGTCGACGGCCTGGCCCGGGAACCCGGACGGGTACATCTCCGGGGTGGTGGGCGCGAAGACGGCGGATATGCGCCCGAGGTTGGCCCCGTCGTCGGCCAGTTCGCGGTCGAGCTCGGCCAGCGCGGCGGCGTCCGTCTCCCACGTCACCGGGTACGACGACAGATCCTCCGTGACGCCGAACTGGGCCGGGTTGACGTAGATGCTCACCACGACGTGGTGGTTCTCCCTGGCCGCGGCCCGGATCAAGGCGAGGTGACCCCGGTGGAGGGCTCCCATGGTGGGGACCAGTCCAACGCTGCGGTAGTTGACCATGAGCGGCTTCCTCCATCGCCGGACCTGCTCGACCGCGCGGAGCACGCGTATGGGCGACGACGGCAGCGTCTCGGCGGCCGTCCGTAGCGGCCTCGAAGGTGTCTTGGGCGAGGGCGGCGACGACGACGGGCCACGCCGCGGGCCAAGGGCAGCACGTGCCCCGATCCGGGCCGCTACCAGACGCTGCATTTTTGGTGGAAACACTGAGAGAGGGGGGGAAACGACGGTGTGCCAGGCGGCATGGGGGGAGACGAGAGGAGGGGAATCACAGGCGAGGAGAGAGGTGGATTTCCATTTTGGGGGGCCGCAATGGCCTTGAAAAAGGAGTCTGTTCGTGATGGTTTCTGCTGCGGAGATTTCGGGACGCTGGTGGTGAAAGAGGTGATGAGTCAGCAGCGTTGAGATGACACCTACGTACCGGTACGACGCACGAGTCGAGGACTCGGGACGGCGATGCCGTGGTGTTGGCATGTGGATGGGGGGAACGAAAAAATAAAATGAAAAAAGCACACACAGATTGAGACACGACTGCGGTCAATCAATGGCTATTATATACTCGAGACGAGGCCTTGCGATGATTCGGTGACAAAACATGGTGAATGCCAATTGTTGCATCTCGCACTCCGTGCGCGGTGGGTAACAGAACAAGGATGACTTTGACTCTCGGGTGCTTGACGGCATTGTGACACTTCTCGGCTGCCATCGTCGGCGACGATCTGCGCGTGCTCGATCGATTAGCTACATCGCGTCGTCGTCAGTCGTCGACGCATGTCAAGTTACAAAAGCTTCTTGTCAGTTGACAAGGGCGAGGCGCGGCCGTCACACGGTTGCAAAAAAGGGCGAGACCCAGGGCACAAGTCTGGCTGCATAAGGAGGGTCCTTGGTCACCCAGGCGTCGAGGAAGACCGAGGACCTTTTATACCCGGCCGGGTGCCATGTTATAGTTGAGTTGAGTGATTACTCCAAGCTCCCTATGAGCCCCTGTCACAACGATGCATTGCTACCATCGTGCCCGTTCATCTCGTACGTGTATCAAAGTCCAGTAGCGTCGGAGAATAGAAGCGCTTCCCTTGCGCGACGCCATCAACGCCAGTCATCGACACCAAAACAGCAATGTGCCCGCTCCCCGATGCAACCATTGTAGTCTAATATCCCAAATCAACATGTAGCCCGAGTATAATCTAGCCCGACCACGAGGCGGGTCATGTTGCAGCAAAGGCGCCATCCAGGTCTACGCCGTGCCGCCGACAGTCGTGTTCTCCTGCTTCAGTTTGGACCATCGCGTGAAGCAGCCGAGCAGAGTGGCGACCCCAGTGGCGGCGATGCACATGGCAAAGACAACTTTGAGGCCAGACATGTAGCCGGCAATGACGAGGGGCTGCTGGTCAGGGGGGAATGCGCGTCGGATCTCGGTGGCTCCGGCGAGGATCAGAGTTCGCACGTCGACCTGCGGCGCGTTCTTGACGACGTGGCCGACCATCTGATTGATGAACGCGGCCTGGCTCCCGGATACGAGGTAGGCACCGCCGATGCTTTGGAAGACTGGACATTTCACTCGTCAGTCGGTGGGCGCCGCCGCATTTGGAGGGAAGACATGAAGCGCTCGAGGTGTAAAGAGACTTACAGAGGAGCATGCCGGTGGCGGAGGCAAGGTCCTGGGGAGGGACTGAGCCCTGAACGGCAATCATGGGAATCTGGAACGCGGCTCCCCAGCCGAGGCCAGCGACAGCCTGGTAACCGATCCATGCGCCCGTGGAGGAGTCGACGTCTAGCATGTACAAGAGACCAGCTCCGACGGTGGCGACGACACCGCCGCCGAGGAGCATGGGCTGGTATCGGCCAGTCGCAGAAACAAAGCTGCCGCTGAGAATGGTGGAGATGGTGACGGCAATGATGAATGGCAAGTTGCGCACGCCGCTCATGGTCGGGTTCGTTCCGTGGACGGACTGGAAGTAAATGGGGATGTAGTAGATGGCAGCGAAGAAGCCACCGGCAAAGATGAAAGCAAAGGCACTCATGACCCAGTTGGTGCGTTCCCTGGCCAGTCTAGGAGGCACCATGGAGCGCTCGCCCTGGAAGTACTCGAGGGCAACCCAAGCCGCGGTGATGGCAACGAAGCCGACGAGAAGGCCGATGACGACGGACGAGTTCCAGGCGTGAGCAACGCCGCCGTACTGGACAGCAAGGATGTAGGTGACGGTGGCGCCCATCATCAAGACAATCCCGAGAGGGTCCATCTGTAGCAACTTTTCCAGCAGAGTGGCGGTGGCGGGGACCGCATTCTTGGGAGTCTGGAAGAAGACCAAGATGACCAGGGCCGAGAGGCCCCCGATGGGCAGGTTGATGTAGAAACACCATCGCCAGCTAACGTTGTCCGTGAACGCGCCGCCTAGCAGAGGTCCAATGACGCTGGCAAATCCGTACGAGGCCCCGAGGATGCCGGTAAAGGCAGGCCGTCTCTTGGGGGGTGCGGAAAAGGCGATGATGGTGTAAGCGCCGGCTTCAAGACCGGCGGCGCCGACACCAGCAATTGCGCGGCCAGCAATCAAGGCCTCTGCGCTGGGTGCGGCGCCGCAGACGACGGACCCGAGTTCGAAGATGAAGATGGCGACGAGAAAAGATGTCTTGAGCGGGAAGTACTTGTAGATCTTGCCCCCTGGTTCACGAGTCACGACCGCGTCAGCAACGCCTTGCGAGGAGGGACAAGAGCCGGGAGTCGGGACCAGGACCTACATGTTGACTGCATAGAACCAACCGTCATGAAAAACGCAGCACCATACCAGCCGACTTTGTCAAGACCCTTGAACTCGTCGGTGATTTTGGGAATGGCGGTGGCAACAATGGTCTGCGTGAGAGGTCACTTTGACAAGCTTCTCATGACATACGGCGAGAGCGTGGCTTACCATGTCGAGAGACAACAGGAAGACGCTCATGACAAGTGCAACAACGATGAAGACCATCTTGATACCAGATGGATACTCGGTGTCGTCGAGCACATGGGCAGCCGAGTCGGGCGCCAAGTCAGTTTCATGATGCCTTTCGTCTTCAGCGCCGCTCGAGTAAGCGGCCTTGTCCGATACTTGGTCACCGGCGATGGTTGATGCCGAAGACAGGCTTCGATCCGAGTCCCCTGGGACCTTCAGGCTCGTAGCGGCGGTCATTGTCAGTCAGCAATAGTCTGTGTCGTGCTGGGTTCTCTGGGAGAGTAGGTTTAGGTTGGAGAGTGTAAGCAATGGAACCGAGAATCTCCAATGTACAAGGCCGGAAGTGTACATTATTGGAATATATATCCTCATACACGCAGCCGACGATGCCAACAATGTGTTCAAGGAATTCGCCGGGGGGTTCTAGGTGCACATATAAGCAAAAGACAAGGCGAGCTTTCGATGACGAGCTTTCGATGACGAGCCTTCGATTCCAGGCATGACACATTCCTCCTGACTGGGCCATTGTCCTAACTGGAAGCAGAGGCTGCAGTCACACATGGAAAACTGATCATCACAAAGACAGATCCGCAAAGGTCCAGGAGCCGCGCGGAGTTTGCGGCTCAAGGAAGGACGGCCCCGGAGCCTGGCTGGCGGTGCGTGTCTCATACTTGACAGCCATGAACACGGAACCAAACTCGGATGGCCTGTTCATGCAATGCGCGCCTGTGAGCCATACCGAGATTCGACGGTGCGACGGACACGCTTGACCAAGTACTAGGCATATGGCACTCCCGGGTACCGTGACAATCCATGGGTGGCCGGCCCGGGACTTGGGTTTCGGCGGCGCCGCTTGCAACTCCGCTAAGTCCGCAGGGCTGATGCTGTAAGCAAAAGACATGGGTCCTGCGTCAAGCGCGCCATGTTGTATTGCCGTGTTGCGTGTTGCTTGGTGTCGAGTCCGTCTCGTGGTGGAGATTTGTCATTCGACTGATCGGATCGGGGTGACTAACACACACCGGCTAGATGACATGGCCCACTTGAGACTTTGCTTTATTCTCTAGCGGGTTCTGGGGGAACCTTGGCCGTTGCCGGCGGAGAAGAAAGGCAAGGCATCGGGTGAATAAGTGAGAGAGCTGGTCACAAAGCAAAGAGAAAGTCCGCCACGACGAGCGACAAACGCGGAGCTCGAGCGCCGTCAGACTCGCTTCCCGTGACGGGACTCGCCGCGCTTGATGCTGTGCCGGCAAGGCATGCCTCACCCGCCATGACGGTGACGATGGCGGCGACGTTGAAGGAGACCCTCAATATTTTGGCTCGTAGCTGGCGAGCGAGATGAAGAGAAAAAAAAGTGGGACACCAACATAACTCGACACGACGTGACCATCACCCTCACGTCACCCTCGCCTGCATCCCGCATGTCCCGGCAATCGCGGACTTGGGCATATTTCAACTGCTGGCCAACCGATGCCTCAAGTTCTGCCGACATCTCGCACGTCGCCACGGTGGTTGAACCGAGAGGCTGGAGTTGGAGTGTTGGGCCGGCGGACTTTGCGTGATCCCTTCGTGATCGCGACTTGCGCAATCGCCTCTACACATCTCGCCCATGGCGTCGTCGCGAGCTCGCCATGTCTAGATGTGACGCGCTTTGTGCCGGCGGCGTGTGAGATCCTCCGCCACACTCTGCATGATCCAATTACGCCCGACGCTGAGCATTTTTGGACCGCGCGTTCCTCGTCCAATGTCAAGGCTGAATCCCGATGCTAAAGATGCCCAGCATCGCGGAAACATGCACAACTTGCACAAAACTGAAGCACATTTATTACCCCGCCTCCTGCTTCTTCCTCGGCACCATTTTCCAGACGTCACCTCCAACGTCACCTCACCTCACCTGTCCCCAAGCTCAAAAAGTGTCTCTCTCGCCTCTGCCCAAGACACAATGAGCGCGCCGTCCGTCCACCTCACAGCTCCAAATGGCGTCAAGTACACCCAGCCCACGGGCCTCTTCATCAACAACGAGTTTGTCAAGTCGAGGTCCGGACGGACCATCACGTCTATTGACCCAGCGTACGCACACCCGCACGCCCGCCCGGTTCCGCCTGCAAACCTGACCTCTCGAGCCGTGGAGATCTGACCCGGAAATTTATCTCGCAGCACCGAAAACGAGATTGCCACCGTGCAAGCCGCCGGTCCCGAAGACGTAGATGACGCCGTCAAGGCAGCCCATGCCGCGCTCAAGCACCCCCCGTGGAAGCAGATGCCCGTGTCCGACAGGGGCAGATTGATGAGCCGTCTCGCGGATCGTCTCGACGAGCACAGGGAACTGCTTGCAACAATCGAAGCCTGGGACAATGGTGAGTGTGCAGTACCGCCTCGTCCCTGTCCCTGCTCCCCCGGCAGACAGGAATGCGTCTTGCAGAATGCTACCAGGTGTGCTGAAACCGCATCCAGGCAAATCATACGCCGAGGCTCTCAGCGTCGACTTGGAGGAAGCAATTGGCACGTTTCGCTACTACTCCGGCTGGGCGGACAAGATCTCGGGCCAGACTATTCCGACGAGCCACCAAAAGTTTGCCTATACCCTCCGCCAACCCATTGGCGTGGTTGGCCAAATTATACCTTGGAACTACCCGCTGTCAATGGCCTGCTGGAAACTCGGCCCAGCCCTGGCGTGTGGAAACACCGTCGTCATCAAGGCAGCCGAGCAAACTCCCCTGAGCATTCTTGTTCTGGCCTCGCTGATCAAGGAGGTTGGGTTCCCGGCTGGCGTTGTCAACGTTGTGAATGGATATGGAAAGGACGCCGGCGCGGCTATAGTCGAGCATCCACTCGTGGACAAGGTCGCCTTCACCGGTTCTACGGCCACGGCTAGGCAAATCATGAAGATGGCTTCCGCTACGCTCAAGAACATCACCCTAGAGACGGGCGGAAAGTCGCCGCTGCTCGTCTTTGCAGACAGCGACCTGGAGCAGGCTGTAAAATGGTCGCACCTCGGAATCATGTCCAACCAAGGTCAGATCTGCACGGCCACGTCGCGCATCCTAGTCGAGGACAGCGTCTATGACAGATTCGTCGACCAGTTCGTCCGGCAGACCAAGATGGTCAGCAAGGTCGGTGACCAATGGAGTCCCGATACGTACCAAGGGCCCCAAGTCTCCAAGCTGCAGTACGAGCGAGTCCTCGAGTACGTGGAAGCTGGCAAGGCAGAGGGGGCACGACTGGTGTCTGGCGGCAAACCTCTTGATGCTAATAGCAAGGGATTCTTCATCGAACCTACCGTCTTCACCGAGGTCAAGGACAGTATGCGAATTTACCGGGAGGAAATATTTGGTCCCGTCGTGGTCATTGGCCGGTTCAGTTCGGAGGAGGAGGCAATTGCCCGAGCCAACGACTCCACGTACGGCCTTGGAGCTGCCGTCTTCACCAAAGACCTGGAGCGAGCGCACCGGGTTGCATCTGAGATTGAGGCGGGCATGGTTTGGGTAAACAGCAGCAATGACTCTGATCCAAAGGTTCCCTTTGGAGGCGTCAAGCAGAGCGGCATTGGCAGAGAGCTTGGCGAGGCTGGTCTGGAGGCATACAGCCAGGTTAAGGCTGTCCACATCAACCTGGGAAACCGTTTGTAGATAGCCATGGCTGTGTAGGAACCAAGGAGGGAATTTCGCAAACGTTCTCCCAATGGGTGCATCGGCTCGACAGATCATTGGGCAGGTCGCCTGCCAGGCCGCCCAAGCCTCCAGAAGTCGGACCCGCGCCTCGAACACCAAGGATCACACCACATGCTGGCGACGGATGGAGCACACGCGACGATTGTGGCCGAATACGACTCATTGCTCCGTATAAGACCTCGTCAACCCGCCCCGAATTGACCTTGCAGGCTCCACTCTCTCCACTCAAGCTCTGCCAGCAGCAGTCACGCCAGAATGGACGTAGAGCCACCTTCGTACAGCCAAGTCACCAACAACGAGGAATATCTTCTCCCTCCAGCGACCCTCCGAATAAGCGGCCATGTCATCTACTCTGATAGCTCTGCTGCGGAGCCGCTATATGAGCTGTCGCATGAGCTCATCCATCTCCGTGATACGACAAGAAGCATGACGGTGAAGAGGCTGGACATCATGGTCAAGCCGTCTCCCTCGCCAACAGGACCGCCCTCGCACGCCGTCACACAAAAGCGCCATATATACAATCTGAAACATCCAGGCATCATCACCGGTCCAGTATTCTTGTACAACGCTGAATCCCTCTCGCGACATAGTCTCTGTTCTTTTGGGATGAGCACTTATCGGCCTCGGTTGTTCTCGCTGGCGAATGGGTTCCGAGTACACCGCGTTGCGAAGGGGCCATTCAACGAGGTGATTGCGCAGGGACTGCTATTTTCAGCAGTCTCGACCAAGGCAAGGGCTGTGAGATATGAATGGTCGGGTGAGCGGGGAGAAATTCTAGCGCGCGAGTTGGACTCTGGACAGGGCCCAGAGTTGTTTATTACCAAGGAACTGAGCCTGAGGAAGAGGGATGCACTGGTGACAGCGTGGGTGCTAAGGATGTGGTGGGAGCTCGCCGGGAGCGGAGAGTATGAGTTATGACGTGGCAGTATCGTCTTCTTTGAGAGCGGCATTGTTTTCATCAAATGTTAACCATGGCTTTGGTAGTGTTGTGAGTGGTTGCCTTTGGGACTGTGACGTTGCTTCTTGTACCCTGCCTAGTACATGTCCCAAAGGCTCACTTTTCCATCCTTGGCCCCGGCAGCGACCCAATGAGCTGCTTTGACGCGGTGACTTCGTCTATCCCGAACAGATAGTCGACTCAGGTCAACGACGTCGTCAGCCTCCTGCACCTCGGAGTCGCCGTGTGCCTCTTCGTCTGTCCTTGGTCCGACATCAGAGAAGGTGACGGCGTAAGCGCCCTCTTTGTGCCACTTCAGAACAGCAAGCTCCCTGAGGGTCTTGCAGGAGTAGAGTCGGATCTTGGAGTCCCAACCAGCAGTTGCGAGGATTGCTCCGTCAGACCGAACCTCGAGACTCTGCTGTCCCGAGTGTTTCGTGTTGATTACCCTCCTCGGGTGTTTCCATGCTCCCAATACAGTGTCGTCATCTGCCCTCATTGCATCTTTCGACTTTAAGCCACCAGACGGAAGTGAGTCTCCTTGTTTAGGATTCTCATCGATCTCGTCTATGATGCGCTCCGCTGGATTGAATGGCTTGGCCATCTCTTGCGGGGCTGTAGGGATCGGGTGTTTCGCAACCATGGCATCTGCCCCGGATGTGAAGAAGCATTTCGAGTCTGGCCCAAGGTCCAGAGACAGGATAGGTTGCGAATGTGCCTGCGCTCTGTACGTCATGATCCAGCCCCCTGTAGGAGTCAACCGATGAACGGATGCAAATCCGTTTTCAAAAGCAGCAACCAAAGTCAGGCACTTCTCAAGGTGAACCAAGGACAAGCTCATCACCATTCCATTCCGCCCACCCGGTTTGACTGTATGAATACGTTTCTGAGATGGCAACGTATATATGTCAACCTGTGGATGTCAGCGTGTGACACTGTGATGCCAGACGGGGGAGACCAAAATCATACAGATTCTGATGCCAGAGTATTCGGAACAGCTATTAGAATTTCAGGGCATTTCCTAAGAAAACGCGAGTAGGTCGAGACTTGCGATGGACAAGCTGCGAAGGAGCAAAAGTTCATCGTGTTTACTTGCAGCAAATGCACCACCCAGGGATGACGTCTCTCGACATCGTCACCATCCAACGGTAAGGCTGTGCTGAGGCCGCTCTCGTCTTCTCTTGCAATCTTCCAAACAATAAGCTTGTGATCTCGACCATGTCTTTGACAGTGTGAGCAAGTTGTTATTTGCCAACTGTTACGTGGAAGACAAAAGGGTGCCCATCGGGCCACTTACGTGATGAGCTTGTCGTCCTCCCACCCTCGAAGTCCCAGAGCTGCACTCTCATGAGCACGCCAAACAGCCCTAGGTCTCATAACGGTCAGGTCCCATAGCACCACAAAGCCATCGGAATCGCCCGTCACAAGCCGCTCATTCTGTCGGATGAAGGTGGCCGCATGGATGGCGGCCCTGTGCCCGCGTAGAATGAACTTGGGCGACGGGACAGGGCTAGTCATTGTTCAGCCTCCACACGTGGATTGGACCAGCTAGTTGTGAGTGCTATCTTGGAGTCATCATGTGCTCTCGACTATTCGCAAGTTGCCGGTCCACAGCTTTGCTGAGTATTTGGATACTTTGCGGCTGGTGGGAGAACAAGGAACAGGAGGAGCGGCTTGGTGATCAAACTCCTTCGACAGACGTCACGTGCACACTTCAACCACCCACCTGTTCTCTGGACTGACCACATTGGCGTTTGGCATTTGGCATTTGGCATTTGGCATTTGGGCAACTGACATACAAAACCACAAAAAAAAAAAAGAATAAAAAGAGACGCCAACGCAGGCGATTTCACGCAAGATGTAAAGACTTTTTCTCACATCTTTCGATTCATGACATCACAGGCTAGGCGTGAACCGCAATGCGGCGTCCTCATATGTCGGCCGTCGACAATTCAACCGCGGCCGCAACACCGCTCCCAACCTCTCTGCACGGATGCAAATACTGAGGCCCTCCAACAATTTGCGGTACGGAGTAAACATCGATCCATGCTGATAGCACTTTCTCTGCACGTCTTTGACGAATAACAAGCCGTTGCTAGCGAAAGGGCTGTGCTCAATAAGGCACCCCGTGTGACGGGGAAGAAACGAAGAAACCCCCCTCCCCAAACGTGGCTCGGCGTAGGGGCGAGGACACGGGGTTTGAAGAACCGAGAGTCGGACCTGTAGTGTGCGTTGGATCTCTCGAACTGTAGGAAAATCTGAGACACCGAGGACGCCGGTGAGACATTGCGGCCCAGATGCCTCCATTGGACCAGCCCATTAGCCATCGTTACGGCCTCTAATCCATAACCCAATATATCCGTCACTGGCGCCTGGCATTGGCTGACCGCTTGCAAGTCTCCTCCTTGCCGAGTCTTTGGTCCTTGGACTCCAGCGTGCCCGTACTCCTAGCAGCCCAGCCAAGTTGAGGCTTTTCGCTGCGGACCCAACAGCGGGCATGTATACTTTGTGAAGCCCGTCCGGATCTCCTCCAACGTCCATCAAGTCATGCACCAACGGAACGAGGGAGTTCAGAATGCATGTGCCACATTGCCACAGAGGGTGCCGGCCAGATCGACGTCGCTGAGCCGGCACCTCCGTCTCTCATTTGTATCACAGCCACGATGCCGACTTGTAGATTCAGTCTTATTTTTTTCTTCTCCCAGATTGGTAGTCGCACGAACCTTTTTGGATATGCATTGCTAGACGTCAGTGTCGAATTGTGAGAGCCGCAGATATGATGTAGTGACGTGACATGTTGACACGCCTCCCCCAGCATCCCAACTCGCCTAGTTTGATGAATTGATGCCTTTCTAGAAATTCAATTCAGTCCCCCTAGAGTCTGTCAAGTACATAGAGAGCGGCCATCACCGAGGTAGCGATGACGAAGCTTAAAAGAGTGCGAACGGGCTGTCTCACATGTCGCGAGCGGCATCTCAAGTGCGATGAAGCAGTTCCCGACTGCATCAACTGCCGCAAAAGTGGGCGCAACTGCAAGAGAGGACTGAGGATCAGCTTCCTCGACATCACGGTGCACAATCCGACGCCTCAACGGTGCTTGGGCGCCTGTAAAGGTAACATGGAATCCTAAACGCTCTCGTCTCCGCCCTACTAATCACATCCTGTATTTGCGGAAGCCGTTGGGTTCTGTGACGAGTCTCGTTTGATCGCTTCAGAGTACCAGGGCGGACTACAGCGGTACAGCCGTGTGCGTGCCGACAATAGAGAGACTACCGATTCGAAGGAACAAGGCAAATCTGCCAAGGACTCACGCTCGTCCCATCCCGCAAGCCACCATGGTCTTCTTCACACTCAGTTTGCTGCTGCCCAGGCCTTGATATCTGACGGGCGACAAGACAGCCTCCTCAGTCATCAGGCCGCCGACCAGGATGAAAACCGTCCGGTCTGCAGCTTGCCACCGACGACACTCAAAGCAGCAGGGTACAAGAACCGGAAAGGCTATATAGGCCAGATGGACTGGTCATGTGCCCAAGACTGGTCTATAACGGGCGTCTTCTGCTCGGACGAGCTTCCGATTCACGCACAAACCGGCATGAGGGACTCTAGGAGGGCATCGTTGATCTGCCACGGGCCGACCAACACCGATGACTGGAGCTCGGAAACACTCGTCATGATCAAAGAACCGCATTCCCACGGCAGCAAGTGCAACGACGACATGATGGAGTTCATCGCAACCCAGGATGAACTCAACTATCTGCAGGCCTTTGCAGACGGCGTCGGCGTGTGGATGGACTCGCTCAACAGCGGCAACCACTTCACGCAGGTGATCCCGTGGCACGCACTTAGGTCGTCCGTCCTCCTCAACTCCCTCATGGCGTGCGGAGCAAAGCATCTCTCCCTCAGCAAGCCCGAGTTGGAAGACAGGGCCACGGGGCTCTACAACACGGCCACGGCGCAGCTCGTGCGGATGCTTCAGAACCCGGAACGCAACATTGTCGACTGCACCACGGCATCCATCTTGCTCAACGCGTATGAGGCCATGTCGCACAAGCCCATGCACAAAATGAGCCACATGGTCGGGGCAAGAGCCCTCATCCGAGAGTGTGGATGGAATGCCGCGAGCACAGGCATCCCGGCTTCTTGCTTTTGGCTCAGCATCGGCATGGAGGTTCTGTCCTGCCTGTCCATGAACTGGATGGTCACTTGGCACCCCGACGACTGGGGACTCGATTTGGATTGGAGCCACGACAACGACCTGGGCGACGGCGACGGCAACGGCGACGGCGACTCCCAGACGTGGGTTCACAGATCCTTCTACATACTGGCCAAAGTGGTCAACTTCCGGGCAACGTCGTTGACGTACCATTCCTCAGATCCGCACAAACACCAATCCAGGTTGTCGGACCGGCTCACGGAGTGGCAGGCGCTGAAGCAGCTCTGCGATGACTGGAACAACTGCAGCCCGAGGTCCATGCGGCCAGTGGGCTACTTGGCCAGGAGTGGTTCGAGCGAGCCGTCGGTGTTTCCGAAATTCTGGTCAGTCAAAATCCTCTCCATGTGCATGCGTGCCACTTGGTTAACGTTGACCGGTCCGACAGGCTGGCGCAAACGTCGGCAATGTTGGGCAGGATATTCTATCACACAGCGCAGTGTGTTCTGGCCCAAGTGAACCCGATAGAATCGTCGGAGCAGTCGCCGGAAATGAAGGAACTCCAGCTGCATCATGCTCGCCAGGTCATGGGGATCGTGGCAAGTGATCGTGACCGGAGCGTCATGACAATCGCTTTTCAGGCAGTCGACGTCGCCTTTTTGTCACTGGTAAGCCCAAAGGAACGAGAAGAGGCCTCTTCCATCATTCACCAAGCCCAGACAAGCGGCCACGGAGCCGGCTTGGATCCGCACAGAACGACGCGACAGCGGCCCTTGGCAGTAACGGACTTGTCACAGCGAGAGTCCGTCTCGGCGCTTTCGTTGCCGTTTGAGCAGTCCTGGTTTAGGGCCGCAAACATGTCGAATTGCGCGTCATGGGAATTTGGAAACCAACAGGACGGAAGTGAACCGCCGCCGGTTGACAACCCTCTCGAGTCTGCCTATTTTGGTCACGTAAATCAACCATACAAAACATGGCATCAACCGGTATGTGGGAACGGGCTCGAAGCATTCAGTTTCGGCATGTAAATGATTTGTGCATCGATGGGTTTATACTTCCGGGAGCAACGTACAGGTTGTGCAACTTATTTTCTCGATACTCTTTCTTCTTCCATGTACGTAAATCGAAATTGGCTGGCTGTTAGTGGGCTGCGCCCCAAGAGAAGCGTGTGTGCGCAAGGTGACCGCGCTTTTATTGTGTGAATGTATGCCATGGGGTATCAACGACTCCGTTGTATGCAGTGATGCGTTTTCATCGCAGGACGGTGCTAGGACGACTTTGATGATCCCCCCCCCGATGCGAAATTCATGCTGTAACCCCCCGTCTTTTCATCTTTGACCATCTGGAAATTGTCGGTACTTAACCCAAACGGCCTTAATATGCCGTCTCCGAGGCTCTTCAACTTCCCCCACATTTCCGACATTTCCTTCTCCTGGGCGGCCTTTGTTCGAGGGGGCAGCGCCTTGAGTTGACGTTGAACCGTGCGCAAATCGGCAGCTCCCAAGCCAGGCATTGTCGATAGTGCCTTGTAATCCTCCTCTGCGCCAGCGAGATTTTGCCAACCTCCGGCTTCGGAACGAGCCCGGGCACGTCGCAGCAAGGCCTTGGTGCGGATTCTCTGAATATCTGCTCTTGTCTTTTCCACCGGGGACTTGTCGGGTTGCGATGGCGCAGGGGCAGGAGCAGCACGGGACGCGCCAGAGCTGATGATTTCTTCGTCGGCATCGTCTGCATCTGTGGCGGAGGGCTTCCCGGTTTCCTGGTCGCGCGAACTCGAAGCTGTCGGGTTGCCAGTTGAATTGCACAGGTCCGGGTCTGTCTTGTCCAGCTCCCCCAGTCCATCCAGTGCGTTGGTGGCGATTTTGATGGCCTCCTTCCACTGCTCTACCTGCAAGTGGCAGGCAGCCATGTTGCTCTGAATCACGGCACGTTCGTAGTGCAGATAGTTGGGACACGACGACATGGCATCTTCGTACCTGGCCAGTGCATTTTCATAATCCCCTGACGAGTACAAAGCGTTTGCCTCCGCTCTGATCGAGCTAGACTCTGCAAGCATTGCCTATCGGCGGACGGACATGACATGATTAGCTTGTGACGATCGAGGTTGGGTGACAAGCGGGCATGAAGTGTCGGCCGCTCGCGGGTTGCGCGCTCACCTGCTCGTTCTCGATGGAAAACTTTACCACGTGGGGCACCGTGCCAGCCGAGGAGGAATCATGCTGAGATGGATTCGAGAGTACACTTTCACGCCCGACAAGTTCGTCCATGTTTCGAGGAGACGGCAGCGGAGAAATTACAGATGCAGAAGACAAAGGGCAGTATTGCGGGAGGCCAAGTGGGGGTGCGTCTGTTGCGAGGGAAAGAGGAGCTTGAGCTTACGTACAAAGAAGAAGAGAGAATAAAAAAGTCGGGTTACATGTATTTACATGTAAATACATGAAATAAAAAAAAAAAAAGAGAGAGAGAGGGTGAGGGCGAGGGTGAGAGTGAGAGAGTGAGAGTGAGAGCGAGAGACTGCCGCACAGCGATTTAATTGTGGAGCCCGCGGCATCACGAATTGAAAACTTGCATCAAACTTCTCTGGGGCGAGACGACACGTTTGTGGCCCCCGTACGTTCATAAGACGACACACCCGGACAGCATGGAGGTGGACTGAAAAATCATTCATTTTTAATCTGTCATTTGCCAACATTTCCAACCTTTGTTGCGTCGAGACAACCAGTCAGTCCACCTCCATCTTTGAGGGTTTCCGAATTCCCAGCTCAGCTCGTCGCTCCATGCAACGACTTGTGCTGACCAGGCGTCTAGAAACCTGCTTGGATACAACATGGCGCCCAAAACAGAGTAAGTCTACCACGGCAGTCTCGAAAGTGTTTGAACCATCCTGATCCAGCACTCCGCCTTTCCTACTCCTGCTCCTCCTGCTCCTCCTCCTCGATCCATCCATGTCCAGCGGTATCCCCCCCCCCAAAAAAAAAATAAGAAGAAAAAAAGGGCCGCACTGACTCCAGCCCAGTTTCCCCCCCGTTCGGGCCTGTCTCTTCGACATGGACGGCCTGCTCCTGGATACAGAAGATCTCTACACGCTCTGCGTGAACCTCGTCCTGGACAAGTACGGACGGCCGCCGCTGCCGTGGTCCGTCAAGGCCAAACTCCAAGGCCGCCCAGGTCCCGACGCGGCCAGGATCTTCTCCGACTGGGCCCGGCTGCCCATCACCCACGACGAGTACACGGCCCAGCTCCTGGTGTTCCAGAAGCAACTGTTTCCCACGACCAAGCCGCTGCCCGGCGTGGTGGACTTGCTCAGCAAGCTCGTGCAACCGGACGCGGCACGCGTCCACATTGCTCTGGCGACGAGTTCCCACAGGTCCAGCTACGAGCTCAAGACCGCCCACCTCGAGGACGTGCTGTCCATGTTCCCGGAAAACCGCCGCGTGCTCGGCGACGACGCTCGCCTGCAGCCGGGGAGGGGCAAGCCACTGCCCGACATTTTCTTGCTGGCCCTCAAGACCATCAACGACTCCCTCCCGGCCGGCGAGAAGCCAATCGCGCCCGAGGAGTGCCTCGTGTTCGAGGACTCTGTGCCAGGCGTCGAGGCCGGCCGACGCGCGGGAATGAGAGTGATTTGGGTCCCGCACAAGAAGCTCAAGGAAGAAGTGGCCGGCAGGGAGGCGGAGATTCTGGCCGGCCGCACCGGAGAGGCCGGAGACGTGGAAATGCACCAGGTGGGCGAGATTGGGGACGGCTGGGCCGAGGAACTGGCCACCTTGGAGGCATTCCCGCTCAAGAAGTACGGCATTGCTGTTCCTTGTTGATGGGGCCGGGCGAGCGGTGCCCCGTCGCGATCCAAGGCCTCGCGTCTCGGTTTGATTTGGAGCGTGGCAACGACACACGTTCTGACGTATGCACGCCTTTTTTTTTCCTGGTTTCCCCGGCGTTCTGTTGTTGTAGCGGCGTCGAAAGGGGCCCGCTTGGCTCTGCCCACCGTCCGTCCTCTCTCTAGAAGCTGGCGTGTGTATCGTGGCACGTGTCGCAGCGCCGGTCTATTCAGTTCTATGCCTCAATTTACCTCGAATCTATAGATTAATACACGTCTTGACATGACGAAAATGCGCAAAACGGCCTCTGTCTGTCCCAGCACAGCCCGCCCGCCGTCTCGCCTCGCGGCACCCAAGCAGGCAGAACCCGGATGCGAGCCTCGCGCAATTGTACACAACCCGGCGCCGCGGTCCGTCCGTCCGTCCGTCAATGCCCATAGCCAGCCAGGTACAAGGATTCAGCGGTCAGGGCAAAGGGCGCACCCGCATACTCGTCGTGGCCGGGACGCCCGCCGTCGGCCAACACGTCCCGCCGTCGCAGGTACGCATTCCGGCCCGTGTGGCCCGCGGCCTCGAGCCCTCCCACGTCGGCAGCAGCTGTTGGAACAGGGCCCAGAACGTCCTCGGCGGCACGGCCGTGGCCCGCGGGCACGTAGCAGGACGCCGGGGCCGCCACCGGAGAAGCGCGCGCACAGCCCGTCGGAGTCGACGTCGGCGTCCAGGCAGCGCTCCGCGGAACGTCGAGGCACCAGGCCAGCGAGGAGGAGGACGACGACTGGTGCTGGTGCTGGCCCCTTTGGCCGCCGTGTCGCCCCGGCACCCGGGGCGTCGTCGAGCTCTCGCCCACCTCGCCGGCCAGGTCGCAGCGCCCATCGTACGGGAGCCGAGCGATGATGGAATGGCCGTTTGGGAACGACATGTCTGGCATCGTCCGCGGGGGAGGAGGAGGAGGAGGGCACGCAGGCCCGCCACCGCCGCTGCCGTCGCAGCCCACGGCGACGGACGCCCGGAAACGGCGCAGCTCGGCCTCGAGGGCCTCGTTGCATCGCAGCAGGTGCTGGCACTCTCTGCTGAGGTCCCTGCTTTGAAGCCGGCGGACCTCGTGCTCCAGGCGCGCAATGTGTTCCTTGGTTCTTGCCCGAATGGCCCTCTGCGACTCGCGGTCGTTGGCGCGCTTGCGCTCCAGCTGTGCCGAGTTCAGGCCCGACGCTGCTTCCGTGTTAGCCGCCTGCGGGCATGTTGCACCCTGTGTGTTCTCGGGGGCCAGGGGCCGGGGTTCAAGGCTTCACTTTTACGCTTGGCAGTTTTGCTCGCAGCATCGGACGCGTTCGAGGTCAGTGTTGACATTGTGACGGCCCCGATGACGGCCGTCCACGAGCTCAGGTGAGGTCGTCCTCTTTTTCAAAATCGTCCACAGAGTCGGGGACAGACGTGGGAAGAGAAAGGGGGGGACGGCGGAGGGGGGCAAGCAAGGAGTTATTACAGCTCTGCGAGGCCAGATGGAGATGGCAGGTAGAGAAGCCTTGCGGCCAAACTGGAACAAGGCGAGAGACGGATGCAAAGGCAGATAAACGGGCTCTGGAAGTAGCCGGCTCCCGCGCTGTGCGGACGCAAGCTGGAGTGCGCGACGTGTTGGCGGCGGGAACCTAATCGCAGCGCGCCTTGGGGATGGGTTCCTCGACGTGGGCAGTGGCCCAACGGTCGGGGTCGGCGGGAAGGATTCTTCACCGTGTGGTCGCATCTTGGCCTGTACAGTTCCTGGGTTCACGTCGATGGAATGGGCCTTGTTGTGCGACGCAGTGGTCTCTGGATCCTCACGTACGCAGTAGCATTGGACGTAGATGCCAGAGCATATTCCGAGCTGGGAACGGGGAATGCGCGTCAAGACGACGACGGGATGCCGCGCGGTACCCAGACGCGCAACGACCTGGAGAAACGACGTGCGCGCAATGTCCTGCAGCCGCGACCGAGTGCGTCTCCTGGCCGCCACGGTTGGTCTCTGGCCCTGGAGGAGTCTGAAGGCTCGGAGGGAGGCGGCGACGGACGTGACGTCGCGTTATCAATCGTCAGGGCGCGGGGGACAAGGTTTCACCCCTCGTCGTCGGCATGAGCCGAGCGAGGCACACCCGCACGCCCGTCCGCGCCGTCGGGGCGTCCGCGCCCGGGCTGCTTGGGCTGCTTGGCGTCCCGGCGATTGCGCAGGTGTCTCCAGCAGCCGTGGCATCTCCCTGGCACCCAGCCAGGTATGGAGCAAGTCGACGCATGTCGTAAGTTATATCCGGGGCACACTCCGCAGGGACGCCGCGAGACGGACGTGGATGCGGCGGGGTCTTTTCCCTCCTCGGCTGCAAGCATGTACAGTGTACACGTCGGTAGGAAACAAGACGGAGTCTTGGTCGGTCTCGACGTCAACCGGGGGACTCGAGCGATGTCGGCGTCGTCGGGGCCGCAGTACCAGGTAGCGGCAGCCAGCCATTGGGCGTGTCTCGGTCTCGGCGTCGGCACCCACGAAGTGCTGGTGCTCCGTACAAGCAACCGAGGTGGGTACTCGCTTACGTAAGTGCATACTTGCCTAGTAAGTAAGTACTTGGGTACCCAGGGCCCAGGGGCATAACGTGTTAATACGAGTATTTATACCTACCCAAGTACGGAGTACCGTCCGAGATTCCCCGACACTATCCATGTCCGCAGCGGAACAGCAATACGGACAGGTGCTGGTACAAGCACTCGCACTAGCACGAGCACTGATACTAGTGCTAATCAATACTTACGTACTTCCTACTTAGGTACTTGTACCAAGACGAATTGATTCAATGCCAACAATTCATAATGACGAGCAGCAGGGAAACTACTCAATGCCCAGTCACATGGCCAGGCCTCCACGGCAAGCGACCGACAATGTGGCTGAGTCACTTCTCCCACCAGCCAGTGGTGCTTCCCCACGTCCAAGACGGATCCGGGTGCGACGAGGCAGTTCCAAGACAAACTTTGCCAGTCATCCTCCTCCGTACGTGCGTGCGTGAAGTAGCATTATGCCAGGGATCTTGCAAATCCACCCGCCTCGCAGCGCCGCCCCAACGGCCCCAGCAACTCTCGCGCGTCCCGCAAGGAAGCATCAGCCAATCTTGCTTTTCGAGCGGCCTGCCGCGATGCCATGATGCGATGCCATGACGCCAAGTTGCTCCGGAGTCAGGCGTCAGGACTCAGGACTATACGAGAGCCAAGCACGCGGCCACTGCTTCCACCTGCAAAAGCAGGCATTCTGAACGCTTCAGTGGGGACGACCGGGCCGGCTACGTGGCGGATGCAAGCCATCATGTGCCGAGCGAGCGAGATTGCTCTCCCGGCGAGCTGCGAGGTGTCTCGGTTGCGTTGCTCGAATCCGGCTCATGTCCCTCGCTCGTTCGCCCGCCCGCCCAAGCTCAAGCTCAATCAAGCCTTTTCTACCCGTCTCGACCCTCAGCCATGCCCTGCTGGCTCTGGCTGCCTATAAGTATCCTCGCTTGTCCCGGCTTGCCTGGCTGAATCTCGACGTCCGTCTTTACCCATCACTTGTCAAACTTGGCCCACTGCCGTTGCCGTTGCCGTTGCCGTTGCCGTTGCCGCGAGACCCGTGCCTTGATTCACGACATGTGGCCCAGTGCTGTTGCTGCCTTGTGCGTGCTGCCGTTGCCGTTCCTGGCGTCGGCAGCACCCGTCACGGAAACCGCCCCCAAGGTCGACTATGATGTCATCATTGTCGGGGGCGGCCCGGCTGGCCTGGCTGCCTCGAGCGCCCTCGGGCGTGTCCGTCGCAATGTCTTGATGGTAGATTCTGGCGAGTACAGGAACGCGGCTACGAGGCATATCCACGATGTTTTGGGCTCTGATGGTTGGTACCGCCCGCCTTGGAAAGAAAGGAAAGGACAGGGGACAAAAAAAGAAGACGCACACATACGTCAGTGGTCTTGGCTAACCAGGCGTCTTGGATAGGTGTTACTGGTGCCTACTATCGGTTCAAGGGCCGGCAGCAGGTATCCCACTACGGTACCGTCGACATGATCAACGGAACCGTGACCAAGATTACGCCCCAAAACAACAGCAGCAGCAGCAACTGCTACACGCCCCAAGGGGGCTACACCCTCTTCACCGTCACCATCGCCCGCGAGGACAACGAGCCGCAGACGCTCACAACCTTCAAGGTCGTCATCGCCACCGGGCTCAAGGATCTTGTCCCCGACACGCCCGGCCTGCTCGAGAACTGGGGCAAGGGAATATACTGGTGCCCCTGGTGCGATGGTTACGAGCACGCCGATCAACCGCTCGGTCTGCTCGGTCCCATGACAAGTGTGCCCGGCACGGTTCGCGAGGTCCTCACTCTCAACCGGGACCTCGTAGCCTTTGTCAACGGCACCGACACGCCCTCTAACCGCGAGGCCATCAAGAAGGCTGAACCCAACTGGCAAGACTATCTCCGGCTGCACAACGTGACGGTTGACAACCGCACCATCGCGTCAATAGAGCGCCTGCGGAGCGGCGTCGACCCCAACGCCGACCCCAGCTTGTTCTCGTATCCAGAGTACGACCTCTTCCGCGTCCACTTCGTCAACGGCCCGCCCACCACTCGGGCCGGCTTCATAACCAACTTCAAGAAAGAGCAGCGCTCAAGCATCGGGCAGGAGGCGGGCGTCGTGCTCCTCGGCGAAAAACTGGGCGTTGACCCTGCAAAGGGCCTCGTCACCAGCGTCCCCGGCATTCACGCCGTTGGCGACTGCAACTCGGACAATTCGACCAACGTCGCCCACGCCTTGTACAGCGGCAAAAAGGCCGCCGTCTTTTTGCACGTGCAGCTACAGAGGGAAATTGCCGACCGGGAGCTGAGCGACCTGTCTCGGACGTTGGGCACTAGAAGTCTTGACGAGGACGCCCGCTCTCTCTGGGACCGCATGAATGGCGACGAGGACGACTTGTTGTACGCGGGGCCTTTTGACCAGTAAATATATATCGCACATGGACTTTATTGTTGTGTATAGCATGGCACGAAACGCCCAGACCGCTGATGCCAGGTACTACTGATGCGGAGACCGGTATGTCTTGTAGACATGTAAAAGAAGCGGTCGCATGATCCATTGTTTCAGGATCGTGAAAGGTGTATCCCGGATAATAGATCCTTCAAGACCTGCAGTTATCCCACGGGGAATCTAGAGGCCACATGCATGGATGGTATGTGCAGCGACGCCGTCGGAATAAGGAAAACTGCTGCAAAACCCAGTCTTGTCAGTCATCTGTCGAGAGGTCGATGAAATGAAAATGAAAATAACCAACCGGCAGCTTCCACGACCCGGGGCTACGAACCGCCGCCGCCGCCATGGCCGCCAGCCCATCTCGCCGCTCGTTTGCGCGACTCGACGTGCAAAGACACACGCGTCGCCGTGACATGACGTGGAAATCCCTCCCGTAGTCCACATAAATCTGCAACACGCCACTTATCGACATGGTACAGCTGGCAATACGGCGGCGGCGGCGGCGGCGGCTGCAGCTCCCCCCGCAACCCGAAGAGCGGTAAACAGCCGAGATGCTCTCCTGTAGATTGCAACAGAATACGAAATACGCCAAACGTCGGATTAGAGTCTCCACGCCTGACTGCCAGCAACGCGCGGGCGCAACATCCGTGCTGTATGTATGTGTGTGTCATGTTGCTGACACTTCCGCAGCTGCAGAGCATCATCGTTCTGGTGGCTGTCAAAGTAATCTGGGGTTCGGCATTGGCCGTCGACTTAACTTGTGGCGTGCAGCCATCTCGGCACCCGAGCAAGACGGCCGTGCGGGGAGCTCGTCAGCCCATGACTGTCCAAAAAAACACCGACACGGAGAGAGAGGCTCTCGGTGTCGATCCAACAACGACACCTCCAGACGTCCAGGCGACAGCGTCATGGCCGACTCCAACTTCTCACTCACAAAAACCCTTGTAGCCTCCGACACCGCCGCCTTCCAGCAGGCTACGCAGTCGACCTTTCTCAGGCGAGCAGCCGAGGGCAAGGTCTCCAAAGAGATTCTCGGACAATGGCTCGCCAACGACCGTCTCTACATCCGGGGATACATCCAAGGAATCGGCAAGACGCTGAGCTTCCTGCCCCTCCCGGAAACAGTGCCGGCCTCGCCACAAGACAGGGAAACAGCAACGACTCGACTCCTGGACTGGCTCATCGACGCCATGGTCAACATCCGCCGCGAAGAAAAATTCTTTGTCGACACGGCACGCAGATTTGGCATCAATGTCAACCTGCCCGTTGACAAAGACGGCCACGTCTGCGACAGCGTCAAGCTCCAAGGTCTACGCCGCTTCGAGGCGCTCTTTGGCGGGCTCGGCCCCGGCCCCGGCTCCGCGCTGCCATGGCTAGAATGCGCAGTCGTCTTTTACGGGACGGAGAGGTGCTATCTGGAGGCGTGGACTTGGGCCAAGGACCAGCTCGAGCTGGGCGAGGTCGGGGGCGGAGATGCCGATGGCGGGGCGCTGCGCGCCGAGTTTATTCCCAACTGGACGGGAAGCGAGTTTGTTGCCTTTGTCGACCGGCTTGGCAAAATCCTTGACGATGCTGTGGTGGAGTCCACTGGAGACGCCGGAGATGAGGGTGCGGGGAGGAGGCGGGAGGAGCTTGTTGAGCGGTCTCTGGTCAAGTGGCGAGAGCTGCTGGCGGCTGAGAAGACGTTTTGGCCAGCGATGGAGTAAGCAGTCGTCGTCGTGGTACTCCGTACTGGCCCGGGAAGCAATGTTTCGAAGGCTGCGCTCTGTGCAAAAGTAACTACTCGGGGATGGACGACGGATACGAAGGGTAGGAAACAAGCCGGAGATGATGGATGGCAGGGCATGTGTCCTGCATGATGGTGACTCTGTGAGGCAGGCAGGCTCAGGCTGGTCAGTGGGACAGGGAAAGCAGGCAGGCCCCAGATGTGGGGTGGGGCCCGGCGCCAGTTGACGACAGGCACTGGAGTGCTGGCGACGACGACGATGCCCTCCGCACAGCCACAGCCAATTTTATCCCGTCGCCCATGCGCCTCTCTCCTCCAAGCCGGCCCCTGTCAAAAGGTCAAGGGAAAGGCGGCGCAGTCGCAGTCGCAGTCGCAGTCGCGTCCGCGTCCGTCCTGGTGTCGTGCGAGTCGTGTGCGGCCCGCTGCTGCGCCACCACTGACGCTGGCGGGTGGCCTCCGACGAGGCGCACTCCGTTGCCAGCTGCACGCAGCACCCCGCCGCAACGGTTCATGGTCTTGGCTCGAGCGCCCCCACATCATCTGACGCTGAGTGCTTTGTTCACGGCTTCAGCTTTGTCAGATGATGTGATATTTAAGCCGCCCTCGTCCGTCAAAGCAACCGCCTCTCCTCTTCCCTGTACTCTTCCCCAAACCACTCGCTCATCTTGCCCCCCCGACGATCGGCATCGTACATACCCTCATAAAAGCTTAGTTTGGAAAAGGAAAAACCACCCCCCGGCCACATGTCCAACCAGGGTTACTACGGCGGCGGCGGCGGCGGCGGCGGCGGCAGCTACCCCCAGCAGCCGACCTACAGCCAGCAGTCCGGATACGACGGCCAGCAAGGCGGCGGCCAGCAAGGCTACGGCCAGCACGGCTACGGCCAGCACGGCGGCTATCCCCAGCAGGTACGCATACGCGGCACACAGGCCCAGCAACGTCGGCGATCCCGGCACTGAAAATACCCGCTAACCCTCGCGCCCTCCCCTCGCACAGCAACCATACAACCAGCAGCAGCCGTCCTACGCCCAGCCCCAGCCGCACGGCTACAACAACCAGTACGACAACCGCGGCCACTCGCCCCAGCCGTCCCAGCAGTACGGCCAGCCTGGCGGTGCCGCCGCCGACTACGCCGCGGGCGCTACGCAGGGCGGCCACGGCCAGGCCGGCCAATACGCCGCCGGTCCCGCTGGCCCCGATGGTGAGCGCGGCCTCGGCGCAACCCTCGTCGGAGGCGGCGGCGCCGCCTGGGCTGCCCACAAGGCCGGCGGCGGATTCTTGGGCACCGCCGGCGCTGCCATCGCCGGTGCCATTGGCGCCAACGTCCTGGAGCACGCCTTTGACAAGAAGAAGAAGAAGAAGAAGAACGGGAGCCGTGGTCTGGGCGACGACTCTGATTGAGCGAGTGCGGGGTGGCTTGTGAGATTTTTTTCTTCATGCCGGCTTGATGGGAGCATCGTCACTATTTACGGCCCTTTAGTATGCTCTCTGACGGATTTTGTGTAGGCGCATGGATGGGATGGAATGATGACAATACGATTTGCATTTACGCATTAGCTTCATGAGATTGATCAAACACAAATAGAAGGACAAGAGCCCTAGCCGCGGCTCGCAGCAACCCTCCTCTCCTCATGCTCGTCAACGTCACAGGCCTTGGCGTGGCCATGGTCCTGGAAACGGTCGTCGTGGGCGACGCGGCCAACCGTCTCGACACCAACAGCCTGCTTGGCATCCGTGTCGTGACCAACGTCAAACTTGCGGCGCAGGTGCTCGGGCCCCAGAAAGGCAAGCAGCAGAATGTAGGCGTAGACGCAGCCCATGAAGATGCAAATGACCCGGCCGTACTCGTAGCGCCTGACGCCCCTTTCCGTGGGCGGCAGCGGGAAGCGCTCGCCGAGCCGGGCCTCGATGGTGGACGAGGCCGACGAGACCAGGTTGCCGAGCTGGTAGGCGGTGCCGACTACAAAGGTGCGAAACGCCCCCGGCGACAGCTCCATGAGGTGGATGGGGACGACGCCCCAGGCGCCCTGGACGCAGAACTGCTCGAAGAAGGCGGCGGCCATGATGGACTTGTCCCTCGCGAAGCCGTAGGGGTACAGGAGTGCGCCGCCGACGACGCAGCAGACGACGATGCTGAGGCGGCGGCCGACGGACTGGCTGCAGAAGCCGACGACGGTGCCGCCGGACATGGCGCCCAGGTTGGCAACGACCTGCGTCACCGTCACGGCCGTCTTGCTGAAGCCGAGCTGGTTCTCGAGCATGGTGGGGTACAGGTCCTGCGAGCCGTGGCTCATGAAGTTGAAGCCGGCCATGAGCAGGACGAGGTAGGTGAGCAGCAGCCAGTGCCGCTTGAGGGCCACCTTGCCCTCGCTGACGAAGACGGCGCCGGCCGACTTGCCAACGTGGCCGGCCTCCTTGCGCATGCGCTCATGCTCCTGGAACACCTTGGTCTCGGGCAGCACCAGCCGGACGGCGATGAAGATTACGGGGGGGCACGCGGCGAACCAGTACAGAGGACGCCATCCGTGGGACGTGGTGTCGACCAGGCCGCGGGCAAAGGCGGCGCAGAGCAGGTAGCCAAACGCGTACTGCGAGCGGGCATGTGAGAATGTCGGTTAGCCCGTGGAACCAGCACGACAGCACACGTACATATCATGTATGAATGGAGGGAAAGAGGGAGAGGGAGAGGGAGAGGGTCGGAATGATACGCACGCCTTGCTGAAGGACACCGCTCATGAGACCACGCGCCTCCTCAGGAAGATCCTCGAGCGCCGTGGCGGCAGCGTTCCCGTACAGACCACCCATGGCAACGCCAAACAACGCGCGACATGCGAGAAACTGCGAATACGTCTGGCTGAAACCAGTGCCCTAATCCAGGAGCGTTAGCGCAAAGTCACGGACGCGGCGGTTCTGGCAACACGAATGAGACCCAAGCCATCGGCAAATGGTCGTCGGATGGCCATCGGATGGCGGTCGGGTGGCGGCGTCTTGACAGTCTCGCCGTCCGTATCAGACACGTCAAGTACCGAGGCGAGAGACCAACGAGACCATCCAGATCAAGCACGATGCGGTGGGCGCTCAGGGGTGTGTTGCCAGACGCACATTTGACGTCGATGGTTGATGATTGATGATGATGGAGCCGGAGGTCCATCGTACCAGTTCAAGAACAATGAAGAGCAAGTTGTTCACAATAAAAGGCCATCGACGGCCGTATCGATCGCTGGCAATGCCAAACAAGATGGCCCCCACAGATCGGAACATGAGAACCAGGGTGATGCCCCATGTGATATCGGCGGCGTTTTTTCCAAACTCCTTGGAAAGGTCAGACACGGTTAGGGAGACGGTAAAGAAGTCAAAGGCATCCCACGTCTAGGAGGAAAAGCTGTCAGCACTAACTAGCCCTGGGCCTAGGCGAGATGACTTGAACGAATGGGGTCTTGGCCTTTCCGGCACTCACCCAGGCACAGAAGGCCAAGGCAAAGAATGCCCAGTTTTGCGCGTTGAGCATGAGCATCAACCTAAGGGGATTGGGAACGGGCAGCATGGGCGGTTTGAGCGTTGAGAATCGTGTCGCGAGGTACTGGCCGGCCGACATGCCCTCGTGAGGCGCGGCGCCTTCACTTTCGGCGCCCTCGCTCGTGTGACGTCCCATGGCCGTATCGCTTGACGGTGAATGATGCATGACAGGATTAGGATGTCTGTCAGTTTCTCGTTTCTCGACTCGCAGCGGTCAAGGGTGGGAGGGAGAAACGAAAGACGACGACAGGAGGAGGCAAGCGGAGGGGCAGCAAGGTGCCGGTGCAAGCCACGCACAGCATTCCGGATCAGGCACCCAAGGAGCGCCGGGCAACAGTGGTTATATATCCATCGTGAGGCCGTCAACAAGACGATGGCGCCGGGCTGATGACTGGACCGACTCACTCGTTCACGCAGCTCCGCAACCGAAAGCGAAAGCGCTTGAGCGCACTCCATATGGTAGCGGACTCGGAGCCCGACACGGTGATGACTGATCAGCAGGTCCCGAGGCGTGGCCAAACAGCCCTAACCCTAACATGTTAACTACCAGTAGGAAAGAACTGCCCCGGGTTGTCACCACGTCGCTACCTAATTTAAACTTTGAATGCCTCGCCCGCCGTCCATGGAAAGCTTGGCTTTGTCCGCGCATCGGGTTCGCGAGCCATTACGGACGCAGCGATAGCTGGATTGGAGCCCCCAAGTCCCGACGCCGTCGTCGTCAACGAGACTGCCGGCCAAGATTTGAAATCCTGGACCTGCTCGTATCAGCGATGAGTCTCGGCGACCCCACGCCATCTCGGCAATCTGGTGCCGGCTCCGACCCACCACATGCGACGCTGGCCACTCACATTGAAGCAACGTCTTGGAGATTGAGATGCGTCGCCAGCCCGGCGGTTCGCGCGTCAGCCAGCAGTGAGCACTGACCAGGGGAGAGAGATTGTTGATGTTTAAAACCAGCACCACATGCATGCAGGGCGCATGCGGCAGCACACACGCACACGAGCCACCATGGAGGAGACTCCAGGTCCAGGAGGCCCCTCGGCCGCCCTCGGGTGCGAACAAGTTACGACGGCTGTCCGGGCAGAATTGCCAATTCCGGCTCCGGCGTAGCATCGACGGGGAACACGGTTTGCCGTCCCGAGTCCTGACGAGACATGATCGCGAAGACGCCAAGATGCGGCGCCAAGAATCAGGCCGAGTAGAGAAACGAGAGGAGCCGTTGGGCGCGTTGCCGTGCGCTCTCCTCTGTCCGCCGGCACAAACACGGCGGCACGTCCGAACACAGCAAAACATGCACAGACTACAACGTCGCAACATAGATGACTAGACATTAGCAACAAAGAAAAAATAAAAAAAAGAAAAAAGAAAAAAGAAAAAAAAGAAAAAAAAAGGAAAAAAAAGAAAAAAAGAAAAAAAAAAGAAAAAAGAAAAACCAGTCCTGCCACTCCACCGACGACGCAGCGCTCCGTCGGCATCCAGTTCTGCCGCCGAGCTCGCTTGCCGTCAAGTATCGCTGCGTCCCGCAAGCGAGCCTCGGCGAGCCTCGTCAACGGGCCCCGGCGCCAGACCCGGAGCACGGTGCATCCAAGTCAAGTAGCGACACCATCTGCAGCGCAAAACACCTTTGGAACTTTGTGACGGACAGACAGAGCCACCCCCCCCCCCCCCCCCCCTATCATTCCTTGTACGCCGTGTACCGTTCGTGACCATGGGCCCGTCTCCATACAATCCATCATTCCCTTGGCAAACATGATGGGCCTCATCATGAGAGCGAGTCATCGAGACGCCTAGACTCGTCGCACACCATCTCATGAATCCAAACCATGACGTCGCATACGGCTAGTCCATGTCGAGCAAAGAGTCAACACGAGAAAATGAATGTATTAAGTGAGAAATGGTCGACAAAATAATACTCGTCTAAGTATTTTTCTTTGCCAAGTGAGCCGAGTCAAGATACCACGCGTTCCCACATTTTCGTCTCACCGGCATTCATTTCAGCCACCCCTATTGTGACTCTGCATATAACCATTCCAGATCCCTTCAACGCCGACCCCTTGCCTGATTAATCGCCGGGTATCCGTCCTGTTTGTATAATCCTACAATATACGCCCACCGTTACGTTACTCGTCCCGCCCCCTTTTTCGCCTGGTACATGGCCTTCAAAAAAACGACTGCACGTCCCGTGTTCCCATACGTCACCGAGTGATTCAGGGTTGTGAAAAGCCGCCTCACTACAGGCATGCTGCGCCATCAAGCATGGACAGCGCCAACCCTTGGGCTGACTGTCAAACGCCGCCACCCATAAACGCAGCGAGGTCATCTAGGTCGAGAAGCTGTCTCTCAAATGCCTGGCAAAGCTCTGGCGCCGTCATGTCTTGGCTCGTCGTCTGTCCATTTTGGGTCACCGCGACTCCATTCGAGCCAACGTCGGGACTCCGCTGCTTGACATCGTTTGCCTGCATTGCGGCCTGTGGTGCGCCCGGAGGGGGCGACGTAGTGACCGAGGGTGTTGCGATACCGCCCGAGCCTCCGTTGATGGTCGTGACGCCGCGTCGAGGAAGAGCGACGGCGGGTGGCTCACTGTCACCCCGAGCAGACTCCGAGGCCGACCTCGGAGCAGAGCCGTGATGGGAAACGCCAGAGCCTCCAGGCTGGTGGTCATACTCCATCACGTCGGGGTTGGTGTCGGCGTCGGAAGAGACCTCATCCTTAACGCCAGCAGCAGACTGGTGAGAGCTGGAGCCATGTCGTTGAGTCGAGGGAGAACCGCTGTTGGCTGCCGCGGCATCATTGTTGAGAACCCGCTGCATGACAGTAAGATGCCTAAGCCAACTCGACATTAGAGGCCAACTCTCGGTGCCATCATGCATGAACTTCAGCCCATCCTTGACAATGTGAGCGGCTGTTTCGACAGCATTGGGAGGCGTAAGCCCCTTGAGAGACAAGTAGGCAACGGTTGCGCTGGCAGTGAATGCAGAGAACAGCATCACAATGGGGAAGCAGGTTGGATGGTCCTTCTCAGAACCAGCTTCCACCGCGTCGAGAAGAGAGATTGTTCCGTGGCAAGAGGTGAAGAGTCTGTCCACAAAGTCATGGCATCGGGGATTCATTCGGAACGCCTCCAAATTAAAGTTTGGCGATATCACGTCCTGCAGCAGACGTCGACGATGGACAAAAACGGTAGCGCAATGCAGCAGGCAGTGGAGCATGGCAAAGGTATATCCAGAGCCCATAGTCATGTGCAAGTTGATTTGGCCCGGCTTGTCAACAAACTGCATGGGCAACGAGGCACGAAGACCCTCAATCTTTGCAAACAGCTCGCTGCAGTCTTCATCGCGAAAGGACTGTACCGTGGTTGCCGTGAGCATACCCACCACATCACGCCAAATGGTGGCGGCGAGGACAATGTATCCGAATTCGCCAATCTCACCAACAGAGCCGTGGCCAGGGGACAAGGCGCTGTGGCCGAGATATTGGGGTAGGGTCTTGACGTAGACAGCGTTGCCGAAGGCAAAGTTGATGTCGGAGCAAGGAAGGGAAATGTCCGACGTGTCTTGGACCGCAAGAGCCGCAAACCGGCCAGGAGTGCTCGTCAAGAGGCAGTCAAGGACGTAGACCAACCACAGGGTACGTCGTAGGCTTTCATCGCGAAGGAACTGGTCTGCCTGGTCCGAAGAGTGGTGGTTGTTGAGAATGCGGTACATCTGCAGCATACGGGCCGCCTGGCCAAGGTAAATGTACGCCCGCACTGCGTTTCTCGTGCCCCATTCATGGATAACCACGAGGCAGAGGGCCTGGATGTCGGCCAGGTTGGGTTGGTCCAAGTTCTGGTTGATCAGTGCAATTGCCTTGGAGGCAAATGTCTCTGCAGCATGGGTTGGGCTTCCATATCGACGAATAAGTGCTGGTGAGCTCCTGCGAATAACCGGTCAGAGACAAGATTCGGCAAGCAACACAGAGGTATGAATGGAGTGGTGGCGCGACGCGCAGCGATGGGTGGCATTTGGCAGCACAGGCATGCAAAGCGGCCACAGGATGGGCCGATGCAGAGCCCATCTCGTCCAGGCGGCGCAATGATGTCACTGATGGTGTTGTCGGGGAAAATGGATGAAATTCCAAGCCAACCAACGAGAAAACTTACCGAGCAGCACAAGTCAGGAGACCATAAACAAGTGTCGACTCCAAAGAGGCATTCTTCAGCTGCTGGACAAACGTGGGCTTATGGAAAGCTACGCAGGCCGGAAACGTCTTTGAGACGACTCGCTCACATTCAGCGACGAGTTCCGGCGTCAGTCTGAGGGGCAAGAGAGGTCAGCAAGAACAAGACAATCGGCTGGGGGGGGAGAGCATTGCAAATGCGCAGTTGGGGGCAACGCCGGGTGGGCAAAGGCGAGCACCCATCACGAGCGACATGGCGCCACCCGAGACGAGGCCGACCATGTCATGTACGCAGCAGCATGCCAAGGAAGAAAAAAAAAAGCCTGGCTTCCACGCCGGTGCAGACGGGGCCATCCCCCGCGGCAGCTCGTAGGCATGGATGGCTCGATTGGTGGACCGGGGGCGTCGCAGCGATCGACAGCCGCGGAAGAGCGTTCGGTGCTTTAGCTCGGTGCCATGTGAGGTGGGATGGGGAGACGACGGGTGGTCAGGCAGCGCGCATGTCGCCGGCATCTCGGAGGAAGGAGGAGGAGAGGTGTGGATGTGGCGGGTCCCGAGCCAAGAGCAGTGGCCCGTCGTGATGGGCGTGGCGCGGCAAGGACGAGACAATGCAGAGGACAGCGGCGCACAGCCCAACGGCCGCTTGGCCCGGGAGAAGACGGATTTGCGTGGCGCAGCAGACGGACAGAGAGGACGAGGCGACGGGGCGACGGGGATGGGAGTGACGAGGGTGAGGGCAAGGGCGAGCCGCGCAGACAGCAAAAAAGGGTCAACTGGCGACTGAAAGGAACAGGAAGGAACTCACTTCTCGGGGGTGACCTGGACGTGCCTGGCGGATCCAGAGCCCACCACGGACTGCCTGGCATCAGAGGCGCCGGCGCCGGAGGCCGGGAGGCTGTCGCGCGCTGGGCGGTGGGCATTTGCGTGACGAGCAGGACTCTGGCCGTGGTGATGAGCCATGCTCTCCGAGGGGAGATAGCACTCGTGCATTCCCTTTGCGCAGTTCTTGCAAGGCGCGCGGCCGTTTTCGTAGACGCACTTGGTCTTGCCCTTGCGGCAGCGCACACAGGCGCCGCCTGCCCTGAGGGCGGTTGAGCGAACCACGCCCGACGACATGGGGACGGTCTGGCGAGGGGCGGGAGGCAGCAACGCAACGAGTGAAAGAAAAAAAAAAAAAACCGTCGGTCAAGCGACGAGAGAGACGCCTGCGGTGTTTGCGGGTGACGTCGGGGTCAAGGCGACGAAAAAGATAGGATGAAAATCGCGCGCTGGCGATGCTGGAGGAGAGGGAAAGCGCGACGCCGGAGAATCAGAGCCCTCGCCGTGGGTGGTCGGGCCGGGGCGAGACCAACAAGGACCAGAAAAAAAAAAAGAGGCTCCTCAGGTGTGAAATGACGCGTGAGGAAGCGTGCTGGCGAGCTGCCAGACGACAAACGGACGGGCAACGTTCGTGTGCGCTCCAACACCAGACTCGCGAGACAATGTCCAGGTCGCGATATGCGAGACGGACAAGAAATGATGGTTGGTGGAGGGAAATGGAAGCTGGGAGAGGGAAGAAAGCGATGCGGGATGCGGGCGAGGGCGAGGGCGAGGAGAGGCAGAGGGCAGAGAGGCAGACACGGACGGGCAACGGGGCCTTTGAGGAGGGCGGGCGCCTCAAGAGACGGGGAGGGGGCGAACCAGAGCTGGTGACGACTGGAGCTCCAGCACAGTGTACGGGCGGCGGATCGGCTGGTTCTGCCGGACGCGCTGCCCCACCTGCGCAGTCGCAGAGCTTCATGTCATGTTCTTCAATTCATCCACGTCCATGTGAGTCGGGGTTCGGAACAGGACCACTGGTCGGTCGGTCGGTCAGCACAGCTCGATGGCCCATGTCGCGCGCGTCGCCGTCGCTGCTGTGTTTGTTCACAGTCGGGCTGCCGCGGTGTCCTGGTGTCCTGTCCTGTCCTGGTCCTCGACCTCGACTCGAGCCGGCTGGGGCCCGGGCTTGGTTGGGCTTGGATGCTATGGCCACGGCAAAGGGCAAAGGGGCCAGAAGTTGCAATTCCCGCCGTGTCTGGTTTCTCATAGGCCGTGGATTTCCTTCCCACCCACCCCTCGAGCCGGCCAATGTGTGGCGGTTGTTGGGATAATTGTTTTGGGCCGCCGGCGTTTCCAAGCATGCTGTGAGGGTGGCCGGCCTGCGCCCTGTCTTCCAGCCGTCGCGTCGACCGACATGGACACGAATACACTTTTGCCCGCGCTGACACGGCCTCATGGGCGGCCGGATCCTGGCTGGCTGAGCCTTGTTCCTCTGACGCCATCCACGGGCCTGCCGGGTCGCTGGCCTGCGCTTTCGCACCAGCTTGAGCCCCAGCCGTACCGTACGTGCGGAGCTACTCCAAGTACGTAGTAGTTGGTCGGCACGGAGTAGTAGGTAATTAACTTGACACACAGCCGCCGCGGCGGCGGTGAGAAACCGACCCAGACAGGCCAGAGTCAGACATGGCAAACGCAAGTGAGCAGAACTGGCGAGGCTCGGCACGGCGGCGCTACCCGACCGAGCCTGGAGCCCACCACCTGCCTAGGTACCGAAGTACCTGCGCACCTTGACGCGGAAGCAGCGAGGCAGCAAGGCAGCAAGGCCGCAAGGCCGCAAGGCCCGTAATGAGGATGGATCGGTCAAGGGTTGTCGAGGTTGCGAGACCTGGCTCTCTCTGGCTGGCTGGCTGGCTGGCCGGGGCGGCGTACGGAGCTCGTGGTAACAGCGCCGGAAGGCCGCAGATTCGTCACACTATCCCCCCCCACGCGTCACCACGGCGCACGGGAGGCAAAGACATCAAACCGCTTACTACTACCATCCTCGAACATCGACCCATCGAATGAGGACGGCTTGCGACTTGTGACCTGACCTCCGACCTGGAGTTGACCGTTGCCCGCCGCCTGTGTGCTCGTGTCACCCCCATCGCCCCAGTGCCGTGCTCCGCCGGCTCTTGCTCTGCATCTCTCAGGGTGTGATGCATTTGCGTCTCTGATACGGAGTACGGAGCGTCGAGCCAGGTAACGACCAGACCACCCTCCACCGTGGATGAAAATGACCAATTACCACCACCCCCTGCTTCCAAGACTTGGTCAAGTACTAAGTAGGAGAAACGGGGAGCTGACAGCGGGAGCGCAGACGGGCAAATGACATTGGAACGTTGATTGCTCCTCACTGGGCTCGGGGGTCGGCAGCTTGGCGCTCCGAGGAAGGAAGCACCACCGCCTTTGGAACGGAGTTTCCTCAGTTACAAGTCGGTACGTGGTTGCCTGACACCTCGTTGACTCTCAAGCCTTGTCTCTTGACACCGAACACTTGTGGCCGTGTACTCCGCACATTCCGCAACAATACAGGAGGTACCCAGGTACCCGGCCCATACGCACGTCTGGGACTCCGTGCTCCGTCCGCGCTTCTTGATTGACTGATTGCCCGAATCTTGGGTTTTCTGTAGTAGAAGAAATCATCTTTATCCTCCGTCTCCTGCCCTTCGCGGCGGCGGCTGCGTCCACGCGTCAGTTTGTCGCTCCCAGCAGAGACCGGAGACGACCGGAGAGACCCAGCCAGCCAGCCAGCCAGCAAGGCCACCTCGCTTGGCGTGGACCAGACTGCCCCATTTCATTTGCCTGGGCCAAGTCTGGCGGCCTTCATTCACGATTCACGGCACAACTCACGACCAGGAGGCGCCGCAGATCCTGCTACGTGCGTACTCCGCACCTCCGCACGCATCGGGGCACCAACATCTGCCGTCGTGTCGATTCATGAAACCATCGGGATCACCACGAGTCGGGCATGTTTGTTTCTCAGCCGTGTCGGTGGCGCTGAAGGACTCCTCGAGGCCCTGCGACCCGAGCCGCCCTGTCGATTCACATTCGTCGATTCGATTCGGTCTGCGCCTCGTCCTTTCTCCCCCCCCCCCCCCCCCTTCACGCAATCACCTGTGCGACAGCAAAACCTCCAACGCGTCCTTGTTGTTGGCTACCGCGGCCCAGTCAAGTTGACCAGACAAAGCTGTCGCAGGTAGGAGTCGGGCGGGATTGCAGACCATGACACCATCGTCTTCACGTTACCCCATCCCGTCTTCGACCCACCCATGCCGGGGCATCAAAGTGAGGCTCTCATGTTGGCTTCGCATGGCCGAGCGATCCAGTGCGCAGCAATTCTGGCGTAGCACGTAGTAGTTGATCAGTGTATGCGCTCACATAAGAACCGACGGCGGACTGTCACGGTTTCTAACTTCAGAGAGCCCGGCCAAAGGGCTTTTGGCACCCCAGTCCGCCTCCTCCGCCTCTTCAGCGACTCTGTTCGGTCTTTTCCCAACAGCCACACGGACGGAGAATTGGGAGGACCTGGTCTCTTCAACCGCCGTGGCGCTTGCCCTGATCGACCATTGTTGTCATGAAGAACTTTGAATAAGGCCTTGTGGCCTGTTGAGTTTGGATTCCTAGTCGTCATCACACCGCGTGAGTTGGCTGGACTTGGTGACAGGAATAATTTGGCATTGGTGGGGACATTCTAATGGGCCGCCAGCGTGTGGTATGTACAGTGCGCCTTTAGTAATTCCGAAAAATACATACTTTTACACTAAAATTTATACTTTTTAAATACTTATAATTCTAGCAAATAGTAGATTAAAAATATAACTTTAATGTATAGATAAGATTAATTACTTAATAGTTGTGTATATTATTTTTTATAGTTTTAAATAATAGAAAGAAAAACTTTTTAGTTTTAAGTCTACTATTATTAAGGACTAGCCTTACAGGCAACTGCGTGTAAGCATTACTAGTATTAACTATAAACTTAGAGAGAAAAGAGGGAAAAAGAAGAAGTTCCCTGTCTCTCTTTTTATGCTATTATAAATGTGTAGGTCCTAATGCGCATCCGAAAAGTATCCAACAAGGCACTGACATAGTGACTTGTGTATACTTGAGCCTACAGCTCGAGTCTATTACGAGATGAGAAGATAAAATTACTTATAGTTTTAGTGTATAAATCTTTTTTTAGAATATATAATAACTACTACTTCTTATAGTACATAAGTATATATTTATCTTACTGTTCTATCTAAATAATTATAGTAGAGAGTGTGATGGACTAGCCCTATTAAGCTATAGCGGGTGCCAGCCGCAGTCATCCCGGTGGTTTGCCGGACCCCCGGCCATTGAGCCAAAAGAGTACGTAATGAACAAGCCGCCGGACTCTTGCTCAATTGACACTATATAGGGAAGTGTACGAAGATGTAGGTCGTGTCCCGTCCCGTCGCGTCGGCTGGCTACAGGTCGGGCTATAGCCCAGACTATAACAGAGAGCTATATAGATAGAGAGAGAGAGCATAAAGTGCCATCACGTGACATACACGTGACACAGCGACGCCGGACGGCTTCAGCCCTAGTTGACGCTAGATTCTGCCGCCTTCCCCACATAGACTCATTCAAATTTCTCTCGACGCTTCGGCGCTCGGGTACCCGAGTGAGTTCGGACTGGCGTGTCAATCGGAGTCGCTCCAGCACGGAGCAGAAGCGCCCATATGGGTGGGTGTGCTTCCGGCGTCGGGTTACTCGGTACGGCGTACGGAGTACGGAGTACCAGTATGGAATAGGGATCGAGGGCCTAGTGCAATTTTGCTGCTCCAGACAGGGTGAGTGAATGAAACGGATGAATGTGTAAGTTACACGCTCCAACGCTGCTCAGGGAGCATTCATTGCCTGGTCGGGCCGGTGAAGATGCTGCCTGCGTCGCTGCCCCGGTGCTCCGTACTCGTTCGTACCAGAATACGGAGTAAGGTACTCCGTACTCGGCACGCATTCCGCCACCGAAAATCAAAGTTGGCCACAAACAACCAGGCAGGCACGCAGGTGAGTGAAGAGTAGGGGCTGATGGCCAATGATGCGAGAGGGCTTGGTGTGCACGGCTCGGCGAATTGGGTAGGCACGTCGTGGTGCGATCCAAGCGCTTGGGGGCGGCCGTCTCTTGGCCGAGGAAATTTGAAACAGACACTGCAAACATTGACGCCGGCTAGTCCGTGTTCCTGGCACTTTGTGCGTCCGGGTCCTGCTCTTGCGACGTGGCAGCCGGCGATCCACGCCCGTCGGCTGCAGTCGAGAGACGGGGGGGGGGGGGGAAGGCCATCGACATCAAACAACGAGACTTGTGTGGGTCGACAGAGCCCAACGAGTCGTCAGACCCGATGCTCATGCCGGGATACGCGGGACGCGACGCGCGAGACGCGAGACGCAAGTGATCTTGAGCCTTGGTTTTTTTTTTTTTTTTTTTTTTTTTTTGGCGCTCACTGATGGGCAGTCCCGAACGCTACAGTACTCGGAGAATCAAGAACGAGTTGACATGGGCCGCAAGGACTCTGATCATCTTGTCTTTGCGGGAGCGGACACTAGTGCGTCAATACAAACAGGCTGCTATGTATCTAGATTTACGCATCGCAGAGAATTACGTCAAGACAAGAGAGAAACAAAATGCAGATGCAACGAAACTGTCTATTCGCCATTGGGTGGGTTACTGTCATCTGGAACTTGCTTTGGCTCAAGAGTGTAGGAAAGAGTTGCATTTGCATTGTATTCGGATCAGGCATCCCATGCCAATGCAACCGCAGAGACCCGGCGCTCTACACGAGACATTCCAAGCTCAGCGCATCCATCTGCCTCCATTGTACTCCGTATAGTCTGCAACTCTTTTGTCGAGGTTGAGGCTCAAGAGATTCAGATGCCTGTACAGTGTGAACGTCGGCTTCTTTCGCACAGTACACCTGCCTCGGTGCGTACTTGGGTATACGCTCGGAGATGCTCGAGTTTAGACAAGTTTCGCCATCAAGTTTCATCGAGTATTCATCGAGTCTACTTTCTATACGGCATCCTCTTCTCCGTGACAATATATCGACGTGTGGGTGATTTGGACGTCAAGACTGTCCGGCAGGCTGGGACGTGGACGCATTCAGATGCGGAGGCGCCCTTGCTTGGCTAGCAATGCTGTGCGACGGAGGATGACGGATAATTAAATTAGTAATGGATAATGGATAACGCAGTTGCCGAAAACGGCAAGGACCCTTGACTTCCATCGCAAGGGGACTACGCTTGTCCGGTTTCCTCGTCAAGTCGTCAAGGCGCCGGTAGTCAGTCGTGAGCGGTCCGTCTCATTGCTTGCTTGCTTGGGAAAGAAGCCGTCTCTATCGAAATCGGGCATCTGTGCGTGGGAAGCATCGGCCTGCAACTGTTCCGCTTGCCATACAGGACTGGCATCTTCTTGTCGTCATCCTGTTATCCTTCCGAAAAAGTTGAGACTTCTTTCCACAGAACGATGCTGTATCCCTGCAATCCTCCCGTAAAAGACTTAGACTTGTTCTTGGGAAGCTGCTGTTTGATACAAAGCTTCCGCCTGCAATCCTTTTGTAAAAGATTTACACTTGTTCTTGGGAAGCTGCTGTTTTATACAAGAAAAGCATCAGCCTGCAACTCTCCTGCTCGCCATGCGGGACCGGCATCTTCTTGCCGCCAATCCTGTTCCTTCCATAGAAAATCAAGACTTCTTGCCACAGAATACCGGCAAACCTTGTTGCTGTATTCCTGCAATCCTTCCGTAAAAGACTTACACTTGTTCTTAGGAAGCTGCTGTTTTATACAAGCAAAGCATCAGCCTGCAACTCTCCTGCTCGCCACGCAGGACCGGCATCTTCTTGCCGCAATCCTGTTATCCTTCCATAAAAAATTAAGACTTCTTGCCACAGAATACCGGCAAAACTTGTTGCTGTATTCCTGCAATCCTTCCGTAAAAGACTTACACTTGTTCTTGGGAAGCTGCTGTCTTCTTGTTCCTCTTCTCGCCTGTATATAAATTCAGCATGATCCCCATCAAGCATCTTTTCCTTTCTCTCCCTCTCTTCTGAAAACATTCCCTCTTCGGCTTTTTATTTGTACTGCCCCAGCACCTTGTTTGTTTATTCTCATGCTTCCTATGCCCTCCTCCAGGGATGATTCATCCTCTTCACGAGTGTGGCCACTGCCTTCCTTGTGGCATGACGTCGCTGCTTCGTACTTGGTCCGTCGGCCTCATTCTGCATTCCTTTGTCTTGATTGCGACAGGTATCCTTTATCTGCTGTGTATCTGATCTGTCAGTGTCAGTCTTTTGCAAGAGTGACTGGCGCTGACAACTCGGATTTGCTCTAGGTATCGCATCGTTCTCGGACCCTTTTCAGGCGCCCCAAATCTTGTCGGTCTCAGGTCTTTTAAGACGTTTGCATCATTGACCGGCTTTTCAATCGTATAAGGGTGAGGGCCCCCTGATGATGACAATGGAGGATCACTGAAACATCCTTATGACGATCCAACCCGCTCTGAAGGGGGCTCTCACTCAGCCATTTTGGCTGACCTCTTTTTTTTTTTTTGTAGGAATTGCTTTAGTCTCAGGCCTATTTATATGTTTGCATTATTGACCGGAGAATCAAAGAATCAAGGTGAGGGCCCCTGATGATGACAATGAAGGATCACTGAAACATCCTTATGACGATCCAACCCGCTCTGAAGGGGGCTCTCACTCAGCCATTTTGGCTGACGTCTCTTTTTTTATAGGTATTGCTTTGGTCTCAGACCTTTTCAGGCGTTTGCATCATTGACCGGAGAATCGAAGGACCAAGGTGAGGGCCCCTCTTGACATTAACATCGAAGGAACTCTGAATATTCTTATGATGATCCTCTCACATGGAAGGGGCCCTCACTCAGCTACTTTGGCTGACCTCTTTTTTTTTTTATAGGTATTGCTTTGGTCTCAGACCTTTTCAGGCGTTTACATCATTGACCGGAGAATCGAAGGATCAAGGTGAGGTCCCCTCTTGTGATGACAACGAGGGATCCCTAATATATTTATAATGGTCCGACAACCTGAAGAGGGCCGGTTTATCAATCGTATAAAAGAAGAGGGCGCCTACTGACGGCGATATCGAAGGATAGCTGAATAGTTTTATGGTGATTGTCACCTCTGAAGGGGGCCGTCAGTTTTATATGTTTGGGCCGGCGCTTGTAGACCCACTTTACTCGGCCTGACTAGGGAGTAGTTCACGTGTCATGAGTGCCGGCACGCAGCCGCTAGGCTTGGGTGGCGTCGACTGGACATGGGCCGATGGGGTCTTGTGCGCATGAAATGATGAATGAGAGGAGGCTAGTGCCGTCACTGAGCTGACGATTCGGGGTATTTGGGGGACTGTGGTGCCTGTGCCGGTTCCCGTGCCCCCCCGCTAACTCGCTCAAGGTTGAGCTCGACCAGCTGGCTCCAGGTGCCAGGCAGCTTCGTTGCCGCGCCTGCCTCAGCCTCCCTCCAATGGACTCGTCCGGACCGAGTGCAGAATCATCAGCTGCTCGTCCCGGCTGTTGCTCTCATTGACCATCGTCCAGGAGCCTCACAGCTTCGTCGGGCCGCGAAAGAGATGGCGTCTTCAAGCTCCCAACCGCCGCCGCCGCCGCCCATGGAGCCCATAGAACCCCAACCGACATCATCGCCATCCACTCGTGCTCCATACTTCCCGCCTCCTCCCGCCGAGCTGCACGGTCCTCCGGGCCCTCCTCCCCCAGCGCCAGGTCAGGGCCTCGCCTTGCAAGTCGGCCCAGATCACCCAGGGAGCGCAACCAGTATCCCGACCGTCCCCGGGCACACCCTGACTCCCATGGTCCCCCCGGCAGCGTTGGACGTCCGCAACATCAAGGCCTCGGCGCAGTTTCACCTCGGCGAGTTCCTTCGTGTCCGGGGCCAGCTACAACAACAACAACAAGGTGGCGGCGCGGCGAGATTCGAGCTTGAATCCCGCTTGAGAAGTCGGGCTGGCATGGCACTAGGTGACCTGAGCACGCTGCAAGCCGAGGTGCGAGCCCTTGCGAAAGCTGCCGAGGGCCATCGGTGGAGAAGATTCCTCGTCGGAGGCGCAATGTAAGTACTCGTCGAGCCGAGTCTTCACTGCTGTATGCGAGTACATGTTCTAATGACAAGTCAGCGCGGCATTCATCCCTGCCGTCCGCAAAATCTTCCGCCGCAACTCCGACGAAGAATCGCAGCTTTCATCCAACGACACCGAGTACGCCTTTCGCAAATCCAAGGGCCTCTTGTCGGGAATCAAGAGGGCCATACTGGGTGGAGGCGTGCTTGCCAAGGTGGCCTTTTTCGTCTTTGCCATTTTGTACGTGTTTCAGAACGAAGTCACCATCAGGGTGGCCAGGACGCTGAACAAGAGGTTGAGGATGCTGGCGGAGCGGCTTGAGGCTGGGGACCCGGACATGAACGAAGGCGACTTGAGGGTGTTTGACGGGTGGCGATGGCGGGTGCTGTTGTGGTGAGGGAGGAGGATTGTCATTTGGGGAATGAGACCTCTCGTCAAGGTTCTTTCGAGGCTCTTCTCGTAGGTACCGGCAAATGAGTTTCTTGCCGACATGAGTTTCTTGCCGACATGAGTTTCCGGATGGAGAGCAGGTCTTGCAACGACCTCTCGGCCTTGTGCTGCGTAAATAATTGTCACGTTGTGAGACTTGTATTTGATCAAGATTTTCCCCCGACTTGTTGTTTTTTGTCTTGGTTTCTCATTTTCTTCTTTCTCACTCTGTTATTCTCCGTTGGGACAGCAGTGTTGGTGTTGCATCTATTGTCACTACAAGCATTGATGGGCAGCCAAGACGAAATAAAGCTCCATGAACCAAGTTCCACCCTCCGAGTCCCGAGTCCCGAGTCCCGAGTCCCGCCGCCAGCCGCCCCACATATCCACACGCTCTTGAGCCCATACTGCATGTACTCCGTACTGTACTGTACTGTACTGTACTGTACGTTTAAATTTGAGCCCAACACTTCCAATACAAGACGAGAAATTGCGCCGACAACTCGCTCGGCAGCCCTGGAGGACATGAGCCAATATCGATTCCAGATCAAACGCATCCAAAGTCGATGCAGCACAAACGAAGGGCCCTTTCCGGCGCCGACGACGCGAGTGTAAATGAGCAATCGGACAAGCGCCCAGTGACAACACGCAGCAGAAATGCGGCAGATTCCCATTTCCGGGAGCTTTATTCGAAGCCACCCGACTTCAAAGAACTATCTCGCTTGGATCCAGAGTTTGCCGCCATGTTTGTCGCCCACTTCCACCAAGCTCGTTGGCCCCCGATTGACGCGAATCATGAGACTGATGCGCCAGGCAGTGCCAAAGGGCGAGACGTCGACTTCCGGGACCCAAAGTCGGTGGTGCAACTGACCAAGACGCTCCTCGAGTTGGATTTTGGCATCAAGATAGAGCTCCCCCCCGACAGATTATGTCCGCCGGTAGGCCTCGAGACCAGACTCGCAAAAAGACCAGCTGGGTCCGTCCGCACGCCCCATGCTCACCAAGAGACCACCAGGTGCCAAACCGCCACAGCTACATCCTTTGGCTGAAGGATTTGCTCGACACATCTTCGTACGACGAGCCCGGTCGAAAGCGTACGGGAATGGACATCGGCACCGGTGCCAGCTGCATCTATCCCTTGCTGGGTTGTGCGCAGCGGCCCTGGTCCTTTATTGCCACAGGCACGTCCGATCCATCCCCCCCCCTGGGGGCTCCTGCACCCCTTTTCTCGCGATGCCGTCGTCGGGCCGCGCTACTGACATGACAAGCTTGGCGGGCAGACATTGACGCCGAAAGTCTGAAATGGGCCAGGAGGAACGTCGAAATCAACGGCCTGTCAAGCCGCATCAATGTGGTCGCCCGGTCGGCAGACAGCGCGCTCATCCCGCTGGACGAGCTCGGTCTCGAGGCTGTCGACTTCACCATGACGAACCCCCCCTTCTACGAGTCGGAAGAGGACCTGCTCAGCAGCGCAAAGAAGAAGAAGAGGCCTCCGCACACCGCCTGCACGGGCAGCAGCACCGAAATGGTCACTCCCGGCGGCGAGTTGGCCTTTGTCGTCGGCCTGCTCAAGGAGTCCTGTGCCTTGCGGACACGCATACAGTGGTACTCTGCCATGTTTGGGTTTCTCTCCAACCTCGTCGATTTCATCGGGCAGCTACGGGCATACGGGGTGACCAACTACGCAGTCACGGAATTCGTGCAAGGGAACAAGACGCGGAGGTGGGCCGTCGCGTGGTCCTTTCAGCCAATGCGTCCGGCGCAGCATGTCGCGAGGGGCACGAGATCCGCGCTCTCCAGGAACATTCTTCCTCGTGTGACGGAGGCCGAGGTGATTTCGTTCGAGATGCCCAGGAGCATTGGGGGGTTTGCCGCCACCATGACTGGCGCCATCGAGTCACTGGACCTGATATCTTGGAGCTGGGACACACAAGCGTATGAGGGAACCGGCCGCGCGGCTGACAAGGTATGGGCGAGGGCGTGGCGGAGACGGAAGAAGAGGGAACAACAAGGCGCGGACGGGGACGAGGACGGTGCGGCTTCACAAAGCGAGCCGAGGTGCATGTTTGGCTTCAAGGTGTGGATTCGTGTATCGGTGAAGGGGGTGGTGGTGGTGGGATGTCGCTGGGTGGAAGGGTTCGACGCGACGGCGTTTGAGAGCTTTGGGGGGTTTCTACAGTCGACGGCCAAAGCGGCGGCAGGTTTACAGTGACTTGTCCCTTTCCACTGCGAGGTGCCGTGCAAAAGATGGCGTTTCGCGATAGGCTTGGCTGGCCGAGGACGACAATCAACTCGACACGACACGCTGGGCGCTTGCGAAATCCGTTCCGCTCCGTCCGACAAGGCCGTCATGTGCGTCGTGCGATGCGACATCGGCCCGTCACCCCGCAGAAGCCGCTCGCAGACGGGCGCGATCCGGCCGAGCCATCGGACGTTCAAACTCGTCGGCATGGTCCGCGAGCCATGGTTCCTCGACGCTTCGCTTCAACCGCACAGCAGGCCGCCGCGCTCCTGGGATCGGTCGACGTGCTCGTGTGCCTCGCCGGAATCGTGGGCTGCGCGCACGCCCTCGAGAGGCCCGTCTCGCAGTTCCGCCGGATCCTCGACGTCAACGCCGCGGGGTCGTTTATCTGCGCCCGCGCCGCCGCCCGGCAGATGGTGCGGCAGGGCAGGGGCGGCAGGATCGTGCTGTCGGCGTCGGTTTCGGCGCACAGGGTCAGCTTTCCCCAGCCGCAGGCCGCGTACAATGCGAGCAAGGCGGCCGTCGTCTGCTCAAGAGCTCCAAGGCGGCCGAGTGGGCCAGGTACGGCATCACCGTCAACAGCGTGAGCCCCGGGTACGTGGACACGATGCTGAACTAGGGCGACGGGCCGGCTGATGCCAGGAGGACGTGGTGTGAGAGGAATCCGCTCGGGAGGATGGGCTCGCCGGACGAGGTGGCCGGCGTGGTGGTGATGCTCGCGAGCAACGCGGGCTCGTACATGAACGGCGCGGATGTGATATGCGACGGCGGCGGTGTAGTGTTCTAGATGAGGGAGGTGTCTACCAAAGGCTTGTGTGTAAGGCGACGGGGCGGGAGGTGACATGGCTGTTGCTGTACTCGGTACAGTCGGAATGGCGTTGATGCGACGAGTTGTTGTGTAGTGAGGGTATTCAAGATGGCTGGTTGTGAATGTCCAAGTGTGCATGTACGTGTGCATATCCCACTATAAACACATGTGCTTGTGCTTGTGCTTGTGCTTGTGCTAGTGTGTGCTGGCGTAAAACTAACCGCGGAAGTTAGAACTAGTAACATGCTTGCATTACTCAGTCACACAACTATTCATAAAAATAAAAAAAAAGAAAGCCATGATCCCAGGACCACACATGCCGGCCAATCACCGCCCACAGAGCCGGCTTGGCACGACGACACATCTGCACACCGCAATGTACATTCTCAAACTCGGTCCCGCGCCGCAAATACCTGGGCGCCGCCGTGCATTGCGTTTTCCCACCAACGTGGCTGGCACAAACCCAGTTCGCACAATGGCAATCCGAAATGCGGTTCCGGAGGCGCTTCTCGGGCCGGCCGACGAATCAGCAGTCCCACGTGGAAGCGTGCCGTTGCGTCGTTCGCCCGCCCACGGGACTTGTCGGGTGGCTCCCTTGGCCTCGTGCTTTCAGATGTCCAGCACAAGCCCTCTTCCTCCTCCTTCTCCTCCGTGGGCCGGCCGCTGTCCAAAAGCTCACCGACAGGTCAGCCCCGACGCGTCCCCGGGGCTTGGACGAGTGAAGCGTCGCGGATCGGCAATGTGCCCAGGCGCCGGGTTGTTCGAGGAACATCCTCCGACAGGTGTTCCCCAGTGTCGCCTCCTGTGGCTGCATCTGCTCCATGGAGGGAATTTGGTTGGGTGGGCTCGTGCCTGCGGAGGAGGAGCGGTCTTGGTGGACGAGCGGAGGAGGGGGACCCTCGGTGAGGCTGTCTGCGTGTCCTGAGGATATAAAAAGTCCATGTTGAAGACACGTTTCCCTTTGATCTAATTACCACTGTGCGTACTCCGTACGTCGACAGCCTCGGCAGAGCAACGTCTTGCCGCGTCTCCTGTTCCCTGTTCCCTGTTCCCTGTCCGCATCATCTATATCAGACGCAAACAAAGCCGTGACAGACGGGCCGTCCGCCTGCAACGATGGACAAGGGTTCGCTTCTGGCAGCTTCGAGGGTGGAGCCCGTGGTTTCCATAAACCCTCGCTCGACTGTCATCGGCCGCTTGTGGCCACTCCTTGCTTTCGCCGCGCGGTTCCAGTACATAATCAGCTCATTTTCCTCCTTCCTGTACATCCAGACCTGCTTCGTCACGAGCCTCGCCGTCGTCAGCGCCCTTTGTGCAAGTCGCTTCCTCACCATCCGGGCCTATGTCGCTACCGAGTCTGGCGCCGTTCACGCTTTCAACATGTCCGCCAAGGCTTTTGCGAATCTCTGGGACGCCAAGACAACACGCGTGTTGAGGAGGAACCTCTTTTACGAGTTTGCCGTCTTTATCCTCGGGAGCGGAAACTCCATCATCCTGTTGCTGTTCTGGCCGGGGTGGCTGGTGGTCGGCGGGGCGACATTCGCGTTGTGGAAGTTCTTGGGGTGACGATCGAGCCGAACCAAGAACAGACGTGGAAGATTGTCAGCGTGTCGAGCGTCGGAGACGCGCCACCCATGACGTCGGACGAGGCGCCCACGGGCAGTGTTACTCGACGCCCTGGCGTAACAAGGCTGAAATCGACCACCCGCCCTGCCCACCGACGTCGATGCGTCATTTCGAGAAGAAATACGTGTTGCCGCCGGTGTCCTTGCGTATCTCACCGGCATAGTCCTTCTCCGGATCAAACGCCTGCCAAGTACTGGCGGGGTATATATGCTTATTTCTCTCATACCACCGACGATCCACCACTTTGGTCAACGTGGGGTCTTCCGAGGCCCCTTCAAGGGTATCGATGCTCGCCAAAGACCTCGCCGCGGCTGCCCGCGACGCAGACGTGCTGAGATGGTTTTCGGTAGACAGACCAGAGTTGTCCTCGGCAGGCTCCTCTACCACGGGTGCCTCGGAGCTGTAGTCGAATAGCCTGCGGCCACTGGGTCCAACGGTCTTGTTCATCACAAAGAAGTGAAAGTCGTAATGCTAGATGGACGTCCTCAAGTCAGCAACGTGAACAGTGCGGTAGTTTGAGACAGTATAGAGCCTTACATGTGGAATAATAACGGTATCTCTCACGAGCATCAAGTCATCCACGCCAACGCGTGCCCAACCCCTCCGCGCATTACTTCGGCCCCCAACACCCAATTCGGCACCGACCTTGCGGCTTTTGTCGAGGAACACCCAGACGAAGTCTCCCTTCTTCATCCGCACGGTCCCCCCTGGGATATTGGATCCGTCGTAAAAGACAAAGGGAACCGCAATCTCCGTGGCCTTGACTGCTTCCTGGACCGCCACGAATTCTCGTCGCAACGCCTCTCGTTGGGAGGCCTCCTTGCGCAGGGCCGACTTGGTGACGGCTTTGGGCACGATGCCAACGCTCACGTTCGCCTTGAACTTTGGCTTGCCCGTTTCGCTATCGGGGTCTGGGTCCGCGTCTTTCGCTTCGCGCTTGGAGTCGGGATTGCTGCTGGGCTCGCTGTCGCCATGTTCCTCGTCGTCAAAGGACAGCAGCTTCTTGCCCTGCTTCTGCTTCTTCTTCGGCGGCCGCACCCGTGCACCCGGGCCGCTGTTCGATTCACTGCCGGCGTTGTCAGGAGTGCCTGTCAGAGAACGGTCCGGTGTGGACGTGCCTGAGATGGCAGCCTCGCGAGCTTCGCGCTCCTGCTGCTCGAGCACCTCTGCTCTCCGCTTGCGAAAGTCGGATAGCGCGACGAGCCCGACGGTGTTTGTCGACAGACGCTCGTGCGTCGTCTTGTTCTGCGGCGTGAAGCGCGAGATTCCTTGGTCCGACATGGCGGCGCAGCGGCCGTTGGCTTGGGTGCGAAGAGGTTGCGCGAGGCACTCTTTGACAGTTCCCGTGGGCGAGGCGTCGAGGTTTATCTGCCGGGTGGTGCGAGGTCTATATTTGCACTGTGCACTTTGCCGCTCTGCGTCACTGGGTCACAGTGTGTAGACTACCCTGTACCTTTGTGACACGGGAAGCAGCCAACGTCATTTGTCACAGTCAAAGGCCAAGCAAGTCTGGGCAGCCGGCAACCATGATCGAATATCAGCGAGAAATTATAACTACCAGACTCTCTCAAAACAAGGGTGCTCGCGAAAAAAAAACAAGCATCTCCAGCACCGGTCTCAACGAGACTGGGACACAACACTGCACACGACGTTCTTCTCCTCCAAGGTCTCGCCCCTTCTTTGGGAGACGCGTCAAAGTCAAGCAAGGTCCGAATTTACGGCAAACCCCGCCCCTGCCTCGTGGCCTGCGCAACGAGCGAGTTTGTCGTATCGTCCGCGTAGCGCTTGTAGGCGATGATATATCGTTCGTCGGCGCTCCAGGTGTCCTGGACGCTTTGCCGGTCGACGATGGCGTGGTGCTACTCGAACCAGCGTCGCCAGACGGCATCACCATCCGTCTGCGGAGGAATCCCCAGTCCGCCTGACTTGAAGTGATCCAGCAACCATAACCGGTTTGCCCACGGAGCCAGACTGATGTCTACTAGACTTATGTGCTCGCCCAAGAACCACGGTCCGCCAGGATCCATTTGCTCCGCGAGTGTTCGTATGTGGCTGTGCAGCTCTGCACGAGCTTGCTCAATGCTGAACGGCTTTTCTGGCGTGTGCTGCAGAAACCTGTAGAATGCCGGGATAATTCTCGAGTTGACGTGGTCGATCCATAACCGGGCACGGGCACGCTCGTACGGATCCGACGGAAGCAAACGACGGCCGTACTTGGCCTCGTCCGAATACGCCTCCTCCAAGAATTCACAGACAACCAGACTTTCGTACAGCGGTTTCTGGGTCTTGCCGTCTGCGCCGACGGGGACAGCTAGGGTTGGTACCAGGCCGCGAGGGTTCAGGGCCAGGAAGTCGGCCTCCTTCTTGTACGGGTTGATCTCAACATATTGATGGGGGATTTGCTTCTCACACAATGTGATCCAGACCCGCTGGACGAAGGGGCAGAACCATCCGCCGTAGAGTTTGAGCGCGTGCTCGGAGGAATGGCGGGATGCCAACTCGGCGGCTGCGCCCGACGGCTCCGGCGGAAGCGACGTATCGACGTTGGCCATTGTCGAGCAAACGACAAACGGTCGATGCCTCGAGGAGGTGAAGAGATGAGAAATCGATGGATACCGTGCCGGGGGGGTGCTGGTGGATGATGCATCCGTTTGAACATTGAATGAGGCGGTGTTTTCGAGCAAGAAACGAAACCCCGCCTTCCCTGCAGCCGTGGCTTCATGGAGACGAGGGCTCCATAGTTTGCCCAAGACATGACATGACAGCCCATCCTCGGACGACTCGACGACTCGGAATGCCGTGAGGCTGGGCTGTGAAGCTGCGCTGCCTGTTGTCCCTGACACTGGTATGGACGAGCTCATCGTCGCTTGAGAGAGATGACGAGAAAAGAGGAGCGACCACAGGCATAAATGTAGCCACGTCGTATCCCGCAGACTTTACAATTCCACGGAGAACGCACGACGAACTGATAACCAACAAGGACGGAGGCTTCCAAGTCTGGCGGGAGCCAACTCGTTTCGCCCAGTTGTTCAGACAAACCTGCCTCAGGCAATACCGTGGCACGCACACATGATGTCACCACGGCTTCAAAGCTGGCCTCATGCGCGGGGATGGGGGAAGTGAGGATAAAGTGAGATTAATGAAAACTTTTCCTCTCATCCTAAGCCCGCCGAGGCAGTTGATTCACAGCCTGTCGTAGCCACTCAAGTTCACAGTTCTTCCCCGTGCTGTTCTATATAAGACCGAGGCCATGACGCTATCCAACACGTTGAAGAACACCACTTTTCAAGACACAGCCGATACATGCGGCTCAAATCAAACTCCCTCGTTCCCCCTCCATCTCGACGGGGGCTTTCTGACGGGCCAAGTCGATATTTTGGATGCTGGTGCGCGCAAGCCAGGGTCCCCCGACAACATGGACGGGACAGAACCTTGCAGCTCGCTCAAGAAGCAAATTGCCCTCATCCAAGCAGCTACAAAGAGCTTGGAGGATAGGGAGATCAGCGGCACGCCCGTGTTCACGGAGCTCGTCAGGCAGCACGGCAACAGCACGTCCTCGTCGGGCGAGGAAGTCTTCACCCAGTACGGACTTTTGGGAGGCGACGTTGCCAAGCTTCGTGGAGCCGAGGACCGCGAGGCCGTTCCGGATGCTCAAGGCGATCCGAGAGTCTTTTACAACATCAGAGCCCCGTCGAGCGTCTTCATCTGCGGCAGCCAGGGCTCGGGGAAAAGCCATACCCTGAGCTGCCTGCTTGAGAATTGCCTCATCCCCACGGAGGCCAACACGTTGCCGCGGCCTCTGACAGGGATAGTATTCCACTACGACCCCTTCTTTTCCGACAACAGAGGCCAGCGCTGCGAAGCCGCCTCCATCTCTTCGCACGCGGGGGTCAAAGTCCGCGTCCTGTGCCCGCCAACAAATGTGCAACAGATCAAAGTAAGTGGACGGCGACATGGTTGAGCAGGAGAATACAGAAGTCGTATCCTAATCATACATACACATGCACAGAGGCTGTACGAGACGCTCCCAAACGTCGAGGTGCAGGAGCTCCGAATCAGCCAGCGAGATCTGAACACCAAACGAATGTTGGATCTCATGGCCGTCAGCTCTATCCAGGAGGGGACGATGCCTCTGTATCTGCACATTGTGACTCGCATCCTGCGAGACCTCAGGATCGAGCAACAGAAGAATGGCGGCTTCTTCAACTACAGAGCCTTTCGGAGGGCCATTGCGGCAGAGGGACTCACGCCAGGGCAGTCGGCGCCCCTCAAACAACGGCTCGACACGCTCGAGAGCTTCATGGCACGGGAAGATGTCGCGGAAAGCAAGATACCCTGCCGCGGTTCTTGCGACCCGTGGGGGGACAAGTCTCACCTGTGCCTCGATGAACTCGAAAATACAGCCAGCGCCTGGGAACCAAAAGTAGGAGATGATCCACCACCCACCGGCTTGAGAGAGTCCTCGTGCACTAACCACTGCTACCCCCGTCGCTAGGCTGGGCAGCTGACGATTGTCGACCTGTCATGTCCCTGTGTCACGGCCGAGTCTGCCTGCTCCTTGTTCAATATTTGTCTCAGCTTGTTCCTGGAGCAACACTCGTCCGACATGGGACGAGTCATTGCACTCGACGAGGCGCACAAGTACATGACGGAAAGCGCGGAGAGCCAGAGTCTGACCGAGTCTCTTGTGTCGACTATTCGCCTCCAGAGACACCTGGGCGCTCGTATAGTCATTGCGACTCAGGAGCCAACCATCTCGCCGACGCTTCTGGACCTTTGCACGGTCACCATTGTGCACCGCTTCACCTCTCCGAGTTGGCTGGAGAGTCTGAGGAAGCACTTGGCCGGGGCAAGTTTGAGTGAGAAGAAGACCAAAGCAGGAGAGGATGAGTCTGGCGGCAGTAGTGCTGCAAGCCTGGCTGGACTCCTCGGCCGCATCATCTCACTTCGTCAAGGGGAAGCTCTCATGTTCTGCCCGAGCGCCATCGTTGGTGTCAGGAAAGCAAAACAGGATGACACGATCAACGGACTTGCCGACGACCTTGCAACATGGAGTCTTGGCCAGGATCCTCCGGTTTCGCATGTCGACCCTGGGAGCGGCCTGATCCATTTGGGCCAAGGGGTGATGAAGATTCGCGTCAGAGAACGGATCACAGAAGACGGAGGGAGGAGCATCATGGCAGCTTAGCACGGGAGAGGCCACAGAGACGCGTTGCGAAGAAAAACCGCCGCATCCCTGGTAGGACATGGTGCAAGTCTGAGCCGCTCGTGTGAGGGATAGCCAGGTTACCGCGTGACAGGCTGGCATTGCGCAGAGAGACAAGAAAGGATGGTGTCTCCTAGCTAGTTGACTCTGTCTGTAGAATGACTCACACTATCCCGCCTGGCATCATCCATTATCAAACAGCCCGAGCGAACGTATCGGGCATGCGAGCAGGGCGTGGGCGATGGCGACACAACAAGACAGCAACGCCACCTCAGCCGGCGGCAAGTTTGTCCGTGACAAACGTTGTCGACTTGGCGGAGTCGGATCACCGAAGCCGTCACGGCCGATGCTTTCAGGCCGGCGGCAAAATCCCTCGACGGGTCGAGTGTCGTCATCCACACAACTTCTGAGCGGCTCATCCACCGGCCCAGGCGCTCCGCCACTTTGCTTTCCTGTGCCGCTGACAAGCTGTCGGACCAGACGGGGCGGTATTTTGGCTCTCCACAGATGGACGGCTAACCATTTGACCTTTTGGTGTTGACCCTGGGCCGACGTTGCCAACAGCTCACGCATGTCAAGTGACATCTTGGGCGACGCCTGGGGACCTGTGAATCAGGCCCTTTGCCGTACGAGACTATTCTTGGCCACCTGGTCATCAAGCTGTGCTACAGGTGAGAAAGGTGATCGAGTCAAGGCGCACAGTACAGCCCGGGGCTGGGCGGCTGTTCGTCTCGACGCCGGCCGCGGCGACGCAAAACCGACAACCGTGTCATCACCACCAGATTGATCGACGACGTCATTCATCTCTTGGTGCGTGGTTGAAATCCAAATCCCGCCGGCAGAGAATTTTGCCATTGTCGACTTGAGTGCGACGTATCGTGTGCAAAGCACGTAACACGAGATTCTTTGCCGCGCCGAAACAAAACTTGCTGCCCGACCAGTCTCGGCTGGAGTCTGGACTTTCGACTTTCGACTCTCGACTCTCGACTCAGCCTCGCTCAATCTACACCAGCCAGCAATCCCTCACGCGCCTCAATCACCAGCCCGCTTCTCGCCTCGAAGCCCCCATCCATCCATACCTCCCCACGCCGCCGTCAGCATGACCAAGACGCTCCTTGCCCTCAGTCTCATGGGACTCGCGTCGGCCTTCCCGCCGCAGCCAGCCTGGCCCGCGACAACGCAGGCCAAAGGCTTCCGGCTCGTGGTCAACGTCACGGATCTCTCGCGCGACCTCAGCCCCCCAATCCACGGAACCTACGTCACGGGCGCGCACTACGGCGTGCAGACGGATGCCGTCGTCGCCGGCGAGGAGCACCGATACGGCCGCATCTTCTTCGTCAACGGGACCGCGAAGGAAGCCTCGGCCGACAACGCCACCACCATCTGGACCGACTGGGACACCTACAAGAGCTGGCGGATCGACCGGGCGCCCGCGGCACCAGGCACGCTCTCCGAGGTCACCATGTCAGGCGGCCGCGGCGACAGAGGCATCGGCGTCACGCACTACGAGGGCCCGCTCGCCTTCCTCACGCCGGAGACGTACGCCGTCTGCCCCGACGCCCTGCCCGTCGGAGGCACCCAGCGCGTCATCAGACACGCCGACGCCGGGACGACTCGCCCGGAGGATCCCTCGCCCGGCAGCCACGTCCCGAGGGGCTGCGCGCCCGTCCGCCTCCTCCCCGAGTGCGCCGATCTGCTGCCCCTCTCTCCGCGTGGCGGCTCGCCAATCGACTACCGGTTTGCAGTCCGGTCCGCGTGCTACAAGAACGCGACGGGCATTGATTGGACCAAGTACCGGCTTTGAAGGCTGCCGCCACATGGCTGGCGCGCATGACGGCCCCCAGGTCGACAACTCGAACTCGAGCCGAAGCGGTCATGTCGTCCCGGCGGGCTGGTGATGCATCACTCGGTTGTGCTGGGGGGGCACGGAGACGGACGAGTTTGCATTCGCAATCTCGACGAGGACCCTCGCACGCCCGTACTGGGCGGAGTGTGCTCGGGGCCGCGTTTGACGCGGCATTGGACGGGAGGCTGATGTACGGCGCATGTCCGGTTCGAAGATGTTTCCCCATGTTCTAATTTGCGACGCGCCCAAGGGCAACAGAGGGCATGCGAGCCGCGACACGATCAAGGATGAACAAGGAGGAATCTGCGCCGTCTAGTATCCTCGTCCAATTCGGACCCCGCGAGACCATCAGGAATGAAAAAAAGAACAAATCCTCGTCCAAGTAGAACCATGGTGCCGCGTGAGCTCGGTCCCGACGCCGGCGTCGCAACCGCCAGGCCGCCATGAGCCCACGGCCCACGGCCCACGGCGCCGGTAGAAGTGGCGACGTCAGGACGCGAAGCTGCCTCTTGCTTCAATGTCAGTCGCAGCCATCAGCGCTCGAGCGTCGCTTGCGGCGACGGACGGGCAACCCGGTACGGAGCATGGCGAATGAATGCACGTCGTCTCGTACCCTCCCCGTACAGCTTTAAGTAGGTTGCGGACGCGGCACCTACGGCAGGGCAGCCTTTTGGCAGCCCCGCGCACGCACGGGCCCTCGGCCGCAGCGTGGGGGACACCGTGCGGCGCACTGTCCAACCTGTTGTGCCTCGAGACAAGTTCGCCTTCGCTTTCCCGGTGAAATACAGGGGGGCACCTCGACGAGCTGAACGCACGAGGGAGGCGATTCTGTCTTGGACCAGTGGCATCGTCTCGAAGCCAGCAACAGCCAGTTGAACCGCCCTGGCCGAGATTTACCCGCCGGCTTCGTCGTCTTGTCCGCTCGACGTGCCTCGCGAGACCTGCACGTTACACCCCCCCAAAAATGGCGCCATCCCGAGGGCCGTTATTCACCTGCGTGACTCACAGCCCCATAGCGTGTGAGAAGTACGTACATCACACGTTCACACGTGTAGCCGTACGTACACTGCGGTGAGGGGAATGAGTCCCTGGAGTCGCCAGAGCTCCTCCTGCTTCCCCGTGGGTGGGAAAACAGGGTCGAGGTCTTTGGAGTCTCGAGACGTGTTGGCTTGGAAGCTACGGTCTGGTTCCTGGCTCACGGCAAACATCAGACATGTCGAGGAGCAGGAGCAGGCCATCTCGGCCCAGCTCAGCCAAGGTTCGACTCGCTGCGCGTCACACGAGGTTGAATGGCCCGCCGCTGCTGCCACTGCCGCTGGCGCTGCCCGTCCGTGCCGATTCGTGTGTGCTCTGATGTGGATGGATGGATCGTGGGAATGGCCTTTAAATGTGCATTTTACACTCTAGCCAATCATGAACCTAGTACGGAGTATTCAAATATATATTATATTGCTCTACAGAGTACGGGGTGCCTAGAAACACTATAACAACAAGAGTCCTAGTAAATATCTCAAGTCGCAAAGAGCTACGTTGCTTTCGCCACAGCTCTGGCAACGCACCGCAACGGGATCCTCCCTTCGTGTCCCGGCCTTGGCGCCGGAGGGGCGATGCCGGAAGTGTGGGAACGACGCCGATTAGCGATGAGGGTGTTCGTGGCCAAGACGTTTGTCCAGCTTTGACGGGATCCCCGGAAGCAAGGGTTTTCCTGTCGGACGGCCGCCGCCGCCGCCGGGGCCATCAGCTGGACATCAATTGATGGCATGATATTCCACCGGGACATGGGCAGTGGCGCCGCTCGAATCTGACCACCACATCGCCCCCCCCGACTTCCCGTTTGAGCTGCATCGATCGATGTGAGCCAAGAATGATAAACCATGCTTCCACGCACCCGTTGTTGCCTGCAGACAGGCAAGTGTCGTTGGGTATCCCGTACCACCACACCTCAAACAAGGAAATAGCTCTTCTCGGCCTCGAGAGACGGGCTGTGGAACGGCGACGTCTCAATCCGGCTGCGAGGGAAAATCACCTGCAGCATGCATGTGCATGTGTGCCGCCTGGTCAAAAGTCATGCGAGGTCCGGATCTATTCTCGGCACGTGTCGAGCAAGTTGATGGTCCTACTCCGTAGTACGCCGTACTGACGACGCCACCCAAGCAAGGTGCGCTTGGTGCAGGCGCCCACAACATGCAGCCAGCCCAGGCTGTCAAGAAAAACCAACACATGGCGGGGCGGCGTGACGGCAATGAGGGAGGGTCCGGAGTATACCACTCATGGGGAAAGAGTATGGACGATTTTTGCTCCGGCCATGGTCGTCCGTTCCTCTGCATGTCTTGTTGACAGCTGACCGACCGTTGAGGTTGAAGCGGCCCAACAACAACAGAATACTGCTCAGCTCCGTATACGAAGCAACTGGGACGGCGCCAACGCAACGCGGCAGGGGAATACGAGATCCGGGTGCCGCGTCTGGGTCGCTGCACATGTCCTTTGAAAGTTTTTTCACCGGCCCGCCCGGTGGACGGTGGTGACTTGGATGCGCAAAGAGGCCTGAGGTGGCTCCCCGTCCAAGTTTATCGCAGGACACACGTACGGAGGACGTACAGTATGAGATCGGCATTTGCCCGATGCCTCTCGTCTTGGCGTACAAGTCACGACCCACGACGGTGCGCACGCTGCTCCGGGCCCTGGAAGCGTGCTGCCATTTTTGGGCCCCGACGCCGTGGTTCGTGTGGACCGTCCGTTTCGTTTCGTTCTTTGTCGGTAGCATTTTCGGCGGTTCATGGTTCTCGACTCAGGTACTCCGTACTGGTTGGTGGTTCATACGCTGGCAGAGGAATAATGACTGCTGGTGCTCCGTAAATGCCACTCGTTTATGACCACCTGAGATTGCAGTGTCTCAGCTGTCGACACGACGCGGTGAGGCGCTCGTGCTCATGGCGGAGCGCACACAGAAACCTCGCAACAACAACGTCAATCCATCATCTTCATACTCCCTGCAAGCGGCGGCTTACCATGACGTCGCTTTGACTTGAGCTGTGCCGGTGCCGGCCGGGTGCATGGGTTCGCAACCCGGCAAGCCATAGGCTATAGCAGCATTATCAAATACTGCTGGCGCGGGGCTGACGTTGGAGCGAGCCATGACGGTCCGGCGGCCACTCGAGTCTCGACTCTTGACTTGATCTTCTCGTCACCTCCGTGGGGGCCTGGCTCCGTAACGTAGCTGCCCGTAGCTGCCAAGGCAGGAAAGGAAGTAGGCGAAACTCAGTGTTTGCTCCAAGATGCGAGATGCGGCATCGACGACCCCTCCTCCTCCGGCGCTCCTCGTCGCACCCCCCGGCCGCCCAATCAGCTTGGGCCATTGAGAGCCAAAAACACGCCAGTCTCTTATCTGCCTAGTGCCGAGCAGCTAGCTGCCTGCTATGCCTTTCGTATGGCCTCAGAAAATACGAAGTCGGTGCTACGTCATATCCTTGGCTGGATGTTGACGTCTGGTGACTTTTTCTTTTCCCTTGCTTCCCTGCTCACTGGTACCGTCCAACTTTTTCTATTTTTCTATTTCTGTCTTTTTTTCTGCCTCATCACCAACCTCATCAGTCAACACCCCAACCCCAATAGCTGATAGCTGGTTGCCCGCCCACACACACACGCGAGCGCGCACACAGACCAGCCCACCACCACCCAGCCGAACCTGACCGGTCCGGACTCGCTTCGCATCATTCGGAAGGATCAAAGCCGTCTCTGGCTCTCGGCCAACGCAGGAGACGGCAATCTCCATGCTGCTCGGCTGTTCTTTTTCTGATAAGCCGACGAGCCCATTGTTGCTGCGGTTATAAGTATGTGGCGAGATGCCCTCCCCAAGTATAAAAGAGAGACATCATCTCACACAAGACATCACAGCAAACAACCTCGCCTGCTTCATCTTGTTTTGAAAAGAAGATAAAACCATTCCTCAGATCGTTCTTCTCCTCTCCCTCAAAACCTCAACAACAACAACAACAACAACAACAACAACAACAACAACAACCCCCGTCAAAATGGTCAACCTCCTCACGTCTCTGCTTTTGGCCGGCGCCGCCCTCGCCGCCCCGTCAACTCCTGACCTCCGCACCGGAAACCCTTGCACCGAGAAATCCGCACGCATGGAGAACTGGCAAGTCAAGGACTTTGACTTCCACGCCAGCTACATATTCACCACGCCGGCGCACCAGAACTCCTGGGGCTACGTCAACTTCACCCTGCTCAACCCCAGCTTCCCCTCCAAGCCGACGCAGTGCTCAGGCACCTCGAATCAGCTGAGCGACTTCTTCTACGGCAACTTCAACTACGACTGCAGCCGGTCCTGGCCCGGCCAGTCTGCCAGCTTCGCCTTCTCGCGGCCCGAGCAAGACCAACTCAAGGTCAACCAGACGTGGGAGTGCCGCGGCGAGGGCAGCCGCTTCTGGGCCGAGGGAGGCCTCAAGCTCAACCTGACCTGCGACGACGCCACCTGGACGAACCCGGACTGGAAGATGGGCCAGATCTATTCCGATCGCACTGTCAACTGCACTCACATTGATGCTACTGTGCCTGTTGAGACCATGAGGGCCATTGCATAGGCAAGCTTGCATCCACTTGCCACTGCTTGCCGGCAGAATTAAACGATTAGAAGCAGATGCCGTGCCGGGAAGTCATGGCATGGGACTGGCCCTTGCGACGCGTGCGTCTTGTCCCGTACCCGTTTGCATACAGCGACGCATACGTCGTGTACATTTTTGGACGTTGTGTTTTGGACCGGGCAGTCGAGAGGGCGCGCCTGACTGTCGTGGAGGTTTTGCAACGGCGTTGATGTGAGGGACATTGGGACCAGGCCAAAGCAGAGTCACGCTTGGAAGTTGGCACCAATGTTCCTTGCACTGGACACTCCTTTTTGGAAGCAACACGGCGTGGACAATAGAAGGGGAGGTCTGGGGGGGGGGGGGGGGGTTTTGTTTAGACGCTCATGGCCGACAGGCACGCAATATACTCACACAATCAATCCATGTTGGACGAGATGACTGTTTGCGAGTGGTGACGCCTGTGGGAGAATGTAGTTGCGCGACGACAGCGCGAGGTTGTCTGCGTGGTAAACGATGGAGGTGAGAAGTGAGGCAGGGCTGGGATTTGGCAACTCCACGTGTCACGTGTCACGCCATTGGTCAAAGAATCGACAGAAACTCTAGGACTCCAGGACTCCAGGGCCATGCTGGCGAGACGCGCTCGAGAACCGGACGTATCAAGGCCTTTTGAGTCGGCACCACGCACCCTGTCTGTGCCTGACACTAGCTAACTATAATCTATCCTGAATTTATGCCTAAATCTGTAACAAACTTCAAATTATCTAAATTAAAAAGAGCCGAGTCTTGCTCTCGCTAGACAGACAAGTCCTGCTCTCGCCAGACAGACAAGACCACGTGCCGCCATGTCCATGCTCATCTCAGCCTGCGCACCAAAGAAGCACAGAACATTCCGTGCCGCCACGACGACGACGCCGCCGTCACCGCGCCGCCACCACCACCACCGCCGCCAAGCGCGCTGCAAGCTTAAAAGCCAAAAGCGCCAAGGCCTGGCTAGGCTCGCCGCCCATTCATTTCTCACTTGCCACCTCCCGGAGCGCCTCGAATCTCCCATTGGCCCACGGGTCCCTAAAACGGGTGGTTGCCGTCGATCGCGTCATCGAAGCTAGTGCCGAGAAAAACCACCTTGCTCCATTTTTTTTTAAACCACGCATGGCATTCTTTTATTTCCTTTCCTTGGACATGGAACAACAGTCAGCCGGTAACTAGTAAGTTGGTGGTTCTGACCCGGTTGATGCGCTGCGCGGCACGGTACAAAGATGTACTCCGTACGGAGCGGTCGGACTTCTTTGCAGCCCGGCGCGTGAGGCCTGCCGCCAAAAGGAGCAGAAGAGCCCATCGTGCTCTGCGTTCGATGTTTTCCGGTCCGCAACGTGCCCGAGACCTGTCAACCCCGGGGTTCGATGGCACCATTCTCGCGAGACCCCGCTCGGGGGGGGGGGCCAACAGGGGCCGCCGGCAGCTTCTGATGGGTTGCGGCGCCCGCTTTGCGTCTCCACCGTCGACCGCGTTTTGCACCGCACCACGATGATGTGCTTGGGGCCTATGGGACCGGACTCTTGGCTTCGCGCTGCGGCGGGCAAGGGTTTCTCAATTTATATATATTTAGATGGTGCACTCTGTGGCAGTCTGCCGGATTCTTTTTTTGTTTTTCCTAATTTTCATTGGGGTCGTTGTGCATATTTTTCCTTTTCGGGCATTGGCTGCTCTCCCTCCGGTTCGGGGTGTTGTTGTTGGTCCTCGTTGACATATAATATTATATATCTGGGGCGCTTGGCATCGCCTATCCGTCGTCGAGATACGCACGTGAGCTGGACATGTCTGGCGACCCTGCCGTCCATCCACCTGCATTATAGACGAGGAAGAATAGCCGACGTACCAGAATGGACCGCCTTGTTGGAGGCGCCCGCGAGGGGGGCAAACACCACATCCGGGTGAATCCGAGCGAGGCCGAGGCCGGCTCTGGGTCCGACGCAGAGAATGGTATGCCCTTGTTGCGTTGCCAAGAGTGTTTCACCCGTCTTTGCACACTCGACTGACTGGCTGACTGACTGACCTGATAGTCGTGAAAACAGGCCAGCTTGAAATCGCCCGCCAGAACAAGCGCCAGATAGGCATCCCCTCGGCTGCCCTCCTCATCTTCAACCGCATCATCGGCACCGGCATCTTTGCCACGCCGGCCACGGTCCTCGCCCAGTGTGGCTCCCCGGGCCTGTCGCTCATCATCTGGCTCGTGGGCATGCTCATCGCCGCCGCCGGAACAGCCGTCTACTTGGAGTTCGGCACCGGACTGCCCCGCAACGGCGGCGAGAAGAATTACCTCGAGTTCGTGTACCGCAAGCCCAGGTTCCTCACCACGTCGCTGTACACGGGCTACGTGATCCTGCTGGGGTGGGCCGCCGGCAACTCAGTCATCTTCGGCGAGTACATCCTGCACGCCGCGCAGGTCGAGGTGACGCGGTGGAATCAGCGCGGCATCGCCCTGGCGTGTCTGACGACGGCGTTTTTGATCCACGGCACGGCGCTGAAATGGGGGATTCGACTGCAGAACTTTCTGGGTGTCCTCAAGATCCTCGTCGTCGTCATCATCGTCATATCCCCGCTGGTCAACCTCAAAAAGGTCAGGGAGAACAACAACTTCTCCAAGCCGTTCGAGGGAACGACCAGCAGCGCGTACGGCGTCGTCACGGCCCTGTACAACGTCATCTGGAGCTTCGTGGGCTACAGCAACGCCAACTATGCCCTCAGCGAGACCAGGAACCCAGCCAGGACGCTCAAGTTCGCCGCCCCGATCGCCCTCGGCACCATTTCCGTCCTGTACATGCTCGCAAACGTCGCCTACTTTGCCGGCGTCTCGAGGGAGGAGATGCTCGAGTCGAAGCGCCTGGTGGCGGCCTCGCTCTTCCGCAACATGTTTGGACAGTCGGCCGAGCGCGCCTTGTCCGTCTTTGTTGCCCTGTCCGCCTTTGGCAACGTCCTGAGCGTCATCTTCTCCCAGGGCCGCCTGGTTCAGGAACTCGGGCGCGAGGGCGTCCTCCCCCTGTCGCGCTTCTGGGCCAGCAACCGGCCCTTCAACGCCCCCCTCGCCGGCCTCTTCGAGCACTGGCTCGTCACGGCCATCACCATCCTCGCGCCCCCCTCTGGCGACGCGTACAATTTTGTGCTCAACCTCATTTCGTACCCGCTTGCCATCGTCAACACCTTTGTCGCGGGCGGGCTGATTCACCTCTACCGCAACCGGGCTCGGAGGAGCTGGAGCCCTCCCCTCAGGGCAACCCTCCCCGTCGTCGTCTTTTTCCTCCTGAGCAACATTTACCTCGTCGTGGCGCCGTTTGTGCCACCCGAGGAGGGGCAGAGTGTGTATGAGAGCCTGCCGTACTGGATCCACTGCGTCGTCGGCTTTGGTGTGATTCTGGCCGGAGGCGTGTATTGGTTAATCTGGGCTGTTGTCCTCCCCAAGATCGGCCGGTACGAGCTGGTGCTGGAGACCGTCGTGGATGACCTCGACGGATGGGAACGCAGTTATTTCTTTACTCGGCCGCTGGGAGACAAGGCCAAGAACACCGGGGATCCTCACGATTCTCCGTGATTCTTGTCCACGCATCTTCTTTTCAACATGAGACTAGTAGTAATTTCAACATGGCGATTTGATTGGATTTTGTTTGACGGCAAGTCGTCGTGGCTCGTGGGTGTGGAAATGCTTACATGAATATATCCCTAGGTGCATATTTCAAATGTGATTAATGCATAGTACGGAGTAGTTACTTCATGCATATGTGCTAAACAAGTAAAACTCGATACCCTGGGCGAGGTTACGTCGTCGCTATTGTTTCACACGGCAACAAAATGTCGAAAACCCAAGTTCAAACCCGCCGTCTAACTTGTACGGCCGAGCGAAACAGACATACAGAGCCTGAATGTGGATGAGACGAGACGATGGATGCATAAAAAAACAAAACATCAAGCACCCTCCTATTTAACGGGACTCCACCTTATTCTGCGCCAGTATTGCCAAGACGGTTGATGGAAGCCCTCGTTGGTGCCGCGATTCCGAACGCCTGCCAAGACGGGTCATGATGCGAGCAAACGAGTTGACGTTCGTGCCAGTGCGGCGCGGGAATATCCCCGGGACTGTTTGAGTTGGTCGGGAGAGCTCCACTGCAAGCTCTGGTCCGTCGTAATGCCAACAGCCTCCACGGCGGGGCCATTCTCTCAGAAATCCAAATGGATTGGTTTGACAGGCTGCCGGTGCCTGATGTTCCGGCAAGATATCTCGACAGGCCCGTGGAAGAAGTTTCAGAGGTTTCAGAGTCCTCACCTGCCCGTCTAGGGAGGCAGGCGTTCAGGCAGGGCCGGCAGTGCATGCCGTTCCAGAGTCACCTCGACAATGGATCGATTACCAAGTCGGCCGCTGGCTAACAATAGATTACAGTAGTTGAGTTGAACAGAAATCGAGCCGATTCAACGCTGACACGACGAACAGCCGAAATGCTCAAGACAAACCCCCGATGGTTGAGGATGCTTATTACACGACAAGGAAAACGTACTCGGCGCACTCAGCATCGCAACCAGGGCCAACGTGGCTGCTAGCAACTACTTACTAGCAAGACGCCGGTCCCATTGTCCCCATTATCTAGTACATCATGGACCCATTGAACCCCGCGAGCCGCATGGTGCGCATGGCGGCGGTTGAGGCCTGGCCTTGGAAATGAGATCGGCAGTCAATGTTTGGTATGTATGTTTCACCCATGGCTTTAATCATTCTGGGTTCGTGCCAGCCGGGCTCTCTGTTGAATATGAATGTGATTTCAAAAAAGCTGTACGGTGAATCATGGCCTGCTTCAGTGCCTCGATAAGCTGACTTTGCTCTAGGTTTGCAAGTCCAGCCCGAAATTACCTAACGGTGAATCACCATCATTATAGGGAACAGGCCATGGTTACAAGTGCCCATGATCGGCAGCCGCACCGCACGTCTCCCTGTGCAAGGCTAGATTCACCTGTGGGTTTGGCCCACGCAGCACTACCCGTGGCCACAAACACCACGGTACTGCAAGAGGAGCCTGGACCCTACTCTCATGATCGACGTCGGGGAGAGTCTACCAAAGTACCAAGTACCCAGCTAACTTGGTACTTGCCCTTGCCACTTGCGGAGTAAGAGGGAAGGTCATGTTGGTGGTGGTGAATGTTAGCACAACAGCTACCAACTAAACCAGCCTTCACGTTACATGAAGCAGACCGCGTGTGGTGGGATATATATTGCGGGAGTAACCACCCGTCAAGAGTGTGTCCGTCTCTCCCTCCCCCACAGTTTCATACTCGGACCGTCGCCTTCCTGCTGTCGTCTTGGGGTCACATTACACAGCATGCATCTCTTCACAGCTTTTTCCTTGGGGCTAGCCTTCGTGGTGACTGCGTCTCCAGGCCCACCATCTCCTAACACGGCAGGCGTTCCGGTCTCCAGCAGGTCATTTCGCAGGTCAGATAGCGAATGGAGCCATATAATCGACGGCTCTGATGTGAAAGCTTCCAAGAACTACGGAGGCCGCCTCGTTGACTACAAACTCCGGGCTAGAGCTGTCGACCCGTCCCGACTTGGCGTCGATAAGGTCAGACAGTTCAGTGGATATCTCGACGACAACTCCACGGACAAGCATCTCTTCTATTGTAGGCCAATGCCAGCTGGGGAAAAAAAAAGCAAGGCACTGGGCAGCTAATTCTCATTGCACTCAGGGTTCTTTGAATCTCGGAGCGACCCCAAGAACGACCCCGTTATCCTGTGGCTCACCGGCGGACCGGGCTGTTCTTCCATGTCTGGTCTCTTCATGGAGTTGGGTCCCTCCATGGTTGACCAGAACGGCAGCCTCCACGCAAACCCATACTCCTGGAACAGCAACGCATCCGTCATCTTCTTGGATCAGCCTGTCAACACTGGCTTCTCCTACAGTAAGGCCGAGGTCGACACCACAGCTGCCGCCGCCCGCGACATCTACGCCCTGATGACCCTGTTCTTCGAGCAATTCCCCCAGTACGCCAAACAGGACTTCCACATTGCCGGCGAGTCCTACGCCGGCCACTACATCCCGGCAACTGCCTACGAAATATTATCCCACAGTCGTCGCAATATCAACCTCAAAAGCGTCCTGATCGGCAACGGCCTCACCGATCCGTACACCCAGTACGGCTACTATGAGGCCATGGCCTGCGGCAAAGGCGGACACAAGGCCGTCCTCGACCAGCAAACTTGCGAGGGTATGCGAAAGGCGCTTCCCCAATGCCGAAGCGCCATCGAGGCCTGCTACGGTGGAAACCACTACGCATGTGTCGACAGCGCCGCCTACTGCGACGGCCCATTCCTCGCCTCCTACCTGAAAACAAACCTCAACCCGTACGACGTCCGGAAAAAGTGTGTCGGAGGAAGCCTCTGCTACAAAGAAGCCAACTACGCCCAGCAGTGGCTGAACAGAAAGGACGTCATGCAAACCCTTGGGGTCGAGGTCAGGACCTTCGACACCTGCAACCCCCAGATCAACCTTGCCTTCCGACAGGCCGGCGATTGGTTCCTCCCGATCCAGAGATACGTTCCGCACATATTGGCACAGATCCCCGTTCTCATCTACGCAGGCGACGTCGACTTTATCTGCAACTGGCTGGGCAACGAGGCATGGACCAATGCTCTGCCGTGGCCGGGCAAGGACGCCTTCAACAGTGCCGGCCCCCTGGAGCTCACTGCACGTTCGGGCAAGAACTACGCCAAGATCAAGCACGCCCAAGGCTTCGCATTCGCACGAGTATACCAGGCGGGACATTTGGTTCCTCATGACGAGCCTGAAGGTGCGCTTGACCTCATGACTCGCTGGATAAGGGGCGAGTGGAGCAAGTAAAACGCGCGCATGTATGACGATACATGGACCTGACGTGAAATTATTATGCTATAGAGGGCAAGGACGTAGTCACGGTTGCCCCGGGCTGTACATTACTCTTTTCGGATCTCACGAGATTTGGCTACACGAGTCAAAACCAGTCAGGGAAAATACAAAGATATCATGCAATGAAATTAGAAACTAGAAGGGTGATGCATCAAGGTGCTGCGGCGTTGGGCGGCCCGGCTCTCGAATCTCGGCCCAACGTGAACGACATACCTCACCGGCCGTTGCTCCGAGTTTCTTCATCTCGCTGGCCGTCATCAACGGCTCTCGCGGAGTGTTTCAAATTTTTCCGCCTAGACAAATTGCTCCTCTAGTTTACCCGCTTTGTCTGGTAGTCTTGTCCACGTCAGCAACAAGGTCCAAGACGCGTCTCCCGTGAATTTACCTCGAGGTCTTTCCGTGGATGATTGACAATCCGTACCTGCCAGGCGTTGCCAGCACCAAGAAGAGACTTGACGACAAGCTCTGAGAGCTGCCCAACAGAGCACACGGACAAAGTCAACTCTGTTGGGGCCGTGGTATGGCGGGATAACATAACGTACGCACCCGCAAAACACGACACACTTTCCAGGCGGGCGTCGAGCGTTTCGCACAACGGCGTTCCTAACCGCCTTCTCAGACGCACCGGTATGGAACTTGGGTATTTCCTTGCTGGGACTTGATTGCGGCACCATGCATCATGCTAATGGTCTGCTTCCGACGGTCAAAGCTGTCCCTTTTGGAGAAATTGGCCACCAGGTACTTGCTTGCCTCAGCACCTCGGCTGCTGATCTTCGATGGAGGGCAGCACACGGCAAGTTCGGCCTCATGGCGTCAAGTCTTTCCACAGGCCGTCCGTTGATCCATCCCGACGGCGCTCCCGTCTGTCGAGTGCCGAATCGGCAACGACGCGATTCTCGTTGCCCCGGGCAAACCTGTCCGCCACTCCAAAATGCACCAGTAGCACATGGCATCGAGGACCTGGCGACCTTCTGCCAATAGCTCGTCGAGCAGCTCGTCGTTGTATCATTCCCGGCGTGGTGGTACAAGTGGTGTTATATCGGCCTTGCCATCAACGATGTGAACCTGACGTCTCACTCTGGTCAAGGTCGATACATGTACCTTCTAAAAATGGTCCTTGAAAAAGCGGCGGGCTTGAGTGAAATAGGTGAATTTCCTCACCAAGCTTGATGCAGAAACGAAGGAAAGAGTACTTGGGCTCATCCACGACCTGCCAATTCTTCAAATGCTGCATCCCTCCGTCCTCGCACTGGGAAGACACATATAGACTGTTCCATCTTCCATAAGCAAACGTGTCTGGATAGACGTCAGGACATGATGTCATGGATGTCCTTTCCCGCTCTCTCCAACTTTCAAACAAACATCCCCATGTCTGACCATCGAATTCTTTAAAACACTATCACCCAAGGAAAGATTACCCCCCCCCCCCCCGGAAAATGTTGTCGTGTGCTAGAGAGCCTCCTCGATCCTAAGCAGTTTACCAACTATGTATGGCGACTGGAAACTCTCCAAGAGCCTTCACACCTTGCGCCAAGGCGTTTTCAACCGATGTCGACGTCGTCCATATTGTCTGTTTCACCAGCGTAGTGGTGTGTATGGTCAGACCATGGCGTTCCGCACATGTTCTCAATAACCCACAAAACCAAGGTTGGGCAGATTCTCAACGACGGAGAATTGTGCCTCGAGTAGTGACCAAAGACACAATGTCGGTGGCGTTGGAGAAATGATGTGGCCTACGGTTGAATCCGGACAGCCAGTCAGTTGTGTTGTTCGATCATTAAACGCCAACCAAAAGCTGGCTTTTGTCCTTTGGAAGAAGGGACCAATCAGGTCGACGACTTGACCACCCGCGATCGTGTGCTTGCGGCGCTCTCGGCCTCCGGGTCTCAGTTGACAGGGGGTCAACGGTTTACGTCACTCAAACTTGAGTCATCGGCGGGCTGGTATTTCCGAAGCTGTGCCAATAATGCAGGGCGGTATCCTCCCATCTCCGATTGATTCATCAGTGTCGTGCATCTTATAACCACCAGGGTAGGCGTGGTAAGCCAGTCACCATAATCAGAGTCATATCGCTACCGTACCCCGTCCCAGGTGTCGAATGGCGAGCTGCACCGGGGATTAGTGTAGAAACCAAAGCTGACGATGCGGTTTCTTCTTAGTTTGATGGATTGATTCGACACTCGTCACGCTCAGCTCGTGCCCTGACATCGCCACATGGGTTCCCTATCCGCGACGCTGCCTTACGCAAGGCACTGTCACTGAGGACGAAATCACGATTCGTTGACTGACGGAAAGGATGAAGCTTGGCGTTCATGTAGCACGGGCTAATATCCCGGGCGGAAAATAGATTCCAACTGGGAGACGGTAGAGGACGGCGTCGGATGTTCGGTAAAGCCAGCGAGCCATGTTGCAGCATGTAAGCATTATGCTGTCAGCCGCGCATGGATGGCTGGCTACAGAAACGTATGATGAGACCGCGACAAGACTGAGGACTACAGAGTAAACGCCAATTTGTTGTTGATGAAGGATGTGTGGGGAGTTGGTTCAAAAAAAATTAAAAAATTAAAAATTAAAAATTGCGGCAGGCGGAAAGTGCGCGCACACACATGTTTGTGGCCTCAGGCAAGCTAAAAGAAGGACGCGTTGGGGGACGACAACGCCTGCCCCGAAAGTCTTCCGCAAAAATCCATCACGGATCCGAACGGCGACATGGATCCCGACTGAATGTCCCATTCATCAGTGACCTCGGAGAATATGGACATCTGGACCCGCGGAAGCGAACCTGTTGATATTTGAATTGACGGTCCCGAGACATCCCCTCTTGTGCTTGTGGGCAACGCTGTTCGCCCCCCGGCCGTTAAGCCATCCGCTCTACTGGCGCCGCCATGACCTCCCCACCCCCCTCGCAGGCTTACCTTAACCCCCATCTGCTCCACGTGCCCCGTCATCTGTTCCCACCCCCGCGGATACCAGGAGTCCAGGACCAGACAGGGACCCCACTTCACGATCCCTTAGGTTCTCTTGTAGTAGTAGTAGTAGTATATGAAAAATCACCCTCAGCTTGTTACGCTCCGATTGTAAGACACTCGTTGTTCTCCATAATAATCCGCCTTTCCCGGCGACCTGGGCCGGGGCGGCATGCCTATTTACTCATCTCCTTGCGCACTTTGCCGTGCTGCCGCGGTCATCGTCCGACTCTTCCCCTCGTGTGCTCAGCCGAAACCTGGGCTGCCCTTGTTTCTTCGGGCGAAACGAACATCCGGAAGCATTCGAACTCTGGTCCATTGAGCCAGGGCCAAAGTCCGCCGCCAAAACATGGCAGTCCCTGCGGATGAGAAAGATCACGACTCGCTTCGCCCGACTCAGATGGGCGAGGGCGAGGCTGGAGTGGTCTCTGCAGCGCACCAACGATATGTCAAGGATGGCAATTTGGACGAGGAAGGGGTCAAGTGCCCATCACACACGACCGATCTCCGGCTCCTGACCAAGATTGATTTTCATGTCATTCCATTCCTTTGTGTCATGTACCTGCTGGCTTTTCTTGGTAAGAACACCATTACATGTGCATCCACCTTTCTGACGCGTAACCATGGCCATCCCACATTGTGCCTGGCGAACTGACATGCCCTACTCTGTAGATAGAGTCAATATTGCCAATGCCAGGATTTTCGACTTGGAGACAGACCTCGGCATACAATCCGAGCCGTCAAAGTTCAACACGGCCATCGTCATCTTCTTTGTGCCTTATGTTCTGTTCGAGATCCCATCCAACATCCTCCTCAAAAAGTTCAAGCCCTCCACATGGCTGTCCTTGAACATGTTCTTGTTTGGATTTACCACAATGATGCAGGGACTGGTGAGAAGCTACGGTGGCTTGCTGGCCGCTCGGTTTTTCCTTGGATTGTTTGAAACAGGCATGTTTCCGGGCGGTACGTCATGCCTTCTCGTACAAGTGCGTGGGACCAATGCTTGCTCCCCGGCGGCGCAGATTTCTCATGGCACTCCAAGCTGATTCGCGCTTCCTTTGCGGCTAGCTTTCTATCTGATCGGCATGTGGTACCGCCGACATGAAGCCCAACGACGGTACTCCTTCTTCTTCAACAGCACAACCCTAGCCGGTGCCTTTGGCGGACTGCTCGCTGCTGCCATTGGTAAAATGAGCGGGATGCGCGGCTACAGCGGGTGGCGCTGGATTTTCATCATCGAAGGTGGCCTCACTGTGCTCGTCAGCTTCTTCTTCTACTTCTGGCTTCCCAACTTCCCCGAGCAGGCAAAGTGGCTCAAGGAAGACGAGCGCGAGTATGTCGCTGCCCGGCTCCGCCTCGACCAGGGCAAGGCTGGCCTGGATCGCAGTATCACCCTGCGTGATGTCGGGACCATCTTCAAAGACTACAAGGTCATCGTCGGTGGCTTCATGTACTTTGGCCTCATCGTCCCGGCCTATGGGTACGCATACTTTGCGCCCACGATTCTGAACGGTTACGGCTACGACAAGATCCAGACCCAGCTGCGCAGCGTACCCCCGTGGGTTGCTGCCTTTGCTCTCTCCATGATGTGCGCGTACGCCTCGGACAAGCTGAGACATCGAGCCCTCTTCGCCATAGTCCCCATTTGTGTGGCCATCTCTGGGTTCGCCATCCTTCTCCGCGTCCATGCAAACCTCGATGCGCAGTACTCGGCCCTTTTCCTAGCCGCCATGGGCGCCTTTACGGCAATGCCCATCATCGTTTGCTGGTTCAACATGAACCTGGGTGGCCACCACCGTCGGGCCGTCGGCAGCGGCTGGCAAGTCGGGTTCGGTAACCTCGGCGGCATTGTCGCTGCTTTTTCTTTCAAGCAAGATTCCGGCGCCAAGTCCGCCCAAGACTACAGCCTCGGCTACTCTCTGAGCATTGCATTCTGCTGCGCCTCTATTGTAGCCTGCGTCATCTACGCGTTTGGCTGCTGGAAGGCAAACAAGGACCGTCGAGATGGAAAACAAGACGCGAGCCACCTGTCGGAAGAAGAGCAGCTGGCGCTGGGCGATATGAATCCAAAGTACCGTTATCTTTTGTAACCTCGGGACGAATGCTTTTTCTAAAACTATCTTTTGGGTCATTGAGTCAGCTATACTATGGCGATATCATGTTGCATAACATGTGTGTACATCTAGACGTCCTAGCGGGTGACAAATGCACCACTTAGAATCATTTGCTGCAAAAGGTTTGCTCGGTCGATGCGACATTTTGAGTATATCGCAGGTCAAGCCTTGCTTCACAGAGCACCACAGAGCTATCTGCACGCCTAGCTAGCCTGTTCATCATGTGATATGCTCGAGATGTCGGACGACAGTCTCGGTCAGCCGAGTCTCACCAGGACGAGATTGCGAATGGCAACCCAACGGATTCGATCAAAGATCACCCAGTCAGCCGTAACAGCCACTTGATCCGAAGCCCTTTGTTGAAAGGAGACTGTCCCGTATCTCGGCCGCGGGACATTGCAAGAACCCAGTAATGGCTACCGAACTTCAGCTATATTCCTCCGTGATGGTCTAGCGTAATGGCCAGACCGAGTCAAGGAGCTGGCAGAAACCACCAGACACCAAGAGGGTTGCTTGTCCCGTGTCATCTGCCACCCATAGGCCAGCACAAGACGGAACCCCAAGCGTTCTTCAAAGGCCAGTCGCAAACGGGGCATGGTGAGCGACCTTTCTGCTCACTCAATCTACGACGTCTCAGACTCATCCCTCCCCAGGATTATTCGCCAAATCTCTTCCACCGTCGGTCCCAAGCCCGTGGCCTTTGCTCTCGGAGCATGCATGCACGTTGGGATAGAACCCATCCGATAGGGAGTCCGAGTACCGACGTCTATTCTTCCTGCTTCTTCGACAGCAGCCATGAATGGAAGACGGGGAAATCTTGAATGTAGCAGTCGTCAAGTCGGCCCACGTTGATGCGAGATCCCACGGCTGTCGTATTGAGGGACTCGAAAGCCGCCCTCGTCCAGAGGCTTCATGTAAGAAGCTGACAGGCCACCAGGGAACCCGTAGACATGGCAGAATGAGACCTGCAGCCACCACGAGATGTTCGCCCGTTTTCATCTGGGCCCTGTAGGGGCGCAGGCAGGGCCGGGATTCCGCAGCTTCATGTGTTCTCACTTCCGACAGGTGACAGGGCGGGCTTGACATGCACACGAGAGCCGTACAACCGCCGAGGACGAGTAAAATACGAAAGATTCACCACAGGGCGCATCCGCAGGTTTCTATTCCGCAACCGCAAAAGGCTATGTAGAGGGTCTCGGTCTGGCCTGCTCGTGGACTGCTGCCCGCAACGAAAAGAAGCTCATACGTTTCCTACCAACCAACTAGACGGACGGCACGCCGGACATTGCATGTCTCTGGCAACGTAGAATAATGAAGCATGATCCACCCAAAGTCGATTAGCTGGACGCCTCCCCCACCAGGAGAACATGGACAAGTTGTTCGTGCGCCCTTCCATGACGAGCCCCACGAAACATTCTTCCGTCAACCCCCCGCATCGCAGACAGCGGCAGTGTTCACTGTTGAACAAGAGGAAAAAAAAGGACAAGATCGGAACCCTGGATTTTGACGTGTGCTGAAGACCGTATTGAACCATGGCTACAATCCGACATGCGCGGCGGGAAGGTATGCCCCCACATGAACAACCGGGAGGTACCAGCTGGAACTGATCCATGACAGACGCCCCCGTCATCCTCGAACTCATCCAGGCCCTTGCCAACTACGAAAAAGAGCCGGATGCAGTCGAGGCCACGGTCGAGTCACTCGAGAGGACAATTGCCTTTGCGCCGTCCGATTCGACCGGCAGCGATGCCGCGATTCCCGACACGGAGGCCATCACCCCCGACCGGCCATCTCGCTGTTTGTTGCTGTTCTCTCCCGAGGGAAAAGCCGTCGGAATGGCGCTGTATTTCTACAACTACAGCACGTGGCGGTCCAAGGCTGGCATCCATCTGGAGGATCTTTTCGTCCAGCCATCTGAGCGTGGGTGCGGGTACGGCAAGAAACTGCTGGTCGAGCTGGCGAGGCAGGTCGTCGCCATGAAGGGCGGAAGGCTGGAATGGGTCGTGCTCAAGTGGAACGAGCCCAGCATCAGGTTTTATGAGAGCATTGGAGCGCAGTTGTTGGACGAGTGGGTTGGCATGCGGGTTGACGGAGAGCGGCTGGAGAAGTTGGCACACTCGCTGGATTAGATGGACACGATGGCACCAAGATTCCGGCGCCGGTGACGCAGGGGAAAAGTAGGCGAGAGGAATGGTAGCGTGGCGCTATACTCAAACATTTGGCTCTTTGCGGAGTTTGTTTCCTCTCCTGTCCACGCTTTCGAAAACTCCCTGCTGGACTGTTGTTGCGGCCGGTAGGTTGCATGTCGTGGTTCCCCAACAGAGGGAGTACTGTAGTGTGTTTGGGTCCTGCTCCAAAGTCGGGGTGAGCTGCCACGTCCTATTGTAGGCTCTGCGGAACCATCGATTTGAGACGTGCTGGCTGCGCTCATGTCCACCGTAAGGACCCGTGTCGCATTGTCCGGTTCGGCGTCGTTGTGGCATGGTTCTGGGCTTTTCGATTCTGGCGACGGGCGTGGTGGCATAGGATTGCCATTTCCAAGCCTGGACAGACTCCGCCGACGAAGGCACCTCTGACGACGCATGATGCCGTCGCCGAGGCACGGCCCATTCGCCTTCTGCCTGCACACCGCGGCTGAGTCGCTGTAAGAGGTCCCATTCTCCTTTACCCAGCGGGGGCATGATCTTGTCCGCGCTCCTTCTCCACCAGTGAGCTCGCTTTGCCCTCACCAGGCACTCGGCGGGTGGTCTCCCCCATATGTTGGTCTTGGGGACGAACTGGTCGGGATCGGTTGTTCTCACGGCCATTACAGGCCAGCTGGTTGTGCCCTTGGTCACTTTCTGGTGCCGCCTCTGCGATTCGAGAATTTTCAACAGCTTGGGTCGATCCCATTTCTCGAAAAAATCATTCTTTGGCTTGCGTGCCAGCCTCGCATTCGAGGCGCCCGGCGGCACTGATTGTGCTTGCATCTCCTTTTTCCCAGCCTGATCCTCCATCAATGTCTCCAGGGCCTGGGTGTCGCTAGGACCTTGTGGTTTGACAAGGTGCGCCACAAGCTGCCGTCTTCGGCTTCCGGTTCTGCCAAATCCCTTCATGATCAAGCTCTGCATGGCATTCTTGGCGCCGCTGTTGGCAGCCCGCAAGGTCCGAAGCGTCGACACGGCCTTGGCCAGCCGGCTCTTGGTGTGCATTCCATCCTGGCGGCTCTTGTGGAATCTGGTCCGGATGGTTGAGTCGATGGTGGCTCGGAAAGCGGGCGGGAGATATGAAGCTTCACGGAGGAGATGGCGATAAAGATGGAGAGGGGGCAGAGATGGAGGGAGGGGATATGCCGGGGCAGGCATGATGGCGAGACGTGGACACGCAGAATGGAGGATTGTCGAGTGTAATCTCACTCCGACGAGTCGACGACGGTCTTTGACGCTGCACGTTGGAGCGTTTCCGCCTGGCCGGACCAACCTCGGGCCCACAGTCCATGACGGACTGTGTAACCGCGGTCCACAAACACGGAGTTGGTGGTTGCGTCGAGGTGAGGACCAGCGGCGATGGTCTTGGATCAATGGCTACCACAACTGTCAACGGTGGTCTAGGCAAACCCGACCTTGTCCAGCACTATTACTTCATTGCAGACGAACCAAGGGCAGAGAAACATGACGAGCAGCAGCAATGCCTGCCCGACCAGACTGCAGATTCAATTTTGTGCATGTCTGTGCAGGGGCGGACGCATGATGATATGCATCAATGAATATTAGGTACTTGTAGCTACTCAAGTACCTGCCTACCCATCTAGGTACTTAGTAGGTACCTACTTGCTCAACAAGTTACAACTAATGCTATTGCCCGGGACCCTGGTACGTCGTGGAAGGGCCAGAGGTCTGTCCGCCCAAAAAGAAAAGGAAAAAAAAAAAACGGGGCGCGCGCGACACGCGCGACACGCCTCGACACGATGCGTCCACGAAACCGACACGTCCTGATTAATTAACTGACGGCATCCCACGACGGCGCGCGGCGGCTATCCAGGCCAAGATTGCATCCCTGGTTTCGTCACGGCACTGCTTAAGGCAGGTCACTGGAAGCGCATGCCCCGTTCTAGACGCTGTCGCGCCCCTCGTTCTGCATTTCGTGCATTTGCCGGCGTCCTTCCTCGCTTCTGGTGCACCCAGAACCAGAAGTTAGGTCCGTCCAGAACCGTGCAACTCTCAAACGCCTCGAGAGTGATTGTGTCCAATTGCTCTCTCTTCCCCTTCCCCCGTCCGAGCAGGGGCAAGCAAGCAAGCACCTGTACTCCATCCAAAGGCAAAGGTTGCCTGCCATCCGGCCGGGCCTCAGTCGAATTGGCCCGTCTCGGTTAGCAGAAACGCCGCCTTATGGCATTTTTGCGCTTCCCAACTTCCCCTCCTCCTCTCCACCATTCCAAAGGCGACTCGGACCTGGACTTGTGCACCCGCATAACTACCGCCGCGCTGCCCTGCAACCATCATCCATCATTGGAACCCACTCACTTCTCGCTCGCTCCCTTCTCCGCCATTCATTTCGCCTGCAGCCGGCACTCACAAGTACAACCCCGACACCCTCGCCGTCGACGACGCCGCAATTCAACTTGTTGTCATTTGGTTCTTTGTGACCCTCGGAGTAGAGCTGTCGGGCATCACGCGCACATGCTTTCCCGGCCGTCTTCGCACATCTATGCTCGAGACGTCAGCGTCAGCTCTGGCGGCCAGTCTGTCTCCCTCCGACGCTGACTGCGCGTGATTGTCCATCTCCCAACTCTTGGACCATTCAGCCTTTCTTAATTCGTTCTTTCGCATCACGCGCAAAGCTTGCTACTATGCCATCCACATCGCAGTCTTCTCAACAGTCTTTTACCATGAGCCAACAGTCCCAACCCAGGCATGGCGCCTCGTTCCATCAAAGCTTCAATGGAGCAGACGGACCCATATACTCTGTACGTCCCCCGAGTCTTCGCAAAAATCAAGACTTTGGCCACCACGGGGCTTGTTAGTGGCTGACATTTCGTTCTCTTCTTTGCTATTGCCATACGGTAGGCTTCATATTCAGGTGTTGACGTATACGAAATGGAGGTGAATAACGTGGCCGTCATGCGAAGACGTAATGATTCTTGGCTAAACGCCACCCAAATCCTCAAAGTCGCCGGCGTCGACAAAGGCAAACGAACCAAGATTCTCGAAAAGGAGATACAAACAGGCGAGCACGAAAAGGTCCAAGGCGGCTATGGCAAATACCAGGGCACGTGGATCAAGTTTGAACGAGGCGTTGAGGTGTGCCGGCAGTATGGCGTAGAGGAACTTCTGCGACCCCTTCTGACGTACGACATGGGACAGGACGGCGGTGTTGCCGGCAGGGGCGATTTCAACACTCCCACCAAGGAGCAGGCCATGGCGGCCCAGAGAAAGCGCTTGTACAACTCGGGCGTAGATGCCAGACCAAACGGCATGTCTGGTACCTTTTTCAAAAACATCTCTAGTACTGCCTCTCATGCTGTTGCGGCCATCAGCAAGGCTCGCTTCGATTCTCCGGGGCCGAGAAGTCGAAACGGCCCTACCCGAGCTCCCAGCTTCAGCCGGCAGCCCTCGATGCCGAACGGCGATGAGTTCCCTGGAAACTCGCAACAGAGCTACACCTCCGACTATGTTCCACAAGTAGATTCGGCATACTCTACGCAACAAGCAGCCGCCATGTCTGGCATGCCCGAGCATGAGCCTCCCCGCAAACGCCAGCGGCTAACAATGACGCCAGTCGACAGCTTCGGCGGATACGGCCAGAATATGGACATCTATGCGACCGCCTATCCAGGGTCGCCCACCGAACCCAATGAGTCTTTCATGTACGCTCAAAGTGCAATCAAGGATGGTGTCGCTGCTGGCGGTGACGGCAACGGGCCCTTGCCTCCATTGCCATATGAGATGTCCCCCGATGTGGAAATGAAGCGCAACACCTTGATGGGCTTATTCATGGACTCATCGCCTAATGACACCTCAAAGCACGACTTACTCCGAACACTCAGTCCAGCCGAGCTTGACATGCCCATCGACCCCCAGAGTCACACTGCACTTCACTGGGCGGCCACACTGGCTCGGATGCCACTTCTTCGTGCCCTGATCGCAGCCGGCGCATCTCCATGCCGGGTCAATGCATCTGGTGAAACCGCCTTGATGAGGGCTTGTCTGGTTACTAATTCCATGGACCAGGGCTCGTTCCCCGACCTCTTGGAGGTTCTGGGAGGCACCATTGAGTCTCGAGATCACAAAGGTCGTACAGTGCTGCATCACATTGCTGTGACCAGCGCCGTCAAGGGTCGTAACGCTGCTAGTCGATATTATCTGGAGAGCCTTTTGGAATGGGTTGTTCGACAGGGTAGCGTCCCAAGCAGCCAGGCCAACGGAAACGTTCCCAGCAGCTCGCAGTCTACCATTCCCAAGATGGGAATTGCTCGTTTTATGAGTGAAATCGTCAATGCCCAGGACAGCTCAGGTGACACGGCCTTGAACATCGCGGCCAGAATTGGCAACCGAAGCATCATCTCTCAGCTCCTGGAGGTTGGTGCCGACCCCAACGTTGCCAATCGAGTCGGTCTGCGACCTCTTGATTTCGGCATTGGCGGTGACAACGCGGAGGAAAAGACCAACAACGAAGTGCCAGCGGAGAAGAACGGCGCCGCCGGATCGAGCCAAAGGACGCGAGAGAGCAGTGATGAGATTATTGCGTGTAAGTTTCCCCGTCGTCCGCCGCTGTCTATGCTTCCGTACTGCAGGTCAGTTGACATGCTGTAGCCATTACCCACCTCCTCGGCGAGACGGGAACAGCTTTCCAGCAGGAAATGAAGTCTAAGCAAGTCTCATTGGACGCCATGCACGCGACGCTGCGCACCACGTCGACCCAGCTCGGTGACGCGCGCCGCAATCTTGAACATCTGACGTCCACGGTCAAGAAGCAGCAGCTTGCTCGACAGAAGGTGTCCAACCTCGCACATGCTCGTGAAGACGAGCAGCTCCGCCTGATGAACGAACAACAGCGCTCATCACAGCCCAACCCCTCGGCGTCGTGGGAGACCGAGTTGTCAGCCATGCTCGAAGCAGCCGAGGAATCCGCCAACACCGCCGGCTTCGGCAGCGAGGGCATGCTCCCAACGGCGTCCATGCTGCGATCACGCATCCGCGCCATGGAAGCCCGCCGCGAAGTCACCCGCAAAATGGTGTCCGCTCTCAAAGGCCGCAGCCGCGACGTCGAAGTCAAGTACCGCCGTGTCGTGGCCCTCTGTACGGGTGTCCAAGAGGGAGACGTCGACGCCGTGGTGGACAACCTCCTCAAGGCCGTCGAGAGCGAGCGCGACGAGCTGGACATTGGCCGTGTGCGCAGATTCCTGGGCGGCGCTGAAGCTGTGGTGCATTAGTCAATGCCTCGTCTGTTCTCCTTGATGAAGTTATTGCAGACTCCCGTTTGTCACGATATCCCGTCGGTTCAAATGCTTGCAACACCCTCCTATTTTCCGGCGCTGCTAGGGCACGAGTTGTATTTTTTTTGCGGCCCTTTGGACTGGGTATCCTTTTCTTGTTTCTGGCCTTTCTTTTTTATCCTGTCTTTTACTATTTCCTGCCCTTTTTGGCTACGGAGTCTTTCTGTATAGATTGCGCTGTCGAGCGTGCGGATAGGCGTTGTGGTTGGCATCGTCATGCTTGTTATAGTACATTCTGTGGGGTTCCATGTCGTTTCCTCGCAAGTAGGTTGGAATCTGACATTTGTCCGAGATGCTCATATACTATAAGCAACGCATCATCCAGTGAAATGGCCCCGACTTGACAGCGTTGTCGGGCGACGGCCTGTGCTGCTGTGCGACACCTTACGTCTCAAGCTGGTTTGACTGCTGTCCATTCTACACATACATAACTACACAACTGGCCCACGCTTGTCCCAGACTCCCATCTAACCCAACCAACAACCCCTTGCTCCTGAACGCCATGCCATGCCGTGCTCGAGATGTGCAAAGTCAACATCCAACCAAACAAATAAAACGCTGGAAAAATCCACCCCCCTAGGACACCCCATTGCGATACACGCCCTCCCATTTCTGCTCCACATGCCCTACTTTTGTCTTGAGCTGCTGAATCTCCTGGTCCAGCTCGTCAACATTTCGAGACAAAGCGCCGACTTCTTCAAATCGTCGCGCTCCGGAAGCAGAACGAATCATCTCCTCCACCATGTATTTTTGTTCCTCCAGTATGGCCAATCGCTCCTTGAGATCCTTCTCTTCCGTCTCTAATTGGCTGACAACGGTGCTGGCTTCACTGGCCGCCTGGGATCCGGCGTCTGAAGCAAGCTCCGAATGTCGCAAGCTCGATGTAGACTGCGACGGCGTTGCGGGCAAACGAGAAGACTGTGACGGCGTGGAGCGGTGGCGCAACACCTGCGGTAAGCTTTTGAGCGGCAACATGTTTGTGTGGAGGAAGCTGTTCGTGTACGTGTACACGGCCTGCTGTAGCATTCGCTGCGTCGGGCTGTCTGTTTTCAAGTCTCGTAATCTCTTTGCCGCCATACCATACTTGCCGAAACTGTCTATCAGCCTTTTCCGAATCTTGCTGGCTTCTTGGATTTGTGCATGGCTTGGCGGAGGTACGGATAGGTCCATCTCTCCGTTGGGCAGCGTTGGCGTTTGCAAAGCTTGAAGAGCTCGGTGGAATGAAGGAAGCAGTTGGCGAATACCTCGTTCGAATTGCCGCAGGGTCTCATATGCCTTTTGATCTGGAGGCTTGTGTAGTAGCGACTCTGTGAAGTCACGACCGGAGAAAATAGTATGATTGCATTCACGGCACATGCGTATATTGAGTGCGAGGCTGCTCTCCCCATTTGCCTCCGGCTTTTCCGCTCCATGTTTGGCCGGAACTGTAACTCAGTTAGTGGACTGTCTCAAATCAAACTCGAAGGAAGTGGTTAACATGCTCTTACCAGGAGTAACATTGAGGCCAACTTCTGAGGAACACCCAGTCTGGCTGTCCGCGCAGACAACCCGCCCACATATACGACAATGGTGTCGTCTAAATGTCCACGAACCAAACTCTTGCTGACAAAACGGACATTTCGATACCTTTTCATCGTCCTCCCAAGTGACGACGGATTGCTCTAGTAATTTTCTCGTATTTTTCTGTCCAGTGAGCGTCGATACAGGGGAAAGCAATGATCCATTTTGCGACGGCAGCTTCTCAGGCGGGTTGGCCAATATCCTCGTCAATTTTGACAACCGCTTCTCCAACCTTGAAACTTCGAGTTTTTGTCGTTCCACTTTCTTCCTTCTGATTTCAGCAAAAGTATTCATGTGATCGACCAGCACTCCGTTGTGGTCGTTGTACCCGTCCCTGGATTTATAGCATGTCTCACATACTCTTGCCCAGTATCCCCGCACGGGTTCGTGGTTCGCGCTTCTACTAAGCTTCATTTGATACATGGTGTGCTCTTCGCAAAATAGCCGCCCGCAATGTCTACAGTTAATACTGCCATTCATAGCGCCAAGCCTTTTCCCACACGCAGGATCTGTACATAAGTCATGGCTCGTCGGTCGTTGCCAGTGCTTTCGAGTTATAAGGTCATCGGGATCTAGAGGTGCCTCAGATGGCGCCTTTCCTACGGCAGCACCTGGGACAGGTACCGGAATAGGATGTGATTCGTTCGACTCGAAAACTTCCAGCCCGCGTAGCTTCTGGTTTATCAGAGATAGTGGCTGGAAACGCTTGGCTTTGAGGACCTGCTTATCGAACCAGGATTTGACCTCATCCTGCGCTGCTTCTGGTAGTTCTTGATGGCTATCGTCGATATGTCGGTTGAGTTGGAGTAAGGTGACCTATTGTGCGGACTTAGAGATGCCGTTGTAGAATCGATGCTCAACGGGTGATGCATACCATTTCTTCATTACATATAGGGCAAACCAGACCAGTAGCGTCAGCCGCATCGGCCTTGCCCTGAGATCCGACGCTTATGCTAGCACGGATATCTTGGCCGAGCTCAGGCAAGCTCCCACTAGCCGGCGGTGACATTGATACTGAGCCCATAGACGCGGTGCTCTCGGAGGGTGGAAGCGGGCTCGTGGATCTGGGTGCCGACGGAAGAGTCGGAGGTGCCAGGCCCTTGCCGCTACCGAGAATGCGGCCACCGCCAATTTTACGTCCAGACATGACTGCGGCGAGGCAGACGGCTGGATACTGAAGTCGAAGTTGAGCGAAGCTCAAAGGAGACGACGGTCGACGCAACTCGAAACAGCGAGACGACCAGGCAGGTCGAGCTGCGTGCCTCGAGCTGCTCTGATGCGTGCGGGTGCATTCAAGGTCGTTGCGTGGTGAAGACGGAATAGTTATAGCCAAGCTAGGGTTTGGAAAGATAACAGTGGAAAGATGAAGCAAGATTACGAAGCTGGGTGCGGCGATGATGCAACTAGACTCGTCGACTAGTTCACTCCGTAATAATCACAAGTACGGGTGCCTAGGTGCCTACACTCCACTGTAGGTGCCTCCTGATGTACCTACGACTTGCCAAGCGCCTCGGATAGGTACTGAGTAGGTAGGCACCTAGGTATCGGTACCCGCGCACGTAGCACCGGTACTCAGGTGGCTAGTGGAGGGTCTGGGGTTATTAGTGGACGCGCCCGCCTGCCGTCGTTCGCCAGTGCAATGTTTTCTATGTTGAAATTGGATGTCCTCGAGGCTCATTTGCTATGTTCTGCGTGGTGCAACTAACCGGTTGGGCGTAATGCGGCCGTGGAGGGTCAACTCGTAATGCGCAGACAGAATGCATCTTGAATTCTAGCTCATCGGTGAACAGTCGCGATCGCAGCCGCCAGCAGCTTCAACACCGGAGACTGGAGTGCGGAGAGCGTACTCAGGTACTTACCTGTTAAGTACTTGAGCAGATATCAGGTACTTACTTTGTTTCAAGAAAGAAGTAGTTACGTAGGAAGTTGCCCACCACCTACAAATAAGTACTACTCAAATACTTAAGTGGGTACCTAATAAGTACGTACTTATTTGAAGTAGGCAGGAAACACCACTACAGTTACTTGCCCTGACAGGATTAGCGCTTCCACCAGGACGAACATGGGCATCCCGACCCAACGTTGAAGCTTGTCCTCTTTCTTGTTTGTATTCACCGCCACCTTCTCCAACTCGCCTTCCTCAGTCGCCATGGCTAGGAAATTTCCAGAAGTGCAGCCAGGGGGTAGTCTCATGTTGGCCTGGCAGATCAAGGACAAAAAGGTGCTTGTTGTTGGCGGCGGCGAGGTATGCCACAGAATCTCCATGCTATGAGGCTGTCACATCCTATGCAACCACCATTCGACGCCAGGCAGATGTTATCTCAACGCTCGGCTGCTAACTATAGAACTCCAAATCAGGTAGCTGCCGGCCGAATCCTCAACTGTCTCAATGCCGACGCCAGCGTTGCCGTGGTCTGTCCTGCCTCGGGCCTCAATGCCGAGGTAGCTTTCCGCGTTGCCCAGAAGCAGGTTACACACGTCGATCGAGTATTCGAGCCTTCAGATCTGGATGGTGCTGAAATGGTCCTTGTGGCCGTTGACGATCCTATTGCCTCCACCGTTATATGGAAGCTGTGCAAAGAGAAAAAGATCCCTGCCAACATTGCCGACGTGCCCCCTGAATGCGACTTCTACTTTGGCAGCGTACACCGCGACGGTCCGCTTCAGATCATGGTGAGCACCAATGGCAAAGGCCCCAGACTGGCTGCTTCCATTCGGCGTTTCATCGCTGGCAAGTTGCCGAGGAACGCAGGTAATGCCATCGAATCAATTGGTCTGCTACGGACAAAGCTGCGCAAGGTTGCACCAAATGCTGAAGACGGTCCAAAGAGAATGCGATGGTGAGTCTCCATGTTTTCAAAGCCTTTGGCCAACTTCTCCTCAGGCTCGAAAAAAATGGATTCTGATAATATTACAGGATGTCCAAGGTCAGCGATACCTATAAGTGGGATGAAATGTGCAACCTCACTATAGAAGACATGGATAACCTGCTACTCTTCTATCCGGCTGACAAGGTCCCTTCCATGGATATTTTGCTGGCTCTCCGAGGAGGTAACGACGTGAGGAAGCTTGATGTATTTGACGGTTCTTTTGGATTCAGCGTGGGAGCATAGAATCGGGACAGTCCCGGTTCACTGGCGTTTTGCAGCATTTGATTCAGCGGGTTACGGGGAAAATTTTGATAGCAGAATATGACGAGGAATCCAGAATCAAACGAATTATATTGGTTTGCGACTTCTACTGTGCTGCAGGCACGCAGTCATGAGCGCTGCCAAGCTTGTTGTAGTTTCGTTGGAGAATCGAATTTGTCGCGAGCTGGCATCCTACTAAAGTCAGCTGTTGACAGTAGTGTAATACAAGAAAGGGTTTTTTATTTCCAATGTAAATAGAAACCCGCAACTTTTGTGACAAAAGCATTTTAATACCCCTACCAAACTTTTAATCCGCTTGGTCGCGCATGTGAAGCAAAATCTTAGTCAGCAAAATTCATTGCACCCTTGAAGAACGCCAGGAAGTCGACTTCAACTCGCCCGACGGCAAAGTTCGCATGTAAAGATTCTTTTCTTCCTCTTCAAGGGATTTTTACATGAAAAGTTGTTTTCTTGTCTGCTGTATGCCCTTCTTTCTCCGCGGCTCAATCGTAGGAAGAGAATAGTGCGACGCGTGAACCTCACGCGACATCAGGCCTTCGCGTCGTGAGAATTTTAAGACGCGATGCCGCCCAGATCTGGACGACCTCGAAATGATCCGGCAGACGACGACAGTGAGACTCCGGAAGAAGTCTTGCCGCCATTCTTCAACACCACCTTCTCCACGCACCGCGTCTCTCCATTGTACGTGGGACGACAGGAGCTAACGTCATCACGACTAGAGCAGCTGGCTCATCGCCTTCGGGACACTCTAGCAGGGGACGTTGTACGCGGCATTCAAATTGGTCTCGAGTCGACAGATACGCCAGCTGGGCAAGTTGGTTCGCTCAGGTCGGTCAATATTCGCTGGTTTCACGCCCAAAGATTACTGGATCGTGACCTCTTCTTCACGGAACAAGACGGAGGCTCTGGACTCACCGATACCGTGATGCGTCAGTGGAACCGACTACAGGAGACACACAAAAGGGGCCTCTGGATTGAAATACGACACGAGAATGCGGCTTACGTCGCGCTGCTACTGCCAGGACACCCAAGCACCGTGAAGGACAGAAAATCAGCAACGCATGGCTTCACCATGCAGCCTGATGGCAACGCTCCCGATTCGAGAATCAACCAGGATCAATTCATACATCTACCACTACTCCTATTAAGGATGCCACAAGCGCTTAAAGGCGTGATTGGCGATTGGATATCAACTACATTTGACTGCCGAGTAAGCAAATTAAACCTGGGAACACGGACGCTTGTCGCAGTCTGGGAAGACTGGATCAAGACGGCAGGGTTGCCGGGGAAGGGCCCAGACTTTACCATTTCGCTAGCATTCAATGCGCCGATGGCCAAAAAAGACAACGACGGCATGTCGACGGATCCTGGCCTTCGCGGCATGGACGTTACCATCGCGCCGCAGGATCTACGTCGCTTCTTTCGCCGCGGCGAGTACTCGGATGAACTATTCAGAAGCAGCAGCTCGGGCCCTTGGGAGAACGACGCCAGGGAGCGTCGACGGCTGGCAGGTGGAAATGCAGATGACGGTTGGGGCTGGCGTACGGGCCAGGAACCAGATGAGCATCCATTCACCGAGGCACTCGCCCGTTATCTGGACCATCACCTGGCGCTCAACATGTTTCATCCCAGTGTACGGGTTGTGCAGATTTCATGCGGCGGGTTCATGCTTGCACAATCCCGCTTAAAGATTGTCAAGGTCGGTTCTGTGTCCGACGAGCTCGCCCGAGCGGCATGGGTTTTTGTTACACGGCTTGGCGAACGACTTCGTGGAGAGCGTCTGGTTGATCTCAGCTTATGAGTGAGCGCTCCGCCTTGGGAAGGTCGCAAAGGGTTTTTCCAAAGGTTCCAACACAACCAATCCCGAAAGCAAGCACGAGACGGCAAAACACTACGAGCCATCGACTGGGAGCCCCACCGACATCGGCGGCAATTGCATGTTTGCGCATGGCGGCCCAGGATCCCCGCAAAGGCTCGCTTGTGAGACATTGTGTCAACCATGATGCAGGTGGCCCTCGGGAAGGGTAAGGTTTTCTATTCTTATCTCACGATCATCGTGAGTGCCTTCTTGCTCGGATTTGGCCACGTTCGAGGAGGCTCACTTGGGCGTCGCAGCCGTCTCCGATCACGCACCCCGATGTCGACGCGGATGGACCGGGATGAGTTGGAGGAGCTGGTGTAATTGGCGCTCAATTGTCTTTTGAGCTTTTTAGTATCTGCGCTACGGACTACAAAGAGGAAACTTTGACTAAGAAATGATGGAAATGGTCCGCCACAGGGAGAAGCCCAACGTCAAACCCACTTTTTGCCCCTACAAAGACTGTTGGCGACCATTCGTCAGAATTATATCACCGGCATGTATCGGCATCCGACGGGCCCTGTGCAAGGGAGGGAGGTGGTTACGAGCCCCCGCCACTGCTTGTCGCATAGTTTTGAGGCCTGACAGGCTCTTTTGAGACGCCGTGTCTTGTGGCCATGTTTCGTTCCTGGGCTCTCGACATCTTGCAAGGTTGATTTCGTCGTCACTGTCTTTACGCGGGAGTCTCATTGTAGACGACACACACTCAAGCACGACGACCCCCGAGCGACGGCCGGGGCCCCAGGCTGTTTGATAGATTATCGTGCGTTGCGGTGCTAGGTTGAAGAAATCAGGCCAAGAAAGGGGAAAACAGGGAAAAGATCTCGTTATCCATACCCCAACATTGCCACTCATCGCTTTGTACGAAAAAGAACGGGACAAAAAAAAAACAATGCCCGACACAAGCTACGCCGCCAAGGCGAAGTATAGCTTCCTGGACGACTACAGCGAAGGCGCTCACCCACGGCTCCTGGAGGCACTCATTACTAGCAACCACACTCAGGAAACCGGATACGGTAATGACAGATACTCGGCCGAGGCCAAGAGAAATATTCGTGCCCACCTAGGCCGCGACGATGTTGGAGTCTTCTTCGTCCCCAGCGGTACGTCGGCCAATGCCATCTCCATTGCTGCGTGCCTTCGACCGCACGAGGCGGTAATCGCCGCCAGCTCCGGTCACATTGTCACGAGGGAGACTGGCGCCGTCGAGGCGAGCGGCCACAAGATCATCAACGTGCCCCCGACGAATGGCAAGTTGACGCCCGAGACCATCACCAAGGCGCTGGACGACAATTGGCACTTCCCGCACATGGCCAAGCCTCGGCTGGTGTACATCTCCAACGCCACCGAGGTGGGCACCGTCTACTCCAAGGAAGAACTGACGGCCATCAAGGCGCTCTGCGAGTTGAAGGGACTCTTGCTGTTCATGGACGGTGCCCGCGTCGGCGCCGCCCTCACCTCGACAAAGAACGACATGACACTTGCCGACATTCTCGAGCTGACCGACATCTTCTGGATCGGGGGCACCAAGAACGGCGCGTTGCTCGGCGAGGCTGTGATTGTGAAGCACCCCGGGCTCGCGGAGGATTTCGACTTTTACATCAAGCAGCACGGGTCCCTCCTGGCCAAGAGCCGCATCATGGGCGTCGAGTTTGCCGAGCTCTTCCGAGGCGACCTGTACTACGACCTCGCTCGACGGGCAAACGGCGCGGCGGAGAAGCTGTCGCGGACCATTGTCGGGGCCGGCTACATGCTGCGCGCGGAGACGGAGACGAACCAGGTGTTTGCCATCCTCCCGACGGATCTCGTGCAGGAGCTGCAAAAGGACTTTTCATTCTACGTCTGGGAAAAGTGCGGCGAGGATTGGGCCGTGGTGCGACTTCTCACCACCTGGGCCACGGACGTCGGGCAGCTGGAGAAGTTCAACCAGACGGTGCTGGGCTGGGCTCCGTAACAGCCATCTTTTGCACAGCGTTGACGCCTACATTTGCGACTCATGACGACTACAGAGAGCAACATCGGCCGAAGCGGGGGTTGGAGAGGCAGCGTGGCTCGACGGGATGATGGCGGCATTTTCTCCATAGTAATGTTAATACTAGACTTTGTTTTCGGGCATCCGGTACGGAGTACAGGACCCAGGTTTGAGGTTTTGCAGCATTGCTCCTTATTTTTTGTCTTTTTCCCATTGGACAAGGACGTGACGGAGCCGCGCAAGGACGGGCTCAAAGGCAAAGGATGCACTAGACGGCGACTCGTCCAGCTCTCGTCCACGGCAATGCAGAGCTCGAGACAAACGGGAATGATGGCTCAGCCATCGGCTCTGGCAAAGCATCCCATTCGCCGGCCCGTGTTGTACAAAACTTCAGACACATCACGGTGCCTGACGGTATTTTTAAATTTCGGCCCTCGGCGCGCGCCCACTCCTCCCGTCAACCCCGTTGGCTCCGCGTTCGACTCGGCACTCTTGTGCTGATTTGAAAGGGCCGACAGTGGACACAGACGGATGCGAGGCGGCGCCGTCTGATACATCACGGCGGCGTTTCTAGAAGCGGCATCATCTTGCTGACACAGACAGACTGGAGCGGTCGGGCGTCAGAGTCGGCCGCATGCTGGTCAGCAAAGTCCACCGGTCACTCGGATAGTCGGGACTCGGCACGTCGAACGCTCCATCAATCAATCACATGACGGTCAATCCGCCAGGCCACCAAGGCACGGAGCGGAGTGACGGCGGCGTAAAGCGTCGCAAGTGAGACATTGACCTTTGTGCGATGCGACAGATGGTGCAGTGCAGAGCCCACGGGGGGCCGTGATGGCCATGTCCGTACTCCGTAGAGTGAGTAGGCAGTAGGCATCCGAGTGCTTTGCCGTCTCCTCCCTTTGTCTGGTCTGGTCTGGTCGGCTCGGCGGAAAGCCAACTCGTCGAACCTGGCAACTTCGAGTCTGACGCCTGCGGGAGCTCCTTCCCCACCGCCGCGCCAGTGGCTGTCACAGCTTTGATTTGCCTGCACGCTGCCCATGGTCAAGTCGATGTTGGCCAGAGGAGGTCGGCTTGCCTGCTGCGTACTTTGCCTTCGCTATTCACTCCTCGGTCACGTCCAGCCGTGCGTGCGACGTACGACGTACGACTCCAGAGTTGCCGGGACCTCGGATGCCCAGGGAATCCGAGGCGACAGACAGCCTGCCTTGCCCGTCATTCTTCGACACGCGCCGCCCGTCTTGACTCTTGGTGCTCGTCCTCACTCACTTTGTGCAACGAGGCCGCGCCAACCTCTGCCATCCCGCACACTGTCCTGATCTACTGACCTCTTGCCTGGTCGTCACAAGCGTCGTCGAGTCGATCGATTGTTGTGTGGCCGGGTACAAGAAGCACAGATCATTGTTATTTCCGCCGCGGACCCCGTCCGTCGAGTGTGCTGGGCCAGTCCCGACTCCCTCCCGAGTTGCAACATCTCCCAGCCGCAGTGTGGGCTGCATCCTGCCTTGCCAGACTCCGGGCACCAGAACCAGAGTGACGAGACTCTTGGCTGCTCGGGCTCGGGCTCGGGCTACGCTCTGCATGTGTCGACGTCAGCGCCGAGCCACTCCCTCCTCGCTGCGCCTCGCTCACTCTCGGCATTGAGGACCCCATATCTGGTAGGCGTTTGATTGCGGCCTCGAGTCGTGCTGCTGCTGTAGCCAACTGTGCTTTGGGTGTTTGACACCTGGCATTTACGCCCGCGTACTGCATCCGCGTCGGCTCTGGCTCATCCGGCCACTTTCATTTTGGGGGGGTTTGGGTTGTACGCTTGGCTGGAAGCAACAGAAAGAGACAACAGCTTCACAGGTACGTGGGGGGTGACTCGCAATTTGACATGTTTGACCGGGATTCGGCAGTCGCTCGCAGACGAGCCAAGATTCTTGGCTCTCGGGCTGCGGCTCATGTCGAGTCTCACCCAGAAGTGCCAGAACCCATGCGTGGCTTCAGCTATAGACTACAGTACACGCACGCACTCGGTCGAGCCACGGTTCGATTCAAGGCTGCACTGATGAAGCACCGTGGTAAAAACTCTCAAGTCTTGAACCATCTCGAGCTCCGTCTCCGCTTCTGGAATAGAGCCGTTGCCCCCATGCCAGTTTTGAACTGTCCAGGCCCTTTCCAGCCTTCATCCTCAATGCCCCTTCACGGTCCAGACACTAAGAATCCCCCTTGCACAGATAATTCAGTGAGAGATCCTCTTCGCCATACGCCGCGGCCTGTTGGTTGGCTGCCTGTAATTACATCCTTTTCGCGGTACCCGGTCTGCTGTTCGATGAATCACGTTGGCGGCCATCTACACATATTGCCCGACTCACGCGACCCCAAGGCACCGAACCGTTGTCCTAGCCTAGTCACACTATTCTATGAAGGTCATAGTAACCGGTCCAACCGGCCGCGCTGGCCAGGAAGTTGTCAAGAAGTGTCTCGAAGATGAGCGCATCACCAAAGTTGTCATCCTGACCAGGAGGGGGCTGTCGGGAGAAATCGAAAGTCATCCAAAGGCGGACGTCATAATGCATCAAGACTTCACTCAGTATTCCGACTACTTGGTCCGCAGAATGCAGGGTGCAGAAGCTTGCATATGGTAAGTTGGTCGGTGGACGCCGAGCCCGGCAGTTTCTGGTGGCATGTTTCATATCTGCCACAGAGCCAACAGCTAACGCCCCATTGCAGGGCAATTGGCGCCCGTCAAGAGCGAGCGAAGACGGATAAATCGGTTGAGCGCAGTGTTGGCGTCGATATACCAGTTTCTTCAGCGAAAATCCTGTGTGAGAAACTCGCCGACAAGACACCCGGAGGCGTCAAGTTCCGTTTTGTTTACTGCAGCCCGAAGCATACGGAGAGGAGCAAGAAAACTTTGATGTTTGCAAATGACACTCGAAAGCTGGCCAACGACTTGGAAAAAGGAATAGCGGACGTTGTCAACGCCAACAATGACAAGTTTGAGGCATATACTCTCCGACCTGCCAATTTTATGATGCCAGATAGTCCACTGCCAGCGTTGACGCCATCGTCGAAGAAGCTGGTTCCCGGGCTAGGGCAGAGCGTGGCGGCGTCAATAGATCCTGCCAGGGTCGGCAAGGCCATGGCCATGATTGCCCGTGATGGATGGAAAGAGAAGGTCGTTGAGAATGAGACGATTCTCGAGATTTCGTGCTGAGGATTATTTTCACGTCTTCCAGTTGGCTGACTTGGCTCGCCGACCTGTATACCTCGAAGGAGCATGTAAGACTACACGTCTCTTACCCGAATACTGATTCTGGATGCATGCGATGCAAGTGCTTGGCGTAGGGGAGGAGATGTTTGTTACGCCGTCAAGAGACTGGGTGCAAGCCAGAGATTAGAGGCATCGAATGGATATGTGTGACAACGTACCCGAACGCAGACCCGACGCAGTAGCAGATGTCTCCTTGTGCGTGTGACGAGGACATTGACGCTCCGTATCCCGGTAGGTGAGACACAAGCCTGGCCTCTTGCGACGCCGTTGATGTCGCCACCCCTGACGGAGGTGCAGCCACCAAGCTGACGAGGAAGAAGGAAATAAAAGGTTGACAAGTGTTTCCTTGGCCTTGCGGCAACTCGACAACTTGGCAAGATGATGGTTCGAGCGCGCTCAGTAGAGGCGGGCTAGACCGCCAGGCCACCATGCTAGCGACACGAAGCGCGGCAGAAGCTCTCACGAAAGGCCCCAGGAGGTTTGAACAAACGCCTCGCCTCCTCCTAGACAGCAGCTTGGGCGCAGCCATCGTGTGGGTGTGAATGCTAGCATCGGAGGGGCTTCGCGCGCGCAGCTCGTCCGCACGCCGCGCCGCGCCGCGCCGGGACGAGACTTGTCCGCACAAGGCCCGGCCGCCTGTGTTTGGAAGTGGCCAGTGTATAAATATCCCAGTCCCCAGTCGCGGTTCCTTGTAGATGCTGTGTTGGCCGTTTTGCGCGCGCACACATACACACGTACACAAGGAAGAAACAAATCATCTGTCGTCGAGCCTGGACACTTGACCCTCGACACGACCACGATCACGATCACGACCACGACCACGACGCCGCCACGGAGACGGACACGCAAAGCCTAGCAAATTCCGCAAAGCGCTCCCGGCGCAATGAGGGGCTTTGGCTTGCGGATGGAGAGCGCGTCCGAAGCCATCTCCTTTGCCTTCTTGATGCTCGTGGTGCTCCTCTTGGCGCTCGGCATCATCTTTTGCGTAGGCGGGCTCGTGGCCGGGTGCGTTTCGAGAATCTCCACGAAGTACTGCAAGAGGAAACGGGCTGCGCAGGATCCATCTTCCGGCAATGACTCGGCTGTTCGGGACGGCGGCGACGGCGACGGCGACGACAACGACAACGACAACGGGGACGAGTCCTTTGGTTGGGACGGTGCCGCTCCGCCCAGGTACGGCACATGGGTCGACGAAGAGCCGGGAGTGGGTGGTAGGGATGCGCTGGAGTTGGTGGTCAGGATGCCTCCTTGCCATCACAGGCAGCGAAATGGGCTCGACGGCTGGTGAATGGGGAAGCGAGGGTTTGAGGCTCGGCGGCCTGCTTGGCTGCGGTGCGGTACGGCGTCTTGCCCGGCCTTGCGCCTGGTCAGGTCTGGGCTTTGGCGAAGAGGAATGCATCGTGGGTGAGGTTTGAAGGGGCGCTTTTGCTGTACTTGAGCGGCGTGGTCTACTTTGGGGGTTATCGACTTGTGCGCTTTGCTTTCTTGCTTTCTTGCTTGCTCGGGCGGAGGGAGCGACGCTCCATGACGCTCGACCCCGTGTGTTTCGTTTCGGTGCCGAGATTCAAGCCGTGTCGGTTTGATAGGGTTGGTACTTGACGGGCCGACTTGATACGTCAAGTACCGACTTGGATATCTGCACTGGCACGGGGAAAGGCCGCATGGCCGTAAAGGACTCGCGACTTTTGGGGGAGAGTCGGCAGTTAGTCTCTGGATCCCAACTCGTGGTCATCCGGGAGGCTCACAAGTCGAACTTGGCCCTTGTCCATCTCCTTTTCGTTAGTCGTCTGCTTGCTTGTCCAGCACTGCCGGGAGAACATCTCCACGAAAGGTCCTCATCGAGGTACCAGTTTCCCAGGGCCGACGTGGAACTTCCCCCCTTCAGAGTTGGACCCGTCCCTTCATCAGAGACGGGCCTTGACGCTACGCCCGCCCGAGACAGGATTCCCTTGCCCCGGGCCGCGCCAGAAAGCCAAACGCGACCAGATCGGCTCGGCCAGGAAAGGCCTTGACAAGAAGGCCATTTGCTCGTGACAGATTCTCACCTCCATTCCTCCATTCGATAGATGGTCAATGACGTCCATGTCCTGCCGCCCCCGAGGCCGACGGCGGCTAGAGGTGACGGGAGGGGAGTGTCGCTTCTGTCGACAGTATTTTCCCACCACTCAGGGCCATTGTCACTCTGTGCCCGTCACGCGGCGCCGCGAATGGACGGACCTGGTTGGATCTCGCGTGGCGACGGCCTCCAAGCCTCTCGGGCGGCTCCGATTTTGGTGAGATGTCCAGCCTGCGTCTCTGCGTCCATGGCATCATGTTTTGTCGCTTTGCGGAACGGGGCACGAGGTAAGACCTGTACATAAACCAACCCCATGTCCCCCAGATGGTGTGGATGGTGTCGGCCAACGCTCCATATCGAGGCACCGCTTCCTAGTTCCGACCCGAAGAGGAGGAGAACTGGCCATGAAATCCTCTGCTGCCGTCTCGCTCTCCGCCCTGGCCGCCGTCGCCGCAGCCGCGGGCCGCGAGATACCCGCCGACATCAAGAACTTCTACGAGAGCGTGCGCGGCGTGCGGCAATGCCGCAACGTGCTCGCCAGCGGCTTCCACAGCATCAGCGGCGACTCGGGAAGTAGGTCGCTCCCCGCGCGGGCGAGACCCGTGCCCTCGCGGCGTCTCTGTACATGTCGTTGAATCCTCCTCCCGCCCAGCAAACCGCTGACGTGTATCCGCCCCCTTTCTTCCAGAATTCGGCTACTGCGGCGACCGCCTCGACGACTACAACATCGTCTACCTGCAGGGCCAGAACGGCGAGCTGGTAAACATGGACATTGACTGCGACGGCGTGCAGCACGGCCCGGCCGACGACGGCCGCTGCGGCTCCTCGGGCGACGCGCAGTCCGTCACGTCCTTTGCCGACACCGTCCGCGGCTACGGCACCGGCCAGCGCGACCTGGACGCCAACGTCCATCCGTACGTCGTCTTCGGCAACGCCGGCAGCCGCCCGGGCTACGCAAACTTCGATCCCCGCAAGCACGGCATCGAGCCGCTGAGCGTCATGGCTGTCGTGTGCAACAACAGGCTGGTATGCTCCCCCACCTCTCCACAGGCTTGTCTGATTTGCGAACCCACGCCCTAGATCTACGGCGTCTGGGGCGACGAGAACGGCGACGACGGCCCCGAGGCCATGGTCGGCGAGGCCTCCCTCGCCCTGGCCACCGCGTGCTTTGGCCAGCGCGTCAACGGCAACGCCGGCCACGACGGCAACGACGTCTTGTACATTGCCTTTGCCGGCAAGGACGCCGTGCCCGGAGCGAGCGGCGCCAAGTGGAACGCCAAGAGTTACGACGAGTTCGAGAGCAGCATCACCGCGCTGGGGGACAGGCTGATTCAGAGAATCGGCGGCGGCGGATCCCCCTCCTCTCCTCCCCCCTCCACGGGATCTTGTTCGTGGGAGGGACACTGCCGAGGTGAGTGAGTTGGCGTCTGCGAGTGACGGCATGGCATGGCACTATTCGCTCTTCCGCGGTGCTTCTGCTTCCGTTTCCCTGTTTCCCCGAGGTCGCGTCTCCCCTGAGAACCGAGCACTGATGGCTGATGCCGATCGTCATCCCCCCCAGGCGCGCCGTGCAAGTCTGGAAACGACTGCTCAGACAACTTGGTCTGCAATGCCGGTAAATGCGGCGACGCGGGCGGTTCGACGCCGCCGTGCAGCTGGGAAGGGCACTGCCAGGGTACGTTGATATGTCGCCCAGGCCGTGGATGAATGCTTGAGGCTGACGATTGACACGACCAGGTTCTTCTTGCCGCCACGACAACGACTGCGCTGGTTCTTTGGTTTGCAAGAGCGGTCGATGTTCGCGGTAGACGTTGGTTCCCGCACCGCATCGAGGCCGGCGAGGGAGGCCGCAAGACGAAAAGTACAGAGGAAGCTGGCTGGCTTCAGCGTCAGCATTGGGTCTGGATTGTAGACTGGGTAGACGCACATTGTACATGTATATGCGAATAAGCGGGAGCGGCTCAAGCGAGACGCTCATGTATGTGGACTGGTGCATGTCTTCTCTTCTTTGTTGTAGAAAAAAAAGAAGACTCTATGAATCCCCTCCTACCATCCTGATGCGACCCTCCAGGACCGGCGCAATAACCCTCGTCCAGTCGACGGCACAGTCGCAATCTTTGAGTGGCTCGCAGACCTCGGACTTGACGCCGGCCTTCTTTGCCCATCTCGCCCAAAACTTCCTCAGCAGCAAAATTTCCAAGTCCATGTCCCGGTCCTCATCACCGCCATCGTCACCGCCGCCGTTCTTGCCGTTTGCACGGGGGTCGAAATGGTCGTCATCGTCTTCGTTCAATGGTTCCTTGTGCAGGCCGATTCTTCGGCGTAAGAAGCCGCTCCACGTAGCACTCGTTGTTTCGTCATCTGACTTGGGCGGCTCGCCAGGACCCAGCATCCTTTCCGAGTCGCGTGCGCGAGAGGGAGACAGCGGGACGTTGGCTCGCTCTGCTACACCGACCCAGTGGTCCGAGATGCGTTTCCACTGGCCAACGGTCCTGAGGGCCATGAAGTACTGCCGAAGCATGGCGGATATGAGAATGCCGTTTTCTTCGTCGACAATTTCCTGCGCACCACCGCCTTCGGAGGAGACAAGGAGGCTGCTGTAGCCGTCTGGTTCAACATGTCGGTCAGTACGACTGCTTCGGAGCGCGGGCCTCGAGGCATGTCTGCTCACCTTTTCCTCTCCCCATGTATCCCCTTGTGGCCAAGACGTATTCTGCTTCTGCGTCGCAAGGCCTCCCGCCTATTTGCAAAAAGTTCAGCCTCTTCCCAGGTTCCCTGCTGGGATCGAATTCGAACACGATATTGGACACTTGGGGAAACCGACCCTCTAGCGCTGGATATGTCGACACCCCGTTCTCCAGTGCCTCCCAGATGGCCTGACCCTTGACTTTCAGGCACACAACCGGGTCTTCAAACGGGAAGCACGTCGTGACGTCTTTGATGCGCACCACGCCTGGGGGATACACCTGATCGCCGCGGATGGTGCCCGATGCCATGATTGTGCAATCTGCATTGTGGTATCGGCGCATAACGTCGCACACAAAGTTGCCCACATTGGATTCCTTCACCCGAACAGTGCTGAAGCGAGCGTCCAACGGCGTGGCCGTCCACCCGACTGGTCGCGAAAGCGAGTTTTGCAGCTTGGACGTCAACTCGCTCACAAGGTTCGCCGTCTCGTCATGCTCGGGAACCTCCGAGGTGACGTCCCGCCGCCAAATATCGAAATCCCACCGCTTCGAGCCGTCCGGTTTCCTCCGGGCCTCAATGTAGCTCAGCTGCTTGAAATCCGTGCCTGACCGCAGCACGTGGGTGCCTTTGATGAAGCTGTGGCTGTAGTAATGGTCGTGTCCACCGAGTATGATATCAAAGAGGCCGTCCGTTTGTTCGGCGAGTTTTTTATCGTCTGGCTCCCGCATATGGCTTAGACAGATGACGATTTCGGCACCTTGTTGTCTCATCTGGGGAACCAGTTCTCTCGCCGTCGCGGACGCAGACTTGTAAACGATATGCGGCGGCAGACTGTTGATGGTTGCCAGCCACTCTCGCTCCCCTAGGCCAACGAGGCCAACTTTTACGCCGTTGGATGTGGTGAGCATGTGAGTTCTTTTGGCGTTGCCAATGGGCACGTCCTCGCCAAGATCTGGGTCCAGGACGTTGGCAATCAGCCAGGGGAATGTGCACTTTCCTACGAGATATTCAAATTGCTTGACGCCAAAGTCAAAGTCGTGATTCTAACAAGTGGACCTGCGGTTAAACCTTTTGCATATCTTTTGTGGAGGTGTGTCGACTCACACCAACGCATGCGCAATCGACTCCAATGGCATTCAGAACAGGAACCATGTGACGTCCTTGCGAAATACAGTAAGTGTTTGCGCGATACGCTGCAAACGGGCCACTCAGGGAAGCTCACCCTTTGTCACGCTGCTCTCCAGGCTAGGGTTGAAAGCATCGCCGGAGAACAAGGTCAAGATCTTGGGCTGACTCTCATATTGCTCCCCTTGTTGATATTCCCGGCACAGCGTCATGAAACGTGCGAGCCCTCCGACCGGCTCCGCACTCGCGGGGTCGACATGGTAGACGTCGTTGAAGTGAAGCAGTCGCAGGTCAGGGACGTCCCGGGTCTCTCGGTTGACGCGGCCAGAGGAATGCGTCTCTTGGGGATCCGCACTGGGTGGCTTCTTCTTGTCCCGAGCCATGGTGACTCTGCTGGTCAAAACTTGGAGGGCCAGAGGAGATTGATTAGAGCAATACCAACTGAGATGCTGATGTATCGAAATGGAGATGCGGGCTGAAACGATGGTAAAACTCCCTGACAGTTGGCCTCAGGTGATGTTTGAACTGCTGATTTGGCGCGCCACCTGGCATTGAGGAAATGGGTTCTTGTGGCGGAGATGGACACCGGAAGAATGGAAAAGTGTCCGTACGAAAAGGTGCGTCGAGAGGAGGATCCGACATGACGGCCCAAGGCTGTACGAGGAGGATGAGGAATGGAGAACGAGGGAGGCATCGAGTGGTCGATGAATCCTGGGTTGGGCACGTGGGTACACACTACTTGGATGGGACACGGCGGGGGATCTGCTTTGCCCCGCTTCCCATGTTCCAGCACCAGAGTTGCCGAGTACTTCAGAGTACCTAGGTACCTAGCTGGCAATTGAAAAGAAAACCGAGAATTTGGACCGGCCAACCCCGTCCTGATCGCCGCACAGTCGCCAGAAGCCATCCATCTACACGCTATTTTGAGGACAACATGTGTCTGCCTGGCATTCCTGAAGGACAGTACAGACCAATGGGCACGTCGCTTTGCATTCATGGGGCGCATTTGCCATGCGCGCTTGAGTGACGGCATCGTCGTCGCACAGTCTAGGTGGTTGGCAATTCAATTGCTTGCGTGACTTGGCTGGAGGTTTGGACTTTGTCCACGTTGGCTTGGTTTTTGATTGTATACAAGAGAAAAGAAAAAAGAAAGGAGACAACAGACAATCACCCCTCATCCAGAGAACAACGCTGCGTCAGGCAAGAGATCAAATGGAGCGGGTAAGCATGTGAGCTCGCGAGCAACGTTGTCAGCAAGCAGAGATGAATGCCACCACGCCTGTTCTTCGACTTCGTCATGATTCCTATATAGCATGATGCCGTTTCCTGCGTGTTCAACTATTCGTAATAGACATCCCGTATTGAAAATATGCACTCCCAGGTCAACCAAGCCCTTTCCAACGACAGAAAGGGCAAACCGCTACGCGTGCACACATCAAAGCAACAACCTACATCGAATGCCTCCATGCCAGGGTGGTGTAATTCTTCACATGCCTGCCCCTCAAAGCGCCGCTTTCCCTCTTGACTCAAATGGCAATAGCAAGACCAGCACGCCTGCAGCGATAAACAATGCGCCGCTTGTGTACACCGGGGCTGCGGTCTGAAGATTGGCAAACATGGCAACGATGGGCTACCGAGAAGGAAATCAGCAAGGGCCCTCACGTGTCGGATTTGAAGAAGCTGCCATATCCACCCGTTTGGGATGCGACTTACCGCCATGATGCCAAACACTCGGTTGCACGTGGCCGTCAAAGCATTGCCGGTTCCCCGTTGGGGGGTAGGGAAGACTTCGGGTGTATATCCGTAGAGTACCGCGTACATGACGTTGCTGCAAAAGTTGAACGCACAGTTCCAGCCGAGAAGAGAGGTGCTGCTCAGCGCTGTCGTGGAGCAATACAAAAAGACGCCGGTGAGCGCCGTGAAGACGGAGAGCGTGCCCTTTCGTCCGACCCGGGGCAGTTCCACGAGCACGCCCCCGATAAGCGCCCCGGGGACACCGAGGGTGGAAATGATGAGACTGTTCCGATAGGTGATGTACGTGCTGCCGTCGTCAAACTGCGTGCCTTTGCTGGCCTGGATATAAGGTAGGAAGGCGTTGTACAGAGGATACGCCAGTCCAATCAGCGCCCAAATGGCCATCATGACACTGGTGCTGAGAGCCATTCGCGTCGTGGCGAAAAGCACCTTGACCTTTTTGGCATCGACCTTTTCCAGGTGCCGTTTGACTGCCGCGGCCGCGTCTGTGCGGGCGACATATCCTTCGGGTTCGCACGCCTTGAGGTCTTCAATGGTCAGAGTGACGGCTTTTCCGTTTCGCTTAGCCACCTCGTTGATGACACGAACGGCTTCATCGTCCCGTCCCTTGCCGATCAAATACTTTGGCGATTCGTGGATTGTAAAGAGTACAAATCGGGCGAGGAACATGAGCAGGGTCAGCCCGCCCATGCAAATGACAAAGTAGCGCCAGCCCATGTTGCGACTGCGAAGACACGGCTTTTCCTTCTCGTCGCACGTCATGTTGCCAAGCAGCGGCCAGGCCACCAGGTTGGCAATTACCTGGGCGAGCGCCCAGTCCAATGACAGGATGGTGAGCAGATACTGGTGTGACTGGGGGAGGAACTCCAAGAAGATGGCCGAGTCAACGGGCAGATTGCCACCAACACCAAACGACCACAGCGCAGCGAAAACGCCGGCGGCAGCGAAATTGGGAGCGCTGGCCGCGGTCAGTCCCCAAACCGCCGTCAGGCCAAGAGTAAGATTGAAACCCCATTTGCGGCCGAAGATGTCACATCCAAACCCCCAAAATATCGCCCCGGCAAGGAGACCGATGTTTTGCGCAAGAGTGAAGAGCGGCGGCCGCGACACGTTGAACTCGTTGGCAATGGCGGGGAGGATGAGCGAGGTGACGATGGGCCACAGGTTGTCGCTTGCCCAGCCGAAGCCGACGACGATGAAAAGCTGCCATTGGTACCTCCCCATGCCAATATCACGGATCTGTTCTCGTTGTGCATCGCGGAATGTTAGCAGGGACCTTGTTCGGTCGGTGAGTGCAGGGTGAGGTGAGTCGTGAACTGCAGTCCAGGTTGTCTGGTCACTGTTGTCTCGACTCTCTAGAGTCTATAGTCTGATGCAAAGAGACGGAGGAGCCAGAACAAAACAAGGACACGTGGTGATACGAACAGCGCGATTCAGAAGCCGAGCTTTGACTTCATAGACAGGATCCAGGGTACCCTTGGGGACAATGGCGGCATCGTCACCGCCGAAGTCGATGCTGCCGTCGTCGTCGTCGCTGCGAGGCTGCGACCGCTCGGCCGAGTCGGTGGCGCCGTAGCCCATGGTGAAGGAGAGGGCCGCCCGAACACGACGGCGCAATCTTGGCCCCTTGCGAAATTTGAAAGAGGTAAAATGCGAATATCAGGAATCCAGCTCGCTCTTAGCACACGATGGCACAGTCGGCAACATTGTGTGCTCATGTACTCTGCTGGGACCCGCGGGTGCAGCTCGATCTAGCATCACCGTCACCGCTCCATGTTGCACCTTGTGGAAAGAATGGCGCGATCAGGCTCTGGCTGCCATGATTGGCTTTCGATATAACCCGAAGCGGGTTGCAACTGGGCGTTCGCAAGTTACGGCACACAGCGTTGGCGCCACACGACGAATAACGGGATGCGTCATGATGCGGAGGAGGTTTGTTTGGCGCCAAACCCGCATTCGCCCAGCGACTGGTAAGTCGTGATGACCGCATAGGGCTCTGAGACAGGAAAGAGATGGATGATCATGGTATGTTGTCTGGTGTGAATATTTGCCCGTGAAGTTGCAATGACGAACTTGCCAAACTCCCTTGGACGGACAGGGCGATCCACGTCTTGCCTCAGCAACTCAATCGTGCACGGGCACATGCATGGCCAAGACCGGCCTTTATGTTTTTTTTTTTCGTTGGATTAAATTCAAGTCTCCTAAAGATGCAGCTCGACTGAGGGCAAATAATTACGCCGATCGCATACCAAGTATGCAATGGACGCAGCGCAGCATCGCAGCACAACGTCGCACGCTTGTAAGATGAGGGAAGGCACATTTGCTTTGTCTAAAAGTGAATAATTTCTATTTAAAACTTGATAAAAAAAAAGAGAAAAAAAAAAGGGGGGGGGACCAAGGCTGAGTGCGACAAAGACAGAGAGACCACAGAGACAAAAGACCGAGAGTTAGATCAGTGGCGGAGGTGTCTCATCTATTCTAGAAGCCCAAGCTCATGACGGGCCATTGACGGCAGTCTCTAGAAATCCAGAAGTCCGCGCGGAACGATTGCAGTGTATTTTTATAGCACTAGGCCGGGTCACTCAACGTTTTGACCAAAAGAAGAGGTGATTGGGAAACAAACGGTGTGACGGCGACACCTACTAGGCTACTAAGTACTTGCGCACTAGGCACTAAGCATGGAGGTAGAGGTACCTGGTAGCAGGTTAACGAATTGACTTGAACTATGGTAATGAACATGTATGTTATATACTCCGTACGGAGTATGCAGTGTTGTTATTCCAGTACGTTGGCAACATGTACTCAAGCAGGAGGCAGAGGCAGTACTTTACGTGTCCCGTCGCCGTCAAGTTTGGCCGCCTATCACGTTTTGGGACTAGCATGTGCCTGGGTACCTACTCCGTAGACGGTGATGCTTCGTAAAGTTGCGTACATCATCCGACAGGTCCCAATCTGGCCGTCTGAAACGCGCTGGCCCTTGGTCTGCGCCGTTTGCGTGGGCTCGAGCGCCTACAACCCTCATCAGCCAGTCGTCTTCAGCGTCACATCCCGCGTCGCCCTTGCCCTGGCCCTCGCGTCGCTCTTGCCTGCTCCGCAGTCTCGCTTGACCAACATCATCACCACCGGACTCCTTCGTACGTACCGACAATACGGAGTGTGGAGCCACCAAAGCGGGCTGGCATCTCAGTCTCAGTCAACATCGACGCTCCCACGCTCAACTTTGCAACTTCCATGTTTCCTCACCTGTCACATGTCACATGTGCATCAAGATTGCGTTTTGGACTCTCTCCGCCACCAGTGACCACGGTACCACGTTCCCGCCCCGGCGCCCTGCAAAGTTTGCGTGCTGCACCGCCTCGTCAACAATGCCCGATGGCCTCAATTCCCGGCTGCGCCCTTCATCTCATCGACGTCGGCACGAGCGGCCACGTCCCTGGGCAAGCGCACGTTCGTTCAGGCGCAGGAAATTGTAGGGAGACCAACCCACCTTCTCTCCCCTTCTTCAGGTGGCCCCTCGTATTGATAAAGTTGCGCTAGAGCCCTTCCTTGGCTGGACTAGACGGGAGGTCCATCGAACCAAGGGGGGGCCTGGTCGTCTCTCCTCTACTTGGGCAAGGAACATCACGTCGCCACAAAGAAGAGAAAAGAAAAAGAAAACAAACACCACTCTCATACACTGGCATGACAAGTTGTCGTCTCCTCGCCGCCGCATCTGCTTCATGGCCAGTCCAAACAAGTTTCGTCACTGTCTCAATAACAGCCTTGGGCTAAGTGTGGCACACGCACCACGTCTCATCGACTAGTCGCATGCCCGGGCCCTTGCCACGTTCCGATCGGCCAACCACGAGTGTTGCCGAGTATCAAAGCGGAGGTTGAAGACGGTGCGGTGCGCAAGGGTTTCGAGTTCCTCACCACAGTCACCGCGGCTCCGTAATGCGCCACGGCTTCGTGGCCGGCGGAATCAAACCGTGGGTGCGGTCACAACGGTCAGACCGACCCAAGGGACCGTGGCCTCGCCTGCGCCGACGCCCGTAAAGACAATGAATGAAACCAAGCTGGCGCGTCCAGTGCGGCAGTCCAAAAACATGTGCCTTCAGCAACCCTGGTGCCGGATGCCGAGCCGCTTGTCACCTACACTCTTGACTCTCGGGAACATCATCGTTTTACAGCCGTCTGCGTCTTTAATTCCTTGCCTGTTGATCTCTCGATGCCTTGTGCCATTCGCAGGCCCAGTCGAGTCGCTCACTTACACTTGTCCATACACCATCTTCCGTTGACCGTGAACCGGGCGGAAATAATAAATCGCCGGCACCTCGACAGCCATATCCGAATTGATCAACCCGCTCATTCTCAACATAATCAGCCGTCTTTATTTTCTAATTCCGGTGCCAGTCACCCTCCGTGGATTGATCGCAATTTGCCTGGCGCGCAGGTCGATCTGACTTCGAACAACACGTACGACGCCACATGTACCCGGGACCAAGACCTTGGGATAACGAGGACGCCTGACGAAAAATACTGCTCAACAAGAACCCTTGGCCAAATCTGCTGGACGTCATCAGAAGCAGCCTGCCATGCGATCTTCCGCCGGCACGGCTTTGTCCGCGACTTTTCTGATTGCCACGGCATGGGCCGCCATGAACTTCAACTCCCTCAGTGCTGTTCTTCGAGCCGATGATGTCCAGGAACGACCGTTTTTAGATGTTCTCAACACTGCGGCGAAGCCTTTGCTGGTAAGGCGACGGAGGAGCGGAGTCAATGCCGACAAGGGAAACCCAGAGACCATCAAAGGAAGCAGTGACGGCAAGTTCAACATGACAGCGTGGTCCACGGAAACCAATGATGCTTGTGTCGCGGTCCTAAAGAAGCTTCCGCGAAGCACAAACCCGTCGGGAAACTGTGTCTGCTACAACTTGCCTACACTAGATGCCGTATCGGGTGTTTTCGAGGCGGAACTACGGCTGTATCGCGTCTCAGAGCCCCGAGATGCGTTCGCAAATATCTCTCGGAAGAATACCACAGTCGGCGTATCATATCAAGGCGCCAGTGTCAGCCCCGTCTCATCCAGCGAGGTGATGGGCAAGGGTAAAGTGAATAATGAGACAAGGATTGTCACACCGCGAGAAATAGCTGGCGGCCCCAGCCTGATCCAGACCTATCTGTTCGTCGGGCAGATTGACAAGGCAAAAATGGCCGAAAACATGTCCATGTAAGTTGATTTGTCGCCTGGAGACCCCCGACTTGCTACTCCTCGTACCTCCTCGGCGTGAAGTTACTCACAACATGCCACAGCGCCGCCTTGCAAGCTGTCGTCATCCCAACCTTCACATTGACCGGCACCAACTCCAGCGGCGGTTCAGTTCAAGCCACCATCTCCATGAACGAAGCCCTCTTTCTGAGGGGCGTCTTTAGCAAGTCAGTCGTCATGTCGGACTTCTCCGCAGCTCAAGCAGCCGTCACCACTCAGTTGAATCTCTTGCACAACGGCACCATAGCCTTTATCCTACCCGGCACGCAGATCATGATTTTCCCCATTGGAGCCATCATCACTGCCGCTTGGCTGGTCTTGGGGCTCGTTGCATATGGCTGGGGCACATATGAAAGAATGAGTTATGCGGAGGATTACAAGAGAAAGCAGGCGAGGATGAGGGCCGCATCGACGATTTGAGTCACGAACGAAGGATGGAAAAGCTGTGCGCATGTTGATATGAACAATACCTCTCGGCATAGTAGCGAGCCTGTAGCATTGCATCGCATTGGAAGTCGGCGCTTTTTTCTTTTTCCACTTTCACAGCTTGGTTTTCGGCGCCTGGTATACCAATATGGGTTGAATTTTTTTATAGCTTAACATATGGGATTTGTATATAATCCTTGCCTCATCACTCATCACATTGTTCACGGCAACTGGACTCGGCCACAGTTCCAAGCAGGAATCGGGGCTCATCATTCTGAATAAATTCGATCCAAGTAATGTCAAGACTCCCAAGCAAATGACGGGTTAGTGCAAGGCAATCCATGCGACGCCGTTCTGGAATCTACGACTGCCGTCCTGGCAGCCGGCACGCGTGCTCGAACCCCAACGCTAGATTCACCCTGGAAACGGGAGAAGTCGGTCAAGAGAGTTTGTGACGCCCGCGCTTGCCACAAAAGACCAAGTCTGGCCGCGGATGCGTCAAGAAAAGAAGGAAGGGGGGGCGGCAGGAAGAAGAAAGGACGCATCCACAGCCCACTGTGCCGAGTACGCCGTTGGTGACGTCGCACTCGTGTAAGTATGCTGTTTCCCTTATAGTAGTTACTCCGTACCGTGAAATGGGCTGGCGGCGCTGAAACTGAGACTGCGGCGGCGACCCCGTTCCAATATCGCTTCAGGCTGTAACGGAGACTCTGCGGTCTCCGGCCCTCATGCGACCCTTGGCCCACATGAGACACTCTGTGAAGAGCACATAGCAGCCGGTGACTGCCCAGCAGGTGATGATGATGCCGAGACCACCCATGAGCCTGGCGTCGATGATGCCGCGTGTCACGACTTCGCGCAATGCGTCATTCATCATTAGCCAGCCGTAAATGGGGACGAGGTGCTGCGCGGTGGACGCCGGGGCGGCGGGTTGTGAGGACCGGCTCTCTTGCTCGCGCTCCGAAATAGCATCTGCCATGCGCCAGGCGACTTTGTTGTTGATCTTGTCCCACGTCGCTTGGCAGGCGGCTTCTCTGGCTGCTGCACCCATGCGCTGCCGCAGAGTGCGGTCGTTTGCGAGCTTGACGGCCTTTGTCACAAAGGCGTCCACATCATTCGGCTGTACCAGGAAACCGGTGTCGCCGTGCCGGACGATGTCAGACGGACCGCCCTCATCGCGGGCAATTACGGGCACGCCGCTGGCCATGGACTCGAGCACCACAAGACCAAAGGTTTCTGTGACGGAACAGTGTAGGAAGACGTCGCCGCTAGCATAGGCGGTGGCAAGGTCTTGGCCGACTTTGAATCCTGCGAAGACGACTTTGCCTTGTTCTCCGAGTAGTGGGTGGAACAGTTCCTGCACCTCTTTTTCCACATCAGGGTTCCTGTTGCCACCGACAACGTAAAGCTTGAAGTTGACTCCCCGCGCCTCGAGTTCCTTGGCTGCCTTGGCGAGGAAGTCGAAGCCCTTCTCGCCGGCGATTCTTGAGACGGTGACGAAGATGGTTTCTCCGTTGGGCGCGAGCTCGTTGCGCAACTCGTGGCTCCGCCGCTTCGGGTCGAACATGTCGGTATTCACACCTCTGGTCAGAAGCTGGAGCTTGTCGGGCTGCACTTTGTTGCCGACGAGGTAGCGTCGCACAAAGCTCGAAGGGTAGAATATGGTCCTGATGGAGGGGTGTCGAAAGAGATGGCTTTGAACGGCGTCGAATGCGAAAACAGCAACGCGGCTCAAGGGCCAGGGGAAAAGAATGGCGCAGTATCCTGCGAGATCGGTCTGGAAATTGCAGATGACAGGAATCTGCTTCTCGAATGGCTGCTGGCGCAACTGAAGCATGACTTGGAACCCCAAGCTCGCAGGCGAGGCCAGGTAGACCAGGTCTGGCGGCGAGCCGTGACCAAAAGTGCGGGAGTAGAGGGTCGAGTTGCGAACCGGGTACACAATTGAAAGCTCGGGGTTGAATGGAAGAGGATATCCCTTTAGACGAAGTTCGGGCTGTTTGTCGGCGGGCGACAGGTTAGGCGAAGGAGGCGGCGAGAACGTGTTGTGGTTTGTGTGGTTATGAGGCGCAACGACGGCCACTTGGACGCCGTGGTTGCGCAAATGGTTCACCAGCATCAGGGTCGTGCGACTCACGCCGTTGACAGGGCCGAAAGATTCGGTGCAAAGAAGGATGCGTTTCCCCCTGAGGAAGGCCGGGAATTGAGACGGGTCACGGTCTTGTTTTTTGCACGGCCTTGAGCCGCTCGCGAACTCGGCAGGCGACGACATGGCGATGCAGATGCGGAGAGGGCGGCGAGGCGACGACAGCAACAACAAGAGGAAAAAGGGAAGACGTGACAATCCATATTTTTGCCATCGGAGTCGCGGGGACTCTCGCCTTTGTTTTCTCTTTTCCCGGCGTGGCCTTGCGCATGGGGACTCGGGACCACGTGGTGGCAGTGAGCGGCCGCGGTGATGTGGAATCTGAAGCTATTCAACACGGCACATGACTCTCTCCATCTGTGGGCGGGAACTCGCCCTTGGCCGCCAAAGCGTCCCCTGGGCTTGCCACGAGCGCTCGGAGATGGACCCTGTTCGTCGGTCCACGCACTCATGACTGAACTGGTGATGGCCGTGGTCGGGGACTCCAGACTCCCCCGGGGGGGTTGGGGGTTTCGATGTTGTCTGTCAAGCAGGGACTTGGACTGAGACGTTGGTGCTTGGAAGCCCCCTCCCATCCAGATGAGGGGCAAACGTGCACGCATGAAGCAGTCGCGAACGACGAAGCTGCCAACGTCTTCGAGAAAGGAGAGAAGGGGTGTGACGTGATTCGTGGAGTAATGTGTCGCACACGAGGGCCAATCGTAGGGGTCATCGCAACCACATTTCCCCCATGGCCCAATCGGCAGTCTCGAATCTCCATGAACCAGATGCGATGCGCGAATGGCCGTCTTTAGCAAGCTCCTCGTGCTTCACTTGGTTGGCCATGTTGCCTTTGAAGTGACTTCTCTGGGCAACCGATCCGCCTCCGCTTCTGGTAGTGTCGGAGTGTTGGAATACGCTCCATGGGGGGAATACCGGGGCGAAGCTTGTGCAGCAAGGAAGGGCAAGTAAGTCACGTCGTCTGCTTGACACAAGGTGAAGGCGTCTCGCGAGTAGATTGATGGGTGAGTGGTGAGATTTGTTCTGGAAGTGGACGTTGCCTGCTATGATGTGGAGTCGCCCAAATATCACACTACGTACTCCGTACCATGGGTACAATTATACCTGGGTAGTTGTTACGAGACGGCTTCCGTAGACACATGTTCCATGAGAGCAAGCCAAGAGATTGAATGATGGATCCGTGCGCGGGACTGATTCTACATCAAGTACGTAGCACAGAGGGGCATGGGCCACATTCGTGTAGTAGCACAGCCGCCGGCGCATGAGCGGCATGATGCAAGATCACGGTTAATACCCGGCGGGAATAACTCGCATCTACTCCGTACTGTACGGAGTACGGAGAATGCGTGCTATGCTCAAGCCGTTTGGAACTTCCTGCCAACTGCAACGGGAGGAAAAGTCACAAGATCCACAAGCAACTTTACGCAATGTTGAATGTACAATCTGCGGACCAATAGCTCAAGGGGTCCGCCAGGAAACGCGGCCGCTTTATAACCACCAGCAGCACCTTGTGTTAAAAAAAAAAATCCAAACAAAAAATAAGACCTGCGCGCGGCGGGTGAGCAGCCCGCAGCAGCCCCTCTATACTATTAACGGCACCGCGGGGGTGCGGCCTAGCCCAATGAGGACCCTGCAGTGCACATCGTGGTATCGGGGGCATTGATAGCAGAGGACAGCGAAAGGCAAGCCTGGTTTCCTTGCTCCGGAGAGTTTCGAGCCATGGCCCCATGGACGATGCCTCTGAGCTCCGGCCTTGGACCAGCACTCAGACGACTCAGCTCTTGCGTACATCCCGAGGCAAAAATGCCCAAGCCTGACCAGTGGTATGGTGGGCATGGGAAGGTAGAGATGCAGTAGCAGCGCGACTAGCAATGCCGGCCGCAGTGGTGATCAAAGCTCTGAACTGGCCAGCAACCAGCCACGTAGAGAAGCCATTCTCTTTCGGACGGGACGTACGTCAGCTGTTTTCGAGGCCCTGGCGTGTGGCTTGCCCAGGCGAGACTTGTCAAAGAATGTCGACGACTCGACGCGTGTCCTGGCGACGGCTTACATGTGTGGCGGAGGGGCCCGACGGTGACAGTACCGCCTGACGGAAAGGACCTGCTCGATTATAATACCGAGAATGAAGCGCTTGACGTGTGGTGCTTTTGAACCAAAAATGGAACAAGAAAGAAAATAAAACCAGATAAATAAATAAAATTAATCAAGGGAGCTCCAAAGGCAGCGAGAGAATTTCTATGACTGCTCGAGTGGTGAAATCGTCGAGTCAATACTCCATACCGTGCCCCTGGCTCCACTTCGGCGAGGAAGGAGCAACCTGTGATGTCCCCATCTGGATATGCCCCCGTGCCGCACATACGTAATGCAGAGAAAAACAATTGATTGTGGCGGTGGGCTCTGTTCTCCTTCCCATCTTGCACGGTACAAGACAGTGTACTTAGCCGAGCAAGTTGTGTTGAAGGAACCCAAGTACCCAAGGCCAGGTTAAGTACTTGGCAGGTATGGACAAGCGCAAGAAGAAAACAGTACAGGTACTCGAGTACCCAGGCCGTAGTTTGGGACCAGGTGTATAACTACTTAAGTACTTACATCCCAAAGTGCCTTGGCACTTGGTGCTTCTGTAATAATGAGAGACGACAATTTCCTCTACACAGTGTCGGTGAGTGCTGGCTTCACTTGGCCCGGCTGCTTGGCGTAAGCATTGAGCCAGCCAACCACAGGGGTCGATTGGCGCAGGCACTTGGCACGCTCGGTGGCGGTTGGTCAAGATTTGCGGCCACCACCTGGCACAAACTTTGGCACTTGGCACAGTCAAACACTCAAAGTGCTGCTTTGGTGACTCCTTATTTCGAGGCACGCACGCAGGATAAGGTTGTCTACTTGAGTACCAATTACTTGGACGGACTAGCGCTATAGTGGGGGTTGACTTGGCGACAAGGGCAAATGTACGAAGCACTTGGGTGTTACTTGGGTACTCGAGTATGTCGTGCGCACGAGCGGGGCACCCGCCTGCACGAGCCTGCAAGCTGCTGCTGCCCCCACTATATCCACTGCGGCTCAAGGCTCCGTGCAGGCTTTTATTAGAAGCACGACGCTGTGCGACATTGAAGCAGACATCTGGAAACGGCACTGGGGGCCTGCAACAGCAGCATGTTGCAGGTTGACGCAACTCGGCACAGCACAACCCGCGGCGATTCAGCCCGTCGTAGACATGTTGACTCCTTGTTGACTGGCAGCTGCCTACTTCAACCCCAAGCAAGTATTCTGTGCTCTGCAACTACCCAGGTACCACGGTACGGAGTACTTGGCAGGTCATTCCCAACACCAAGGAGCATCCCAAGTACCGGCCCAGCTACCGAGTAAGTTGGGCAGGTGTCTCGAAGTACGGAGTACATCCGTCCCCTCCATGTCGATTGCCTGGCGGTCTGGACGACGCCGGACACTGGCGACGCGACAACCTGGGACGCTGCACCCGGCACCCGGCACCCCCGCGTCGGCGTCGTGGACAGAAACAGAAAGGCATTGATTTGGACTTCTCATCTGCCTTGGTGCTTTTCCCGGCCGGCTGACTGATTGACTGTCTGCCTGTGTGTCCCTTTAAACTTTTCTTGGCAACCTCCCCCCCCCCCCTAAAAAAAAAAAAGATCTCCAATGAGTCCAATCTCTGATTCCCCATCCCTCCTTCTCATGTGTGTGTGAGACCAAACAACCGCCGCTGGCATATCCATTCGCTACTTGCGAGTCCGCCGTCTTTTTTGTTTCCTCGTCAGTCCTGAAAGCGTCTCCTCAGTTGCCAGGCTCCTTGGTCCTGCCTGTTCCTTCGCTTCTGTCTCGTGCTGCGCTGCGCCGCGCTGGAATCTTTCTTTGCCTACACGCAGCTCGCCGTGTCGCCGTGCTGCCATGACCGTCCTCCACGAAGCGGTAGTCGATCCTGTCGAGAAACTGGGCCTCGACGGGCCCTCTCCGCACACCAATGGCGTCCTCAAGGACGACTTCAAAGTCGGCACGATTTGCTGTGTCGGTGCCGGCTACGTCGGTATGTTCTGTGACGCCGGGTTCCGTGTCTTGCGCATGGCGCACCCCCAGTTCGCCTCGCCTCAATCGAGTCGAATCGAATCCCGTCACTGACCACGTGGCCGTTTCTGGTATTTCCCAATTCCTAGGTGGTCCCACCGCTGCTGTTCTCGCTTTCCAGAACCCCAACATCAGGGTGACGGTCGTCGACCGAGACGAGCTTCGCATTCGCCGCTGGAACTCGCGCCATCCTCCCATCTACGAGCCTGGCCTGCACGACATTGTCCGCGTTGCTCGCGACGGTTCCCGCCACTTCTCCTTCGTCAACGAGAGTGCCTCGGAGAGCGAGGTGGCCTCTTCTGAAGATGCCGACATCTCCGTGCCCAGTCGCCCAGCCAATCTCTTCTTTACCACCGACGTGGCCAAGAGCATTGGCGAGGCCGACATTGTCCTTGTCGCCGTCAACACCCCGACAAAGGAGCGCGGCGTTGGTGCCGGGAGCGCAACTGACATGACCGCCTTTGAGGCCGTCACCGCTGTGGTTGCTCAGTACGCCAGGGAGGGCGCCATCATTGTCGAGAAGAGCACGGTGCCCTGCCGGACAGCTCAGCTCGTTGCCGATACTGTACGTTGATCCGAAATCCACGCAAACTTGCCATCGCTCAGACTCAGGGCTTGCTTGATCTGTTGGCAAGCAAAGCACCCTTGGCTTGGTGCCGCTAACATGCTGTGTGCGCTGCGAAGCTTTCCATGCATCGTCCCGGTGTCCACTTCGAGATCTTGTCCAATCCCGAATTCCTGGCTGCAGGCACCGCAGTCAACGATTTGCTCTATCCAGACCGCATCTTGATCGGGTCTGCACCGACCCCGTCGGGCAAGAGAGCCGCCGAGGCCCTCGTCGAGGTGTACGCTGCCTGGGTCCCCCGAGACCGCATCCTCACGACCAATGTTTGGTCGTCTGAGCTGGCCAAGCTCGTGGCCAACTCCATGTTGGCCCAGCGCATCTCCAGCATCAACTCCATCTCGGCTGTCTGCGAGCAAACTGGTGCCGACGTTGACGAGGTCGCTCGCGCTGTCGGTGTTGACCCCCGAATCGGCAACAAGTTCCTGATGGCTGGCATCGGTTTCGGCGGAAGCTGCTTCAAGAAGGACGTCCTCAACCTCGTCTACCTGGCCGACACCATGGGTCTTCCCGAAGTTGGCGAGTACTGGAGACAAGTCGTCAAGATGAATGAATATGCGCGAGACCGATTCACCAACAGGGTCATCAAGTGTCTCAACAACACCCTCGTGGGCAAGAAAGTTGCTATTCTGGGATACGCCTTCAAGAAGGACACGTCTGACACCCGCGAGGCCCCGGCCCTGGAAATGATCAAGACCTTGCTCGAGGAACGCCCACGAGAAGTCGCCGTCTTTGATCCGTGCTGCAACCCGCTCGTCATCAAGGAGGAAATCAAGGCGCTCCTCGGAGACGTGGCCGCGGGCAACAACATCTCAGTCTATGGCAATGCCTACGACGCCTGCCACGGTGCCACCGCAGTCGTCATCGCCACGGAATTCGACGAGTTCAGATACCAGCCGGCCCCCGAGCCAGCTCCAGCGCACGCTCCCCAAGAGCCTGCGCCCAAGATGACTGGTCGCAAGCCCAGCCCCAAGTCGGATCCGCGGCCGTTGGAGAGGCCGGTGCCCACGGCGAATGACTTGCTGGCGCTGCACAAGTATCTTGCGCAGCGGCCAGGCGAGACGTCGGACGACCCGCTCGGCAGATTCAACGCTGAGCCGTCGTGCGCCGACGACTGCCCCGACTGCATCCAGGAGAGGCAAAGCAAGAAGACGGGACATGCTACTGGCATGGGGAGCGCTGAGGAGTACAAGGCCAAGGGGCGGATCGACTGGGTTCGCATTGCCGACACCATGGCCAAGCCCCGGTGGGTGTTTGATGGCCGGGGCGTGATTGATTCGAGAGCAATGGTGAAGCTTGGCGTGAGAGTAGAGAGCGTGGGCCGTCAGCACCGGTTCTAATTTGCGCGATTTGACTGGGCATCGCGGTTTCCCCATGGGCAGGGGTGGAGATGATGCGATTTTGCCTCCCATTTTCATTCTCATTCCAAGCGCAACGGCCGGCTGTTGACATTGTTGCCTGGCAAACCGTGGCCGCGAGCTGTATCTCCTCCGAGGACGACGCCAGGGCCGCTCGCCCACTACGGCTGTTTGTCGGGTCTTTATTACTATTATCATCATTCAATGTCCCACTTTCCCAGGGCATGACGAGGCAACGAGGCAACAGTCTCTTTTGTTCAGCATCGAGATGAGGGGAGATGGAATGAGGCTCTGGAGAAAGGCTGCCGAGCCACGTGTCCGAGAATGCCCGAACTGCGCCTGGGCAAGGTTGGACTTGAAGCTGCGGATAGATGGGCTGGCTATGCGGCACGGGCATGGGCTTGTAGACGTCGTTTGTAGATGTATTCAGTGTCCTGATTACTAGACTTTGGTACTGCTCCTGTGGAGTCTCACCAATGTACGACTCACGTTTCCGATGGCACAAGGCTCTATTTCTCTCATGGACGCACAAGGGACGATGGTGCGGCGTGTCCCGGCCGTCTCTGGCGTGTTGCTTCCTACTCCGCAAGTCGGGATCAACTAATTAGCGGCTACAGATTCGACTTGAAGATTGCCCGACTCTCTGGCGTGTGGCTTGTGCGCCGCCGGCGGGCGTTTTGGCGTTGCTGTGCGTTTCAGAGGCGGCCTTGTGACTTGACTTGTCACGACGTGCCCGGCGTCTCGGGATATAAGGTGGTCTACCACACACAATAGTGTGGTGTGGCCACACCCGTTTTTTGGTGTGACGAATGTAGAGGAATGCGGAAGAAAAGGGGAAAAGGTTAAAGGTGCATGCATGAAGCAGGCTTGAGAACATTGGCGGTGCAGCGACTGAGCGTTGGGGGCCTTTTTTTTTTTTTTTTTTTTTTTTTGTCCCTTGGAGCTGGCTCGAGCTCTCCGTCGTGGCCCTTGATTCGTGTCACCGACTTCTATTCCCTCTCTTAATCACATCTCCCTTTCCACCTCTTCGCTTCGCTGGCCCTCGACACCTGTCCAATCCAATTGGGCCCCGAACATCTAAGCCGCTCGAGGGACGGAGTCATTGAAGCATTGAACACCCCGGGAGTCGTCTGCCGTCTGCAATTTTCACGCGTCCCGCGATGCCTTCGATGCTGGCTGGCCGTGCTCCGATCCTGCTCCGAGCTGGACGGCGTCTTCCTCCAACTTTGCCTGCTCGCGCCAGGTCTCTCACCACAGCTTCCTTGACGTCGTCTGCCCGTGCCTTGCTTCAGCCCAAACAGCACTTGGTTGCACGTGCAGCAAGGGTCTGGTCGGCCGTCAACTCGGTTTCGACTCTGAGGCACGACACGACATGATGATGCGACGGACGACGACACGGCCAGCCAGTCGCCTTTGTCCCCTGCCCATGCCCGGTGAAGAAGCACAGGCACAGGCACAGGCGCAGGCGCACAGAGTCGAACTTCTGCGGTTCTCGGGGGAGGCAGGGCAGGGCAAGCCTTTGGTTTCAGGACTTTCATGCCGTTCAAGAATCGCGAAGCCTGCTCGCCCTCGTCCCGCGCGGAGACGATGGCGGTCTGGAGGAGCGACAAGCAAGTCTCCCCAACACCACCTTCACGAGAGAGGGGTTCGTCTCGACCACGCCGTGATGTGCGAGCCGTGTCCGTCCCCCATCGTTGGTCTTTTTAGACGTTGGCCCATCCCGCCACGGGATACGGGTGCTTCCTCGCCACCAGCCACGGCGTCACAACATCCCTCACACAGTCCTCGGCGCGAGCTGGCAGTATGAAAACGACGGCGATGCTGTTCGTCGCCGCGGGCGCCGCCTCCTTGGGAGCGGCAGACGTGCTGTCGCCTCAAGACGTGCCCGTGCAGTGCGCGACCATCTGCGGCCCCATCGTGGACCTCTCGTCCCAGTGTGCGCCCGCCACGCCCAGGGGGCCCAAGGCCGGCGGTTCCGCGAGCGAGGCCGGCGCTGTCGCCGTGCCGGCAGGGCGGCGGAGAGCAGACACGGGCAGGCAGGGCGGGAAGCGGTCGCAGACCGACGACCAGAACGCGCATCTGGACGGGCGCTTCTCCGAGGCAATCTCTTGGCCGACGTCCTCGGCGGCGGCGCATCCCGACAGCGGCCCCCTCGAGGGACACCCACGCCCCGAACGGACGGCGACAATCTTGCTCGTCATTGTCGAGCCGGCGGACCCTTCGCCGCAGCGCCAGCCTCCCGCTCCCCCGGCGGCACCCGACACATCCTCCCGGCAGTATGCGCCGCCGAACGAGACCGTCCCCCAAGGGCCTGGGAAACTGGCATCGCAGCCCGTCGGCTCGGGCGAAAACCCGGCGAATACGGCGACGAGCGAGACGGCGGACAGCGTGGTCAGCACGGCAGGTCCCGTTGGCGATGGCGCCAAGTCCACGGACGTCGAGGAGCAGTGTGTGTGCGCCAACAAGAGCTTTGACGTGCCGCGGGTGGCGGCACTGTGTGCGAGCTGCATCACCAAAACCGGGCTTCAGGAAACCAGTACGTCTTTTCTTCTTGTCCCTCTCCCTCTTCAGCTCATCACATTCACGCCCGCGTCTCCACATGCCTCGGGTGTTGTGACGGCGGGCTTCGCCTGAGCTGACGACGACACCCACAGGCATGCGGTCCATCATGTCGGCGTGCAAGTTTGCAGAGCGAACCTACCGGCCGGCCGACGATGGCATAGTGGACAACGTGCGTGTCTCGGCGACGAGGCCGACGGCGATGCTGGGCTCCAAAGCCGGCCCTTCGAGTGCGGGCCGCGGTGTGAGTGTGGCACGGCGGCGAGGGATGGGGGACGCAAGCGTCGCGGCGTGCGTGTTGACCTTGGTCTTGTTGGCGACGTGACTGACGGGGCGGCGGTGCCGCCTTTCCGTACCATTCGAGATGGTGGGCGACGGGCGGTCTTGACGTGTCGGCGCAGTCGTGTTCTCTTGTTCTCTTATTCATTCATCGTTCTCTTGGGCGGCGTTGGTGATTTTGACGGCAACTCCGCACTTCCGGATTCGAACAGCTGGTGCGCGCCGATTGGCCGGGCTGGCGTGGCGTCCGGCTGGCCTGCCGCTGCCGGGCTCTGGCCGGCTTGCAGAACGACAAGGGCATCAGCATTACCAGGGAGGCCAAGGCACACACAATGCCTGTGTGTGTGCATCTACGCACCCCCTCTGTCGCTGTCTGAGCCCGTGCCGCCGCAACCATGGACGCATCCCATCTGGCTGCGCGGGACGGCGGTGTTGCGCCGGCGGCATTTATTGACCCGGCTATTGAAGGCTACGCGCGGCGCATGGCCTCTTCCAAGATGCTGATTCGACAGGACGCAGCGCACGGGGAGCCCCGTGTCCGGGCGAGGTGCGAAGCAAAGGCTATTCGTCTGCAAAAGGGGGACGAGGAAAACCCAATTTCTCGCCGGCGGGCAGACGCGCAGCCGACGAGAGATGCGGGCGGGCAGCCGGCGGCGATACAAAAACGAGCGGCGCCTCTCCCGCCGCCGCACACGCACACGCACACGCACACCACCACCACCACCATGCCAACATTGCCCCATCTCGTCCTGTGCCTCGTGGCCGCCACGGCCCTCGCAGCGCCCAACGAGCCCTGCTACGCCCAGGGGGGCCGCGCCGGCGTGTGCCTCACCGAGGCGGCCTGCACCGCGGCCGGCGGCACCACGGCCACTGCGCCAGCCCCGCCACCGTCTTTCACAAGTTTCCGCGGCCCGAGATCCCCGCCGCCGACTGCAAGGACAGCGCCGTCCGCGGCGCCGCCACCATCCTCGACGCCTTCCCGGGCCGCGTCTGGGCCGTCGGCTGCAAGCGCGACTGTGCGTGCCCCGGCGCGTCGGACCACTGCTGCGGCCTGGCGACTGACCTCATGTGCTCTGACGGCTATGGCGTGGGTGACTCTGCCGTCCAACGCACCCTGCGTGCTCCTCCTCGACTGCTGACCAACGCTCTCTCCAGCTGCCCACCCTGTCTGGCAAGCAAATCGCCGAATGGGTCATGCGCCACCGCCGCCCCCTCAAGCTCAAGTACGTCATTTGGGGCCACAAGATCTGGAACCCGACCGTCGACGACGAGCCCAAGAAGTGGGAGGAGTGGCGCACCATGAAGGACAGGGGCGACATCACGCAGAACCACTGGTTACCTTGTCCCCTCCCCTCTTCCCACCCCTATGCCTGCCGTGCGCTGACCGTTTCTCCTCCCCAGGGACCATGTCCATGTGAGCTACGAGGAGTTTGAGTACAAGGGCGTGTGAGGGCAGGATTTACTCGACAAGACGGGCAGGCTGGCAGACGGACGGATGGACAGAGGGGCAGAGGAGAAACGGGGCAAGAACAATAGAGGGGCCGTGGCCGAGAATGAAAATACGTTGCCATCACCACGTTGCTGCGTGTCCGTCGGCCCAGTACATTGCGCTGTGGCGGCTGCGTGCATCACCGTGTCTTGTGCGCGCGAAGAACGTTTCCACCCCCCACCACATGAGTAGAAAAAACCATCCCCACAACGCATCAACTAGGCCCCAAACGCCTCGCTCACAGTCTCCCCCTCGTCGGGCGTCACGGCCATCTCGAGCAACTCGTGAGCCGCCTCCACCACCTCCCCTTCTATCCCGGCCTCGATGACCAGGTCCTCCTCCGCAAACGCCAGGCGACCCAACGCCAGGAGGTAGCGCTGGCTGCCGCCGTGAGACGCCGACAGCTTCTGGCCGACGTCTACCACGTTCGCGGTCTCGGCACCCGTAATCAGTCTGTGCAGGAGGAGGACGCTCTGAGAAATCATGCGATACAGGTCCGCTGACGCCGTCGATTCGGGCAGCTTCAGCGATTCCTTGAGAGCGTCTGGAAGCGGCGGGAGGATACTCGGCGGAATCGGCTGGTCGTAGAGCTCGTCAATGGCGGCGCTTAGACACGCGACGAGCCGAGGAATGGCGTTCTCGTGAACAGCCAACTGCTGGGCTCCAAGGGGAGACAATGAAAAGGCTATCAGGGTCCGCAGTGCCGCCAGCCTGACCGACCGTCTCTGTTTCTGCGTCGTAGAGCCCCGAGGCTGCTCAGTCAGCTTGGCAGACACCCGCTCGATCATGGCCCTTGCGATGACGGGCGGCTCTGCCTCGGCGCTGACGGGTCCGATGGACGTCGGCAGCACCGACGTAGAAAGCAGCTCGAGCATCCCCGTCACATCGCCCGGCTTCTGCCTCGGCGTCAGGAGCAACAGGACCATGTCGAGGGACATCAACTTCCAGAAACCAACTGAAGTGTACGCGAAGCCACTCTCTGTTTCGGTAGGCGTCATTGAGCACGACAATGCCGACGTGTACAGGAGCCCCAGCAGCCGCTTGGTGTCAATGTGCTCCTCCAAAAACCCGTGCTCCGCGCTACGAGACAGACTGCTGTCGGGAAGCCGTCGTCTCAGGTCGGCCAGCGTCACAATGGTGGATTGCGCGACGGGCACCAGGCTGGGCACGATCAAAGGCGCCACGGACGACGTGTGAAGATCGAACGTGAAGGAGATGAGAGACGCGAGATATTTTACAGGTTCCCAAAACTGCTCCTCCACACAACGCGCCCAAAGGGACACGACATGTTCGGCAAAGTCAACAAGAAGCTGCATGGGGCGGTGTGGGTTTCCCATCAAGGGCAGCTTCTCAAAAATCATTGAGGCGAGCGAGGTGGCCGGATCAGAGGGGAACGTGAGCCGAGACAATGTGTCAAACGTGGGGGGCTGTCGGTGAAATGACCCGTGGTCTAGCACGAGCTGAAGAAACTACACGACACTGTCAGTTTCAAGCCTGGCGGTGACGACGTACAAGCCTACTTCAAACGGCGCCGCCGGGGCTGCCACCACAATCGGGGGCGAAAGCTTTGCTTCGTGCCTGCCGCCGCCATCCATCACAATGTCCTGGGTAGACGTTTCGAGGGCGGCCATGGGACTGTCCACGACTGGGCGCTTCCTTTTGCCCTTGCTGGGTGTCCGCTCACCGACGTTGGCGGCAACGGAACCGGCCTTGCCTCGTCCCTGACCCTTGGTCGGGCTTACGGCCATGTCCAGGCCATCAAAACCATCAGCAATCCCCCACGACTTGGCTGCTCGTTTCGGCGTCGAGTCGAGCACCCCTGCAGCGGTATTGTCCTTCCTCCTCGCCCGGTCATTAACCTCTCGTATATCTCGTTGCAAGAACTGCAGTTCAGTACTGGCGCTCTTCTCCGCCGCCACCGCTGCCTCGGCAATTCTGGCCTGCTTTTCCAGCTGCTCGGTATTGATCTTCTTGAGCCGTGCCACATGGGATTCATAATCGTGCCGCGCCTTGCTGGCGTTGGCGCGAATGATGGAAGCTTCGCCACGAGCCGAGTGGAGCTCGGATTCAAGTGCACGCACCCGCTGTTGAAGAGCGGACACAATGTCCCCGGACTTCCCAGCTTGCGGCGCCTGGGACTCGAAAAGGCGGTTTGGCGGCAGCGGCGGCCGGGCATGTTGACTGGCCTGTGTCGGAAGCCGTGGCTGGAACAGTTGGGAGCCGGACGGGGGAGCACGGGGCGGCCTGGCGTTTGGCGGATGGTGAAGAGATGCTGCGTCGGAAGCGAGCCGGGAAGGCGGGTCTACAGCCGGATTCCATCTTGGGTTTGGTAGAGGAGGTACCGGTCGACGCGTGGCCTGTGAGCCAGCATCTGCGGGTTGTTGGTGGTGATGCTCTCGTGGCTGCTGGCGTTGCATCTGCTGCAGGGAATTGTTGATGACTGGTCGACCAATGGGAGCACCGACATGGTCGATGACTTCGGTATTGTCCAAATCATCGTCTTCCTCCTCCCAGCCATAGTCAGAGAGCCTCTGTGGCGGATCCTGGGATGGTGGCGGCCTTATCTGGGCCTGGGTCAGCTGGATGGCATTTCGCTCGAGTTCTTGGAGGGCATTATCGGGGAGGTCATCGAAGCCGCCATCGGAAAACTCGTCGACGTCCATGGTCTGCAGGTGCTCGGCGGAGAGGCGGAGTCATTGCGTCGGTGAGCGACGCAATTTGGAAGCTTGGTGTGAAGGCGCAAAGTCGAGAATCGCCAACTGGTCGCGTAGTCACGTTTCTTGAAGCCCGAGCCCCGGGCGCCGCGCCGCCGAAAGTGGCTGAGGTCAGCCAAGTGTGGCTGGGGCTCGAATCAGGCAGGCCTAGGGTTGGGGTTCGTGATGCGGGGTCTTCTGCTTCGTCCGGCCCGCCGGCCCACGACTGTGCGCACGCGTTCAAGGGCACTTCCCAGGTTCTGACGTCAACTGGAACAGAAAGAACAGAAAGCGGCGCCCGGCGCAACTACGTACGTAAATCAACCAGGGGTTCGATATTTTCACACTTGAAGTGCGGGAAAATTTCAGAGGTGCCCCACTCTTAGTTACTAGCGTCAGCCGGAGACGAGTCGAAGTCGACCCCGAAGCCTAATAAGCCCAAGCCTAAGCCTACTCCGTCCTCGGTAGGCGCACCAGGCAGCAGCAGCGGGCCTAAAGTGCCAGCCCTCGGTCGGCGCAGTCAGCGACTCAGCTCAGCGTCAATTGATCCAATTGATCCCCAAGGTTCCACGTTCTGCCGCTCCGCATCGTCATCGACCCCGAACCCCGAGCCGGACCAAGATTTTCCACATTCAAATGTTCCCAGGCCGTCGTCCTCGAAACCACCCAACCCCGGCATCACGGACGACGAGTCTCGCTGTCCCCAAGTCCCAAGTTTACCTGCACATCTTGCTGGCCCGGCGGCTCTTTGGCAACGCCCGGCCTGGGCATCGTCCTCCTCCTCCTTCTTGCCCAACAAAGTTTCCAGCTCTGCGGTGCGAGCAAGCTTCGCCGCGGCCGAACGGCGCATCCCATCAATCCTCTCTGCCTTTTCCGCCCTCCGCTTTTGCCTCTCTCCTCAAGCCTCGAGTCCCTTGACCCTCCGGACGAGCTGCCACAACCCATCGCCGCGCAACAACCATCGCCACAAGACCTCACTCAGCCGTGCCTCCGTTGTCCCCTTTTCCTCTTTTTCGTTCCCTCTTTTTTTTTTATTGTATCTTATTTCTTCTCTTTTTGGCCCTTTCTTCGATCGGTGCTCAACGCAATCGACTGTATACAATCGGCAAGTGACAAACACCCGATACGATACGCCAGTTCCCTTCGCCTCGGACCCCGGTAATCGCTTCTGCTCGCGGAGCTTCAAACCATGGGCAGATCAAAGCGAGGGGTTAGGTTTCCCCACAACAACGGCCAGGCCAGCGGCTCCGAGGGTCGCCGTTCCAGCTTCAGCGATGCCAGTGAGGATGGGAGCGCTTCTCCCTCGCGGGCCAGAAGGGTCCAGGCACAACTCGCTCCCGTCCAAGAGGTTGGTGCCAACCCCAATGCCAGTGACAATACCTTTAGGGCTGCAAAACGCCAACAAAGTCCATCGACTGCATGCTGACCACCTGTGTGCCATTTCTAGAAACCTCCCACCCCCGAAGAAGAGTACCAGAAGAAAAAGGCCAACTTCATTACCCGAACCTTCTGGACGCTTTGCATGCTAGGCGCCTTCTTTACCGCCCTCTTCATGGGCCACATCTACATCATCATCGTCGTCACCATGGTCCAGATCGTTTCCTTCAAGGAAGTCATAGCCATTGCCAACGTTCCGAGCCGAGCCCGGTCCCTTCGATCTACCAAGAGCCTCAACTGGTACTGGTTAGCCACCACCATGTATTTCCTCTACGGCGAAAGCGTCATATACTACTTCAAGCACATTGTCCTGGTCGACAAGGTCCTGCTGCCCCTTGCCACCCACCATCGCTTCATTAGCTTTATCCTCTATGTTTTCGGTGAGTCGAGCCTCTCGTTTTGGCGTGGATAGTTTGTTCTTTAGTTGTTGTTTTTTTTTTGTTTCTTTTTTTTTTTTTGGCTTCTGGTGTTCGCTGGGAAAAGAACAGAAAAGAAATGAAAAGAAAAGAAAAAAGACTAACCGCCAGCGCAGGCTTCGTCTTCTTCGTTGCCTCACTTCAAGCCGGGCACTACAAGTTCCAATTTACCAACTTTGCATGGACGCACATGGCGCTGTACCTCATCGTTGTCCAGGCCCATTTCGTCATGAATAATGTCTTTGAGGGCATGATCTGGTTCTTCTTACCCGCCGCCCTCGTCATTACAAACGACATTTTTGCCTACATTTGCGGCATCGCCTTTGGCCGCACCCAGCTCATCAAATTGTCCCCCAAGAAGACCGTGGAGGGATTTGTTGGGGCTTGGATTGCCACTGTTCTGTTCGGCATGGTCCTCGTGAACCTGATGATCCGGTCCAAGTACTTCATCTGCCCGGTCAATGTAAGAAAGGCTGCAGTATCGTGGGGTCGATGGCGCCGTCGAGTTTTCTGCTAACAGTTATACGTAGGACCTTGGCGCCACCATTTTCACCGGCCTCCAATGCGACCCGAATCCCGTTTTCATACCTCGCACCTACCACATGCCCCGATTATTCTTCTTGCCGCCAAGCTTCGCGAATATCTCCTTCACGTTTGCTCCTATGCAGCTTCACGCGCTCGTCTTGGCGTCATTTGCCTCCCTCATCGCTCCGTTCGGAGGCTTCTTTGCTTCTGGGCTGAAGCGCAGCTTCAAGATCAAGGACTTTGGCGACTCGATTCCCGGACATGGCGGCATGACGGACCGCATGGACTGCCAGTTCATCATGGGATTCTTCGCGTACATGTACTACCACACCTTCATCGCGCTCTACAAGGTCAACGTCGGAACAGTTCTCGAGACTGCCATCACGAGCTTGAGCCCAGAAGAGCAAATCGAGCTGGTCAAGAGCATGTCGCGGTACCTGGGCAACCAGGGTGTCGTGTCCGAAAAGGTGAGCTTGTCAAGTTTGTGTGGCGTAAAGGAGAATGCAAGAGCTGACAGGTTGCACGCAGTTCCTTGAGTGCGTTGAGCGGACAATCAGCAGCTGAACGAACTGTATCTCTTTTTTTTTTTTTCAGTTGATTTTTTTTTCTCTTGTCTTGTACCCTCCGGTCGAGGCGATTTTTATGTATGCTCCCTTCGTCTTGTCCCTGTTTCTTGTCGTACAACAAATTCATCTCTCGCAAAAGCAATCGGGTGCCCTTTTTTTTTTTTTTTGAAAGAACACGAAAAATTTCCCTTCTCTCAGCGGGCCATGTGAGACGGTGATTACAAGGCACGTGGCGTGGACATGGGGCTAAGTCATGGGGCTGTCTGGTTCTTTCATCAGCCCCGGGAAACAAGTCGGAGAGGCAGGGGCTGCAACATGGGTATAATGGATCTCGAATATTGGATGGATTGGCCGGGATGGGATGGGATGATGTACGGCGGAGTATCAAGATCCATAGCTTGTGTGTATGTAGGATTCTCGGAACCGGAATCATGACGAAGGTTATTGTGTATATTTGGGTGGTATATGCGAGAGTACGGAATGTGAGGTGCAGAAACCCAAGTCGGCGAGCCCGGCGTCGCAGTCATGGAGATTCCGAGAGCAGCGGCGTGCTCGTCTTGGATATTACAGGGTCGGAATCTAGAGACTGTTTTTTCCGGACGCTGTCCAGGCCTACGTATAGTATCGAGTGCTCCGTAGTACTGCGTACTACCCCGTGCTTCAGTGCTCAGTCTAGGTAGCGGTTCAACATGGCAGGTCATCAAGCCTGCGACACAAACAGCAAGGAGCTGTCTGCCTTTAATTTCAAGCCGGGCTCAAAGTGACTTGTCCCACTCGGAAGGGCGGCCGGCTATCGGTGGCCAAGCCAGCCGGTCTTGCAGATGTGCGGCAACAATCCAATCGTTGATTACCGTGGAGGGCCACGAATTGTGCCGCGTGTGATAAAAAAAGTGTGTGTGTACTCCGTACGGAGCACATATGTATGCATACATACCTGGGGGCTCTTGATCGTGGCGTTACGCGTATGTGGTTGGTTGGGCATTTCGCTATAGGGCAATTTACCGATGCAATATAACAGCGCCATTCCCGCAAAGTGGTGGACCGGATGGACCACAACAGCGTGAGACGGTGTAGGCAAAAGGCAAGCGAAGCAGAATCGGCGCAAATGACATGACATTGCACGGCATGCCGAGGACGGGAGCCACGGAACAAGCATTTCTGACATGAGAGGATGTACCAAGTGCCATCCCACCCAGGTCCACATATGCTTCTGGAACGAGACGGGTCAACGAGCGCTCCGTAGCATCGGGCAAGATGGTGACATTGATACCAAGTCGTACTCCGTACCTGCTGTCCTGATGTACGTAATGTGTGCCCCGGATGAGTAACACTTCTACCCGGGTAGTACACGCACCAGGAGATGCTCCGCAGAGGGCTTTCGACGTAGGGAATCAAGCCTGGTCATCATCCCTGCTCGTCGTCGCGTGGCACGTCGGAGCGGAGCTGGGCGACGTGACGGGTGGCTTGCGGAAAGTTGGCCGACTTTTCCAAGAGTCGCGGACTCGCGGCTGTGAGCATCGAGGTGGTTGCTGCGTCGGGGGCTTTTACCACAAGAGGAAGAGTATTGCTGACATGGACATGTGGCGGGCAAAGCTGGCCGAAGGAGAGGAGGGTGTTGGCCTTTGTTGGTTGGTTGTGACTTGTTGTCAAGAGTCGAGTGTGTGGACATGCGTGTGTGTGTGTGTGTGCGTGCGTGCGTGCGTGCGTGCGTTGTGAGAGCTTGTTGCTTGTGGGTGACCTGTGACTTGTCAGTGTGTGCGTGTATGAATGTGGCCTGATTTGTAAGGTGTTGCGAGCGAGGGAAGGGAGGCAGGGAGGGAAGGAGGGAGGGAAGGAGGGAGAAAAGGGAAGGAAAGATTGAACGGAGTTGCCAATGGGCTCGTGAGCCGCGACGGTAATGATCATAGCATCGACCGTGTATGAAGCAGTCATGGATGGACGGAATTCGTCTGTCGCCTTGCATGGTTCAAGCTTCAGTCAGGGTGGGCTGGTGAGCATGGGCTTTGCCAATTCACCCCGACCATGTCCATTCCGATGTGGATTGATGGCATGGTACTCCGTATGTACTATGAACTATGAACATGGTATGGGACCTCGGTCTATTAACACGTCCAATTCAGGCCACACGACACGACGAGGCCACGACAGCAAGGCTGCACAACACGACGCCGCAGGCTTAGGTCTTTTGGTCTTGACTCTGGTTGACGAAGACGACGACGACGACGACAATACCGCTACTATCATCACGGCGACACACCACGCTTACCCTGGTCTGCAAAGGGCTCGGTGCTCACCATGCATCACAGCCTGGCGCCACGATCCTGGCATGCCCATGCGCGTACTCACGTTCACGCTCATGTTCATGCTTATGCAGACAGACAGAGTGACGTGATGCTCGTCTGGACACTTGTGAGAGCATAAACGAACCGTGGTGGTCGCCCGTTTCACTTTTAATCTCGTCTCTCGTCGCCCGTCGCCGCCGACGCACATGCACGTCTGCGAGTCTGTCTGCTCATCACACACGCACGCGCACGCGCACGCGCACGCGCACGCACGCACGCTTATTCTTCTTCTTATTAGTTCTACTATTACTGCTATTATTGTTCGCTCTCCAACATTCGCACTCACGCTCACACTCAGAGACCCGTTTTCGTTGCGTTGGCTGCGACTCTGCAAAGAACCACATTCCCTAGCAGACGGTACTTTGTATTCTGGCCAAGAATTGGTGATTTCAAATTTCATCAAGAGGGCTCCGTAATCCTGATCCTAGCCGCTCATCCCGTTCGGCTGGGCTGAGTAGCACGGCAAGGTTCTCGCGGCTTGTCAGTCGGTGTCTGTCTGATCCGTCGTTGGATGGCGCTTAAATGGTTATTATGCTTTTCTCGGCGTGCCGACGGCGACAACAATACCGTTGACCTTTCAATTCTGTTGCATCCAAAACTGCTCTGCACTCGGTACAATATTAATCAGGGTTGGCAACTGAACGTCGAAGCGACGCGCGACGCTGTCCTGTTCTCGTCCGCCACCCCCTTCTCCGCGTTTTGGTAGCAGTTCCTCTCAAATCCATCTCGTTATTCGCATGCTAGATCCTTTCTCCTTTCTCTCTTTTTCTTCCCCATCTCCTTCCTTCTTCACTTCTGGGGTTGGGCGGTCCTTCATCTCAGGAAGTGACCAGCGTGCACCACTTGCTCATTCACCCGGTTGTCACATCGGCCACATTTCGCCTCGGGAAGCCCGGACATGTTCGTGCTCGTAATATCCCATTATTCCGACCACTGTCACTTAACCATCCGCCATCCTTACTCCTTGTCTTGGGAAAAGCAACAAAAGGCTCTACACTAGGGCCACCAAGATCTGGGGTCAATGCACGAGACGCTGCGCACCCGAGACATACAAGGGAAATTCGCACACGGCGCCATTCTACAAAGAACATTAAGGACAAACGAATTTCCTTCTGGCCCTGGGTTGAAAGACTTGTCTCGGGCCCGGCCTGGGATCGCCGGGGAACCGTCTTACATACCATCACCTCACCACCCCCCAGTCCATCATCATGAATGACGACGATTCTACCTTTGGAGAGGCCTCTCCGAGCGCGAGCACTTCTATACGGAGCTCCATTACGAGGTACGAGTGGAGACACGGCCGTCGATACCACGCCTACCAATCTGGCGCGTACCCGTTTCCGAACGATGAGCGTGAACAAGATCGTCTGGACATGCTACACCACGCCGTGACACGACTGCTCGACGACCGGCTATTCCTGGCGCCCATTCAGCCCAATGGCATGAGAATCCTGGACATCGGCACAGGGACAGGGCTGTGGCCCATCCAAATGGGCGATTCATACCCCGGAGCGAGCATAACGGGCAACGACCTCAGTCCCATCCAGCCCACCTGGGTCCCCGCCAACGTCAACTTCCTCGTGGACGATGTCGAGCTGGACTGGGTCGAGACCAGCGCATACGACTACATTCACTGCCGGTACATGTCTGCCTCGATCAAGGACTGGCCGCGACTCATTCGCCAAATCCACAGCGCCTTGAAGCCCGGTGGCTGGGTGGAGTTTCAAGAATTCTCAACGGCTTTCACCTCCGACGACGGCCCAATGAGCATAGACTATCCTTGCCACGCATTCACGCAACTCGGCCTCACGTTGAATGAAGCGTGCAATAAGACGGGCAGAATGCTAGATCCAACGCCCTACCTGAAACGGTGGAGCACTGAAGAGGGATTCAAGACGATTGAGCAGCACAACTTCAAAGTGCCCATTGGCAATTGGCCCAAGGACCAGCGGAGCAAAGAAGTCGGCACTTTGATGGGCATCAACCTATCCGATGGCGTAGACGGCATGACGGCCGTCTTGGTCAGGGATGTGCTGGGTTGGTCAGGGGAAGAAGTAGAGGTCCTCAATGCCAGAGTGAGGAGCGCGACGCGCAGAGATCCAAAGGTCATGGCTGGCTATGTCGTTGTCTTGGCGCAAAAGGCTAAATGACCAGGGCGGCGGTTGTGAGACGGTGATGTTGTGTGTTTTGTTTCTGCTCTTTCTCTCTCTGTCTTTTTTTTTATCTTGCTTTCTTTCTTGTTTCTTTTTCCATTTCCTTTAAAGCGTGGCGTTTCTAGCATAGCGACTTGGTTCGAATTCGTGGTTTTGGCCGGTAAACTTATGAGCATCGGAGGGCATGGGAAAGGGGCGCAATGTTTGATTTCCTGAATGGCCGAGGCCCCTGGATCAGTCCAAGCGGCCTGTCCCGATGCAAAATGGGTGATGAGGAGGCGGTAGGGGATGACGGTGCTCGAGCTCCATACCCAGGGTCATGGCAATGGGCACTGATCCGAGAGGTTGGGAGATGCTTTTGAGCTCTGAACCAGACTACTCCTGTAGCAGGCAGGCGTCGACAGGTAGCTGGGGCTTGCGCGAGGGATCGTCGCGACCTTTGTAGCTGGACCTAACAGGTCGCGACATAACTACAATACAAGTGGGCACGGCACGATGGCCGCCAGGCGGTCGAACGAGTAACTAGATGGAACGGCTGTCATGCCCGTCATTACTGAGAGAAATGGGTGTCGGTTTCACGGCGCCGTGTTTATCGAGTGCGCTGCTCGCCATGTTCAGCCCTCCGGAGTGAGTGACGTGATGACTGCAAGGCACCTCTTTCCAACCACTGACTCCGCATCATGGGGCGAAGCAAACTCGCAGTCGGCGCCAACGGGTATTCCCTGCCCAGTCACAGTCAGATCTTAGCAGACAGGGAGCCACGGGGACAGCGGACCAGGGAGCCCAGGGCCAGCGATAATAGGTGGCGTTATTGCAGATATATAGGTGCCGAATAACACTTCCAGTATAATCATGTGCCGATGTCAAAGCCGCAAAGCCGGTCGGGAAATAAGGGAAAAAAAAAAAAAAAAAAAAATGCCGAACCCAAAAATCAAGTAGATGACTCGGTCCTCCGCACCCTCGAACGCCCGAAAATCGACGATCCCACGCCGGGAAGAAAAGAAAGAAGAGGAAAAAAAAGGGGACAGACGAAGGCTACTCGAACGTGCCCTTGCCCAAGATGCCGCCGACCATGCCGAGCCGGCCCCTGGCGCCCTCGACGCGCCTCTCCTGCCTCCGCCTCTCGGTCTCCTGCACCCTGGCGCTGTGCTCCGTCCGCCTGGCGAATCCGCCGATGCCGCTCTTCTTGCCGGCGGCCTTCTTGATCTTGGCGTCGTCGCCGAACCCTGCCCCGCCGCTCGGGGCCGAACCGCCCGCGGACCCGGACACGAGGGTCGAGTTTGTGGTGGCTCGTCTGAGCAGCGCCGGGACCTTGAAGGACGACCGTGTCTGCGTGGTGAAGGCCATGCGGACGGTGGAGCCAGCACACGAGAGGGTGCGCTTGAGAGCGATTCGATCTACGACGGGTTGGTCCTCCTTGTCGCCGCGTGATGAGTCGCCGTCGTCGTCTTGTCCTTCTTCTTCTTCTTCGCCGTCGGAGCCGACTTCTGTGGCGGGAACCATGGATCCGTGTGGCTCCTCGAGGAGGTTGGAGAGCGTCTCCCGCACGTCACCAATGTTGGAGGGCCTCTTGGCATTCTTTGTCCTGCGCATGCGTGCGGGTGCCCGGGTGTTGTTTGCCGTCGGAGAGGGCGGCTGTTGCTGCACGGGCTGGCTGTCGGGGATGACGGTAGCAGGACGCCGCGCTTGCTCTTGGGTCTCGTTGTGCGATTCAGAATCCGGCGTGTCAGGGGCGTCCAGCAGGTCCATCTCGTCGTCGCTGCCGCGGTCCTCCATGCTTCTCAGAAACGCTTGGTTCCCGGGGTTTTCGGCAATCTTCTTGACCCGCTCGTCTGCAAAGAGCGCCTTTTGCATCTTGGCGAACTGTCGGCGCTTCATGCGCCTGCGAGCCTCGCCGTCCGAGTCCGAGTCGGAGAGGTCAAAGTCCCCGCCGCGGCGTTTGCGCCGGAGCATGCCCGTGGTGATGTCCCTGAAGAGCTTTTCGACTTGTTGCTCGTCGTTGGCTCGTTCGCGATCACTAGACCAGAGTTAGCTTTCCGTTTTTTCTGCCGGCGCTTTACGGGGACGGACGATGAGACTTACGCATAAAACGCGGCTAGCTTTCGCTCGTCGTTGTCGTTGCCGGCCGCGTCGTCAATCATCTCCGCCACTGAGCCGTCGGAATCATGGTCGCTGTCCTCGCCGTCCACACCACCCAGACCAGCGTATTCATCCTCGGATTCTTCGGCCTGCTCCTCGACCATTTCTTTGGCCTTGCTCTTCCTACGGTCGAAATCTTCGGCGACGCGAAGTCTCTTCTCTTTCCTGGCTGCGTCGCGCATGGCCTGGAAGGCGTTGCCTTGAGCGCCGGGTGTCCTGGGCTCACTGGTTTCGGGGATGGCAGTCTCCGCGACCGACATGTCCATTCGTCGCCGGAGCCGGCCTCTGCGAACTATCGGTGACTCCTGGGCCGTGTCCTCGTTCTGCTTCTCAACCATCACGGTATCAACCGTTGAGAAGGGAGGCTCAATGAATCTATCTCGGAGGGGGCTGAGCTGTTGCAAGCCCGCGTCCTGGGATAGCTCCAGCATCTCAGACGTCTGTGTCTGCATCCCGTCGGCGATGAGCGTCCCGAGACCATGCATCTGAGATTGTGAAAGGTTGAGCTGCACCCCCTGAGTCTCCTCTTGTTGAGAATCGACAGTCGTCTCTTCTGCCGGCTCGTCCATCGTGGCAGAAAAGTTGGAGTCAGGGAAGTGGTCGAAATCCGGCATCATGGACTGCGTTGGTCCGCCCTCAGAATAGCTCACTTGACTGTCCATGGTGCCGGCAAATATTTGTGTGAGTCCCAAGCCAGCGGGCCCCTGAACGGGCAGTCCAGGAATAAATGTCTTTCTGGCAGATCGCAGAACTGAACCAGGAGCGAAGGGAGATATGGTGCCCGCACCCGCAGGCGTCATCTGAGTAGTAGTAACCTTTACGGGTTTGGGTGTAGCCTCCACTTCGCTTTCGTCATCCGAAAGCACTGTGGCCATGTTTCGTGCTCTTCGCTGTCTCGGGCCTGGTTGCTCCATCTCGTCCGCGCCGTCCTCGCTTTGAACAGAAGTCTCGGCCTCGGATACGGAAGAGTCGGCTTCCTCGTCAAAGAGAGGATTTGCGGCTCTTTCGACTTCTTCTGCATTGTCGGCCTCGGCCTCGTCCTCATCCTCATCCTCGGAACCGGAGATTTCCACCTCGGACGCCTCCGCGTCCACCCCCTGCGCCGCAACCTGGTTCTCTTCGTCGTCACTGTCATCCCAAGCCAGAGGATCGACTTGGCCATTCTTCTTTTGTTGTCGCTTGGCCTCGCCTCTCTCCTCCTCCATTATCTTCTGGGCCTCTTGTCTGGCCTTGGCCACAATGTCCTCGACCTCTTGCTCTTGTCTTTCCCGCTCTTCAGCGGTCTGGATAATGATTCCTTGTCCCTTGAGAATCTCCAAGCGGCGATCACGCTCCAGTTTGGCCTGTTGGCGGGCTTTAAGTTGCAAATAAGCCTGAAGCTCACCAGGCGACATCTTGGACTGGTCTTTCCTGCCGCGACTCTCCTTGCCAGGAGACTTCACTTGTGCTAGAGCACGGAAAATCTGTAACGATTGTGCCTCGCCTGACTTTTTGGAAGGAATGTTTGCAAATAGTGCATCAATCTTGTCTTTGGCCGAAGTCGTGATCTGAAGATCGCCATCCGCATCGATTACAGCCGCATTCATGGGCGCAACAGGCAGTCGAACGCGAACTCTTCGCTTTGGTTTTGACTGTTGACCGGCCTCCACACTTGCCGGTATGAGGCTGATTTCCCTGTCGACTCTTCCTTGAGCTGCAGCCTCCATGCCTTCTTTTGGAACAGCAGCATTCTCATTAACAAGCTGATCATGCTGCTTATCTAGGGGGGGGGAACTAGGAGGTGTAAAGGCTTCTCCCATCTCGACATCGGACTGCGGCGTCGTGGGTCGGCTAGAGCTGTTGGCACCAGGTAGTCTGACTTCAGACCAGCCAACAGGCTTGTAACTGAACCGCTCAAAAAGGCTGGCTTTGGAGATCTTCTTCCTTGTCTTGGCATCGTGAGCAAGCTGCATACTTCTGGCCATCCGCTGCGTCTCCCTGTTCATTTCCTCAATCGCCTTCCTGCTCGCTTTCCTCGACGGGCGAGCTTCTTGGGTAAGTCGTCTGCCGCCTTCATCGTCAGTGATGCCGTCGACATCTTCATCTGAAACGAGCTGCTCCAGCTCGGACGCAAGATGCTCTTGCTGGGCTCGCCGTTCAGCCCTGACAGCCTCCTCAGCCGCTTCGCGCGCAAGGCGTTCTTGTCTCTTTCGCTCGACAAGCGCCTTGAACCGCTCTGATTTCAACGGTGGCAAATCATTGTCTGAGTCATCCCCCGCGGCAGCGCTCTTGGCTGGAGAAGGACGCATCGGGGACGAGACAAAGAGTCCAGGGCTGTTGGGTCTGGGCGCTGTTTCCGCAGCGTCAGCATCAGATTCATCGTCGACGGGAGCCCGACGCGTCAACCGCCTAGGGGCAGTGGGAAGGTCGTCGTCTTCGTCATCGCCGGTGGCCGAATTCCCCTGTTTCTCGGCCTCCTCGCGTTGCAGCATCCTCCTCACGCGGTCTCTTGCCGACTCTGCGGTCGCAGGGCTCCGAGAAGCGCTCTCTGTGGCTGCCGCACCACCACCCTGCATCCTGGACGCGAGCTTGCCCCTCGGTCGGATTGCAACGTCTGACTCGTCAGACTCGTCGTCCTGAGCCCGTCGAGGACTGCTGCACATCTTGCGAGGTAGTTGAGAAATTAGTGATGATTTTGGTTTCTTGTTGCCTGTCTGCGACTCCTCGTCGTCGCTGCTCTCTACCGTTGCCAGCAGGGCTCTTATCTTGGACCGCGGTGTCAATGGGCCCGGCGAGCCAACGCGCGATGCGGGAGAGGAAGCTCGTGGGACCGCCATTGGATGATCAACGCCCGAAAATGTTGGGCCGCTTGGTGTTGGAGAAACTGTGCCCGATCATGGAAAATGAAGAAAGACAAGATATGAAATGAGTAAGGGCGTATGACGGAAATTGTGAATTCTGGTCAAAGCTGGAGAGTAGACAGACGACGTGCTCAAGCGGCTGCCCTGTTTAAACGCATGCAAGTGGGGAGCTCGCGGACGCGCGACGCGATGTTGGCGGGCGCGCCGTCGCGGGCCACCCACCCCGCGTCATAATCGGGCCAACCAACCTCCTTGCCCAACCACGAGATGGGGTGCACACGCTGCTCACTACGTAACTTACTCCCTACTCCGTACTGCTTGATATTCCGCATGGCCTACTCCGTACTCCGTACTCCATACGGAGGACTCCATAGCTGTCACGGCCGTCGTCACGGCAGACAGTGTGTCCCAACGCCTCAGTCGCTGGCAAGTCACTTCACGTCATATGGAAGAACCTGTCTTTTCGCAGAGACGCATTATTTTCATTCAAGCAACTCGGAGCAGATGCCTGCCGTCTCTACCTATTTTTTTAATACTAATTCGTTTTAACCTTTTTTTTTGTATTTTACGCCTTTTTCTCTCCCAACGACCGCGACACAGACTGCATCGTCTGTCTAGGCTTCCTATTCATGTGTTCCCCCATTAGAACAGCTTGTGCTCGAGAGTCATGTCGGACTCAGGCTGCAGCCCAACACAGGCACGGAAGATGTTGGTCAGGGCGGCGCGCTGCTTAGCAAGGGCGTTGACAACAGGAGTGCCGGGAGGGGTCAACGGTGCCTTGAGCATGTAGCTGAGAACGCTGAGAACACTGTGAAAGTTCTTGTAACCCTCTTGCGAGGTAGAATCCTTCCACTGGATACGGGTCATCATCTCAGCAATGATGACAAGATCAATGATGAGGGGAGAGGCGAGCAGGGAGTCTTCGCAAATGTTAAACAGGCTGCCAGTCATGTTAGCTCTCAGTTCCCTCAATGGCATTCGTGTTACTCACGAAATAGTCTGATGACCGCCGAGGAAGATCTCGGCGTAGTATTCGTCAAGAGCCCGTTTGTTGTCCGCAACAGCGGGCATGTACTTGATGACTACGCAGTGATCAGGGTGCTCTCCCTTCTTGTACAGTACGGTGTTGGCCTCAACCATGTCGTCAACAACGTTGGACTTGGAAATCTCCTTGGAGCGAAACTGCTTGTGGGAGCTCAGGTTCTTGCCATCGTTGTTGCCAAGGTGGTTGTAGCTGGCAATCGAAGTCAGCTTGATGCCAGCGTTGATGAGGAAGTCGACGAGGGCAGACTTCATCTTGGTCTGACCAGACTTGAAATCATCACCGCCAATGAAGGCATTGTGCTTCTCAGCCAGCTGGATGGCGCCAGGCACAAAGGTGTTCTGAGGAGAGCCGTTGATGAAGGGAGTTCCCTCAAGGATGCAGGCGACCGCAAAGACCGTGGAGGGAGACACTTCCTCGTGGCCCTGCTCAATGGATCTGAGGAGATTGTCGGCAGTGTCGTTTACCCCAGGAATGATGTCGGCGTATCGCTCCGTGTTGGCAGTCCACATGACAATGACCTTGTCGAGGTTATTCTTGGCCTTGAAGTCACGGATATCCTGGCGGAGCTTCTCAACATGGGCGTTGCAGGCCTTGGTGCCTTGAAGAACATTGTCGGCGCGGTCTTCCTGGTTGGCAGCGATGAAGTCGGGATAGTAGACGGAAGGGAGGGGGACCATTTCGTTCATCTCCTTCTTGACAAGAGACTTCAACGTGGGCTCAAGGACCTGGGCGCGGTCCATGGCTTGAGCCAGGTTCATCTTGCTTATGTCCCAGCCGCCAATAACAAGGTCATTTGGGTGGATCATGGGCAGCACATTGTGGAAGGGGATGTTGATGTCAGCATTGGTCTTGGCGTCAGAACCGAGCTTCATGGTGGAAGCCATGACAACAGAACCGTAGTAGTTGGCCTCGCGGGGGCCCTCCTTGGTCTCCCAGACGAGATTGCGGCGGTTGGCGAGAATGCCAGCGGTGACGGTGGTGCCGTTGTTGCCGCCCCAGCCAACCAACATCATGCCCACCTTGGGAACCTTGCGGTCGACCTTGAAGTCATAATGAGTCTCCTTGGGGGTAGCAACAAGGCCCCCATTGGCGTCGGTCTCGACGCTGGTAGTACGGTATATGTACTTGGACTTGATCTCGGCGTCAGTATAGGCAACATTTGGCGAGTTGACGACGAAAGTGGTGGCGGGAGAGGAAGCAGCGGTGCCGTTGGAGCGAAGCGCCCCGTTCGTGGAGCCCGTAGGAACTTGCGCGTGAGGGGCCATGTTGACAAGTAGTATTGGCGCGCAAAAGTAGATGGCTTATAAGACAGGAAAATTCGGTTGCTTGGATCTCAAATTTCTGCCTTTACTGGGTGTGGACTGAGTCCGATGCTCCTCCGGAATCGGCTGAGCAACGGGCTCCTGCGAACGGGTGGTGAATCCTGTTTGGAAAGGTCAGCACGGAGGTCTATGTAGGCTGCATACATGGGTGTAGGACTTCGGTCGACTTACGAGTTAAGGAGATTGGAAAACGTCTTGACGACTGGTGATCGAGGTTCGATGCCTCGATCTGCAGAATTTTGAGTAGTTTGGTTGGTGGGGTGTTTTTGGTTTTCCTCTTTCTCTCGTAGCTCAAAAGGCACTGGGGGTGTGAAGCACGCGAAGATTTCAGTGAGGACAGAAAGATCGGGCAAGCGGTGGAATTGGATTGGCCTTTGGAGGTGAAGCGGGATGCAATTGATGTGGTTGAAGAGGGAAAGAAAAGGAGACGGGAGGCGGGAGGCGGGAAGCGGGAGGCAGAGCAAGATGTGGAGCTGATGTGATGAATTGACACACGTGAGGACGCAGAACTGGACGGCGGTGAGGGGCCCGAACATGCATGTGTGATTCAACTGTTGGGTCCTGGAGCGCGGAACTGCCTTTTCGATGAGATGGCTAGGCACACGCACCCGTCATTGGACCATGCGGAGGTGAGAGGCGTCATGAGTCAGCGACAAGCGACCAACGACAAGTCATCGCTTCAATGTTGGTGAGCCACAGGCCAGGCACAGCCAAGTCCTCTAGACAATTGCGAGGAACGAAGTACCTGCCTGTGTGCTTGAGCGCTCACCGCCCACCGCCCACCGCCCAAGTCACTTTACCGTATTCGATTTCATTTGATGGCGATGCCTTTCTGCTTCAACGATGCATCCCCAATATCGAGCCGGTGCATGCGGCTTTTGTTTTCACGTGGTAGTCAAGTGAATGCTACCGATACATGTCGATAAAAGTCGAGTATTGTGGGAAACGCCAAGTCGTCGTCAACCTATCGCTCTCCCCGCGTATCCCGCCCTCTCTTGCGATTTGCCGTGACGAGGTAATTGCAGGACTGCAAAGGCCGGAGGCTGCATATATTTATTACTCCAGTATTGCGGAGCGTGTACTCCGCACAGTACCTCATCGCCAGTGAACTACGCATCATGTCAACGGTGGCATGTTACGGAGTGATTGGATTTCAACCTTGTCAGGAAACGGACGGCCGGTGAGGGCAGTCAACAGGTCGAGGTCATTTTGCTTAGAACAACAGAGGACTCGAGCCACCCTACTACACTTTGCGCGGTGTGTAATAGTCTGGCCTGGCAACCCGTGCCGTTGTCAAAGATAGCAACATGTGCGGTACTGTTTCGCCTGGATTGCTATCAGCGTCGTGATGTGCCGCTTTTTGTCGTCGCCCTCGGGCCATTGCGCTGTCGGGGAGTGACGTCCGATAGGATGCGGTATTCTAGACCGCTCTAGGGTAGCCAAAAACAAAAACCCAAAAAAACTAAAAAAACTCAACTCCCTGCCCCCACGGAAGACGAGGCTAGTACCATGTACGTACTAACAATAAGCAGCCGGTCGATCGGATTGGCACCGGGACGATGGGAACGAGGATTTCCGGTCCTAGGGTCCCCTCCATCATCCATACTCGCTTATTGCTAGTTCAGCGGAAGCACACGAGATTAAATCTTCAAGTGTGACACTACTACTAGTACTACTACCACGACGTAGCAATCATCGGCCTCTGTTGGCTACCAGGGCCTGGCGGTCCAGGCCTGTGAAATCATGGAGAACTTGACTTTGATATCTGTTATGCGTGAGCCTCAACCGCCTGACGCCTAGGCCTCTTCTGTGCCGCAACCCTTCATGGACACTTGGCTCCGAAAAAAGGATGGTACACATATATCACGGGGCCTTTTATTCATTCCCCCTTTAGCTTGTGTGGACCTACTCGGTGCCGACGTCGAGGCAAGAGGGCTTCAGGCCAAGATGATGATTACTCGTAGTCATGACGGGGCTAGGACCGCCGGTATCAATTATCCAGGTACCCAGGCATGGATTTGATCGCGTACCATTACCAGTATCTTGGCGAGCCATGACCTGGGTGGCCATATCAGTGACGGTACTGACGGTGTGATCGTCATCAATTCCGAGCCGCAACCGAAGTGGCGGGCTAAGAATTATTATAATGAACCCTCTGTAATTGCACCTAGCACGTAGCGAGGTGCGCATGTCGTCATTGTCCTTGGCGCTTGCAGCATTGACCGCTTCTTGTTTTATTGTATAAGCGCACGGTCTTGATGGTCAGTCATGACTTGCCCCTGCGTGGAACGTCGGTCCACGAGCCAAAGCAAAGCCTACTAAGTTCTGGCTATGTCCAAAGAGCGTTTTGGGATCCGTGATGTTGGCAACGTAGAGTGTGTTTGTAGGATTTGGGCGGAGGGTAGTCCCCTCTCCGTAGATTGGCGTTGAACCTCATTTCTGGCGAAGCTTGGCGAAGCACAGACTCTTTGTCACCGGAGGGGAGCATCTCGTGGGCCGGGTCTCTGTCCGGATTTTCGGTCAAGGAGAAGACAACGCACAAGTCACAAGACACCGGGCCATGGCCGCGAAGCAACTCGGGGCTAGAGACTTGCGAGTTGGTGGTAGTGCGAAGGCTCTTTATTAAGAGCATTGGCCTGGCACCGCGGGGCAGTCTTCTTTTGGATGTGGCGTCGGCGGACGGCAGAGTTTTTGTGTGCGCAAAGGCGCCCGTGATGTGCAGCCCAGACCTCATGCACGTTGCCACGCTCAAGGAGTCAAATGAGATGTGGATATACTTATATCCACCGTGTCGGATATAAATGAGGCTGTGGACCCGATCCGAATTTGGTCTAGCTGCGGCTGCTCGATAGGGCAGAGCAGAACACGAAGCTGAAGCGTGTTTTAGGTTTATGGGTTTACTCTTGGCGCAGGCTTCAGCAAAAGCGGCACGAGTAATAAAGCAGATACAGTCTCTTGTCGTTGGTCATGCTCGTACGATTGACGAGCAAGGCCACTGAGCAAGCCCAAGCGATAGACCAATGGCGTGGACCGGCGTATTCGGCGCAGCCATGTGACATGTCGCAGCGAGATGGCAGGACACAATGGGAAGGCCTTGCTCCGTACGGAGTACCGAGGGAGGAAATCGACACAAGTCGTGCGTTCTGCGTGCCGAGTACGGAGTATGGAGTCAGAGATGGCAGAGGCCAGCGCGGCCACCGTCCGAGCCCAGTATCCGAGTGCGGTGTCCGAGATTGTAGGATCCAAGCAAAAGCACGTCCTGAATGGCAAAGTGTCCTTGGTTTCATCCTTCGCCTTGGCTCGGCAACTCCATGGAACGGGATGGTTCGGCACGTTTGTGTGCAAACAAACAAAGCCCAAGCCCAAAGCCCAAAGGCCATATCGGTCCACAGGCGCCGAGTCAGTCCAAGGGAGCCACCCACTTTCCCGCAAACCCGCCAAGGGCCAAAGTTGAAGGGGCTGAAAGGGGGTCCCATCAACCTGGTTGCAGATTCAGGCACCGCGGCCAACGGCGTCCCTTGGCTGCCGTTAGCTCGCCCTGAAGAAGTCCTTGGGTTTCAAGAGCATGGCCAGAAGCACCGACAGCGTCTCCCTGGTCTCGATTCGCCGTCGAGGGCAACTTGTGGCGGCTCTTGGGATTCAATAAAGCTTTATCGCATAGCAACCAAGGTGTTCCGACTCCTGACCCATTTGATCATTGGTGATGGCCCCATTTTGTCTTCACCTGGGTCGTGTGTCAGGTCCATCCTCGTGCGACGGAGTCGGACGCGCAGAAACGTTTTATTAGAGGGCGCGGCTCCCGTACGGCGCATCGACGGGAGAAGTGATTTCTACTCGATCTCTTGCGGCATTTTGAGAATCCGGGACCGAGCATGATTTGTTTTCCTCCAATGTCCCCTTCAATGTTTGTTGTTGCGCACATTATCTAGCTCCTTTGTACGGAGTACACCGTACCTTTTCCTGGTAACTGGGCCTTGTAGTGCTTGGTCGTGCCTTCCAAGAACAACATCTTACACGATTAGAGCCGCCAGGCCGCAACCACTGGAACCGCCACCGCATCGCCGTCTTGATCTTGACTCTTGATCATTGCACGAGACGTCACGTCCTGAAGACCTGCCGGCAATACGAACGATTTAGCGCCACCGCTCCAAGCCGACTGCTCAGGGGTCGACCAGGGTTCTGCAGATAGTACCAGACCCTTGACACCACACACCCACTTCCCATACTCGAGACGCCATGTGCATCACCATCACCTTGCGGTGTTGTTGACTGTCTTTCAAACATCGTCATTGCCGACTCGTGCACATTCTTGCACTGCCGTGCCAACGAGTCTTTTCTTCGCTTCACTCGTCGCTTCTGTCGCAAGCCGCAAACCCCCTTGATTGGCGCTGAACACGCAGAAAAGCCGAATATCGAGTTGGAGTCAGGTCCCCGTTGGGAAACATCGACAACTGGAGCATTGACATCAGTGACTTGCTTGCCCACTCTTCCCGTTGCATGAACAGCCCCATCCTCGCTGTTTCGACTTTGCCTCGCCCGTTCACTGAGTCGACCCTGCGGCTGATTCGACCGACGTCGTCATTTTGGACACACCTGTTCGGGCACTGCGAACCGGCCCTCCTCTTCCTTGACACCTCTTCGTTTCTCGTTCATGAAGCATTTTGGGCTGGGAGAAGAAAAAAGAACATTGTCTGACCTCTCCTCCAACTGCCAACAACTACCGTGTTATTGTCAGATATCGAATGCATTATCTTGTATTGACGTTCTTTGAGACCATTTCCGGAGAGCCGCCCGCAACACCATCGGGGCTCCGATCCCATTAACCACCATGGCAATGCCAAGGGAATCATCGTTTTTACCGGCGATAAAATGTTCAATATGTGGTTGCCAGGTGGAAATTTCCATGATGGGAGATCATATCTGCGCCGGCCCAACAACAGCCAAAGAATGTAAGTTACACGGCATGACCATCCCCCCAAGGGCAACCTCGGGCTAATCATGAGCCAGTATCGCCACCCTTGGATTCAAGTGATCGATTTACCAAACCATCATACCCAGAACATGGCCGCACACCATCTCCCGTAGAGACAGGTACAACGGGTGAGTTGCTCAAGCTGTTCTCCGCAAACTGGAGGAATCACTGACTGGTTGCCAGGTCAAACATACGTGCACCGTGGCCAATTGACGCCTGTAAGCCAACCGAGCGGGTCGCGGGAAGCATCCCCAATATACACCAGCAAGCGCGAGAATTTTCGCAAAGCCCATGAAAATTTCGGCTCTAGGAAACCTGTTGACGTCGGACTGGAGTCGCCAACGTCTTTCAATCCAGCTGCGCGGTCGAGAGGATATGGTGGATTCGAAGAAACGAGCAGAGAAAACGTTGATAAGCCGCTCAGCGGAGGGTTTATGAATAGACTGAATGTCTCTGTTCCAGGCCCGTTTGATCCCGCAAGAGGACCATCAACGGCTCAGAGCCCATATCATCAACAAAAGAACTCGATCGAAAAATTAGGTCTTTCAAAAGAACCGCTGCTGCCGAGACATCCCCGAAAGGATGGATATGGCGGATTCGGAGCACCAAAGAATGCAACTTCGAATGACTTAGCAGGCTTTGGCCGGTCCGAAACATATCCTAAGCTATCTCCAACAAAAAATTCCTTCCAGACACAGCGGACACCCTCGGCTCCAGCGTCGCCTCCCGAGCGCTCACGTATTGGAGTTGACTATGAACATGCTTATAAGAAACGGTCGCTAGGCCCAGATACCTCACGCAAGCCTCCCCCTCGCACAAGCTTGCTGCCAGAACACAGCCTGAGAAACAAGGGCTCGGTAGATTTGGCGGCGGAATTTGGAATCGGGAATCCATATCATTCATCATCCGATTCAGTTTCGTCGAGATACTCTGATTTCAGTCGCACTAGCCGAAGCACTGCTCTAACGAGCCCAGCCAGGTCGGAAACTTGTCCGGCTGAGCAAAGCCGGGAAACGAATGAAGGTGGTTTCCCAACGGACAGGCTCAAGTCAAATGACTCGCGCATCGATCCTTTTGTGGGAGCACCTCAAAACACCCAATTTGACGGTGCGTCGCGGTCTAGGAACAAGTCACGAGAGCCAATCTCTAGAGGGGGATACAGCTCCTCTCCGCCCCAGGATGGAAATTACATGCCGCCGGACTTGAGAAATAATCATGCACGAACCGGGTCTACTTCGTCGCGAAGACAGGGAATTCGGGAACGACACGCCACGCCCAACCCGCTGGAACTTCCATCTCGAGGAGACTGCAAGGCTTGTAGATTACCCATAAGGGGCAAGAGCATTTCCTCAGCCGACGGCAGACTGACTGGGAAGTATCACAAGTCTTGCTTTATTTGCACTACTTGTGCCGAGCCATTTCCATCGTCCGTTTTTTATGTGTTGGACGACAAACCCTACTGCAAGCAGCACTACCACGAGCTCAATGGCAGTCTCTGTGGTCAATGCAGGCGTGGCATTGAGGGACAGTATCTGGAAGACGAGGCGAGAGTAAAATATCACGTCGGCTGTTTTCGATGCTTGGACTGCGGCCAATCTTTGTCAGAGGGGTACTTTGAGATTGGCGGCTCTTCTTACTGCGAGAAAGACGCGTGGAAACGCGTAGAACAAGTGCTCAAACCCCTACCTCCAGAGCCGGAGCCGTATCAACGCCGACCATCGCGTGGCGTCGATGGCACTCGAATTCCGCAGGGCCTCCCCTTCAACCCAGCACCTCGTTTTGGGCAAGGACCACCTCCACCGCCACCCAGCGGCCTTCCAAATGGCGGTCGCTCTGGGGCGGGCGCGAGTCAGCCGTTCGGTATGAACAAGCGTATGACGCGCTTGGGCAACATGAACTTGGGAAGACACATGATTTGATTTCCATGCGACCAAGTCAATTGCTGACTTGCCATGAGATTTACGAATTCGCCACGACGTTTATCACCACCTATTAATTAGTACATAATCTGTTGAGCCTTTTCTTTTGACAACATGGGGCGGTGCCATTTCCATTTCCCAGGTCATGGCAACCGTAGTCCTCTGTAGCTTATTATTGCATTGTCGGGGCCTCTGGTTGCAACTTGCGGGTTACCAAACCGCTAGTCGCATCTCCTTTATGCTCCCTGCAAGAAAGCGAATGTCCTTGCAGGCCTTGTTTGGACGATTTGCGATGTATGTATCAAATCAAGATGATGAGGAAAACATCTGGGAGGAAAAGGAGAAGCACAGGCATCCTGTGTGCCGTGAGCAGTGATGCCACGTGGGGGTTTGTCTAGTATAGAAAAAAAGGTCGCGTGAGCGATGTGTTTCTATTTCAAATGCTCGTCTCGTCTTTGCAACCCGTTTGTGTTCCTTGCGGGCTTTTTGAGAAGCAGAGGCATGGCCGACAATGGTCATTGGTGCGTGCATTGAGGCTGGCATCCGCGGCATCTGGTGACGTCTCGGTGGCGGCTCTCGACGGTTTTCCACGCGCCACAAAAGTTGGCATGAGGCCGTCTGTCGGCTTGATTGAGGAGCGTCTTGTGAAAGGAAAGGGCAGTACGGGCACCGCGGCGCCGACAAACAGTAGGACAGCAGGATGGCGTGTGGCAGGCAAGCAAGCGACAGAGCACAACCACAACAACATGCATCGAATGCCAAGCAGCCAGGACGTTGTGGTGACCTGGTCCCTGGCCCCTGTCGGCGACTCGAAGCACGTCACAATGTTCTCTGGGGCCGAAGCCAGCGGCCATTTTGCCCAAAGTTTATACACAGAACTTACGGAGTACTCTGGTGACGGAGTGGCGGTGGCGACAACCTCGCCGGTTCGGGCCCGTCATCATCCGTGGTTGCCATTGCGCCCCGTGCTGGAACCCATTAAGTATGTTGTTCTTGACTTGTTTGGGAGACCTTGCAGACAAGATTTGTAGCTATTCCAAATGCGTGCAACTCGTTATCCTCAAGAGATGCGCGCCTGCTCTGTACTTACTCAAGGTAGGGAGTTCTCCGTACGTGTCCAGTACCATGCGCCGAAAAGTGGGACCACACTCGGAATTTGTGTGCGGCTGCACCTTCCCTCTATGTAGGATTGCGTGCGCCCGCGCTCATCGTAAATGCCTCAAGCACGGGGTAATACGGAGTGGTCGTGGCACCTAGGCAGTTCCATCGCGTCCTGAATCGAGTTTCCTGCTGAGGGGGCGGGTGGCGACTGGAGCCTTGTAGAATTTGCGATTAAACAATGCGCGACGCTTGTGGTCTTGTGGTGGTACGCAAAGTCGCTAGTGTTGCGCCGTCGTCGTCCGTTCTCCAAAGGGGGCAAGTCACGTGCTGGCAGGATCTTGAGGCGCCGATGTCCCTGGATTTAGTATTTGATCAGCGGCCACTAGGTTTTAGCGAGTGATTGGCTGAGACTGGCTGGTGCCGATCTCATCTGTTCCTTGGCGGTTCGATCAAATCAAGGCTGTGCACCGGCCGCGCAGGACCCACGGGCTGTGCCATCTATTGGCACTGTGCGGCCCCGGGGAGTGAGGAGATCTGCGAAAGGGGGAGAGTTGAAAAAGGGACAAACTTACAATCAATTGGTCGCTTCAGTGTCCTGCTAAACTACTTAACGTACTAGCAAAGTACGTGCGTACCGACTTGGTAAGCTGTCGAGGGCCCATGATCAGACGAAGACCTCTGCGCAACTTGACGGTTGGGTGAGACGGGGCGCTCGACGCTTTGCAAATCTCGTGAACAAGGACAAACAACGGAGCGGTCGTCGGCAGTGTCTTCACTCTCGTCTGTTGCCTGCTACACTGGATTGTGTGACTTGTTTGCCGGCGCCCCTGCGAGCGAGACCTGCTGCTGGCCCCTGCTGGCCCGGCCCAGCCTTGCAGACCGTGCCATGTTTCAAAGTTTGCTTGTGGGAGAGAGGCCTATACGACGTACTGGAAACCGAAGTCGTACAAAAACGACGACGTGGTACCGCCGGAATCTGCATGTACGGAGCATGTTGCATGTGCCGAATCGTGGGCGGTTCTTGGCCAGCGACGCCTTTTAATTGCGGGTTTCTCATGGAGTACAGAGTAGGGAGTATGCACACTTGACATGTCTCGACTCGTCGGGCAGGTTGGCGGCATTGGCAGCATTGGCAGGCGAGAGCAAGCAAGAGCAGGTGGGAGAAGCTCATGCCATCTGCCATGGCTCGTGGACTCTGGAGCAGCGACCCACACACCAGGCTCAAGTGGAAACGACTGTACAGAGTACGGAGTACGGAGTACTGCAAGTCCAGTCCAGCAGCACGCAATGCTTGCTCCGTACGGAGCACCGAGTGCTGGAGACTTTTGGGGCACGTGGCGGCCGCTGGTACAGAGCTGACCTGGGCGCAGGCAGGAGGTACTGCGGAGCATCTGTGCTCCGTACTCGCGCCGGGTTTTCACTTTCAACGGCCTGAGCCCAAGGCCCGAGGCACTCATTTCTCTGTCTGGACAATAGCCACGCACGATTGTGTTGAACCATCTCAAATGGCCCCAGGTGCAGGTGCAGGTGCTTTCCCAATGTTCCAAGACAAAATCAAATGTCACGGCTGGTGACCCACACGGCCCACACAGTCCACACAGTGAACCCACATGTCAACTGGTTCATGAACCATCACTGATTGCTCCATCCAGCAATTCTCCAGTTCTCCAGCCGGGTAGTAATAAATATTCTACGTACGGAGTAGTACGGAGCTCCGTGCCACCCCATGGCCCACCATTATTACCGGACTTGTCAAGTAATTGCTATCGCCAGGGCTGGGCAGTTCGTTGAAGCAGTTGACGTTGGAGTCGAGGCGTCTCGACTGCCGCACCAAGATGGCCTCGCAACCTGGCGCCATTCAAGTGGCGCTGCCGTCAAGTGCATCGTACTGTACTGAACAGCTGGACAGTGAATATTCGCACGCCTCAAGCCGCCCGCCTTCCCGTCTGGCTGCGGCTGGCCGTGCACCAGTGATGTCTTCCAGATTGCGCCGGACATCAACACCCCCAATCAAGCCCCCTACCCCCCTTTTTATTTCTCCAATCCCCCCCCCCATCTCGCTGCTCCCGTCTCTGGCGCAGCTTGACTTTTGACTTTTATCGTAATTTGGGTTGACGCCTCATCTTCCATCTCGATAGCTTCCACTCGCCTTTGGCCTTGTCCATTCTTTTACTCCCATTCTCCTTTCGAGGCCCTCTCGTTTGCGCTGCTGGGCCGGATTCAGCTTCCCAAGCTTCCCAGCTCCAGTAGCGGCGCTTTACCTGTCTCAGCCGAAGTCTCCAGAGAATGCTCCCGTTAGTACTCCGTAATTACATCTTCAGCATCTGGAACGCCCCGTGGTCGAGCCGAGACACTTGCCCTGGGCCTTGAGCCTTGCAGTTTAAGGCGTTTCCCGTTACTGCCGCCTCGAGCTTTGTTTGTCAACCGAGAGTCTGTTCCTGTCAACCACACCGAACCGACTCGGCATTACGACCAGCAGCCTGTCATATCTCTTTGCGATCAATGTTGGTCTTTCGCCCTGTCAAGCCATCTATCTACCTCCTGGTACCAAGGCACAGCTTCTCCGCTCTCTAGGATTGGAGCCCATCCATCCTTGGCCATTCGTTATTCCCGCCCATTTCAAGACGAGACGAAATTCTGGTCAATCGTTGATTGTTCAGTTTGCTTTGCGTTTTCTCTCCCTACTTAAGCCAGTACATTGATTTCTTGTTACTTCCAGTGAGCGTCTTGCGCCGCGTCTGTCCGTCTCTTGGCGATTTCTTGGGGAGGGGACCAATGGATGAAATGTTACAGCCCCAAGGACGACGAACCATGTTATCTCGGCTGAGACCGAGATCGGTCTTCTTCATCACCTTGGCCGCACTATCGTGTTACTTTTTAGTCTTCAGCGGTCCTTCACCAAGTCTGCACATTGTCCCTTACTCCAAGGGCGGAAGTACAGGCAAGCAAGGCTCGGCCCGTGACGCGAAAAACAACCACAACGACGAAAAGCCGCTTACCAGACCCAAGCCGGACGATATCACTCTCAAGCCTGACCCTGGCCATCACCATGAGGAGCCTACTGGTACTCGTGCGGGTTGGGAAATTGACATTGAAGACCTGGCCTATTGGTCCGACCCGGACGATAAGGAGAGTAATGACGACGTCCTACCTGGCTATGAAACCGACGGTACAGATAGAGATGCTGGCGACATCGCCAGACTTCAACATGAGAAAGATTTGCGAAAGATGTGGCGTTATGCTTACAAAACCACTTCAAAGTATGTTCGTTCCGATGCGCCGTTGTTGAAGGTAAGCGGTGCTAATCCTGCATATTCAGACTCGCAAACTCCAACCTGATTTATGGTAACACACTTAACGAGCTGGTCCTCAAAGACAATCGGACCGAAGAACAAGCCAAGTGCCTTCGTGAGGATCCGAATGTCAAGTTTTCGTTGAATGACGACCAACCGGTGCGATTCAGTCCGTATCCTGACTACAACGGCGACGAATGGAAGAAGAATGGCCACGCTCCTTATGTGCCCTGCAAGGGTCCCACCGGCGAATTTGTCGAAGACTTGCTCGTTTTCCGCGGTCGCCCAGCGAGGTGGCCTGAGACAAAGTTCGGCGATTACGACTTGTTTGGTATTGACCCCAACTTGTGCTGGGAGCGTGATTCCCGCCTTGGACAGTACGGGCTCTGGGAAATGAAAAAGAAGGTTGGGGGGTCGTACAAAACCATTGACTGGGATAATGTCAACTGGGGTGAATTACAGAAGAGCTGTTTGAAGCACAACGCCAACCGCTTCGACATGACCATGAGCAAGAAGAATCCTTATCTTGACAACTACTCCGAGAATCGCCAGCCTACCATTCCACCATTGGCACAAAAGACTACCAATTCTGAGCATGGAGAGACAGGCACCCCTAAGATTAAAGGGCGATCCGTTGCCTCAAAAGGGGCCCAAACCACCAAGGAGTCTCGAACGGCCCTCCTGCTTAGATCGTACACTGGCATGAAGTACTCTGACAACGACAGACAAGTCATTCGTGCCCTGATTAGCGAACTCAGTCTCAAGACTGGTGGGCAGTATGAGGTCTTCCTCCTGGTTCATTCCAAGAATCAAAGTCTTGCCATTTTTGATGACGATGAGCTGTATCAGACCGTGCTCAAAGAAAATGTGCCTGCCGAATTCCACGGCATCACTGTACTGTGGAACGACCATCAGGTCTGGGATGTGTACACCGAGTTGAAAGACGAGTATGCGCGAGCTGTCCACAGCGCTCAGTGGCTTTCGGTACAGAAGTTCAGTCAGGACCACCCACAATTCGATTACATTTGGAACTGGGAAATGGATTTCCGATACACGGGGCATCACTACGACCTTCTCGAGAAGCTGTCGGCATTTGCGAAGAAGCAGCCTCGTAAATATCTGTGGGAGAGAAACGAGCGCTACTACATCCCCGAGTATCACGGCGACTATGACACCTCCTTCCGCGAAGATGTCGCAAAGAAGCGAGGTAATAAGACGGTTTGGGGCCCTCCTAAACTGCCCTTCGTCAGGCCTGTCGGCCCCAGACCCCCAGTGGCATCTCATGAAGAGGATGACTATGAATGGGGTGTCGGCGAAGAAGCCGATTTCATTAGTGTTGGCCCCATTTTTGATCCTGTTGATAGCCAGTGGATTATTTCAAACCATGTCTGGGGCTATAGCGACGAAAAGCACAAGTCTGCCGACCTGCCTCGACGCACGACCATTGTCACCCAGTCCCGAGTCTCAAAACGTCTCCTCGACATCATGCATGTTGAGAACCTGCGTGGTCAGCATGTCGCTTCTGAGATGACGGCGCAGACGGTTGCATTGCTTCACGGCCTGAAGACTGTCTTCGCTCCTCATCCAGTTTTTATGGATCGAGATTGGAAGGGAGGCTTCCTCAACAACTGGTTCAACCCTGGACCCGATGGCGAATCTGGGGGCCGTGGATCACCGTTTGGCTGGGGAAGAGAGCGTCGCTTCCAAGGTACCACCTGGTATTATCGTGCCGAGCCGCCAAACAGACTCTACAACAACTGGATGGGCTGGGTTGACACAGGCGTTGGCGGGATGGAGTGGGAGAAGAAACATGGACGTCCCTGCTTGCCATCGGTCATGCTGCACCCCATCAAGAACACACAACCCACCAAGTCAGATCACGAGTCTGGATTTGAGCTGGCTTTTGGCTAAGAAGCACGCCACAGGTTTTGGCAAGGTCAGGCCATAACAGGTTTCTGGCCATCACATAGTCGCATTGCCCTTGCCACGGACTGACCTTTTCGTGAATACTCCGATTCGTTGATTCTTGTGCTATTATTGGCGGGCTCAACTCTGTTCATTTGGGATACCCAACTTGTTACTTCTAATTCGCATTTCAAGACTTTCAACATGCAGCACTCGCATCTCGAACGGAACGCTTGAGAGGGGCGATGTTCCCAGTACTTCTTTTTTTTGTTCTTGCCAGTTTTTTTCTTCTTCTTGTCTCACCATGTTGATGAAGTGGAGTGTCGCTTCTTTCCTGATTCTGGTACAGAATGGATGGAGTGTACTTGTGATGGTTTGCGGCTCGTCAATTCTGGGGCTGGGCCACAACATGAGAAAGGAGGCGTTGCAGCACGGTGAAATGCACGGCAAAATCGGCGTTTGTCCAGTATATTTCCTATTGAGCCCCCCCCCCTCTTTGACGATTTTCTGTGGCGGTGGTCGCTCGCTGCTCACTGCGGGCACGATATTTCTTTGCGACGGGTGTCGACTGGCACATTTCTTGTTCCATTATTTCCTCCAGACTTCAGGGGAACCTTATCCTTGAAGTTGCGTGCCTATGGCATGAACAAGTATATAGAGGGCCAAAGGAGCTGCCCGACATGATTGGTCAATGACAATAATACGTAAGATGAAGTGTTCCTGTGACGTCGGTGAATGAAGGGGCTGCCCGCACCATGAGGTGGACGGATGAGCGCAGAAGAGGGGAGAAGTGAAGAGGAAATCCCTAGCGAGTCATCAATGACCGCGGCCACGGGCCATGGACGAGAAGAATTCTGCAGAGTGACTGCTTGGGGCAAGGTGACGTTGGGCGCAGCCGGATGGTTGCCGCGCAAAAAGAGCGGTCAGAACGACGCCAGGGTCCGTCCGTCGCGCATGGAGGAATCTGAATCAATCAAACAACGCTGAATCCTCGGTACAGAGCATGAGCCCGCCACCCACGGTAAGCGTCCCGTCTCCCTCCCCCATCTCTCCAGGAAGAATGCTCCGGCTCCGGCTCCGGCTCCGGCCTCGTTGCTGACTTGCTCGTGCGTCAAGACGCCCACTCCGCGGCGGTTCCTGCTGGCCAAACGACCGCCCGCCTCGCAAAGCCCGGCGCCGCAAGCACCGCAGCAGTTCCAATCAACTCCGCGCTTCGGCTCGTCGTCATCCGGACCGCGGCTCGCGCAGCGCAGGCCGCACGACCTCGAGGACGTGGATGCCGACGAGTCGCCAGGGGACGAGGCCGACGAGACGCGATGCGACGACCTGACAACGTCGCAGGACACGGGGCCCGAGCCTCCTTCGCAGAGCCCATCTTGTGCCGGGACGGAGTCGTCGCCGCCGCCGCCACCGTCGTCGCCGGACAGGCGGGAGGCCAAGAGGCGGAGGGTGTCCATCTCGCCTGCGCCGTCGAGTCCTCCCGGCACTCCTGGGCATCGCACGTCCCCTCCCGCGGCGGCAGCGGCAGCGGCAGCGGCGGACGGCGGCGGACCAAGCACACACCAGCCTATTTTCCGGCCAGCGCCGCGCTTCAAGCCCGTCGACGACGCGCGGCTTCCGGGCTTTCCCGGGGCGTTCTCTCCACGGCGTCGCGGCGAGAAGTATCTGCCCGGGGGACATGCCGCCCGGCTGCAGGGGTGGTTGGCCGAGGTCAAGGGGCGGGAGTCGGCGGCAACGGGGGGCCACGATGCCGTGCTGAGGCTGACGGTGGAGCGTGTCAGCCCCGGCGAGCACATGTGTCTCGTGAGGGCGAGGGCAGGGCCATCCGGCGGCCTGAAGGCGTGTATACTTGCTGGGGAGGGGGGGCCTGCCGTCGGCGAGGGCAGCGTGGTCGTCGTTGAGCAGCCCGTCTGGGAGGTCACTCTGGCTGGGGAGTGTTGGACCGTCGGCTGCAACTGGCGCGTTGCCGCGTGAACAAGGGAGGTGTGCAGATGTGCCGTGGGCGTGGAGCGGCACGGCTTCCCGTCTGCTTGGATTGTTGTGCAGACACGGACGGGCAGACCTGGATTTGAATCTGGATGGATCTGGATGGATCTGGATCTGGAAGAGACGCCGTGCTTGGGCAGGCTGAGCCTTGACCCAAGCCCGTCGAGCCTCTCGTACGGGAATTTGGCTACAAGAACGGGCCGCTTATATCTGTTGCAACTTCAATCTGATGACGCTGTTGCGTCCTCGAAAGCGGCCGTCAATGTCTCTGTGGGCGAGTTGGGAGCTCCTCGAGGGGGGGAGGAATGCAATCGACACTTGAAAGGTACGGTCTACTGAGCTCGAAACCGGCCCCGGTCCTACGTGGGCTGATACCGAAACAGGCGAATGTTTCCAACATCTATCTCTCTCGCATACTCCCGGAAACGTGGCATGTCTGCCAATCTTGTGGCCGAGAAACACATCATGGGTCATGCCGAATTGCCTCGTGCTTGAGTCTACCGCCTCAGGGACCTCCCCTACCTAGTCGATGCCATTATGGGTGAGGAGGAAGCAGGAATCGGTCGATAGACGGATGGGCGAATAGTGACAGGCAGACAATTGGCGCTCTGATGTGACATGGAGTCTCTCCCATCCTCTGACTCGAGTATGTTGCGGGCGTGCGTTTGGCGGCTGTTGACGATGGACCTGTGCGCAGCGTGCACCATTTCTGTAGCAAAAGAAACAAAAAGAATACAAGAAGCCATTGAAACAAGGGAGTGAATGCAGGACAGGGCCGATTGGTCGTACGTACTTTGAGTGCAGGGACCGCATGCGTGCTCCGGAACCAGACGAGACGAGACGGCGTTGCAATCCGGATATGCACGTAACCGTGTTTTCGTTTACGCCCAACGCGCAAAACACGCACGCACCACGCAACTTCGACATGGTCATCATCGTCACCGGCCCGACAATCACTTCACTGCACGCGCGACGCCGCGCCCATCTCTTTTCAAGTGGACACAGCCCCCCGACCAGGCAAATAGCAGCAGAGAATGATGCCCTCGCCATGCTGCGCCTCATGAACAGGGCTCACGCCCACCTCGGCCGGGCGCCTCCATCCGCCGCCCCCTTTCAACGGCGTCACGGCTCGCACAAGGCCTCGGATCCCCTGAGGATATTATTCTGTGGCTCGGACACGTTCAGCTGCGGGTCCCTGAGGGCTTTGCACCGCGAGCACGTGGAGAACAGGGCGTTGGTAGAGGCTCTGGACGTCATGGTGTTGCCCGGCAGAAGGACAGGGAGGGGCCTCAAGACGGTTCGTGAAGGTGGGTGATGGCCTCGCAGCGTCCATGTGTCCGTCAAGTTTGCGCGGGAACAAGGCGGTGCCCCCGACGCAAGCTCGTGCTCGCTCGCGCGCGCGCTAAGTCCACGTCGCAGTGCCCTGCAAAACGCTCGCGGAACAGCTCAACCTCCCCATCCACCAGCGGGAGACGTTCCGGAACTGGGAGGCAAGTCGACCCGTCTCGGTGGCCTGCGCGTGCACGCCTCCGCCGGAGAGAGAGAGGGAGAGAGGCGCTGACGCGGACAAAGCTTCCCCGCGGCACGAATCTCGTCGTCGTCGTGTCGTTCGGGCTCTTCGTGCCCCCGCGGATCCTGAAGTCCGCCAAGTACGGAGGTCTCAACGTCCACCCGTCGCTGCTGCCCGAGTACGTCTGGCGGCTCCCTCACCCTGCTCTGGTACTGCTATCCCCGAGCTTGGCGCTGACGAGAAGCCCGCAGCCTCCGCGGCCCGGCGCCGCTTCACCGCGCCCTCCTCAGGGGGGACACGCACGTGGGCGTGTCGCTGCAGACGCTGGACGACAGGGCCTTTGACCACGGGACGATTCTTGCGCAGAGCCCTGCGCCGGGCATGCCCGTGGCGCGGGGCGCCTCGCTCCAGGAGGTCCTGTCTGCTGCGGCGGCCGAGGGCGCCGACATGCTGATCCGGGGACTGCGGGACGGCGTGCACGTCCCGCCCCGGGAGGACGTGGGTTGGAAGGCGGCCGAGTTGCAGGGCACGCAGCTGGTCCATGCACCAAAGATCACAAAGGCCGACGGACAGGTAGACTGGGCTGCGTGGACGGCAGAGCATTTCGGCACAAGGCTGAGGGTGCTCGGGTCGGTGTGGACGCATCTCGTCAGTCGCAAGGGCGTCAGGAAGAGAGTCATCTTCTTGGATGCCGCGCCGGCCGCCTGTGCCGAGGGGGCCGTGTTGCGGCAATCCCACGAGGCGACGCTGGTATGCGAGCACGAGGGTGCGCTAGTAGGTGACGCGGGGACGGGGCGGCACGAGGCGAGGGTGATGCCTCGACCGGACGGCTCGTGTTTGATTGGCATTCGTGACGGTTCCTGGATACGCGTCGGCAAGGTCAAGGTCGACGGGAAACCGGAGCAGATGGCCGCCGCTGGCCTTGGGAGCTTTGTCCGATGAGGGTCGCGGCGACGAAAAGCTGCAGACAGACGTCACGGACGTCGCCGAGGACAAGGGACAAGGAAACCCTGACGCGCAGAACCGCGGCAGTCTCGGAATAGACAACTACAGACACTAATTTAGTCTTGTGTACATTCACGCGGGTTATTTCATGGATAGATAGCCTTCATGTATGGCTTTCACAGGCAGGTACTCGTACGAGACGTCAAGAGGAGGACATGTTGGTTATTTATAAACCATGGCCATTCCGTGCTTTGAGCCTGCGCCGCTCCGCACCAGGGTATCAAGTCGTCTGCCACGTCCACGGCGTCAGCCCAACCTCGAGCGTATCCATTCGGACCACAGGCACAAGTCCTCCATGTACTCTAGGGCCTTGGCCAGCTTTTGCCTTGTAAAGTCCTTCCTCTTGCACCGGCTCTCCCCGTCCTCCTTCCAGTGCAGGATATTCTCGTCCACAATCTCCACGACTCCGCCTTCCAGGATCTTGAGGGAGATGTTGGCCGTGGACTTGCCCATCGGGAAGACGACCTGCATGTGGGGAGCCGGGTGAACCCAGAGAATGACGTCTAGGTTCATGTCAGGCGCATTGGCCACCTCTGGCGCATCTGCCTCTCCGGCGTCCATGTAGCCTGCCAGATGGTGCTTCTTGGTCTTGGTATCTGTCGGCTGCGCCGGGCTCGGGCTGTCCACGGGCTGTGTCTTGGAGCCGAAGCTGTTTTCGAGCAGGGTCGATACAAAGGCGTACTGTCGCAGCAGCGGCAGCATGTCTAGTAACTGGCGGGGGTGCGAGAATGGCATCTCGGAAACGGTCTGTGAGTAGATGGGCTTGTAAATGTAGAGGGTGGTGTGGTGATGTTTGACCGTCTTGGCTCCGTCCGTCTTGAAAACCCGGACTGGCCTCTGCCGCACTATGGCTCGGGACTCGCTGGGGTCGACCTTGACCCCGGACGGAAAGGGGAACAGCAGGCTGTCAAAGGTCGGGGGCAGCAGCGGGTGGCCGCGCTGGCCGACTTCGTTGACGATGTTGGGGGGGCTGACGTTGGCGTACATGTAGAGACGCGCCCAGTCGTTCTGGGGTAGGACAACAGGCGGGTCGAAGGTGACGGTGAACATGACTCTGGGCACTCTTGTGGTGGAAAGATCAGCCTGCAAGAGGTCCATTCCGGCATCTTTGTTGTCTTCCGACTGTGGCAGTGACATGTTGTCGGGCTCTTGCCAGTCCAGCACGGTCTTTGTGGGATCCATCACATCCTGCTTGGTGATTTCTTTCGAGATCCAGCTGTCCGACACTCTCACGGGCGGCACTTCCATGCCGTCCAGCGGGGCACACCCGAGAAGAAGTGACCAGACTTTTTCCTTCTCGTAGACGTACTTATCCATGCCGTCCTTGGCCGAGGGAGGCATAAACCGTAGCTCCCTCCAATACTGCAGGGCGAGTCCAACTGTATCCCTGTCGTGCATCACCGGCCGCCCATGCCTAGAGCACATGACCATGTTGAGGAGATATTGATCTGGTTTTCCTTTCATGTCTTGCTCCTCACGCAAATTCGACAGGTCCCACTGATGTAGTCTGTCGAGGCTGTCGTAAATGCCAGCCAAAGCCTCGTGGCAGTCGAGCCCTGGCACAATGCTAAGCTTGTCCAAGCCGGCCAGACGTTCAAAGTTGGAGGCAAAGTTCTCGAGAGTTTTCGTCAACGGGCTTTGGGCCGGGAGCAGTTTGAGGTCTTTGAGTAGGATTCGGCCTGCTGCATCCATGTGTCTCGATACTGAGGGGGCAGACCCATGGTAAGTCAGGGAGACGGTCTGAACGATATTGTTGTCAAGCACAATATCGAGGGCAATAGCAGACCCAGCAATGGCCAGGGTCCTCGTCTTACGACCGCCGGGGGTCCTTTGCTCTTCGGAGAGCAATTCCAGGCCAATGCGCTGCGCGAGACGTTCGAGACTAGCTTCGCTCACGAGTCCTTTCTTGGTCTACCACAACGCATCAGCTTCTGGGCAAATCCGGCGTGGCAAGGGGACACACCGACACTCAACAGGTTCAAGATTGTGTCGAGCCGCTTCAGCTTGTCGTCCTCGTTGGCAAGCGCAGCCCCGATGGCGTCTAATCCGCCGACGCCGACGTTGTCGAGTCCAATGTCGAAGCCGCCGCCCATTCCTAGTGCACCCATAGCGGCGGCGGTGGAAGGACTATCAAAGTTGAAGGCTCCCATGCCCGTGTGACCAATGAGTGTCGAGGTGGCCGGGGATTTCTTGACTTGTTGGGGAGACGAACCGGGAGCTCGAGGGGAAAAGGCGGCTCTGGCGTTGTTCGAGAAGGGCGTCGAAACCGGGGGAGTCGCGGCCGCAAGCTGCGAAGGGGTGCGACCCTGCTGCGAAGGTGCATGCTTCATAGGCGTTGGAGTAGCCATCTTGATAGAACGCTCCTATCTATGCCTTGTTCAAGTTGCTCGCCGATGAAATCAAGGCGCTCACGGTCGAGGGAGCGGGCACGAGGGACTACCGCGCTCGCCTTGCCAACCCCGACCCAGGCCCAGGCCGTCCGAGGTGCCTCTGTGCCTCTTCGAGCGGACAGCGTCGGTATCTCGCGCCGCGTAGCGCTCCACCTGGGGTCAAGACGTTGAACGCCGAACGCGGTAAATTGAAGTCTTGGACGCTTGAGCCTGACATGATATGATAGCTAGCCTTGGGGATTTCCGAGAGCCGCCTTCCCTCCCCCACCATGTTGTCAGCATGAGCTCCATCTAGCCAATCAACGGCCGAGTCCCACCCGAGATGCATGCAGCCCTGGCCTCTTCTGGACGCTGGCGAGATGAGCTGACATGGTGAAGCTCTCAAAGCTGGAAAAAGGAGAAAATTTTAAAAAAAATTCCACCCGACACATACGTACGGCCTCCTCCGTCTTCCCACTCGCATCACGAAGCTTGCCTGTCGAGTCTCCCGACGTACAATGTCATCAGCCATCAACATTGCGCGCCGGCGTTCCCTTCCCGAGCGGTCCATCCGGGTCCTGGTCTCTCCCACGCCCGTCACATTTGCTGAGCGACGCTCAGTTTTGCAAGTCTTGGAGCAATACGGACCTGTCGAGGTCTTCAAGATGACACCGGTACGACGATATCCGATTGCTTTGCTGAACAGCCCCCCCCTGCCCTTGCTAGCCCATTGGTGTTGCCTGCACTTGGGCGAGGCGACGAAGCATTTGCCCAGAATTCTAACCCAAAATGCACGCATAGGGCTACCATGCAAACTTTGTGTCCGTAACAAAGGAGATTGCCACAGCAAGCAGACTGGTCGAGTACAGCCCCCTCACCTATGACGTGCCCGAGAATCATATAAATACCGACGTATGCGTGGCCGACCTGGACGACTCGGAAAGTGGCAATGGCCTCAAAAGCAACCAGCCGTGCATGACAACTGCACCCGGCCATCCACCAGGAAAGAGGCAGTTCACGCTTGAAATCTTTCCGGCACCAACTTACAGACACCACTTCGCCATGGCCGGATCGCCACTCTACCAATCTTGGCCGGCAGCATATCGCGAAGACAAGTCGTTCCTGGCCGCCACGCTGAAGCAATCACTGCCTCAGACCATGTGTTCAAGCGGCCTGGCACACTGGCTGTTCGACGTGGGAAGCAACAATGCCTCCAAATCAGGGCGCAAGGCGGAGCGGCTGCAACTGAAGCGATGGGTGCCTGGCAAAATGCAGGACTGAGCAGCGCAGTGAAAGGTGGCGCTTGCTTGCTCTGCTCTGCATAAGTCTGCATAATACCCATTGCCACGGGTGTGCCGTCCAGCTGGCATCTACGTGGACACAACGCCACGCTAGTTGGACGCGTTGCAACGCTGGAAATTGGACGTCTCCCGCCGGCCCAGTCTGGGCTCCATCTGCCTGGCCATTTCGAAACACGAATCACCGACTAGGCTCCAGGCTGCATGGCAACTACCGTATGTCGTATGTCGTATGTGGACGGGCCTGACAAGACGAGACAAAATAATAAAGACACGTCAACACAGAGGTATACCATGGAACGGCGTACGGACTTCTCCGTGAGTTGGTTGTTCGTCCAGCCAGGAAAGGCTTGCCGCAGCGGGACGGGCAACGGGCAGGCAGGCCGGCAAACAAAATTTGGAGGCACCAAGCTCTTGCAAGCCAAAGGCAACGCTGTCTGTCGATCAAAGCATCATGACTCTTGTCCCTACGGCCAAGGGGGAGGCCTCAAAATAACGATCCACAGGCACGCAAGCCACTGCGACATGCCTTGCATGTGTATCCTTGAGCAGCGCACTGCAGCCTTGGCGCCGAGGAAGCGAAAACCTTGGTTTCCACCTCTTCGTGGATCGTGGATCGGCTCCGTGGTAGGGTTCGCGGCTGCTGTGCCACACTCACTCAACCCATCTGCCAATCTCTCTGCCTCCCGGCACCGGGCCATGTCACATGTACGTCCTCCGTGCTCGGTACCGAACATGATGGCCCCAAGAGGACGAACTTTGAACCAGCGGCGGCCACTACGACGTGTGTGGCGCGGCCCAAAGTCAGGGCAGCAAACAGACCCACCGCCAGGTTCAGCGTGGTGGTGGTTTATTTCAAGTCGACATTTGCGAATTACCTTTCGATTGCTGGGTACCCCCGGTTCTCGAAAGCCCGACCAACCAGACCAGCATCAACTTGCGGAACGTACGACCAAACTCGGTGCTACTGCTCTCAGACCCCAGACGAGCAAGGGTCGTCGGCTAATTTCATGCTGAGATGACGTCGCAGATTTGGCAGGGCAAAAGGGGGTCAAGGGCCTTGGCCCAAGCCCGAGGCCAGATAGCTCAGAAGATGGAGCGTCCGACCGCCCGTGCAAGTGAGACACGGTCGATTTATATGCCTGCCGGTTCCCCCAGCCGGATTGAAAACGAAACCAGGTCTTGGCCATACCGTTGCGTCATCCGTCGTGTGCGAGTGCTCCGTCCAACGTCTTCATCTTCATAGCTCCTCTAATTCGGCGCCATCTTGACAACGAGCAACACCAAGGGAAACCACACAATACCGACCAGAGACGAGAAAGCGAATTCAAGATGGGTTTCGGCAGATTCATCCACCACATCGGCACATTGCTGCTCTTCGTGTCGTTTGTGCTTCTCATCGTGGTGGACATTACAGCGCCCGTGATCAATAACCTCTCGATGATGAAGGTCGACCTCGGGTCCAACGCTGCTGGGGCTGACCAGGTCACGTTTGGTACATTTGGTTACTGCATTCGAGGCATACGGTGAGCCCTTGCCCCCATTGGCCCGTACGCGACAAAGCTCGCGAGAAGTGCTTGCTGACCCGTGGCACGAATAGTGATTCCGATCAGTGCACTCGCTCCAGGATCGGCTATGACCCTGCCAATCTGATGAACCGCCTCGACGACAGCGAGTTTGGCGACGCCTCTGCCAGCACGGCCAAGGGTCTCACTCGGGTCATGGTTCTGCACCCGGTCGCAACCATCTTGTGCTTCATCGCCTGCCTCCTGTGCATCTTCACGGGCACCGTGGGCGCATTCTTGGCCTCTCTCGTGTCGGTCATTACCTTCATCGTCACGCTGATAGCCATGGCCTGCGACTTTGTCACCTTTGGCATCATCAAGCGCGACGTCAACAAAAATGGCGTCAGCAGAGCCAGGTGGGGTCCCGGTATCTGGCTCATCCTCGCCTCCGCCATCTTCACCCTCTTGGGCGCCGCCGTCGTCTTTCTCACCTGCTGCTGTGCCCGCAGGAAGAAGAAGTCTGATGTCCAGAAGGAGACGGGGACTGACACTGCTGCCACTGGCAAGCGCCGCCTACGTCGCTTCTGGTAAACGGTGCGGATGTGCCTCGAGTTTTCGAGCCGGGTGCATAAACGCGTCCACTAGCAAGCGGCTAGTGACGACCAAGTTTCGGCGACGGGAGCCACTGAGATGCAGCGAAGCTAGGCACTTGGGCGAGGAGGGTCGTGACAGCAAAACGGGAGCGCGACGTCGTCACTGCTGGACTTGCGACTGCGGTGTAGCTGCGTTGAATTGGGGGGGGAAGGAGAGCGGGTTGTCGCACAAGGTGTTTTCCGTTGCTGCCTTTCCACGGCTGCAGGCGTGCGTCGAGAAATGATATGATATCCCTTGCGTCTTTTCTTTTCTTACTTGTCCTTGAGAGAAGTCAATAATAAATGTTGCCATCTATACACGTAACAGACGTACTCTACATACCCACCTCATTCCTCATTCTCGCAGACGACCAGAATCGTGCCGCAGTCACCATTCTCGTATCCGTGTCCCTCACCGTCGGCCTGTGCCGGTCCCAGTTGACGAGTCCAAACACACTCGGGCCCTTGATCACACACCGACATCGTCAAGGACGACTCGAGTCGAGGCTCTCGCAGCCTTTGGCGACAAAGTCCCGCGTGCCCGCGTCCTCGACGGATCCGCGACGTGGCCCCTGCGCAAAGCGATTGTCCGCAGCCATCAAGTTCTCCAGCCACAAGATGTGGTACACGAGTCCTCTGGCACGCCACTTTTGTGTGGCGGTACTATTGTACTTGTCCTCCGTACTACTGTGCTATATCTTGTGTCCCGCACGTCCATGGGCCTCGCTCGCACTTGTTGCTCTTGCTCTAGTGATGCCTTTTTTAAATAAAACTAAAGAATTCGAGAAAATAAAGGAAAAAAGAAGAAAGACAAAAAGGAGAAAGAAGACCGTCCCAAATAGGAAATCCCACCCCCACTTCCCCTTCCCCTTCCCCTTCTACTTCTACTTCCTGCCTCTCAACACCAAACTTTCGCATCTCGTCTCGGAGACAATTGGTCGTGGCTTTACGCATGACGCGCTCTCTACCAGCACCATGACGCGCATGTACCTGGCCACCCCCCAAACTGCATGTAAACATCATACTTTTGTCTCGTCGTCAACCACATCTCCTTCCAGACACTTGGTTTGCGGTCCCATGGCGGGTCCCCAACAGAAGGCTGGTCCGGCAATGAGAAGTGGACGGCGGCTTTTAAGCTCTCCCAAGGGCGGCACCCCAGGCGTCATTGTTTGGCTGTCGTTTTCGTCTTCCATCCTCTTCTTTCTGCATAGACTGACTCGGGTGCCCGGGCGTGGCCGGGTGCGCCAAAGACGTGGACCAGGAAATTCTTTTTTTCAACTATCCGGGTATTATCAACATGGTGCGCGTACACGTGTATCATACGTCACGCTGAATGAAACTAAGGTGGAAAAATCAGAGAAACCAAAGCCCTCGCCCCTTTTTTCTTCGTCCCTCCCGTCGAGCCCGTCCATCGCACGTGCAATCTCTTGATGTCGGGTCCCCGGTGTTGGTTATCACCACTGCACCGCCACTCGTTGGAGTCGTCCCCCTTTGTACTACAGCCTTTGCTGGTTCTTACAGCACAAATCGTTCTCACGGCTCAAGATAGATACGCACGCACACACACTGGTCTTCTACTTGAGCGTTTTCGAGTTGAAGAGATTGCGTCGCGGGGGGGGCCGCAAAAGGCCCTCGAGGGACATCTCACAGCTCCCCCCGTCTCCATTACCATGTTAGTTGGAGATGTAAATATCTTACCTTACGTCTGCCCCGGTAGTCCCGTCGGGCGGCCGTGAGAGCTGCAAGATCCCCTCTGCAGAGCACTGAGCATTGAGCCTGGCCTTCTTAGAAAAGAAGGAAGCCGGCCACAAAGACAATGCCGAGGGCAGTGCCAGAAACAGACGTCACCTCGCCGGCACTGATGGGTGTGTCTGTGCTGACGGGCATGCGGTCACCACCGCCCATCATGCTCGCAGACGGAGCGAGCCACTGCGTCCCGTTCTGAGCAGGCGCAGGGTGGTGGCAGCCTTGGGGACAGGCGTGGCCCTCGTGGTCATGTCCGTCGCAGGGCGTGCCGTCGTTGGGAGGGTGAGCCTCGTCATAAGGTTTACCGCAGTGAGGGCAGTGAGGGTGAGTCTTATCGCATGGCTTGACGTCCTCGGCGCCGCACCCAGCGGCCTCGTGGTAGTCGTCTGAGCGACGCTGAATGTTGGCGCCGGGGCTGGGGAGCAAGACTTTCTTCAAAGACGTCGTGTAGGCGGGCTTGGAGTAGGTTGGCTTCTCCCCGGTATGGGTTGGCCCTGGAGAGTACGTCGGCACGGCAGCGTAGCTGCTTGTACTTTTGGTTTTGGGTGCCTTGGTTTTCTTCTTTCCAGGCTGGGTAGGCTTGCTGTTGTCAGGAGGTTCCCTGGTGTGACTTGGACGCCAGGTGGTGGTGTATCTTCCGGTGCGAGTTGACTCCCAGGTACTGCTCGGCCGGGACAGAGTTGGTTTGCCGGTATGAGTGGGCTCGTAAGGCTCTGTAGTCGTCCAGGTGTGACTTGGCTCCCTGGTATGAGTTGGCCTCCAGGTGTGAGTCGGCTTCCAAGTGCGAGTCGGCTTCCTGGTATAAGTTGGTTCGATGGTATAAGTAGTCTCGTAGGGCTTGGTTGGTTCCCAAGTGTGAGTTGGCTCCCACGTGTGAGTCGGTTCCCAAGTGTGCGTTGGCTCCCACGTGTGAGTTGGCTTCCAGGTGTGAGTTGGCTTCCAAGTATGAGTTGGCTTCCAAGTATGAGTTGGCTTCCAGGTGGGAGTTGGCTCGTAAGTATGAGTTGGCTTCCAAGTATGAGTTGGCTTCCAAGTATGAGTTGGCTTCCAAGTATGAGTTGGCTTCCAGGTGGGAGTTGGCTCGTCGGTATAAGTCGGTCCCCATGTGTGGGTAGGCTCCCACGTGTGAGTTGGTTCCCAGGTATGAGTTGGTTCCCAGGTGTGAGTTGGCTTCCAAGTATGAGTTGGCTCCCGCGTGTGAGTTGGCTCCCGCGTGTGAGTTGGCTCCCGCGTGTGAGTCGGCTCCCACGTGTAACTTGGCTCCCGGGTATAAGTTGGTTCCCAGGTATGAGTTGGTTCCCAGGTGTGAGTTGGCTTCCAAGTATGAGTTGGCTCCCGCGTGTGAGTCGGCTCCCACGTGTGAGTTGGCTCCCACGTGTGAGTCGGCTCCCACGTGTGGGTTGGTTGCCGACTGTGAGTTGGCCTCCAGGTTGGCCCAGGAAGAGTTGGCTCGACAGTATACGTAGGCTCGTGGGGCTTGGTTGGTTCCCAAGTGTGAGTTGGCCAGGGACGATGAGGCCTAGAATACGCCGGCGTAGAATAATACCCCCCATCAGGGTCGCTGAATATGATCCTATTGGTGTTGATGCGAGTTGGCTTGTGGGTAAACTTGACCCTGGTGGTGTCAGTAAGCCCGCCAGTGTTACTTTGCGTACTGGTAAACGTATAAGTAGCCGGCTTCCAAGTGACAGTGCTCGTGTGAAGCTTTGCTTTTACCATGCACGAAGGTAGGAGAGGATCCTTGCAGGTGCAGACGTTCATATTATATCCGCACCTGGCGCAATAGCAGACATCTGGAAGCAGGCCCCTGGGGCCCTGGGGACCAACGTCAGTCTCATTCAGCCCCTGGATGTCGACATCGACTGAGGGCTCATGCTCAGCCACTGAAGGCTGCGCTTGAGCATGGCTCTTGAGGAAACCCGCGATGGCGAGAATGGCAGCAGTCCTCATTTTGATGCACGTAATGCAGAACTAACCATCCAAGGCCGGACAAGGGCAAAAGTAAAAGAAACCAGACCTCAAAGGATGTGCCAAGAGAAGACAGCAAAAGCGAGTGTGAATGATGAGAACAACCCAAAGATGGAAAACATGTTGCGAGATTTCACGGCTTCTTATAGAAGCACCGGGGAAATAGCAGCCGGGGAGCTGATAGTCGATGGAGTGACTGCTCGCTGATCCTGCATACCAACAACAGCAACAGCAGCAGCAACAACATCTTCATCTGGATCCAAAGAATAAAGTTCGGGAAAAGACGTGGGGTTCGACGCAGTCTAGGTGTAAGCAGTATGTCACCAGCCGCGGTGAAGGGGGCTGGTCTTTACTTAGCGTCCTCAGTCGAAGATTCGTCTGTGTGGCCAAAGGTGGTTGAAAGAGGAGTCGTTTCCTCATTCTAACTCCCCTTTTGTCATTATGAGTTTATGATGTTTTGACTTTGACAGGAGACATGTGTCCCTGGACTATACGTCACGTTGTATCAGAGGCCACATGGAAGACTTTGAAGAAAAAACAGGGACTTGGGAATGTTGGAATATGAGACTTGTTGAACTCGCCGATGACGTTTATAGTGATATAGGAGCAGTAGAGGCCGCCACTATGTCCAGATCCAATCCCTTCCCTTCCTGGGCCACGGCTATAAACGACAAAGGGCTTTTCGTGGCCGGGACGCGCCCTTATCATGCTCGCTGTTGTGTATGTGTCTCCTGCGCCGCAAACGCCACCACTTTGCGTGCTGTCTTCCCCTCGACAACTGTTGTAGTAGGACTCGGGGCCTAACTCCCCTCTGGGCAGAGACCCAAAAAATCAATTACATTAACTAAGCGCCACTTGGCGCCCTACGATATCCGACCCGTAGTACTAATCCTCCTCAGGGGGTCCTGAGAAGAGACCAAATCGCATCCGGTGGCTCTGAAAGTTTACACAAAGTTAGTGAATTGGTGAATGACGGCAAGATTGATATCAAGTAGAAGCAACGACGTACAAAGGGCAGCTTAGGAATGACGACGGCTAATACAGCCAAGAAATTGATGATGAAGTATGCAAGGTCATAGTGGGTGTAATGTGTGCTGAGTAAGAACAGCACAATGGGAACACTGAGGAGAAACTTCTTGGTAGGGGTGTATTGCGCGCCATTGTCGATTTGTTCCCACATGTTTAGGTTGTCAAAGGCGCCGCTATTGAATTCGAAGGGGACGCCGCGGACGTAATGGAACATGATGTACGAGCCAAACATGTATGTCATGTTGGTGAGGGTCCACGACGTCTCCTGGGAGACACCAGGGATAATGTCGTAGAGAATCTTGAGGGCGGCAATGAGAACGATGTGGATGGTCCAGGCTCCTAGAGTAGAAATTCGACCGCGTTAGCGTCGTCCATACCCTGCCACGCGCGTACGGACAAGAGAGCCGGCAGCTCAAGACAAAGGGACACGGAGACTTGTTGCCAAGTAGGGGCAGTTGTGGCGTTGTCGAGCTCAATTGCTCGCTCCGCGTCGGTTCATTCATACCTTTTGCACTTGTCCAATTGGCGTTCAAGTTGGGCAGAACAGCTTGGTCACTGATTTGCTCGAGCGTCTCTGGCGGTTCATGGTAGACTTGTAGAATGCTGCTAGACCTCCTCCTACGAGACGGATTATTTCGGTCGGCCATATCTAGATATACGCTTCCACGACGCGGAGGTTTTGTGCCCGCGTCGTAGGAAACGGTGCGCTGGAGAAGGATTGGGGAAGACAGTTTGGCGGTATTGTCGGGTACGAGAATAGAGGACAAGAGACCAGCGTCGTGGTTCGTGGAGCGACGATGGTGACGCGTAACGTCGAGTCTCTCACGAGTCACCGGCTCACAAGCGGTTGCACCAGACTGCGTGCTAGAAAGGTATAACGGCGAGGACCTTGACTCGATACTGAGCTGGCAAGTACAGGACAGCCACGACGCTAATTGTCTCACCGTGGATGGGTGTTTGCGATGTCCAAGGGAGAAGCGGCGAATCGGGAGAGTCGAGTACGGAGCACCACGATGGACCTTGGGGGGGGTTACGGAGCAGGGTGGGTGGTGACGAAGCGGGAAGAAGAAGCGGCACAGCCAGTGGCCAGTGTATGAATACAGTGAGCGATAGTACAGAAGTCGACGGCAAGGAGACGAGTGACTGGGGAGGCGATAGCAGCGCGCACAGATGGGGTTGTGGGCGGGAGAGGTCGACGATGAGAAATGGCGGATGGGAGAATGTCGGCACATTGAAGCCGGGGACCAAGGTCCAGATGTCAACTGGTCCGTCTGGTGGAGTCATGTGTGCAAGGAAGGAAGGCAGCACCGGCGGTGGCAGGAGCAGGAGCAGGAGCAGGAGCCGGGCACATGAGCGGACACCAGCGACAGCTGCAACATGGGATTCTCTGAGTGGCCAGCTGGCTTCACTGGTCAATCAATGGGACGAAGACTACGGAGGACTTGGTACGGAGAAAAACATTGGACATTGCACATGTGAACAATTGAAAGGGGCCCAGTTCCCAGTCCAGATCATCGCACGCTGTCCCAAAGGTGAGATGTTCCTTGCGTCGGCCTGCCGTCTCCCCCGTACTGACTCTTTGCCGCTCCTCGGTCGATGGAGCTGGCCGAAGCCTTTCCGACCCAAGCAGGACTCGAGACACAAGAACCAAAGCTCAAGGGTGCCACGATTTGGCTTCTGACCCCTGTCGCGAGCATGGAACTCCCAACACTTCTGGTATTAAGTTATTGCATCTTTCAATGTCGACTTGACGACGTCGTGTCCGTTTACGGCATTGCAGCGTCTTTGTCCTCCAAATCCTAGCAAGCCCGGCATTAGAAGTCCATGATAACAATAGACTTGTCCAGTTGCCCCATTTGCCGCTGAACAGCGCATTAAAGGCTGACGTCGCACTCGACACGTCGGCGGGCGCCGTCGTTTCGACGCCCCCTTAATGTGAACAGGAGGTTGCTTTACTTGATAACTTGAATTATAGTGTTCCCAAATCTATTCTTAACGCGCTTGAGCTCCGTACAGCCCCGACAAGTGGCGTCTTCGGTTGCCGGCCGCTCAATTTGTCCAGCAAACATTCATCATGTCCCAACTTGTGCCCCTGATCCCCTGTCGGCGAGCAAGGCCGCAAGGCCGCAAGGCAAAGGCCAGGGCAGTGTGTAAAGGCGACGACATATGGCGGCGTATGGACTAGGATAAAAACAAGGCGGTGGAATCATAACAGACGCTGCCCAACCCTTCACCGCATGATATGGACATGCACGGCACTACACGGCGTGGCCAGACAAAGTGTAGGGTAGCACAACATGGAGAGGTGGGTCCTGGTTAATCCTCGCATATCGTTACAGAGCCAGAGCATGCCAATTTCTTTTTTCCCCAAGTTTGCATACCGCGACATGGAGCCCAGATGAACGATTGCCCGCCGAATACACATCACATCTTCAAGGGTACCCAAAGGCTGGACGACGGCTGCATTATCCTATTCATCGATTCCCAGTCAGTAGGAGAGTCCGCACGTACGGAGTAAGCTGAGCAGCTGTGCTTTGAAAGCTCGTGCGGGTCTACGGTTGGGAGAGAACATTCAGCGCAACTGAACCCGCCGGAACCATACGCGACGATCACCATGGGTGTATGGACCGAAAGACGTGAGAGAATAGGCAAAATCGTCATTTGTTTTGACAGGCCGTTGGCGCACGACTAGACTTGATCAACATGAGTGTCGCCAATGGGACGGAGACGCCGGGCGACGTCATCAGAGCCGGAGACAGCGATGTCGAGAGCGACTACGAGCCCGAGACCGAGCAGGAGCAAGTTCCAGAACCCGTTGTCGAGCCAGCATGGGAGTCTTGCCGGCGTCAGTCAACGAATGCGTCGCAGGACTTGGATAGCCAGCCGTCAACATCTGGTCACAAACGGCCACACGATGAGGTCGAGCAGGCCGAGTCTCACAACACTTCGCCAGCTGCCACCATGCACGAGCATGTCCCCTTGCGCCGTTTGAAGCAGGCCAGGCGGAGCACATCACCTTCGAACCACACTCATCGAGGCTCCGAGGAAGGCGAGGCTGATGAGTCTGAATCCGACACCAATCCTCGCGCTGCGTTGGAGAAAGGCAAAGTCGTTGCTCTGGCCAGCCCGGCAGAGACGACAACCTCCCCCGCTCTCCCTGTGGCATCAGCTTCTCCTGCTTCGGCACCGAACAGGGGTCCGACGTCAGGTCATACGACGGACCAGGCCGAGCTTGACGAACTCGAATCTTTCGCTGGAGCCACCATGCCTAGTCAATCCCCCACCTACACGACAGGCTCATTATCACTGGATCTGCCTGTACTTTCTTCAAAGAAGCAAGGCTCGTGGCCTGCCAGATTCAAGGACTGGGTCCAGGTACTTTGCAAGCATAATCTGCACAACATCTCCGCAATCACGCCTGCAGTGGCGACGGATGCCTTTGCATGCTACATTGATTCTCATAGTGGCCTGCGAGAGACGAAGAAGAAGGCATCAAAGCAAGCGGCCAAGAATTTGCTAGTTGCTGGTACCACACAAACCATAATCGAAGAAATCAAGTCTTGGACGGATGCGGGTTCGCAACAACCAACCGTTGAGCCATCGGCCAAGTTGAATTTAGCGACACCGCCAACGAGAACGCAGGATACAAACGACGGCTCAGCAGAGGAGGGCGAGGTCTCTAGCAACGACAGCCAACCAAAGCCAACTCAGACGAAACACTCGACACAAAATGGCGACACGTCCATAATCAGAGAAGGTGTTCCAACTGGTGCAGAGGAGCTCGAGCAACAGCGGAGATACTTTCCCTCTGCTGCCGATCCAAGCGTTATGTGTCTCTTATGTGGAAACGAAGGCCACAGGGCAGTTCATTGCTCTCGCGCCAAATGCAGATTCTGCCAAAGCTTTGACCACTGGGACTTTTGCTGTCCCAGTATTCGAAAACGATGCGACAAGTGCCGTCAACTGGGCCACCAAGCTACCGCTTGTGTTGAAAAGCTGGCAATAACGGCGGACGAGGGTCTGGCTTGCCTCTACTGCAAGTCTTCTGAGCATTTGGAGGACAGCTGCACAGATATCTGGCGATCGTTTCACCCGGAAGAACAAACGGTACACACGGTAGTGTATCTCCCCAGCTCGTGCGCAGTGTGTGGTGGCAAAGATCACCTTTCGGGGGACTGCAGACAGCGAAGGGGAGTTTGCGCCAACCCTACCTGGTCCCTACAAAATCGAAGCCTCTACATGGATTCCAGGTGTGGCACATTGTCGATCGAGGATGCTGCCAACCCCGAAGGCAATAGGAAGTCATTGCGGGCCCCTGAAACCAAGATTCGCGGCCACGCTGCACGGACAGCCAATATCCATTACTCAGAGAGTGAGGACTCTGACGTGGAGTTCCTCGGCAGGAAGCTGTCGAAAGCACCAAAGGGGGGCGTCGGTCAAATTCGAATGTCTAGCAACATCCAGTTGCCACAGATGATGGGTAGTCACACTGTTAACAGCTTTCAACCACTTGCTGGCCAACCACCGCTCCCACCGGGACCGCCACCGTCAGGACCGCCGAGGGGAGGTCAGTCCAGCAGATATCCCCCTCCGCCTGGAGCCCGAGGTTACCAATCCCAATCCCCAGCCCCTCCCCCTTTTCTTCCGACCAAGCCTCCCCCATCAACGCGAAGCTATCACCACCTGCCACCACCACCACCACCACCTCCTCCTCCTCCCCAGTCAATCAACGCGAATCGGTCCAGAGATGGACACGGCAATCAAGGCGGGCGGGGTGGGAGGGGCGGTAGTACTAGTGGTGGAGGAGGAGGTGGAAGAGGGGCGCGAGGCCTAAGCAGAGGCAGAGGCAGAGGCAGAGGTCGATAGAGTCTGCATTGCGATGCTGCACGTGAAGAAGACGTGACATTTGAGCGTGGTGCATGCGGGTTGATTTCCAGTTCCGGTTTGGTGTACTGCTCTTATGCAAAGGAAACCTCCAGATACCCAATGACGAAGGGGCACAGGCGATGAGAGTAGATATCAAGACGTTGTCGAAATACGACTCTTGTGCTTGAGGTGCGGTTGACATTGTGTCGGTCGCGACCGAGACGATGCAAAGCCATAGGACGACCAGCTTGCAGGCCTGATTGGAAACCTTTGTTTACTTTTGCTCCCAACGTATGGGTGTGGGCAGACCAAAGCGCCATGATGAGAGACGGGATGAACTTTGCGCGACGGCACTGATGGGTGTGAAGGCAGGTGATGCCGCGGGATGCCATTGACTGGTCTGAAGTTTCGAAGCTCGGTTTTGTTTCAACGCGTGCAAAAAGTCGGTCGGATCAAGTATGACGGCATGGAAGAATACAGCCCCAAGACCAAGCCCCAACTTATCAGGAGCCCAAACCGGTCAAGACGTTTAGTACTCTGCACACACTACGCGGTCCTGACTCCCGAGCGCCCGGAAAACGACGTCGTCGTCGCCGTCGTGGTCGTGACAAACTTTCGCGACGCGTGTCTCGCGTCCCGACAAGCGCATGTGATTGGCCAGATTGGACATTTCCCCGCGAACACGCCGCCGTCAGATCGGCAACGCACGATATCCATGCCCGCATCGTGAGGGGCGTCCCACGGGCTCAGCACAGGTCATTCCGCGCCGCAGTCGAATCCATCCAGCGACCGGCCTGGCCCAATCGTGGCTGTTGGTCCTCCGTACGCCTTTCCGACGCGGTCGCGACACCAGCGGCACCGGCGACACCCCTCGGCCAACTGGACCCTCTGGTTCATCATGCATGCTGCGTACCGCTGGATCGTTCAGGACCACTCGATTCCCGAGCCCAGCCGTGACGCCGAGACGACGGTAGAACATGAATACGCAGTTTGGTGGGGGAGGAAAAACCAAGGAGAGGCGGCATCAAGATCGAAAGCAAGCAGGATGCGGGTACGGGATATATACGGGCCTACCGTCTTGTTCCTCGCCCGCTTCCCGTTCATTCATCTTCCCCTCGTCTTCTTGGCTGTCTGCATGTCCGTACCTGCGCCTAATTGGTTGTCTACATGATTTTGCCATTTCAAGTTGCCGTCAAGATAGAGTTTGACAACGGCCTACGACTTGCACCAACACTCGGAGCCGGAATCTTATCACAACTCCTGGCCGTCGAGGAGCTCACGTCTGCTTGCTCAGGGCGGCACTCGACTACGTTATCAAGCATCAGCTATTATACCAAACACCAGGATATCAGGTTGTGTTGAACATTCAACCACATGCCCGCTTGCATCGCCACACACAACATCCACCTACCTCACCGCACTTACACCGCTCCTTCGGGCCATGGAAGAAACATGTCGTCGGGAGGGCAGCTCTTCATCGCCCTCCTGAGGGACCACCACGTCAAGAGCCGTCTCCTCCTGCGCCTGTCCACGCCCGACGTGGCCTCGGTCCGCCAGCTCTCCTCGGCATGCTGCAATCTCGTCACCAAGGACCTCTTCACCCGCGTCACCGTCACCTTCACGCCGGCCACCTTCACCAAGCCCGCCCGCGTGGCGGCCCTCAACCGCATCGGCCACCACGTCGAGCACCTGACGTTCCAGATGGCTCACTCCAAGGCGACCTTCCTGCCGCCCCTTGTGCATCCGCTCACCGGCCACGAGGTGTGCTTCCTGTACACGCCGCATACAAGCCTGGGCTCCGCGCTCACCCGTCGCAAGTACGCCAACACGGAGCTGGGCGATATCCTGACGCAGCAGTATCCACCGCTCTTCCACGCCGCCACGAACGTGCCCAGCTTCATCCGGGCGTTCCACTCGCTGCCAAACATGAGACACCTGACGGTCCGGTGTCCCGGACAGGACCCCCGGGAGAGGTACAGGAGGGACGTTGTCGACTATGCGCTCATCAGTCTCCGAATCGCCGTCGAGAGAGCGCCGCTCGACAAATTCAACAAGCTGAGCCTCTCGTCGCTGCACCCCTCGGCGTTCAACTACCTCCGGCACACGCAGGGGTTCGGCTCCGTGCCCTCGGCGGGCAAACGCTGGAGGCAGGTCAAGAAGCTCAGCATATCCGTGGAATCGTGGGACTTTTACGGCCCCTGCCCGGGGCTGGACCACCTGAAAATCATGGACGACTACGTGCGCTTCTTTGCGCCGTCCCTCGACAAGTTCAGCTTCTCGTGGATCGGCGCACGGGGTCCCTGCCCCGTGGCCCTGTCGTCCGATCCGCTCTTTGCGCCGCCCAGGTCGTCCAAGAAGCTCTTCCACGAGGTCACCTCGCCCATGTCGCCGCTGCCCGCCCGGCCCCCCCGAGTGCCCGTCCGCTTCCCGGGGCTGCGGCACCTGCAGATTCGCAACGTCGCCATGAACGCGCCCCAGCTGAGCGACCTGATCCGGACGCACAGCGCCACCGTCAAGGGATTCGACTTTGAGAACGTCATGCTCACCAACAACGGCAACTGGGAAGATGCGCTTGCGCCGCTTGGCAGAGACGACTGCTGGAAGAGGACCAGCACGGCGGCCACGGCCACGTCCGACCACAGCTCCGCGACGTGCGAGAGCGACGAGGAACTGCCCAGCCCGAGTCCGAGTGCGGCGGTCCAAGCAGCAAGCAGGGAGTTGTTGCATCTCGACCTCGGTGCGTCGGGATTCAGCGACGAGGAGCGCACCCTCATCGAGCGCCTGTGGGAGGAGACGTCCGCTGCTGCTGCTTCCGCCGCAAGGTCCACGCAGCACGTCGGCTTCACCACCAAGTTGCGCAAGAAGAGAACCAAGCGGCGGAGAGGGGGCGGCAGCAGCAGCAGTAGCCATGACGAGCAAGGCTCCGACGCGAGGCCGTCCCCCTCCCGCCGTCACGACAGGAAGCCGTCCAAGCCGAAGCCCAGAGAAGCGGCCCTCCCGTCAGACAAGCGCGTGTCCGTCACAACTCCCATGCCTGGCGGACCTGTCATCACGGCGCCCATCCTCGCGGCGGTCCCGCACCCCGTCATCCTCCAGCCGACCGTCTACGATCCGGCCTGCTCCCAGGACGACGGGATATCCGCTGTCCAGCGCAACATTGAACAGGAAGAGGCGCACAGGCTCCTCGCCCAAGACGCGGCGGCGAGGGTGAGCGCTCTCCAAAAGGCCAAGGCGGCAGTCCTCTCCAAGCTGAGCAAGGAGTTCTCCGTCAAGAAGAGCAGAGCGGCTGATGCAGTAGCGGCATGTAGGTTGATGACGAGCAGGGAGTGGACCGGCGGCGTGTGTGCAACGGACACGGTCGTCGAGGACGCGTGCCGCGTGGAGAGCCGGAGTGCCCTGGTGCCGTTGATGTTTCGTCGTTCGTGAGAGAGATTTTGTGGAAAAACAAATGCCTTTTTTTTTTGGAAAAGGGGGGGGGGGGGTATAAGATTTGCAACGAAATCTGATGACGCTCATGACTTTCCCTCGTGTATTGATTGTTGATCCGTCTTTACCCTAGTGGTCGCTTTCTCAGTATCAATGGCACTTTTCCGGACGTGACCTGAACGTGGATGTCTGGCGGACGGCCGCACCAATGCTTGCCGCCCCTGCCTCGTGTCTATTTTCCTTGCATGCAGGCTCGATCGGGACCTGTTTTTATCCTCTCTGCCTGTGTGTCTGTCAACGAAAGAAATACAGAAAAAAACAAGGAAAAGAAGGCATGTATTCCAGGACATGGTGATGGCCCTGGCCCCGGGCGTCTTTCGCTGGACGAAACAAAAAAGGGGTCACCGTCCAACGGCCGCTCCCCCAAGGCGGACGGGTCAGCCGCTCTCCTTGATCACCGTCTCCAGGGCTTTGACGTAATCCTTGACGTCCTTGGCCCCCGTCAGCGTGATGTCCCTCCTTTTGCCCTCCACCACGACCACGGGCACCGCGTCCACGTCCATCGCGACCTGCCTCAACCTTGCGCTCACGTCTGCCAGACCCGTCTCCTTGTCCTGCACGAGCTCCCTCGCCTCGGCCTCCCCCACGCCCGCCTCCACACACGCCTCCACCAGCGTGTCGTCGCGCGACGGGTGCTTGGCCTCCTCAAAGTATCGCCTGTACAGTCCTTGTACCAGGCGGCTGGCGGCGTCGGTGCCCTTTTCCTGCTGGATTTGCTGAATCACGCGGTGGGCGTGGAGGGTGTTGCCCATTTCGCCCGCGAAGTTGAGCTTCACGCCGTGCGGCTCCAGGAGGGACGTCATGTGGGACTGGTACGCCTGCTGGGCGGCCTCGTTGTCGGAGTGCTTCTCGTGGAGGTACCAGGCTTGCTTGTCGCTGGTGTCGGGGAAGTCGGGGAAGAGCTGGAATGGTTCGAAGCGGAGGGCGAATGATACCGGGGGGGAGGTTGCTCGCACTCGGGCGAGGGCTTCTTCCAGTCTGCGGGCGTGCGGGCGTCTCAGTGGTGGTTGAAGGCGCGTGGGTGCAAGGTTGAACGGGAATGGGGGAGGCGGCGCGTACGGACCTCTTCTTTGCTAGGTATGTCCTGGGGGAGTTGGCTCTTTGTCCTGGACTCGGGGTTGCTTCATCCGGGCGGCTGGGAGGTTGATGCGCTTGGGGAGTTTGAGGTGCTTACCACGGGCAGATAGTGTCGAGGGCGAATGACACTTGCGATTCGTACATGGTTGCTGCTCCAGACTGGATGGAGTGCGGCGATGCGTGACAGCTCAATGGCTTGCCTGGGAGAGCAGGCGTCTCGGGGCCGATGAGAGCTCCGAGAGACAAGGTTGTTGGCCTTTGTCGAGAAATGTCGTGGTGTGCTTGATGGATAACCGACGTCACGGCCGGGAATCCATGGATGCGGGACGCGGGATGCGGGATGCGGGATGCGGGGTGGGTGATTTGGGGGAGCCGCCACACGTCCCGTCTATCCCGACCCTGCAGGCAAACGGCGAGTTCCTCGAAATTGATGGCTTCGCGAGGGCATGCCCATCCCAAAACATGTATACTTGTGATAGATGCGCTAGTTTATTTAATTGAAATTGACCTTGGTGCCCGTATAGTCCACTTTCCGTCCTGTCAGTCTAGCAATTTGAATATCAGCAGCCTCTTTGAGCAGCTTAGTCTTCTTGTCCGAAGCATCCGACTTGGCACCCGGGTCGTCGCTCGCTGCTTCGTCCCTCGGCCTGGATGAGCTTCGTCCTTGTGAGGATACGCCCTTTCTCTCGCCACCATTCGCTTGTCTCTGGGCGTCCTTGCCAAACCGCTTCTTGTACCGAGACTGGTCATCCTCGGCCAGCTCCAGCTTGAGTTCTCGACCCAGCATACGATTCACCCACCATTTCCTCGTCTTGAATTGCTTCTGCTGGTCCTGTTTCTTGTCGTCTGTCTCATCGCCCTCTTTGAAGTCCTCCTCCGTCTCAACGGCCTCCTTCACTTTGACAAATCCCTTGACAGCCCACGCAGCCGCTTCAGGCTCCTTGAACTTGACCCATCCGTAACCCTTGCATTTGCCGGTGTCTTCAAAGGTAGCGACCTTGACCCAATCAATCTCTCCGCACTTGTCAAAGTTCCGCCGCACATCTTCCTCAGTCGTCTTGAAGCTCAGGTTCCCGACAAAAATTTTCCGGCTGGCATTGGGGTCAACGTCTTTGTTCTGCTCGGCACCGTGCTTGACCTTGCCATCTGGTCCCGTCTCTACTGCCCACGGTTCCTTCTCCTTGGCGGGTCGGCCCTGAAACGACCTGGCGTCCTTGATCAGAAGCTTGCGGTGCCCGAGTTCCGTCTCCGTCAAGGCAATGGCAGCAACCTTGCCGCCCACGTCTGCGAAGTCGACATAGGCAAAGCCCTTGTTGGCAGGCCTTTGGCTCTTGTCTCGACCGGGGTCTTTTGCGGTCGGCATCTTTATTCTCGTGATGGACTCATCGGTGAGGACTCCGCCCGCGTTATCCACGAGCCATTGCCTCAACTCTGCGGCTGTAACTGCGAATGGCAAGTTGCCAACCCAGATGGCGTGCTCTGACCTGGCCTTGGCCTTTTCGTCATTTTGCTCGCCGTCGCCATCTGCCCTTTTTTTCTTTTCGTCGCCACTGTCATTCTTGGCGAGGATGGGCTTGCCCTTTTTCAGGGCGCGACGGGCTCGTTTAGATGGTGGTTCGGGGAGAGTGAGGTCGACTTCGATCTCGTCCATCGCAGACTTGCGCTTGGCGGATGTGACATTGTCTGCATCCTGGGGGACGGCCTCATTTTGTTCAACGCTAGTCATTGGCAAATCCTGGAGTCGCAGAGGCCCCAAAGCAACGAATAAAATGAACGTAGAAGCAAATCGGTTTGGAAAACACTCGCGACGGGAAATCCCAAGAAAAGAGAACTGCACATACAAGGACAGCCAGAAATTTTTCCCTTGGCGTTGACACGATAACGATAAGCTACTTCGTACTCCACCAGTGACATGAATGTGCTGCGCACTCACGCAGTGCCCAGGTACTTAAGTAGTTACTTAGGTACTTAAGTACCCAGCACAGCCTCGCCCGAGGTTCTTGCAATTCGGCGTTCTGGCTGGGCTCGAAAGACAGCCTGCAGTCCTAGCTGGAAAGGACGATGTGACTTGCTACTTCCTTCAGAAGATGATGGATGATGCATATGTCACGACATGTTTGGTCAGTCTTGAACATCTGGCCAATGTTGCCAGCCGCATTTCTTAATTCTGGCACGTGGGTCAAGTACTGGGTACCTGCGTGGGCACCTTCGAAGCAGGCGGGTTGAAGCAATTCCAAGTACTACTCCGTAGCTACTTCTCTGTCCTGTTTACTCAATCAAGCAAAGCATATAACGTTACGTATGTAATTGATTGCCACGTTTGTGACGCGCAGCTTGGGCCTCGGGCCGCTCTCCGCGAAAATGCACGGGGACCAGCGAGGATGAGACCCGGCCTGGCTCCTTTTTGTTTGTTTGGAACTGGCCTGGCCGGCGACAATCCATGATGCGGACCGGCTGGCACGCGGCAGGACGGATCCACGCTAAAGCAGCCAGCCAGCCAGCCAGCCCTGTAGTAAAGTGGGCGCCAGCGATAGTTGCAGCATTGAGGACTGCAGCACTCGAGTCTGGTAGGCTCGCAGAGCCCGGTAAGCGTCTGAAGCCACCCAAATTGAGCGCTAGCCAGGCATCGGTCCCAGGTAGTCCAAGTCCAGCTGGGTTCAATGCTGCCCACCAGGCGTCACCCGACCCCCGAACATCCGGCGCAGACAGTTGGCTTTTGGATGCGTCCAAAATGAACGGCGCGCCAGGCCGCCCCCATGCTGCATCCTTGCATCAACTGTGTTTTCAGTTTTCAGGCATTTGCCCTTTTCCCGTCTGGTTTGTTTCCCAACTGTCAGTCAACTGGTCAACGGCTGCATCGCATCGCAGCGCAGCGCGTCGCTTCGCATTGCATCGGCACAGCACCAGCAGTCGGTCGAGTCGCCGTCGCCGTCGCCATTTTGTTGCCTCCGTCTTCCATCCCCCCCCGCCTTTTGCCCGTCTTCCCGTCACCCCGTCACCCATATTGCGTGTCCCTTGGCTTTCCTTGGGCTGCCCATCCAACGTCCAAATTTGCCAGCCAGGGCACGTCTAGGCGCCACCAGGGCCCTCCTCAGCTCTGACCGCCTTCTTCCTGAAGTTGGCTGTGATTTGCAGGCTGCCCGCGTCCTCATCCAGCCAAACTTTTGTCTCATTACGACTCCCGCTTCCCATTCCGCGTTGGCCATTTTGCCCTTTCTGCTTCCCCTCACACCCTCGTGGACTTGTTCAGCTTTCACCTACCAGCCATCCAGCCATCCAGCCATCCATCGCGACATCCTCAACTCCCAAACCCTTCAAGTATCGCCTCCTGACGGCACCTACCGCTACGTCTAGTGGGCGACACCTCCCGACAAATCGTGCTGCTGCGGCAAACTTGTGCTCGGCTGCTCTCATAGTCGCCCTGCGGACGATTTTGCCTTGCTTAAACGCCCCCAAACCTCTCATCATGAATGTTTTGTTGTCGCCGCAGCCGCCAGTCTTCCCTCACCACTACGAAAGCCCTCGCCCGTCTCCCCAGCGATCCGGTGCGTATGCATCCCACGATCCTGCCTCCACAACCTTGGTCTTTCCGGGCCCGCACCCGTTCACCCATGTTCTGCGTCCGTCGTTGCTGACCTCAAAACAGTTTCACCCCTACTCGCCATGTCAAATCGAAAGCGGAAGGCTGATGACGATGGGGATGAAACCATGTCGCCATTGAGCTCGCCTGCCATCTCAACCCGCCCGCTTGCCCGCCCATCGAAAAAAGTACGATCAAACGAGCTCATTGGTCGACCCCTTACCTTACCCCGACTCCTCGAGACTCTGGATGCCAGCCAGCTGAGGATGGTCTTGGAACGGCTCTGCGAACGCCACCCGGATATTGGTCAGGAAGTCGTCAGTGGAGCGCCTCGGCCATCCGTCTTGTCTGCCTTGGATGTCTTGCACGACTATCAAGTCAAGTTGAAGGAAGCCGTACCCTATGGCGAGTCCAGTCCTGATTACACATATTATCGAGTCAAGGAACCCCTGACTGCCCTCATCGATGCCCTCTCCGACTTTACACCTCAATATCTCCCGCCCATCGAGACACAGCCGACTACGTCGTTGCAGTTTCTTGATGGCGCCACGAAATTTATCCACGAACTGCCCAACTGGGAGCCTCAAGCCTATCGCCATCACAAGGAAAGTGCGTACGATGATATTTCACGGGCCTGGGCTCTGGTTATCACCGAGGCTGGTAAACGAGGTGGAGGCTTGAACTTGCACACCGGCGGATGGCACCAGACGCTGTCTCGTCACAATGAACAGTCAGGAGGGCGCCTCAGCACCGCCATGTCCGCCATGGCTGACAGCGTGGGTTGGATGGGACCGGGACCTGGCGCACAGGGCAACTCGTCTGATCAAAACTCCATCCTCACCCAACTCATGTCTGGCGCATACGTGTCCCCTGTACGGGTCGGACCTTGGTAAAAACCCCTAATTTCATAAAGCTGAATCGAGAAAAACCAATTCATACCAAACCAAACCAAACAGAAAGAGAACTGACATCTCGTCTCTGGTTTCAGCAAGGAGACAACAATTTCACGACACATGATGACGACCTTTGTTTTGCATTAAAGACAGCATAGATTTGGGAGTTGATATTTCATATGCACCTGGATGGATCGGCGTTTCATATTTTTCTCTGTTTCCCTGTGCTGTGGTTTCCCTGCTGCTATTTCGAGATTAGTAGGGCTTCTGGTTGCTGTTTTCCATCTGGGGACTCCTTCATTCCTCTATTTTCTTCCGCTATATTGTCTCCGCGAATGCAAAGCCGCTCTTCTGTACGCATACACCCCTTACGCTATGTAGGTAGTCAAAGCTTGGCGGAGGGGGACTATAACTGCAGGCAAGGCAAATCTTATAATACCCATTACTCGGTTGGTAATGTAGGACTTGGTGGATCCTCCTGCTTATGGTGTCGCCGGACCACATGACTTGGTTTTCTTTGTGAAGGTGCGGATATATTTTTGTAATGGGTTCGGTGAGGTTACAAGCAGAGCCAACTGAAATTACACTGCCAGGCACTCTTGCCTCGGCATTCAATGGATATAAATAGCCACCAACATGTCTGGCGATTGGAAAAGTTAACGAGTCTTATCGAGGTGGGGCGATTACGGCCCTTGCCGAGATCCTGGAAGTTGCCACAACGTCACGTGCTCACCCGTTCGCCTGCCAGACGCGCCCCAGGCCAAGAAACGCGCCGGGCACGCAACTGCACCTTGGACATCGCTGCAATCAGCCTTGACTGCTCGAATGACGGTGCACCCCGTGGTAACGCTCGTTGTGGACAGCCAGATGCATTGAAATTCCATCGTCGATGAAATACCGTGCTCCGACTCTGGCTCATCATGCCTGCGTGCGTTCACTCCCTCTTGTCTTCCACATGAAACGGTTCGCTCACAATTGCAAGCAGCCCGGGCGACCAACATACCTCGTGGGAAAACCCGTTTGAGGAGGCCAAACCACGAGTGTCGGCCTGGTCAGCGAAAGAAATCGCCACTATTGCGTCGAAACTTGACAAGCAACTCGGCCCTGAATACATTTCGTCACGGTCGGGACCCGGTGGTTCACGCGTGCATTATCTCACAGCCGAGAAGGTCATTGGCTTAGCCAACGAAGTATTTGGATTCAATGGGTGGTCGTCGTCCATACAAAATATTCAAGTCGATTTCGCCGACGAAAATCCTCAAACCCAGCGTGTCAGCATCGGCCTCTCGGTGATCGTTCGAGTGACGCTGCGAGATGGGACATATCACGAAGACATCGGCTACGGCTCGATAGAGAATGCCAAGGGAAAGGCGACGGCCTTTGAAAAGGCCAAAAAAGAAGGCACAACTGATGGACTCAAGAGGGCGCTCCGAAGCTTTGGGAATGTCCTGGGCAACTGCATCTACGACACAGACTACGTGAAGCAGGTCACAAAGGTCAAGGCACAGCCAGTCAAGAAGTTTAACCAAGATAACCTCCACAGACATTCGGATTTCGTCAGGAAAGACGCCTCCATGAGTGGGACAAGTGCGACGGCCGGGCCTGTCAAGAACACGACTGCACCGGCTACTCTAAGCGTGGAGGCTGCGGAGTCCTTTGAGGACTTCCTCGGTGGTATGCTCTCCTCAGACGGGTTCGAGGAAATCGAAACTGAATATCAGTAGAAATCGACGAGGCCGACTTCTGTGTTACAGGAGAAGGCCACCCGGACGAAATCGTTGTTCACCAGCTAGCTCCCATGCAGGCACAGGGTCCGAAGCCGCCACCCAATGAGCCAGGGCAAGTGCAGGCACAAGCGCAGGGACCAAGCCGCCCAACGATGAGGGCCGTTTCAGGAGGTTTCGGGCCCCAAGGGCCGCAAATGCCAAACAGCGGTGGGAATGCGCAATCTGGTGGCGCCGTTCGAGATTCACCGCGTATGAACAATACCGCCGCTCCGCCAATGCCTCCTCCGGGGGGCGACGCAGCAATGTTTTTCTCCGCCAGATCGATCAGTCGCAATTCTGACGTCAAGGAATTGGGGCTGGGCAGCTCACAAGTCTTCAATCCTAAAGCTGAAAGTCCGTCCATCAGGAAGACGCCTGGGATTGATCATACGTCGTCAAAACCTGTTTCCAGAAACGGACAACACGTTGCGCCGGCAAACAGCCAGTCTGGCGCATCCTCGTCCAGCGCGGCCGGCTTTACCCCAGTACGACCAGGGGGGCCGGCAACCAGAGGCCATCTCATCAATCCGTCCCTAGACCAGGCGCGAAAGATTGGTGCGCCTGGGGCTGCTGGAAGCCCCCTGGCAAACAGAGGAAGCTACAGACCGCCAACGATGAAGAGACCTCTACCTGGCGAGACAGGCACAGCAAGAGCCCCCTTGGTTGATCTGCCGGCCAACACGGCTGCACAAGGCAACGGAACGAACACGGCCGCTTCAGCCGCAGGCGGTCTCGATGTGAAGCGACAGAGGACGGGGTAATCTCAGCAACTTCTGCCCCTGGTCCATGACGGTGTTGTGGCGTATATAATTTTGCGGCTGGGAACAGGACATGTATTTATATCTCTTGAGCGGGAACGACGAACAACAACATATCAATCGAATCTCTCGATGATGATTCTATGTACAATCTAGAACTTGCCAGACTCCAGCGCCGGTAATTGATGAAGCGTATTCTTTGACGAACTCTGCGTCATCGAACACCCAGCTCGTCCCAAATGTAGCCTGTGAAACAGGAACGCATTTTGCAGACGGCATGATGGCCCGCGTCGCTTTTGCTGTCGGATCGATTCCAAGCAGTAGTAGTACATCAATCAGTTCAAGGTTGGCTAATTTCGTATGGGCTCAGTAGTCTGGAGGGGGAGGGGGGACAGCGGCCGCGAGACGAGACATTGGAGGAAGAAGGCTAGGAGAGCAGCTTTGTGCCTTTTCGGCGTCAACTTGGCCTCGCCTGGCTACACCTTGGTACCTGGTGCATGAGCAGCCATATATATATAATATAGTTATAAGAGAAATACTAGCTAGAAACTAGTAAAACTATAAATAAGCTATAAAGGCTAAACTAACTTTATATCCATGCTGGTTTTGGCGGGTGCCTGGGAGCATGGCTCATGGACATTTTGGCTGCGCATGCCGTCCGTACCCACGACTGGCAGGGCTACTATTGCGACTCCAGGCTGTTTGTTGACCGTCACCTGGTGGGTACATGCGAGGGGGGGGGTAAGCGGTCGTCGGGAGTCGGGACGAGGACGGTGAGGGCTGATGCGGACGCCGTGTCGGTGCAGGTTCTGTACCGCGGCATGTTTTCGAGACACACACACACGGTGAGCACGGCATGCATGGTGGATGTAACTTGTGGCACGGCCGAGTCTATTCGCTTTGTTGTACGTACTCTTTGGCCGCTAGATTTTCCATTGACTCCCGGCGGAGGCTCTTGCCGACGATGGCCTCCCCTGGTTTTGAATACGGCGTGGACAACGTGGGCTCGGGGAACTGGGCGATGGCGTCGTCGTCGTCACGTCTTGTTTTCCGGCGTGGCTGTTAGCCGGGCCAGTGCGTCCTGGGCCTGCCTGACGCCGTCGACAAAGGCCATCTCCTGACTCATCTCGATGCACTGCCTGTACTTCTGTCGTGCGACGTCTGTCTGCCCCAGCATGGCGGCCACGTCGCCCCAGTTGCACAGGGCCACGGCACATGCCTCGTCGCACTCGGCCGTTCTCTCCTCTCCGTGGACGTCCCTGCTGTGGGCGTAGGCGTTCTGTGCCCAGCTCAGTCCCGCCTCGAGGCACTCTTTGCGCGTTTTCGGGAGCGCGCCCTGGTCGGGGGCTTGCGCGGCTCCCACGGGGACCTGCGCCGTGTCGGGGGCGAAGACGGGCTGCTGGGCGAAGCACGCGGCCAGGTTGTTCATGATGACGGCTCTGTGGCACGGGCTCTCGCAGAGTCTGAGGGCCTGGAAGAACAGGGGAACGGACAGCTGGAACTGAGACCGGCGCTCGTAGTCGCGGCCCAGGGACTCCATCATGCCGCCGAGCTCGGGGGGCGACAGCCAGTCCTGCTCGCCGGGCCTGACGCCCTCGATCCTCCGGCGGCGGAACTCCTCGAGGGACGTTTCGACCGCCCACACCAGGTGGTCGTGTGACTTGTCTGCCCGGAGGACGTGCTCGTCGGCATACAACTCGCCGAGCTTTACTGCCGTGCCGACGGCCTTGGCTAGGAGTCGCTGCCTCTTTCGCCAGAGTGTCTCGACCTCGTCGTCCTGCTCGGCCCCGACGTCGTCTCCTCCCCCTCCCGTACCGGATGAAGTCTTGGCCGGGCCGTCTTTGGGCGGCGGCGCTGTGACCTCGACACTGCCGGCTGGCCGGCTTCCCGTTGGTCCATTCACATATCTTCCAGCCTCATTCACGTTGCCGTCCGCGACGGATTGTTCCATCACGCCAACCCACTTCTTGCAATCCTGTAACACGGACTCCAGGACATCAATGGATCCCTTGTAGCTGTTGATCTTTTGCAGCCAGAACGACACCTGGATGCGGATGCCTAGCACTTCGTCCGAGAAGGGGTCTAGCCCGACCTCCTTGACTTGCTCCATGGCCTTTTTGTAGTACTTCAGCGCCATCTCCGGGTCGGGCTTGTAGTTGGTGTAGTAGATTGCCCGTCGCAACGTGTTTGCCACAGGTTCAGGGTACCGGCTGAATTCGGAATTGTAGAAGCTGACGACGTAGGAGCGGATGGCAACGGCGGACACAGCAAGAGTCAACGCGAGCCTTGGAAACACAAGTCAGCACGTCGCACAGCTATGGTGGTGAGTGTGGCGGTCGGGGCACCGAGTGTGTACAAGACGATGTTCATGCTCGTCGCAACAGGTGAGTCCCTGTACGCGGTTCGAACGCCACGCGGGCTCACGGCGACAGCCAGGTTGCGCAGACTAGTGCCCAGCGCGCGCCCAACAAACCGCCGGAAGGACACTTGAGGCCTCCTCCGGTCCTCGTCTCCCCGCGAGGTCGACTGCCATCTCGTCTGGTGCGGCGCCGACGTGGCCGCGGCTCCGAGGCTCAGGCCGGCGGCCCGCGACTTGACCTGTACCGATAAGAATCCCGCAAGACACCTCCTCTGCAAGGGCGAGGTCGAGGCAATCGCCGTGGCGTGCATTGCTTCGGCAACTCGTGCACACTTGTTCGCGCGGGAGGGCTGGAGGTCGATGGTCCAAGGAATTTGCTGCTCGGTCGAGGTCCGAAGAGCGGCGACGCTTTTCTTGCGCGGGCAGGCAACCGAACCGACGCTAGTCCCGACTGGGTCCGTGCGTCGCGTCACGTCACGACCAGGTGGAGGGGAGAGTTGGCATGGAAGAAAAGAAAGTTGCATTCCCGTGCCCATCGTCGGCACTTTGCTCAAACCACTCACGTTCGCGGTATTTCTCAGACCATCGAGCCATGGCTGGCAGATTCGAGCCCAAGGTCCCCGTTCGGTTGAACCCGCCCAAGGACGACCCCATCTCCGTAGAGGAGCTGGCAAAGGCAACTGGTATGTCCGTCCATCCATCCGACGACTCCTCCACGAAGCCGTCCGACCTCGTGCGAGAGGCGTGCCGCATGCCTGTCTGTGCGGGCGGGAAAAGAAAAAAAGAAAAAAAGGAGGATGTTTGCTGTTGGGAGAGGTTCGACTCACTATCGAGCCGATACGACGACCGACGACGAGGTGGATTGCGATGTCCTCGCTCTTGGAGCGGGGGCTTCGAAAGATGCCGCACATGAGCATGACGCAGAGACCCGGGCTTGTGATGCTGACTGGCGAAACGCAGGCGTTGATGGTGGAAAGTGTTACGTGGCCATCAAGGTACAATGGGGCCATCAACTGAACAAGAGCACATTTTTCTCCTCTTCTTCCTTATTATCAAAGTATCCAAACACCAATGGTCTTTCGGGGCTCGTCAACTGATCTGTCGTCTGCAGGGCAAAGTTTACGATGTGACTGGCAACAAAGCATACCAGCCAGGGGGATCATATCACGGTGCGTGCTGTGGAGCCCTGCAACAGCTTGGGCTGGCGGCTTTAAGAACTGACATGTCAGCAATAGTCTTTGCGGGAAAAGATGCGTCAAGAGCCCTTGGAAAGACATCTACCAAGCCAGAGGATGTCCGGCCGGAGTGGCATGACCTGGAGGATAAGGAGATAGAGACGCTCAACGACTGGATCACATTCTTTTCCAAGCGCTACAATGTTGTTGGTGTTGTTGAGGGAGCTGAAAACATGGAATAGTGCCATCATATATACCACAGTGGAACAGAGAAGGAAGAAAAGAAGAAATGTGGTTCGTTCCACTGACGGGCGCTATTACGAGAAGCGAGAAGTATGGTTGCTGTTCTCAAGACTTTGAAGACGCAAATGCAAACGACCTGTGATTTTTGATTTCCGAGCACCACAAACTCGAATCGAAAAAGTGTCCGGGTCATGTTGTTGCTGCCAATTTGTCAATCATCACTTTATTCCGCTGTCATGCGGAAGTGGCTTGACAGTGTAGCATGACTGGTTTGCAGTTACACAGGGTTGGACAAGGAGTAACGACATCAAAAAAAGGGGGCAAAGACAAAACTAAAAGTTGACCCGACGAGTTGAATCATGCCCTCGGCACGTCTCGGCCGCTGTTGACTCGGTGCTCCAAGTCATGGCACTGACGCCGAATACCAGACCCTCTTGTCCCTTTCCTCTTTGCCCTTGTCCGTCAGATCAGGACGGGATCCTCCCGGTTTTGCGCCAGTTGGTTGGGCAAATGCGGCGTTGTTGGTACTGACATGCTCAGAGGTGGTAAGAAAAGTCCAAGGTGCAAGGTGAGAGAGATGAAAGAGCTCCATTTCGTATTGGGTTGCGAAGTCAGGATATATGAGATGACTTGAACCATGGGATCAAGCCACACCTGACTGACCTGGGAGGCATGAAATAGGAAAAGAATTTTCCGTCCTTCACTTTGCATGTAGCATCACATGTTTAATTTCGTGATGTGAATTTTTAACAAAGTACTCCGTAAGTAGCAAGATTACGTACGATATTGCGATGCCGTTCATGCAATTCGTACGGAGTATGTCTTGCAGGTTTATCGCATCGTTCCCATCTCTCACCTGCAAACCCGCCAGGGTCAAGAGTGACGCCATCAAATGCGCGGTCAGTTGTTATTCACGATGTGAGATACACTGGGAATTTTGGCAGAGTGTTGCGCCCACGAGGTCAGGCGCAAACAAATGGCTTGACAAGGCCAGCGCGCTGGGACGGGATGGGCGTGTAATTCAGTTCTACCACCTTTTAAACCCCTCTTGGTTGCCTCGTCGTTGCCTTGCCGGAATGTCGAACATCGTAAAAGTACCGGGTATCGAGCTTGACATCGGTTTTCCAGAGCGATACAAACTAGACGGGCAAGGTGCCAGATTCCCCGGCACTGGACAGTCATGCCACGGCAGTTGTTGATTGGATGGCCCATCACCGAAGCTCAAGGTTCATCGAGTCTCGAGCGGACGTCCAAGGTCAGAGTTGAAAGGACGTGACGCATCCGGGGCCGTCCCCCATTGCAAGGCATGTTGCACAGCTGCCGGGTTGACGAATTGGTGAGCAGCCTTGAAAGTGAGGCGGACGACAATGCGCACCACCTCCGCTTTTCACCTTTCGAGTTGGCCAAGTGACTGCTACATGCCATGCCCGCCGAGAGATGAGGTGCAGACGAACATGCAAGCAGGCGCATGATGCAGACAGGGAGTGTATCGTAGTTACTTGAGTATGAAAAAGGGAAAAAAAAAATTAACGAGCCTTGGACGGGACGTCCAGAGATTGAACGTACTTGAGTACCCGGCTGTACCTACCTGTTAGGTCGACAGATACCCGCAGACAAAAGATAGATAAACAGACAGTACAAGCACCTGCAAGCCACGGGGTTGTAAAAATGGAGTCAATTTGGTAATGTCAAGTCAACTGGTTTGGTATGCGCTACTCCAGTCGATGCTCCTCTCCGGCAGTCAACGGCAATTAGGCCCATTGGCCCTTCCAGCTTCCAGGGCGAGCAACTGCCCAACTGGCAACTGCCACGCCCAGTCACCCACCCAATCACCCAACCTGGCCCAGCTTGACCACCCTTCCATGTTCCCCGTGTCCTCTCTGATGGCTGAATCCTGATGGCTGATGGCTGATGGCTGATGGCTGATTCTTGAATCTTTGCAGCCAGACGGCATCCGTCCATCGCCATGTATCTCGCATCTCGCGGCTCCCTTGCCGTTTCACTACACCCTTTGCGTCGCATTGCCGCATTCTCTGATGCGGTTCGTTCCCTTGGCCATCGTTGTTATGTGCTGATTTGGCCTTGATGAAGGAACAAACCAACTCGAGACCGTCACCTTCGACCTCACGCAAACTGCTTGGCACCACCCACTTGGCCCTCTTGTAACTTGCTCCTTTGTGTTGTGTATCCCCGACCCGGATTTTGCGTGCCATATCAATGGCACTGGGGTTCGGCTTGCCAATCACGATCTGGGGCCAAGTTTGAATTGTCGTGGGTTTGCTGCTTTTTCCTGTACCACCACGTTGGCATCAGGTTCATCGCGCTCCCTCAAAACAGAGCCTATGACTCCATAGCTCATTCTTCTCCCTTCCCCTTTCACCGGCTCACAACCCACGGTCGATTACCCGCGGCACCTTCACCTTCCGGAATCTGTCTGTCTCAACGTTTGAACGCGCTAGACGTTGTTTCTGTCCCACCCCCCGGGGGTTGCCTTGGAGCGCTGCCAGTCCATCCTTTGGCATCACCTCACTGTACCATGAGCTCTTCACAGACTTTGTTGGGCACTATAACTTTTCTCGTTGCCGGACGACGCGGTGCTTCTGAGTTCATGTCGATGTCTAGCCGCTCATCTGGAGGATAAGCCTTACGTATATCGACTATTCGGTATCTTGGTCGATCTTCGCTTGTTACTGTGTCCTGTTCTTCGTTGCAAGCTATTTTGCTCTCCGGCCAAAGGGCCGTGGACTCATTTGGTCAGCTCGTCTCTCCGGGCGCAAGCTATCTTCTTGCCGCTTCCCGCGTCCTTGTTGCTGTTGTGGGAATAGGCCGCTCTCTGTCCAACCACCTCCCCTCAACGTGCCGGATTGACCTCGTCTGGGAGAATGCAACCTGGCAATAGAAAGCCCCTTGGTAGGGGCCGTCAATCCTACCAGAGGAGTAGGGGATATAATGACGACAGACCTCAGCATTCCAATATGAACCCATGGGGTTATCAGTGCTTAATGCCTTCCAGCGGCGACAGTATGACGCAGTTCGTTTTCCAAAAGTTTACAGCAGACGTGGCCGATGACCCATTTGTCCCAACAGGACTCATAGCTCAATTTACCTTGGAAAGACAGCAGGACCAGAACGTTCTTGATTCACAGGCACCACCTCCACCACCACCATTACACCAATCCTTTTTCCCCGGCGACGTTTTACACCACAATCTAGGCAGATATCCGAGACACGATGACTCTGGTTACGGCGGTAGTCGTGTATCTCACACTGTAACAAGTCCTTCTATCGATGCTGGACAAGAAGGCAGTTGGTCTCAGTTACAATGCGAGTTGTGCGATGATTTCAGGGCCAAGAATAAATCAGAATTAAAGTACTGTTATGCCAAAGAAGAAAAGACCCAAATAATTAAAATATGGTTACCTTTCAACAGCACTAACAGGATAGTTAGGAAACACATGCATCGCCATACAAAACCCCATAAATGCACCGTCCCGGCATGTCCCAAAGGGTTTGCGACGGCGAATGACCTCGACAGACACAAGAGAACTGTTCACCGGGATGAATGCGCCAGCGAGAGCAATTCAATTGTGTACAAATGTACGCATTGTTTAACCGAACCTGGCAAGCAAAACAGACGGAAGAAGCAAGAATGGCCAAGAAAGGATAACTTCATCGCACATCTTGCGAGGATTCATGGTATCAACGCCTCTCATGCGGATAGTCTGGATCAATATATTGATCGAAACCAGTCACAGCTTCTGAATTTGACTGATATTGCACGAAGTAGCAACACGGACGCGGCGCAACGAAACGACCTGACGGGGGTGGGCACTCTCCCAGACCTGATCGCTCCTCAAACAGAGGATGCATATGTAAAGCAACTTGCAAGTTTGACAGGAGGCCAAGCCAATGCTCTCACAGAGCAACGTCTAAGGAAATTCTGGCAGAACAACTCTGCGCACTTGGAGAAGAACAACATGTTTGAGTCCTCTGAAGAACCCCAATGCATCAGCCCGCACATGCTGGGACGAGGATTTCCCGAAGGTTTATTCGGCTTTTCATGTGAGACTGCACAAAACAGGCCTCTTGATTTTGAACTTTCGAGCAATCACGTCATGTCAGATTCTCTGCTGCAAACTGACGACAACGTCGCAAAATTGCAATACCCAGGCATTGCAACCAATGGCAAAGAAGCCACTGGCTCTGGTGTGGGTAATGACGAAACTGACGTACGCAATTTCAATCACTTTGGACATCCAAGTGCTCCCGAAGCAATTGTGCCAAAGCCCCCTGAGCCAGCAGTGCCATATTCGCAATCTGATCATGGAATAGCTCACTGTGATTTGATGGACGTTGTTAAGAAGTTGGAGCTCGAGAAGCCGACATATCCACCGTCCAGTCTTGCAGAACACGTAAAAATACTGCCCCAAGAGGCTCGGGATGCCCTCGTGGCTGCTCTCCGAGGTTCCGGCCTGGGTGACGATGAGCAGGGCATGGTTGACATCGATACGGCAAAGGGTCAAAAGGCATGTCACATGTGTCGGAAAAGGTTCAAGCGGCCCTGTGAACTGACGTACGTATTTCTGTCGAGTCCGTCATAACTCCCCCCCCTCATTTTGAAGACCAAGCTGAGATGGAAGTAGCAAGCACATGAAAAGACATTCAAAGCCGTACGGATGCACCTGGAGGGGATGTTCCAAGACATTTGGCAGCAAGAACGACTGGAAGCGACACGAAAGCAAACAGCATTATCATGTAGAGACGTGGGTATGCGATTTGGAATATTGCCCAAAGAGGCGTTGGAATCGTCGCGATACATTCAAGGCGCATCTTGTTGAAGAACACATGTTCGACGGGCTGGAAGCGATAGAAAGCAAGGTAGAACAGTGTCGTCGTGGCGCCAATGGCGACACAAAATTTTGGTGCGGCTTCTGCGTGAAGTATATCGATGCGGCACCACCAACGGCATGGACCGCGAAGTTTGACCACATCGACAACCACTTTTGTGGCAAAGACAGCATGGAGCAGAAGAGCATCGACGAATGGACACATGATGAGCTCGAAATCGGGGAGAACATAGAACAGGCGTCAAACGGCGCAACGAAGAGCGCCCCCGTTGCCTTTCAAGGTTTTCCGTTGGACACGACCGGGGTTCGCAAGAGGAAGGCGAAGTCAATAGACGTCGAGTCGCAACCACTTGAAAAGAAACATGATCAAGGCCTCAGGTTGGCCGAAATGTGGTATTGTGTAAGCGCGCTCGTTTGATTCAAGTCTTGGTGAAGCTTACTAACTTTGGTAGTGCGTTTGCACTGCCTTCTTGAATATCAGGACTTCGCCAAGTTGTATTACCTGCGAACATGTCCGCTGCGACTTTTGCCACGTTTCACGGGAAGTCCTTGAGAACGAAGAAGATGCAATGAGCTATCAGTTCAACGACATGGAGCTCTTGGCGAGTGAAATGTAGCCGTGCATGCGCGGATAAGGCTTCAAAATCCGAGTGGGGTCATGATGGGTTGATGTGCGCAATGGGTGATGATTATTCACGATGCGGTTTGTACTAATTCTTAATTCTCAAGCTGGCACAAGCTCATGGCGCAACTGCATGCACGGTAGAGCGAGAGTGGTGGTTGGGGGCACAGCGGCCGGAGTAGGGGTGGTATAATAAAGGAAAAGGGCCCCCCTTCTGCCTCGATACTGCGTCGGCGTGGCGGCGGCTTTGTGTTGTTTCGGGTGCATTTCATCTGTCGACGCTTGGGAAAGCAACCATGGTGCTTGCTGCAGGATAAATTCCTTACTTAGGATGTAGCTGGTCCGGTGGTGTAAGTTGCTGTGCAGCATAGGCCCAGGCCCCGGCCCCGGGCCAGAGGCGACATAGTAGTAACTAGTTACTGGTTGCTACGGAGTAGTTGGAATAGATATTATGTGAACCCCGTCGCCGGGTAGGGAGGGAGTAGTGGTACTCCATAGTATCCGTCTCGGTACTGGAAAATGACTGATCACAAAGCCCCCCCCCGTTCTGTTGGCATCACGCTGCCTCTCGGCGATGCCAGCACCAGTCCGCACGCAAAGGCAACGATACTCCCGAGTCCCAAGTCCCAAATCCCAACCCACTCCCACCGGTGCTATTTGCATGCCCCCAGTCCCCATCATCTTGTCCCCTCCCCCCCAGAATCCAGGTCTGTCGGTGTTGCCGCACCATGCACGAGATCAACGACAACACGGCCCTGCCGCCGGACATAACCACGGCGCAGTGGGCGCTGCGCGCGTGTTGCGCTGCCCAATATCAAGGCCTCTCTGGCGGCCTGCATAGGTAACTTACATGGGCACGGTATTGTACGTCCCCAGGCTCCTGAGTCCTAGGCCTGCACTCCTCGACGGGGTGCAGATGCAGCCCGTCCCTTTGAAGGAAATGCTGGGCACTTGCGGCTGACGGAGAAACATGGCCGGATGTTTGCAAAGGGCCGAAGAGCGAGCCACGGGGGATTTGACGTGGCCGTCGTGACTCGTGGGCAGCCGCGGGTGAAGTCGCAGTCGCCGTGCCCCGTGGTCGCAAGTACGTGGCAGTTCCCTCTTTTTTTTTTTTTTGGGTCGCCGGCACCGAGTATTCCTCAAACTCTTGGGCTGGATGGGGTTGAACAACGAGCTATGACCAGACCTGTCGGAGGGCAAGGCCACCGCGGCGCCAGGTCCTGGGCAGTTGGCCGTAATATTGGCTGGCCGATGGGGACTGTTGAGCCGTTGCGTTCACCGCGATTCTTTGTTCAGCCGGGGAGACGAAACGAACACTTGGATAGAGAGATGGCCTTGATCTCGGCCCGTGAAGGGATTGACTACTGGGTGGCCTTTCCGCCGGTCCCGCCGGCCCCTTTCAGCAGTCGTCATATGCCGCCATCAACCCTCCCGTTTCTTGTTGGCCAGCGCTGGTGGGCGTTTGGATGGCGGACCTTGTCTGCCGTTGAAGAATGTCTAACTTGTACGCCTGCCGTAAGACACAGACCGTCCATTTTTTGCTCATGGACAAGCCAACAACTTTGGGGTGCTGGCTGGGCGATCAAGGGCATCAATCATCCATCCGTCGTCGAGCTGGGGAGGGAGAAGAAAAGATTTTTTTTTAAAAAAAAGGCCCGCTCGAAAGCAACCCAGTAAGTACATGTTGTGACAGTCTCAGTCATCTTCAAAGGTCGCACAGGCTATGGGGGATGGCTTACCTGGTCATCCTCTTTCTGATCCCCAACTCTGCTGGGGTTACACGACTTCTCGTGAAAGCCGGCGTTTTTGGAGGGCCCAAACTCTTTTTGTCAGTGTGCCATTCAAGTTGCCAACGCCACTGCACTTTTTGGAGCCAAGATATACTTGGGAGTCTTGGACAATGGGGGCCGGCATGGACTATTATGGAGCATCGAGTAGCTGGCCCTTTGATCTAAACCGGTCTGCAATATCCAGGATGGACGTTGCACGCCATTCCCGCTCTTCAGCTCAACTTCCGGGGCGGGCAGGATTCAGGCGTCCTGACGGCGACGAGGCGTCGTTGGTGAACAAAACGACGAGGCAACTTGGACCATGTACGCTCGTCGCCTGTTGGTTGGGCGCGCTAGGCAACAGATGCAAGGTTCTCTCTCGGTGGGTGTGGGAACCACGGTGAATGTAGTTATTGATTGAGACATTCATAAAAGTCTTGTTTCAATAGCCTGCGATTGGCAACTCACTATTATGGGGTACGGACTACGGAGTCCTACTCCGTACAGTCGGGTCAATGGAAGACTGGGCATTCGTGTCGAGCTGATCGTGTACGGATTTGGTCCAAGAAGAGGAGGGCCTCTTTCTCTGACACTGAAACGAATACTGTGCAAACCGCTGGCCATTGATGCAGCCTTCCTTGACCTCTGACATGTCTCTATATGCCACGGGACTCGTGTCTCCATCTCGACGGACTCGATCTCAGCCTCAAGCATTGTGGCGGACAAGTGGTAGCCATGGCGCAGGGTAATCCAGGTGGCTATTGCTGCCATCTCATACTCGGTACCCGGATTGTGAAGCAGAAAACATGACAACAGGCCCTATGGATGATGTTTCGGTATTTGTTTGCGGCCAGAGAGATATTGGCACTCAAAATCCAACCGACATGGCAGAGGGCTGCATCAGCGCCGCGGACCCGGTCTTCCCAGGTTCACGGGGCACGATAGAGCACGGAGTGGTCAAGTAGCTCGACTGGACGACAGAACGGCGATTCCACGACGGCCAGATGGACAATATACCGGGGCCAAATATCGGGCGCGCCTCCTGAGAAGGCGTGTGTGTATCCGATCCAGAAGTGAGGTTCCAAGAGGGACTCATTCTTGGGAATTAGGAATAGGTGTGTGCACGGATAGACTGCATGTTGAAAGACTTCCAGTTGGTCTGGTGGCTGCTTAGCCATCTTTGCGTATTCGAAGGACCGGTTGTCGGGAGCCAACCAACACAGAAGCAGGGCATTTCCGAGGAGCCAAGTCGACAAACCTGAGGCGTCTCGTCTGCCATAGTGGCAGAAGAAGTGATGATTCGCTGGCCTGAAAGATGTAGACAGCCACCTCGTCGACGGAACATTTCCGTCCCAGGCAGAGCTTGAGAAGCAGCTCTTGTGCGACCACAGGGCCTTGTGGAACGAGTTGAATGGCTCCGACTCGCTTTCATACAGCAATTTCGATACGCTAGCCAAGTCTGGCTTTGGCAAGGTAAGGTAATACCGTTGGTTGATCTTGAAATCTGATGCTACTCCGTAGAGTGGCACGCATTCGAACACCATCTTTGTTCTAGAGACTCATGCGCTCCGTTAGCGGTTCCGTTTTAACCAAAGGAAGCCCGGTGTGGAGGCGCGGCAACGTCAGCCAGGTTTTTGAATCACGGCATCGTGGACACGATGTACCACTGGCAGGATTAAAATGGGTTTTCGGCTACATCAGATAACTGGCCATGGTGGGCGACACCACCGTAGGTATGATATCCGAGTGCACATTTGGCGACAGGCAAACGTCTCTTGCCAACAAAGGAGCCAGCCGGCAGGATGTATCGGGTTACTAAGACAATATTGAACGCTTGGCGATTTGAGCCGTGTGCTAACGATTGAAGCCGACGGACGATCCAGCAACGACCGGTGACCGACGTGTCACTTTTCCCTCGGACGCCATGTGGCAGCGGATCCTGGGAGACGGGACCCTTGGACTATAGAGCCGGGAGCGAGCAGGCAGGCGGCAGACATTGTCGATGTTGGTTCGGGTCTGCGATTCTCCTTTAGAAATGCCATTGCCAAGTTCCATGCAAGGTCCCAGGCCCAAGCCCTTGGCCTCTCAGCAACGGTGGACTGGGAGGAAATGCGAGGGTCGGTCGAACTTGCTTGATCCAGCAGTTACGACTTTCCCTTGGCCCGAATGGGTCGTGCTATTTGTGCTACCAACCCTATCTATTCGTGCTACCGCAGCTCGATTTAGCCTAGTGACTAACTGCCTACACCCCACTATACATTTTTACATACACCCGCATAGTTGCGCCTGCTTTTTAGAAATTTAATTAGTGTTTAAATTAAATCTATTATTTTTTTAATAATGCAAGCCTAGACGAGCGCTAGCAGCGCTTAAATCGCTTAAAAATGCAATTTCTAGTGTTTTTAATAAATATATATATATTATAGGCTGTAATTGTTCTGCTGCCTAGGCTGTTAATTATTCCGCTGCCTCTAAGGGCGCTGCCCAGGCTCCTAAGGGGTTATCCATTAAATCTATAGCGACCTTAATACTGCTGCTTGCTCTGTAGCTTGTCTACTTATTAATTGAGGTTGTATGTTATTTATAGCGTTTATTAATTGCTGCCTTAACTGTATTATAAGTCTTCTTTGTTATTACGTCTTAAATTATTTAACTAATTTATCTTATATTGCTGTATATTATATGCTTAGATTAGTTTGTTAGCAACCTTAAGAGCCTAATTAAGGCCTTTAACTTAGCTGTTAACTGCTATTATTATTAGAATTTTAGTGTTATATATTTAAGGGCAGCAGGCAGCGTCTTCTGCAATTAATTCTATAAGGATAATAAATTTAAAGATATAGAGCATTAGAAGTCTATAAGTTAATATTAAGTATATTTTCTGTAATAAATTAATAGAGATTAAAACTAAGACTTACTAGCAGCTTTATAAGCTACTAATAATAAGAAATATTGCTTCTTTTTAAGGGCTATTATACTTATAGCTTTAATAGGATAATATATATATAAGGCAGCATAAATTAGTATATAAAAGAGCAATTTCCCTTATAAAGTTAAAGCTATTTACCTTTACAATAATTAGCTTCTGCAAGCTTATGCTAGCAGGCTAAGAGATTAACAGCCTTATAGAATATTTGTATAGGTAAATTACTAAGCTATTTGCTGTGCCTATATGTATTTTGCTGCTAAAGCTCTATTATAGCTGCTTTTTAAGAATATTTATAATCTTTTTTAAGAATTATCTACTAAATTAATTAAAAGAGTATAAATAGATTGCTATTACTAATATATATATAGAATTTTGCATTATAATATACTGCTTTAATTAGACTTATAGTTATATACCTAAAATTCTAATAAAATTAAGTATAATAATAAGCCTACTACTTGCGCTAACTATAATAAGTATTCTTAATGTAATTAAGAATGCTTTATTGCTGTAAACTATATATATTCTTTATCTAGTTCTATATAGAGTTAAATGCTTTAATTTCTTATGTATAGATAAGTAATTTAACTACTAAAGTAAGGCTATTTAGGCATTTATTAAACGCCTTAACTTCTAGGTTATTATTATTATTATTATTATTAGAAGGTTTTTAATAGAAGAGGGTTTTTGCCTTTACATTTATAAATATATACTAAATATATATCTATTGCTGTATCTTAGGGAAAACAACTTATAGAGCGTTTTTAAGTGCTTTATTAAAGTTAGTTATAACAACTTTAGGCGCCTTAATTTTGTGTTAATTTTATATTTAATTAAGGCCTAGTAAAATCTATTAAAAGGCAGGTTTATTCTCTTTTATTACAAGAGTAAATATAATATTTGCGCTAGAGTTCTAGTCTATAATAGCAATTACTTAAAATAAGTGTAATTTATAGTAGTTAGTCTTATAAGTATTATCTATATAGAGAACTTAAGGGAAAACTTTCTATTAATTAATGCAGGACTTATAAGTCTAAACAACTAATTCTAAATAGCTCTTATTATTATATTTAATAATATATAGTAAATCTTGCTCTTTAAGAAGCTTAACAACTTATTATATTAAAGAAAATCTATTAAGCTTCTTTATATAAGCTTTTGCAACTTAGTTATAGAGGTCTTTATAGCGAAAATAAACCTCTATTTCTTCTCTTTCTGCTATATTACAAATAATATTATCTATCTTACAAACTAGAAGAGCTTAGTATTATATAAAGTTTGTAAGGTGCTCTATTAAAGTAACTATAAACCTTTAATATATTAGCTTAGCTAATAAGTTAAGAAATTAACTATAATTATACTAATAATATATTACTTTATAAGTCTAAACTTAATTTATATTAACTATTATAGTTACTAGCTAAAGCTTAAACTTATAGTTATTCTTTTTAGTAGCAGCTTATTAAATTCTACTTGCTTAAGATATTCTTCTAGAGCTATAATAGCATAAAAAGCTACTATACTAAGGCTACTACTTTCTGCTAACTTTAATAAACTTAGTTATAAAGCTTTTAATAAAGGCAGTACTATTTGCCTTACCTTAATTCTATAAATCGTTAAAAAAGTAATTAAAGTTGCTATAAGCTCTTAGTAGCAGTATTTTAGGAATTAAGCAGCTAGAATCTTTATTATTAAGCAGCAGCTTAAAGTTATTAAAAGAGGGTTTAAGCTGTACTTTAGGGAAGACATTAAAACTTATAAATTTAGGTAGATAAGTGTTATCTATTAAAGATATAAGAAAAGCAGTATTTTAGCGTAATTATAGAGTTTAAAATTAAGCTTAATATTATACAATTTAGCGATATTATTATAGAGTTGCAAAAAGGCTGCCTAGGCGGCTGCACTTTATTTTTTTTGTTGTTGTAGAGCATTTTTATAAGACTCGATAGTTGCCAGGGCAATGTATGTAAAATTATATAGCGGGGCGTGGCGGGTCAGGGTGTAGGCCTAAAATCGGGGTGGGGCGGTAGCACAAATAGATAGAGTTGGTAGCACGAATAGCACAGCCCGGCCCGAATACTGTCCGCTTTGGTGATGTCAGTAATGTTGGTGAAGGACAGGGTGTGGGCTGATGGATGGGAGATGTCACAGCCAGCTCTTGACTGGTCGGCGGGCGGGCCTGAGCCACGTTGCTTCGACTGGCGAAGACCAAGTACCGAGCAGTGGTGTTCAAATACTGTGTTATGCAGGACAGTGGGCGAGGCGGGCAAGATGCGTCATGCTACAGTTGGTGGTGTCAAATTGAAGGTGTCGCGGGCTCGAATTTGAGGCGGCGGACCAGACCAGACGCAGCTGTGCGGACCTGCAGCTGGGGCTGCCGAGACCATGCGCAAACGCAGCTGGGGGGAGGAAGGGTATACTTATGATGCCGTGTTCAACACGCACCGAGTACTTGGTCAAAGTACTCAAAGTACTTCATGCCGATCCCCTCCATTGTGGTAAGGCTCCAGCGAGGTATCCGCGGGGATGTGCACCCAACAAGAAGCCAGATCTAGAGGGTACATCAATTTCCTAGCAAATTTAGTGAGCAAAAAAGTCCCACATTGCAGCCGCTTGGTGCCAGCGATTGAGGGCATCGTCAGATAGAGCCCTGAAAAAAAGGCCTTTGAGAGCCTTTCGACCGAGGCTTGCCAACCTAACACCTCTAGCAAGCAAGGCAATACAATAGAGGTCAAATTAAAGGCTTACAATATGTTAGTGTCAAAGGATAAAAGTGCTGCAAGCCTTATAAGGCCGCTAGAATGCTACAAAATCTCGGTAGCTTCGTGAAATGCTGTTGTTTTAGTGTGCTGAAATTTAGGCTGCTACCAATGTCACCTTAGGTCACCAGCGGTCCGCAGGGATGTTGTGGAGCTCGCGACTCCACTAGAGCCATGTCACGAGAGAGGGAATATGACAATGCCCATGACGGTGATGTTGATGCTGGTGCGGGTGCGGCTGCCGATGCTGGTGCTGGTGCCGATGCTGGTGCTGGTGCTGGTGCTATTGCTGATCTGGTGCTGATGCTGCTGCTGATGCTGCTGCTGCTGATGCTGCTGCTGCTGATGCTGCTGCCGACGCCGACGTCGATGCTGGATGCTGCTGATGCTGATGCCGATGCTAATGCTGATTGATTGGTGCTGATGCTGATGACACCACCCGTGGAGTGCGTGTCTGTTTGTCCGGTGCCTCCCCTGGCTGTGACATTGAAGATGACAGGCGAGGGCGTGGCTGAAGCCATGGAGCATGGTCAAAAATAACCCTAGGCTTGTGCCCTGCACATGCGCAGCACTAGTGCTACTGGGAACGTGCCCGGGTTACCTTACGGAGTACAGTTAAGTAAGTACGTAGGTACGGAGTACTTTAGTAGACGACATGGACGTTTCTATTGGACTCTTATTCTTTTCTGGGCTGTCTGGCTCAAGCGCCGTGGGGCAGCAGGCCAGGCCACGACTCAGGTGCTCAGGCCCAGCTTGGGTTCAACCGGCATGCCGGCTCTTTTGTCCTGGCCTGGCTCTCCCACTCCAGCTCAGTTGGGGAAGGTGCGCTCGAGTGGCTGTCGTTTCCGTGGTCCCCGCGTGCCGCCACCCGCTTCGACCGCCGCCGGCGCAGTCGACGAGCCATGATTGTCATGCCAGGCACCAAGGACAATCGCAGAGCAGGAAGGCGGGACTCTGGACTCTTGACTCTGGAGATGCCGCCAACTGGTCTTCTCACCTTGTGCCAGACAGACTATTGACGGTTTTGCCAACGATGCCGGCCGGTCTCGTGCGGCCCGCGGGTTGTCGTTGGCCAGTCAGTCATGACCTTCATTCCTGTTTCTTCCGTCTTTTGTGCAAGTCGATGCCAACTCAGGCTGTCTCTGACATCTGTCTCGAACTCTCTACGCAGTACGGAGTCCCGCTGCAACCATTTCTCCAGCTGGGGGGGGCCAACTCGCGCCCACGACGACCCTTCGCGCCTACGGCGGACCGGTCGACCATTCGCACGATACTCGACCGTCCATGGTCCATGCCGCCCCCATCTTCACGTCCTTGGCTTGGTTAACGAATGCCCACGCCGTGTAACAGGTTCATTGCCAATGCCACAATGGGTGCTTTGTGCGTAGCCTTCTGTGCAACCTCTATTGCCATATGACATCCCATGGTCCCCGAGTACATTGCGGGACATATGACATGCCATGTCCTCATAACTAACCGCCACGGCAGCTTGTCAGCTCTAGACGAGACTCGAGTCGAGCCGAATGCCATGCGACGTCTGATGGAAATTGAGAATGACAAGCTCTTTTCCGCCCCCGCGCACTCACAGCCCCGACGATAGGCGATGCACCAGAGACGCCGAAAATAGAAGCCACGCCTGGTCAGCTTCAACTCGTTCTCTCTCACCATTCTCTTCCCACCCGCACAAACCAACAAGCAACCTCACACAACCGCACACGCTAGTGCGGCCACTCATATGCCCAGCTCCCCCCCCAAAAAAACTTGCCATGCCTGCAGTGTTACACAGGACCATCCAACACTTTTCAGGACGCCTAGGGAGCCAAATGACTCTATGTTGTCCGCCGCTCCTGATGGCCATGTGTGTGCGTGTGTGCGCGTGTGCCTGTCTGTCTGTGGCCCGGCCGTTCAACCCCCAGTACTTCGTGTGTTTGTCTCTAAATTAGGTTTGGCCCGACGAGCTGCAGTTTCCGGAACAAGCTTGAGGCACCTGTAACCAACCTTTAGTCCAGCTTCAAGACCAAGAATCAGCCCTTGAGGCCGCTTGTCTCTTCGCTTCTTATTCCAAACAAAGGGAGTGCGGGAAAACTGGGAGCTCTGGCTGACGTGAACGCGTGTCGAACAGTATTCGTAACCATGTTCACGGCCACCATTCCCCACGATACGTCTAGTCACTTCTGCACTAATTATTTGGTGTCATAAAAACCTCGCAGTAAGCCATCGTAGTTGGCTGGCCGCGGATATGACAGTCTACGGACCCTGAACGTGGGCACGGCATCATTTGGCCTGTTTTCTACGCGACATCCAGGCCCAGATTCGTTTACCTGAGATTGGCGTACGCCAATGCGGTGCTCACACTGGATCCGAAGCCAGCCCCAGACAGGATCCCGGGAGGGTAACACCCGAACAAGATCCCTCTCTTTGCATCATGACATACGGAGTACCTTGGGTAGTGGTACGGACTACAGGGCACTCCGTACCTCACTCAGCACAGAAAATTGCCCTACTTGTGTGACGAGGCCGCCCAGCCTTATTTGCATTGTAGGCAGGGCGCTTGTCTCAAATTTCGAGTGCGGATCAGGCATTTGTGGACAATGCACAACCAAAAAAAAAGAAAGAAACACAGTACTAGAATAAAAGAAAGAGGCAGGTTGGGAGCAGAGGATGATGACTGAATTCAAGGTGGAAATGGCCAGGAATACGCCGTACCCTGAGCGACATATTCTTCTACTACTCCTACTACCTACCTGCTTACTACCCAACACATGGGCGATTGTTCTCGGCAAATGCTCCGGCGATGGAACCTTCAAACCGCTGCTACGACAAAGTGGTAAGGTTCGTTGAACTGCCAGCTCCCAGGCGATGCTCCATGCACACACATTTCCCACGACTGGAGCGTGCGAACAGGGTTTCCCAATGCAAAATGAAGATAGAGTGGCAGAGGCGTCTTCATTTGTGGGCGCCTCGATTCCTATTTGTCTTTTCATCACTCTGCAGGTGTGACTCTATCAAAGCCATCAAGTTGTCAACCATGACGCAGAAGTTCTGGAACTCCAGACAGCCCTTCTGGTGTACATGACGACCTGAAACTGGACACTAGGGCATGAGGGGATGGCCACTCTGAGATGCGCGACGCCCGTGATGCCTGAGTTGGCTGACGAGGAATGTTTTCTCGGCCGACAGAACAACATGAGCAAGCAGCATTTCATTACTACACCACTTGTCCACTTGTCGTGGATTGTCCAAATGCCAAATGGATAACCAAGCGGCCCACACCTTATGCTTCTCTGGAGTCCGGACAAGGGGAAGGGTGCGCACGCTGGACCGACCCAATAGACCTGTGTGTACGGAGTATGTGTACGTACGTATGTATGTACGCGGGTTACGGGTACCCTCCAAATAATGACGAAGTCGAAAGTACGGAGCATCCATGCAGGACGCGAGAGGGAAGGGTGGGGGGCGTCCAGAACATTCACGTTGAAAGCAACTCTGAGGCTCTGCTGCTCTGCTACTCTGCTGCTCTGCTGCTCTGCTGCTCTCTGCTCGACCAGCCGAATCCAGTCAGCCAGGGCCCTCTCCCAGTCACCGCCAAGTACCGAGTAGGCAAGTCTTATAAGTGGCCAGCAGACGGGGGTCCGGCTTGCTTCTCACCTCTTCAAGCACGGAGAAACCGATGACTTGCCTCGTCTCTTATTTCCTATTTCTGAGTCGAATCCCTCCCTCTCCCCCGCACGTTCGGAAGCTCAAGTCCAGGAATCTAGACATGTATATCCGTCAACTTGCAGACTGTCTATGAAACTCTTCTGGAACCACCGTCTTCGTTGCTTCCTATGCATGGCCGCCATAGAACCAATTTCTGTTGGATGCTATTTCTTTTCTGACTATCTATTGCCTTTTTCACGCAGGCTGCGTCGTTCAAGGCCGGCCTTGGCACACTTCCTTCTCGTCGGCCCCAGGCGCATGTTTATTCTCTTCCGTCCGCCTCACCCCGACATCAACCACAGCCATCGGCTCGTCAACATCACATCTCGCACGACTTTCGTCTAGCTTCGGTAGCTGAGCTGACGAGCTGCTAAGCTGCTGCCTCGAACCACCTCAGCACATGGGCTGTAGGATAAGGCTCAGCCCTACGACGGACAACCATGGCATTCTCTCCCGCAGCTTGCACTATCCATTCAGACTCCTCCACAATACGGGCCGCCAAAACGTCGTATCGGGAGTCAAGGCCGACAACATCTTCGCCAGAAACTAGCCAACTTTTACATGATTTGAGTTTCAAGGTTGAACATGGTGGCAGACTCGATCCGTCTCTGGCCTCCTCTGTGTCCTTTGAAGAACTTCACCAGTTCAACACGCCTTTCCCCAGCGCGGCCCGTGTCGACTGTGAGCCAGCTGCCGAAGTCACGACAGGCTACACGACTCGATATCGCTCCCCAGCATGTGCGTACCTGTCTCCAGAGTATTCCAGCGCGTATAGTCCATCGATGGCGAGTGATGGCATGCATGAACATTCGCATGAGTCGAGCAAGATTTGGACAATGACACCAACAAGGGACGCCGAACGCAACATGCCTCACCGTACCTCGACTCCTGTGTCTTTGGGAGGGGCAGTAAACTACAGCCAGGTCTTTGTTCCCGCTTATGATGCCGCTCCCTCCAAAAGCACACCAACAAATTGGCCGCCTCACGCATCAGGTATTCATCCATCCGGGGATGTCGACTTCAACCTTGCCGCAGACCAGGCCACCAGTGGTATGGCCAACATGGCACCCAAGCAACACCAGACCCTCACGCTCAATTACCTCAACCTTGCACCCTTGCCGGAAGATGGCCCTCCCAGCTACACGTATGGCTCTGGCCCTGCCCACGGCTTCACGGACTGTACCACGTCAGTCGCGGTGCTGTCGTATGAGCGCCCCCTCTTTGAGGACCCTATTCAACTGTCCCCAGAGCCTCACACTGGGACGGCCGCAGGTCCCAGCGGCCCGAGGGCGGCGCGCCCGGTGAGGGATATTGAAGAGCCAGTCCCTCCCGTATTGCCTCGTCATACCGATGGAAGAACAACGACGTGCAAATCCTGCAGAAGGACTATGACAGGTCCAATAGAGGAGGAGGCGCACGACAGAGAGTGCGACCGGCTCCGGTGTCTGTTCCGCTTTGCGGGATGCAAAGCCAGATTCAAAGGGAAGAACGAATGGAAACGACACATCAGGACGCAGCATCTGCTCCCAATGGCGTTTGTCTGTGCGGAGTGTGACATGAAAGAGTTCAACCGGAAGGACCTCTTCAAGCAGCACCACATTCGAATGCACAGCACGGACGAGGAGGCGGACGCGTTCAAGAGGAAAAGGCCATCTAAAGCATTGGAGAAGAGGCTTCAGGAAAAGTTCCAGCAAGCAAGCCGTGGAGTTGAAACACCGCCCCTCAGGGCACACAGATGCTTGTTGCAGGGTTGTGACACCAAGTTTCCAGAAGCTGACTCTTGGGAGCGGTGCTTGGAGCACGTTGCCAAGCATCTCGAAGCCATGATGAAGGGCAGGGAAGAAGAACGCCACTACATCTTTACGAATGAGCAGATGGACACTTTTCAAAAAATGGGCGCCATCGTCTACGACAATGGGCAATGGATTCTTGGTGCGCAATCTAGTGGAGAGCGAGCTCGGAGGAACAAGAAGAAGATTGCGAGGAGACAGGCCGACGGGGGTCCCGGAGGCCCTGCCCCGAAAGCCAGGCGGTCTCGCAGAAGTTGATGCCTTGAATGATCCGGAAGTGACGCGACACGATGTGGTTCAGTGATGATGGGGCGACAAGTGCGGCTGCCTCGCCAGGGGCAATGTTTGTTCGACTACGTTTCAAAGAATTTCTATTTCTCGCCGACACAATATCCGCCGGACAAGTGCTAGAAACCAAGGAGGGAGAGGGACGAGGGCGACTGGCAGACGGGCGAAAAAGAAAGGCCAAGAGTGGAAAAGAAGACGAGGAGAGTACGTGCTTTTTGTATCTATGCTGTTTCCTTTCTTTCTTTCTTTCTTTCTTGTTTGTGTGTGTGTGTTGTTGCTGTTATTCTTGTTGTTCCTGATCTACTTTTCAACTGCTAGTCGGCATTCTCATGTCACGTTTCAAATAATGTGCTCGTCACTATTCTCTTCAAATTGGGTAGCCAGGCAGTCCAGGGAAGATAAGGGAGATACCAGCGAGCGGATGAGCAGAGACCGAGGGACACGTGTAATGATGGAGGGGGAAGCAAAGAAGAGACATGTATACCAAGAATAACGACGGGGCGGTAGAGTCGGCCACCAGCAAAGCAAAGCAATACAAGTCGTTTCTCGCCAGGGGCGTCTCTCTGTCCATGGAAGACTCGTCCCGCCACGGGGTCCTCGCGAGCAACAACAGCATCCATCGTCCACGCCCATCCAAGACAGCAGAATCGGACTCGGGCTCGGCCTCGTCGCAGCCCGCAGCCCGCAGCCCAGGCCGCAAGAGGACAGAAACAGCGACACCATATTTGCCGCCGCCGCCGCCCCTTTCCTCCCCACCGATCCGCGTCCCGGGGTCCTGGTATCGCCACCACGGGCTGCCGTTTACCCCTGACAAGTCGTCGCCTTCCTTGGTCCGGAGCTGGCCCCCAACTTGACCAAGACTTCCGGCGGATAAGGAGAGAAGGGGGAGGGGGGAAGGGGGGGGCGGATACGACGCTTCTCCGCCCCCTGCCCCATCTCGCTCGCCTCTCTTTGCACGTGGCGCGCCAGGTCAGGCCGATGAGGACGCGCATGTAACCTCGTACATAGTGCTATACGGCCCGGCCGGACGGGTAGACCCAGTCTGGGGGGCGCAGAGCACCAGCGACGCCTCTCATCAATCGATCAGTCAATCAGTCAATCGACCAGCCCGACGACAGCGGGGAGCGCAGAGGCAGGTCAGCAGGTCAGCGGGTAAGCAGGAGCAGGTACCCGGACTGACTTGCTGCACGAGGTGAGGTGAGGTGAGGTGAGTTCGGTGCCTCTCCCCTCCCTCCCCCTCCCCCTGCCCCGGCCGGCAGGCAGGCAGGCAGGCAGGCAAGTAGATTCGACAAACGCTTCCACGTTCAACGCCGTCGCGATGCTTGATGCGTGATGCTTGATGCTTGATGCTTGATAGGGAGCAGGCGGTCTAGTTCAGTCCGGGGCCATGTGCTCGACCTCGATGCGGAACTCACCGAGCCCGGCTGACCGTCTCGGGGCCCAGGGGGGGCCGAGTGTCACAGTAAGCGTGGACGGACACAGGCCGCGATTGGCGACGGAGGACAAGACAAGACAAGACAGGACAGGACGAGACGAGACGAGACGAGACGAGACGAGACGAGACGAGACGAGACGAGACGAGACCAGACGATCGGGGCGTGGACAAACTCCCACGCACACACCGCACGTCGTGTGCGCGGCAGCGGCAGCGGCAGCGGGACGCACGCAGAGCAGAAACACTCCTCCGTGCTCGTGCAAGCCCATCTGACTGGCGAGAGCGAGCACATTCTAGAACAGGACGCCTCCCCATGTCGTGCAACCCGTCATGTATGGATGACAGCGTTGCGGTTTATTCTTCTATTTGTGAGACGGCGTACCGACGACCGTCGTGGCTAAAAATGACTCTTGGTCTTGAACAAACAACACACACACGCACGCACACGCACACACCACAGGTTCCCCTCTCGACAATTAACCTCATCCGCTGACTGACTAAAACAAGCAAGACAACCGTCGTGGCAGCTGCTGGTGGCACTTCTCCAGCCATTCCATCGCCGCAATTCCTTGGCCCAATCACGCGGACTAAACATACATGCGTAAAAATCCCTAACAATGTATCCATCCACGCCGTCGACTATTTTTATCTCTTCACTACAGCCATGCTGACTCGCGACATAACGATATGGCCATGAAGGTGGTGGCGGCGCCGCTCTCTCCCCATTATATGCTTGACATTGTGCAAAGGTGCTCCACGATGCAGCGTCCCTTCAGTCGAGTTTGCCTATTCGGGCCACGTCTTGGGCACCATTTTTTCAACACTTGATAGCGAAATAGTGCATTGCTGTAGAAGGCCACCTTGAAACGCGGGCCCATTGACGATTGACAAAGGAACCAGAGTCCAGATCCAGAGCCCGGACGCTTCCTGGCGGCAATGTGGATGGGCCGACGGACAGTCAGTGGCCCTGGTCCGACGCAGAATCAACAGGCTGCTTGCTGTTCTGACTTTGTTCTCGGGCCATTACGCTGGGCCCGTCGCTGTTGTCGAAGCTTACAAGCCATTGCGTAGCCCGGCTCAGTCGCTTTCCTCCATTCTACCCAAGCTTCGTATTCCTGCTGATCCTTGGGATTTGGCTGCTTTGGCTTTGGAACTCGGCGAGGCAGGGAGCCGTTCGTTCGCGCTGCTCGAGGAATGCTGCTGCTCGCAGTCGGCACAGCGACATGAAGTGGTGAAGCCGGTGACGGGATGCTGTGAAGCGGCGCATTTTGTGTCACTTCGGGCACGAGAGCCCTCGCCTGAGACGGTCTACAAGTATTCGCCATGGTCGTGACGGCGTGACTAGCAGGCCATCCTCCTGGTTGCCCCATCATTGGTTTGTATGCATCCGGCATCAGCGGAATTAGACCCAACAAAGACGCATTCGAGTGGGCAAACGGCTGGAAAAGAAGAGGCATGCTCGTAGCATTCACAAACGGAACCGCCGCTGCCTCGGCTGGGGGAACGAAGTGACTGTTTGTGCGAGCCTTGTGCTCAAGTTCTGACGACAACACCTCGCCGCAACGATTCTTGTCTGCTTGCCCGTCGATTGAGACATCAAATGGCAGCAATCCGGGCCGCCGACTTTTCCACATGGCACCTTCAGTCTTTTGAGAAAAGGAAAGGAACTCTCTGGCCTTGGGGTTCAGCGAATTGTACTTGTCCGGGGCATCACCAGCCGTCGAGTCGGTAGAGTGGTCTTCCCGCCTCGACTCAGACGCAGGCCAGTATCTAACCGCAAAGTCCGAGGCAGTGTTGACTCTCCTTCCCGTGCCATGGGTTGGTCGTCGTGTGGCCGACGCAGAGGCCGTCTCCGCACGCTGAGACTGAGCATCCTGTGTGCGCATGGAATCAGCCTCGTACCCACTGTCACGGCTCCCATCAAATTGTTTCTTCTCTTGCGAATTTGCGCCGTTGAGCCTTTTTATCAGCTTTTGGAACGCTATGTCCTTTTGTTCCAAGACATATCGCCGACGCCCTGAAATATCCGAGGCCCCTTCGTCAATATCGTCGTCGTCATTGGCAAATTCCTGCTGGCTTCCCCAAGAGAATGAAAAGCCAGAGTCTTTAGAATCGACTCGGCACGTTTCAAAGCTCCGCACATTTTTTTTATTGCTTGGGACGGGAGACTGGTCCAAGAGACAAGACAGATGCTGTGACGCATCCTGGCTGCTCGAAGGTGTGCGGCCGACTTTCCGAGGTGTTGGCTCAGTTGCTTTCAGGGCAGCCATCAATTGATATCCGTGGCTCTCGTCTGGCGTTAGAGTGTGTTTTCGTGATATCATTTGAAGGAATCTATCATCGACGCTCTCGTCACCAGAAGACAGCCTTGTAAATGCGCATCTCTTGTCACTATAGGAAGAGTTCTGACTGCGCACCACTCCAAATAGATCAAGGGCACGTCCTTGGTCTCGACTGTGCAATTTGGCACGTCTCACTACGTCGAAGAAATGCTTGTCAGAGACGCAACTCCCTGGAAAGTCGCCATGTGCGCTCCATCCCGGATGGACGTCACCACTGTGGCCGTGCGCATCTATGCAAGGCTCGAACTCGACTCCCGACTTTTGCAAGACGTCCTCAATGCTTGGAGACTTCTTCATCGGATCCGGCTGAAAAGATGAAAGCTTTTGATGCCATGGCAATGTGGCCAGGGGGATAGCTCGGTCCGAGGGTTCCGTATGCTTCGGAGGAGCCGCAGAAGAATGGTCCTGGCCATCAGGGCCGCGTCTTCTACGCCAATTCGGATTGTTGAGCGGCTCATTAAACATAATCCCTTTGTCCTGGCTTGCAGAGAGGTCTCTCCTCGTGTGTATGCCGCCGTGGCTCGATTTAAGTGATTTGTTCGCCGAGGTGGCGGGCTGCCCCTTGCGGACTGAGCCATATTCCACCTTGCTGCCAGTGCCTGAGGCCAGGCCAACCATCTTGAGGGAACTGATTGGCATATAATCAAATTATAAAGTACGTCGCAGCACATCCGGTGTTGGATCTATGTTTTGGTCTAGCAACTACAAGATGTTGCGTGTGTTGTGCGTGCGAAGGCCTGATGTGAGCGCGATTGTTCGACTTAATGGGTGAACTGCTTCCCGTCGTCCTTCGTAGGGCCCAAGAAACAAAGTACCAGGAGGCTCTTATATCTTCGATGGAAGTAGCTTTTCAATGAGCAATCTTTCAAGCAATCCAGGCCACTCCTCTGTACGGTCCATGAGGTGAAACAGACTGGCAATTTGGCCGGCGGCTCCGTCGAACAGCAAAGTCAAGCTCATTTGCCTTCTGGCGCAAGGTGCTTGAAGCTGCAGGTTAATGACTATCGAGAGAGATCAACTTCCCAGAAGCGAGTTGCCAATCAAGATGAATCGAGTGTGCGATCGAAGCAAGTGCAGTTGGCCAAGTTGGACCACGGGGCCCGCGACAAACGAGATGAGAATCCAGTGCCGCTGCCGTGACAGAATCCCTCCCTGTTCGCAGATTTGCAAAGATCAAGCGGGAAAGAGGTATCATCCAAAAAAAGAAAAGAGAAGAAGAGAAGAGACAAGGAAAGAAAGAAAAGAAAAAGGGACGGAGGGGGCGGAGAATGCCACGCCAGATGTCCCGACACGTTCGCTACGGAATAGCCAAGATGGGGTTGGTGAGGGCGAAGTGAGGAAAAGGTGAAGAGAGTTTCAAGACGTCCTGACCTCGGAGCGTTGCCAGGAGGCAGGCATCGACGCCTCGCGTGTGCACGAAATATGTCAACCGGCAAGAGCAAATGTGTTGTCGATGCTGCCTGGTCATTCGCGCCGTCGTGAGGGCCCGGGCCCGACAACAGGGAAACCGAAGAGATTCAATCCCTAAACGCCCACATGGTAATGACTTCATGATGTTTCACCCACGGCGCCTGCTGTGCGAACCATGGCCATCATTCCAAGAGAATAAAAGGCGTACGCAGTAATCCCCTGAGGAAGAAAGGGACAACAGAGAGGAAGAAAAGAGAACACGTCAAGTGCAAAGAGGTGTATTCATTTTATTTAGCCAGTGACAAATATGGCAAGTAGATGATGACAAACTGATGCAACCGCCTGTGGAAAGAAATTCAGAAACGACATATTACTTCAACCTTGAACGGCTTGGCCACCCATGTACGCCGTGAATGCTTTCTGCTCAACTCATTCAGCCATGTTCAACGAAGAATGATCAACAAGAGCGGGCAATACGTACCGGGTTGCGCGTTTGGATGAAGACGGTCCCGGGCCCGGTAAACTTGCACACCAGGCCCTCCGCAGAGGCCATGTTCGAAATTATACCACCAGAAGCCACCCGCTCTAGGACATACTTGGTATTCCATGCCACCAAATGGCCGTTATCGACAATGTACTTCTCACCATCCACAAGCTGCCGTGGGTCAGTCCGGATCGAATTGGGGACGGGTTCATTCTATCAAAAAGTCTCACATCTTTGCGAATAATGGCCCCGAAGCTTGTGAGCCAAAGGATGCCGGTACCGCTCATCCGATACACAAACAGGCCTTCTCCGCTAAAAATTGCCTTACCGAGGCCCTGCCGTTTGTGGTCCTTGACGATTCCCTGCGTGGCCGCGAGAAAGGCGTCGTGCCCGACGACCCAGCTCTCCTGGCCGGTCAGGCGAATACTGGTGATGTCTCCTAGCATAGGGGGAGCAAGAAGAAGTTCGCCAGGACCAACATATCTGGACGTCGTCATGTCGGCGCCCGCAATCATCTTTTTCACGCTGAACCTCAGTTCTCCTTTGAGCGTGATGGTTGGGGACATGGCAATCATGGCACCTGTTGTTTACTCTTAGTCGGGAGCATGAGCTAGCTACACACAACTTGTAGCAATACACACCGGGCTTGGCTTGCAAAGGACACCCTATCGCCAATTGAATGGTCAAGATTGTGTTGGAATCACGATGGCTAATGCGGTAGCTCCCGCCGTTGAAAGTTCCCACATCATCAACCGCGGCACTTGCGCCGACAAAGTGGCCGGCTGGCGGTGCTCCGGCCCAAAGGTTGGAAGGATCACTCGTGTCTACTGCCTCTTGTTGCTGTTGCTGTTGCTGTTGCTCTTGTTCAGGCTTCTCCGGCGGAAAGGGGGCGCTGCTGCTCCCGGGAAACGGCGGTGGGGGGTCAAATGAAGGCGGGTCTTGCTGCCCGGGATGGCCACTTGTCGAAGTTGGTCTCACGGCCAACGAAGCCTGCTGGAGCAATTGAGGCGCAGGCGGAGAAGCTGGCGGAGGGGGGTACTGCTGCGCAGCGGCATGTTGCTGCTGATGTATACGAGAAGACGGACTCTGCTGAGGCGGCGGTGGGTAGTGTTGTGTGTTGCGGTGCTGAGATGACGGGGGAGAAGGGGTGTGCTGAGGTGGCGGCGGATAGTTTATATGCTGTCCCGGAGAAGCCTGAGGATGGTTGACAAGTTGGGCGGGTGAGCCCTGGGGCGGCGGAGGGTAGAATTGTGTCCGGCTGGGAGGAGGCGAGGTCGGCGGACCTGTCTGCGAGTTAGTTGCAAGCCGGCCCATGGTTGAGATGTCAACTGGAAGTCGTCGAACCTTGGGGTGCCGAGCCCGGGGGAGCTACAATCATACATATCTGTCAGTTGAGGCGCCTGAAAGGAACTGCAACCTCAGAGGTCTCAACCAGGGCGCCACGGGTTTGCCTTACGAGGATAGTACTGATGCTGCTGCGTAGCCATGGTTTCTGGTCGGTTTTGCGGGCAGTACGATGCCACCAGACGCGTCCTGGTCCTGCCTTGCCTGCCTTGCCGTCCCGGTGGCGTGGTTAGACTTGCTGAGACACAATTTGTCTGTCGTTGTTGTTCCCTTCGCCGCCAGATGCCTGGATGGTTTCGAGATGTGCGGCTCGCCCCGCAATGGCGTTTCGTTCCTGAGACCTTGGTTCAGTTAACAATATGTTCTCCGTAGGTGCAGACAAGTTTTTGTACCGTATCGGGGCAACCAGCCTCGCACTTTTCGAGGGGGCGGTAGGGCTTCTGCTCTGAGCTCGACAGCCGCCCAGTTCCATGCCTTGCCAACGGCGGCTGAGACGGCCCAATAGTTAGACCAGTCAACAGCTCGCGAACTGCACATGCTCCCCGCACTTGAATGACGCCGCAGCCAGGTCGAGAGTGTGGGCCGTGGAACGTGGGACGTGGGGGGAAACGGGCGTCGGCCGTTGGATGGATGCTCAAAACATGAATGCTCACGATGCGCAGCGCAGCGCGGCGCGGCGCAGTGCAGTGCAGTGCAGTGCAGTGCTGTGCTGTGCAGTGCTGTAGGAGGGGATGGCGGCGCGGCACTGCCTCGATTGGCCTCCTCGGAGCCTTGCTTGTTTGTAGCAGTACGTACTTGTTAGCGCCGAGGTGGATCCGCTGGGGGCCTTGAAAGCTTGGACATTGTGGTCGATGACAGCATTCAGGCCTGTTGGTCTGCAAGCGACGAGGTGACGGGGACTTCAACTGGCCTGAGCTCTACCGAGTACTCTGTACTCCGTACTTCATACTCTGGCACCTGGCTCCCGCCGGCACAAATTTGCACAATGTCGAGCGCATTGTTATGCATCATGAGCATGCAAGCCCAAGCTCGGTCATTGATTGCTACCGAGGACTCCGAGTATGAATATGAAACAACTGCTCTGTCGGTGGCTCCTCCAGTCAATCTCGTGCCACCCGCAAGCTACTCAACTACGACCATGACCATGACCGTGTGCGTGGAGAGTGTAGATGACCCGACTATTGCTTGCCTACCTCAGCTGACCTGACTATTATAGTTGACCTAACCTGACTATTGCTATAGAGAGACAAGGGGGCATAATAGATTTTAATTAGTTGGATTTTCTTTAAGAAATCTATTCTTAGTAAAGTAAAAGATAAAGCAAAATAAGTTTTAATTAAGCAGAAAATTATTATAAAATGCAATTAAATTATATAGAATATTTATAAGAAGTAGGTCTAGAAATTTTAATATATTAGCTATAGCTTTTTTCTAAAATTTTTTTTTCTCTATATCTTACTCTCTTGCTAGACTAAGGCTATAATATTAAAATAATATTATAGTATAAAGATTCTATAAGTATTCTCTTTAGAATTTATTCTAAATATACTTAGAATTAACTTTAATTAAATTCTAAACTAGAAAGTATTTTAGTAGTATATAAGCAGAAAAAGAGGTAGATATTAGCTTAGTCTTTCTAACTATAAATTTAATATATAAAGTAATTTTATTATTAAAGTTAGTAAGATTTTTTGCTATATAAATATAAAGAATAGCTATATATATTATATTATAAGTTAAAATTTAATTAAAATTAATTATTATTTAATTTAAGTTTAATACTAATACTTTATAGAATATATACTTTTCTTTAACTTATTTATTAAAGAAATATCTTATTATAGTATATAAAGTAGAGGTATTATAGTTAAGTACTAGTACTCTCTCTTCTGCTAATAACTAAGCAGCTATTTATATATTAATTAATAATTAATTTATATTAAATTTTAACTCTATACTAATTAACTTATATATAGAGTTCTACTAAAACTTAAAGAAACTAGCACTTAATAAAAATATAAATCTCTATATATCTATAAAATATATCTATAAAGTTATCTTAAAATTACTAAATATTAGTTAAGCCTAAAGTACTTTATAAAAAGAATAGTAAAGTAAGTAATTTATAATTAAATTATAATTAATTCTAGCTAGATTTTAATAAAATTTTATAATAGTTTAATACTAATACTATATAAGTTACTACTTACTTTATATTAAGCGTAAAGTATAACTATTGTAATATATAGTTAAGCTCTTGCTTGCTACTAAAATAGCAGAAAGACTACTAAGTTTAGAATTAATACTACTACTTAAAAGCAGGCAAAAAAGCTATAGTATATTATAAGTAGTATTTAGAACTAATTTAGAATTAATTATTACTAAATTCTAACTATCTTTAAATGTAAAATCTTTCTAGAGTAAAATTAACTTAAAAAATATTATTAATAAGACTTATCTATATACTTCTCCTTCTAGTAATATAAATAAAAGGCTTAGTAGTAGTACTTATAATAATATTTTATAACTTAGTAAATTTTTTTTTTTAAAAAAAAAATTAGCATTATAGAATAAATAAATACTTTAGAAATATTACTAGTTTTTTTTAGTTAATAAAATAAAATTTTTATTTAAAGTATAAATATTTAATTAAACTCTTATAACTATAATTAAATTTAGTAAAATAAATTTATTATTTAATATATAACTATATATAAATTTAGTAAAATAAATTTATTGTTTAATGTATCAAACTCTTATAACTATATATAAATCTAGTAAAGTAAATTTACTATTTATTATATAAGTATTTAATAAAACTATGTATAAATAAATTCTTCTACCTTCTCTATTAAGATTGCCTTTATTATTAAGGCATACTACTAGATAAAACGCTATAATTAAATATACTTTCTATATTATTAAGAAAACTAAAGTTATCTTTAAAATAATCTTAAAAGATAGCTTTAGAAGGTACTAAACTAGCTAATCTTTTCTAGCTAGAACTTTAAGTAGAGTTAAAACTAGAATTATTCTTTAAGTTATTAGACTTTAAATAATTTTGCTGTTATTTTTATTTTAAAATAAAGTTAGTAGATATATAATTATTAAACTAAGAAAATACTATACTATACTTTTTGTAGCCTCCTAGTTTATTTTAGTTTATAAATCTGCCTTATAACTTAATATCTTAATATAATAATAAAATTTATAAGTAATACTTAGTAGTATTTTATTATAATAAATTCTAATTATATATTTAATAAGCTATAATTATATAATATAAAGAGATATATCTACTAGCTTATCTATATAATACCTTATATAATATTTTAATAGTATTAGTTATAGCTAGTAGAGAATTCTAATCTTAAGATAGTATTAATAATATATTATAGTAGAGTCTAGAATAAATTACTAGACAATATTTATATTAAACCTAAGCAGATAACTCTAGCTATTACTCTATATCTTATTAGTATTAAAATTAAATTAAAATGCATTTAGAATTAATTCTATAAACCTTTAATTAAATTATATAATTAATTATATTAAGATAAAGAAGTAGCTTTTATTAAAGTTAAAAGCTATTCTTGCTTGCTATTAAGCTTATTATTATTATGTAAGTAATACTTTTCTATGC